AGAAGAAATCGAACCGACTTGACTCCCGAAGATGTTCTTGATAAAAATTTATTCGATGAATAGAGCACACGATCGAAATGCTATTGAGATGGTAGCGATTGTATATTTTTCGTTTTTTAATCACCCATTTAGAAACAAATCCAAATATTTATGTTATATTGAATCTAATAAGTCGAACTGGATGAATCAAAATAATTCAAATCTAAAATGTGATGGTAAAAATCGAATCTTATTCGAACAATTATTTAAAGCACATAATAATGGTGCGAATTAAAAAGGTAACAAAACCATTTAGTTTCCTCAACCAATTGATTGGTTTTCAGAAAAATGATGATTCAAAAAGAAATCAAGATTTTGAAGCACGCAATCAAGGTGTTTGTTGGAAGGTAAAGAAATGTGTCTTATTTTCAAAATTAATTTCTTTTTAGTATTCTTAGAAATTGTTCATCTAATTTTAATAATTGAAGTATTCAACGTATTTTAACATGAAAGTCGAATATTACCGTTTATTTTTTCCTAATTAAAAACGATGGACAAAGTGAATTGTTAAAAAAAAAAGTGAAAAGATTCATTATCGTTTTGAACTCTCATTTTATTGTATTACATGTTCCCAGATATTTCTAGTTATTCTATAGTTGATTTAAATTCTCTTTCTGACAACCCTTGTTTATTTTCCCTTTTAATATCGATTTCCCCCTATTCTTCGTATTAGAATTAAATCCCAGTTACAACTTCCTTTTTTCCCGAATTTGTAATATATTAAGCGACGGACAACTAATATTGTAGAAAAAAAAAAGATCCACTGTCGTTTGAATTTTTCCGTTTTACTTTTATTGTATTATTTTCGTTTCTTCTATGATCCTTTGTCAATTGAAAGGATTTGATGCGAAAATTTCCGGCCTCTAAATGTAAGTAATTTAAATTTTTTTTCCGAAATCATTAGTTATCTTTCAGATTAAAAAATGAAGTTGATATAGCCAACTTTCGTAATTAATTAAATATGCTGGAATCAGCTGAAAAAAGAAAAGTGCCGATTAAATGGTAGGATTATATTCCAACTTGATTTTCATTCATGTGATTTTTTTAGAAATGAAGTTTTCACAAGATCACGTATAACCCTAGAAATTGGGTGGACTTCTTCATTTTTTAAATAAATCGAATTTCTGGATATGAACAAGTTTAAATATACTTATAATCAGAAATATTATTGGAGATGAAGACTTTTTGCCCAAATCAGGGTAAAAATGAAAAAAGAACAAAAACTTTGCTTGGATTATGGTAATGAATATTTAACTACTTCATAGAAATTTACTATTCACTTTTCAGAATCTAAATTGGGATCACGGATCTTCTGAATACGTTATTCAAAAGATATACCAAAAATATGACACCCCTCATAAACGTAAGATTGGGAAAGAAATGACCAAATAATAATTTTTTTCAGAAATTCAAATTAACTTAGAAGAAACAGACTATCTATGAAAGAACCCTTGCAATGACAAGGAGAGGCCAACTAAATTAAACTAAAACTCGATGTTAATTGAATTAAATGGCCCCTGAACGAGAAAGAAGTCGGACATCTTTGGCTAGTGTGTTGAAAACATCAAAGCTACCTGTTGGTGTCAAGTGTTCACTGAATTCATTCGAGGAGGAAAGAAAAAATTGGAATCTAGTTAAAAGAAAAGAAAAACGATGACAAAAGATTTTAAAAAATATATGAAAAAAAAATGACAAGATAAAAAAAAGAATTGATATCGAATAGTTAACGACGGACAATCTTTATAATGTGAAAAAGATCCATTGTCGTTAAAATTTGAAATGTTTTTGATTGTACCTTTTTACGATTGTTCTTTAATTTGTTTTTTTTTCTTTTGAATGTTGATAGAACTTCATCTATGAGGTAAGAACATACATAAAAAACTTATATCGTAATACTCCAAATTGCAGAAATCTTCGTCATTTCCTCTTGAAGAAAGAAGATTGAAAATCGCAGCTATTCAGTTTTTGTCCAATTTTGAGCAATCCGAATGTCTGAAAACTACGTTTGTTATTTTTTTCGCCGGATGATGTTCCCATAAAGGATCTATTATTGGAACGGAGGGCAGGGTAATTGCTCGACATTCATTACTTTCTTGAGTTAGGGTCATTTTTAATTAGAATTATTTGATTGAGAAAAATTTTTGCGGATGACAACTATAATGATATAATAATTTTTTGAGCCCAATGATGAACCATGTGTTAGAACACAAGTGGATCGGAGGGCGGTGGAATTGGGAAAATGTGATTTTATAGGCTATATTCTATACGGATTAAGTGAAAAGTTACACAAATAATAGTTTTAAGAAAAACTAAAAAAAACTGTAGATAAAAATTTTAACAACGCAGATTTTTCTCCACGACTGGTTTGAACCAGGTCGGCAATTTGTTGAAACGAATTAAAAAAAAAATTCAAGTTTTTGTGAAATAGTGATGGATAATTTAATAGCCGAAATTTTCATTTTCGGCAATTTGCCGATTGCCGCACAGGTATGGTTTGAGTCCGCCACCATCTTACTGTAAATCTACTATTGGAACGGAGGGCAGGGACAATGCTCGACATTCATTGCTTTCTTGAGTTATATGGGGATCTGCAATTAAAATTATTTGAGTAAAAATATTATAACGGCTAACAATTATTTCTTAAAAACACAAGTGGATCGGAGGGCGGTGGAATTGAGAAAATGTGATTTTATAGGCGCTATTCTATACGGGATATCTAGTTTAAGTGAAGTTACACAAACGGTAGTTTTAGGAATTTAGACAAAAATCGGTAATAACACAATTTTTCTCCACTTTTTTTTAGTCTTCTATTCGTCTTTCTCTGCGCTAACATGAGTGCAGAAGAATTTATCGAGAAGGGGATATTCCAAATTTCAGAACTCTTCGTCATTTCCTCTTGAAGAAATAAGATTGAAAATCGCGCCTGTGCAAGGTTTTTTTCCGATTTTGAACAATCCAAATGTCTGAAAATTACATTTGTTATGTTTTTCGCCCGATGATGTTCCCATAAAAACTACCATTGGAACGGAGGGCATAGAAATTGCTCGACATTCATTGCTTTCTTGAGTTTTATGGGGATCTGCAATTAAAATTATTTGAGTAAAAAATATTGTAACGGCTAACAATTATTATTATAGTTTTATGAAATAGGCAAAAATTAATGCCGATATGATTTCATTCAGTTTTTCTTCATATTCGATGAAGTGTATAGACAAATCTGTCAGGAAAAACAGTTGTGCTTTATCATTTTCAATAAAGAAATGTGTTGTTTTGCAACCTGATGATGATAAAGTATTCGGACACAGACGTCGAAGTGCGCTGGATTTTTTGTAGATTTTTAAATGAAAAAAAAGTAATTTTTGCGTCATGAATTGAGTTTTTAGGGTTTTATATGATTTTTACCGATGTTTTGAATTACGAATATCAGCGTAGTGGCCAAAATATCGTGGTTGCTGAAGTATTAGTAGCCTAGTTGCACCAGTTTTGAAATTAATGATTTAACGATTTCTATGTTCATAATCGACATAGACTAATCTAGTTTTATTTTTGGGTGTTATTTATTTATTTATTAAAAATCCACTTTTTAATACGAATTTTGAAATTTAAAATAGAAAGTGGATAGAAGATAAATATTTCTAAATCGGAACCTTGAAAGGCTCTTAAACGGTTTTAATGTCCAAACGGAACTTTCAGTTCTATCAAAGTATGGTTGGTGAGGATAAATAGCATTCGGGTCAATAAAAATATGCTATTTTTCTAGAAATAAGAAAAGGAATAATTTTTCGATTAGGAGAAAATAAATTTAAAAACCCTAAACTCACCATCTCGGATTTATTGAGAAATTACTCTTGTAAATCTAATTTGTCTATTGCGTTTCATTCTTTGGATGCAATTACAGAATCTACCTAATCAGAATAATAAACGTTTTGAATGTGAAAATCAGAACATAGTTTGAATTTTTGAAAAAAGGTTACACTACGCTAACATGAGTCAACGCTCTCGCTTTTTTTATTTCCCAGTGATAATCAACTAAACGATCGGAAGGCATTGTGTTTGAAAAAAAAACTAATTTTATCAATCAAATGTAACAAAAAAGTAGTTTTTCGACGAAGTGAAGAAGAAATGCCGGAAAATTTAAATCGAGAAGCTCTGCAAATGAGAAATCTAGCTATAAAAATTGCTACTAACGGAAATATTGATAAATGTAAAAAAATATTTCAAAAATATTAACAATTTTTAAAAACATACGTGATCCAATTCATTCATTTTTCCCCATTTTTATTCTCCGTCTTCAAGTTGACCGTTTTTGTGTCTCTCGTTTCGCTGAGAAGATCTGAAAGAAGAATCAAAATGATAATGTAAGCTATTTAAACGATAAAATATGTATAATCAAAATCACTAATTAACCTGGTATTTAAAAATAGCTTCGAAATTCTTTAAATTAAACGGTTCTGAGCAAATTAATTAGGCAAAATTCGATTTTTTTGGATGGCGAATGTTGAGAAAAACAGTTATAAAAAAAGAACAGAGCAAATCAATGTTTTCCGAAAATCGGCGACATGCAAGTTTTCCACATGAGTGTAGTCCGCATTATGTCGTCATTTTAGTTACTTACGAATTTATTTCTACAGTAAACCAAAATTCCACGTCTTTCGTTGCCACATTTTAGCTTTAATTTGTAGTTTTAAAACATTTTGCTAGAGCCTTATTATTATTATTATTATTAATGCAGCTTTTTTTTTTAATTTATTTGCTTTAACTTGTTATTAAATCTATTAAATGTGAGTTTTGTAGGCTAGATCAGCTGGGAACTTCATTTTCTTCATTGGACGACTGCTTTTTCTCGACTACTTAGGTATGTTTTTTTAATCTGTTCAAAATAAATTTCAATCAATTTCGAATTTAATTAAAAATAATAGATAATTAAATAAAATTTTGAACATTGCGCTTAACCGAAGTTTCTACAACGAATATGTCTCGGACTGCTGTGAGCGTGTCTCGAGAACATTCGTTGAGTCGGATTTGAGAGAGCCCGCACGGGTGCCGCGCTTCTCGTGCCACGAGACGCGGACCAACACCCCGCATCGGTGACCTTAAGGGTCCGACCCAGGAGGGAAATGCCTGGGGAAGTCTAGGCGCACACGGTGGAGTGGCGTCGAGGCGGTTCGTTGTAGAGACTGCCGAATTGGCGACTTTAGTTAAAGCAATTTTTCTCTGGTAAGCGCAATTTAAAAAAATTTCAAAGTTATAAACTCGAATGGTTTTGTAGAATTGGAATAAAAACAGCCGTTGAAGTGTTTCTTCGGTTGTTTCCACTCTACCGATGTCTGGCTGGGCCTCGGTATAGGCCAAGCATGGCGGTGTCGAATTGCAGACTTCCTGCACTCCACTAGCCTCCTCCCCGAGTAAACCCACCAGCATCTTTCGAAATAGCTATAAGAATCACTGGTTATGACCGTTTATATTACCTATTCTAGTTTAAACCTTTCGCACACCTGTTTTTCGCTTTGCCAACTAAATATTATACTGATTAAAATTAGAAAATTTTAATATTTCATTTCCTTTTTTCATACGAATTGGAATACGAAACGAGGAACAGTGGAGACGGATTGCAGCTATTGAAATAGTGACAGTATTCATTATTTAATCTATTTTTTCCATGTTTTTTTTCAGATTGGAGAAATTTGAAGCTGAATCATGTGAGCGGCACTTGATTGTTTGAGAGGAATCAAAACGGCAAAAAGAATCTGATTTCTGGATAAATGTTTGAGCTCAAAAATCCAATGGGGATGACTCAAAAATAATATACAGCAGTATTTTTGTAAACTTTTTTGTAAGTGAAATGCCATTTTTTTCAGATAGAAGTCGAAATATGCTGCGGAAGAAAATTCTTCATCATTCTATCATCGGCTCACCTACATGGGCAATGCTTTTTAAATTTTGTTTTATTGTTTTTATTTGGATTTTAATAATATCCAGATAGTTCGTTTTCTTTGAAAACCGCTCAAATGTGGTCCCAGCGGAGGATTGAATGGAATTAGTCTCACATCAGCATGGGCTCTTTCACTGCTAGAAATCTGACCCTCGTTTCATAAGCTCAAAGTGCCATGGCCGGTAAGTGTTTTGAATTGGCCTCCTTAGTGAAACATTCAATATTAGTTGGATACGTTTACAAAAATCTCAACGACTTGATTTGCGCGGGAATTCAAAAATTTTCTAACATAAGAGATGGGTTTGCGCGGGATTTCAAAAAAAAATTTTATTGGCTTAGAAATTTTATAAAATTTAAAAGAGGTTAGCGCGGAAATTTGAAAATGTTCTAACACAAAAGAGGGATTCGCGCGGGAATTTAAAAAAATGAAGAGAGGGTTTGCGCGGGTATCCAAAAAATTATTGTCGAGTATGTAATGTAAAAATGTCTCTTTTTAATTTCTATTAATTCTTTGAATTTTGTATTGGATTATTTTGTTCTTTGTTTTTTAATGATGTAAATTGTCAACAGCAGGTAACTTTTGGAAATCAAAGCAAAAATTACTAGTTAAAAACAAACGCGGGGGGCGGAGTTTAGATTGCGAATTCCCGGCTACAATGTAGCAATCTCAACGCGAATAATAATAAATAAATCTAGAGATTCAATTTATGGAAATCAGATTTTAAACGAGAAATTCGAAATTCGTTGAATTCGCGGTACGTGCTTCGAAAATGTTTTCCGAATTCTACATACTTGCCGTGTGTGCTTCAGAATTATCAGAAATACTAGCAAAATTTGTTAAATTGGTGTCTTTTACAGTCTTCGTTTGGCGACTGCTGTATGTGAGTAGATTTTAGGGTATTTAAGCTTTCTCTTGGTCTCGCGCAGACTAACGTTCACGTGAAATCAGCTTAATAAGGGTTCACACGCGACGAAACCATTTTGAAAGGCGCACACGTAAATCTACCCGAGTACATCAGTCTCCGGACTCCAAATTATAGCCTTGCAAATCGTGAATATATGACAGTACATTTTGAATAATTCTGAATCTAGCTGTTTATACGGAATATTCAAAAATTAGTGATTATCAGACAACTTTAATTTTATGAAAACTTGATTGGAGTCTGCCGTGTAGATTTATTTGTATGTCTGTAATTCGAATAATTTTCAACTCTAAGTTTTCCTCTTTTTTTTCTCCTATCCATTCATTATTTTGGGTTTGTTAATTCCAAAATTTTTTCTCCAATTTTTCCCGATTATATGTACATACATGTTGTTCAATAGGTTGTAAAAGTTATGTAAATTATGCTAGTTATAATTACTTGTGAACCTATTCAGAACAAACCAAAAACAAAACACTGTTTGACATTCATTGTAAAGAAAAATCCATCTCATGAATAAATCCAATAACGATATTTTTAAATATCAGACGATCAATATTTTACTATTTAATTTAAAAGGCAAGTGAAGAAAAAAGCAATACTCTTTATTAAACGAACAATAAAAATGTCTGATAGCCCTAAAGAGGGCCGTTGGGATTCGCAGTATTTTGAGGTGTCTCGAAATACTTCTCGCGACTTGCTAGGTCGTTGGAGAAGCCGCCCAGTTGAGGATGAATATCCTCGACTTGCTTGAGACGGTGTGCCGATTAGCCTGACTCGACAACCCCTGAAGGAGTGTCGAGTCAGTTGATCTCCTTCGCCACGTAGAGGCTCGACACTTGAAGGAGAGGCTCACACAGCATCAGGAAGAGGCCTGATGTGGATCATTGCCCGACCCCGAAGGGTCTAAAAACAAAAATAATAATAAGTGAAAATAATGGAAGGATGTACAGACGTAAGTGGTACGAATGTACGGAAAGAAGAGAGAGAGAGTGAGTGAGAAGCCGCAAGTGGTACGGCAGAGGGGAATCAGTCGACTGATAGAGAGAGAGGACAGTCGTAAGTGGTACGACTGGTGGAAGTGAGAAGCCGCAAGTGGTACGGCAGGAAGAGGATGGGGAAGCCGGCTTTCCCCAGAAAAGAAGGGATGGTCCAAAACGGTAGGACCAGGAGGAAGTACAGACGTAAGTGGTACGAATGTACGGAGAGAAGGGGGAATCCCAAGTGGTGGGATAGAGAGTGGGAAGCCGTAAGTGGTGCAAGTGAGTGATAATAAAAATTAAAAAATTAATAAATTAATAAATTAATAAATAATAAAAATAAAAATAAGGCCCGGGCCTAAAACTACCATGATCCGCGGATCAATTACTTCTCACTGGTGTCATTCCTCGTCGCTTCCTCCAGTCGTCTTCTCTCGATCCGTTCATCGAAAACCCTGCAATGAATCGAATTATTCCGATCGATTGTTGCTTCTTCGTTACCATTTGAATCCGCTTCCTCGCTCTACTCGACGCCCCGGGCAGCGTCGACCTTTCGTCGCCTCTCCATCTCTTCCTTCATCACCTCGATGCCTCAGTGTAGGTTTAACGTCACCTCGAACCAACACTGCAGTACGCCCATTGAAGGGTGAGCCCTGACTAACGGAGCCGGTCGAGGCGAGAATCCCTCACACCTTGAACACTTCTGATCCGAAGGTGTCGATGGAGAATCGACTGTGGCTCATATCGGATCTGCAAAAAGAGGAAATCAGGAAAAGCGACGGCAATGAATGCGACTTACCTAGTGGATCCAAATTCTTCATTCAGCCGGCCTTTTATAGTGCCACTGGGCGTCGGTGCGAGACCTGCGACAGAGCGCGTTTGACGACAAGAACTTCAAATTGACGCTAAGTGTTGGCACATTCTCTCATGTTAGCACACTATCTGCTCCCCGACGCGCTTTCCCGATCGACGCTGTATTGCCCTAGAGCGCATTTGCCTCATGAAACAAACGCTGGAGGCGGAGTTTAGATTGCGAATTCGCGGCTACAATGTAGCAATCTCAACGCGAATAATAATAAATAAATCTAGAAATTCAATTTATGGAAATCAGATTTTAAACGAGAAATTCGAAATTCGTTGAATTCGCGGTACGTGCTTCGAGAATTTCTTTTGCCGAATGTTACTTTCCGTGTGTGCTTCAGAATTGCAATTACTCGAAATGAATCCCAATGCCATCGTTATTGTCCTGCACGGAATTCCGTCTTCCGGCATTTTTTACTGTTATGTTTTCCGTCAAACACAGTTTTTATTGCGACTACCGTATACCCTCTTCCGTCAAAAAAGTTTCTTCTGTTCTTATTCTGTGGCCCACCAAAAGTCATTTCTAATTGTGTTTGTTTTATTTTTAATTTATTTTGTGTGTTAAGATTGTCGATATTACGAAACACAAATGAAATCATTCTTTTATTTTTTAAATTCGCTTCTTATTTACGTTTTTGAATTTAAATTTTATTTAATGGTGAAGAGAAGATTATGTGGAGACTACTTCTTGATAACAGACAAAATGTGGAAGAAATTCTAAAGTAGGCTCGAACTGAACTCCGTTTTCCGTCCCTTTTTTGTTACGCGTTCCGTCAAAAAAATTTTTTTCGTGAAAAAAATAAAAACGCTAAAATCTTCTAGTACAATTTCAGTTTTCAAAAAATTCAAGTCCCGTGCATCTCTGGTGCAGACGGCAATTATGATTTTTCAAATATTTTTCTAATTTTCACCATAGAGCGCACTTAAGTGCAATTGCTCCGCTTGAAAAAACGCTTTTTGACCAATACGCGGCTATTTTTAAGCTACTAGCATAAAATTTGGTGCATATAGACGGATTGCAAAAGGACATCCCTTGTCAGCTAGGTTTATTTAATTAAAAATAATTATATTTAGTTAAAAATTGGATTTATTTAGTTGAAAAATATGAATTTAGTTAAAAAGTATTTATTTAGTTAATAATCATATTTAGTTAATAATAATAAATTTGCGTTTTTCCAAAATAAATATAAAAAACAAGTATTTTTAATAATTTTATTTAAAATGCTATTCATCAATATAATCTAGCTCGTCGTCTCCGTCTTCTTTGTAATCCGATTCATCGTTGCTCACTATGGTTCCATCAATAATCGCCTGACGCATCGCATCTTCGTGTTTCCTCACATGATTGAGAAGATCAATAGCTTTGTCAGGTGAGAATTTTTCTAAAAATGAGCGTGTTCTTTCGATTATTGTCTCCAATTTGTCCGTCGTCTTTCCAATGCTTTTCAACTGGTTCTTCAACTGCGCCCAAACGAGTTCGATGGCATTCAACGAACAATGATATGGCGGCAACCGGACAATCTCGACTCCATGCTCTGTTCGTGCCCATTCGTAAATTTCATATTTCCTCATCCGAAGGCGCTCTTCATTCATCGCGATCACATCCTTGACCGATTCCCAAAGTTCTTTTCTTTTTATTCTAGGATGAAAAACCTTCCCATTTTTTGTCAGAAGAAACGAGCAATACTCTTCCTTTTTCGATGTACTCGTAGGAATCTAAAATGGATCTTATCAGTGAAACTTTCTTTTTCTAAAATACCTTTTCACTGGTTTTGTTATGGTATGGAGCATTATCCATAACCAGAACACTAGTTCTACCTTGAATTCGAACTTCTCTTGCAATGGCCGGGATCATCGTTTTCATATACTTTGAAAAGTTGTCGGCATGGTAATCCTCCACTTGCTCCGATTCTTTTCTTCCCGAGACAATAACATCGATGGATTCATTCGGAATTCCATTCTCGCACAGCACTCCCAAAACAATTGCTTGTTTCCCCTTTTTTTCCAGCAGGTCGACCAGGGGTGGTTTAGATGGACCTATTTTTTCTGAAAAATCCATGAGAATTTGCTAAACAATGAAATATATCAATATAGCGCGAGGGTGCAAAACATTCATCATCGGCCGATCAGATTCTTTCAAAAAACTTTTTAGAATACATTGACTAGCGTCGATTTCACTGAATTTACAATCTAACGGTTAATGAAAATTGTCTAAATGATTATTCCAATTTAAAAAATCGAATAATCCTATCCTATATAGTATAAATAAAAAAATATAAATGTGAATTAGAATTCTTGAAAGTAAAAAAGAAGCCCAATGAATGAAAACAAATAATTTTGAAGATTTACCTTATTTTCCAAATACAATCATTGAGTTTTACCGTGGAAATCAACCAACTTTCTTTTTCAATTTTTTAAAAATACAAGTATTTTTGACAATTACCGCAGGCAAACAGTTAATTGAATTAGATGGCAATACGCAGATTTGAAAAAAAAAATCAAAAAGCCGTTAAAACGCTAAAAAAACACAATGCAGATTGCGGAGAAGAAACGAAAAAAAACGCTGAAGTTTACAGTGTCACAGTTATTAATCAATCGCTACAAGACTCATGAAATTTCATTATATGCGCCTTTAACCGATCAAATCGCTTGCTGATATTCTTTATCTTTGTTGTTCACGAACAAACACATTCATTCCAGTGTTTGCTAACGTTTTTTGAGCACTAATTTGTTCTGGAATTTGTCCAAAATGTCAGCCCTTCCGGCTAACGTCAGGATTATCCGATTTTGCACCTGGAACGTATGACATCGAGTTAGGATGACGCACGAATTGTCGAAATCTCTGGAAACCCACAACTTCCTATTTTGCTGTGTTGTTGTTTCAAATCTAATATTCCATTTTTTTCAGAAGCTATTCGTAACTGGCCAATTTCGGAATGTGAAAAGGAAATTAGGCGAAACCGATTTTTTACGAGCAAACATTCAATTTATATTATGAATTTCGTACACATATTAAATTCTGCCTACTACACTTCTTGTCGAGACCCATAGAAATGAGTACTAGAAACGCCCCATTTGAAGGTCTCATTTTTGATCAATTCGCTTTTATTTTCGCATATTTCTTTACGCCGTATTAAACTAAAATGTTGACGTACACTTTAATAAGTCATGGATCACTGTGGTCAGTATCATTTAATTTTTTAAAATTATAAATATCTTTTAAGCAGGTGGAAAATTCTATTAATCATTTTAAATGTTTCATGCTCTGACGTTTTTACTTTCATTTTACTCTTCTTTTTAAATTCGCACAATTCCCTATATATCCATGTCGATCCAAGAATTGATATATACAATAAACTTGTAACATTTTAAGTAAAATTCATCAAGATTCTCTACCATTCTTTTGTCTGTGATGAAAAACATCCACCACGCATGCCGTACTTTGATCTACTATCTATTTTTCGGCTATTGAATGACACTCGAATGCCTCATTCACTAGACTCTAGGCTTCCGGCTTCTTCAAATCGGCAAATATATCAGAACGCTTTTTCTGTTTTCCGCTCAATTCGGCTGTCCGTTTTCCGACAAAACAACTGGTTCGGCACCAAAAATGCGATATACATATATGTATATATAAGGATGCGGGGAGCCCGCGTTCATCGCTCTTCTCCTCCGCATTCATTCCTTCTTTCAAAACCAATAAATCATTTTGTGCGAGAACAAAACAAAAACAGCACAAGTCGGGCGTAATGAAATCGAGCCGAAGTGAGTTGAGCCGGGCGGCTGCGGCTGCGGCGGCGGCGGCCGACAACATAGGATGAGAGATGCACACTTTCAAGTGGCGGCGTGGCTCGCGCGTACTGTCGAAATGCTCGCCGAAATCCGATACGTATTAAATCAATGAGCAGTTGAGTCGGCAACGGAATTCCGGAAGGTTTTCACTAGCGCCGCCGTCGTCGCCACCAGTCTTCAATCATTTTCAAGCTCTCGCTACGACGTCACTCAACCACCAATTATTCAAAAAAAAAAAACGCATACACACAGACACACATGCACCATTTTTCTTCTCTTTTATTTTCGAGTTGTCCAAAAAAAAATGGATGGATTCGTCATTTCCAGCCAGCTCACCATGCATGTTTAATTCCGAAATTAGCTTATTAGTTTGTCTCGTCGGCTGAGTGTGGGCGGAGCGACGCAAAACGATCTTGATTTGCGTGCTCGTTCCGAATGGCTTTTTGTATTTTCCTCGCATCAATTTCTAATTTCATTCGAGATTCGCCGTCGCTTCGAATATATTTCTTTCTTTCCCCCCTTCTTTTTTTAAATAAAAAGAACGAATAAATAACAAACCTAATCAAATATTGTGCTTGTCAGATGCGAATCGAAACGATATTCTTGCTCTTCATCATTTTGTTATTCGAAGTCTCGTCGATTGAAGCGCGATACGAACGCGTTGGATTTATTAGGTAATATCTCGAAATGGCGCGTATTGTATTCATTTTTCATTTTGAGTGACCCAATCAAATTGCTTCTACAAGACAGCTATTCGTCACTGAAGAATCGGATGTACAGTCAGAGTTCGTGGAAGAATCCAACTGGATTCCGACAGGTATGGGTTTCTCGTTCTTTGCTAAATTTTCTGTTCAAAACTCTCAACTATAGCCAATAATGTCGTCTTATTTCTAATCCAATTCGCTTGAAAATGAAAGCACAAAAACAAATGACGTCATCGATGAATTCGATCACTAATTCTATTGTTATTGCACTTACAGTTCAAGTCGAATTATTCAAGAGAGTATTGAATTAGGATTGAATTGAATAAAGCCAACTATTGATACAGTAACCCATTGAGATTTGCAGGTCCGCAAAAGAAAGTACACCGCTTTCCCGCCGACGTTCTACAGCAACTACGGATTCGGACCAATTCAATTCAACAGCCGCCGTAGTGCCGTAATACCCTACAGCGATCTACTATTTTCTGGAAAATAATGCTCGTTGAAATAATCCGAAGAATCCCCATCAACATATAAAATCGATCTCTCTTCATTATTTCTATTATTATAATTATTTGTAGCTTCCACTAGAATCCGACAAAAACAAAAACCGCTCACGTATTTGATTGTCTCATCGGTGATGTAACTCAATTCTTCGAAAACGAATTCAGACGAAACGAATAATAAATTTTTGGTCATTCATCGATTTCACAAACCATTATTTGATTCCCATGCAGAAATTAATTCGATGATGCGTTGGCACATGTGAAAATTGCCGAGTTCCCGCCAATCGAGTGACAATATAAAATGGTCCGTCATCGAGGGTCTCGACGATTTTCCACGGTTACCGTACACCTTTGTTATTATCGCCGTCGTTGTCGCAAGAATTTTACGCGCGCGAGAATCCGACGGAATTTTGTGAACATGCTCTCCAGTCTTCAGCGATGCCTGATTTAATTCAACCTTTCAAGTTTATACTGAAATCCATAATAACGTTAAAATCATGGCGAGACCATTCTTAAAGGAGCATCTTGTTCAGTTATTTTGATTTTCATTTAAAACGCCGAAATTAACATATTAGTGGGTGTCAATAAAAATTTTATGACTTGATTTTATTTTCGAATATTTTGTTTCGTTTTGCTTCTGTGTCTTTCGAGTCGCATTTTTCGATTTTAGACAATTTCGACGACACTCATAGTTCAGCAGTTCTCACCAGCCAGCAGATATTGATGCGGATATCAATAATAGGATGTCTGGCGCCGCTCGCCGTCCTGCTCATCAGCGGGTGCGACGCGAGACTTCGCTGGAAATGCGAGCTGTTCGACACGAGCGCCGAGAATATCACGAAGCGCACGACGTTTATTGATCATCTGCCAGGTAAGAGTCATCAAAGAAAAAAAGAAAATCAAATTGGCGACGCCGAATGATTTAGATCAAAATGTGAGACCGACAAGGTCGGCAGTTCCGAAATGTCGAGTGAGACCTAGGAATGAGATTGAGCCGAGAGAAAAGGGAAGTGGCTCAATTACCAGGAAATTAGCCTTGCCCAGTAATGTGAAGCCTAAGAAGAAACCTGACTTCCCGGTAACAATGAAACGCGATTCGAAAGTTCGGTATGAGCGAAAACCGAAAGAAGGTCCGAATGGGTTGATCGTGGGTCCTGGGTATAATAGTAGCGATGAAAAACGAGGACCATCAGCGCCAAAGAAACCAATGAGGTGTGTTGAAATCTCAGAGTGGTTCTTCAAAAGATCTGATTCAGAGGAATGCCTTCGAAGCTTTTATCGGCGAATGAACTATCGACGCCTCCTTCGAAACGATTAGACGCCAATATGATGCCGGACTTTGATCTTGACGATAACGATGATGAGAAGGATGATAAGAATCTTCCGTGGTGCGACGAGGTGTTTGACTGCGAGCATGACGACTTCAAGAAATTCGACACTGAAATTCTAGACGAGTTTTATAGAGTTTGCAAAGAGAAATTGATTCCCAAAAAGGTTGATATGATCGAAAAGATCCTTAAGATCACCTCGACTCGAACAACAACACCTCCAACCGGTATAGCAGAAGGAATGATGAGGAATGAATAGTGAATTTGTAGATTCGACCCGAGCAATGCCACCGACATCAAAGAAGCCCTATGATTGTCTCAACGCCAAGAAAGGAAAGATGAGCGCTGCGGATAAGAAACTGTACGAGAAATACTGTAGCTATCAAACGCTGGACATCGAAATCACTGGTATTGCAATTATTCGAGATTCGTTGAATAATAGTCCGTCTAGAAAAATGCGTCGAGATGTTGGACCATAATGAATCGAGTAGGCGGTTCACCGAGAAATGTTGCGAACCACTCGCGTCCACAATCCACAAAATGAATTCTAATCGCAAGAAGAAATTCGACAACATTTGCCATCCGAACACTCACACTTCCGTCACAAAGAAGGTGTTGATTTACAAGGGAAAAAATTGTGCTGATGTCGACTACAAGAGTCTGAGCAAGAAGGAGAAGAAGGCCTACAGGAAGGATTGTCAGAAGGGAACCGATGGTGACGGAATGGACGTCGACACCACAACGCCGCCAATGGAGCCGAATCCCGAAATGGTGACACCGCGAACGGACAAGGAGCGAATTTCGCCGATGACGCACAAAGCTGACTGTTTGCATCGGCAGAAGAGCACCGAGAAGATGAGCGACGCAGAGTATAAGAAGTTCTTGATCGAATGCGCAGATGTCGACGTGGATCTGGATGGAATAACGTCGCGAAGAACACCAACGACGACACCATCGAGCTCGGTCACCAAAAACATGCCAGGACACTCACCGGATTGCTCGAAACAAAAGGACTTGGAGAAGATGTCAGACAGAGAGGTGAGCTGGAGTACATCGAAAATGGGTTGAGTCGAAAATATTACAGAGGAAGAAGTACTTGGAGAAGTGCCCTCATGTCGGCAAGTCTGTTCACAAAATGAGCAACAACAATGAATATTGCGAGAGTGTTGTGTATGAATTGATGACTACTCGCGAATTTGTCGAGTTTCGCAAAATGTGTCTGGTGACAATCGTGGATCCCAAGAATCCTATCAAGAAGCTGCTCATGAGAAAGACTAGCCACTGTTTGGAAGCAGTGAAAATCGAAATGGACGATTCTGAGGTAGAAGCGCATGTGGGGGGAATACATTCAATTATGACGAATTGAATTTAGTACAAGAAGTTCATCAGGATGTGCATTGTTAAAGAACCGAAGCCGACCGCAACCACAATCAAACTAATCAAGATCAAGAAGGAAGTCGACTGCGAGGATCAGGATTATACAACGATGACTCGGAAGCAGTACAGAAAGTTTGAGGAGAAGTGTTTGGAGGAAGTTGTTGAGGACTGCGATTCTGTTGATGTTGACTCATTGACGAACGCCGAGTACAAGCTTTACCAACGGCATTGTCTGGACGAGGAAGAGATTGAGGAGATCGAAGATTGCAATAAGGTCACAGATGCAATGACAATCGAGGAGGTTTGAAATCGTTCCTTGTTTCTTATCGAATCAATTGATTGATTTTCAGTTTGAAAAGTATAAGAAGAACTGTGTTCATCGCACGGTTGTGATCGAGAAAAAAGATTGTTCGACGAAGGATTTGAGATTCATGAATCAGCGAGAATACAGAGCATATGAGAGACAATGTGGAAAACCGCGAGATTTTTGCAAAATGAGAAAAGCTTATTACAAGGATATGAATAAGGCTGAAAGGAAGGCATTTAAGAGGAATTGCGAGAAAGAATATTGCGAAGTTGTCGACGTTTCTAAGCTTTCGAAAATTGAGGTGAGCGATGAGCTCGTTTTTCCTTAATTATTTGATTATTCAGAAAGAGGAATTCATTCGAAATTGTGATAAGAAGCATATCAGAACAATTGAGAAAACATCGATATGCGAGAATGTTCAGATTGACGAACTCACACAGGATGAGGTTTTTCATATCAAGTTTTCCGATGGGACTTTCATTTTTTTAGATGGTCCAATACAAGAGGCATTGCAAACCGGAAAAACAGATAATTCTTGTCAAATCCACAAAAACGTATCCGAACGGAACGAAGGTGACCGAACGACGAGTGAAGGTGTTGAATCCGGATGGAAAAATTGAGAATGGATGTGATGAAAATATGCGAAACAAAATGAGCAGAAAAGCGGTATTGTTGCAATTATTTGATGAATAATATTGATGAATTTAGTATCAAAAATATATGGAAGAGTGCCATTCGCCGAAAAGCGTATTGGATTGTGACAAAATCGAAACGAAAGGATTGTCGGCGGAAGAAGCTGAAAGGCGAATCAAATTGTGCAAAGATGACGCTAAGCTCACCACGAAGACATTGAAACCTAGAGAGAAGGAGATTGTGGAGAAGAAGATTGAGAAGTCGTATTGCGAAAAGGTCGACGTGAGCAGTCTTTCCGTGAAAGAGGTTCAACCCAAATAAGTCAATCTGAAATCAATCGGATGCGTTTCAGAAGAAGGAATATATCAAGGAATGTGTCGAGAAAAAGAAGAAACAAACGATTGTGTTGAAGAATGGAGAAAAGAAGACGTGCGCGACAGTCGACGTCGACGAACTTGACGGAGATGAGGTAAATCATCAAATAATTTTTTAAAAACAATCACCTAAAATATAATATTCATGCGTATTTTTATTTCTAAAAAAATTCTGTATTTTGATTTATATTCTTATATTTCGCAAGCTTGTCAATTTAGCGGCCGGCCGTTTTTTTTTGAATTCCCGCCTCTGCCGTTTGGCCGTACCATCCGACAATTCGGCCAAACTCGTTTTTTTTAATTTCGAAAATTCCTGCCTGAGATTCAACAATCCTGACATTATGTGTTATATCCCACCATTTGGCATATATTTCATTTTCAGCTTAAATGGTACAATAGGGAATGTGTGCCACGGACTGTATCGAAAAATGTCACCAAGGTGATTGGTGTAAAGAAGACGAAGAAGAACCATGGATTCGATTGCACCAATGTAAATGTTGATGATCTGAGTGCCGAAGAGGTTCGTGTCACTTCAACCAAGTTGATCAGACTCAATGTTTCAGCTTCAACGATACCAGAGAGAATGCACACACCTTATAAAGAAGACTGTCGAGAAGCACACGATCGAACATCCGTTCGATTGCGAAGATGTCGATGTTGATTCGTTGAGTAGGAAAGAGTACAAGAGATATTTGAAGGAATGCTCGACAAGCGACAAAAAATGCTCAGAAGTCGATGTAGAAGATCTGAATGCGGAAGAGGTGATTCAAACAGTTTCGTGATATTTCGCATAATTAACTGTTTCCAGCTTGATGAATACAGACGGGTTTGCGAAGGAAAGGAAAGGATTATTGTGGTAAAATCGTCGAAGAATCGTCCAGATGGCACCAAAATTGTTATCAAAGAAGTCAAGGCAATCACGCCGAGAGGAAAAACAAAGAGAATCTTTGTTTGCGGTAGAACCGACTTGGACAGTTTGTCTCAGCAAGAATATAGACGATACATGAAGAAGTGCATATCTGAGAAGAACGTTATCGACTGTGACGAGCTGCATAAGAAGAATGAATTGACTCGGAAGCAGATGAAGCATTACATGGATCACTGCGGAATTACGAACAAGCCGAGAACGAAGAGCAAGAAGAAGTTCACATGCGAACGGGTAGATGTTGCTAATCTGAAAGGAGAAGATGTTCGATCGTGTTAGATCATATCCTAGCTGATAATGAATATTTCTAGGCGATTTTATATCAGAAGATTTGTCAGCACGTCAATGGGAACGAGATTGTGCTGGTCAAGACGTCGGCGACTCTTCCGAACGGCACTCAAGTCACCGTGAAAGGTGTCAAGATCATCCCGCCGACAGAAAAGCTATTCGTCATCGATGGATGTGATGAGTCGAAGACGAAGAACATGACGAATGAAGAATATGGACGGTATCTGAAGGAGTGCACGAAGAAGTCCATTGTTGTAACCTGTGACAACTATGAGAAGCTGAATCTCCCTGAGAAAGACGTAAGTAAGATGATTGGCTTCCCAATGAAACAACAGTCATCCAGATTCAAAAGTTTGTGATGAAGTGCAAACAGAGCTACAGTGTTAATCAGAAGATTGTGAATCCTCGAGGAAAGACGCTGCAGAAGGTCGACGTCATGTCTCCGAAGAAGCCATTTGATTGTCATACGAATGTCAGTGAGTTAACGGAGGAGCAGGTATCGTAATCTGGAATCAGAGATTCCGTTAATGGAATCTAATTTGAAGGCGATTGAATACAGGAAGATCTGTGAAGACTCAGAAGGAAAGAAGGTTGTGCTTGTGAAGAAGTCGAAGAAGCATCCGAATGGAACCGAGTACACCGAGAAGAGTGTCAAGGTGGTTCCACCTCCGGAAAAACCATTCGTCGTGAATGGATGCGATGCGAGGAAAAAGGAGGATATGAGCGAGGAAGACTATGCGAAATACATCGAGGAATGCACAAAGAAGACACGAATTGTCACATGCGGAAATTATAAGGAGATCGATCTTTCTGATGAAGATGTAATTACGGAATAAGGAAAAATGATGGAAATATTGAGGATTTTCAGAGGGAGAAATTCAGTGAGAAATGCAAAAAACGAATGACAATTGATCAGAAGATTGTTAGTCCGAAGGAGAAGACACTGAAGAATGTTGATGTGAAGCATCCGGACAAATTTGATTGTCATACTGATGTGAACGAATTGACCGAAGAACAAGTACTTTTTGAAATTAACAACATTCCTTTTTTCATTTGGAATTATTAAATTCAGGCCATCGAATATCGAAAAATTTGTACAAACACTGAAGGAAAGGAAGTTCATTTGGTGAAAAATGTGAAGAAGCTGCCGAATGGTACAGAAGTGGTTGCCAAGAGAGTGAAGATAAAGCCGCCAAAGGAGAAGCCGTTCGTTGTGAATGGATGTGATGAATCGAAGATGAAGGAAATGGATAAGGAAGAATATGAAAAGTACATTGAGGAATGCACGAAGAGAACCACAATCGTCACATGCGACAATTATGAGAGTTTGAAGCTTCCAGAAGAGCAGGTAATCCATGGATCATGGATTGGATTTAATCAAATTGAGTGTCAGATTCTCAAATTTATTGCCAAATGCAAGAAGCATCTCACCGTGGATAAGAAGATTGTAAGTCCTAGAGAGAAAACGGTAGAGAAGGTTGACGTCATACATCCGTCGAAGGGTTCCGATTGTGATGCTGACGTCACGGAATTAACGACAAAAGAGCAGGTAATCGATGTTATTTGTTTCTGAAACATTTTTCTGCGTTTCAGTATGAGAAATACTTGCTGGAATGTGTGAATGATAGCGATTCAGTGGACTGCGATATGATTGATCCGCGAGGACTCAGCAGAAAGGCTGTAGGATTCCATTGAACGATCATAGGGTGCAAATTCGAACAATAATAATTTAGATGAAAGTATACCGAAAGAAATGCGCTGGAACGCCGATAAACAGAGGCGACAAGAAGATCATTCTTGTGAAGACACTGATTATCCATCCGAACAATGTGACAGAAATCAGGAAGCAGGTGAAGATTATCAATCCTGGAGAGCCACCGAGAGTAATTGACTGTCACGATAATCCGACGGGATTGGATGAGTTTGAGGTAATGTGACGATTCGGACAAATTCGCTAACATTAGTGTTTGTAGTACGAGCAATTTGAGCTGCAATGCCATGGAAAGAAAACGGTGCTCAAAGGTGGAAAGGTGACTGTGGTTAAGAAGGTGGCCCCCGGAAAGACGGTGCTCACGCAATCGCAGGTTCTGGTGAATAACAAATTTGATTGCTACAACGTGAATCCCGAGGATCTCGACGAGGATCAATTCGAATTGATGAAAAAGCAGTGTATCAATAAGACCGCAAAGATTGGAAGAAAATCGTACAATTGCGAAGTTGACATCTCGCAACTATCTGATTCGGAGGTATTGCTAAGCGGGGACGTAGATCAAAACGAAATGAGTTCCCGTTTTTAGTATGCTGAATACCAGAGGCACTGCGTCAGAACCCGAAAGTGCTCATCGGTTGATGTCGACGCATTGACCGCCGCAGAATATAAAGATTACCTTCGTGAATGCGGCGAAGTCCATCATCCAGCGCATATCACAACAACGCCGAGAACATTCACGACAAAGATCATCATGATCAAAGACAGTTGCGAGAATGTTGATATTAATACAATGACGAAGAAGGAGGTGGGCGAAGAATCGAACAATCCATTCTCACCTCAAATATTTCTTTCAGTATGTGGATTATAAAAATAAATGCCTAAAACCTGGAAAAAGGAAATCAGGAGCCAAAGTGATTTCGATTAAAAAGGTGGTGATATTGAAGAAGGGAGGATGCGATTTGAACACGGATTCGATGACCCAAAAAGAGGTTTGAACTGAATCAATCAATCAATGGTGTTGTTGAATATTCAATAATTTTAGTATGATGATTATATCAAAAAATGTGGAGCTACTGAGAAGACGACTCTTGTCAAAACTGTGAAAATCAACAGTCCTAGAATTGAAAAGCTCAAGCTTCTCACAAAAACTTCTTTCCCTGATGAAGATACGGAAGAAGTTGAAGATCAGCTAGGAGTCAAGGTTATCACAAAGGTAGTGAAGCTTAAGAATCGAGTGAGACCTGATGGCGATGGAGACAATGAACATGGAAAGATAATTGTGATGAAGAAGGTGTTGAAAATTCCCAGAAGAGTGCGACCCACCGATGGAGTAGATGAAGTCGACGAAGGAGGACGAATTGTTGTTCATAAGAAGTTGATCAAGATAATGAAGGAAGTACCGAAGGACTCGGATGAGGTTGAGGAGATCGAAACACGACCAAAGAAGGAAGTGGTTATACTGAAAGTGCACAAGAAACCGATACTCAAGATTAATCCGGACACCGGCGAAATCATCGAGGATAAGGGAAATGAAATCATCAAAGTGGTCAAGCTTCGACAAACTCCAGAAGACCGATGGAAGAAGGTGATCCTTCGGAAGGTGATGAAACTCAACATTCCGCACAAGAATTACAACGACTATTATGATGAAGATCAAGACTTGATTGTCAAGAAGAAGGTTCATCGAAAGATTGTTCGAGTAAGGAAATTGAAATCGACAACGACAACGACAACCACTCCAGCTCCTCCAGAATACTATTACGATGAAATCGAAGTACCCACGGAAACGATTGTGGTTTCTGTGAAGTCAAGCAAACGACGGCTGCCGAAGGAAGAAGAACTCGAGCCGGAAGTCGAAGAAGAGATTGTTGATGTTCGACATGAAAAGCCGAAATCGCCGCGGTATCAAGGATATATCAAAGTTGAGAAGAAGGTGGTGAAAGTGCCAATTCGGAAGCCGAAGACATATTCTGGAGATGATGAGCTTGAAGAAGATGACGTTATTCGAAAGATTGTCAAATCGAAACGAAAACCGAAACTCAGAGTTCTTGTGACGGCGAAGGAACGAAAAATTCATCCGAAGACGAAATTCATTGAAGAGGAAACCGACGATCAAGGGGATTACGGAAAAACGTATGTTCGAGTCAAAAATATTGGAAGACAAATGATCCATCAACGGAAAATTATTGACGAATCGTCGGGTCCTGATGAGAATCTTCATGTTTCCGTGAGAGCGATGAAGTTCAGAATTCAAGATGACAACGATAAGGACGATAGCACAGACTATGAGGAAACTGAGAACATTGGAGGAGCTATTCGAATCAAGAAGCTCAAGAATAGAAATATTGGAACGACAAAGATTTTGAAGGTTGTGAAGAAAACGACGACATCGCCAAGAGACATCTTCATTCGGAAGCATCGGAATCAGCAACCGGAAGATTCGGATAAGGAAATCAAGCGATATTATGTCAAGGATAAGATTGGCAAGAAGGTATTGGTGAGAACTGAGAAGAATGGAAAGATAATCAAAGATGTGTTGCGGAAAAATGCGACAAAACCGGATGACTATGATGATGATGTGAAGACGAGATGGGTGTCGAAGACAAAAGGATCACCGATTCGGAAAGGATCGATGTTCAGAATCAAGAAGCATTACAAGATTCTTCCGAATGGCCAACGAGTTCTTGTTAATAAAAAACGATACGGAGACGATGGAAGCAAGAATGTTGAAGAAGAGGAAGAAGAAGGTGGAAGAGAAATCATAAGAACGAGAAGGAGGTATAAGATTCTGCCGAACGGTCAGAGGGTTTTGATTGGAACTACGAGGGATCGCAAAAATGAGAACGATGGATTGGATGACCCTCATCACGGAAAAACAACAGTCAGGCGATATGAAGTGCTGAGGAATGGAAAGAGAGTGTTGATCGGCGATGGTGGCGATAGGACGAACGACGATGGAATCGAGATGATCAGAAGGAAGACGAAGCGAGTTATCAGGAAGGATGGTGGAGAAGATGAGGAAGACGACGAATCGGGACGAAAGACGACTCGAGTAAAGAAGCACGACAATGATGGGGATGAAGAGGAATCGGAAGGAATGACAATACGGGTAAAGAAGATGAAAAAGCACGAGACAATCGAAGACGATGAGATCCAATCTGGAAGAACGACGATGCGGCTGAAGAAGAATCGAGTGGGCGGTGATGATGAAACGGAGGAGGAGTCTGGTAGAATCACGACTAGAATCAAGAGGATTCATAAGAATGGACGGAAGAGAGGGGATCTAGAAAGCGATGGTGATGATGAAGAGACGGGTAAAATTACGACACGAGTAAGAAAAATCAACGGAAGGAAATCGATTGATGATCAACCTGCGGATCAAGAACGGAACCACATCAAGAAGATCATGAGAGGTACATCGGCAATGAAGATTAATCATACGACGAGAGAAACTAGTGAAGATGGCGGAGAAGAAGAGCAGCACGTGATTCGGACAAAGAAGACTTACAAGATTCTACCGAATGGACAGAGGGTCTTGGTTGGAACGAAGACATTCAATGATACGGGAAGCGAAGGACTGATGGCAGGAACCAGAAGGCATTACAAGATTCTGCCGAACGGAAAACGAGTGTTGATCGGAATCGAACCATTGAATGGAGCGAAGCAGTTCATTAAGAAGAGGAAGCAAGTTGTCGAGAGTGAGGATGAAGGGAAGAATGCGGAAGACAGTGGAAAGAATTATCGAGTAATGCCGGATGGAAGAAAGGTTCGATGGTCGACAACTGGTGCGGATGACGAGAAGCCAGATGCCGAAGACGGAATGAAGGCGTTTCTGAGAATGAAGAAGGGCGGAGGGAAGAAATACGTGAAGCGAACGAAGAGTCAACACCACGAAGAACATCACGATGATCATGAAGAGAAGCGGGTTCGGATGAAGAATGGAGAACGAACTGAGGTTCGAGAGAAGGAAGAACATTCAGATGAGAGTAAGAGAACGACTAGAGCGATGGTACGAAGGGAAGGCAACAGGACGACCAGAAGAAGAAGTAAGCCAAAGTCTTCTAGTTGTAAGATTTGTGATAGAATGGAATATTAATGTAATTCTCTATGATGAAGACCTAATATATTTATAATATTATTGATTTTTTTTCCAGTGACGCATTCCGAAAGCTCGCACTCTTCTCATAGTTCATACAACAGTGGTAAGCGAATTCTTATTCTTCAAGCAGTACCTTAGAAGTTACAGTCTCCCATTCGAGCAAAGAAGGAAATGGTGGAGAAACTGAACATGAGACAGGTTGTGGGATCCTTCAGATTCAGTGATTATCACAATTTTTGCAGGTTCCCATATGAAGCGAATGATTGGCCAAGATGGAGCTGGTATTCAACACTATAGACGTATATTATCCAATTCGTCTTGAACCCCCGAATTTTAAATTTCTCTTTGCAGTATCTTTAAAGAAACGAGTTCTTGGCGAAAACGGAGCTGACATTGAGAATGAGCACGGTATGTCCCTTTAAACATTGTTCATTTTCAATCAGTTGTGTTTTTATTTTCAGCTTCCCACAATACCAGACGATTTGGAGAAGATGACGAAAATGGCCGTCGTCGCGCGGGTTCTGGAAGACGTGATTCTGTCGATGAAGCAAATGGTAACAAGATCAATAAGAACAAGTCATTGAAATTTTGAAGAAGTTGCCTTCATTCTTAGAAATTAATATTTTCAGACTTTGAAAATTTCAAATGTATTTCTATTAATAATTATCGTGTTTATGCCGATATCTTAATCGAATCTGGTACAGAAAAACCAAAAACGTTTTTAGTTTCGCACTCGAAACGAATGTTTGGAGAAGACGAAGCCGGAATTCAACGACATCATAAAAGTAGGCCTATCAATCTTTATCAATCAACATTTGTTGTTCGCATTTTTCAGGATCGGTGACCGGTCACAAGAAAATGGAGAAAGGAGGTATTAGTCGGTTTTTTTTAAGCATTATTACAACGCGAAATTTATTTCAGGTTCACGAGAAGGAAGCGACTCGACAGATCCAGGTGTTGTACACGCGACAAACGGCGAAGAAGACGAGATTCGCCGCGAGGCCACCGACGACGAATGAGGTGAGTCAACAATGATGCACTTTATTATTTATTATACCCCCACAATGTGCTTGTGTACGAACACATGACACTTTTTGAACCAAAAAAACAGAATAAAAGTAAATGATTTAGTTGTTTCATTACAGTAGTTTTGGGTAATCCGCAAACACCGAACGAAATCTTGCAGTCGCAATCATCACTACTTCCAGATCGCGTCCCCCTCGGTATTCGCCAGATCCCTTCGTATCATCGCTTTCATTCGCCTCGCTATTTTCCGTCTCAAATAAACTATTTTCAAACGCAGACAAGCTTAGCCCCGCAAGACCATTAAATTTGTATTTTTGCCTCGGGTCACATCTGGTTTAAGAAAATGTGGCTCATCAAATAAAAGTTGATCTGTTTCCGCACACACAAATACTCCAAGGAAGCTATTTTATCATATACGCTAATTTCTCTATTATTTTTTGTTTCCTCAGGATCACCAGAAAAAAATAACAATGCCAAAAGGTTGGATTTTTTTATTTCATATTTGTTCTTTTAATTTTTTTCTCACAGAAACTTGTTTGCAAATAGATGAACATCGCAACTCAATACGCTCACGAAAGAATACACAATTCGTCTGCATTACCATGACAATCATATTTTTAGTGTCAATAGGCACTGTTCTTTTAATTGTTCATGTTATTGGAAAGTGAAATAAAAATACAAAAAAACTTTTGCCCCCACGCAGGATTGAACTACGGACCTTTGGTTTACAAGACCAACGCTCTGCCACTGAGCTATAAGGGCACGCTGAGCGGCTGTTAGGAGTGTGTATATTTTGTCTGCCTCTTTCCATATAAGTCTATATTGCATTCGAGGCGGTTAGATAAAGTTTGCACGTCATTTTATTTTTTGAAAAAAGTGAGTGTTCACGTTTAATGAAACTCATTCGCCAGTTTTTGCAATTGTTCGTATCTAAACGAGTGGCAATATGGGAATTGTTCTTCTTCTGCTATCAACAGGTGACATTTGAAAAAGAAAATTCGATTTAAACCATCGAAGGGTTATTTCAGTGTTCTTCGGACAATTAGCATATGCCGACAAATGTATAAATAAACTGAAAAATTCTGTGAGTTGAAATATCATTGAAACTATATAAGAAGCGTAAAAAATAAAAATAAAAAACAAAAATTATTCGTTATTCGATTGAGAAAACAGAATTAAATAAACAAAATTGGAATTGTCGTCAAATAAAATACACAAGTCCGCAATGTCATTTTAAGCTTTTTTCAACGATTAGATCGAGACGAATTAACGACAAACACGTTTCATTTTGGGTTAACTCGAGGAACATTTTGGAACAAATAGGGGAAATATTTAATTAGTCGAAACAAATTTCCCTACGTGTTTAAAACATGTTTAAAACATTAAATTGAAAGCCGCTGTCGTCAAATAAAATGCATTAGGTGCAAACACATAGTATCTTTATTTTATGAAGATCGTGCTTCAATTTCAAAATTGTCACTCTAATAATACTTTTTGATAACTGTTTGGTAATGGCACACCACAGTAATACAACGTTAATGTGGCATAATATTTTTTCTAAAAAATTCTGTCGGCTAGTGTGTGAAAACACGTAAATATGTACGTACGTTTTCGAGTTTCTACTTTTTTCTGTTTCTTATCTAGTTTTATTGACATTGTTATTTTATAATTGAAATAAAAACTTTTAGTCTGGTGTCGGAACGGAACTCAGTTTCGAATATTGGCTTGGCGCGTTTAATGTGTGTGTCTTCATTTTGAACATGTTCGTCTTTATCACAATTATGTGTTTGGTAAGTTTGCAGCATTGAGAAATATACATTATTTTGTAATATTTTTCAGCTGAATCCTCTGATGAAAGATGTGACTAAAACATTCTTTGCAATAATGGACCAAATGCTCCTTGGAGGCCAATCATTGGTAATGTGTCTACAATTCCAATATTTTATTTTATAATTATTCAAGAAAATGCGCACTGCCCTCGGATGTCGTCCGCAACCGCCAATTACGGATCCAAACCAAAACAGTAATCCTACCGATAAAGGAGGCGCCGAAAGCGGGAAAGGAGCCGAATCGGGAATGGTGGAGCCCGAATAGAATTTTGCGAAAATATAGTTTTTCGCCATCTAATAAATTTTTTTCTTACGGAAACATGATCTGTTTGTCGTTCGGGCGCATGTCTTGTTCGCATTTTTGACAACACCGACCGGCGCCGCAAAAAATCGCCGGATATTTGAGGCGAAAATCGCCAATTTCAAATGACGATTTTCGCATTCATTCATCGGCACTCGAATTGCATCGCCGTATTGTACTCGATTTGTTTGGCAATGGAGCAAGGTTTCTTAGTTCATTTTTAAAAATGTTTCTTCGAAATTTAATAAATAGTTTAGGGTTTGATGAACCTTCACCTTGGTGGCAGAAGTTTCGGGATGATATTCTACACGATGGCAAATCCAGCCAAAAGATGGAAATTATTTTAAAGTGCGTTCCTATACCCACAAATGGGAAAGGTCTCTGTGACCTTTGTTTAAAAGAAACAGTGGACACTTGATCAATGGTCCGTTTAGTTTATGACGCAATTATTTGCGCACTGTAATTTCCTCGCGCGAGTTGTAAATTATTAGTTGTCAATTTTTATCAATTTGATTTGCTCTTTCTCACAGAACAATTAAATAATTTCGTATGGATTGGCTCACGTATGATTATAGGATAAGGATAATTAGTGAATTGTGATCATTAATCAAAAAATATCCAAAATTTAATTACCCACTCTATTGAGAAAAATTTTGGTGCATTATCAATATAAAACATTGAAAATGAGCGAGAACAAAGGGAAAAATGCCAGAAAGTTTTAAATATTGTCGGCGTCGCGCGACTGCGGAAAATAAAGCTAAGGTTAAAGGCGCATACCGTGCATCGAGACCGATTTTTTTTTGCATTTCGCCAATTTTCCGACGTGACCAAATAAATTCTCAAGTCTTCTGCATCGAATATTTTTTGGAAAAAGATTAACAGTGGCCTGACCTAATAAATCGTATTTCAGGATGTGCATAATCGGTACCACATTCGTCGGTCTCACAGCGATTGTCTGCTTCACACTTCTAACGATTCGCAAAATGTTCTATAGCTTCTTCGATTCAAAACCAGTAATAATAAGATGTTATCCGTGAAAAATATTTCAATATATATATATATAGCAATAAACTAGCGTTTACGCCTTCGAATCTTGTCATTTTGATATTTTAAATCGAAAGAAATGGATGTGAGTGTCTAATTTTTTATTTCTATTGAATTTTTTTTGAATAATTTAGGATGTTACTGAACGTTCAAATCGGGTAGATGTAAGTGGATTAGGGCTAAACATATCGTTGGTTTATCTATTTTTAGAAGCATGGTCCAAAATCTAAAAGGATAAATTCAAATGTAATGAAATGTAATTTGATACATAAATATTGGGATTTGAAACTTTAGGAACTCAAGCAAAAGCCGTCCGGAAGTAATCGGAACACCCAACGTAAATATGTGAGTAGTCGTGGAGTAATAAGTCGTATTATATTTTGTAATATTCAGTCTCTTGTGAAAAGTGCAATCAACGTTAGTAAAAAAGTGATAAAAGCTAGTAATCGAGTATGAGAATATTTTGAATTTGAAAAATATCACGATAAAAATTAAAGAGGAGAGGAAAACCATCTTCAAAAAAACTGCATTTAAAAGGTAGCAACGAAGACTTGGAAAAGAAAAAGAAATCAGTGGTATTGGAAGGTTCGTTTTTTTTAATTATGTACGACATTTTAGATAACTAGTCTTTAAAACATTTTTAGACAAAGCTGAGCGAGCGCGAAAACGACGCGACGCTATTAAACAAGTCGATGTGCATTGTAAAGACGTCGATGAGGACGATGTTGGTAAATTCTTGGCGAAAGTTCTGTCAACGAGGACTGTTAGAAAATCGACGCCGCCTGAAGTAATCATGAGACCCCTCGTTTATTTTTTCCATATTCATCAAAGTCGATTAAGGAAGATAAAAACGCGGACTTGAAGCTCGATCGTTTGTCGCGAAAGAAAATGACAAGCGCGTTGAGTCGCGAATTGAGCACTGGTCCCAACAACAATGAGAAGAAGCCGAAAAAAACGAGCAGCAAAAAGCGACAATTTAGCGGATTTTCGCACGAGCTCATCGAGGAGCCCGAAATAACATATGGCGATGTGCCGAAATTGGAGGAAATTTGGAAGCGACCCAAAGAAAATGTGTACAATCCGGTGACGAATCTACCCTATTGGATGGATGTTCTCGAGCCTTCCGAATCCGATTTGGTACCGACGTTTCTATTCTCAACAATAATTTGTTTCAATTGGATGATGGTTTAGGAAGGAAAAGAAATGGCTTCGGCGGTGTGCAGCGAGCACATTGAACAGTTTCGAGATAAGAAGATCAAATTGTGCAAACCAGCTGACACAAGGTTGGCTGGAAGTTCGGCCGGTTTTACTGTCAACTACGAATTTCATTTTTTTCCAGACTTGAATTAGACACGTGGCAACCACTTGCGAATCTTCAAAGCCGCGACGACATTTTTTTCCTCGAGCAACAAGTATTCAGTAACACTGTCAGAAGTCTTATCATTGGTACTTGAACCTCATTTCTCCATTGAATTTCCGATAATTTAGTTGCAAAGCCTTATAAGAATGAGGATTCCAAACGAAATAAGATTAATGGCTCACGAGAAACGATAAAAGAACCGATGAAAGAGATCGCTGATTCTGGGCGTTCTACTGTTCGCGCCGGAAGTCGAGAAGTGCACGAAGACCATGTCACATTTGTGCTACCCGAAGCGGGAAGTTATTACTCTTTCACAAGGGATGACCCGATTGTGACGGCGAAGGCGAAAAAGTTCGTGAGACTTTCACAGCCCGAACCGGCACCGCCGCTTGTGGTGACCGATAGTTTTGCTCCCGCATCGCTAACAGGACCAGCACCTCCACGTTAATTCAATGAGTTTTATGTTATTCGGCCCATTTTACAACATAAAGTGGTTTCGAATAACTTTGTGTAATAATAAACATTTAGGCTGTGTTCACAGTAATCAAAGATCAATAACAAATTCGATAATTTCTGTTTCGGTGTTTTGTTTTTTTCTCAATTTGTCGATATTCTATAAATATATTGAAATTTAATTTAAATTTAAACAAATCGAATTACGGAAAGGACCAAAAATGTTGTCACCCTTTTCGAAAAACTAATTATTTAGAGAATAGCTGAATTTTGTTGCTTTTCAATTTCGAAATTCGAAAAACTTTTTCCTTAATGCTACCAAATATATACCATATACAACATGGAATAGCTATTGAAAAAATATTAAATGGTGGAATTCAATCATTGCTACAGTAATAATTCTGCATTTATGCGTCAGTACTCTACGGATGATCCAAATTCCATTTTTTTTTCAAATCTTTGACAATTTCCTATAATTCTTCCTGTTTCCCGCAATAATTTCCATGTAATTCGATATATGTAAAAGGATTTGTTTAGAATGCACATTTTACCATGCGTGTTATGTTTTATTATCAATGTCGTGAATCTCGCAACATATCTAATCAGATTGCTATCTCGATGGTCACAAAGGTGCGAAATATTGCTCCAGATGTTACACAACGCACAACTTTCATCAAAGGCTCGACGCACCGCGGAACCAGTTCATCAATCAACGCCGGGATTACGCAAATCCATTCTCCGCCTCTCCTCATTTTTGCGGTTGCGGCCCCGACTGTTATTATATATTTCGGCAACGAATCATGCACCGAACAGATGGCGACCGTCTCCAGATGGTTTTGTATTAGCCCTCTACAGGTTTTCGCCGATAATCTTGTTAGGTTATTCAAGTCGACCGGCGATCGCTTCATCTCATTCCATTGAAATCTATTTGATTGCATTCCATTAATGTTTCATCAAGTGTATTTCAAATGTGATTTGAAAATCGGCGCGACGAAAACGACGAAATTCGCGCGGTTGTTGTTCCCATTTTTCACATCAAACAGCTCGCCGCTCTTCTAAAGTCTTTCCCCTCTTCTTCCTGAATTTCATTTCAAAAGTCTTTGGTGTTTTTGTTTTGTTTTGTCTGCCTTTTTCGAATGCCGCCCGTACGTGTTGCGCATACAATTCGGTTATGTCATAACCCCGGCCACCCTTTGTTTGTTGTATGCATATCATTGTTTTATCGCATTGCATTGTATGGGTCCCTTTATTCTGGCAGCCTTTTGCCGCCATTCAGCCGGAAGTCTTACATTTCATCAGTTTTCTAACACCCAGGTCATAATACACAATGATGAGACGCGCAACGTTCGAACACGATGCTGATGGTGGGAGTCCACCGAAAGTGCTATTTACCACGACCACTTTGGTATGCAATTAGCACAATTTGCAGTGATATTCCATTGAGTTAATGGTGACATTTGGTTGAGCGAATGTGTCTTGATAGCGTCGGGTTTGTAGAAAAAGTAGTGCATAAATCAATCAGCGAACCTTGAAAGAAGTTTCCCAAAAGGAAAAAAGAGCGATTGGATGAATTCAACGTGTTTTATAAGCGTCTGTGCAGCTATTTTGCTAGGAGAGGATTTTCAAACTCCACTTCCGGTTTGATTAATTAGACAAACTCAAAATATTTGATTTTACATATTTTTCGAGAATACTCTTTTTTGTTCTATTTGGCCATTTGAAACGTTAAACTTCCGCGATGTTCAAATCAGGCGCCTTCATCAATTTTTCAAGTTTGAAAATCGGTTTCCATCTTCGCTAATTTCCTTTGAAGAAATTGATTGCGATCAAAGTATTCCATCAAAAATTCAAAACTTGGAGTCTTTAACTGGCGAATAAGTTTTTCGACATCAAAGACCCCCCTTCCGCCGTTTTTGATCTCAACCGAGATTAGCCGATGATAGTCGTGCGTGTGTGTCTTTTATTGAAACCATCGCGATTTTGATGTTGTTGTTGTCTCGTTCAGGGTGGAGCCGGGTCCTTTTGATGATGAAGTGCGCGGTTGTCAAACGCACCTCTCGTCGGGACCACTCGTCCGAGCCGATCTGCGTCTCGTCGTCTCGTGCTCTCTCGCCGTGCTTGCGTTTGACGGACTGCGTGCTGCGCGCTATCGCACATCTCAGCTGCTCTTCTTCCTTACAACATTTATCTTTTTTACCCGAATTGTGCTCGCCTCTCTGATGTCCAGCGTTTCTCATCAATTCCGCAGATGTCGTCAGGCACATCGTCGCCATCAATATCTAAGTGGTAGCTGATTATTGATAGCGACTCCAACAAAAATTTTTCATTCACTTATACATACTTTTTTTTGTTCCATTCATCTCACATTTATTGGTATTTTAATGATTCGCTCAGCTCATTTTCATATTGCTCTCTTTTCTGACTGTGGCCGCAAATTGGCCATAAAATTTAAGATGATTTTATGTGGGGTCAGATGTTTTGTCGACGGCGCACGAGCGCAACAATTAATACTAGAAGAGCTCGTGTGCCGGCTCACTTGCAATTATTTCGGCAGCGGCAGCCAGCAACAACAAAAAAATTGGAACCAATTTATCATGCACACCATTATTGGTATGCGCACGCAATCTGCACCATCTGTACAGTTTCGTTTGTCCAGAAATGGTAGCCATCATGCGCCTTTAATGTAAACAAACCAATGCCGATACACATGGTGATTAACCTTACGTTTGTTTGCATTAACTAGGTAGCCGAGATATTTTTCGTATTCTCCCCATTTTTGAACTTCAGCTGGATTCGATTTTTCTATTTCGTTTTTTATATGGCCGCTACCATTCTTCTAATATCTACTATTAACAAAATAATTATTCCTCTTCTCTATCTAAAGTTTTTTGTTGCAAAAAAATTTAAAATTTCTTGCTTTTCATTCATTTTTTTTGAATCACCCATGTCGAAATTGCATTGTTTATTATTTGTGCACAATGCAGAATTACTCACGCCGCCATCCTTAAAAGGCTCCAAATGTCGTAACAACATTTCGATTACAAAAGCTCTTGAACTCATCTTTTCAATTCATTAGGGTTCGCATGACTCATTGGTTCGTTCTTTTTTTTGTTTTCTCTCTATTTAGCAACACAAAATGAGTTTATTCTAGACGTGTTTGGTAATTACTGATGAAATAAAGATAGTTTTGAATGACGAGAAGTCGGGTGAAATAATCGTAGACTTCGACGGATGGCACATTTATTGTAATGCTTATTGGGGTGAATCCATTAGGAATCAAAGAGAGAGCTGGAGCAGGTGTTTGCGTCGAAGGCGGCGGCGGCGGTGGAGGTTGTGGCGGCTCAATTGTTTGAGGTGGATCTTGTGGCTAAATTGTTATATTAATGTGGCTTTAATCGTTTTTGGAGCGTCATTTCTATTGACTTTTTATGTTTTTTTTATAGCCTACCTTTAAATTGATGCTGAATCTTCGTTTGAATCGATACAGCCAGTTAAGATCGAGATACTCGATTACGTGATTGTTTCCGGGATAGAGTTTGGCGGCAACGGAATGCGCAAACTCGCGGATCCACGGATTCGTGAGCCGTTCGCCATTCCGCTGCCGGCGCGTGATCTCCGCCCACACCTCGTTGTCCACATTTTCGTACTCGCGATGAATGACACGAGTGCGTCTCTCTTAATCGACAGATTCGCAAAAGCCCCATAGTCGGCGGCGTCTTTACCTTTGATCAAACTCGGCTTTCGAATTTTTGACGTCGGCGCCACCGTCGCGGGTAATCGCGTATCAATGTGTCGGCGTCCCGTGAAATATCTGATGCGAATCGTCACATTAACTTCAATCCTCATCTTATTTTATTACTTGATCTTGTTCTTCATTCGAAACTCTTTGATCCATCTATCTGAAACATAGAAACCGCAGATTGCTCGAATCTCACGACGCATCCATTCGTCGCCTGCAATTGAACTTCATATTTTCGTTTTTTTTGTTTCGAGGCCAATTGATTGTCGCTGCCAATAATGTCAAAAACCCCAAGTCGAGGTTAACTATGTGACATTTTTTTGGCGTGTCTATTATCTCTGAAAATCGCCGATTGTCCCATGATTAATGATAGCGATTGACGAAATCAGAGAACGAAAGCAAATTAGTCGGTTAGAACCGAAAACGACAACGTAGATGCGAAAACCGAGGGGTTTTAAATTCGAACTTGTCCTTTATTGGGTTCAATTCACAGTAAACATGCGATATATTTCAAAGATGCAACTGAAATCTCGTTCTTGTAGTGTAATCCAAATTTGGAGGTTAACTTCAACATAATGTCCTTGCTAGTATCTGCAGAACCCCCGCATCTCTTTAGTTTGTTTTGGGATTGGACATCGACATGTCAGAAAGAGAAAAAAATAGAAGTTGGTGGAGCATTGAAACACAACCAGATGCTTAATGACCCCCTCATAAACTAACTGCTCCCACCACCAACACTATTTTAAAGCACTTTCAAATTATCCCTTGGGACCTATGCCAATTTTTTGTGAGTTTTGGGTTTTTTTCTGGGAAGCCTAGTTGACTGCTCTACTGGGACTGACCTATATGCTGAATGCTCTGTCCGAATCGGTCGCATCTCGCCACTTCGGCACGGTAGCGGCGCAGCAGTTCGACTTCGAGACGATGTTCGTCGGCAGATCGGCGGATCGTGTCGCTGTTCATACAAATATTGTGAAGCATCATCGCAATCAGCCGTCAACCAACCCCTTTTCAACCTTCTATCTCCCCCCCCCTCATTTTCATTGAAGTTTCGCTTCGTAGCGAGACCAACCCACCCACCCATATTTGATAGTGTGTGTGAGAATGTAGGGGGGAACGGTTTTAAACCCGCCGGCGTCGTGTTCTGCGCAGCGCGAATCGCCTTACTACGTAATTTGTATGTATGGGTGGCATTTTCGATTTTGGCGCTCGACGTCGTCTCTGTTCACCTATCTAACCTTGTGAAGGCCGTTTGGCACCCGACCTTGTCAGCGAAGCACTTTGGAACGTGAAAGTCATTGGCGATGGTGGCCTTGAGCAGGACGGGGCCCAATTGAAAACAGCTGGCCGGATTCCGTTGGAATACAGTTTCTTCCTAGTATTGACATTCAAAATGCTCGATATTGATAATTGCTGAAAAGTGCGCGCTTTTCGACGTTTGCCGCATATCGTTTTTCAAAACTTGAAATCTGTTCGCTGAAATCAAAAAAGTCCAAGGCGACTGCATTTTGGTGTTTTCATCGTCGAAATTTCGCCTGCAAACATCTTGTCTTGTTCGTTCTCTTTTCTTTGCCCTATGGTTTCACATTTTTAAATGACACCCTTGCGAGCAAACGCGCTTTATCGCACTTTCTCGAAATTGATACGTTCACATAATTAATTATGGTATTTATTACAGATGAGCACTAGTAGTGAAGAGCAAGACACGACTCTTGGTCGCGGCTCTTCCCATTTGTATTCCCAACCGCGAGCTGGACCATCTCAGCAATCCAAAGAAGGCAGTGATGATGATGATCCGTATGTTCGGTTTCGCGAAGAAGATGTAAGTTTTTAAAATTAATCTTATTTAAAAAATTTTTGTCATTGTTTTTAGATTGTTGATGTTGACGATGCGATCACTGTGATGTTGTCTTCGTTAAGATTTGAACACAATCGAAAGATTGTGCCGACGGAACGAGATGATGATGCTCTACGAAGATTGCATGAAAAAATTTTCGCAATAATCACAAGAGAAACTGATGACCATCGTCGGCGACGATTAAAAAGAGCTTTACCCGCCTCAAACTGCATTCGCGAACAAGTTTTCTACCTGAGGAGATCCCCGACGTCTCCTTCTCCATCCTATTTTCATCGACTATCTGCGGCTCTTGACACGATCGTCAAAGATTCGTTTGAAGAGGAGTATCGAAAAGTCGCAACGATTCTCGGACTTGTTGAAGCGCTTGCCGAGGTATTGATCTTGGAGATCCACACATTCGGTGTGTCTAATAGCCATCACAACGAGCATCGGAGTATTCGGAAACTGATCGCGAACGCTCTGACGAATCTCACGTATGGACAGATTCATTCGAAACGACGACTTTGTGCGTATGATGGATTTATACGATGTGTTGTTCGGATAATCATTGAATCACCGAATGTGACACAAGTTTATGCGGGACTCGTGCGAAATTTGTCGTGGATGGCTGACGCTGAAATGAGCGAATCGTTGCGGCCTACTGTTCATGCGTTAGCGATTGCAGCAGTTCACGCGAATAAGAATAGAGATGAAGGTTCGTTTATTTGGAATATTTAAGATTTTCAAATTATGTATATTGTTTCCAGGATGCGTAAAAGCCACTCTATCAGCCCTTTGGAATCTTGCATCGCATTCGGTCGAGAATAAACGAACGATTTGTGATACGCCAAACTTTTTGGCACTTCTTGCGAGTTTATTATCCACCGATGTTCGGCATACGGGCATCGGCGAGAGTGCAACGGGAATTTTGAAATATGTATCTCAATATCTTGCCAATACTTCATCGCATCTCGAATTGCGCAATATTCTTCTTACTGGACTTATCTCTTTGCTTGGAAGCCCGACTTTCACGATATTGACGAATACCCTGGGAGCTATTGCGAATTTGATATCGAAGGATCCACATCTTCAAGTATTTCTGCGTAAAAATAAATTCAGTGTTTCGCATCAATTTCTTTAGAATGTTCTTCGACATGACATGAATGCCATTCAGCAGCTGAATTTGTTAAGGAATTCGAATCGTGAAGACGTTCGAGCTGCTGTCAAAAACGTTCTGAATGCTGTAAATCAGCCGACTGGACATACGCGATTCGGAGGTGAGCTTTTCATTAATTCTCTATTTTTATTGTAATGCGCATATTTTTTTCTAGAAATGTCTTGCTCAATGGGCGCCGCAACTGGCATGACCATGATGGATCCAATGATGCATTCTCATCATACCTACCATTCGGCATCCACGGCTTCCCCACGGCTTTTGCCTCTGAGAGCTACACGAGCGTCTCCTGGTCGTTTCATGCAGCAACTCCACCCACCTCAGTCGTCAATTGATCAGAGATCGTGCAGTTTGCCTCGTCACTTTGCTGGAGGATTTGCTCAGCCTCCTCAAGGGTAATTTTTGGTGATTTCATTCAATATTTATTATATTCTTTCCAGAATGATGGCTCAATCTTACACCCGAACCGTCGAAACTCAGGAAATGTTCATGAATCAGCCAGAAGCAATTCAAGAGCAGAATGATGATCCGATTGTTGAGACACAATCGGAAACCGCTATGGGAACTCGGTCAAACAGTGCGAGATCATTGGGAAGCGCAGATCCTGGGGTATTCGATTTTCAAATTTTACGAAGATTTAATTCGAATAATTGCAGAGTGTGATGAACACTGGCGGTTGGAATTCGACCATTGATACTGCTGCTAATAGCTCGAGAGCTCTTTCGCCGGTCTCGTTTTCCGAAATTCCGGCGTCGCCAACAATGTGTACTCAAGTGTTCAATCTTCCAACAAATTCGGAGACTGGTAACATTTGACTGATCAAATAGGTAATAGGTTGGAATTTTAGCTAGCGAGCAGCAGACTCCTGTCTATAATCAAATGCCACCTCCATCGGCAATGATCTCGTTTGCTCCAGCACCAACCACATCTACAGGATCCTCAACTCTGACTACCGTCACTGCCACTACTGCTCGCCATAATGCGACGCAGTTCAGCACGGGATCGAGCAATACAATGACTCGTAGTGGAAATACAACGAAGCCTGCTGAGGAACTTGAAAGTCCGGATGATGTACTACCTGGGCCAAATTTTGATGAAGGCGACTACGCGGTGATTCCAAATGACGAGGAATTGTTATCGCGGTCGATTCAGGCTGAAATGCCGAGCCGACAACAGGCGAAGGTCTCGCCACGACTCAATGGATTCTTCTCTCCTCCACTTTCATCGCAATCTGGTCAACAGAGCACAAATTCCGCGTGGTATTCAACTGCAAACCGAAACAATTCGGATTCGGACCGTCTTCTTATGGAATGCATTCTTTCGGAGATGCCTCAATCTACTTCGCCATCGCAACAGCATCGACGACATTCAAAAAACGAGCAAGCCGATCGCCGCGACGCAACCATCGCATCGCATGAGCCCAGCGATCATGGCGTACAAATCATCGAGAATCTGAATGTGACGGGCTCGAATTGCCATCGATCGACATTGGGACGCATGGAATCGCTCGAGAGTCAGGCGAGCAGCGATGACAGCTTCGGAGTTATGCGAAGCGAATCGTCGCATCATACGATGATGCGCGAAGATGTTGACACCTCGATTCCGGCGGATTGTTATGATGATGACGACGATTACGACGACTATGATGAAGAAACCGATCTCGATGCGACCCATTTTGAGGATGGTACACATCCCAATATGACTATCGACTGCTCAATAATCAGTTCGGGAAGCGCGGCGAGTCTCAAAGGTGAGCGAACGAGCTCACGCGAAAATCGAGCATTAGCGACATCGACCCCCAAAGGATCCAGTTCTGGAATTCCGACGATAAAGGCAGCTCATAGAGTCCCAACAAGGGTGGCGACAGCAAGAAAAACTCGGCTTCCAGTACCAAAAACGAATGGATCTTTAGCGGATAAGGTAAGTAATTCGTCTAGTAAACCCTTGAGTTTTTCTTGTTCTTTTTTAGATCACAAAGCCACCACCAATGTCGCGCCCCAGACTTCCACCAAAGCCGATGACGCTGAATCGTGCCGTGAGCCCAGAGGAGCCGAACGATGATCAAAAAGACGAGACAATTTATGTGAATGCGCCGGCTGTTCAAGAAAAAGAGCAGATTTACGTGAATACTGCCCACAAAGAGCCAGAAGCGGAGACGACGTCAATTGGCAGCGGAGCTTCATCGACAAAGTCGATTTTGGTGCCGCCTTATAATTATCAGAAGCCATTTGTTGTAAGTTTTTTAACCACAATTTTTTCAATCTAACTTATTTATTCTTCAGACACGAAGCAGTGGAGAAATGTCAGAGAAATCGGTGCAGCCAAACCCGAAACAAATGCTAGTTACGACGGTTTGAGAGCCCTCATACAGCTTATATAAATATAATTATTTATAGTTTTCTTTCATTTTGAGTTTAGTTTCGAAATCTAGTCTTTTTGAACTTATCATCCTGTCACTTACATTATAAATTCACATTCATTCATTTCTTGTTTTCTAATTTCATATTTAGATTATTTATTGATCGCACCAAACAGTTCTATTCGCTTTTTTTTGGTTCTTTTCAATTTTTTTTTTATGATTTACGAGTCGCTTTATGGAATTTCAAGGAATATTCAGAATACCTATGTATAAAAATTATTCGCCAACTTTTTTGTTTTGTGATACTATGTGCTTCATTGTTTCTGAAATATATGTAGAAGAATAAAACTGCAACAATATGAACAGGTTTATCAGATTATTCATTTGAAAAAAACAAAAATACGAAATTTATGTTCAATTGAAATCAGCTAAACTTTAGTTTAAAACAAAATCTTCCAAAAAAGCCAAATGTCTAAAAGAGGGCCGACTATTTTAAACGAAAAAATAATAATGCCCTATTTGGAAAAATGGCATGATGATGAATATGCCAGGTTTTTTGCGAAAGCAGTGTAGATTTATAGGCATCATTTGAATTCCCCTATTCACGCAAATTTCGCTCTCTGCCGCTTCTGATGAACCTTTAGCGTTGATTAATAGAAATGCTTTTATAAATTTCCAAAAAAAAAACGTTTTAAACGCTCAAAAAATAAAATTTTCGAAAAAAGCAGCCATTAAAAATACAGTACCGACTTCGCGACGTGACCTGCGCAGCTTTTCGCCTGCGTCTTTGAAAATAAATAGCGGAGAATTACGATATCTCGAGCCAATTTTTTGTAATTTTCGACGTGCGTGCATAGGGAATTCAAATGAAAAAAATTGATTTTTTTTATTTTTTCATTGCATGAATAGGTCCATGAAATTTTTCGTTGACTGAATATTAAATGCGCGTCCGATAGTAAATTTTTTTTTCGAAAACAAATGAGCACATTCAGAAGTTGCCGCTTTGATCAAAATTCTGAGGAAACATCTTCTTTTTATTTTTGCTTTCGAGCTTACCCATTTTCGAAGCAGATATCGAGTTTGAAACACATCTGGAAATATTTTTGAATCAGAAAAAATGGCAGCAAATAGAAATGCAGAATGTCTTCACATGTGTCGAAAAATCTCTCATGAAAGTTGAGGTGGTTCTGATTTCAAATATATTTGAAATTTTACATATTTTTTTTAGAAATTTCAGCAATTCGTATAACCTTGGAGAACCCACACTGATAATACAATGATCAGGGTATCTCTTATTTTTGGGGAACGATGTCGGAGTTCATCAAAATTCATCAATAGTCACGTGCGATATCAGCGATTCATCCAACCAGCTAACATTCACTCGGACTGATCCATCTGACTCAATCCAATCGGCTCAATCCATCGATTTGAACAACGCCCTCACTTTTCTGATTGATATGTTTTTGGTGTACTTCGTTCATATCAATAATTTTTTGTGTGTGTGAAAACGTCGAGATTCGAGTTGTGTCGATCGGTCCAGCGCCACAGCCCCGAATCCTCTTTACACACTTTCGGATCGCTCTCTGTTTCTCGCTCGCCCGGGTTTTTGCACATCCAACAATACACACACACACACACACGAGAAATGCCTCCTACGTTCTTCATCTTCCATCTTTCCCATCAGTGCTCATCGTCGGGAGCCGGCGAGCAGAAGCGAGACACACAGGAGGTTTTCTTCATTGATTTCTTGTTCTTCACAGGTGTAAAAGTTTCCGATTTCCGGTGTGATCACTCGTCCATCTTGTAGTAATTATTTCTCGTTTTGTTCGTTTTCATTTTTTTTTTTCATTATTTTCGAGATGATTTTTCGAATGTGCAACAAAAAATTTGAAAGTTGGTGATAAAAGTTGGTGATATTGGCAAAAAATGTGTATTGAATTTTTGGAGAACATAGATGAAGCCTAAAATGCGCATATTTTCGATATTCGGAATTGTTTGAATTATCTGCATCCAATAGGCTATAAGAATTGGAACAAATTTGATTCGATTTTTTGAACATATCCAGATTTTCAAAGACAAGATCGATGTTGTGAATGGCATAATTAAATACATAATTATAATCTTGTTATATGCATAAATTAATACAAATATTGATGAAATTTAGGTTTTACAAAAATAATGTAAAAATAAAAAAAAAATGTAAAAAAAAATACAAACTGTGGCAACTTTATTTTACATTTTTTATTGCATAAAAAAGAATTTTCATTATATTAATTCAATTGAAAAATTCCGTTTCTCGTTTCCTTGATAAACTCGAGAATATTGCTATCATTCGGTTCACTAACGAAATTTGCTGAGAACATTTTTCGCATTTTTTTTAAGGAAGTTGAAATCAAGTTTTTTTGGATTCTCGTATTATTTAAAAAAAAAATCAATAAATATTTTTTTTTTGTTGAAATCGAACCATTTGTTTCGAACCCACTCATATTTGTTTGGCATGCGCTCATTTATTACTTGAACTAACTCAACGCAATCCTATGTGCGATTTTCGACAATTATTTACTCAAAAGATTATAACACATTTCCTAATTCAATAATGGCGCACAATATGTTGTTTATATGACAACATTTTATTTTCTTTTTATTTTCCCTTCATTTTCTTCTTCTTTGTCATCATCATTTCGCTTTTCTTTTCACATTTTTCATCAATTTTTTTCCAGGTAGATTAGATCTGTCAGAAAATGGCAAAATCTTACATACCCTGTACCAATTTGAAGGTAATCACCGCTCTATTAAATGATTCAAAAATGGAAAACTTTTGATTTCAGACTGCCGGTCTTGTGGTCGCGGTCGTCGAGCTGATTCTCTGCGCCCTCGCTGTTTATGGTCTGTTCCGCAATTGGCACCTATTCGGCTCGTCGTACTTCGTCTGGTTCATTCTAGGTAAATTGATGCTCGCGTGAAACCGATGCGTGCCCGATTTCAGGAATAATCTCGGTGATCATTATTTTCATCGCCATCGCCTTATTCGTCTATGCGATCAAGAGTGAGAACGCGAGATGGCTGATTCCGCACTTGTCCGCGCAGGTGTGTCCGCACATTTTCGAGGGTTTCGCTAAACTTCTCAACCATTTCAGATTTTCCTCGTCATTTTCCTCATCATTGTAGCCTTCATTGTCGCGATTCTTTTGCTATTCGGAGCATATCGCGGAATCCGCAATCTTCTCGGTGTCTCCAACTACTACATGAGTGATGATGGTTACCAAAATTCCATCCAAAAAAAAATTTCGAAACCATTCCGATTTTCAGCAACATTCCTTCTTGGAATCATGATTATTGTCATTTATTTGCTCGTCGCTCTCCTTGAAGTTTTCTTCTTGTATATCGTCTACAAGCTTTACAAGTAAGCACTTTTTTTGATTTATTAAAATCGTCACACATAAATTATTAATGCAGAAATGTTTAATACAAATATTGTCGGCGTCAAACGACTGAAGAAAGGCGGAACTTTCAAATTCGCGAAATCAGTGTAGATTTAAATTAATCGTTGACTGAATACTAAATGCGCGTACGCTAAAATGCAATGTACGCAATATTGCGTACTTCTCGCATTGGCACATAGCCAATAGTTTTTTACAGGGTTGGTAAATTGAAGCCGGGGCCGAAAGCCGGCCGGCTGGCCCGGCTTTCGGCCGGCTTTCGGCTTTTTTTTGAATTCCCGCTTCGGCCGTGCGGCCGTAAACAACGGAGTTGGGGGCCGAATCGCGGGCCGAAAATTTAACAGCGAAAAAAGCCGGCCGAAAGCCGGCCTGAGGCCGGCTTTCGGCCTGCCGGGCCCAAAATTTAACAACCCTGGTTTTTTAACTTTTGTCAAGTCGTTTGACTCCGACAATAAAATCCATTGAAATGAATTTCAGAGTTCATTTCAATTTTCAGACATTTGTGCCATTACGAATCGATTGCGACCGAGGAGAATAGAGAAAAATGGACGGTGGTTGGCGATTTTCCCAAAGTTGTTCCCTCCCAATTTTCGAGATAATTTTAATTGGATTTTCACAGGATAATAAGCACGGATCACCAACAATGGGCGACCAATATCCATATGGAGACGAGCGAAGAAATGACCGAGTCAATTACTTGTAATTAATTCCCAAGTTTTTTCGAATTTTCTATTTTTTTTTTGAATTATATATTTACAAAAATATAATATATATTTGGCGCTAATAAACCGTTCAAAACTCACGCTTTTTCATTCCTATTTTACTAATCGATGCGAATTGGCTGATTTGTGAAGAATATTCAACAATGACGGAGCGTTTGATGGGAATGGTTCGTCGAGATCACCGGAATATTTGCTTCGAAATTTCGGGTTTAGGCTAATGCAGCACAAAAAGCAACTGCCGGCCTAATAAAAGAAGTCTTTTTTTTTGTTGCTTTTTTTCCTTTCAAATTTTTTGCTAGGTTAAAGACAATATCGAAAAATCAGCTAGAAAACCAAAAAAGAAAAGAAATAAAGATGGAACGATGCGGGAAAAACGAGAAGACGATTGTGACCGGACGAAGGACGATCGAGAAGATCGGCGGAAGCGAGAAAAAAAGAAAAGTATTGCAAGAGTCGACAGAGATGTTCCGAAAGATGGTAAGAATCGATCTGGGCTTGGTTGATTCCTTTTTTGGATCGTAGGAGGTATCAATCGGTTGAGATTTTCTCATTTCCTGCAATTCAAGCTCAACATTCTTTAATACATATTGCGCAATCTTTGTCCGACATTCAAGTACACTTTCTCCAATCGAGTATTGGTGAACGTTCTGTAAAATAAACATATATTCGGCGTCCAGCGACTGCTGATTTACGCGCATGCGCCTTGAAAAGGTCTCGCCACGCATGAGTGCTTATTTTACTGTTTTCGTCTGAACGGTTAATTTTTTCTTGATGATTTTTCCTTGAATTTCCAACGTCATTCGATTAAAAAATAATCGAAGCGGTCCATAAAATTTGAAATAACCTGTTAGTGTTTGCGAGACCAAGAGAAAGGAGCATCCCGTAAATCTACCCGAGTACGGTAGCCGTCGGACGTCGACGATACGCATTTATTCAACGAAAATTAAAAATATCAAAATTTGAAAATCAAAAATGCATTCAAAAATACAGGAATTGAAAAAATCTCGAGCGAGATCTTTATTAAATCGAATAGAGTTTTGTGAATTTATTTTTGACCCTAGTATTATTCAAATATTGTCAATTTTGATTCGAAACTCGTATCGCCAACTTGATTTTTTTTTGCTCAGAAAAGAAAAAGGATTCATCTCCTCCTTGGCAGCTAGAAGAAACCGCAAAAAAGATTTTTGCCCAGAATAAATTTGGTAAAACTGATCGATTATATTTCATAAATTTTTTTGTTGAATTTTACAGAAAAAGATGCAATCGTGAAAGAATTCAAAGATGAATGTCCGAATGAGAAGCCGGACAAGGCGAAATGCGGCGAGTTTGCGAAAAACGAGAAGCTGAATCGGAGTGCCGATCTTCCGATTCTCGACGAGAATCGGATAAAGCTTCAAGATGCTGGATACATCAATGCGAATGTTATCAAAATTGCTGATGTAACAATTCATGTTCGGATTGCTCTCAAAATGCACAAGAATTTCTTTCTAGTTCAATTTCACGTTGATCATTGCCCAACTCCCTGATCCGGCCATCGATGGAGCAATCGAGACGTTCTGGAGGATGATATTCCAGAACTCGGTGACCCAATTGAGCATTGGCTATGTGGCGACAGAAACATCGCTGGCACCGGCTCAACTATTCCCAATTGCCAGTGGCGCGTTTTTGTATTTCGGAAAAATGTTTGTGAACAACAAAAAAGTGGAAACGATTGGAAAAGAAACGCTGACTTACACGCTGGAAGTCTTGCCAGATGGATGTTCGAATTCGATAATGGTCACTGTAAGAACGCTGATTTTGAAAATGCGAAATTATTCGGAAGCTTCAATTTTTTGCTATTAGGTCTACCATCATGTCAACTGGAAAAAGGGCAAAGGTCCCGCGGTTATTGGCGACATTCCGCTTGTCGCTGAGAAAATGCTGAAGGCCAACGACGTAAATTCCAGAAGACACCCCCCCCCCAGAAATATTCTGTTGATTATTGTTTAGAGCATCGCGTTTTGCAGTTTGAATGGTCCGGGTCGTGGTGGGACCATGGCAGCGATATTCGCTTCGATGTTTGCTATCAACAAGAACAATGAAATTAAGGTAAATATTGGAAAATAGTTGAATCACCAAAAATTTGGAATTTCGTGTTTGATTGTGCATACTGTTGATTTGTTCTAGGTGAAAGAAGTCGTCGCGAAGCTTCGCCAACAGCGGTATGGCATTGTCGAGACTCAAGAGCAGTACATTTCGATTTACGCGGTCCTCGCACAGTGGTTCAAATCGAACTCGCGCGACACGGATTTCACAAAGAAGCTTGACGAGCTCGCGATTCTCAAGAGCTAACCCCTCCGGGGTCTCGTGTCGACGGACCACAAAATTTTTGGAATAAATTGTTCTCAAGTCGCGCCACTTGGTTAATTACAACAACGGCGCGTTATGCAAATATTGTCGGAAATCTGATAGCTGCGGCGGCAAAACAGCGTTGCCCATTTTTGGAGTGGCAAATTGGTGTTTTGGCAATTGTCATGATTGCACATCGTTCGCTGGCTTCGATCCACCACCCCCCAAAAATGGAGCAATTATTTATTGGCTGAGAATCAACAATTTTCGGTTTGATTCATGGTGCGCATCTCGTCAACATTCGTGCGAAATTATCGATTCTACTCGCTCGAAGCTGGCTGCCTGGAAATTTGATAGTTTGCCGTTGTGAGAGCGGGAAATTGCGAGAGCGCGACATCGAATGACTACGGTAGCTCAAGGAAATGCACATGCTCAGCGGCGCTCATTAAATTGAGTGAGTGAGCCAGACAAGAGCTCCATCTTGGAATGACATTAAGCTTTGAAACCGAATATGGTTGGAAGTCGGTCTAGCCTATCGAAATTGGGCATTGTAGAACGGATTTTAATTGAAGCGTATAGTCGGCGTCCGGCGAGTGCTGTACGCGGGTAGATTTACGCGCATGCGCCTTGAAAAGGTCTCGCTTATATTTGCTGTTTTCACGTGAACTGCTTCATTTTTCTTGATGAGTTTCGCATTTTCTTGAATTTCCAACGTCATTTGATTAAAAAATTATCGAACCGGTCCATAAAATTTGAAATAACCTGTTAGTCCTGGCGAGACCATTTCGAAAGATGCATTCCCGTAAATCTACCTGCGTACAGCAGTCGCCGGACGCCGACTATAATCAAATTGAAATTTTGAGACGAAATATGACGGATAACGGAATACTAGAATTAACCTGTGAGGATGTTGTGAATATGATCTGAAAATCGAAAACTGCAATATGTTAAAGAGGAAAGCAACTTGGATGACATTTTGCCCTACTTCGTCGTTTGAACTTCACGTACAGCTAATCTGAAATAGTTCAAGAAAAGTTATATCAAGAGAAAATGTTCGAGGAAAGGTTTCCACTAGATTCTAGAAAAAAATGTCTGAAAAAATTAAATAAAATATTATTTTTGAAAAAATGTTGGTCGGAGTTGTCGAGCAGGTGAGTTCGCGCATTTCACCGCGTTTGCCTCGCCGAATACCGTAATTCGAAACGTCGCGGCGCGTCGAGACGCAGACAACGAAGCTCGGCGAAGCCGGTTGGACGAGTAGAACGGACCGCCTATTTCGCACGGCTTAAGCAACGGACCCTTTGGAGATCCGCTGTGCGTCCCCCCCCCCAACCCCATTCATTTTCGCTTCCAAAATATTTTTTTTCGTCCTCCAATTGTTCGTGATTCTCGTTGATTGTTTATTGCTATTCTACCTGATTGAACCAAAAAATGTTTAGAATGGTTACGAAATTTTGGGGGTGAGATTGGATAAACAAATAGATAGATTGAATGAAACGAGCTCTAGGTCAAAGCGCGGAAAACTCTTTTCCAACTCTCTCTCTCTCTTTTTTTTTGTATTTATGTTATATAAATTCAAAACGGTTTATGTATATACAATCACATTTTTTGTGATATCTTATTAAATAAAATTGAGATAATCAATTGATCTGATAATCAATTGATGAACCGAAACCGTATAAAATGACAGTCTTCTTTTCGATAATGAATTTTCCAAAAAAAAAAAGATGATAACCACATAGTGTATAGAACATTTATTTCTCAAAAAAACAAGACTCATTCTATTAATTCTTGAAATTTGAATAATTTCGTTGAAATGATTACCATTTTCCAATGTTGTTCGAATTTTGCTTACAAATTCTCAAGATTCACAAAAAGTTTATTGAAATATTCTAATTTTTTCTCGCTTTTTTAAAATAGAAAATTGTGAGAAAACTAGATTTCTCGTCCAATTTTGACACCATTTCGAATTGTTTCAAGACCCAATACGTGAAATTAAATTTTTGAACTCAGAAAAGATCGAATTGAGGTCGAATGTTGGGATAATTTCCATTTTCCCAACGCAAAGTCAATTTCATGTTGGCCATTAATCACCTGAGTAGCTGTTTAACGCGCACCTTCTCACCTATGTCGTGTGCCGCCGCACAAGCACGAGCTCGGTGCTTTGAGCACGCACGCAAACTTTTCGCTCATTCGCACTACTGCGCAGTTCAATCGCGATCGGTTCGGTCGGCGGCCAGAGCAGAACACAGCACAAAAGTCTCGGGGGCGGCGTCCAATTTGAAATAAGATACTCTGGTCCTCGCTACTGCTGCTGCTGCTGCTTCTTCTTCGCCTCCTCCTTCTGCCGCCGCCTTCAAATCCAACCGCCAAACTCTGATCGTTACCGAATTTTTGTAATCGAGTGACCCTTTGGATGGTGGTGGTGTTGCACGCGCTTGTTTGCCGCTTATCACTTTGCCGTTTGGCGCACATCTGGAGCCGGACGCACACGAAAGACAGACGGCTGGAATATTGAGTTGTTGAACAAATACAGATGGTGCTTGAATATCATGTTTGTATTTGTGTGTGTGTGTGTATGTGTATTCGGATACTCCATGCTAATGCACGCGGTTTCCGAATAAGGAATATATGAACACTTGGAATTATACCAAAGGGTTGATTTGAACTAAACTAAATTTTTGAATTCTATTTATTATCACTTTGGAAAAAAATATATCAACGGAGCTCATATTTTGCTCATTTAGAGCTTGACTTGAATATTTCATTTAAATTGAACTTTTTTGTTTGTTTCAAAAGATTTCCTGCAATTTAGATCACTTTTATTTCCACATCGTCATTTAATACTCAAAAACTTTAATGCGACACACCTTTAAAAATTCCACCTGCGGACTGTTTGCGTCCATTCAAAGGACCATCATCACATTAGCACCCAATTAGCGATAGCCCATTCCCAATCCGTTCAAACACAACTTTGTGCTTCAACAGCTGCCTCGTTTTGTATGCAAAGTGTGCCTCAATAAGTACCGTACACCTGCCCATATTCATGTGATAATTGAAGTGGCTAATAAGGAAAAACAATGGATGGGTAAGCATATGTATATTAAAATATTCATTAAAATCGCGAGAAGGAAAATTTGATTTTTTTATGCTTGTCTTAAAACGACCGGTAAATATAACGACTTTGAAATTACTGAAAGTCGAACACTTCAATCGACCTATCAAGCAATCATTTTGTTCATTTTATTAATTGGTCTATAATTGCAGAATATTGTTTTCTTGCTTCAATATTGCGAATCAAAACAAAAATAACAAATTTTGATCCGCAATCATCGAATTTTTAGTCCTACCACGCACTTTTACTATATCGATGCTATGCCCAATTCAGATTGAATTATATCCAATTCAGGCGCACAAATGGCAACGACGGCCGATTCGTCGACGGTCTGGCAGACTGTGCAACCGTCGGATGCAACGAAGGATACTTCGTCGACAGGCCTCATCGCAGCAGAGAGCTCGACGGTGTATGGTACGAAATTCCGCGTTTTTGCACTCGCATGCGCCTCCCTATTTGTCGTCGTCTTGTAGTAGTAAGCGTGCGCGCAAGTGTATTACGCAACTCGATGATGTCTCGCGCGCTCCTTGCTCGACGTTGCACTCTATAAGACTGACCTAGGTCCGATTACGGTGCGGACACCAGCACCAGCAGCAGCAGTACCACGACGAATGGGCTCCACCCCCCTCCGTGTGCCATGTGCCTCATTATTATTTTATTATTATTATTTGCGCGTGGATTATGCGTCAATTTGTTCCGGTCGTTATCTGTGTCGTTTGGTGATTTTTCGCGATTTTTTCCAAATTGTTTTCCTTCGTTTCATTGCTCCTCTTTTGTTATATCCATAGCCTCATCTGTATGTATTTGCTGTGTAGCCAAACAATCAAGTTGTCGAAGCCAAACAACACGATTGTCGAGTGCACTTCTCGCCTCGCCCGAGAACAACAAAAGGAATCGATCTTTGTAGGTCAGAGCAGCTCGGCAACGACCGCCGCAGCTTCATCGTCATCGTCGTCAGCCGCATCGTACTACGGTTCCTACCCGTCGGGATATACAATGTACGCCAGCGCCGCGAATCCAGCCGCTTACTATCAGGTGGCGTCGAACCTTCGCGCGCAGAACGCCGCCGCCGCCACCGCCGCAGCGTTTCCCTACGGTCTCGCCGCGAATTCATCGTATTACTCAGCTTCCTATCCTGTCGATTATTCTGCCTATAATAACCCGTATTACTCAAACTTGCGGGGTCCATACTATAATCCTCTGAATCCGGCAGCAGCTTATGCAGTAAGTCATTATTGCTAACATTCTGTAATACATATACATATGTTGCAGTCTGTTGCGAATTCGTTGAATTCTGAAAGTTCATTCTCAAACGATTCGAATGCATTCGCCTTGAAAGAACCCACGAAGAAGCCGAAATCGAAAAAGAAGAAGACCGGATCGTGTTCGCCTGGAGATGAAACGTATGCAAGGGTTTTCATTTGGGATATTGATGATATCACAATGCTATCGAGGAATATTATAGCGCATGTAACTCAGCATGTAAGAAACATTTTTGAAATCAAATTCATTCTTGTAGATTCAGGTTCCACCATTCGCTCCTGCCGGTATCTACTTACATCAGTTGATTGAGCGACTGGTCGGACTTCATTTTACCGATATGAATGAGCTGCAGGAAGGAGACGTTGTGAATATCGAAGACGCCGTTGTCGACGAATCTATAATTGAAGGACCAATTGATAATTTGAGGTAATTTCTTTGGTCTTAATCAAAATTCACATCTTAATTTTGAAGGGGATTGGACATAATGCGAAGAGTTGCTCCCAAATACGCGTCTCTTCGTCAATTCTACCAAGAAATGTCAATTTTAAATCAAGAAGTTCCCAAAAAAGATGATAACACTTTAATTAATTATAGTAATATTATCTCTATACACCTACAGAAATTAGTTGATTAATTGTAGAATTAATCGAGCGTTGCGGAATGACGTCACAGGAAGAGCACATTTACCAAGCCGCCGTTCATCTTCAGTCGTTGTTCAATCAACGTTGGCAGACAGCCAATCGGTGTTTGGAGTTAGTTACTAAACGGTATCAATAAAAATATTTCACAAATCAATTATCATACTTGATTCAGATCTGCGGAATCTATAGAGAAATACGCGAACGTTGTGATTTGCAATGAAGGAATTGCATATGCTGCTGCGCAATTGTTGGTTGCTGGACAATCCTCGTCGGTTCCGATTGACAACATTTATTCAACGACGAAAGCTGGAAAGGTTTAATTGTTATTAAAAATCAAAATGTTTAATATCGTACGGTTATAGGAAGCAATATTCGAGAAAATTCAAAGTAGATATGGAAAGAAGTGTAGTTTTGTTTCGGTTACTTCGTCGCCGGAAACCACGACTGTTGCAAAAAAGGTAATAAAAAACACGGTTAAATTGACATTTTTATAATCTATGTTTTCAGCTTTCAATTCCTGTTTGGCCCGTCTCAGCAAGTGAAGACCTTGAGAAACTGTTTACTGCAACAAGAAATTATTTGCTCGGATGAAACATTTGCCATAATTGATTTTTTAATCATCTTTTAAATTATCGGGTATTAGCTTTTAATGTTTCGCTCTATTTATTTGCTTAATAAATTAATGTAAATGTTTTTATCTCAGAAAACCAATTATCGATGAAAAATAATCAAAAAAGAATAGATTGCAAAAGTACAGTACTGTTAGCATCGTAAGACCTAACTGAAATTATCTGCTGCGCCTTATTCTACCGAAATAAATTACTCTTTTAATATTTTAATTGTTTGCACGTGTACTCAAACACGTTTTGTCGAATTAATTTTTGTGTTTCTTGAATCTTTAAATTTATTTTATTTCTTGACGCAAATATTAAGGTAACATTTCCAATGGAGTTTACTCTGGTAAATCAATCGGATTCGAAAACAATTTATTTTTCAATCAAAATCGAATATTAATCAATCTGTTTCGAATTATTCCAGAATTTAAAAATTGAAAATTAGAAATAAATCAATCGATTTCGAAGATTTTTGAATCGAAACCAAGTTTTCAAATCGAATTTAAACACTTTCCTTCTCAATCGAATCAGGTTAATTTTTTACGAATCCGATTGATTTTCATTTACCTGAGTAATCGATTTATTTATAAGTTCGAAATTTTGATTTTTGATGTACGTTAATACAAATTAAATGAATTTACAGGCGAATTTTGAGTTGCGATCTTCACACATTTGTAAAAAAACGAGATGGAGCATCATTACAAGTATTTTGCATTTAATTTGTATGAAAAATTTTATTTTTAAGGTCTTTCTCGAAGAAATCAATTCAAGAAAAGCTTCAGCAATTAGCCCAAGTGGATCCAATTTTTAGAAAAAATTTTGAATTCGTTATATCAAGCCTGCAAAAGGTATTTTTATTTTAAATGAACAAAACTTTCACAATAAATATTTTAGATTTCGAAAATTCCTTCAGTTGATCGCGTCGATTTGACAGAAAACGTTTCGTCGTCTCGAAATTCGCCTCTATTTGATCAGTCTAGGACTGATGAGAGTGTCTGAAATATACAAATACTCAATTATTAAATTAATTTTTTAATTTAGAACCATTCTGATTCTTCGGCCTCTGAAGAAAACCGAAGTCTCACCGAAGATGAAGCTTTTGCATTGGTAGACGAATTGTAAGCTTTTCGTATTATTTTGCAATTTTACATTTTTGGCTGTTATGTTTTCGCAAAAATGGATAAACTCTAAACAAAAGTAAACATTTTCGTTCGATCGTCAGCAGTTTTTTCAACGCTATTCGTTTATTTTATTCTTCATATTTTTGTTTCAGCTATTATGGAAAAGAAAAGTTTCGGGAGAACTATCCATTTTACACGGAAGGAATTGTGATGCGCTCAACAAACTTTAGAAATAAGGTACTTTTTCTCTTTTTTTCAATTTTTTATGAATTAAATACTTTATCGTTCAGATTCATATTTACACCTCAAGAATTGGTCGAATTATGATCGATGATAGTGAGACTCGGAAGTCGAAGAACTATTGTTTTTTGCTTGTTGAAAAGCCAAACAAGTTCAAAGCAGTAAAATTGAAAACAAAACACATTATATTCTCAACTATTTGTTGCAGATCGATTTCTCTGAGACCCCTAAAACCGTCATATCGACGAAATTTTTGAGGAATGAAAATTTGGAAGTTAGAGCATACGCACTTCTTGGCTGGGGAGATAGCAATTCCGAAGGAACCGATTGGATTGCTTGGTTTGTGAAGAAAATATTACGTTTTAAACATATTTTTTTAAGGAATGACACCCTTGGTCTAATGAAATGTTTAAAAGGAGCTGCTCGAATCAATAAGAAGAAATTTGATAGCTGGACTGTTTCTTGTGATGTAAGTGACAAATTATTATTTTTTATTTCACAAATCGCGCGAAATAATTTCAGCCTGTTTCTGTAATTAGTGTTTTTGAAAATGGTAAATGGATTGTTCGGAAAATCTCCGCATTAACAAGCATTGAAACGATAAAGGTATTCGAAAAAATATTTTATTTCTCTTATATAAAAATGTTTAGAACAATGCTCTTCCACAAGATGCATTTTTTTCAAGTGCGGAATTAACGGAAGTGGTACATTTTAATATTTAAACTTTTGTATAAAAATAATTTTTTTAGGAATACAACTTTCGATATGTGTTGAGGGCTGATATTGGAATCAACATCATAGTTGACCGGAAATATTTTGCCCGTGACGAGCAATTTTCTCTGGGAAACCGATACGAGGTAGAAATGATTCAATTAATCACCGGAAAAATTCGCTTTATTTCAGGGAATTTTTGTTCCAGCCTTTTCGGATAAAGGAAGAAAACGAATCTATACCGGAATCGCTTTCCTCAGAGAATTTGAATGGGAAAAGGATCCGCATTTGAATGGAATCAAACAGCATTGTATGAAGAATACCGCGAGAGTCTTCGATGTACCAATATTCACATATTTGTGGAGTAAATGTGTTCCTCATTTACAGATTGATCTCAACAATATCAATGTTCCGCTTGATGACCAAACAACGAAAATCTGCAATGAAGAAACCATCCAGGCCGAATATACCACCAACATCACTTATAACCAGATCGTTGAGCCTCGAATCGGCAGGCGACCATTCGGATTGTGATGCTCCAATCGTTTTAAAATTGTAAACATTTATCCTTGTTAATCTTCTATTAATTCTGTGTCTGTTTTTTATTCTCATTCATGAACAATTACTTTTTGAAAGTACTAAAATTCACCATATTTTTTTTTGTATCAATTCGCTCTGTTTGAGCGTTCCATAATATATTTGAATTGCTCGAATTTCTATAACCCCTGTCCAAATTTTGTACCAATCTTTTGTATATAAATATGAGCCGAACTCATTCATTCGATGTTAACGCAACGTGTTAGTAATTTTGTCTATAGAGCAGATTTGCACACAACACGAACAGTTGCTCTTCAATTGTCACTGTATAGTTTTTTTTATTGGTCGTCGATATAAAGGACTATAAATCTATTTTCGGGTTGGTTTCCAAAATAATTGTTCCGGCAATAATTCCGCTTAATCAGTGCTAATGAAACGTGACAATTCAGGTGTTTCAGGCGGTCAGTGTGTTTAACAGGTTGTTTATTTTGAAATTTTGACAGAAATTCCCGATGAAATAAATCGAATTTGCATTGAGTTGACGTTGTCCAGTTTTTTGAGCCTTCTCGTTGTTCTCTTGTTGTTCCGGCACGCGCACGCCGATTTTCCGGCGGGCGCGGCAATCGCGCGCGCGCATTGCGCAGAGATATACCAGCAGTATTTCTCGATCGCCGTGTTTTTCGCAATTTCTGTGTTCGCCTGTCCCCATTCTCTGAACGAAATCGACAACGATGATGATCATGCTTGCATTTTATTTGATATTGTGCTTTTGATGCACTTTTTCATTTATTTCCAGCCGAATTTTAAGCATTATCTTGCACAAAAAAACTCGATTCCTCTTCCTCATTTCTTCTGTTTTTTTTACACTAAATCTCTTGCCGCTAATCTACGTCATTTTATGGCTTCTTTATACACAAAAATCTTAAAATTTATAGGTGTAACAAACATTCCGTTTATTTCTTTCTTTTCCCTTCCCGATGTGTCATACATAAGTTCATAAATTTTCCATTTTGATGTTCACGGCGACAATTTCGTTCGTTTTTAGTGTTTAAGAGCAGCACTGTTAACCGATTTTAGGTTGCAATCATAATGGCTTCGGGGAAATTGGAAATTGGTTTCATATTCTCTAGAAATGTGAATCTAAAAAAACGCTGATGTTATTTTTTCCTAGCATAGTCATATTCAATTGCCAATTAGCCACAAACTGTTATTTCAAATACTCTGCTTTCCCGCCAAAAATGAGTTGGGACCATTAGAAATGCATTGCAACGTCAGCATCCACCAACACATCTTTGTCATGCGCTTCAACAGAGATTTCTGGAAAAACCGGTTTCGAAAAATTTCCATGGCGACTTTTTCGCTACTCCTCCTGCTTCATCGCTTTTGCCATCCATAAAATTGTTTTGATGTTTTGTTTACGGGCATGGGAACACGCGAAATTTTCCCATTCTTTATGTTTTATTATCATTTGTGCGTTTTCAAATTTGCAAAGTCGACGTTGCATTCGGTTTCTGATTTTAGGAGAGAAAAATCATGAGGAAATTGCTCCTCATTTTTTGTTTCATTCTATCACAATCACGAGCCCAATTTGAAGACGGGCGTCTATGTTTTTGTAAAGGAGAAGAAGCTGTCGAAGCTTGCTCGTGCTCGCTTCCAACTAATATCGATAAATTAAATAATGACCGAATTTACGAAAAAGTGCAGAAGTTGCTCAAAAAGGACTTTTTCCGGTTTTACAAGGTTTGGAGTTGTTCGATTTTTCTCTTGATTTTATTTCAGCTTTTCAGGTGAATATGGACAAGACATGTCCATTCTGGTCGGATGAGCGACAATGCGGGACCAGTCAATGCGGCATCGCATTCTGCGACGACGAAGTTCCCGTCGGCCTTCGCCGACCATCGGCGGTGAACGTGGTACGGATTTCGCATCGCAAAAATCACACTGACCGCTGGAACACGACGCGTATTCCTACGGTTGGCATTGTTCAGGACGAAGCGAAGAAGTGTGGCGAAAAGACAGCGAGCAATCAATTTGATCCGATGGATCGCACGCTGAATGAGAACGAGAAGAAGCAGCTCGATGCGATGGATTATCACGACGAAGGACTCGAGGACAAATTTTGTGAAATCGAAGGTATACATTTTTGGTTGTTTATTTGAGCTTCTGTTCTATATTTGCGCACCTGCGAATTTGGTGTTATTATAGAATTTTTTTTTATTTTTCGAATTGTACAGTGAAATTCGAACGAGAGTAAACATTGAAATGACAATGTTGCCATTGTTCAAAGAATTTTCAAAAATAAAAAGAAAATACCGCGAAGAAATTTGTAGAGAAACATTTTTTATTCAGATGAGGAATCAATTAATATGCACTATGTCGATTTGTCAAAGAATCCGGAAAGATACACCGGCTATTCGGGAAAATCGCCACAACGAGTGTGGAAGAGTATATATGAAGAGAATTGTTTCAAGTAATCGATGATTTATTCAAAATTTCATTGAAGCATTTTTTTTGATGATTCAGACCGGATCCGAAATTTGACAAGAATTTCCTTCTACACCCGAATAATTTTGGTACGTTTATTTTCGATTTGTTTTGGGTGATATTTTGAGGCAATTTTTGAGCATGTGTAAATCACACATATTCCCCCATTCGCTAAACACAACACATTTTAACAATTAAATAGCTTCACCAATTAAATCAATTAATTAATTAATTCAATATTATTCAGAAGGTATGTTTGATTCGTCGGGAATGGATTTGGTGAAGGATATTGTTATTCGTAATGTCGGCTTGTTTTTTTTTTTTACTTTTATTACTTCCTATGTTTGTCGCACCTTTGTGAGCATCTAAATAAGTATGTACTATTTTTTCAATATTGTTTTTTTTTTTCAACTAAATTCGCATGTTGTGAGATCTGCAGTTTTCCTCCGCTTGTTCATATTCGCGAGAAAACTGCTTTATTTGCAGGAATGTGCCTTGAGAAGCGAGTGTTTTATAGACTTATTTCCGGACTTCATTCGGCGATCACTATCTCGATTGCGGCCTACAACTATAAACCTCGTATGTTGTTTTTTGGTTCAACAGATATGTCAATTTGGGTCCTACATTAAATGGCTGTTGGAAAAAAAAATTTGTTTCTTTTTTATAGACGCCAAAAAATAATTTTAACAAATTTCATTTTTTTAAAATTTATTTTAAATAGTTAATTACTCTAGCGTTGTTTGAAATCTTTTGATTTCTTTATTACAAAAAATGCTTTAGCACCACCAACTCTCGGAAAATTTGGCTCGCAAATCGGCCAAGGAACATGGTTCAGAAACACGGAAATGTTTGCGGGACGATTTGGTACCAAATGGTCTTGGGAAGGTCCGCAAAGGTGAACGATTGTTTGATAATCGACGTTTTCAACTGGCATAGTGTGTTTCAGACTGCGCAATGTGTATTTTGTCTATTTGTTAGAGCTTCGAGCACTTTTGAAAGCGGCTCCGTACCTTCAGAATGAGCTCTTCTACACAGGAAATGAAAAGGTTTTTTTTTGTTTTGACTAAAAATTTTGAATGAAAATCTGAAGGAGGATAGCGAGACTCGGGCTGCAATTGAAGAGCTTCTTGAAGAAGTTCGACAATTCCAAGACCACTTTGATGAATCAGAAATGTTCACAGGAGTTGAGGCTCAAGCTCGCGCTCTTCGTGAGGAATTCCGATCGCATTTTGTAAATATTTCAAGAATTATGGATTGCGTTGAATGCGACAAGTGTAGGCTTTGGGGAAAAGTGAGCTTTTTAGTTTGAGCAAATTTGGATCGGCCCCCTTATTTCAGGTTCAAGTCCACGGAATGGGAACAGCTCTTAAGATTTTATTCTCTGATCTCCCGCATTCTCATTATAAGCACGACTTGTCTAAATTCCAATTAACGAGGTGATTATGAACCAATTAGCGACTAATTATATATTTGCGTTTTCAGAAATGAAGTTGTTGCCCTTCTCCAAAGCTTTGGCCGCTATTCGTCGAGTATCATGGAAGTACAGAATTTCAGAGCTGACATGTATCCAGAAGCAGCAGCTCAAGGACCCCAAACACCTACAACAACACCAAAGATTGAACTATGAGCATTCTAACCAATTTGTTTAATTTATTTTCATAGACGCTCAATTGCTTGTTGGGGGTTTCGCATATCAGTTTTTTGATAGTTTCCATTGTGATCAAATTTCTAGAGAAGATGTTAAGTATGGGTTCTTAATGTTCACCGCATTTCATTTCATATGTCTCATTTCACTTCATCGCTGGAATAGTCTGTACATAATCGTTTTTACTTTGTTTTATAGGTAGTCGTTTTCTTCTTTTTGAAATATACGTGCAATTTGTTTCCACTTTATGATGTCTTTAATAACAAACTCGCCCACGTGATTGCGATAAAATAAACTGGTTGCTCTTTTAATGGAGATTTTATTGGCGGCGCATGGAAAAAAAATCAACAAATAACAAGTGAATGAACAATATAACGATAAAAGATGAATACCGAGATTCTCAATTTGTTTCCATGGCTTCCGTTTCCTTGGATTTCTCGCTTGCTTTTTGCTTGGATGCGGAACGAGTGGCAACTGGAGCGCGGATGAGGTGCATCTTCTTGTCGACTTTCGCCAGAAGGCCACGCTTCTGTACGATTTTTCCGGGTTGCAAACGTTTTCGGATCAAATTTGCATATCTAAAACGAAGACTGCATTTTTGAGAATAATTTTCAAATGTCTACCGTTTATGTTTGAGCTCTGAAATTGTTTTGGCGGCTTCAATAGTCTTCTGGAACAACTCTCTTTCATATTTTACTGGCTCATCTCTGCGCTGCTCCAGAAGCTGTGTGGCGTCGTTGATTAATTCCTGAACCAAATGAATTATCAAAGTGTCATAATTGTTTTTAACTACCTTTCCGCGAGCACGACGTGATGCTTTTGTGAAACGAAGCTTTCTCGGGTTCTTCTTCTTTTTGAACAATTTATTACACCTTGACCGGCAGAATTTGAAAACCTTAAATTCAAATTTGAAAATGTTACATAAATAACCAGAAACTTACTGTGCTGTCGTTTCTTACAAATTGAATTCCGTGCCCTGGATAAATTGGAGACGAACAGAAATAACATTTTTCTATTCTCATTATTACCTAAAAATCATAAATATAGAAATTTCAGGGCAGCTTTGTTATATTTTCGATTCTTGTAAATTCAAAAACATACTCTTTGATAAATTTACGTCAAACTAAAGAAAAATAATGGGGAAACGTAAAACGTTAAAAAAAAAATGAAAAAAAGCTTTCGAAATAAAATGATCATATTGCACTAAATATGCGTCGTGCTCCAGAAATGCGCCAGTGTTATCGACGGCTGACTCAAAATGCGTGTCTTCTAATTTTTTGTGGTTTTTTGACAGGAAAAGTAAGAATTCGTCGGGAATCCATTTTGGAACGGCCTTGCTATTTAGGTCATTAGGGAAAGGAAAAATAATGGATGTGTTTTATAGTTTCCACCACCATCATTAGGCAAACAGTGATGATAATAATGTGAAGCATAGCTGAAAAACCAGATACGTACGAATACAGTGCGTTTCACATTTATAAAGCCACCTATGTTTATGGGTGCAACTTTGTCAATTGTGAAAATTTTGAAATTCTGATTTCAAAATTGAATTCGAAAAATGTGAAACGGTTGCAAATGACCAATTTTCAGCGTTTTTAACGTCACTCAGCCAATTTTTCAGATATCATTATGAAAATTGGTACACATGTATTTTTTTAGTCCTGAATTCAATCTTGAAATCAGAATTTAGAATTTTTCACAATCGACAAAGTTACACCTAAAAACAGGGATGGCTTAAAAATGTGAAACGCGCTGTATATAATGCTGAAAAATAATTAAGCCTCTTTAAAAAACATAGACATCAGCAATAAGACTTTGAAAAAACTGCGCATTTCTGTTTTCTTAAATTTTCAAAGCATCTAAGTGTTTTATAGATCAATTGAGATTTCCTAAAATATCTTTGTAATCAAATATTCTATATAATATGGTCCGTTTTTAAAAAAATATGTCGAGTGGAGTTGAGTCCCGCCGGTTCCTACGTAGAGAAATCATTGTGAAAATCGAGTTTTTGCGCATTCTCATAGAAAACCTATGCTTTTTACCTAGATTTTTTCAGTTAAGGGCTCTTTCAAAGTCATTGGAGAACGTTGTACAAACGAGATTTAAGATTAGGGAAGAAAAATGTATTCAAGCTTGGCTTGAACTAGGCTGATTTCCAACCATATCAGACATGAATAAGAGAGTTTTTCAGTTTTAGTCTCGCAATAAATATTTTTGAGCTAGGCGGTTTGGGGTTCGAGAAGAATAAATCGAAATAGCAATCTTCGCAGTTTTCGAAATTCAATTATAGTTTGAACTTTCAATAAAGTCCAACTTTCAATAAAGTCCAAAGCTAATTGCAATTGAATGACGATTCATTAAATCAGGTCGTCGTTCCCGTCGGTTCCTTTTTTCGTGTGGTGTTCAACCTTGAATGTTACAACACTCGTCATTACTCGCGTGCATATAAAGACAAACAGGTCTGTCGCATCGAGCTAGCTCGCCTGCTGATTCGATTACGATTTGCGATCTAATGACAAGCCGCAAAAAACATACACACTCGCTCGCTCGCTCGCATTTATATACCGAAAGCAGAGATGTTTTGCCGGCTGCCATTTATTGATGTCTGCGTCTCATTCGAATCACCGCTGATGTCCGATTCGAATGTTTGCCTAACGGACCGAGCGGTGTGGGCGGGACCTCGGGACCGTCCGCGCGGAGTTGCAGTGACCTCGAGGCGGGCTTTCGCTTCTCCCACCACCACCACCACCTCGCAAAAAAAAACTCGCCAGAGGCTGTGGAGACGAACGACAGCAAAGCGTTTAGTCGACGATTCGACCATCCATTTCGTTTCGCGTTTTGTTTGGCCGGCTCCCTTCCCCCACGCGTGTGTGTTTCTGCGGGCTCCCAACGTTTTTTGCAGAAGCCCGCGATGGGCTCGTGCATCGGGAAAGAAGAGACGGCCAAGTCGCCGCCGGCGTCGTGCTGTTCGGCGATTCAGCGGGATCCGCTGCCGTCGCATCCTCGGATCACATCGACCTCATCCACTCCTTCCACTATCGATAAAAACCACAATCTCAATAATTCCAATTACTATATCGCACTGTTTCAATATGACGCGAGGACCGATGATGATCTAAGCTTCAAAAAAGATGATGTAAGTTCGAATTCTTCGATTTTTTCAACTGTCAATCTCTATTTTCCAACCTTTTTTTTCATTTATTTGCGAATCTTTCATTCCCCATCTCCTTTTGTTTAATCGTTTGGATATAATATTATAAAAAGTGTAAGAAAACAAATATTTTCTGAATCATCGAAAGAGTTTATAGATAGCTATTTATATTTACTCTAAAATTCCCGAAAAACATCAAAATGGCAAAATTCGATAATAATCGGAACCGAATAAGCATCAATTTTTTCAATAGTCTCTAATTTTCAATAGTCTCTACTGTGCCAATCTGATCCGACCATATTCGGCTTCGGAATCAACTCGATTCGATTGGTTTTGAGTTACCAGGGAATCGACATTTGAATATCTCCAAATTTGGTTTATTTTTCTATTCGCCGTATCATATGCAAGTCTCACTTCAGAGACCACACCCATCCGAAAAAAAAAACCTTGATACCCAGTGTGATAAATGCGTTGCAGATTCTCGAAATTCTCAATGACACACAAGGCGATTGGTGGTTTGCCAGACACAAAACCACCGGAAAAACTGGATATATTCCGTCGAATTATGTTGCTCGCGAGAAGAGCATCGAATCGCAGCCGTTCGTTTCCTTTTCTTCTTTCGCAAAAAAAAAACATAAATTTTCTTTTGAAAATTGCCGTTTTTCAGATGGTATTTCGGAAAAATGCGACGAATTGATGCTGAGAAATGTTTATTGAATACTCATAATGAGCATGGAGCATTTTTAGTGAGAGATTCTGAAAGTCGACAACACGATTTATCATTGTCAGGTGAGAGAAATTTTTTAAAAATTCTTGAAAAAATAAATTACCCAATTAAAGAACTGATTTTGAATGTGAAATCTATTTTTCGAATTATTTAAATTAAAAAAAAACATTCGCAATTAATCATATAGGACAAATTTGGATTGTTTTCGTTAAAATCAAACTCAAAAATTTTTCGTTTGTCAGAATGTCATAGTATTCACCAACATTTCGTCAACTTTTTTTCCGGTGTTGTTATTGCAAAGAGAGGTCAAATCGAAATCATCAGATCACATTCGAACGGTTTCGTCGGGCGTTCGCAAATTGATCGGCGTCCGCCCTCCTGCTGTGCCCAATAATAATATTATAATAAAACAATTTGGGAGTGAAGCGTGCAATTTGTGAAAATCGCATTCATGTCAACCCTCATCAATCGAATGCACCTTTAAAATGGTGTCTTGCAGTTCGCGAAAACGATTCGGTCAAACACTACCGAATTCGGCAGCTTGATCATGGCGGATACTTCATCGCACGTCGTCGACCATTCGCCACTCTTCATGACCTCATCGCGCATTATCAACGAGAAGCCGACGGTCTTTGTGTGAGCCTGGGCAAGCCATGTGCGAAAACCGAGGCCCCTCAAACATCAACATTCACCTATGGTTTGAATTTACGCCAATTTTTTCCATTCGAAAAATAGAACGATAATAATTAAGCTCCAAAAATTGTCTGTCTAGAAATGGTTTCGTAGATTGTGGAAAAAAATCTGACGGCCTACAGAAGATGAGAGTGAAATATTTTCCTCATTCATTTATTTCTATCTGCGGACATTTTTGAATTTGGTTGACTCGTCCGTAGCTCAAAATTTAAAAATTGTCGAAAAATGTTTGAAATGCCAATATTATTTTCGTTTCAGACGATCAATGGGAAGTGGATCGTCGAAGTGTGCGGCTAATTCGTCAAATTGGCGCCGGTCAATTCGGCGAGGTACGTAGAGTCGTATACAAATATGACCAAATTAGGGGCGAGCAACGCGACGCGGAGTTGAGAGACTATATCATTATTTACTTATATCATTTGGATGGAAGCTTTCCGCTCGCTGCTCATCTCTATTTGGCAATAGCTTACTCGCGCGCATATTTTATCGATTCGGATGGCGGCGAGTAGTTGTCTGTTTGAGATTGAAGGTCGCAAACTTGCGAAACAATTTCCGTCCGCCGACCATTTTTTTTCGCTGCTCCGCACTGTTTTTGCTCCTCTCGGCGAATTGCCTGATAGGTGGCGCGAGAAGCTCCTCGAGCCTCCGGCTCCGTCCTTCATATTTGCATTGCAATTTCAATCATGCTCAACAACATTGTTCTGTCGGCCTCTCAATTTCGGCAGGCAGCCAGGCAACCCGATGGATATCCGGCCCGAAACCGATCCGATCCGATCCGAAATAATAAGCCTAATTATGTTGATAAGGGATTTCGTTGCAGGTGTGGGAGGGACGATGGAACAACAATGTGCCAGTGGCGGTGAAGAAGCTGAAAGCTGGAACAGCGGATCCGAGCGATTTCCTCGCAGAAGCACAAATTATGAAAAAATTGAGGTAAGACTAGATTCGAGGAATTGCTCGACACTCAGACATTCGCATTTCAGACATCCTAAACTTCTGTCTTTGTATGCCGTGTGCACTCGGGATGAGCCGATTTTGATCGTCACCGAGCTGATGCAAGAGAACCTTCTGACATTCCTACAACGCCGCGGACGTCAGTGTCCGATGCCGCAGCTCGTCGAAATCGCCGCCCAAGTTGCCGCTGGAATGGCCTATCTCGAAGAGATGAACTTTATTCATCGCGATCTGGCGGCTCGCAACATTCTCATCAATAATGCGCTGTCAGTGAAGATCGCTGACTTCGGATTGGCGCGGATTCTGATGAAGGAGAATGAGTACGAAGCTCGCACCGGCGCCCGATTCCCCATCAAATGGACAGCGCCAGAAGCGGCCAATTACAATCGATTCACTACCAAATCCGATGTGTGGAGCTTCGGAATCCTGCTCACCGAGATCGTCACATTCGGAAGGCTGCCCTATCCGGGAATGACGAACGCCGAAGTGCTGCAGCAAGTCGATGCCGGCTACCGAATGCCGTGCCCTCCGAATTGTCCGCCAGCGCTCTACGACATCATGCAGCAATGCTGGCGGTCAGATCCCGAAAAACGGCCAACGTTTGAGACGCTTCAATGGAAACTCGAAGATTTGTTCAATATCGACTCATCCGAATACAAAGAAGCGACCATCAACTTTTAAATTATAATTATTGATTGATATTGATTGATTGTCATCCACATATCCAAAGGTCTTAACGAATACGAGTATCACGAAAAACCCTTTCACAATACATTTTTTCGCTTTTTTTCTAGTGTCTAGAAGCTTCGAAATAAAATTTTATTGCAATTTTAAAAGAATTTTGATTTTTGCGCATTTCAAATTGAAATTTTTATATCCGATTCAACTACACCATCATCACATTTTTTTGGTTTATGTCACTAATTGGACTATCGGAATCATTCGCCGTGAGACCCATTCTATTCCACTAATCGAACGCGCCTTTAATTAATGTATCAATAATAATTTTTAAAAAATGTGTGAACTCCCCCGAAAATCCACACAATTCTTGATTTTTTTGCGTGAAAATCAAGAAAATTTTATTTTAATGGGCATAAACGAAAAATTGACTTGAGCTAAACAATGATTTCGAGTTGTTTGAGCTCTTTTCTGACCGCACCCTAATACAAATGTTAAACAAAGACGTAGGTAGATCAAAAATTGATAAACCATCATCATCATCATCGTCGTCGGCATTGTTGCTCTTTAGTTGCTCGATTCAACCATTTTTTTTCGAATTCAATATTCCAACGCGTGTTTGAAAATGAATATTCGGCATGAAATTCGAGTACAAACCCGACCGGCTCCATTTTCGTCGAATTCCGTTTATTCCGGCCCGAAATAACCTGAAACTCAAATCATGACAAGTTTCTGACGATTTTGATGTCGCGTGTTCCGAAATTGCTTCAATTATACTATTATAAACCGATTTTATGCGGTCATCAATCAAAAATGTTTGTCGCGGCGCGGCGAGTTGTTCTATGAATTCAAGTTTTGCTCCCGTTTCTTCGCCTCGATCATTTGTCGAAGTTGTTCGGCAAGATCCAGCATCTGTATCGAATCTTGCCGAATTTGCTCTTTGCGTTTTTCGAGCAACGCGATGCTCTCGGCGAACTCCTTCTCGTCATCGCTGATTGCTGATTGCCACGTGTTCAGCGTCTGTCGAATCGTTTCCGTCTGTTGGCGTGTGATTCGATCGCGCTGAAAACCGCATGGTTAGAAAAATATCGTTTTCCTTAAGCACACAATATTTAAAAAATGGTTCTACAAATTAAAAAAATTTTTGTTTGACTCGCTTTGTTGCATTTTTCTGTGCCTGTTTATCCAACAGCATGCGCCTCTAAATTCTTTTTACAAAAATTCACCTCCCCTTTTTTTTTAGAATATTTCCTTTTCAATTATTGTCGGCGTCAAATGGCTTGACGAAATTTAAAAAATTTTGCTGGCTATGTGCCAATGCGTCTCGAGGAAGCGAGAAGTACGCAAGAATGCGTACATTGCATTATATCGAACGCGCATTTAAAATTCAGTCAACGATAAATTTAAATCTACACTGATTTCGCGAATTCGAAGGTCCCGCCAATTTCTGTCGTTTGACGACGACAATAGAATTTCCTAAAATTCATTCCAAAACAAATTTTCGCGTCAAAATGGAGCCAATTCAAATAATATTAGAAAATTCAATTTTAACAGTTGTTTGAATTTTTATTTTGTTGTATTTAAACAAATCAGTTCGGTTACGTTTTGTCATCAATATTTTTTTCATATATATATATATATATATATACTTCGCATAATCACTCATTTTTGTTGGAAAATTTTCTGTTTCCGCATGTTTGATGTCATATGAACACCGGGGAAACATACGGAAATAAAAAAAAATGGCGTTGAATTTTATTCTCGGACTCTCGAGTATTTCAGAATTTCCAATGTGGTCCATTAATGGAAGAAGCACAAAGTATGAGGATTTTCATAAATTTTGGAAGCGCCATTTGCGAATCATAGGAACATGTTGTTAGACATACACTGTGACCGTCAGAAATAACCATGAGCTCGGTTTTGACCAGACTAATATTAACCCATTAATCTCTAATTTGCTGCAAGTGGCTGTCGGTACGGGTTTGAGCTTCAACCCTCATTACTCAAGAATTTCTCAACTCTTTTATTTTTCCATTTAAATAATGTGCATCTCTCCTCTCTATATATAATTGTCGTCGAAACCACGCCCTTTTTTTTTTGTCGAATGTTTAAAAAGCGAATACCTCGACGCATTTATCCTCAATTTTTTCAATAATTCGATTAACATCGATATACTTCTTTTTCTCGTCGCTCTGAAACATTCAATCGTATTTTCAAATGTTTGATTTTGGTCAATTCGTCGAAAACCTGAAGAATAGAATCCATGATTAAAACGTTTTGGAAATGAAATCGAATTGAGATCGAATGATTCGCGTGTCATCGACGCGACGAGTTCACGAATTCCATGGCCGGAACAAGTAAATAAATAATTCTAGTGTCTGTGTTTGAGAGGGGCGGGGGATTGGCGAAGATGCTCGAAAACAACAATAGACGATTGAATGGGCTTCTCGTTGAAGCTGCCCCCACCCAATTCAATTCATCTTCAATTATTATTTTTATTTATTTATTTAGAATAATGTATCATTGGTGGGGCTGGCAACCCAATTTTCTTATTCATCACCCTAATCAATCATCTGCCGCCGCCTCCGCCCAATTTGTGCTCGCACCCGATTTTTTTTCGTTCCAACAACTCATATGTTATTCATTACGGGGTCCCAGACGAAAAAAAAAGAACCCTCCGATGATTTTTTTCTGTGCTCTTTCGGCTCGTCGACAAACACCACGAATTTGTGTCTTATGTTGTAACTTCTGCTTGTTGGCCGCGATAATTTTTGCGCTGAAACGCAAACAGGTAAAATTGGAGGTCGAGAGAGAGAGCGTTGCCGACGATGAGACGCCGACAATGTGCTCGGTCGTTTTGATGACAGCTTAGAAGCCTCAAACGTTTCGGCTTCCAATGCTGTACTCTTCTCGATTTTTTTGTTTTACTCCACAGTTTGTACGACCTATTCGTGATTACTAATTGGCTACAATCTACAGTAATCTTTTAAGTCAATCATTTTTGTAATCCGTGTTTTCGCAAAATTCAAGACGTGAAAGTATAAAGTCCCATAAAGTCTCATTACTTCCATGATTACTGTAATTCATTCAACGTTAGAAACCCTGAAAATTGTCCAAGAACGTTGACGAATTCTTTTTTTAAGGTTTTGGTTAAACACACTAAAATATTGTATATATTCGAAAACTGCCAAATAACACAAATTCGAATTTCGCGGCTGTGCTTTTTCAAAAATCAAAAATTGCGATTTATCATTTGGCTGTTCGGTTTAACATCGTAATACTCATGAAAATCATATTGTTTTAATCTTCGATTAGATTTTTGAAAGAAGCGCAAAAGCGGCAATTCAAATTATTTAAACGGCCATTGGCAAGTCAGATCGTTGACAAATAGCAACAATTTAAAGGGGGCTACCGTAATCATTATTTTTGTATTATGCTCTTCGAGAAGAGTATATACTGAATGTATTTTCAATTATACACCATCAGATTCGTGGAAAACAAGCACACAAAAATTGAATTTTCAAGCCACGCCTCCCAAATGGAAATCAGACACCATAAAACGATAGTCGTTTTCTTTTATCAGAAAAATATTTAACAAAGGCTAATTAAATAGAAATGGGAAGTAAAATAATTTGTTTAGTAAAATAATTTCGAGGTAATTATATAATTAGAAATTGTTTATTACCACTTTGACAGACCCTCTTGACCCGGAAACCCTTTTAAACTATTTCTGGATTGAATATGACACCATCGCTGAAGTTTCCATCTCCAAAAAAGGCATTTCTATTTGTTCGAATCTAACAATTCATATCAATTGATAGTGGAACAGTTTCGGCAAATATTCACAAAAAAACGCCGATGATTCCCGGCATCAGTGTTTGCTTTTTTCAAAAAGTTATGTTTATTCGACCAATTGTTATTTTGTGTATTAGATTGAATAGTAAACAAACATGACATTTCCTAGTTATTTTTTTCATGTTAAGCTTCTCACAAAAAATACTAGACAATCTAGTAATAATAATTGATTATGGTTAATTGCAGCGTCGAGAATAATTTAGATGTGAATCCAAAAAAAAGAAATCAAATCAAATTGGGAAAATAGGAAAACGAAAATCAAAACCAAATGAGTCATACGCCACCAACGGCGCCAAGCGCCAAAATTCTTTACGACGAGGGCGACACCCATGGTGGATTAAGTGAGTTATATTTAAATAAGCAAAAAACAGCAACATGTCCGCAGAAAATAATTATCAAATAAAGTCATTATGGGATTATTTTGTGAACGGTCAAGTTAATATTTTGATGTGTGTTTCAGCAACATGGTCGCCGACTCATCATCGAAGAAAATCGAATCGAAAATCAATTTGTATTGGCTTAATCTTAGCGTTTTTAATGTTCTTGCTTGGATTCTCACTTGGGGCATTCCTTCACGCTGGATTGTATCCGGATGGAGGATCACCTTTGGTATTAGTAGAAGCCTATTTTGAATCGAATTTAAGCATATCATTCAGATTGAGCTGCCAGCATTTTTGATGTCGGGAAATGATGAAGAGTTAGATCAAAACTCGACGATAGTAGAGGAGATGTTGTTGGTAAATGAAAACGACAAGAACAATTCAACTGACGAGCCGGCGAATGTGAGTTGTTTAACGAAAAGATGCGAAAATTGTTTAAAAAAAAACATGTTTGAGGTTTGGACTATTTTAGAAAAAAAAAAGGTAAAAATTCAACCATATGACTGTTAGTTTACATTTTTTTTCTTGGTTTATTGTAGCGATGAAATTGGGTTTGAGAAATGCACAGTTTATGAAGAAGATACCATTCAAATTTTGAAGAAATGAGAAAGACATTTGAATAGCCGACAAAGCAGCGGGTGTTTCCGGATTTGCGCTAATTTTTTGCATTTTATTGAAAATCACGGCTCGCGTGCGGCCTAGAAAAATTGGTCGGCACTTTCCAAAATGAAAAATTCAAGTGCGGCACACCATCACAGGCTCATTTTTAAAATTTTGATTTTTGGTTTTTGAAATCATAAACACACAAAATATAAGGCATTCATTTAGTTTTATTTACTTAATTAAGTTAATTAAATTCATTAATCCAAGTGTGGCCGTGGCCGAACCTAATTTTTAAGGTCATTTTTTCTAGGCCACAACTGATTTGTGGCGAACCATGAAATATCTTTAAATTTTTGCTTCTATGTTTTTTCTAACTAAAAAACCTGCAACTGAAATGTATGCTTATTTTTTTTGGAAAACTCGGCGTTAGTTCTTAGCCACAGAATTTAACTAAGCGAAACCCTATAATTAGGTTTTTCAGTGCGGCGATCATCGCTTCGACTCATTCCGACTACCGAAATCCATCAAACCCATCAATTATGATCTCACCCTTCAACCAAATTTGACAACCAATGTCGTTGATGCGAACGTCAAAATTAAATTGGAGGTTTCGTTTTGAATGGTCCCACCCCCCAATCGGATGGAACTCTAATTGCAGGTTGTCGAGGAAACTGAATTCATCATATTACACGCCGAATACTTGAAAATTAAAAAGTATTCAATCATCAAGGATCACACGAATTTATCCGCGGAATTTGTGAGATCGATCGAAAATGAAAGAGAGCCAATTTCAATTTTGCAGCTTCCGTGCAGCTTTGTGACTCAATGGTCGTGGAAATTGAACGAAAAACTCAAAATCAACGACGTTTTGCTTTTATCGATTGATTATCAATTCAAAGTTGGAATAATTTGTGAAGAATGAATAGTTTTAGCAAATTTTAGATGAGATCCGATCTTCAAGGACTTTACGTAAGCACTCATGTGGATGCCGACGGTGTGAAAACGTAAGTTTTATTCTAGCAAGTTATCATATTTGTATTAGATGAATCGAAAAATTCTAATTGATAAATCCAACATTACAAATGTTTTAATGATTAATTGTGCTATGTGTGAAAGCTCGACAAACATTATGGTCCCTTTTTGGGCATTTGTATAATTTGTAGATTTATCTGCTGTTTTAGATAAATTCGGAACATCAAAAACCCCAAAAATATGCAAATTTCTTAAGATATTCAAAATATCATCAAGCTTTTGAAAAAATCCAATTAATGAGAAACTGAAATTATGAAGCAATTTTTTAGTAAATCTGCGGCAACTCAATTTGAGCCGACGTTTGCTCGAAAAATGCTTCCATGTTTCGACGAGCCCAACTTTAAAGCAACATTCGAAGTCGCAATCATACGGTATCCGATTATTCCCTTTTACCAAATCAATATCAATTTTAGAGAGCCGCATCACGTTGCTCGTAGTAATATGCCTTTACAAATCTCGAAAGAATACAATGAGGACGGATTGATGAAGGATGTGTTCGAGAAGAGCGTCAAAATGTCGACCTACCTTCTGGCGATCGCCGTTCTCGACAAATACGATAATGTGAAACGATACACAAGGAATACACAGAAGCCGATTGAAGTGAGGCTGTACGCGCCGGAAGACGTGATCAACGGACAATACGAATTCGGATTGGATACGACGATTCGAGCTCTTGAATTCTTCGAATCATACTTTAATATTAGCTACCCTTTGGAGAAAATAGGCAAGTTCGAATTGAAAAAAAAACCACTAAATTTTCCTCATATATTTTATTTTAATTTCTAGAATATTCTCGAATCAACTAATTTTTCTTTTTTTCAGATTTGCTTGCTCTCGATGATTTTAGCGAAGGAGCAATGGAGAATTGGGGTCTTGTCACATTTAGGGATTCGGCGTTGTTATTCGATGAAAACAAAGCGAGTGTGGTCGCCAAAGAAAGCATTGCGTTGATAATTTGCCACGAAATCGCGCATCAGGTTCGTTCGATCATTTCATTTTTAGGAAGAAGGAAGATTATTATCTCGTCGACATAATTGACCCATTTTTTTCTTTTATGATTTTAATTATATCGATAGATAGCTTGTTTCAGTGGTTCGGCAATTTGGTTACAATGGATTGGTGGAACGAGGTATTTTTGAATGAAGGATTCGCAAATTACATGGAATATTTATGTGTCGACGAATTGTTCCCTGATTGGAATATTGTGAGTTCGAATGAATCTGAAGCGAACAATGCTTGTCTGGTTTCAGATGACGCGATTTTATGCCGAAAACGTGGCAATCAGTCAGGATCTCGATGGATATTTGAGCTCTCGAGCAATTGATTCGACAGGCGACAACAATTTGATGAATCTTTTCGATGCAATCAACTATCACAAAGCGGCTGCTATTATTCACATGATCGCTGATATGGCGGGATTCAAAAATTTCCAAAAAGCACTCGTTGAGTATCTTAATAAGTATGCTTATGACAATACGAAAGGAGAAGAATTGTGGCGGATCGTTGAGAAGCATTCGAATAATCCTGTCGCAATTCCATCGGTTGCAACTTCTTATATCGCACAGGTCGGATATCCACTGATCCATTTGGAAGTCACCAATGAGTCAAGAATTATTATTCACAACCAGGCGAGACGCATTTTGCTCTTACTAATGAATTGTTCAAGTTTCAGACGAGATTCCTATTCATTGAAGGTGAACCTGTTTTAGCGAATCGCGTACCGCAGTCGTGGCCAATTCCGATACGATATCGAACGAAGGATGATGATGAATCAAAGTTGCATTGGATGCGAGCAGATGAAGAATCTGGCGAGCCATTCAGTTTCGAATTCGTATCATTATCAGAATTTCAGCTGCTTGGGATATTCCGAACGGTGATGATTGGCTTATTGCGAATACTGGCGGTGTCGGATATTTCAAAGTCAAATACGACAAATCGATGTATAGGAAGTTAACTAATCAATTGAAAACAAATCATACGGTAATTTGAATCTAATAGTTAGTATCGAAAATTATTGTATTTTAATAGATGATTAGTCCAATCGATCGAACCATGCTCATTAATGATGCTTATGATTTGAGTAGAACATCACTTCTTGAAATTGAAACTTATATGGATCTCATTGAATATGCTAAAGGTTCCTCGTTTCTAGTGTAAATGTCAAGGATTTGAATTTCAGTCGAAACCGAAAAAATGGCGTGGTCGATTATATTAAAAAATCTGCGGACAATTGAATCTCTAATTGAGGAGACAGATCATGTCCATTTATTCCGAGTTCGTTGTTATATTTAATTATTCAAACAATCTAGGGTGATATTCAGGATTTCGAACGAGCGTTGATATTGAAGGCTTATGAATCTTTTGAATGGGATGAGAAATCAACGACGCCGAACACGAAAGGACTTCAAGTAAGTTAAATAAGATTTTTGAAAAAAAAAGAGATATGTTTCAAGATCGAAATTACGAATAACGCGTGTCGACTGCGAATTAAGCATTGCTCAAAACAGGCATATTTGAGATACCAAAAATGGGCCAATGAGGGAACGCGGTAATTCAAAATTTGAGAACGAAAAGGAATGTCTTTGATTTTAGTTTTCCTAATCAACAGGGTGTAATTCTAGCAGAAGGAATCCGACAAGGTGGTGATTCTGCTTGGGAGAAGGTGAGACGAACCATTGAAACTCTTTATATTCAAATTTGAAGATATGGTCTGCATATGCTGAAGCGACAAGTCCTTCCGATAGAATTCATATAATAACCGCATTGGCGGCAACGAAAGACGCATCATTAATTAATAGGTACTGTAGAAGACAGGCAATTGTCGTATACTAAATGTCTGTTTGATTCCTGGCGCGAAATTAACAAAATTTTTGCATGCGCTTCTGTTTCATACTTTTGCATATGTTTGATACGCAGCCAAATCGCCTCGCTCAAACCTGTTAAATAATTTGTCTTTTCGTCGATCTACTCTGTGGATGAAAAAGAAACATAATTAGCAGCATGTTGTTCAATTTATTACTAACTTTTATCTGCGGACAATTTACAGACTCCTGAAATATTGCATAGACGGAAAAATCAAGCAGAACTTGATCCCGCGCGTCTTCTCCTGTTTGTCGGCGACAAATCCCGGACGAACGACAGCTTGGAGGTTCTTCAAGCTCAATTATGATAAATTCAGAAAGATGTTGGTTTCAAAACAATTATCATTCATATCGAGAAATTCTTCAGATTTGGAAACGGCTCACCATTGCTTGTTGCTTGCATTAGATGTCTTTCCGAGAATCTGTCGACAACAGAGGATCTCGAGGAGCTCAAATCGTTTTTGAAAGAAAAGAGGGTATTGTCGATGACTTTAAACATCTGGAAAATAAAATTATGCAGGTCGATTCGGATTTGATGAAAACCGATTTGGCATTCGAGGAAATCGTGTTGAACATTCAATGGAGAAGCTTAAATGAGAAGAAGCTCGGCAAATGGCTCAAAAATTGGGATGATAGGCATAGGACATTGAGTCGTAGATGAAGGCACCAATTAGGATAAGAAATATCGATTGAATGATCTTCCATAAAATGTTCCCCGGTGCTATTTTATTTATTCAACTCATTCCTTCTTTTCTAAATGACTGAATAAAATTTTTATTGTAACAAAAAAGGGATACAAATCAACAACAAAAAGTAAAATTAACCAATTTCAACAAAAACAGAATGATAATTAATCTTCCATGGCGTCGTCATCAACTGGCAACTCCATTCCAGCTTCTTGCAGCTTCCTGAACTCCTCTCGGACTCTGTGTGTCATTTTCTTGTGAAGCTTTTTCGCCTTCTTTTTTGTGATGAACTGAGCGGTGACCGATTTCTTTCCAGATGGAGCATCAAGAACTTTTCCTCTAAAATCAAAATATACAGAGCTTAAAATAAATGCTGCAATTCACTTTTCTCTCACTGGCAGATTCGTCTTTCTAAAAATCTTCTGCTCATTAACTTTTGGAACATTCTTGAGTTCTCCGGCCGCCAATTTTTTCTAGAATCCAATTTTGTTGTTTTTTTTTAATAAAACGCAATTTTCCACAAACCGCCGAAGCAACAGAGAGCCCCGGAACTACTGGAATTTCTTCGATCATCGCCACATCCTCGCCATCTGTGCTCTTCTCAGCTTTCTTCTGCCGTGCCGCTTTTTTCATGACTTTTAATTTCGTCACGGAAACTGCCACTTTGTTTTTTAACAAATTCTTCTTCTGACTTCTGAATCTGCCCATTCTGAAAGACTAAAATTTCAACACGACAAAAAAAATATAAAAATTGAAAGTATCTAATAAATCGGTAAGAAACCTGCGAAGTAAAGCAAAAAAATAATATCAAATTTAAATTATTCATTTTTCAAAGAAAACAAAAACAAATCCAACAAAAAACCTAAATCTATTCAATTATATTATATTATGTTACATATAGTTCAAGCGATCATCATTTTTCCCTTTTCAATCGGTCGTTTCGCAGCTTCTTCCTTTTCTCGGGCTTCTTTCTGCGCAACTTCTTTTTTGTAAATCTCTTCGACAGCCTGCGTTTCTTTAAGCAATGATACTATTTTCTTCTAAACATTATTATTTTGATTATTTATACAATTCGATTTCAATTCACCGCCAATCGAATTTGATCCAATTTATAATCTAGCTGCTTTTGCGACGTCACGTGTACCGTTCTGCCATCTAATAATAGTTATTATTAATAATTAATAAAATTTTTGATGACCTTTAAACGAAAAATCGGGAGATTGCTCGAAAACATGCTGATGTGGAGCATAATAGACACTGAACATCGAAATTAAAATATTAAAATGAAAAAAAAATTACGGTTTCCTCCAAGATTGAATTTTACTAGAATTTTTTGGTATCGGTTTTCTCACAACCAGTTTTTCCTCTTCCTCTTTGATCTCATCTTCTGCAAGTTCAAGAAATTAGAAAAAAACGGAAACATATGGAATTTCCTACTAAAATCTACATTAATCGTTGAATATAATGAGATTCTCGAAGCTTTAGCAACAATCGGCGTTCGGAATGATGATAGTGCAAACATTCTGAATAATCGAGATATTAAAAAAAAGTTATTCTTAAAAAGGTAGCGAATGAGAAAACTTAACTCAACTCAACAACAAATCAATGAAAGAGAATCAATATTTATATTTTAAAAATATTAAAATTAATTGAGCTGAATAGCCGAACTGGATTCGAATTCGATAGAATTCAATATCTTCTTCTTTTCAACTCTCAACTTGGTCAATGTCTTTACGAGATTCTTTTTCTCGGCGTCGGTTTCAGTGAACCTTCGCTTGGTGTCGTCATGCACGGTGATAAGCTGTGTGAGCCTTTTGCAAACTTGCTCGTGTTCACTGCGTAACTGCTCGTTATCCCTTCGCAGTTTGCTTAATTCAGAGCACAGCTTCTGAAAAAAAATAATAAATCTGTTCGAATTTCGAAATTCTCTAACCTTCAAAATTGCCCCATCTTCCATTTTGAACGGTTGAACCACTCGCATTTCCATCATTTTTTTCTTCTTTCCCTGCTTTGCAGGTATCATTTGGCATTGCTCAAACTCGAATTGCTGATTTTGTTGCGACTCCACAACTTCCACATGTTTTCGCTTTCCGTTACGCTTCAGCACAAATGAAGGTTCCTCTTCTTCTGGCTCAAGAAGCTCAACGGGTTCTTCAAAATCAATAACTCCTGATGTCGATGGCCCCTCGTCGACAGGCAGAACAACATCATCGGAAGGCATTGTTTTGATTTCATATTGAATTTGATGATATGTGTTTGTTTCCTAAAAAAATATATACGATGGTTTTCAACAATATTTCAAAGTAAAAACAAACTGGATCGTAAATATATTCATTTCCTTCATTATCGACAAATCGCTGATCCTCAACAATCGGCTCGTAGTACTCTTGCTCGCTAGTTGATGGATACTCTCCGTTATCAATGTAATGAAATTCCTCTAACTGATTGCCTTTGATTTCTTCGGTAATCCCATCGCCTGGAGGGAATTGAGGAATATCTGAAAAAAAACCCGGAAATATAACGATTTTTGGAATTTTTCATAAAACATTTATTGATTTTTATTAGTGAAAATAAAAAAGTAACGTTGTCGAATATTCTCTAATTTCAAATTTACCATTAATTGTATCGATAACCTCTATTTCATAGGCAACTTCCTGGCCATCAATTGGAACAACTTCTCCGATTTCTCCCATTCGAAATCTGGAGAACATTTTAAAATCGAATTTTAAAACTTATTAAGATATCATAAAGATCTGAACTGATAAAAAATTATAGTTTTGGATTCTGATAAAATTATTTATTGAATTGTGTAAATCTGGAAAAAAAATTATTTTAAAAATAGTAACCAAAACAATACAGATGGAAAATACACAAAGAATAAATATAAAAAATGGAACGAAATGAGCGAGATCAGTTCCACATTTTGATGAGTCCGTCCCATCCAGCTGTAATAATTTTGCTCTTTTCATGAGGATGCCAAAGAGCAGAAATGCATGTATTATCATGCGCCTTCCATCTGAAAAATTAAAATTTGCAGAATAGAAAGGAAGTTTAAAAGAAGAAAAAAACGACTCACTTTCCAACAATTTTATGTGTTCTCCAATCCCAGATGAACAGTTTTCCGTCAGCATCACCTGAGATGATGAAACTCATGTCCGGACTGAAATCAACATTGCAAGCATATCCAGCAGCATTGTGCCCTCTGAACGCCTTCTTCTTGGCAAATCTTAGTTTATCGTCGATCAATTGGAACAGCACAATACGGTTGTCCATGCACTGTCCAACAACCCATTTATCTGAAAACCAATGTTGAATTGGTTCCAATTTTTAATCACCAATTCATACCGTTTGGACTCTTTGTCATACATGGAATCGAGTGGAGACCAACATTTTGGATGAGCTTCGTGTCGACCGGAATCTCCCATTCCCAAATCCTCACAGATTTGTCATCTGATGTTGAGGCGAATCGTCGATTTTTGTCGAAGAATGTGATCGAGTTGACCGGCTGTAAATGGCGATCGTATTCCTGAACAATTTCGCCCGATCTCGTGTCCCATTGGATGATCTTTTTGTTTTGCATTCCAGCAAGGAACATGTGATTCTTATCATCATCCGGATGATATTTCAGACAATACGGAATATGTCCAGTATGGAATCGCTGTTTCACCTAAATATTCTTGATTCAAAGGAAAAATAATGTAAATGATTGATTACCTGTCCAGTCTCAGTGTCCCATAATTTGATGTATCTATCAAAACTAGCGGACAGAAACTCGACTCCTTCGTTGTTGAAAGCAACTTCTCGTACTGGCAGTTTGTGGCCAGCGTATGTCCGAACAACACGCTGTTTATCATATACCTCCCATAGTTTAATCTTAAAATGGAAAATATTAATAGAAAAAAAAACAGGATTTCATGATACCTTAGTATCCATTGAGCACGATAAGAATAAGTGTGCGCTCTTCGGGAACCATTGCAAATAATTGACACCTTTGTTGTGTCCCCGATACGTGTGAATAAGCTTTTTCGGCACAAAACACCGTTCTGGCACATAATCTTCACGTAGATTTACACCGGTAAAGCTAGGTGGGACCAAGAATGATCTTCCTTGGTAATCCTCGGTCTCTTTGACTAAAAATATGAATATTTAAGCATAATTGTATTGAAATTAAATATCGTACGATGAAGAGTTGTAGATTCCTCAGCTTGTTGCTCATTATCTTGCAATTCTTTTTTGTATCGTCGACTCTTTTCTCTCTTCTGAAAACGAATAAGTAAGATGGATAAAGAAATTTTTAACAACAACCTTTTTGACAATTTCATCCATCTCCTTTTGTAATTCTGGATTCGGTTTTGCGATAGTTTGCTCATTTTCATATTTAGACCAAGGTCCTAAAATAATTCAGATATTTAATTGATTGCCGATTCTTAAATAAACCTGTGTATCCATCAACATCACTTGCATCATCATTCCTTAACCGTTTCCTCTTTTCTCCCCCAGTTTTCTTGGATTCAAACAGTGAAACACCACCTTCAGCTACGGCTTTCTTTACGTCACCTATGAATTCGGCTCCGCGATCAGCTGTTGGGTTTCTCGCATAGCCAAGTGTGTCGAAACTGCGGAGCTCGCGATTAAAATGGAATTCATTAATATGCGCCGGCTCCACAAATCCTGTTAGTGTGTTCTTCTGGGCAAGTTGCTTCTCGGATTTGAATGGATTAGCGGGTCCAGTTTCTGGCTGGAACAACTGCTCGTATTTCGGATTTGATTTGAGCTCTTTCGTTTTTGGATCGACTATAGCAATATCTTGAATTGAAGATTTGGTTTCAACATCTGGCGCCACCTGAAAACTCTAAAAATACAAGAATAAGTTTTACTTGAATTTACCATTAGGGATTTTTCGATATTCAGAGTTGAACACTTTCCAGAAGCAATATCTTTCATAATAACGTCATCGTCTGACATTTCGCTGTCACTTCCATACGCTTTTAAAGCGTCCATTTTCTGAAATCACGTTTTATTTTATTGTAGCGCTGCATTTTTAATTTAAAATGGACAAGTACCAGGTGATTTATCATTATTTTAAAATCGAAACAGATCCGTTTTACTCCTATATTGGGTTTTTGGGACTCATTATTCAATTGGTGATAGCAGTTTCAATACCCGCTATTCTTTTACGGAATAGAAATACGAACGAACTTGTGGTGGACGCCATAAAAGTAAAAACGACTGGAGAATTAATTAAAATAAGATGTTTGAATTAATTTAGTCTCAATCTCCTGTTGAATGGCATATAAATGTCGAACTTCGAAAAGAGCGCGAGCTTCGAAAACATAGAAAACATGAAAGAAGAAGAAGAAGACTGAGAAGTTATGAAGTAATAATTTTCAGTTAAAATTCATCCTAAATATATTTTTTTCAGCGGTCACAACTAAGCGAATGATGAGCCTTTTTTGCTACCCTTTAGAGAAATTCGAATAACATAAGATGAATTTAATAATTTTACAAAAGATATTCAAACTTTCAAATATAGAAAAGAAAATAAAAAGCGAAAACGAAAATGACGGAAATGGACGTGAAGTTTGGCGTCAAAAAATATCGGCCACGGCCGCCAAAATTTTTTGAAATTTTTTACCGGCCCAGATTTTTGTTTTACTATTTTCGCATCATTTAATTAACCCCAATTTTTCGTTTTTTTTTTTAAATTCATTAATTCAAATTTCCAAACTTCTGTATATAGCAATTTCCCACCTACCAATTGTGAATATTATCGAGAACCCAAAAAATGGTAAATATTTTTGTTTGACCCATTTTTTATTTGCGTCGTTTTCAATACTATTTCACGCGAACGCATACAATCCGGCATGAAATTTGCTTCTCACTTTGCATCGAATGTTTGTTTTCAAAGCCATGACCGCGTCAAGCGGATGATTCGACGCAAAAATGTGCGTAAACTCGGAAACCCTCCATTCTGAAGTTTCCGTTCTTTTAATGATTTATTCGAATTGTGATATTTATTCTTTTGGGAAAATATTGTGCATATTTATATTGTAAAGCATTGAAATTATTTTGTTTCCCATTAGGATTTGAATTTTCATCAATGAAAATCAATAGTCAATTTCATTTTCATGTTTTTTTTTGAAAATACTCGTGCAGGTTTTATTTTCTATATTAACAATTTGAGAATCTTTGCGATTCTCATTGTTAAAACAAATTGTCGGTGGATGAATGCCATAAGTTTTTTTTTCAAATTCGAAGACAATAGATCATCTCATTTCCTCAAAGGATTCCATCAATGTACCAAATGTGTCCCGGAATGACCACAATGGAAACCATATGAGCCTCGAATAGAGAAAAGTTAATAAGGGCCAATTCCATACGGACAATTAGAGGGAAACAGTAGTTAATCTGGTACTCATAGAGTAGTGGACACATCTCGAGTGTCATGATGATGGTAGAGGGGAGGATGGTCCGCTCGAAACAGTCATCTGGTGCACCTGTCATGCACCGAACCGAAAATCGTGTGGTCATTGTAGCAGCATCAGCAGGCGGAGGACGGATGGACTAAGCAATCTCGTCTTGGTCGTTCTTTTCCTCGTGCTACTACTGCTGTGGCTGCTGCTGCTGCTGCTGCTGCTGGTTGCTGGTTGCTGCTGCATTGGCCGTCTTCCAATTTCGCGGCGTTTTGTGTTGTGTGCGCGTATTTCGCTGGGGTTTTTTCGCCGCCTCGTCGACCCTCATGGTTTCATGTGGTGCATCGACTTGAGGCTCGCTCGAGTTCGTTCTCTTGTCTGAGTATTCGAAGGAGGATGAGGAGGCGATGGGAGGAACAGAGGGGAATTGTGTGTATGTGATTTCGATCCCCCGCTTTTTGCACCATCGAGAAAGGAGCCCATCTCGTTTTGATCCGTTTTATCCTAATAATTATTTTTTGTCCATCTTTTACCTGCTTTCCTTTCGCCTCCAATCATTTTATTGCCCACCCAAGAACAATGTCCTTCAAAATGGTTTCCAATGCCCCCAAAAACTATTGTTTTTTTTCGCGTCGTTTTTATCTCTTTTCACCCATTATTTCCTATTGTTTACCATTTTTGAATACTGAACTATAATTTAAACCGTTTTTTAGTATCCGAAACTCGTTTTGACTCAAAAATCTTGCCAGTGTTTTTTTTTGCATTTCACAAACAAAAGTCAGGTCATTGTGGAGATGAACATTGTGCTCGGATTGACCTTTGAACTCAAAAAAATTATTCGATGTGGAATACATTTGAAGGTTTTCATTAGCTGCAGCCAATTTATTCCTTTTTTTCATTGCTATTCGACCATAAAATGCGGAAATTTGTGAAAACTATAGTTTCGGAACGAATTTTTCCAGAATTTCTAAGTAATCTGTAAAACTCGATTTCTTCTTTCCGTTCTTTTCGATTCTCATTTTTTCTTCTTCTTTTCCCCTCGCGATTTCATCCAATTAAAACATCGTAAAATGATGTTTCTGAATTTAAATCACTCGAAAAATTCTCTCACTGATTCAGTGATTTATATTCATTCTGAAATAGACTACGTCATGTGAAAGTGATTTCCGCTTCATCAGTTTCCTGTAGAAAAAAAGATGTATTGGAATGTGTTTCAATTTATTCCACCTATATTATTTATTATTATTTTTTCCTTATTTTTGTGAAGTTTGCACACGAATTTTGTAGGAAAATTTTTGAATTTATGATTTTATTGTAGGAAGCATCAAGATTAGGCAAAATCTATCCTTTTAAATTTGCCTTCGTTTTTTTGTTCTAAAAATATATACAGATTGAATTATCAATTTTTCTTTTTTTTTTATTATTTTCAATTTTCATGTTTTTGCAAGAATTTTGATATTAACAGGATAGGGAGAAAACAAATTTGTTTTTTTTTCTGTCTTTCATACACTTTTTGCTTTTTCTTCTTGCTTTTAAAAGTACGTGGTCACATCTCGAATACCTTTATCCATACGAAATCCAATAATTTCTTTTGGTTTTAAACGTTTGTATACATTTTTCCTGTATTTCCGTTTTTTCTTCTTCCTCGTTGTCCTCCTCTCCATTGGAAAAAATGATGTTTCGAAATATGTATTACAGATACACGGGTTTCGTCTCTGTTGCTTGATTTGCATGAAGCGAGCATAATTCAAAAATTCGCACCAAATATGGCGGATTATACCGGAAAGGTGAGCGAGAAAAACAATTGACTAGTGCGAAAAAAAAAAGAGTCCGAATCTCGCAAAACGCACAAAAAAACGACGAGTTTGTTGGTGCTGGGCGGCAAAATGAACACTTGTTCGTTTAATCCAACTCCGATTTGTCTTCATTTCCTCGCGTTTTTTTTTTGTGTCCGACCGAAACTTTGGTTAAATTGATTCCCGATTGGTTTGTCCCTTTTGTTTTGGTCCCGAGCCACCAAACAGATGGTGTTGACCTCAGTCAGTAATCCTGGGGATGAAGTTTCAACTAACTAATTTGGAAGGCATCAGATAAGTAGATGGATAGGGCTGATTAAGAATTGACCGGGGGGGGGCGTAGAGTGAATCAAATCTTTTTTTGTTGCTGCCCTTCTCTGGCCATAAATTGAATCTTTTCGTCTTCCAACCACTTTTCCCTCAGTTTTTTTGTTATTTTATTTCACTTTTTTGTTTTGTTTTGTCCCCTTTTAAAGAGTTATTTGAATTGGGAATTTCGAAATAACAAGAGTTCCGCTTAATTGCGCGGTTTTGTTTCGTAATAGATTTTTTCTGCATAATTTTTCTTTTTTTGTCTTAAACGTTCGAAGATTGATATCTACACATTTCACCTTGTTTTTGCATTTCAAAATTTGTATCTTAATTCTCTCATTTTCTCAAGGTTTCGCTGAACAAATCTTAAAATAGATTCATAGCTTAATAAGAATTACTAATAAGATGCATATATCTGAACCCTCTTGCGTCTCGACTATCAAATATGGTAAGATGACACCAATTTGGCCAGATTCATTATGCTCCACGCCTTCTCCAATCAACTGTAATGAATTTGAGAAAAATGAATTTACTCTAGATGTTTGGGATATCTTCTAAATTTAATTTTGAAAATTTTACTGATATCTTACCGAAATCGTTATTTTTAGTATGTTAAATTTTTCTGATCGAAATAGTCCTAAGATAGATATTATTTGTTATTATATTCATAAAACTGTTAGTTTAAAATATGTCAAAAATCAAAAATTCTTATTTCTATTATGAAAATAACCCCTTTCGAATTCCATAATTATGTTTTTGAATATCATAATTTTCAGTTGCGTTGTTTTTTTTTAATTTTAAAACCAGCTTGAAAGCAACAAAATTGGCAATATTGTATCAACTAGGTCTAAATTTTGAATATTTAAAATTTTTCATCTTTTTTTTCGTTGTTTTACTTTAGCATTACCAACTTCTCTCTAAGAAGCTTTTAGATGCTTTAACAGACTCTTTTATCCTCGATTGTTTCATCAGTTAGACATTTATTTTTCAATAAGAATGAACAATGTGTGCCTTCAAATGTTGTTATTATTATTAAATTCCGATATTAATCGCTGACAATCGAGCTCATCCATCATTTAATATTAAATTTGCTCCATTTGTTCTCAACCCGTCCTCGGCAAAAAAATAAGAACAACAATTGGGCATTGATATTGATAAAGTTTCATTATCAACAGTTGATTTTTCTTTTTATTACAACCACTTTAGGTGTATTTTTACAGATGAACGCAATAAAAGCCGAAGACATCATTCACGTGCTTCGCGACGGCGTCGCACTTCTACACGGCGGCCGATGTCGAACCGGCGAGCCGCTGCTCGTCTTTCCTTCACGCGAACAACCAGTGAATCCGGATCATTTGCGCAATGTGCTTTTATATCTACTAACCGTCACAGCGTACGTTTCATGAACTCAATAAACATATTTAGAAAAAAATTAAACTAGATGATAATAAAGCGTAAAACTACATCTCCTGCTAAAAATGATTTTTTTTCATTTTACTACTAAAAAAACCATTCTATGGAAATTCTGAGATTCTCTTTTTGTATTTTCGCACTAAATGGTACGCTTAATGTTTTTTGATATTAAGTGTTCTAATGAAAATGTAATAAAATTGATCAATATAAAAAAAAAACAACTTTTAAAAAGTTTCGAATCCATTGTAAAACGAATATATCAATCAAATAATTTATTTGTACATTTGATATATTTTAATGGATCTATTAATAAAAATTATTTTTTTAACACAAAAAAAAATGTAAAAATTACATTAGATGTTTCTTTTTTTTTAACATATTTTTCAACTTATATTATCACAAGACGTCTTCTTTTTTCAGAGATTCTGCAAGAGAAAAGGGTTTTCTTGTGGTGATCGACATGCGCGGAAAACAAACATGGACAAATGTTAGGCCGATATTGAAAACTCTAAACGTAAGGCATCAGATTTGCAATTATTTCCTTCATTTTTTTGTTCATTTTCAGACCATCACTGAAACATCAGTAGTTAATCAAGTTTATATAATCAAACCCGAAAAATTTTGGGAAAAACAAAAAGTTTGTGATTCTTGATTCTTTTTTTTTCCTCAAAATTCCAACCACTTTTAGACGCAAATGTCATTGGGAACATGGAAATTTGAAGTGGAAATGGTCTCATTTGAAGCTCTTTCGAAAATTGTTGATGTTTCGCAGCTGCCGAGAAATGTTGGCGGCACACATCCGTATGATCATGATGATTGGCTTGAAATTCGCTTGGTTTGCACATTTTCAAATTTTGATTTATTTTTTATGATTTAGGAGCTCGAAAAATGGATTTGGAGCATCACGGAAGTGATGGCGAGCTTGGAAACGGTTCGAAAAGAGGTCTGATAACGATTTGATTTAGTTTTTTTAAAACAATTATTTTTTAGATGGTTGAAAGTGAACATCCGATTGATGTGAAAACCGCCGAGCAAGCAGTCAAAAGACACGCAGCTGCGAAAAGAACAATTTTTACAATACCCGTAGAAAAAATCGAAAATGATGCGCATAGGGTGAGGGTTTTTGAAGAAAATTGGTCGAACGATTCAATTAATTGAAAAGATATTTTAAAAGTATTGCAAAAACATCATTGCCACGGGCGGGATTCGAACCCGCGAAGGTTTAACCGTAAGTTCATAAGACTTATGCCTTTGACCGCTTGGCTACCGCAGCACACAGTCTGAAAAAGTGGGACCACCTAGATCAGGGAAACGGACCACCGAAAGGTGAAATGGTCCGTTCAGGCCCAAAAACAGGTGACACCTTATATTCAGACTGAGTGCTACGGTAGCCAAGCGGTCAAAGCATAGGTTTTATAAACCTACGGTTAATCCTCCGCGGGTTCGAATCCCGCCCGCGGCATTAATATTTTTGCAACAATTTTATATAATTTTAATTTAAATTTTAAAAGCGCTCTTTTAAATTTTCGATATTGTTGGTTTTTGCAGATATGTGAAAGAATCTCGAATCCGCGAAATGGTCATCCAAATCCGGACCTCCTAGCCTCACTACCTCATGTTACTAATCTAGTCGATTCGCTTAGATTGAGAAAGTCAGTTACTTATAAATTTTGAAAGTTTATTAAAAAATCGTACCTTTCTAGAGGCGATGTCTTCAAGCAATGGGATAATCGACGAGGAGATCTCGAGAAGCTGTATCATCAGAAATTATTCGAACACGATGCTGAGAAGGTATTTGATTTTTGGCACTGAAAATGAATTGAATTTGATTCTAGATTCTTGAAATGATTCGATCCTACTCGACGACAGTAGTCAGGAGTATAGGCGATGTTGGAATGTGTGAAGCGGATGTTGGAAGATTAACAAAGGACTTCGAGCAGTTTCAAACTGCTGTGCAGGTCTGAGAAGGCCTCTTTTATTCCAATTTTAGCAATGGAATTTAGAATTCTGAGGTTGCCGTGTCTCAAGTTATCAAACTCGCACAAGTTGTTTTGTCTCCTGGAGAAGTCGTTCCGTCTCATGTATGAAACAGTTTCTTCGGCTTCAGCATATTTGTTCTACATTTAGGTCGAGATGGCTGCTGTTCGTCTTCAAGATGAATGGTGTGTGCTTCAGGATCTGCTAACACGACGTCGGCAGATTTTATCGCACGCTAAAGCATTCTTCAATTCTTCACAAAAATATTTCGCCGAACTCCCTGACTGGACGGCGAAACCCGGTGTGAATCCGTCGGAAGTCAAAATTCAGCCGGCGGATTCGCTCGAAGAAGCCATTAAACGTCATGAGACCTTCTGGGCTCACGTCGAAGAGATTTACGCGCAGGCGTTTGATGATGGCTCGAAAGTGACAAAGGCATTGAAAGAGGCCGAAGCCGAGGATAATGTGGCGAGGGAGCAGTTGAATCGGCTCACGAGGGCGCACAAACAGCTGCATGATAAATGGAAAGAGCGAAAAGTGCGAATTTTTGGTGTTGACTTGTTTTTGGAGATTTTTGATGCTTCAGGTTCTTCTACATCATATGCTGGCGATGATTGCATTCGAGACCGATGTGAAGCTCGTTGTGGAATGGCTTGATCAGCACGGAGAACCCTACCTAAAAAAGAACATTAATATAGGTTTGGGTTTCTCTTATATCCTGACATTTTTAATGATAATGATATTCAGCTGCGGACATTTGAAGAGGGCAATTATAATGCCCGCAGCTGAATATCCTTTCAATACTTATAATAACTGCGTGCACAAGAAAATTTCTTTGTTGTTTGTAGTCGAATATTGTATCCTTTTGAGAAAAACATGTCTGCTAGCTATAATATCAAGAACAAATCTCTTCATTCTAACAAAAAGAAAAAGAGTTGAGTCATTCTTTCTCAAAAAAATTTTCTAGAAGAGTTGGAAACGAAATATCCGTATTGATTTTTTTTAATGAGAAAATTTTTCCCGAAAATTTGCGATTTGAACAATATGCGCAAGAAATTCTTTGTATCACGTGATTGCAGGTGAAAATGTGGTGCAGGCGAGAACGCTTCAGCGAAACCATCAGAATTTCCAAAAAGTCGCCGCCAATACCTACGACAACGTTAAAAAGCTGTACCAAGTGTATAAAAATGTCACCGAGTCGGGAAGCAGTGAGTTTTTTTTTAAATTTTATCAGTTTTCAAAAAAAAAATCATTCCTAGAAATGTGTGATGTCGAAAAGATGAGGAGCCTTATGACGGATCTTGATCTGAGAATAAAGAAATTCACGAATCGCGTCGAGACCCGCGGCAATTTGCTGAAACTCTCGGTGTTGTTTCACACGCATTATGTGGAATTGACCAATTGGTTTGGCGAAATGAAGCGAAAATTTGAGGACAAAACCATCGATATGGATGTGGAAGCATGCGAAAAGAGCAAAGAGCGTTGGGTACTTGAATCCGATGAAACTGCTCAGGCTTATGCGGTGACGGTTGGCGAGGGAAAAGCCCTCATACAGGAGATGCAGAATGCCGCGCACACATGCGACATCGATTATTCGCAATCCATCAATCATATTCATCGGCTCATTGCTGACATTGGTGAGATTTATCTTGAAATTTTTCCTAATTTCTGAGAATATTGTGTCATTTTCCTCGCAGATGAACGTAATGCGACACTTTCGAACGAATGGGCTCCGCAACGAGTCATTCTTCAAATCGCCCTCAAATTTGCAATCTTTTGCCGCAACAATTGGGATGTTATGCAACAAATCAGGGTAATGAAGCACTTTTTCTTTGTTCTTTTTTTTTTTTAAATCCCAATGACATCGTTTTTTGAAGAGTTGGGAAGAAGATATGCGGGAAATGGTCGAATCCGAAACGTTCTTTGATAAAGCCGACACGGTGTTGCCGTACCACAAAGATAATCAGATTCAAGTTCGGACCGCAATCAATAATATCCGAAAAACTGCGAAAGAATTGAATCAAGCCCTGCATGCGCATGGAATTGCGGATCTCTGTGTTCGCGACGGACGACGAGTCATCGAGTTGATCAAGGATAATGTTCGGATTCTCGACCAGGCGGAGAAGGAAGTGATGAAGTGTGCCGATGAGACATGCCAGAAGATCGAAGCTGCGTGTGAAGTCGTTGCGTGCCGAAATCTCGCCGATGGCATGATATCGATGATTGAGCGCGAGGAGAGGCATCTGGCGAGTTTGGGAGGAATTCCGGCGAATTGCCGAGAAGCCGAAGTTGCGCAAGATGTGCTCAAAGATTTCCAAGGCAAAATTGAGGTGATTCTCGTCGATGCGTTTATTCGAATTCATTGTTTGTTCAGAAACGCCTCAAAGAGCCTTACAATGTGTTCGTGCAAAAATGGCGAGAGCTGATGCAGGAGAATCGAGTTGAACGAGACGTGATCGTAGCGTTCAATGAGCAGATACAATCGAAATGGCGACGTCTGACTGCGCTCTGCGACGAGAGGAACAAGCTGCTCAAGGCTGCCATTGCCTGTTATAAGACATATGAGGAGGGGGTGGTGCCTATTCTTCAGCAGCTCGCGAAAGACTACAGCCAGGTACACGGCGCACACATTCTTCTCACTATTATCATTTCTCTTTTGCCATTTCTAGCCGCAAAAGGATTGGTGTGCGCAATGTCCGTCGACGTCGCATCAAGAAAAGGTCGATTTCATATTGGAGCTTTTGGAGAAACACATGGAATATAAGGACAGGTTTGTGGGAGACGTCGTCGATATATTCAAAACGGTGTTCAGATTCATCAAAGGATGTTGTTATGCGCAGAAAAATGGCGAAATATTCCTACGGTATATACAAAGGACCAATGTGAGATCGCATGAAAGGTGAGAATGCAAACTGGTTTTTTAAACGACAAACTTGGAATCCAAACTGTTTTCTTTACTTTTACTTTTGAAGAGCTCCATATTTGGAAGGCTTCGTGATTTTTTGTAGCTCTTTTTTTCGTGTATTAATTGGAAATTTGTAGACGCCGAATACATGAAGAACGGATTGCCCATATGAAAGAGGATATTCGAGATCGACAATCGAATATTCTCGAACTATGGATGAAGAAGAAGACGCAGCTTGATCAGTATGATTCTAATTCAGACCTGCTTCGTCTCATATTTGTATTTTCAGCTGTCATTCTTATGTACTCCTCGATGCCTCACGGATTCAAATATTCGATTGGCTTAATGGCGAAGGGGAGCAGAAACTTCGCGAGTTTGAGAAACGCGGTCGCAATACGACCGATAAGAATTCCGATGAATTCGGAAGCTTCAAACTGCTTGTCAAAGAGAAGAAGACCAATATCCAAGCATTCTTGATGATGGCTGCTGACATCAAAGACAAGGAGAGTGGAGCTAATCAGCATTCAGATGAGATCGATGCAATTATGAAAGACGTCAAGGAGAAGTTTGAAAAGTTCTCGAAGCGGGTTGCAGCTTGTGAAGTGATATTGCGAGGGGAAAATAGCCAGGTAAGGCGGGCAAAGAACGGCTAAAATTCAAAATATCTCTTAAAATTGAATCTCTTTCCCGTTGTGTCTTACATTAGAACTTCGGCCGAGGTCTTTATAAGTGGGACAATGACATCTCACAAAATTTGAATGCGATCTATATTTTTTGAAATGAATCTTTTCGCGTGAATATTAAAGAATATGCCACATTAGTTTTACTAAAAAATTCTTATTTGAGAGCCAAATATTATTCTTTATTGTTTCTATGATTTCATATTGTATTTTCAGAAGGATGAATTCTCACTTGATCGTCATTCGGACACAAGCATATTTGATGATAAAATGGTGAACGTTCGACGGGAGGAAAATCGAAAAATGCTGTTAGTAATTAGCGTACTCTCCGTCATTTTTAGAAATGATTTATAGAGAACCGATGCGCGAGTTGCTCAAATCCGAAAGAGACTACATCGAAGATTTGGAGCGATGTGTTAAAATGTTGGCTTTCTTTGAAAAAAAAAAAAATTTTTCTTGAATTTATTTACATTTTCAGTTATATTACGGAATATGACAATGCTTTGAAGAATGGTACATTAGCTCAATCGCTTAGAAGTCTTCGAGGCGAGATATTCGGAAATATTGAAAAGATCTACACGTTCCATAATGAGTTTGTCCAAATTTTGTTAGATTATATTGTCTCAAGTTTGTCATTTCAGCAAGCTTTTGCACGAATTGGAAAAGTACGAGACGCAACCGGAGGCGGTCGGCGCTTCTTTCACCGTCTGGATTGATTTGCTCAATGAGCTCTACACAGAATATTGTGTGAACAAAGAGCAAAAGAATTATGTGATTGCCACACCGGATGCCGTCGCCTTCTTTAATGTAACCTGATTCAAAATTCATTCCATTTTTAACAATTAATTTTCAGGGTGTCCGAGAGAAACACAATCTTGAAATCAACAATGATGTTGGTAGTCTGCTCATCAAACCGGTTCAGCGCATCACGCGCTATCGTCTGCTCATGGAGCAACTGCTCAAGAATTGTACGGGTAATTCTGAAGAGCTACGGGTAAGACGGAAACAGTTTTTGACGAATGTGTGAGCTATTGAATTTTAGGAAGCTTACGAGGTTGTCATTAGTGTTCCACGACGGGTTAACGATATTATTCACTACAATTGTTTGGATTTAAAGGATAGTAATGTAAGAATTGTCAGATGGATTGACTTTTTATGGATGTGCGTGGATTCAGGTTGATGTTCTTGGTCCATTTGTGATCCAGGATATGCTGACAGTCTGGGAACCTAGGGCGTATTTCAAAGGTCGCGGCAAAGAGCGTCAAGTTTTTCTCTTCGAATTGGCGATTGTTTTCGCGAAACGTCTAGAAATCTCACCGAAGAATGTTCGCTATGTGATAAAGGGAAAACCGCTTCCGTTGAGTGAAGTCTCCGTAGTTGAGCACGTCGAAGGCGATACCGCACGATTTGGTCTTCGCGTCGGAACTGTCGCTTCGAATGACAATCGAACGGATCTTAAGGCTTCATCGGAGAAGACAAAAGTGATGTGGGTTCGGAAGATTCGAGAACTGACCCAGGGATTGCTTACACTCAGTATGAATTCACCTTGTTTTGCTCAATTTTTAATTGATTGCTTTCTAGATCTTGGTGTGTCATCTGCACTTTCTGTACCATCAACATCTAGCGGTGGACCAAGATCGGTATCAATTCGATCAGGAGCCTCAACATCATCCGGAGATCGATTATCTCAAGATGTAGAGTCGTTGATGCAGCACAGGCATAGTGTGCAGAGTGTTGATAGCGAGGTTAGTCGAGTTTTTTTTTGTCGTTTTCAGAAGCAGGAAAACGCACGCAATTGTGTCTATCAAAAAAATAATCAATCGCGTTCCTACTCGAAAACTAAAAAGGAATAGAAAAAATTCTGAAACTATTCCTATCGTGAAATGAAATTATGTGTTTCGATGTTGAAACACTGATTTTATGCTACTTATAAGATATTCTTTTTTTTTGAAAAAAAAAAAAAACAGATGTACCGATATTTGCGATCGAAACAAATTGGTTTGATTGGAGTATTGCGCAACATCTGGCGAGCTTGTTGCTCGACAGACTTCATCGTTTTTCTTTCTTTTTCTATTAAACATCTGGAAACTTTCTATGCGTCTTTAAATTGTTTCACAAGAATTGGGAATTTAGAACACACAAATCAAAAATGCGAAAATTTTATGGTTTTATTTTCAATTTTATTGCATTGTTTTTATTTGCAATCGCATTTTTTTTCGTTTGTGTATCACAATTCGCACACATGACATACATTGAAATTCACAACATGTATTATGAGATTTGTCCGGAAGAAGAGAAAGCAAAGTTGAACGAGACGAAGAATGCATGGAATTTTGTTGCGGCACCGAGCATGACACCTGTTCGACGTGTCGCCGACCTCCTTCGGGCCCATGACACAGGCCACAGCGAAGAAAAAAAAAAGACGAAAACGAGAGGAGAGATTTGCCGTTTGAAATTGATTGGCAAAACGCCGAATTTGCCATATTTGGATGAATTGATGGGAATTGATTGATGGCGACGGTGTGCTGATGAGATGCTCCGGCTCCCGCTGAGCGCGTGATCCTTTCAGTGTCCTTTCGAAGTTGTTTCGTCTCTTTTTCTCTCTTCTCCAGCTCTCTACTTCTTTGATTTTTCTTCTTCTTCTGATATGAACTGAACTAACTGGCTCATCGCAAATAATCGATAGCTGAGCGGCGGCGGCGGCGGCGCGCTTTGGCTTTCTTCTTCTTCTTCTTCTTCATCGTCGTCATTTTTGTGTGTGTTTTTTTTGCGTTGTTTTGTTTCGCTCTTCTTCGATTTTTTTTTCTTCGAATGAATCAAAAATGGGAATTTAAGGCGCCGCCCATTCCGTTACCGACTTCTGACTGTAACTCATCAACATATTTAAGTTTTTGATTGGTTTCGGTCTTCTGCCTGGAAATGAGACGAGCCTTGCGCTTATTGTGTTATCGAAAGGTTTGTTGAACGCATATTTGGACAATATTAACTAAACAATAATGATGTTGCTGAATAGTTGAGTTAGTCATCGATTTACCATTATTTTTAGACACAAATGAACAGTTACTAACTATTAACAAAGAAAGGAAAATTTTGGAAATTACCGTATGATTTCAATCTAATATTCAAGAAAATACTATTTATGTTTTGATCAAAAGCGATTCTTTTTGTCTTTCGTTTCGATGTGAAAGTTGAGGCAATGAAGGTTTCGCGAAAATGCTGCTCACTAATCATTCCTTTCCTTACAATGAGGTTTTTTGATGCTAACATGCCTCGACATTAGACTAAATTTACCGATTTTCCGTAATACGCATCTTTTTGATTTCGTACGATTTTCGAAGCTGTCGTGTCGTTGAACTGCTAAACTAGCAACCCGCCGATTTTCGTGATTTCCCATCTATGAATGGTGTTGTTTTCTTTTTTCCAATGTCGCCGATAATCCTGTAATTTGTCGGCAGATGCTAGTAATCCGTCAGAACGACGCAATTGCAGCCATTTTGTGTGCTGCCCTTTTACAATTAATTCCTTCCGAGTTCAGCTTTTTTTTTCAAACTCGTTAACATTTTTTTTTTCGAATTTCTTTCGCTTCTCGTTTTCAGAATAATTGAGTGCGGTGATGTGAATGTACGAATGTATATTCATTTTCTCATCATTCAAATGAATATTTCAAATTATTATGTTTTGGTTTTGCGCTGCCGTCGAAACACAAAAGATTTGATATGTTTCATTTGTGTTTTTCAATTTTCGTACCAAGAATGCCGTCATTTGAGTAAAAATTGAATAATATTTTTTTTTCGAAAAAAAATATGTGCAGGTGTTTAAAGTTGTCAAAGCGTCATAACTGACAAAACTTCTGCGTGGGTCGATGTGTTTTTCGTTGATTTGAATTCCAACGACCTACTCGAATTTCTGAAATTCCTAGTTGCCATCGAAAAATAAAATTTTCCCACACACTCATTTATAATAAACTGAAAACAGGATTTCAGTATCAGCAATTTTTGATGTTCTCGAATATTAAATTTCCGCCTATTAACCTTGTTGATTCATTAATTGATGATCATTCTGAATTCTGTGAACCCAATTCAAGTGAAATTTTCGACCAATTTTCCAACATTTGCCCTTATAATTATCATATCCGCCGAAAATCATTTGTTAATACCGGAGAAATTCACGTGTGGTTTCACGTTCAGTCGACAATTGCCGGTTGAGAGCCGTGGCAGCTGAAAATAAGATTTGGTGTGGTGGGTCGGCTCTCGCCCACAACACACACAAGCAGTTCAATTAATTTTGAATTAAGTGCGCGGTGTGGTGTTTCTTGTGTTTTGTTTTGTTTTTTTTTCGGTCGAGCCGAGTGTTACACACTCATATGCTACACGCTTCACCAATCCAGTCATTTGATTTTTTTCTACCCCGTTGTTCTGCTTCTTCTTCTTCCTCTTCTTCGTTGTCGCCTTCTTCGGCTACTTGGTGTCGCACGTCATTCCTTATAGAGTGCTCCGCCCATTTGTTGGCCGCTCGACACCCCGTATATGGAATGCGGGGTGCCATGGATGGGACGGAATCGATGTCGACGAACGAAAATTGGCTGCAATCGGCTGGTGCTGAGCGAGCATCGAAATCGCGCTGCCTCGCTAGTTTCGTGTTGTCTCTGACTCGAGTTCGCCTCAATTCAGATCGATTCAAACGCGATAAACCGTCGTGTCGTAGCGTTTTGGCTCGTTTGTTGAAATATGAGACGTGTCTCGTTTGTGGTCTATTTGAGTTTTCACCCAACACCCACCAAAACCCCCCGCTAGTTGTTGTCTAGCTATTTTATTATTAGATTCAACATTGCATGATCCTCATTTATTCAAATTTTGCTATTTTTATTTTCTTTTTAATTGAGCATGTCGCCCATAGCTGGCCTCGTTGCTCTTTTTCATAAAGCTCGCATTTTTCAAAGCCTGATAATTCGATTTCCATTTAAACGAGGAGTTGGAAGAATTCGATGAATGATGCTAATTATGCCAATTGGTGTAGTTTGTGAGTTTGCTATTTGCCATCCTTCATCTAGAAATCATTCTGAGGAAAAATGAAAATTGGTATAAGCCGGCTGGAGAAGACGAATCTCATTCGCTCATTTTTATGTGCTTGTTGAGGTTTCTTCAATATTGTCTCGTTTTCGTGCTTCTCCTCCGACCACGATAAGAAGTATCTTGATTTAAGATGTCACATTTGCTTCCTCGGCTCCGCTCGGCCTCATTTCCCTGTTCATTCGTTCATTTTTTTTTTATTTTCCAATCCTCCAAATTGCATTTATTTATGTGCAATATTTGAGTTTGTTATGCACAAAAGGTTGGCTCACCTTTATATTTTAAATAGACGCAATTTGCGTCGGTTTTGTGCCCCAATTGCACATATGATTTTCGCTTCTTTTTTTCCCACGTGTTTATATGAATTTCGATACATATTTGTCTGTGTGTGTGTATTTTTCTTCTTCCTCTTTTTTTCTTCTTCTAATACCGCGGTCATCGTTCGTTGTTGGATGGCAGTGAAGTCAAAAGACAAATAAAAATGACACATCGTGTGGAAATGCTCGACTGTTCAGTTTCCGTATTCTTTCATTTTTGTCCAAATTGCTTCTCCTTCGTCTTCGCCTTCTTCTTCTTCTTCTTCTTCCACCAGTCGTTTTACCTTTCTGTTCATTTTTATTCAGTGGTCCCGATGCTGACATATTCAAAATCTTGGCGATCGATTCGCTCGCGCACTGGTAGTCTGTACGCGAGGGCTCGAAATCGGTTGACGAGCTCATTTCGTGGTGGAACGATGCCGGAAAAGGCGACCGGAAAGGAGGAGGTGCACACGCGGCATGATTATGACGCGGTAGATGAATTCGGGCGAAGCGCGATTAAATTTAGCTGGTTCACGGTTTTCGCAGACAGATGGAAAACAATGAACAGGGATTTCGGTTTTTAAAAATCCGCTAAACGACAATTTTTCCATTTTCCGGAGAAATTTAACATAAAAATAGTGGCAACTTGTTATACAATGAAATTTGATACATTTTTTGCCATAGTAGAACAAATAGAGCGAGAGGAACACGATTGTTTTTGATTGACACGAACATTTATCCAAAATTCCCAATGGGTGTTTGGGCGCGTGCATTCTGTAACTGATCACTCATATTCCTCGCTTTTTTTTGCAGCAATCGTCAGAAGTTTGGGTGGTTGCTTCCGATTTTGATGGAACGGCGAATGGACACTTGAAAGTGAGCAAAGGAGACCGAGTCGAGGTTTGTGACGAACAATGAATTTGGCAATCAATTGCCAGCGCATTTTATTTAACATTGAAAGAAAATGGCGAAAAAAAGTGTCCGTTTTGTTGAAATCGAATTGAAAAGTTGTCAAAAACACGCATTCCTCTTCACAAAAGGAATTTGGTGTTGGGTGTTTGAACTTGATTCGAAAAATGTTTTCTATTTTTGGGACGGTTTTTGACGAAATTGTAAATTTGCCATGATGGTTATCAATTCGCAATAACCTATTCACCATTCAACCGATTTTTTTTATTCGCTAAAAATATGTATATGGAAAAACAGGGATTCTTGAATTTTTCTAGTGAAAAAAATATGGTTGCGGAATTTGAAAAATTTGAATTGCTCAGACTTCTTTTTTAGTGACTCGATCAAACCAAATGGACCATTTGAACGTTTTTTAACAGTCTGATTAAAAAAATGTAATTTTATATAATTATGGTTAGAAAACTCAACTTCTAACCAGTGTCTTTCTATACGTCCTCATCCCCCCCCTAAAAAAAGACCCTTAAAAACAGCTCTCTGAGTTTCGTCCAGGACAACGGTATATTTTCTATCACAATTTTCTTTAATTCAATCATAGTGTAATAAACTGTAATTAATTTGGTGTTTATGTAAAATCCGGGGATTTTTTTTGGATTTTGAGGCATATATCGTAACAATCGAGAAACGAATTTCAGATAGTCGAAGATCAAGCAACCGACTGTGCCGATTACGTGCAAGTTGTTCTATGCGACAATCCGTCGAAACACGGACTCGTGCCGGCTTCGATCATCATTCCACGTTAGTTGATTTTCTCAAATGCATGCAAAAAGCGAACAATTCATGTGAAATATTTGTCATAAATTGTAACCCTCAATTTAACGAAAAAAAACGAGAGAAGCAGATAATTGAAGACGTTTAATGGATGCCGGCTCGATTCGACTGCATTCGGATATTTAGCAGCTTATTTCGAATCATTTGTGCAAACATTAGACACATGCACACACACACACATATGCACAAATCGACGTCTTCATTTTGGCTCTTGGACGTTTTCGTCGTGCTCTCCGTTTTCATTTTCCTTATTTGTCTTCCAAGTATTTGCCTTTCGTTTTTCATTCCATTCGCCTCCTTCCTCCCACATTTTTTTTTTGGTTAGTAATTTGGCCAATTGGCATTTTGATAGAATCGCCTCTCATTTATTTTTGGAGGCTGCACGAAATATGGCCCACTCAATTCGTCTTCATTCCGGTTCGCCAAAATAATAGAAATTGTTCTCCGTAAAAATTTTCTGCATTAACGCCTTACTAGGATTTTTTTGAATTGATGGAAATCATATTTTTGAAATTATAGTCTCTTTCTGAAAAAATAAATGTCAGAGAGTCGATCGCCACAAAATCCAACTCATTTTTTGATAATTTAATCGTTTTTTTTTTCTTTTTTCTTTAATTTTGTTATAATATTGGGTTTTTAAAAATTTTCGTCGAATCTTCTTGATTTTCAAACATTCAGAGTTGGTAGCTTCGAAGACTTTTCCATACCGTAATTGAAGATGCGTGTAATTTTTTGAGCTGGGTCTCATTTCGATTCGTTAGTTCTCCGAATAAGACGTTCTATGCAATTGTTCGTTACGATGTTTGCTAGCTTTTCTTATTCTGCATTTTGACGTCCCAAATTTGAATATTGACGAGCTGAATGCAAATTCTTCATCTACTACTCTCTTAAATCGAGATATTTGTGCTGGAATTTTAAGAAACGCATTCTTCATACTAATTTTGGTTCAACAAATGATGGTAACTGTAGAAAAGTGCAAAACGCCGAATGCCCTTGTTCTCGTTCGTCTCTTTATTTAATTTTGTCCATGAGCTTCATTTTGGCGGCCCACCCATTCGTCCTTCCCACATCCACCCTTCATTACTAATTCCGTTTTAAATGTACACTTTTTTGTGAATGGAGTGCTACTTTCCGCATGCTGTTGCTGCTCATGCTGCTCGTTGAGTCGAAAGTTCTTACTCCATCCGCCAACTACTTCTTCCCCTTTTTTCTTTTTTGCCGATGAAGTCGATTATAATGGGCGTGCACATCTGGTTGGCGGTTGTGTTTAATGTGTGTGTGTGTGTGTGTGTGAGTTTGTGCACCATATTGCACAACGTGCTCTTCGTTGCTTGTAGTCGTTTCGATGGAAATGATGAGACAATTTCTATTGGTGTTTTCTTAATTCTTCAGCGGCTCGCCATCGCTTCGATTCTTAATTGCCTCTTAAGGCTGTCCGCCTTCATTTCGTATTTTTTTTTGTCCTAGACGTGACGTATCCAATTTTTAAAAAATAATGATGAGGGTCATTTCGAGTGAACATCACTCTTCATGAGACTATTTGGTCAAGCGGAAAATATTTGAGTGTGCATCGCCATCATATATTATCTCTTTTTTTTTTTCAAATTTCTGGAAACGCTTCTTTATTTGTAGGAAATTAATAATAAGGAGCAACTTTTTAACGATTTATCGATATTTTCCAAAAAAAATATATCAGGCCGCGATTTTTCGATATTTTTAACATGCTGTCGTATGCCAAATAAGAAATTGGCGATAATTTTATTTTCTGGCCGAAGAATGCCATCAAATTAATGAAAATTGTATGGTGCGAGAGCTTCATCGGGTCTCCCAAACTCATAAATCTTCCCGCGCCATCACACATCTTGTTCATTTCTTGTTGCCGACTATCCATTTCTTAACCAAATATGGAGAACTTGTTTTTTTTTTCTGAACATTATTCTAGCTCGAAATTTTCTATTCACAATTTTTTTGCTGAAATTTACAACAATATATTTATTTTTCTTTTCGTTGCAACAAAGAGACGAATTCCCGCGGAACGTTTGATTCTGGGAAATTTCACCGATTATCTCGGTCTCATTTCTCTCTCTCTCTTTCTCGATATCCCTTATGATTGAAACTCTGCTCAAACACTTTTTTCATGGGTCTTCAAAAAAAATTAAAAGTGAAGTTATTGTCCCTTTAACATCTCGTGATGTTTTCAATTATTGATCTAATTCGTAAAAGTCGAACCTTTTTTATTTTTTAGATTGGAACTTGACCTGGTAAATGTCCGCAGATGGATTTTGAATAAAGCGTAAACAAATCCTCTTCTCAATATTGTATTGCATTATGCTTTTGGTTGATCCGCGAGACTTCTGAGCAATTTTGCTAAAATTTATCATAATAGATTATAAATATTGATAATTTTTCCGAAATCAGCTATCAGACATGACTCAATTAATTGAATTTGTCGGTCTATTGCTATTCGCTGACATTTATTCCAAAAATTGTTAAGTAAATTGAGAGAAAGTCATATTTAAAAACTATTCTATCGTTAAAAAAACTAGAAATTCGAAATTTGTCATTTTAAGAACATCTCGTGACTTTTGAGAGCTGTCGGAGCATTATTATAAATTATTAAAGAATCGAGTCATGAGCTTTGAAGGATCAAAATCCTCTCTTGAACGAGTGATGACAACGCCGAAGTTGTCAATATTTTTGTTTTTGGTTCTGTCTTCGCCCAAGTGCGGAATAATGATGAATGACGGCGAATCGTTTCACTATTCTCCTTCTACTCCTCCCTTTTTTGAAGTAATTCAATTTTTTCAAGACATTTCCTTTTTGCCGCATGCTGCGTTTCTTTTTTTTATGTTTCATAAGAAACTTTGATCGGAGTTTCTCCATAATTGGTGTTGAACGGAATTCAGCGCACTAGTCAGCCGTTTTTTTTTTCGCACTAGCCAGCCGTTTTTTTTTCTCTCAATTTATTATTATTTCCACACTGATTGAGCCTTGCTTCTACTCGATATTGGTAAACAATCTTCCACCAAATAATTTGCTTGATTAGATTTTTTTGTTCGTGTATTCATACGATGTATTATTTCGCAATGCGCTCGTAGACGTGAGTTCTACGCAGATTTATGCCATCCAATGAAACCCTTCGAATTTTAGGTTACTTATAATTTATACCTGAATTTGAATTTAAATAACGAAAAAAAAATAATTGAAATTCCAATTAAAAAAATAAATAGTATATATACGGGAAACTTAATTTCTAAAATTTTGCTTTTACCATTTTTTTTAAAGGCACAATACGAAAATTGGAAAATTTCCAATCAGTTTAGTTTTTTGTGGGTCTCATTGGTTACGTTAAAATTTTCCCAAAAGTAAAATTTTTATATTTACCAGAAAACGGAAATTCAAAAATTGTTACTGTAATTGGCGTTGTTTTGGTGTGAGACCCCGACCTTCAAAGGAATCATTGATTTGTGTGTCGAGATTCTAGGATTTAAACGTTTTTCTAGTTTGCTCAAATCAATTTCTATTCACCTCATTCTACAACACATTTTTTTGTTGCTAAAGTCCATCGATTGATTTATCTCATAATTGTTGACTATAAAGCCGTCGTTTCTCTCGTGCCGTCGTCGCTCGCCTCGAATTGTTTGTAGAGAATCGCTCGAGACCTGTGATAACTCGCAAGTCTCAATTTGTGTTGTGTTGATGCCTGACGATTCTCGATGGCGATGATGCCTTCCTACCTATCTGAACTGATTGGTAATGGCGAAATCGGTGCGCCGCCGGGGGAAAATGGCGCTCGCGCGCGCTAGAGCAAATACCAGGCGCTCAGAGCAAAAGATTCACGTGCTTCTCTCGAACACATACACACATTTATATATATATATATATTTATATATATATATATATATATAGAGACACACGCGCGCACGCGAGCACATATTGAAACGGCAGAGCACCAGCACATAGAATCCACTCGGTTGTCTCGTTCTCGTATGGTATTTTTTTTATTCGCTCCCTTCCCGTTCTGAGCGCCGCGCAACAAAAAATGAGAGAGAAGAGTATCACCACGGGATCGGTGTGCGATTTTCGCCTCTTCATACGTTTTTTTTGAGCTATCTGGTAGATGCTGCTCCCGTCTGCTCCAGCTCCCTATCATCGAGCATCGGCTGCATGATGATCATCATTTGTGTTTGCCTATTGATCCGACGATATCCACGTGCCCATTTTTCGGCATTTCGAATTTTTTTTTCGAGAGACCGCCCGTCCCGATCACACGTCATTTTTATTGTGCTAATCGATAATGTCATGCGCCTTTAATTCGGACCATTTTGGCTACTGCATTTTTATTGGTGCCGATTCCCACATTAGATCGTTACGAGACCGACACGAGGTGCGCGATCTCCAACAAATACCTCTTGACTACCGTAATCCGAAATGAATAATCAAACCGGAAAGATTTGACGGCCTACATGCATACACATGTTTAACTAATCGCGTCGAGATTTTGCCCTTTAAATTTTTTCTAAGAAATCAGAAAAATTTAAAATGAATAACTCGGCAATTTCCGGAGGAAAAGAGCATGGCGACATTTGAAGTTTCGTCTTATTCTTCTCTCCATCAGCGGAATTATGCAAATTGTGAGAAAAAAAAAACGAAAGAAAATGGTGGGGTTGTGCTGGGCTGGTTGGTAGCGAAAAATTCCAATTATCTTAATAACCTTTTTTCTTATTTTTCTGCCCACTAGCTCTTCGTATTTGCATGCGGTATTCTTTTTGCGCTTTCAATTTTTAGAGTTTTTTTTTAATTAGGCGAATTTTATTTACTCTATGCCACCCATTTCATTCAATTCGTCTCGTTTTGTACTGAAATTCAATTTTCCCATTTCTTTAATTCATTCGACGCACGAATGGAGTGGATTACTATGACATTTTAATGATGCGGACGTTTTACGGGTTTCGCCTTGAATGGATATTCTCATCGGATACTGTAATTGTAAGGAAATTCGAGCGTCGTGACCTCACACGCGCTACAAGACCAATTATTTTTTTCGATAATAAATGAGCCTTTCGGATTACTGTAGTCCCCTATTCATTCGATGCTCTATTCATCTCTTCTTCGTTTAACTCCTTTCTATCATTGACCGCCTATCATTGTTTAGTCGAGCTCATCTTCGCGACTCATCACATACATATCAAGAAGCTCGGAAACTCGACGAAACTTCAACAAACTCGAAAATGCGTCGATCGCAGACCGTTGAGAGTGGCGAACGCAATGATGATGATTCGACGTCGAAAAAGTGCAGCTCGCCGAGCACTAAAAAAGAGCGATGGTCGTTCGCGATCAAGCGGCGATGGTTCTCGTCGTCGACGTCGCGACAGAGTCATGATCATCATGATGTCGCGATTGTGGTACCGCAGAAGACGACTTTGGGTGGATCGACGAGCGGAGGAGCAGGTTTTTGAATTGAGGGTTCCATTATGACAAATAGTTTCTAATTTTTATTAAAAAAAAAAAAGAACAACAGAAACGGAAAAAACATGATCTCTTTGTGTCGTTAAAAAAAAGATTCAAATCGATCCATTACTGTAATTTCTAGCAAAAGTTTTTATGTTTCAGCTGAATCCGGCTCCGTTCCCGACAGACCAGATGAATCGAGTGGATCAGCGGTCTCAAAACGAAAATCGTTACGGTACGTGATTTTTTAGCAACACCTTGATTTTTATCATTTCGTTTCGTTCAATGCATTTTATAAAATAACTTGTCTTTCGATTGTCGTGTGTTGACCGACGCTGTCGCAAAAATAACGCGCATATGTCAACTTGGCATTCTTTATTTTTTCCCGTTCTCTATTAGTTTTTTTTTTTTTCAAATTTTCATCTTATTATTGATCCCTACAACCTTTTTCTACGGGCATCCGCTGTTCTTTGTGTTTTCGAAAAAGTGTTCTTGAATATTTCGAAACGCAACCGGTTGGTCAAGTACTTTCCGTATTTGGATCGTTTACAGTCCGAATGGTTCAAGAGATTCGCATTATTCGCTAAAGTTCTCTTTTTTCGTTTTCAACGAACTGTTGCATTAAACAAACATTGAGGAAATAATCGGTTTGTTGCAACTTTTTCCATTCCATAGAAGTTGAGAATTCGTTGAGATTGAGCTTCACCATAGAAATCGTCGTGAAAACCGGTGGATATGATACCAGTTTGATCGTCGTTTTTACACTAGGAATGAGTCATGCATTTCGCATGAGACATTTTATTATATCTTTTATTATTATGATTCGGTATTCTGTATTCTCGTTTTTTGGCCCGTCGTCGGCTTCTGTGTGTGGCTCTCTCCGAATGTTTATTGTATTAGTTGAGGTGCGACGGAACGAAATGGAATTTATTCTGTTTGTGTGTGTGTGTGTTTTGTTTTGTTTTTTTTTTCCATTTCGCTGTTTTTGGTGCTCTGGCGGTTGGCAACATTTGCCCATATTCGGAAGGACACCGTCGCCCAACGAATAAGACGAACAAGAAGAAGGCGACTGACACTTGAAACGAGTTTTTTTTGGCTGCAACATTGTTTCGAATCGTCTACTTCTCATCGCCCTCTTGCGCACTATTCGCACACCCGTCACGATTTTCGCCTTTTCGTCGTCTTCTGATTGGGTTCGATTCGACCCAACTGTTTACTTTTTTTGCTATTATTGTTATTCCTGGTTGGTTAGTCCGCATTATTTCGGTCGAGGAAGCTGATGGAATGCCGTGCACAAATCTGATGCCCAACTTGAAGGCGAAAGTCAGGTAAAAATTATGCTCATTTTGATCCTTATTTGGATTAGACCTTGTTTTCATCCGATTCCTCACGGATTATTCTAGAATCTGACGTGCGAATTGTGTCACTGGTTTTTTTGTGTTGTTGCTCTAACTACCGTACCTTGGAATAATTTTTAAAGCGAATTTCGAAATATCCGGAATAGTCGGAAAATCGAATTCTCGTGTTCACACCCAGGTCTCATAGCGAATATGGTTCTTCTGCGATTTTCTTATTTCTAAAGTCGATTTTTTTATTATTATTTGAAATTTGAGACTTGATTGGAATCGTCTTTCGTTTTTGATGTTGCCGCAAAGAAATTGCTGGAATTGATTTTTTTCTAATGAAGTTCTTCTTCTCCATCATTCCTTCTTCTTCTTTTTCGTCTTCTTCGACTTCTTCTTTAATCAAATAAATGGGATTTTCGAAAAGACGAAATATATCAACCGTGGCTCTTTCAACGAATTCGCAAATTTTTTGGAACACTCCATTTCCGGAAAATGAGAAATTTTATTGGCTCCGCCCGCTTCTCGACGAAACTTTCACATCAGCTATTTTAAAAGATGAATCATTCCGAATTATTCAAATGCGGCGAATTTCCGTCTTAAGTGTATTCGCGCATTTTTTTTTCCACCCGTTATTCATCGGAGTGTTTCTCGAAATTTTTCCAGCAGCCACATGACGAATTATGTTATTGGTGGGTGGAGGGGGCAATTTGATTATTTACCAGGCCCGGAGGCCTCCCGATTCGAATCATCATCATCATTTGTTTCATTTTTGCGCATCGTCGTTGTTTCCATTTTATTTTATTTGTTCAATCCATTCTCTCGCCGCCTTCCTCGTTTTCGTCTTCATTTCAATTTAGTTCAATTAAAACTTTTTATTGATTTTTTTTCGAGTCATTTTAGAATTGCCAAATTTCGTTCGTTTTTTCTTGCTCAAAATTCCTCACCGGTTTTTCGATCGTCTTTTAAGTCAAAATATATGGTGTCAATGATTTTTTGGAAACATAATTCAAGTATCTTATAATATGAAAATCGAATTTGCTTGGAATTCATGAATGCCATCTTGACCCGACTGATTCGTGTTTTCCACTTTTGGTAACTAAATGAGATGGAGCACGCCGAATGCAGCCAAGTGGAAACGTTGGTCTTCTCACCTCGATTTCCGCTTGATGCTTTGAAAAATAGAAGAAGCAGAAGCAGCGTATAGGAATGTATACATGGTTGCTCTCATTCATTTGCATCCTTTCGTCATTTTCTCTTCTTTTCTTCGTTTTTTTTTCAAAACCAACCAATTTTGGCTCGAGGAGCTCCCTTAATGAAGTGCTGCTGCTGTCGGTGGTAGTGATGGTGCTTCTTTTGTTTTTTTTTCTCTTCGAAACCTCTCTCACAAACGAATTCGAAACTTTTGGGGCTCTACTGGAACGAATTTGTCTTCATTTTGTGGTGCCCACACCCACCGACCGATATGTCTTTCCGAAGGCGTTCATTAGTGACGTGATTGTTTCGCAGAAGCCTCAAGCTCATCATCAGAGACGAGCTAGACGAGCGTTTTGTGCATTCTTCTCACTCGCTGATTCTAAAAGGTTTTTAATCGAGTTTTCTTCGTCGCCGCGCGTTATTTTTTTTTTTTGTGCTATCGTCACTTTCTTCGTTTAATTGGTGCTGTTTGCGTCCTGCTTAGACCCCCCCCCGTCGAACAAAAAAAAAACAGCGCGAGCCGTTCCGAAACTTTGCATAAACACACGCGCATTTTTATATGTCGAGAAATGTTGTAAATCACCCGCGTGCCGCTCATCCTCTCTTCGGGGTTTTTCGGTTTTTATGTCTCCATTTTTGTGTCTCCTGGGGACCGGCCGTTCTCTTCGCCTGTTTTTAGGTCGTCCGTACTTTTCTTTTTTTTTTTCCTACGAAGCTCCCTTGAACATCACACTGATTACATGATTTACAGTAATCTAAATAGTCGATTTCCTTTAAAGTTAGTAAATGTGTGTAATTTTGCGTGCGTGCAGTTGCGGACAATCGTTGTTTCGTTGGTCCGCGCTTGTATCAAATTACAATAATAGTGTATCGTCGAGGAACAAACAACTTCCGGGATATGAAAATTTCAAATGATTTTCGAAGCGACTAATAGAAATTGAAAATTACCGTGTTTGAACTAATTAACGATCACCTAATTTTTGGGAAATGTTCAATTATGTTGATTTGTGTAGCGAAATTTAAATTTAAAGGACCATTTCGAAGAACTGCACATTTTTTGCGTTGTGTTTTATTTGTGGGACCCATAAAAAAAGATGCATCGCGAAACCTGTCAAATACATCATATAAATATATTTTTGTGTGTGTGTGCCGCCTATTTCATTTTCGCTTCTCCATCCATTCATCCATCCATCCATCCATCCATGCAGTCAACCAGCAAGCTCGCCGAGCTGCTGGTGTGCATGTGTGTGTTTCTGCAGTGGTTTTTTTCTCGTTTCTTTTCTTTTTGATTTATGGCAATCGGTTTGAGCCTTCGGAATCGGCTCCGTATCGCCCGGTAGCCAGCCCACTCCACACCCCCCCCCTCCTCCCGATTGGTTTCGGAATTTTTCTAATTAGCTGGCTGGCTTATCGAGACTCCGAATCAAGTCGTTTTCTTCTTCTTCATTCTTTTCGTTTTCGATTCGATGCTTTTGCTCCTTTTCTTCTTCTACTACTACTTCTTTTTTTTATTCGTTTGGTTGGTTGGTTGGTTGGCTGGTTCAATTCGATTTCATTTTCTCTTTCTTCGTTCGTTGCAGCTTCTTCTGCCAAGTGGAGCAAGTTTCGATGCTTCTTCTTCTTCTTCTTCGCCGACGTCTTCATCGCATTCTCATCCTCCCCTCCTACATCTTATTCGCGTTTTTTTTTCAGTGCACTTATGAATATTTTACGCCCTCAAGCGTTTCGAGACTCTCCTTCGCTCAACTAGTGGGCTCGTCCGGCTGTCTTCCAGTGTTTTTTAGTGTATTTTAATTGGATTAAATTTGTTTGGCCGAAGGAGAGACTCTTCTCTGCTACTTCTTCTTCGTCTTCTACTCCTTCTTCGTCATCTCCTCCATTCGCCCGCCTCTCTCCGGTTTTTGCAAGTTTTATGAGGTCATCAAATATGGTAGTTTTCGATGGATGCTCGAAGAGCAACGGCCATTTCGCGCGAGCCTCTTCAGAATTTATGAGCAATATTTCATTATTTGCATTTAAACTAATGCGTTTTTTTTTTGAAGTTGTTTCCTTTTTTGAAATCCTCAATTTTCGTCGAATTTTACGCGCATAAAAACGCCGTTGTTTTTATGATGATTTTTACGAGACATTATTTTCATTGAAACCACCGTAATCCGGACCCAGGGGATGCGCGATTTGCTTGTTTTGTCCGTCCCGCTGCTGCGGCGATTATCTTCGAAAAAAAAAGGAGGAGAAAAGGAAAGTGCTTTTTTGGTTTGAGTCAGATAATCCCTGCCCGCCCCTGCCATATATATATATTTATTTTTTGAGCACAAAATCGGTTTCCTTTTCGGATATTTTTTGTCAACTCTACTCTGACATCTCGTTGACGCACAAAATTGATTCGAATTATATGAATAATAATTTATATGCACGTCGGCGCTGCTGCTGCTGCTTCTGCTGCGCGCCGCCGAGCCCAATCAATCGCGCTTAATGTTGTGGACTTTTATCGGCATTCGATGAAGGTGTCGAATTCGTTATTTATTTCTTGCCGCGTCCTCGCCGATTCGAATAATTCATCACCTCCTCCCTCCTTATTTTTTTTTCTATTGCTTCTGGTTCTTCCCTTTTGTGATTTTGCAATGGAATTCGTCCATGTGTGCTCGAATTCCGTTTTTTGTTTTGTTCGAGGCGATTTTTTCTTCTCTTCTGTCTGCCTCTTGTGTGTGTCTGTTTTTTTTTTCATCGTCAAATGATGAATTCCTTCTTTTCTTGAATCTTTGTGATGTCCACACATCGAAATTCGTCATTTTTTTTTGCTTGTCTCAATGAAACATGGTTTGGCTTTGCGGAACTTCGTCTCCTTTAATTGGCCTTTTTTTGTGCGCTGGTCACCCACACAAAAGTTTCGATGCCCCCAAATTTTTTGCAGGCAATCTGCGTTGTGCGCCACACTCCACGACCTATTGCACAACGTTTTCATTTTTTTTGCTCTTTCTTTTCACTTGATTTTTCGAGCTCAAAAATAATATTCATGCTAGTTTCTGCAGCGTTGCGCAGCCGACATCCAAATTAAATTTGAATGAGAAAAACGAATGAAAAATTCGATTAGCTAGAGATATCGGTACATGGTAGTTAGCTAGTTATATTTTTAGATATTGGAATTTATATTTATCGCGTCTTCTTTCCTCGAGGGCTTAATTTTCTTGTCTCATCATCATCATCATCATCATTCGTTTCCTTTTTTGCTATTCGTTCGAAGCTTGGTTTTCAATTTCGAAACGAGGCTGCTCTCGTGCTGCGCTTCTGCTCATGGCTTCGACGACGGGACCTCGAAAATACCTAGACGGTTCGAATGTCTGCGTGTCGTTGAAGCGACGAGCCCAGCGGCAGTCATCCCGTCCCGTCCCCGTAGTTGTCGGACCCAACCGCACACACATACACACACACACACACACTTCTCATCTTATTCGCCTCCTCTTTGTCGTCGCTCGAAGCGGTCGGTCCCGTTTATTTTTCCTCGTCTTTTTCGTGTTTTTTTTTTTTGCGCTCCCCGTTTGCCTCAGTGGAGCTCGTCGCTTTTTGGCTCATACACATACATACATACACATACACATACACATATACACAGATAAACGGCAGCATAGGCACAATGGAAGCATAATGGAACGGCTGTGGATATCATAGGAATCTTATATGCAAGTTATATGGAAGCATAATGGAAGCATTTTTTTGCGGAACCGCGTGTTTCGTATATGGAATGAGCCGTATGCCTTCCATATGGGCAAATAAGAAAACAATTTGATTGCTGTATTCAAAATTTATTTCATATTAACACATTTATTTAATTTAAAATAAAAAAAAACAACAATGAAATGAATTTCAATTAAGATATAATCAAACCATTAGTTACTGGCAACTGCCGAACTATTCGAATCATTGTCAGTACTGACATCGAGCGGGACGCTGTAATAAGTAGAATTCATATCGTTCACACTTGGTTAAAAAGCCGTGTTATGATATTTTTAAAAACAACAACTATTGCTAAGAAATTAGGCAAAAGTCCTAATGCACATTTAACCTATCCTTTTTTCGCAAATATACGCTTGTAGAAAGAAACCGTTATCGAATTTTTACCTTTTCTCCACTTTTCCTAGTCGCTACACTTCGATTATAATGGGCCTATTAATTTGAAAAACTTGTAAACCATTGTTACGTAAACTAAATTTTTCGAGAAAATACAATCAGTTTTTTTTTACATCAATAATTTTCTTAAAAATAAAAATAATTTATTTTTATTGCATTTTTGGAAACCCTTTAGTGCACAAAATAAAAAGTGAATTGGCGGAAGAAAGAACAACTCCAAAATTTGAAGCAAAAAGGCATTTTGGTTAAAATTTCAAAGACATATGAATACTCACATCTGAGGGTTGCTGGTAGAATCAAGCAGCTTCCTTAATTGCGCCGCGAGCGCTTCCGGCGCTACACCAAATTTCCTTTAAAGTCGTTGGCGCATTCTATCGCTTAATCAAATAAATAAATTAATAGTCATAGCTCAAAATCTTACAGAAGATTATCCATGACTTCTCGAACCATGCGTAATGCTTTCGCTTTGAAGTCATTTGTCGGTTGTTGCCCAAAGCCATGGATAAGAACATCTGTAATATAGATATTTGCAATAAAGTATAGGATCTTTATATAGTCGGCGTCTGGCGACTTCTGTACTAGAGCCCCACTTAAAAAGATAAATGCCACTGAATGATATTGGTACGAAGGCTGTACGGCAATCGGAAATTTCGGCGATTCGGCTAATGGCAAATTACCGATCGAAATTTTCTTCGGCAATTTGAAAAACCGGCAATTTCGGCAATCGGCAATTCCATTGCCGCACAGCCCTGATTGGAACCAAATAATCAACAAGCTTTAAACTTAGGAAGTACTTTATAAAGACTTCATTGCGCATATTTTTCTAATTGAAACCATTTCTGGAGTCGAACAGGCCAATTTTTGATGATAACAACTTACAAATTGCGCGTACGAAGGTTTAGGAATTAGCGTTGATTTTGTTGTTTGTGAGGACTGTGGAGAAAAATTTTTTTGCTGAGTTGGCGAGTAAATTGGACTATCTGGATCTGAAGTGTCGAGCGAATTTGGTTCCATGTTAGGGACTTCTGGTTCTTTGTTATTGACTTCTAGAGCAGTTTCAGTTATATCTGACAACACTCTCGATCTTGTCTTCATCTGTAAAAAATTTCAAAACATTATGTTTTATTAAAAGAAAAAAGCGAGCGATAATAAAAAATATGTTAAAGTAAATAAAAATAAAACGGATTCGATGAGAAATTAAACACAATTCGATTGAGAAAATATTTAAATTCGATTTTAAAAGTGTCGGAAACGATTTGAAAACATCGTATCGATTTTAAAATTTTCGAATGATGATAAACATGAAAATGATAAACATGAAAATTTTTCCTTTATTTTTTAAAAACATTTTTCCTTTAATTTTGAAAAAAATTCTTTAATTTTTGACAAAAAAAAAAAACACAAAAAATCTTGAAAATTCATTGAGAAAAAGCAAAAGGACAAAAATTTTGAAAACGAATTTCGAAAATGTGAGGCGTGGCCGCATTGTGCAAAGCGGCGCACGGTTTTGCAATGCTGCGGCACGCCTCTTCTACGCGCGTCTGCTACCAGTTTGGAGCAAATTGTGAGTAGTTTGCGATGCCAATTTCGGAAAAACCGGCAAAAATATATTAATACGACTAAATTGTAGTTGGCAATCTTTAAACAAAGTAAGGAACAGTTGACTGAATTAACATAAATCTGAGTAGCATAAGTCATTAAATGGTAGAAGCTAAATTTCGCAAACACCGGAAGCATATTCATCCCGTTTTCATTCCATCCATATTCGTCCCATATTTCTTCCACAGCCACTAAGAATTACATTATGCTTCCTATATGGAAGCATTATGCTTCCGTTCCACAGATTTCCCACAATACTTCCATTATGCTTGCGTCGCGCTTAATCAGTGTACGCGTATTCACGTATATGGGGCGCGATATATAGAGAAGTGAGGCGGCGAGCTCGTCCAGCTCCCGGTCGGCCGGGGCGGCCGAATGCCGCAGCAGCCGCGGCAGCACACTTGGTTTGCCGCGACAAAGCGGTGTGTGGGGCCGACGGGCGGACGGGCAGGCCGGCGGGCGGTGCGAGAAGCAGAAGCACAAAGTTTTTTCCTGGGGGGTTCTTTTTTTTTTCGAATTTTTTTTGCCTCACCGTCTCGACGCCGTTTTCCTGCTTGTTGTTGTTGTTGTTGTTTTTGTTGGTTATTGTTGGTGGCGACGAGTCGACCGAGGGACACTAGAGAAGCAGAAGGGAAGCCCTGCAATTTGTTCAGTTTGAAATTTTCCTATTAGACGAAAAAAGATTGATTCGATCGTGGTCCCTTGGTCGGAAGCACAATTCCAAGTTCATTGCGGCTGCTTTCTTTTCACCCGTTTGTCTCGTAATCAAATTGAGCTCCTCCTCCTCCTCCTCCTCTTCCTCCTACTCTTCCTTTCCTCTTCTCTTCTCTTCTAGTTTTTTTTTTCTAACCCATTTTTTTTTGCTTCCTCCCGGATTTTTTGGTAGTGGGTTCCGATGTTGTCATATTTTTCCATTCAAAAATTGCAATTTTTGATTTTCAGACGAATTTTTGCCAATTCGAGCAAAGAGCGCTCATCACAGTCCAACGCAGCTTCATCGTCTTCGTCGTCAGCAGTGACGAATCGACAGTCGACGTCTGCATTGCCACCGAACGGACATGTGAGTTTTCTGTTCTTTTTTCTCTTTTTCATATTTCACAACAAGGAGATAATTTAACAAAAATGCCAATAGTAGTCGATGAGGATTGACTGATGTTTAACCATTTTTTCACTGATCTCTATTGAATATTTCCAGAAGACCGGTAGCGCTTTGCATAATATTAGCTGATGACCGACTAGTTCAATAGAACACTTCTATTATGTTTTTCGTGTTTTTTTTTTCTGTTCAAACCAGTCGACGCACCGATTTTTCCAGAAATTTCGAAAGATTTGATTTTTCCAAAATTGAAATTCTTTATTTACAGACGTCTTCCACCGCTGAATCTTCGTCTTCTGCTCAACAGTACCCGATCGGTGTGCTGTCATCCGGTGAGCAGCCGTCGACAGCTGCCAACAACTCAACGACGCCGTCGGTCGCCGCATCAGCAGCCGCTGTCACAACACCGCGACACTCGCTACAGTCCGCCAGCACGGTTGCAGGTATTTGCATTCGATCTTCTTCTTCTTCTTCTTCTTCTTCGCCTCGTTTTCTGATTTCCGGTCATTTTAGCTGTCGGAAGCTCGCAGGAAGAGGAGAAGCCGGAGGACAACCTCCCGCCTCCAATGCAAAACATCACGCTGAATAACACAAATATGGTAATGAGATTCATCTTTCTTGGAAACATTTGAGATTCCAGGAAGAGTCGACGAATGATGTTCCAGCTCCAGCCGCCGATGCCACCGGTGCGGCCGAGGAAGCGGCACCAGCTGTCGCCGAGAAGACACCCGAAGAGATGGCGAGATTCAAGAGACAGTAGCAACATTTTGAATTTGTCCCAATCAAATCCATACGCGTTTAGGTATGTCCTTATGGAGCTCGTCGAGACTGAGCAGGACTACGTGAGAGATCTGACATCGGTGGTTGAAGGCTACATTGGGAACTTGGAAAAAATGGATCTGCCCGCGGATCTCGTTGGAAAGGATAAAATCATTTTTGCAAATATTGCACAGATTTTGGACTTTCACAAGACGTAAGGATTCCATGTTGAGCTTTTCAAATTCGATAGTGTCGTTTCAGATGTTTCCTGAAAGAAATTGAGAAATCGACGGAAAACTATGAAGCAGCGGGTGCGGCATTCGTAAAATACGTAAGTGTGATTTATTTGGGGTTGTTCCCCTTCTTCGTTTTTTTTTTTCTTCGACTAGACACGCAGAGATGTTGTTGTTGTTGTTTAGGAACGCCGCCTGCACACTCTGTACGTGAAATACTGCCAGAACAAGCCGAAATCGGATTATCTCGTCTCGCAGGACGACTTCGAGGCGTTTTTCGCCGAGACGAAAGCCAAATTGGGGCACAAGGTGGCGTTGTGCGATTTGCTCATCAAACCGGTGCAGCGAATCATGAAATATCAGCTGCTGCTCAAGGATATCCTCAAGTTTACGGATCGCGCCAAGGATCGAAATGAGATTCTTCTCAAGGCGCTTCATGTGAGTCTTTTTCTTTGGATTATCGTTTCGTCCGTTCGAAGCCGGACTAAAGCATTTTGCTCTTATAAAGTCGAGTAAGTCGAAATTATCGAATTTAATCGAATATTAAATGATAGAAACTATTTAATAACTTTGTTTCAAGAAAATTATTTTATCAATGAAATGTTTTCAGCCCAATCCGGCTTAAATCTGATTTTTTTTTAGCAAATCACTCGTTTTAAGTGAAAAATCACTAAAATGACCAAAAACGATTTTTATATATAACAAATTACCTATTTTAGTATCTAAAATGGAACCTTTTCTTTTCGAAAACTTTTTTTTTAAATTAAGCTTTTCTATTCACATAAGAAAAATATTCTAAAACATTCAAGAAATTCTCCATTTTTTTGTAGGTTATGCACGTGGTGCCGAAGGCTTGCGATGATATGATGCAGGTTGGACGACTTCAGAACTTTGACGGAAATCTCGGCGCACAAGGCAAACTCATTCATCAGGGAACACTGCAGATCAGCGAATCGGCCGCTGGAACCACGCAGAAGCCGAAAGATCGCCGAATTTTCCTATTCGAACAGTCGGCGATTTTCGCCGATCACATTCCGCCGAAGAAAGAATTCGGTAATCCGACATATATTTTCAAAAATCAAATTATGGTGAGGTTGTTTGTCTTTCCAGCCTATTTTCTGCAATTTTAGGTGAACAAAATGGTATTTGATCCAGTGGTACCAGAGGATCCTCTGAGGTTCGTCATTCGAAGCTCGGACCCGTCGCAAGGAACGATGTTCATTGCCAATGCTCAGACACTCGAAGAGAAGGTTAGAAATAATGGCCTCTGGTGGTCCATATAAAATGAGAGTTTCAGGAGGAATGGGTTTCCAAGATCAGTGAGCAACTCGATCAGCAGAAGCGACTTCTCGCGGCGCTCGTTGATCCGAAACGATATATGGGAGGAGGAGACGATCTTTCGAGTGCAATGGGAAGTATATCAATGTATGTTCGAATTATTTAATTTTTTTTAATTTAATAATAAAAAATTCCCTCGAATGTTTTCTTTTAACTGAAATTGGAGTGCGACGAGGGAAAAAAAATCATTCTTAATTATTTAATGTTTTTTTTCCTTTAAAGTATATACTCAATGTTGAAATTCCTTGATTATAATTGTCACCAGAAGTGGGCAGAATTCCGTTTTCCGCGTTTTAGAAATTATTCTTTCCGTCCAACTCTGATTTTCGCCGTGACAGAAAAAAAACATTGAAAAATATTGTTTGGTTTTTTAGGGGACCACCCGGCGGTGGCGGAAACGACAAGAAGAACGCTCCAACATCAGCGCCTGCGAAGGCGGGCTCGTCGAAGAAGAACAGCGATGCGTCGCCGAAGAAAGAAAGCAAATCGAAATCATTGTTCTCGTTCGGCAAGAAACCCGCCAAGTCGCCGACGTCACCCCCGCCGGTTGGCAATTCGAAATGAGTTGTTTTGGTTTTTGGTTTTGCTCTGCCCTAATACCGTAATCCCTCGATTGGTGTGTTTTTCTCTTTCTCTCTCTCCCTCTCTCTCCGTTTGATCGTCGTTCATCATCTGTGTATCATCATGAGACAATCGCTGTGCTGCTAGTCATTCAATTAGGATATTCATCGGAATCGATGCGCTTCATTTTCGTCGTCGTCGTTGCCGTCGTCTCTATTTTCTCATGCGGGTGCCGAATCTTCAACGTTTCCGTACTACGTTTTTTTTACTTCATCCCAATTTTTAGGTCAACCAATTTTTGTGAGCACACACAATTGAGTTTTTCCCCCACATTTTGTTTTACATGTTCGCTTTTGGTATTCCAGATTGGAATTAGGTCCCACCACCCAAAAAGATACAGTGTCCCCCAGTATTTTTCTCTCTTACATTCATTTTTTTTAATATTTGACTACTATATACTGTTTCCAATTGGTTCCCAGTGATTTGAGCATTTTTTTTTTCAATGATTATCATATTTTTTCTGTCTTATTCAACTCAACATTCTTTTATTTTATTGATTGATTTGAAATAAATGGTTCGCTTTTGAAGTGCATTGCGGTGCGGTGCACTAATTATTGGTACAAATTGATATCGAAAAAAAAGTCTCAAGAATTGTGTTTAAGCTCACTGCCAACGCTTCTTGCGATTATCGCAAAATTCGAGAAGATGAGATCGACCTGAAAGCGGATGAGAAAGTGGATTTGTCGGTTTTTTGTTGAGCTCTTATTTCGATTTTAGGTGACAATTCGAGACGTGAAAAATGGATTTGCGCGTGTCGAGAAGTCGAATGGGACCATTGGAAAAGTGCCGAATTATTATCTACAAATCGATGAGATTCCTGGCGAGAATTTTGCCGAGCAAATCGAATATCGACGGAATTGGTATCGACGGGTTGATGAGATTCCGTGCACGACGACGACGACGACAGATGTCATCGCGGATTTTGATGTGATTCTGGAGATGTCGAAATGTCAGAGACCGGTGATTACCAAGGATTTAGAAGATGTTGAAGCCGTCGAAGGGGACATCGTCGAATTGGCACCGGTGATTGTTTCGCGTGAGTCTCGACGATTAATAGAACACATTTAAATCACACTAGCATACGAAATTATCGATAATTGGTTGATAATCAAATCGGAAAAAAGGTATTGAAACGATTTTAGGGTCAATGCGCCTTTAAATTACTCATCATATCTTTTTTCTCAATCAATTATTAAACCATTTCAATTCAAGACAAATTTAGTGGAATCTGTGAAGAGTGAAATCGCGATTTTCCGTCTTTTCTTGTCATATTGCCCAAATCGTTGACAGACTTGTTCGTCAAGACCACTGCAACTAGGAATCAGACAAAAATTGTTTAAAAAAAATGGATAGTCTTAGCCATTTTTATCCGATTTTAATTCATTTTTGTCGATTTTCCCAGTTGCAGTGGACGACAGACGAATTCGGGAAAATTTTCGAAACTTCTCGTTCGTCTAGATTCAATTCTTATCAATTTTGTTCTGCGATGATCCGGTTTATTATTCTCATCGAACATTCTAGAATACCTCATTTTCCAGACACCGATTTCACAATTGTTTGGCACGGGCCGGCCGTCGAGTCGAAGCGGGCTCGAATTCAAACGAACGGCTCCGAGAGCCGGCTGATTATCGAACGCGTCAATCGAACTGATATTGGCGCATATTCAGCGATCGCTAGGAATTCATTCGGCGTCACATCGACAGTGGCGTTCTTGAATGTGATTCTAATACCTGGTATATTTGCATCGTTGAAAATCGATCGGCATAACGATAATGTTCAGGAGCACCGGAAGAGTTTGTCGGCAAAATCAGCGGGGATCACGTGATTCGGTTGAAGTGGAAACAAGAAATCGGCTGGAAATATTGTATTGAATTCAAATCAAAAGGTTCATATTGATTATTCTTGTTTTTAAAGTTGACTATTAGAATCGGAAAACGAGTACGAAAAATTTACGGTGAGTTTGATTCGCAGGTTATCAGTAGTACGGTACCCGAATTCCCATTGTTCAAATCGAAATTTGAATTACCGCCTGAAAATGTGCGATGGTCCAAAATTTTGCACGCAGTTCCGTGAATTCTCAATTTTCTCGGGATGGTTGAAATGTTGCGATGGCACGAATGTAGTCCGTTTCTCAAAAAAAAAGTGCCTTTTGTAAATATTCAATGTCGGCAGACGCGTTGCGGTTTGCGTGCGCTCCCGTTTAATTAAATGTCACTTTTTTTTCGAAATTCGTCATATAAACGTGGGCCGGAACGCGCATGAGCTACAAGGTCCTACAGCGAAAAATGCTGATAGTCACTTTTTTTCCGGGAAACACCCTATATTTGGAATATGATTTGCATAAATAGTAAATTGATTACAGACGCTGACTCGTTTTCGGTGGCTTCTACGAACATCACCAAAGCCCACGTGTCCCTCCGAAATTTCGTTGGCGATTTCTACACGTTCCGCGTGTTCGCTTACAATCATCGGGTCCGTAGCGATCCATCCGCTTGTGTCACTGTCGATTTCCACAAAAATATTGTCAATTGATCTCGATGCATTGTGTCTATAAATTTTTTAACAAACTTTATTTCTATTTCGAAAATTTGTTGCGGGCTTATTGTGGAAAAATGAGGAATGTGAAAAACTGCAGCAATATCCTATGCATTGTGTGCGTACACCGAGTGTCGCATCTCCATCTCAGCTACAGTAATCTCAACTGAAAATTATTTATAGTCGGCGTCCGGCGGCTGCTCCATGCGGGTAGATTTACGGGAATGCGTCTTTCGAAATGTTCTCGCATCGACTAACAGGTTATTTCAAATTTTATAGACCGCTTCGATAATTTTTAATTGAATGACGTTGGAAATTTAAGAAAATGCGAAACTCATCAAGAAAAATGAAGCAGTTCGCGAAAACAGCAAATATAAGCATTCACGCGTGGCGAGACCTTTTGAAGGCGCATGCGCGTAAATCTACCCGCGTACAGTAGTCGCCGGACGTCGACTATAAACAAATAATTTTTTAAATTTTCTTTCTGTGTTTTCTTGCTGAATTTATGGTTTTATGTATAGTTGTGTTGAAAAAGTGTAATAGTAATTATTATTGTATAATATTCAAAATTAATTGCTTTAAATATGTAAAAAGGAAGAATCAATAATTAATTAAATAATTTTCAGTTGAGATTACTGTAGGTAAGATAGAGATGTGCGACTCGGTGTACGCCCACAATGCATAGCATATTGCCGCAGTTTTTCACATTCGTCATTTTTCCACAATAAGTCCGTACGTCGTTGATGCTTCATTTATAGTAAAGTACAACAAAATGTAATATAAATATATTTTATCGAAAAAATATTGCATTCTGACAATTTATTTGCACTTGGCTCGAATTATTAGATGGTTTTTATTGCAAAACGACAGAATTGTTAGGAGGGATGAAGGGAAAACTCGCATTATTAGTAGAGTGGTCTGTCATAACCAAAATCAAGGAGCAAACACATATTTAAAGAAATAATTTAACGAGTAAATTGTCTCGGTGGAAACCCTGATTCTGAACACAAAATTTAAAAAAAAGGAAGGAAGGCTTGCGAACAAAAAGTAGAAGGAGATGAAGGTTGGATTAAAAAACAAAATGAGATGCACCACAGATGCTAAGGAATAAATTCACAAATGTTGGTCTGGCTGCGAATTGGAACCAAGTCTCGAAGTGAAAATTGTGTGCTCAGAACGGGGAATTTGCGCGACTTGATTCCGATTCGATCGAATTATTATTATTATTAGAGAAGGCATTCACACTTATTAGAAGACGAATTGGGACGATCGTCGTCGCTTAGTTGATCGTTCGAAGGCCGCCGCGAGCGCAGTACATGATGACGTTCCAGTTGGAAAGGCAGACGAGATCCTCCTTTTCAAGCGAGCTGACGCGATCACCGGACGGTGCGGTGTTGCACATGCGAAGGCAGCGATCACCGACGCCGAGCTCGGGATTCGACATGCCGAGATGCGAGCAGCAGGCGCGGTTATCGCGATTCTGATTAGCGCAGTATAGGATGGCCGACAGGTGCTGAAATGAATCGTGATTGAAAAAATTGTCGGCAAACACGAGGACGGCGTTTGGCACGAACCTTCATGTCGCAATGCTCTTGCTGAACCGCCTGGATGAGGGTCTCGGCGGCGACGTGCTCGCGATGCTCGTACGTGCACAACGAGTGGCATTCGGCGGGAACCTGTTGACGACAACACGAGACGAACACGTCGTCGGCGGATTTGCGCGACAGGCACGGCGAGAACGGCGGCTGCGATCGCTCGGTGCCGCATTCCGACGACAAATCGGCGTCGGTGATCTCGGTGATCGGGTACTCCGAATTGAGGAGTTTCGCGTCGCCGCTCATCGGCGCCCGACGAATGTCCTTGGCGTCGATGAAACGCTCTTTGAGCTCGCGTTCGACTTGTCCGATGACGCGCGTCGTTGTCGATGAGGATTGCGATCGTGGGCGTGCCTGAAATCGCTAGTTTCCGAAACGCCCATTGAGCAGTTCGAATCGAAATACCGTAGTCTCTGTAGGGGACGCAATCGTCTCATATTTCTCCAGTTTGTGTGGACACTTCTCCGTAACATAATCGATACAGCCAGACATACATTTATCTGAAATATGTCCGATATTGGTTATGGTAGGAATCGGTCACATCGGATCTCGAGAATATTCGATCGTCTAATTGTTTCGGCCTTGAGCCTCTATTATACTTGGAAACACCGAATGTGCATATTCAATGGTGGTGCATCTCTCTCTCTCTCTCGCACACTCAATGGATTACTGTAACCGCCCGACGGACCATACACGTCATTTGACCTCGGTATTTTTTTTCGTGTTTGCCAACTCACCTAAGACACGTTGAGTACAGCACAATACTTTTGGGATTTGCTCGCAATCGGGCAACTTGTGCTCGGTATATACACAGGGAATAATTGAGATGGCGATGAGAATAATAAGCATATTGAATGGTGATACTGCAAAAATGAGAGTTGATGCAAATCGAATTGAATCGAATCGAACAATCGCTTACTATGATTATTTGTAGGCGAATAATATGGGTACGATTGGTTGATTCGTGAACGATTCGCGATAGGAATGACGAGGCTTATTTGCTGGAAAAAAGACCGCCACCGCCGCCGGAGGAACTCGAGTTGCCGGAGAAGACGCTCGACGACGAATTGCTGTTGCCGAAGCCGTATCGGTCCTACAAATGCTTTTATTAAGGTGGATCAACGATGGGCGGAGCTGATGGTGAGGTTTTGTGATAAAAACTTGATATTTTCACTTTCGATTCCCGGATTTCATTGTTCTTCTCGAACCACAAAAAGACGAGAATCGGCGAGGAGAAGGAGATGATTACGGGGCCCCCGGTGAGATGAAGCTTCATGGGAGGAGGAGGGGTGAGGTGAGAAGCGCCACACGCCGCCGCCGCCGCCGCCGAAAAGTTGAGATACCGTCTGCGGACAATTGCCGGATTCAATTGTCCGCAGCACGTTTTGTGTTTGCGGCATTTTGTCGCAAAATGATTGATGTGACGAAGACAGCTAGCGTGTTCGGAATTTCATTCCGACTCATCCCATCCGTCGCGTTCCCCTCCGCTCCCCTCGCACTTGGCACCGATCAAATCGAATCGCAATCAACTCACGTTATTGTTTCTGTTATTGTTGCCGAACATGCCGCCGCCGCTGCTGGACTTCTCCATATAATCGCCGCTGACGCCGCCAACGCCGCGCGTAGACCTGAAACCAAAACGAATGGGATGAATGACGATGATGATGGCGATCCGAAGAACGAGTCTCGCGTTCGCTTACCAATTGCCGGAACCGGTGCCAACCGAGAACGTCGACGCGCCAGTCTGTGGCTGAAGATCGGATAGAGCAAGAGCAGCGCGTGGTGATGGACTGTCGGGAAGCATTGTTGAGCTGAGAGTGGTTGTGTGGTGTTGAGTTGATTTGTGAGTTGTCTGGAAAAAAACAATACGTTAGACGGGGGTTGGAACAGCGGATTGAAACGAGAGTCATCATCGACAATTGACAAGAATACCAAAAACGGCGATGACCTAGAAAAATGGAAGAAAGGGGCGAGGCACGGCGCGTGATAGTGGCGGTCTTACAACGAAGTAAACCGATGGTGGATCTCGAGGCGAACGAGAAACTCAAGAATGACTCTCTCAAAAAAAAAACAAACAAAAACCGAATTCGCTTTTTGAATGGAAGAGAGAAGGAAGGAGGGATGACCGAATGGAATGGAATGGAATAGGCAATCGAGTCGAGAATGGCTTCGGCAGCCATTCGTCGTCCCTCCCCAAAAACGTGGTCCCGTCCACATTTTTTGGAGGGAGAGGGGGTGGCGATCGGAACCAACTATATGATATCATGACCGCCACCATGTTGATGATGGCAACAAACGCCCGTTGTGGTGCGCCCGCCCATTCCGATCGTGCAAGTTTTTGCGGGGGGGGGGTCCTGTCGTCCCGCCCCGCCCATCCGCTCGCACGCACACACACACACAATATCTCGAAAACTATTACGACATATCAAGCATAATAAGAACACGAATAACAATAAGGATCATCATCATCATCATCATCGCATCGCATCGCATCGCATCGGCATCGTCGGCATCATAATAAAAAAGAAAAGAAGAAATTCTGGTTCCAGGAGGCCGCTGGAATGTTGGGCGGATGGCAACAGCCGCCGTCGAAGCTGCAGCGGCTGGTGCTTGAATTCGAGATGAGCTCCGCCGCGCGTGATACCCAGAAGGTCTCGCGGCGACGTGTCGCCGATCAAGAGCGCCTCAATCGGTTTTGATTAGGTAGATAGGCACGTTAGCCAGCTGGGATGGTCGCGACTGGTACGGCTGTGCCAGGAAGCGGCGATTGCGCAATTTTCACTAGTTTGTCAAAGCCGTATCTCTATCATCATCAACATCATCAGGCGCCGTCATCTTCATCATCAAGCGCCCACCCACCTCAACAAAATTGGTTTATTTTTGTTTTCATTTCTAGGTCATGGCTACTCGAAGACACTGATGATGATGATGATGGTGGTGAGGAGAAAAATGCTTTCTGCTATTCGATTCGTTCAGTCGAGAATCGAATACGCACGCACGCGCCTCGAAGGTCGCCGCGAGCATCACACAGAAATGGCACTCCGACGCTAAACCTCTTCCTCTCCACCGTATCTCGCGCTTACTGTAATAGTACAAGTCGAGTGTATGGGCGAGTGCGTTCGCCACCTTGACCTGTGGCGGAATGCCGAGAGATAGGTTTTTGGAGAGATTCCCCCCCCCCGTGGGCCGTGCATTCCATTCCATTCGCTCATCACACAAAAATTTGAATGGTGATTGGCGCAAGGCACCAAAACCGAACGCCACAAACGAATAAAAACTATTGGGCTCTCAGACAGAGATGAGAAGATGAAGCAATTTGATTGTGGCAGTCGCGCGACCGATCATCTTGTTCGAGTCGAGAGAACTGGCTTCTCCGTAACGTCGGGTTTTTCGGGAGACGAGCAAAGATTATCTAATGCCAACATCGTCTTTTTGGCGCGCCAGGAATCCCGGAGAATCTCGATGAAAAAAAACCCCCCACTCGGCGATCATTTTGAATGTAGTCTTTTCATTTTTCTTTCAGATTCGACTCGTTCCGAATTCCAGACGAGCTCTGAACAACAAGAGCGGAGCGTTACCTGAACGTGAACGATTCGCTGCGTCACTTACCCACTCTAGACGTCTGCCTCAGCCTCGTCAGTTTCAGCGCCCAACATTTCAGTGATGATTTTTTGCGTTTTTCAAGAAAAAAAAACTTGAGAATGATGAATTCAGGTTCAGTCGATTTTTGACGTGCGAGATCTCGAAATTTGAGGGAGTCGACTAACACAGAGTATTCCGCCGAATGTCCAATATTCTTTTGTTCGCTTCCCAAATGCTTCGGATTTCGAAAAAGAAGGTTCATAGAGTTTGCCAATGGCATAGAAAATTCCGAACATTTTACGCAACTTAATCATTGCCATCTTATAAGCTGCTTCTTATCGCTCTTGGATTAGATGTCGAACCATTGATCTCTTTCTCTCTCTCTCTTTCTCTCTCTCTTACCTTCTATCGATAAGACCTGAGGACATTTGACCCTGTGAGAAGATCAAAACACGTTTTTGAAAAGCTTCAGGTAAAAACGATCGAATGAAATCTGAGATATGAGAAGGCTCTCCACGAAGATTCAGATCTCCCAAAAAATCTGTAGTCGGCGTAGCGCCGAAAAATTCCCGATGGATGCCATTCCTCATTCCATCCATCGTTTTGTTTTCGACAATTGCCATCCGAACGCATCATAGTTCCGGAATTCGGTGTCATCTTGAACAAAAAGGAAGGCAGATGCAAATCGGATCGTGTTTTGAGAGAAGGCGGCTGTCCGAATGTCGACGAAGACCATGGAGAAGCCGAAGATGAAGCCGAAGATTGATAGAGAGAGAGAGAGAGAGAGACGATGAAGCGAGTTCCGTGTTGGCAATCTGCCAACAAACAATCCCATTGTCTTCTTGTTCATCGCGCTCCTTGTTCTTCATCGGCCATCCGAAACCAGCCGGTCATAGAGAGAGAGAGAGAGAGAGAGAGGATTGCTGCAGCGATCCGTGCCTCTTCTGCTGCATCCACAAATCCAATCATTCATTGGCAGGCAAAAAGTAGGCCCCAACCATCGGTGTTGTGCAAGATCCTGATCCATGAGGATGAGAACATCGTTTTGTGTCGGGAGGAGAAAATTTGATAGCGCGCTTCGATTTGGCACGTCGGGCTTTCTTTGCCGACGGACGACATCCCTCCGAGAATATCAATTTGATCCATATCGCCGGGCGGGCGGCATGCTGCTGGTGTGATTCATGTGATGTCGGCGATTGTTTTTCGGAGCCCCCCCCATACATCCTCTCGCGTTTTCTATCCATTCCTTTCATCCCTACCGTATCTTTTGTATATCGCCGATGGCCTTGGCACCACGAAGAAAAGGGGGGGGGGCGCCCGCAAATACCTCCCGACGGTATGAGATTATTCCGGAAAAACGTGACTAGTCATCAGTATCACAAAAATGACGTCGAGATGAATAGAATGGTGATGATGATGATATACATATGTGTACAGTGGTTTGACCATAAGAGATATTCAAAGTAGGCGATTCGACGCTGAATGGAAGGGACCGAAGGAAGTGAGTCGAATTCGAAACCCAGATGACCTTACAAGTGCACCATTCAATCGCGATTTTATCTCGGTTACAAGTTGCGTTGAAAACTATTCGAATGACATTGCAACTTCTTGTGGCAAGTGAAAGTCGGCTAGCCGCGATGATCGTCGTGGTGCACAATCAAGGTTTCGTGCGTGGTACGACGATTTCGACGATTCGCGCGATTCCGATCAACACGGTTTGACACGGAACATTTTTTGGTTGATTAGTAGAAAATGAAGGGAAAGAAGAGAAGGTGGCGCGAGCGAAAGGAATGGGGGGGGTGGATTGCCAAGCGGAATTCCAAGACAAACCTGAATTTCCAGGAATCGTTTGATGATCAACGGAAACTCTGAAGACTTCTGAGATTTTTGCTAATATTCCCCAATTTTACTCGAGATTTCTCGAGCTGTCTTGTATGATCTCGACATCTTAAAGAATATTGAAAATCCTGAGAATTGAATTTTTTTTCAGAAACTATAAGCTCCTCGAATTCCTCGAATCTTGCAGACATTTCCGAAATTGCCACCTGCTCTATTGAATCCAGATAAAGGCCTCTTCGATTCTTGATTCCATTGGTTCCAATCCTCTCATATCTCGATCCTTCGAGAATTACCTCCAAACTGCGATAGCACTAATCAACCTGTGAGATCTGAATTAGTGGTAATCTTCAATTTGGAACCTCAATCGGAGGAAAATTGTTTTGGACAAAAAAAAACCCGAGAATGGTTGACCTTATTTCTTTATTTTGGCCAAGAATTCTAAAATTGGAACGGCAAAACGAAAACATGTTTTCGTTGAATCCAACCAGGCACACATTCGGAGCCGATGACGTTCTATTTGGAAGGCATCGAATGTGATTCAATCATTGAAGTTTGATCTACTCGAATGCTGATTGCGAAACGAAACATATGTGACAAAACGATATCCGCTGAAGTATTCGTGATAAATCCATGCTGAGAAAAACAAACACAAACGGATACGTCTGCGATCAAATTTCGTATGATTGCGCAAATCGAAGGATTCTGTCGATCGTTGTGGGACCAATCGAGTGGAGATTTCACGTGAAACAAACATGGACCATTGCATGCATGTCGACTGATTAATATCAATGCAGATCTAGGAATTTGCAACAATTCGCGTTGGCTAAGTAATAAATGCGCGTACGATAAAATGCAGAGTACGTAGACACGCGCACGTCTCGTTGTCTCGACACACCGTACCCAATACATATTTTTTTATTTTGTTGAATCATTTGAAAAAAAAAATGAAACCGACGATATGTATTTAGTTTGCCCGTAAACATTGTCATGCGACAAACTTGCCGAAGCGTTCTTCTTTCAATTAGTGGCATCAAAAGCCGATCTCAAATAAATAACGAAGACCTCCCATGTTTCAAATAGCTGCCAAATACAACATTTTCCTTCTTCTTCTTCTTCTTCATCTTCTTCATCTTATCCTTTTCCGAAGCAGATTTGAATTACTCGTCGCTATTGAGTAATGGATACCAGTAAAGGCGGATTGATGGCTATTGTTCCCTAGAAAGGTCATCATTCGTTCAGGAAATCAATTATCCTAAATTCAATCACCATACTAGAGGCTACAATGAATGTTGAACATTGTTCAGAGCTGTCCTTCTCGCGATCCACTAGGATCCACTCCGTTCCCGGATTGTATCAATTCTCGGATTTGCCAGTCAACGAATCGCAAAGTGCGTATGCTTATGGCGTTCGCTTTTTCTGTCTTGTTGTTGCACGTCCGATCCGTATTCATGCCCGAATCGAATAAGCCTTCGACGCGCGCGCGGCTTTTCACTTTTTTTTTTGTCATCCAACCATCCGATGGCCATTCGATTCATCGCCTTCATCTCATTCGTCTCCATCCTCGCCTTCTCATTCGATATCTGAGTTCTCGACATCATGCAATATGCATCACTGGAACAAGGACATTTTGGCAGGATGGCGACGACCAACAGGAAAAAGTTCGTGCGTCCGATGCGTCCGAATGCCGATAAAACTAGCTAACATTTTCGGTGATATGACATAATTCGGGCTGTTTTCTTGTTGTCCGACGATTTGGGTGTGTGTGTTTTTTCGTTTTCGCAATCGCTCCGTCGCTTCTCGTCCGAGAGAAACACTCACACTCACACACGCAATACCTCGTTCATAATTCGGTTTGATTTTGTCGCCTAGCGAGTTCTTTCCGCAATCACGTGTGCTGTACACATCGCTAATTTCTATACAAATGTATATACGTGTTTTTTTTTCGACAAGACGGAAAATTTGATCGAAATTTGGTAGTTCCGCCATGAGTCACACCAAGTCAAAATCCAACAGATGATCAAAATTTGGTCGATAAAATGAGGTCGTCGTAAACATGGAGTGTCGTTGGGAATTGAGATGCGAGTTTCCTTATAGTGATGGTTTCTGATAGAGTTCGAGAACCGGTTTTAAAAAATTTTTTTAATTTGTATAGCAAAAACAGAATTTTTATTTGGGGGTTTGATTTTTTTTTAATGATACAAAAACGTTTGCAGGGATAATTTATTGAAATCGAATTTCAAAAAAAATATCATTTTGATGATTTGACAGTTGAAATCCGAGGGGAATCATGGCATTCATGGGATTCGGACACCTCATTTGCTTATTGATTTTTTCAAAAAATGAGAATATAAAACATACGCAAATAAAACAATACATTGAATTAATTTGGAACGATTTTTGGTTTGCGAAGAAAAAAGAAAATGAGCAACTGATTTGGTTTGAAGCCATTGGATATCTTGAATTTTTTTTAAGATTTCCGTCTAGAATTTGTCTATTCATTCCATCATGAAAAGTCGAAAAATTGGAATTTGCAAACAATTTTCGTGTTCTTGACAAATATCGAATTTCTATGCGGTTTGCATGCATAATGAATGATAATTTAATAGGCATATTCTGCAAATTGGAAACCATCGATTTTCTGAAATTTTTCGAAATTTTCAACGCCGTTGAATGCAGAAAAAAACGTTTCAAATTTTGTTCACAATTCGAGTAAATTCACGAATTTCTGAAATAATTATGGGATCGACGAACACGTGCTCATAAATTCGAATCACATTTTTTTCTTCATATTCGATCAAAAAAAATGATAATACAAATACCATATTTATTGTAAATATTTTATTCGGACTCAAAATATTCATAATTTCGTAAATAATTATAAAAGTTTTCAGAGCTGCGAACATTTGACATTTCGTTGAATGTCCGCAGATGCAAATTCATTTTAAATTTGCAATTTCTGTTGGAGATATTCGGACCAGTTTGGTGCTGAGTTCCTTCGTGGTCATCGGGACCATGCGATTCTGGCATTCAGGGTACGAAATCAGCAAGGCACTTCTCACGACCTGCCGTTCATTGTCCCGAAGCTTTTCGACGATGTCGTTCGAATTTTAAGCTCAGCGAGACTTGGATAAATGAGATTTTAAGCCCAGCGAGACTTGCATAAAATTCTTCTAAAAAAACAATTCAAATAATAATTGTCTCAAATAGAATAATTCTATTTTAGGAAATTGATTTTTTCTCTTCCATTTCTCGAATTTCTCGTGTCAAAATTTTTGTGGCCATAATTTGTCCGCAGATAAAATCTTCATAGAAGGAAGGTCGAAAATTGGTTGGCCTTGGAAACGAACGAGAATCAATATACGCGAATAACTGAGTGGAATTCGCAAGAACCAATACGGAGTAGAAGAAGAAGAAGAAGAAAAAAACGACTCGTCGCCACACCGAATTGCGCGGGTGACCGGCACCGACGCGCAACCACAACAGACCAAAAAAATTGAATTCATCGAAATTGTGCTTTTCTCGAGAATTCATTCAGCAGCCCAAAAAAAAGAATCGACAAGGTCGAGAGCGGTGTTTGGGAGAGGCCTTGAACTAAAAACGAGATGATGAGAGAGAGAGAGAGAAAAAAAACCGAAAATCATCGAATATTAGCCGAAAATTGGAGGCAATGGATTCACGTAGAATGGGTTCGACGTCGGGAAATTCTGTCCGATTCCTTGTTGGCCGCCAACCACTGCAATAATGTTTGAAATCGAACAGTCTTGTTGATTTGAAGCCTAGGCAGACTAGAAAATGCACGGATCAAAAAAATGAATGTTATTGAATAGTTTTAATAAATTAGATTAGTCATTTCGGCTTACTCGACCGAATATGAATGGTCCGGCATCGAGGGACCGAACCAGAAGAAATCAAAAAATGGAGTACCTCTGTTTTGGCTCGGAAATGAGCCACCCGTTTGGTCCTGACGATTTCCAAAAACGGAGCCGCCGCCAGAAAATATTCCACCTTCTGAAATGAATTGAATTGTGCTCAAAAAAAAAATTTTGTGCGAATTTTGTCAAATATTATTCAATTCTTACGCCCTTGGTTTCCAAAGAATGACCCAGTTGGTTGTGGTTGCGGAAATCCGGTGACTGAAAATGAATTCGTATCAGTTTGCGCTACTACTAGATTATTTTTTGGAAAAATTTCGCCTAATTAGGGTCGCTGAGTTGGCCGAAGTTTCTCGAAGCGAAAAGTCGAACGATTAGAGATCAAAAGTTTGTTTTGTTGAATCACGCGCGACAAATTAGGTCACGAAATGACTACTTTTTTTCTTGCAAACAATACCTTGACTACCGAAGAATGAACCTGCAGGAACAGGGGTTGACGGTTCTGCAAATTTTCATTTCAGATTCTAATCATGTTGAACTCGATTAAAATTGAAATTATACACATTGGGCGTTTTTTTTTTCACAAAATCGTGTCTAATATATATAGTCGTCGTCCGGCGACTGCTTCACGCCGGTAGATTTACGTGCATGCGCCTTTCGAAATGGTCTCGCACCGACTAACTCCTTATCTTGCATTTTTGAAGTAATTCAGAAAATTTTTAATTTCATTGATATTAAATATTCAGCGAAAAAAAACAGTTCAGGTGAAAATTAAAAAATAAGCATTCTCATGTGGCGAGACCATTTCGAATGACGAATCCCCGTAAATCTACCCGCATATAGCATCTATAAACTTTATAACTTTCCCATTAAAAAAGCTGTTCCGAAAAAGTGGTCCTAAAGCAAAAAGGTCAAATTTTGAAATGCGTCAACGTCTTTTTATTAACTACAATTTACATATAGTCAGCGACTGATGTATGGGGGTAGATTTACGGTCGCTGACTAGTTATTTCGAATTAATTGGCTGATCATTTGTTTTTGTTTTACACCTATTGTACAATGATAAATGGATAAAATTTGAAATTTGAAAATTAAAAACTAAAAAATCCGCACTAAATTCGCTCTAAAGTCTTTCGTTTAAGGACCATAATGATATGCGCCGCGCAAGAAAAAATTTCTCCTCGTTTTCGCGCACTCCGTATCTCGTTTGTTTTTTAGATTTCCAAGATCTTTTTGCTGTCGTTGTTGGTGGTTTTTTTTTGTTGTTGCGAAAACTGATTTTAATCTAAATATAAATTCTTACGCAATTGATTGCCACCGAAAACCGGTCCGGTTGGTTGCGGGCTTCCAGTTTGAAGCTCTGCAAATGAACCGTTTTTCATTTTCAGACTTCTTCGAGAACGCTACCTCGATTTCCGAAGAATGAGCCGGTTGGTGGCGGAAAAGAAGGTTCTGGAAAAAAACGAATTTAAGAGCGAATCGCGAAAAAATAAAGTTTGAATTTTTTTAAATTTGAAATTCAAAGAAATTGAACGAACCATTTCGATTATCTAATCCGCCAATATTATTTTGATTTGCTGGAACCCTGGTGGGTGGTGGTGGCAATGTTTTTGGTGTAGATTTCGGGGGAATCGTCGACGAACTTGGTAGCATTGGTAGCGGAACAATTCTTGTCGTCGATCTCGAGGAAGCCAACAAAAAACACGAAAACAATGCGATGAATTTCAGCAAAAGCATCGTTTCTCAACTGAAATTGGCGCAATTCGCATTGCCCATATATTGGCAATCGAATGGGATTTTTTGCAGTGTGTTTGATCAGCTTGTCTGACTCATTCGGTGTTTGTCGAAATGTCTACGAAGCGGGGGTCAGCAGGCATCTTTTTGGATGTATTGTTTGACTGATTATCTACAACAGAAATTCTAGAAATCTTGGAGAACTGAACTACAAGGATGTGAATCAAAATTCAAACACGACGTTTTAGCTTCGGGTTGAAAGATGTGAGCCGCACTTCACGAACTTGCACGTGGTCTAGGAGACGTTGTTCGAGACGGTAATAGAAAACCTAATTCAATTTTAATTACTGAACACAAACAAAAATAATAAATAAGTTTTTTTAATAAGCATTTAATGCATACTTTCGTGGTGAAAATGATTGATACGCAGCCAATTCAAAAATAATTGCGAGACCAATTCGCCTTTTATGTTTTGCCCTTCGGAAATTATCTGCCACTCAGATTAGAATAGCACGTATCTTGATTATTTGAAAACGGAAAACCGAAGGCGGAATTCCGCGCTCTCGAAGGCTTTTGTCGCTTTTCGAATATGCATTGTGCAATAACACCCCTTCAACTTTGCGGACTTGCATTTTAATTTACGTCTTTTGAGTCGTCCGATTTAGAGAGATTTAATTTCCACTTTTTTTTTGTTTTTTTTTAATTTCATATATGCAATTATTGCTTGCATATTCGATCATTCTTGTATACAATTGCTTTTTTCGGCGGACATTTAAAATAAAGCCCAATATACTCTGAATAGTCTCATTTGAAGACTAATTTTAGTTTTTAAAAACACGAAAGTCGTGCCTTTTGGAACACGATTTTCAAGAATTTCAAGAATCGTGTGCAATGTAAATAAAATCTGAGTTCAAAATAGAATCTTCATTGTCGATCACAGTTCGGTCGGTTAAACCCATTTTTCTAAACTTCGAATATGCGCATAAATACCTATAATTATACCCGCAAATTTGGTGAAATACATCGATAATTGGCACAATTAACAAAATAGCAAAGAGAAACAATGAACAACAGTAAATATTCTTAGAGTTTTTGCAAATCAAAAACATCGTCTTCGTCTTCATCATCTGATTTGTAAAGTGGAATGCGTTCGAATCCCTTTTTCGATCCAATTCCTATAATTATTTCAATGTTTCGTGTCTAAAATCTTGAATAAACCAACCATTGAAAAATCCCCGTCGATTAAGAACTGTGGTAACTCGTTGACGACACATGAATATCTGCAAAATTTTTGAATATCAAGAAATAATAATAATAATAATAATCTTACAAAGGCTAGAATTAACAAAAGCGAGCACATAGCAACGACCAAAATGTTTGAAGACGAGCCGGAAATTCTTTTTTCAACAGTAGGATATAAATCAGAAATCTAAAAAATTCGCATTATTGGGGATTTTGTTATTTTTCATTTTTTTCAACCTCAACATCGAATTTCGTGAAAACTTGTCCATCTGGGGTACGAATCGAAACTTGATGAACCCCATTCGTAAGAGGAATGAATCTTTAAAAAAATGAGTTTTCCTCGATCAAGCCGATTACATTCGTGTTTACCGTTCGCCATTGATCAACGATAATCGTTTGTGCTGATGATCAATTGAAACCGACATTCCAAGGCGGCCGCCAACTATTCGAACACCTCGAATTCTATACATCATCTGTTGGAAATCATTAAATCGCTTTAGGAGTTACCTCTCGTTCAGTGCGTTTTTAATAGAATGCTTATTTTCGCTGTACAAATGTCCGCTGGCCATATTCTCGTAGCAGCAACCGATTTGAACAAGCAATGCGTCAATATTATCGCTCAAATCTGAATAAAAAAAATTCTAGCAATAAAAAATGACAAACTGAAAAATGTCGTCAGTTACAAATGCGCGAAAATTTGCTTATTCGAAGAGATTGTTAATTATCTCACCGAAAAATCATTCAAAAATTACTCACAGCTTGTCTTTGTTGCCATTCTCGAAGCGGCATCATTCCACGAGAATGCCTTGATCGCAGCTTCTTCATTCGGCATACTTCTTGGACAGGCATTCGTCGTCGCCGACTTCATCAAATCGTGTCGAGACCTATATGCTTCAGCAATCGTTTGTGCCACTCCAAGTGTGTCATTGATGTATCGGACTTTCATTCCGCCAGTGCCGACGAGAATCGCAAAATCGATCTGCGGGATGACTTCGAGCACCATGTCAATTAGATCCTTGTATGGGCTGATTGTATCATAGTCATGGCAGAATAGAGGGGCTTTCGGAATTTCGGGAAGGAACACAATCGTCGATTCGGCGAGAATCGTTTGCACGTGTTCCTTGCTCGAATCGCACCACATCGACATCATTTCATAGATCATAGCTTCCGTTCTCTGAAAAATTCCATTCATTTCTCAAAATTTTCGATATTTTTCATTCATACTTTTTCGCTAGACATAATGAACGTATATGGCGCTTTTCCCGATCCCATTTCATAAATTCTGAGACCATTCGTGTCGACTTCCTTGATGCAGTTATGATTTTCAAGCTCGGCAATTGTCGCACTGGTGACAAGAACCGTTTGATCAGGAGTGTAATGCTCTCCGGGTGATCCCGATGGAAGAACCGAGAATTCTGACACACTATCCTTTGTCAATTCATTCTTGATCATCTGAAATTTTCAAATATATTTTTTGGACTAGTTTTCATTGAAAAATAAACGTTTGCAATCGTTCCAATCGTCGCCGCTTTTTTACTCAAATCGTCAATATCGCATCCCACTCCGATTCCGAGCTCGAAAGCCTTCTTTCGCTGAAGATCGTCGACACGAAGAGCCAATTGAGATTCCAAAAGTTTTCTAAACCAGTTTTCCAAATTTGCGACAATAATTCACTGTTAAAATTACCTTGGACATTCCGCAGAAGCATTGATCGCTTTCAACAAGCTCGCATCCATTTTCTCCTTGTCAAACAAACTCGGCTCATTGTCGGAAACACTGAATGTGACTGTTTCGACGAAGCCTTCAGCAACGACGAGAATTGCTTCGGGATTGAAATCCGACAATCTCTGAAGAATTCAAAGTCAAATTCGTTTGAAAATCACTTTTCTTACCGTCTTCAGATCGCTTTTCATGAATGGAATTAGCATGAGTGTGAGATCTTTGTCGATTTCAAAATCTCCTGAGCATGTGAGTATAGAAAGCTCATTTATAACTTCCTTTCCACTGAAATCACAATTCGCTTTTTTTTAAATAAAATTATTCGAAACTAACAGATTATCAAAGGAAATAACTGCGATTTGTGTCTTGCCACGACCACGAATATAAAGTTCCGATCTCTAAAATGAGTCTAGAACTCTTTCCAATGGGATGAACACCAAATACCGTCTCATTGTCGCCACAGGTCAGCAATTGAATATCATGTCTAACAGACCTGGCTCCAGGTTGAACTGTTACCGTAAACGTGTCTGATTCCAGACCCTTCGCAGAGACAGTAATCTACAAAATAGAGATTTCAATAAATTTGAAAAAAAAACTACCCACCATATGATCTCCTGGTGGCAGCAGCCGCCAATATTCTCCAAGTTCCGTTGAAATTATGTCTTTGCCTAAAAATTTAGTTGTTTCTGCCCTCAAACATTACGAGTTGAAATATAGAAAGAAGCAATTTATAACCTATATCCACGGAAATTGTCGCATTCGCTACAGTTTGGTTATTGCGATCTTTGACAAGCCCGTGAACCCCGGTGAGACCCATTTCAAGGAATGAAAGCATCGAGAATTGATGTTCTTCCCATAGTCTGTAATAAAACTTTGACCATTCGCGAAACGTGGCATCACTCACTTTGGCAGCATATCATCGGTTGGGAATTTGAAGCAGCCCATCTCAATTGTGATTTCCAAGCTGTTTGTATGCTCATATTGCCAATCTTGCATTCCTCCAGCCAAATGATACCTAATCAATGCATTGTTTCGCCGTTTTCATACAATCTTCACTTACCATCCGGCTCCATTTGTGATTCCATTCACGAAATTATCGCCTTCGGCCGACAAACCGCATCTGTAAATGAATTGTGTGAAAAATTATTGATTGGCTACAGTCTCCGGACCTTCTTCCAGTCTTCCACATTTTTGTGTGAGCACGAGCATAGCGATAAGAGAGTTCGACAAACAACTTGTCATCGGCACTCTAAAATGTTCTTGTCATTGAGAAATTTCTTTTTTGATTCCTTTTTTTATTAAAATAATGTTTTGAAGCAAAAAAAAGAGAAATTCTTACCGGAGTATAAATTCCATCCGCACCAGTAACCGAATCATCATAGGGGTAATTAGCAACCAATGAACCTTTAACATCGCACTCGTAAAAATTGTTGAATTTGAAAAAAAAAAAACCAAACCTCCATGCAAATTTGCGCTTAAAACGAATGGATATGATTTGAGCCATTTCATAACGGCGACATTCTCTTTTTCCGGTTCGCCTCCTCCTGATTGTTCGCGATGCTTTGGAAACATGGCCGGAAAATTTCGATTCAAATCAACATCATTGGCATTGGCGCGACCCTTTTTAAATTGAGAAATAATAAAACATATTTTATGGATTCTATTTTACCATATATCCAATTCGATCACCAATACTTCCTTTTTCATATCCGTCTGGATTCATCGACGGCATAAAATGGAATCTGGCACTATTAACAAGCTGAAAGAAAGAATCTTCAAAAATTTTAAAACAATTCTGCTTACATCCGTTAGATATTTGTTTTTTCCATAATTCTGACAAAACACATCAATAAGATAAAGCAAAGCTTCTCGGCCAACAACCTGAAAATTTTTACTAGAATTAACCTAATCCGATTGGAAATTCTACGTAAGAGATTGTAAAATTGTCGTATCCGATTGGTAATTCTACGGATAACATTGGTTTTTTGTCGAATCCGATTCGAATTGAAATATTAAAACAAAACGGATTCGAATAATTACCAATCGGATTCGAAAAAAAATCTAATCGGATACGTCAAATTACCAATCGGATACGAAAATACCCAAAAAAACCAATAGGATACGACAATTTTACAATCTTATCCGTAGAATTTCCAATCGGATAAGGTTAATTCTAGAGCCGAATTTTGTCGATTACGATTGGTTTTGATTTACCAGAGTGAAAAGAAAGTTTACTGAAAAAATTAACCTCATTTCCGTGCATATTGGCGACTATTTTGATTTCCGGCTCAAGAAGTTCATGCTCTTTTGGATTGTCGGAAACGATGAGTACCCATAATTCTCTGCCTTCTACGCTTTTCCCAACAGAATACAAATGGGTTATGTTTGGAAAATTGAGGCGAGTTGCCTATAGGAATATCATTTTGAGAAGAAAAATTGAAATTCTCACTTTCAGCCAAGCCGTCATTTGATTGTAATCATGATTCTTAATCTTGCTTGCATTCACATTAATGAAGTCGCCAACTCTAAACATCATAGTTTCACATGTTATAATCAAAATCAAAAGTGTCGCACTTTTCCTTCATCGTCTCCCATGTTGGAAATATTGTGTGGTCGTTTTTCTGCTCGCCAAAATAACGTGAGAGAGCATCGTGCTTAAAATGTTTATAATATTCATTGATTGATTGTTTGTGCACAAAAAATGAAGTTATTAAAAAAAAGAAAAATCTGCAAACACCGATTCTACAGTACTCATTTGCATCATAATTGACAGGATTTATACAATTTTTATTTCAAAAATTCACCTTTTCCAGCTCTTTCTCATATTCCGTCGCCACAATGTCGGCTTTCCATGAAAGGTCCTGAAATCTTTGCGCGACCACACACCCAAAGAATATGAAGGCAAAGACCCGATGAGGCATTGTGGTGCCTGCAGGAATTTCAAAAATTGTAAACTGATAATGAATGAATGAATGAATCAAAAGCAATTTGATAGAGGCGAAAACTGCGGCGAAGAGGAGTGCAGCGAAAATGGAAAGGCAAACAAACTGTCACCAGAAAGGTTTCATTATTTCGGGAACGAAGGAAAAGCATAAACGACCAAACGAGCATAAGCATTGAACGCAATCGAATGACAAATATTCAAATTATACAAAATTTTTCGTTTTTATAATAAATATTCAAAAACATGAGAAAATTTCAATATTATTATCAAAAAATGTTCAAGGTGAGAATTGTAAAATTTTTTTTTGAGTGGTACTGTAGTTCGAAAAAAGTGTAAACACCGCCAATCAAAATATTTCAATTGAATTTTTCATTTCTGAAGTCATCGTATTGACAATATTTCGAATAAAGGCTGATTCGTGTTAATGGCGCCACATTTCCCATAAATGGGCAATAACAACAATGAAATGGGAATCAAATGTGAATGAAGTAGTCGATTGAAATAAATTCCGGAAAAGTTTGAGAGTAGGAATGAAAATCGAATCGATAATTTGCGCCATCTCATCGATCCCTGTTGCGCTCGTTTGCACAGGTCACACACGGACACACACATACCGAAAATCAGAGAAATAGCGCTGCCAAGTAAGAGACAGTCCGTGTCGGATGATTCCTCCAACTACCAAATATTTCAAAACATTCTTAATCGGGTAACAAACTTCATTAACAACTTTCTGGCTAGGCGAGATAACAAAACAATTATCAAGAAACAAATATAACAAGATGCCGATCACATATTAAACGGGACGCGCTTTGATTTGTCCGATTCGACCCTTCGCTAGCTGCAAATGACCATATTAGCAGAATGTTGTAATTATAAACAAGCTGGCTTAAAATTGAAAAAAAAAAGAGATTTTCGGAATATGACGAAACTATCAAGAACCGGAAACGAGGCGTTTGGTGTCACAAAAAAATTGCTAATTTTCTTTTCTACGAAATGTTCCTCTAATTAATTTTAAGGGTTTTCATTGGGAAGTATCCTTTTCACTATACTTTGTCATTTTAAATTTAACATTTCTCGAAATATACTATAACAGTAATAGTCTAACATTTACACACCCTTATTGGATTCTCAAACACATACCTTTCTGCTCTCTACCGCAAACGCTGTCTTATTAGCCTTCTTCTCCTCTCGTCGTGCCCTTCTCGCTTCCTTCACAGCTGCTTTTCGAAGCCTTCTCTGTTCCGGAGTTTCACCTTTCGGCCTAGAATTTTTTTAATGCTTTTAATAAACGATCTCCTCATAGAAAATGTACCGAATTGTTGAAACCGTGGTGAAATCACTAGCATCATCTTCCATTTCGCAGTCCTCATCCTCTTCTTCTTCTTCTTCAGCAATATCCATCTGTTCAATCTGTTTGTCAAACTTTCGAAGAGCGTTCTTTGAAAGACTTGCTTTATTGTCTGAACGAGAATTTATAAATAAAGTTCGCAATTGCAAAAGTTTTACCGCGAATAAGCGTTGGGTGATTGTAGATATTAGTGTATTGCGTGGCAAACGATTCACAATCCCATTTCATTCGCTTTCTCGAATCATCAACTTCCACAATCTCCATTTCTTCTTTTTCCTTCAGTTTTCCTTCTTCAATTAGGCGCATTCGTTCCAAAGTGTATCGCTTAGCGATCTAAAAAATTTTTGAAAATCCCCAGGAAGAAAAGATCGGATACCTCCTTGTCCTCATCTTCCGTATTTCTAAAACTGGCGGCATCATTGACCAATTGGTGAAGTCGACCACCACTAGGTTCCAAACACCCTCCCACATCGTAATCGTCACCATCAAGTTCTCCAATCTTTAAAAATGTAAATACTATCACAGAAAATGATTAGTGACGCATACCTGATCTTCGTTATATTCAGCATCCATGACTTGCTCGAAAATTTCGTCCATTTCGCGCATTTCTTCTCTTGTCAGCCGTTTCTAAAATAAAACCTAAATAATTTTCAGTGCTTGGAGCATTCTTACTTCATGTTCAGGGTAGACCTCGTCATCTTCGAATGTATAACCTTTTTCATTATCTCCGATCTCCTCATCATCGTCGTCATCATCATCAGTATGATCGTCTTCAAAAAACGAGCGGTCTCGAAACGCCGTCATTCGATCGTCAATAACACCGCCAGCAAGCTCGATGAAATTGTCTTCAAGAACGCCATCCGCAACACCTTCACCCTCCAAAGCCTTTTCAACTTCTTCGTCATGAAATTCTGCGGATTTTGAGTTTCCAACCAAGCCGAAGACAGGTGGAGCTGGTGGAAATGTTGGTTTCTGAGCTTTTATTGTAACTCGCTCAACTTCCTCATTGACATCTTGTAACTTCATCGGCTAAATTTCAACAATACAAAAATATACAAGGCAAAAAATAAAAAAAACCTCATTAATGGCTCGCAAGTGTTGCAAATAATCGTAATCATCGTCGTAAAAAACTCCATACTTCTGCTGCTCTTCGAGATGTTCCGGAGTTGGCTTAAATCTGAAATAATTCCGATTTTTATTGATTCTTTCGTGTCTAATCTACCTTTCACTTCGCTCACGCGTGTCTGGGACAAGTCGGAAATGTTGCGCATTCTTCCTATCAATGAAAACCTTCTTCTTACCCTAAAAATATCACACAATTTTCAAAACGATTAATCGAAAACTAACCATTCTGCTCGTAGAGAACCTTTTCCCAGATACCTTAAAATCAATCGCATAAATAAGACGGAAAATGGCTTCAAAAGTAAATGATTTGGAGTAGAACCAAAATGTAGAAAAACTCGTTCAAATAACATAAAAACTGATAGATTTATTAGAAAAAAAAAACAAGAAAAAACCCACGGGAATAAATAAAATAAACAATAATCCATCAGGGTGTAGAAGAAAATTTACGGGGCGGGGGACCATCAAAAGTTTTAGTACTAAACGCAAAACAATAACAACGAGTTCGGGCGCCTGCACAAATCATATTCGCACAGGCGCCCATAAATATATCGAAATCGGGCGAGTTTCAACAAAAATTGCTCGAAACCATCTAGAAAGCGCGAGCCTTTTGAGTATGCCGACGTTGCTGATTGCCAGCGCCACCCCAAGCTCCTCCCTTTCGGTCAGCTCCGGCTCCTCCTCGTCGGTCTCCTTGGTAGCTTCCAGATCCTTTCTGTTTGTCTCCTTGGCGCTCGTTCCTTCCTGGAAACCACGAACCAGGTCCAGAATAGCCACCACGTCCAGTTCTCGGCTCAAGAATTTGCTCATTGTTCTCAGCCAGCGATTGGAGTTTATCGGACAAGTTGAGAGCGAGCATTTGAAGTCTCGACGGTTCAACACGGTGCATAATCAGGCATTCAGTAGGCTCATCAAGAGTTGCAGAAAGTTCTTCCTGGATAATCATCTTGCTGAAGTACAAAAATATCAAAACCGGCTCATATGAATAGAATACTAACCTGATGATACTATGAACATCCTTCTTGGTAAGCTCGAATAAAGCGGAAAGCTTATTTAGAGAAACCGTTGAGTAGACAGTAGAATAAGTAAGAAGATACGTTCTAAAAACAATTAAGATTAATTTCCAAATGCATTCTTCAAATTCCTACCTCAACGACTCCTCTTGAATTCTTCTAACAACCATCTCCTTTACTGGTTCCGGATGATAGAACAAGTTCCAAACCTTTTGGTTCATTTTATCATTCACAATGTAGTCACGGCACTTCTTCCAATCTCCTCCAAGCATGGCCTTCGAAGCAGCAACCACGTGTTCACGAGTGTTCTCGGGGGGTCCAGTGAGCGAAGCCTTTTCGCTCTGCTTCAATTGATAGTGGAAGCTTCTGCTCAACATTCTTCGGCGCATTTCAAACTCGCAGCTGGCCATGTGCGGAATTTCAAGAAGCATCGAGCAAATCAAATACACGCATTCCATAAGTTCAACATTGATATGCATGTGATATGGAATTTGACGAGATCGCTCCAAACGTTCCTGCTCCGGAGTCTTCTCATATTGGCGCATTCCAACAGCTTGAGCAAGAAGTTCTTTGGCGCGTTGGGTATTCTGAATTTCAGAAAGACCTTGATGTGCTTCTCTAATGAATCCTTGACGGAAAGCGCAAAGACCAAGTTGGCAAATAGTTCGATTGTAAAGAATCTGAGTATCAGCATCAGAATGATCAACAATGGCTTGCATATGACTCATGAGGAGTAAATCTCTAGCACGATGCCATTCGTCATGGAGAGCAAGCCAATACACATGGCAGAGCATAGCACGTTGTCTAAAAAAATGATATTAGAAAATAACTTGAAAATCACTTTACCTGAGGCGTTTTTCGTCATCAGTTGCGTAGATTTTTTTGCACAAATAATCCATCTTTTGTCCAACGTCTCCATCGTAGTCGCATTGATCTTTGTATTTGTAGTAAAGATGCTCGATTCTCATCATGTAGAGCTTAGCAACCTCCTGCTTATCGAAGAGATTCTCAGAGTTGCGCAAATCGACGAACTTCTCAGCCTTCTCGATCAAAAGACACATATCCTTTTCAGCGCGAAGTTTCTCGATATAATCATTAGAGTGACAATCGGCGTTTTGAAGAATCTTTGCGAGTTCAGTGTCCAATCTTTGAATGGCAACAAGCACGCTGCCTTGAATCTTGTAATCTTTGGTTTCATCTTTAAGATTCTCATCCTCTTCCGCATAGTTGACCGATAGCTTGATGTTATCCTTGGCAATAAGGACATCGAGAAGTCCATTAATAGTCGACAACGTCTTCATGAAAACTTCATATTGCATATAGTCGTTTATCTTTGTGTTAAGTTCGAAAAGAGCAGAAATGATGCAAAAAGTGATCTTCACCCAAATTCCATCACCGAGTTGTTTCTAAAAAAATTAATGGAATGAATTGATGAAAAAATTTAACGCTACCTCAACGGCGACTTCAAGAATCTTTTCAAGGTTCGACACGTAGTTGTTTCTATCAGTGTTGATACGACCACGCACAGCAAGGATTTCGTTCAATTTCTTGATCATCACATCATGAGTGACCTCCTCCTTTGGATCGAAGAGAACAACAGTCTTTTCACGAGTAACTGGCGTCCAATCATCGTCATCATCATCCTCGGCAACCTGCTTCGGACCCTTACGCGGAGCTCGTCCTTTCTTCTCCTTCTTTTCACTCTTTCCATCTTCCTTATTTCTAAATTCTTTCTTGAGGAAATAACGGCGAAGTTGCTCCATCTTTGTGACGTCATCCTCATCAGAGTCGCTTCCGGAAGTATCAGGTTCAGACGACCAGCTAGAGTCGCTCATGCCATCAGTATCCGAATCATCGCTCTAAAAATATTAACAAATTTGACATGTATCCCAAATTCTAACCTTAATGACGGCTGCTTTCTTTTCCGCTACTGGCGTCTTTTCAGTAGTATCGTCATCGCTTTGATCGTCTTGCTAAAAAAAAAAGATAAAATCGAAGATAACATTTTGAATTATACCTCTTCCTCGGGAGTTTCATAACCATCCTCATCAGGATTGGAACGGTAATCGGCTACCACATTGGCAAGTTCTTTGACGTACTTCTTCACTCTTTGACGAAGGGCTGGAAGTGCCTTAGCGTTGTTTTTGGAGAGAGCCTGTAATAAGAAAATTATTACAATCACCAATATTGAGCAATTACAGCTCTTGCTTCCTTGTCTTCCCACAATGCATTCACATAATCTTCTATCTCGACTATAGATCTAAATAATTCCAATTTAATATATGAATGAACAATTTCACGTTTACCTGATATAAAATCGAGGAGTTCCAACGTTTTGACGTTGAAAAACAGCCTTTGATTTGTCAAAAGATTTTATGAGAGAATCAAAACCTAAAAATATTTTAAAGTATGAGTGCAATAAAAATCTTTTCTCTAACCAGTAAGAAGTTTATTAAGATCTTTATTTCCACGAGCATCTCTGTTTTGCTTGATAATTGTTTTCAATTCATCAAACTTTTTGTCTTTCTGGGCACGAACAACTCTTTTTTGGTCGTCCTCTCCTTCAGCCATGAAATCGAGGTCATCGCTGAAGAGTGTAAAAGAATTACCAAAGATATAATTTAAAATTACCGGAAGTCGGTTTTAGTTTTTGTTTTAAGCTCCTGCACCTCGTCATCGCTAGATTCGGACTCGGAATCCGAACTTCCACGTTGGAAAAACTTTGACATGGTTTCTGAAAAATACAATGAAATGAAAGAATTGAAAACTAGAAAAAAACAGTTTAACAATCGAAAACTTTAAAAGAATTTGAGTCTTTGCTTATCACAAAAAATAAAGCCCAAAATATCGAATAATTCGAAAACACTTCGATAAAATTGTTGAATTTTGCACTGTTGAGAATATTTTACTGACTGCTAGACAATAATTTAATGAAAATCACTATTCAGTGGTAAAATAGGAAATTAAAAACACAAAACAGGGAAATATATAAAATACACAAATTCGTGACGAGACACTTTCTCAGCAGAGCACGCTTGTCAATCTTCGAAAAAGACGCCAATCTCCATCAGTCTTGGCGTCTTTCGCTTTCTTGTTTTTATTTCGCGATATTTTCAGAAAGAATTGAAAAGCATATTGTGAGTCTTTACTTTTCGAAATCGAATTATAAATTATTTATTTATATTCGGTCTAAATTTTTTACAATAAAAATAATTCTGACAAGGTTTCATTGCAATAATTAAGTTAACATCATAATTTATTTCAAAAGTAAAAGGCAAGTAATAAGAAGTGTCCAAAAAATAGAAAATTTTTTCAATTGTTTCAAGTGCACCAAGAAACAAACAAAATTCTATAAAACTGCTCTAATATGGTCACGACCGGTGTACTGTTGCGAGCTTCTTAACTCGATTTTTATATACATGGTGGATCAGAATAAGTAATTCATATATTAATTATGCAAAAAAAAAACAATTAATCGGGTGACAGAACTAGACAAATTATGCAGGCGAAACGAAACAACAACAACTATTTAATTGGAATTAATAAAATTCGGAATTTGCGAAGAGATCAGCTAATGGTTCAGATGAGGATACCGGCATTCGCGAAAGGATAGCAGTTGCGGATTTGGCTGGAATAGCAATTTCAAATTAAAATTAAAAAAGAAAAATAATTCTTACCAATTGATGCGTTGCGATTATTCGCAAAACTCTCGACAAGCGATCTATCAATCACCCAAACCGTCATTATATCGCTAGCATTGTCAGCAATCCTCTCGCAAAACTCCAAAACCGTTCGGATAAAAGACTCGTTGTGCGTATCGCGGATTATATCGAGCGGGCATGCGACATACCTGAAATTTCAGATGAAATACTAGAAAACAAAACACAAAAGGTGCTACCTGCACTGATTTGCAATGGAATATGCAGCATTGCAGTGTTCCATTAATGAGCCTAGCAGGATCATGGATCTCTCAACCAACTTCTCCCTTTGATCCTTGTCTTGTTTATTACAACCCTTCAAAAATTCTCATCAATTTCAAATTCGAAATAACGAAAATACCGTATAAATGTTAATTGACCACGTGAGAACCAGAATGGTATGTGAAATAAGATTTTCCTTCCGAACGTCGTCGGTGATTTGCAAAAGTCCCTCTTTATTAATAAATGGCATTTTGATGATAATGTTGAGGAACTGAAAAATGAATTAATTATTTTAATTGTTGCAAAATCACAATACGTACCCTCAGAACATAGCTCCGCAGCTCAACCATGCTTTCAACTTCTTTGGGACTCATTTCGCACGACAAGTAGTTCATGAATTTCCGAAGAATATTCTAAACGAATTATTGAAATCGATTATGATGAATGTGTGCAAATACCGGGCCGATAAATGAGTGAACAGAAGTGATAATTTGATTTTGCTTGGCTTCATCTTGAATAATCAAATGCGCATTATTCACCCAATATGGAAGAAGGTTAATTAATGTTCGAAGGCAATTTGACATCACTTCGCACACTAATAATCTCTTCTTCTCCTCAACAACATCGTCCAGCCTAAAACATCCATAATTCTTTATCTATGTAAAATGGAAAAGATAAATAAGCTTTACTCATGCCTCACAGACATCACATTCTTTCGATATTTTACCTTGGACATTTGGAAATGATCATCTCTAGAAGTTGAATCGCATTATTCTGTATGGCATCTTTTTTAAATCTCGGCTTATTAGCTACAATATTGCTCAAAAATCCAGTTCCCAATTTGTAAACTTCCTCATCGGCAAAATAGTTGAGAACATTGAGAATCTAAACAATTTCGATTGTATCTCAATGAAATAGATTTCTTACGAAAGACAATGGTATTTCAATTTCCTGAAACGCCGGCGAATCAGAGACGTGAAGGAATAGATTAAACGCGTCTTTTACTATTCGCACATCATTAAACCTTTGCAACAATGTGCAAACCACCTGAAATACGGAATGCAATCAATAATTCAATCAATAAATTACATTTATTCCTTGAGCTCTCACAAAATCATTGATCGATTTCGAATCATGCAATAATGTTCGCAACAAGTGGCATGTGTGGGAAACGATTGGGCTAAAAATCGCGAATCATCAATTAGAATTTGAAAAAAATCAAACTTACGGAGCTCTTTGTGGTGTATTTGCACATCGTGGCAAAACGCATTCCAAAAGGGTCCGGATAAGACTAAAATTCGGTAATGGCTCGTCTTTTGGCCTATTATACCGTATAAGATACTCCTATAATAATAATAAATTATATGGAAACTAATTAAAGAAAAAAAACTCACTTTTATATTAGGATCTCGACTTATTATATTTCTCATTATAATTAGTACATTCAGATTGCAAATTGGAGCATCATAGAGGTGTTTGATTAACATATTCACCATCTAAATATTTTTTTATTATGTGAAGAAAAAAAGAAAATACAAACCTTTTCAAATTTCAAAGCTTTCAGAAACGCGATTTTTATTGAATCCGAGTTTTTTAATAATAGGACAGTAGCGATAAATTCTACTACAATATACGAACATCTCTCCAATTGCGGACTTCTGCAAAACGAAAAATTAGAAAAAGGTCGGTTTTATTGAGAAATAATTTTTCGAAAATCTTTCAATGAATAATTAAGTAGAAAAAAATAACATACCCGCAAAGTGGAATAAATGGGCATAGAAGCATTTTCAAGCTCCTCTCGCCATCGGTTGATGCGAATATTGTAGCAATTATCGGAATCGACGGCTTGTGTTGCACCAATTTGTGGAAAATCTCAAGAAGTCGAGCGGCAAGAGCCATCTAAAGCACAAAATCGATGAATTGCAGTAGAAATCAAAATGCTCACATATTCCTGTGGTGGAGGAACGTCAGGAGGAGTCCAAAGCACTAAGCCATCAGTCACAATTGCCACAATTTGTTGAATATACCGCTGAAAAATGAGAAAAAATGAAAGAGACATGCAAATATTAAAACTTACAGTTGCAGCATTCTCATCGAGATGAACTAGGCCCTTATTTTTGAGCCAAATATGCAATTTATAGGTTAAATCAAACCTTTTCATGGGATCACGAATGGAGAACCAATTCTGAAGAAAATTCCTCAGGTTTATTAGTTGAAGATACTCAAACTCACATGCATCACATATTCGGCTTCCCGTTGTATTTGAGCAAACGCCATATCTGGATTGATATTCTCACAAGTTGACCCGTTTGATGAGAAACACCGTTGAGCATCGGGATCCTGCCCGTGAGCGGTCATCGTCGTATTCACACTAAGCATCGACATCCGATCATCAGCGTACTGCGATTGGGAAATCACTGATGGAGCGATCGATGGCACCGGCGACTGATTATAAGCCCAACCATTCATATAATGTTGATTCATCCAATGTGCAGTTTGAGCATCGGGAGGTAGTGCTCGAGAAGGGCTTCGCGGGTATGGAGGCCTTGAGAGAAAACGATTTTGAAATTTGGACGGCTCAAAGGAAAATGTACCTATTTTGCATTTGATGTGGCTGCTGAGAATGATGTTGCGGAATCTGCTGTGGATGTTGAGGAGGCGGTTGCGGAGGTTGTGGCTGTTGTTGTGGGTAAGGATGCTGCGGATGACCGGGATGACCGTAGTTCCATTGAGGATGAGACGTGGTAGGATTCTGAAGTTTATACATAGTATTACAATTATTATACATATAGCAATGGTTTCAACAGTCTACATTGAAAATACATATGACTTCACAAAAAAACGAGCACAATGTGTAGATTTATGGTGACTCAGTTTAACGGATTCGAATTTCCATCATTCGAATGAAATCTTGAATTTTCGATGGCAATAATTAAAAGGAGAAAGTATTCGAGTCTTCGTTGAAAAACTGATTTTGCGAGCAAATAAATACAAAATTTTCGCATCGAATTAAAACAATAATGTCGAAAAAATTTTTGTAGGAAAACGAGAATAGAAAATTGCGTAATTCTTAATTATGGATTAGAGGATTACGATACTGAAAAGTGATAAATGTCGGCAATTTCTTAATACTCTTTGATGTGCTCCACGACTAATAACAAGGTGCGAAATTACCTGCTCGGCAGCATATTGCTGCTGGTATGCCATCGGATGAGCGGGAGTTCCGCACATCTGAGGTTCGGTGGTACTCATAAAACGTGTTTCGATTGTGATAACCGCCTATTTTGATCAGCTAATCTGTAAATCGACGAAATTTTGAACGAAACAAAGCAATAATAGGCGAGAAAAACAAAAATTGCGCAAGTTTAACACGGCATTTCCGGTAGAAACCGTGACCAACGACAATGTCCAACGAAATACATATTTGAATTCTAGCGTTACCCACCAAATTGCGCACCACATCGTCTCTACGCACGGCGTACTCTCTTCGCGTGACTCTGCGTGTCTCGCTTTCGCGCGGGCTGCGACCCCCTTAGACAGGACCCATACACACATACGCACACACTTACTAGCTAGCTAACCCGCGTACGGTCACTCTCAACATGCTGATGACGATCAGAAACGGAGTAGAGAAGGGACACCCTCGTCCACCACCGCCATCACCACGAAATTTGTACACGGGGTGAACGAGGAGACAAGTGCATGGTCCAGATGCTGCTTACTATTGCATCAATGAGGTGATTGTTGGTGGTGTTGCGTATGTCAACCATTTCCGTCAACATAATATTCGACACACTGTTCATTAACTTGAGGAATGTTCCCTCGTATCGGTGAGCCGGGGCACGCATTCTGAGAACATGTTGTAATAGAATATCGGAGCTAGGTCATATTTCCAACAATATACAGATAAAAGTGTTAGTATAATAAAAGGAGAAATTATTTTTTTTTAAATTTCGAGCATCGCCGAATTGAAAGTTTACATTGTTTTTTTTATTAAAATGAATTCAAGGTACACTTTCAGAACGTTATATCAAAAGTCTGATATCAAAATTGAGAATTTATCGAAGAAAATATAATTTGTTTCTTATCAATATTTGGAAAAAAAAATTCAATTATTTGTGTAATAAACATTAATTGTCACATTAAAAACAGTTTTTGACACATTTGCTGAAATTTCGATAACGATCAGTGCCGATAATAACCTTTAATTAACAGGGTGCTAATACTTACTGTAGGCTAGATTTGGCGATAATTTTGGTTTGCACGTGACCTAATTGGTGTAATTAGGTGATCTGCGCTTACTCAATAGTTTAAATGGTTCAACGCAGACAATTGACACCAAATAAATACTAGATTGCTTTTAAATTACGGTATTTTAACATTTGTTATATTTAACTGAAAGAAATTGATATTCAAGTTGAGCCCTCAAAAAAATGAGCAGGATTGATGCAATAAGAAAAAATGATAGATCGAAACGGCTATCATACACTGCTTATCAAAGAAGAAAAATGGCTGCAGCTATCTGTTGGGATTATTACAACAAAATGGCTTTTCGCTGTTCGTTGAAAACATGCAATTTCCTAAAACAATGTGAACCTTGACGAAAAAGATAATCGAAACGAGTTATTGTTACGCACACGCGGCTCTTTATTGCCTGGGAATATGGCGCGGGGTCGTCGTTAATGGGCCCCCAGCGGTAACTTTTGTGAAACTGTTATCGTTATCATTCACAATCATTTCATAAAACGAATGGGAAGTTTTCAAAACGAACTTTTAAACAGATTATTTTTTATGGTGTGCGCAAAATAGGAGAGAATTGCAAAAAAGGGTATCATTGAAATGACCTTCGCAAACGACGAGACGAGTAGCATTTCTTATGAGAAAATGTTGATAAAATTATTGAGTTTGACATACTTTTCGCCAAATAGACACTAGATCGTCTTTTGAAAAAATAAACCGAACACATGTTTTTAATTCAAATCTAAATAAGTGAGCAATTATATGCACGCATTCGTATGGATACGTAAAACAAAGCAGATGGACGTTGTCTATTATGCAAGAAGTGGGTGGCATTGTGTTGATAGGTTTATGAGCTCCTTCAACTGTATCAAGATTTATGATTGGCGAGAACAAAAGCTCACTATACGCTGTACGATCTAAAAATAGATTTCAAATTCATTTTGCAAAATGAATGTTTTGCGAGACTGTTCCAAGCACGCCTAGTATCGTGCAAATAAATCAGACTCGAATTGGCGAATTGCATGCATGATAAAGTCTAACCCAATGGCAAATTTATTGTTTCCGCTAATTATCTGTATAGAAGATTTGATCTTTTTATTTAAAGAAATGAACAAGACATCGGAAAATAATGGATAAAATTAATTTAAAAATCATGAAATAAAAAATAAAATACAGTATAGTTTTCGTGGTGAGAGTGAGAACATGAAATCTGATGCTGCTTTTGAGCATACTGTATGTATAAATAATTGATTTTTTTTCGAAATTCATAAATACACGAGGTTTTCGCTGTGAGACCATTTCAAAAGAAATTTCAAGTTCTCGTATTTCTCTGAATTTGTATTATTTTCCCTCAGATTAGCGAAAGTCACTTTTAAATAAACTTATCAATCAATTGAACGATTATTAATATTATATTTAGAAAAAGGCTGACCTACGTATTTGATCTGTACTTTAGTTGCCCTCAATTTCAGCGCGAATTTCAAGTTGCAAGCGGTTCAAACGACCAATTTCTCATTCCCTCTACTAATCCCCTCTACCTAACTCCATGCTGCTTGGTTCCATATTATTAATATTGCTCATAGAGGTAAATAAAATGATACAAATAATATTCTAAAATTTCAGTTTTTTTTTTCAGTTTAATGCAGCACGACCCACTAACACATGCAATATAACGACTGAATTCAATTGTGGAATAGGAAAACAACAATGTATACCCGTGGAATGGGTTTGCGATAATGTACCAGACTGCGAAAATGGGAATGTATAAATTTAAACATTATTTTTAAATTATTTCGTTGATTTAAAGGATGAATCGCACTGCGTCTATCCGCATCATTGTGCTCAAGGTTTCATGATGTGCAAGACTGGAATGTGTGTTTCCCAAGAATTTAAATGCGACAAAGAGGTGGATTGTACAGATGCTTCCGATGAACTTCACTGCGAATATCGGGACAGCAAGAAGGAAACTGACGAACTTTATCACTTTTCGCTTGCTCCCCTCCAAACTCAGGAATGTCACTTGCCACGATTCTCGTGCAATAGCGGTCAATGCATTTCCGGAGATCTGGTTTGTGACGGAACTAAGGTAAAAAAAAAATATTTTTTTTAATATTTGAATAAAATCATTGCTTAAAGGATTGTAATGGTGGCGACGATGAAGAAAACTGCAGAGGACCAGAAAGTAGAAACAATAAATGGTTGAAAAATAATAATACAATTGATGGAACTCCGGACAAACTCATTGTAAATTAAAGATATTTATCAATCCCTTAAATTATTGAAACTCTTTAGGCCGAACATTGCCGTCCTGGTTACACCATGTGCGCAACTGGCGGTGTTTGCATCCCAGATAGTTTTGTGTGCGACGGATCGGCTGACTGTGAAGACTCCAGCGATGAAATGGAATGCCAAATGATGATTCCTGATGAGGAGCAATTCATCAACGGGCATGCCGAGATTATTGCGAGATGCACGGCCGAAGGAAAATTCCATTGTAGTACTGGTTTGTTAAACCACTCGTGCAATAATATCGACTTCATATTTTCTAGAGTTTAATACTGCTCCTGTCTGCATCCCAGTCAATGCTACTTGCAACGGAATAAAGGATTGTCCGAATGGCGATGACGAAACAGCTTTATGTACAGAATGCTCCCGAAAGCGCTGCGATCACACTTGTTTGAATTCGCCATTTGGAGCTAAATGCATTTGCCAGGAAGGTTATCGTCTTGAAGGGGATGGACTTACTTGCACAGACGAAGATGAATGCCTCACACATGGAAACAAGTGCCAACATTTCTGTGAAGACAAAATTGGAACGTTAGTTTGTTGTACGCGTGGTCAATCCATTTTCTGGGGTTTAGGTACTCCTGCCAATGCGCTGTTGGATATCGACTTGACGAGGATGGACATTCGTGCAGACTTGATGATAAACACGCCGACGGTGTTCTTTTTATCTCTCTGGGAACCGAAATTCGCAAGATGTCTCTTCTTGGAACCACGTCCGAGGCGTACGCCTCAGTTCAACGCATTGGAGGGCATGGAACAAGTCGATCGATCGATTTTATGCATTCGAACAACAAGCTTTTCTTGAGTGCAGTTACACATCATAAGGGAAAAGCTCCAGAAGGCGAACTCGTATTTCTTTTTCAAATTGATTTAATTATTTTGCCAATGTTTAGGCGGTTTCCGATAACGGACTTCTGAGAGTCTTGCGCGAAAACGTTGTCGGAGTCGGTCACGTTGCAGTTGACTGGGTCGGCGGAAACATCTTCTTCACTCAACGAGGTTTATTACTCGCTTTGCTTGCTTATCATTCTCGCGCTTCGTTTAGCTCCTGCTTTGACTATCGGGATCAGTGTTTGCACTATGAATGGAATGTTCTGCCGCTGGTTGATTAAAGGACAAAGTAGCCCATCGGAAGACCCATTTGCTCCAAAAGCGCATCAAAACTATCACGGCTTGGTGGTGCATCCAGCACGTGGCCAAATAATTTGGGTCGACTCTTTCAAGGATATTCATAGAATTATGAGTTCGAGAATGGACGGAACCGAGGTATTTGCTTCTAAACCTATTATTTAATTTATCTTCTAATGATTTAGATTCGCATAATTGTTGATAAGAAGCTTTCTAGTCCGCATGGATTGGCAATTGACAGAATTCGTAATGATATTTACTTCGGAGACCATCAAATGCATCACATTGAAAGAATTAATTTGGACACAAAAGAGAGACACATTGTGGTCTCAAATGAAGTTAACAAGCCGTTTGGAATCGCTTACTTCAATGGATACATTTACTGGAGCGACTGGTTATTATTACTTCTAGAGTTTTATCGATACATTTGTATTGTAGGGGAACTGATTCGTTGAAGGTTCTTGAGCTTAACAACCACCAATCAACGCCGCATACTCTCCACGTGTTCAGTCGTTTCCCTTATGGAGTGACCATCAATCACACAATGTATCAGCCAATTCCTCTCGACAATCCATGCCTTGAAATGGAATGCCCATGGATTTGCGTTCCAATTCCTGCCGATCAAGGAAAAGTTGCTGGAAAATGCGTCTGTCCCGATGGATACAAATATTCGATTGTCGAGGATTCGTGCATTCCTCCAACTGAAGAAGAGAAGAAGGAGATTGAAGGATACACTCATATCGGCGCTGCTCTCATGAAGGAGTATTGTGACGCTGGAATGGCTTGTCTGAACGGCGGAAGCTGCAAGGATGTTCACAACGAGCATGGCAGGCCGCACCAAGTTAGCTGTGAATGCCAAGATCCATTCGAGGGCGAGTTCTGCGAGAGGCTAAACCCGGAGAAGATGCGAATGATGGAAGAAAAGATACCCGCATCGCTTATCGGGTTCCTCATCGTTTTGATCTTGGCATTTTTGGCAATTGGAGCGTTTGCATTCTGTCTTCTTAGGAAGCCGTAAGTGATAACCTTGTGATCTTATAGAATTTTTGGGTTTTCAGCGAAGTCGCGAATGAAGTTGTCACAAATGCTCGAATCAAGGTTGATAACATGACTCGCAAGGCGGAAGCGGTCAGCCAGCCCTACATTGATCGACTGAAGGCGCTCATCGGACAACCAAGTCCACAACGTGAAGGAATCCGATCAGCAGGAAACGTAAACTTTATGAACGAGGGAGAAGATGTTGATGAGCCAACGAACCGCTACGTAGAAGCAAGAAGAGCTGCACAGCTGGAATCGCCGGTTTGAATTCATTTCATGCATTAGAGTATGGGTAGAAGTTTGCAGAACTCCTACCGTAATCCATTGTTCGACGAGCCGCCTCAAACGTACCAACCAGTTGGACGTTCATCGCCAATTGCTGGAGTGCTGAATTTTCAAAACGACAGTCTTTTATAATTTGGATTTGTATCCCTAAAATTAAAAAATTAAAAAATTTTTTTTATATTCAATTTTCTAAAAATTGCCTTTATTGTTTCCCACACCTCCGCCCAACCCTTTTTCGAATGTTCGTGTACTATATTTTTATATAGGTATTTTTTTGTTATTCCCTGTAATTGAATAGTTTGCCATTTTGCGGCTTTTATGCTTGGAATGTGTATAATTTTAAAAATTAGTGAAATTTTATAAGAACCAAAACAATTTTTATTGCACGGCATTGTGTTTATTTTTTGCGAAATAAATTATTTTGCAATTCGTGACGGATTCGTTTATGAGAGTTCGAAGCTCTTATCTTTCGATATCTTTTCAGTGTTTTTTATTCCCAATTTAGTTCTTGACTTGTTTTTGATTCCGATATGGATCTGAATTACCAGAGCTGTTTCACATCGCGAGGATCGGATATTGGCGATCATGATAAAGGTTCAGTTAAAAAATAGCTTTCTAGTGACTTTTTCCAACAGTTTTTGACAAAACCAAAAAAGCTGTTGTTACGCGATGATATTTTCCAGTATAAAATTTTGCCGATGCGGTTGGATTAGACAAACTTGTTATTGTCGACGTCGCGCGACTGCGGGAAATTGGCTAAATGCCAAAAAAGCAATGGCCGTGGTCCTGGCGCAATTCAAAAAGTGTAGATTTACGAGTCTATGCATAAGAATAGGTTAAAGGCGCACACCGCTCACTGAGACCCTTTTTTATTTTTTGGAATTTGGCCAATTTTCCGTAGTCGTGCGACGTCTACAATCTCTGTTAAATTGTTAAATTGAGAAAGCGCATTACGTTATGAATACACTTCTGCATCACGAAATTCAAGGTTCAACGTTCTTCATTTGCAAGAAACCGGCAGTAAAAGCTCAATTCGATTATGAAATGAGTTAAATTCAAGCAAAAACATCACTGCCACGGACGGGATTCGAACCCGCGAAGGTTTAACCGTAAGTTCATAAGACTTATGCCTTTGACCGCTTGGCTACCGCAGCACACAGTCTGAAAAAGTGGGACCACCTAGATCAGGGAAACGGACCACCGGGAGGCGAAATGGTCCGTTCAGGCCCAAAAACAGGTGACACCTTATATTTCAGACTATGTGCTACGGTAGCCAAGTGGTAAAAGCATTTGTTTTATGAACTTAATCTTTACCGGATTCGAATCCCGTCCGTGACAGTGGTTTTTTGCTAGAAAAATTGAAACATTAGCGATTAAATTTATCGCAATGGTTATTTTTGCTTAAATTGGAATTAAAGGATAACTGAACCCTAAAATAAAAATAAAGAAAATATATCAAGAAAATAGGGAACATATAAATAATGAAATGAGAATAACTATTTTTAAAAATAAAATACAGTGCGTTGCAGAATTATAAGGCCACCCCCAAATTTGAGCGCCGCGCAATGATTTCGATATTTTGAGACCAACCAGTGTGAAAATCGTGTTCAGCATGAAAAATAACCTATATGTATCTATTTTTATGTTAGTATCTTCAAAAGTAACCGCGCAATGGTCCAAAACCGTTTTTTCGAGCGGTGCAGAATTATAAAGCCACCCCCATGAAATACGTTATAAACTCAAAAATAACGACAGTTTAATGTTTAGTGGCACCTCCATTTGAGGTAATAATGCCAGAAACACGGTCTGGCATAGATTTGAGAAGGTTTTAAACATATTGGGTCGATTTAGATTTGAATTTCTGCTCTAACGTCTTCCATTCGACTACGATTTCGGTTTTGAGCTCTCCAACCCCGAATTTCCTTCCTTGGCCATAGAGACGCCGTACTAACTCTCCCCAGACGTTCTACATGGGACTCCAAAAAGGAGAACATGATGGCCAATCGAGAACGTCCACACTGTGAGAGTGAAGCCAGTCCAAAGTAGACCGACTCACATGAATGACCGCATTGTCCTGTTGAAAAAGGACAATAATGACGTCGGAATGGAAGAATATGGCTCTCAAGAACATTCTGATAATCCGAAGAGTCCACCCTACTCGTCAGAAAAGCCAATTCCAGAAATCCGGCCTCCGAAAACGCTTCCCCCATAATATCACGCTTCCTTCTCTAAAATTGAGTTTTGAAAGCAGGAGGTGATTCTTTCATAACTCGGGCCAGCAACTGTTATAGCCGCCTGGGCCATCCAAATTATTTTTTTTCATCGGAAAAAATAACCTGTTGAAGTTTGAATGGTCATTATTCACAATATTCTCGAATATAAACACCTTGTTCCAATCCGTATTCATGTTTTTGAATGCGAACTCAAGGCGTCGAATTTTATGGTCCTCTGTGAGTCGCGGAGCCGGCTTCATTTTTTCTCTGGCGATGTTGGGGTTATTCTTGATGGTTCCCCAAACTGTCCACTTGCTTTTGTCGAAGTTTAGCTTCTTCTTGATGTCATTTGTAGACTTCATACTGCTCGAAGCTGCTCGAATGCTTGCTCGATTAGCGAGATAGTCCAGTTTTCCTCTGGCGCCTGCCTTTTGCGACATGTTGACACGAGTTAGATCCTTCACAAAGATGTCTACGAATGTTTTCGGACCATTTTAATTCTTCGCAACCCGACAGTTCGACCATCCTGCCGTTTTGAATGCGGTAATCTGAGATTGCTCAGAAACACTAACAAGGGAGGTGTTTTTACTTAGTGGTTTGGAATTTTTTCTAATTTTGCACACAAACAGATCAAGAAATTCCCTATCGAGTGTGCTATGTCGTTTTCTGCAAAAGTTCCAAAAAGTCCCAAAACTTTGGGTCCGAAGTTTCAAATTTTGATTCATTGTTTTTATACACTGTTTCATAATTTTTGCCATACTTCCTCACCACGCACAAATACCCCATTTCGATGGAACTGCGGCAAGCAGCGATGGTTCAGTGGAATGTGTATGGGTTACCAAGAAATGGGTTGCTGGTTCGTTGCCCCTTCTCGCGCTTTCTTTTGCAATTAATTTGTGATAAAATTTATACAAGTTTTATAATGGTTTGAAGGTTTAATTTTGTGAAATGAATAGTTGAATCGAACAGAAAATGAGACTGTAAAAATGGGAAGTTCGTTTGATTTCAAAAATCAATAGACAACACTGTGCGATTAAAAATTATAGGGAAATGCGAGTTTTATGAACAACTTTCTAGAATAATGGATTCCCGGCTGTGAATCTTGAACGTCGATTGTTACTACACCGAGGATGGTGGTTGCAATAAGGTTGGGCAGCAGAGTGGAAAAAATTTTGAAAAAAATTTTTGAAATCAAACGAACTTCCCATTTTTACAGTCTCATTTTCTGTTCGATTCAACTATTCATTTCACAAAATTAAACCTTCAAGCCATTATAAAACTTGTATAAATTTTATCACAAATTAATTGCAAAAGAAAACGCGAGAAGGGGCAACGAACCAGCAACCCATTTCTTGGTAACCCATACACATTCCACTGAACCATCGCTGCTTGCCGCAGTTCCATCGAAATGGGGTATTTGGGTTCTCAAAGCCACACAACAATTTTTATGCACACTGGTCCCGCCAAAGTTTCAAAAAAATGCGAAAAAGTCCGTTGTATGGGGGTGGCTTTATAATTCTGCACCGCTCGAAAAAACGGTTTTGGACCATTGCGCGGTTACTTTTGAAGATACTAACATAAAAATAGATACATATAGGTTATTTTTCATGCTGAACACGATTTTCACACTGGTTGGTCTCAAAATATCGAAATCATTGCGCGGCGCTCAAATTTGGGGGTGGCCTTATAATTCTGCAACGCACTGTATATGCATCAATGCGACGAACTAAAACAATATTTCTCCAAAAAGGTCATTTCATTGTGTTTACCTTCAAATGCGGTTGCACTGGTTGTGAAAGTGTTGTTATCGTGAAACAAAAACATAATACGAGGGAAACATTGATTAACTTGAGAAATCTTTTTTTTTAGAAAATGACGAAAAACTGGCATGGCAATCTTTCTATAATGTGGCTTCAACGGAATCGAATACGATAGTTCGCTCGAATAAACTGGTGATACCTGAGAATGAATCTGTACTTGATCGCAATGCGCTTGGGCAATTGGAAATATTGCAGGATATATCTGTTTCGATGCATTCGTCGCCGAGCACGCTTCCATTTTACAGCCCATTGTCGATAAAGGAGCCGTCGAGTAATTTGCAAATCAAACCGTTTACTCGGGTCTCGCATGGAACAGCTGGTCGTCCTATCAGTTTGTCGTCGAATCATTTCCGAATTATTGTTGGAAAACGCAAAATCTATGAGTACCGCATCAAAATCTCGCCGGATTTGTTTTCGAAAAAGCTTAATAGGTTCGTATTGTTCTCTGACTCTGAAGTTTTTTTGTTTCAGAAGAGTCGTGCGATTACTCGAAGGAAAATTGGCTTCGGTTGAACCGTGGCATTTAGTTTTTGATGGAATCGATACGATTTATGCGGCGCAGAGAATCTGTGAAGAAGTCGTGAATAATATTAAAATTGCGACGGTATGATTCGAAAGACGAATTATTGAAAATGAGTAATATTTCTAGGATGGTCTTATATCGACTAGAGATGCAATAACACACTTTGATTTAAAATTGCAATTTATTGATGAGTTTATGCTTGAAAGTAATTTGGATGCAATCAGGTAGTGGCGAGCAACTGTATCAACCAAATTCGGTTTTGGTTTTAGTGATCCCGAGCAGAAGGAACGTATGATTCATGCTCTTGATACAATCCTCCGACAATTCTCTTGTGACGAATTCAACGTTGTTCTGCAGTCGTTCTTCTCAACTTCTTGCCAAAGTTCCGCTTTAAGTCAGCGAAGTCACAGTCTTGGTTGGGCGGCTGTTAATTTGGGTTTGGGTCGTGAAGTGTGCTACGGATTCTATCAGAGTGTCGTTGAATCATTTGATATATTGTCGCTGAATCTTGACGGTTTGTTTCTTTTTTTGAGTTGAAAATTAAGAATATCAATATTTATCAGTGGCAACGACCACTTTCTATCGTCCTGTTCATGTTTTGGAATTCTTGGCGGATGCACTCGATGTTCCATTAGCTGTAATCGTTCATTCAGTATCATTTGCTCATATTTGTCTATTATTAGACTATTCAAGATGGACGTCCACTCAGTGAAATGCAGCGAAAAAAGTTCTCGAAAGAAATTGTCGGGCTCAAAATAGAAACTCATCACTGCTCCAGCTCGCGTCGTTATCGTGTGATACGATGCACATGGAAACCTGCTGCCAATATTTTGTATTTAATTTCTAATTATTTTTTGCGATTTTTTATTTAGGCTAAAATTGAATGGAGAGGAGAATAAACAAATTTCGGTTAAGGAATACTATAAATCTAGATATGGTATTCAGCTGCAGCATCTTCATTTGCCTTGTTTGGAGGTATAAATAATTTTTCGTTGGATTATTGCTGTTATTGTTTTCAGTTGGGCAAAACCAAAGAATGCATTATCCCGTTGGAACTGTGCTATATTGTACCTGGCCAGAGATGCATTAAGAAGCTCAATGAGCATCAGATTGCGAATTTGATCAAAGCGACGAGTCGAAATGCGCAGGAGAGAATGGATGCGGTGATGCGAATTCGAGAAGGAGTTGGCATATCGGATGATGTTTATTCAACGGTAACAATTTTAAGTTTGTTATTGTCGAAGTCGCGCGACTGCGGAAAATTGGTAAAATGCCAAAAAAATTAATCGAGAGATTCGATGGGCAGCATGCGTCTTTAACCTTTCCTTATGTATCTGTCCGTAAATCTACACTTTTAGAATTGCGCCAAGACCACTGCCATTTCTTTTTTGGCATTTAGCCATTATCGCAGTCACTCGACGTCGATAATAGCTTGCTTGAAATAAAAAAATTCAACATTTGTCATTTTTTTTTCGTTTCTTTCTTGGAATTCTCAAAATTTCATGAATTAATAGATATAACATCAATAATTCAAAGGGAAGATTCAGTGAACAAAAAAAAAAGAATTAAATTATTATTTTTCTTTTTTTACCGCATTGATTTTTTTTCAAATTCTTTGTATTTTTATCACATCGTTCGTTAATATATACTAAAGTAAGTAACATATTTCAGAATTATGGAATTCACGCCGAACGAAGCATGATGAAAATCGAAGGCCGTGTGTTACCGGCGCCAAAAATAGTATATTGCTCACCGAATGTTGATGGGCAGGAATGTGTGACAGTGCCCAATAATGGCACGTGGGATATGCGAGGAAAACACTTTTACAATGGAATCGAAATCGAGGTGAGGATTGCATTCAGAAGTGGTTCCTTTTCAACGGACCCGAATTTAAGATTTGGGCTGTAGTGTGTTTCGCTTCGTCGACTACAGTCACCCAACAGAATCTGCGTTCGTTTGTGCAGGGCCTAGGTAAAGTGGCCCGCGAAATAGGAATGCCATTTGTGAACAACGCGGTTTTCTGCAAGTACGCGACTGCAGATCAAGCAACGAAAATTTTGGATTTTCTTCAAAATGATTATCCCGACATGCAGCTTGTGATCTGTGTTCTCCCCGGAAAGACTAATATCTATGGTCGGTTTTTTTTTTAACATTTCGCTCAACATTATTTTTAATGATCAGGTGAAGTGAAGCGTCGTGCTGATATGATCGGACTAACAACTCAATGTGTTCGCTCGCATAATGTTCTTAAAATAAGCCCGCACACGCTTTCAAATTTGTGCATGAAAATTAACTCGAAATTGGGAGGAATCAATCTTGTTCTCGCTCCGCCAACCTTCTCGAGAAATGACGAACCTGGTAACATATTTGTTTGTAATGTTCACATTTGAAGTTGGTTTTCATTAGTTCTATATGTTGGTTGTCATATTTATCGCAATGCGACGTCTTCGGATAATCAAAACTGCTCGGAAAACTCGATAGTTTGTATGCTTGGTTCTTGCGACGGCCATCCTACTCGGTAATTTTATTATTGTTTTGGCAATGAAAATATTTTCAACAAATTTCAGATTCGTTCCAACTTTCCGAATGCAACCGAAGAACACTTCGATTGTACTTGAAATGGAGTCTATGATGAAAACGATTATTTTGAACTTTCACAAATCGACTGGATTCAAACCGCATCGAATTATTATTTATCGATCGGGTGTTTGCAAATTGAATATGAACGAAGTGAAACGCTTTTTTCTCTACTTTAGCATAACAATTTTTATTTATTTTTCCTCAGATTCTTCAATTTGAATTGCGTGCTATTCGAAACGCGTGTTTGTCGATCGAAGTTGGTTTTGAGCCTGGAATCACAATTATTGGATTGGATAATTCGCATCATACGAGACTTTTTGCCAACGATGAAATGGTAAGTTCTACACTATGAAATGGACACGCTTTTTGCGAGTGCTTAGAATGCATATTAACAACGAAATTTTTAAAACTATGTAATTTCCTACACATTTTTTTTTGCAGAACCGCATGGGTAACAGTATGAATGTTCCTGCTGGGACCATTGTTGAAAGTGGCATCACAGTCAATAACTTATTTGAATTTTTCTTGGTTTCGCACGCTGGAATACAAGGAACCTCGTGTCCGACGAGATATCAGATTTTGTGGGATGACAATAAAATGAGCGCCGATCAGATTCAAGAGATGACATATCAGGTATGCACGTCATTCAGTTATTTTCGCGTGTAGCTTCGCATTATTCAGTTATGTCACGCTCAGTCGAGGTGTACACGAAGTGTTTCGATCCCTTCGCCGGTTTATTATGCGCGGTCGGCGGCGCAAAGAGCGAAAATTTGGATGAGCGATGACAAGTTTGACTATACCGTTTATGAGGTACCAATTATGATTTTCGTTTGGATACGAAATCTAAAACGTTTCGAATGTGTAAAATCAAATCGCAAAAACATTATTGCCACGGGCGGGATTCGAACCCGCGAAGGTTTAACCGTAAGTTCATAAGACTTATGCCTTTGACCGCTTGGCTACCGCAGCACACAGTCTGGAAAAGTGGGACCACCTAGATCAGGTGAACGGACCGTCGAGATGCGAAATGGTCCGTTCATGCCCAAAAACAGGTGACACCCTTATATTCAGACTATGTGCTACGGTAGCCAAGTGGTCAAAGCGTTGGTTTTATGAACTTAATCGTTCCCGGGTTCGAATCCCGCCCGTGGCAGTGATTTTTTGCCGGAGGTTAGAACAAAATTATTTCATTCTTTCAATTCACGTCATGCAAAATAGTATTTTTTTTTTACAAATTTTTCCTTAATACATTGCTTATAAATGACAATAGATTCATGAATATATTTCAATCGCAAAAAAAAACGAAAGCCCTGTTTTTTTTATATGTATTTGAACAGAGTTTTGCTTCGGCTAAATGAAAACTGAAAGTCTGTTTCTTTTTACAGAAAATCGCCGAACAGTGCAATGGAATGCTGTTCACTTGACTCGCAAAAGTTAGAAGTGTCGATTTCACTGTGAATGTTTGTACGTGTCTTCCTTTTCTATTATTTTCTCCATTCTGAATGGAATCCTTTTTTTTTTTCATTTTCCCGTTTCTTCCCAGAAATATTTTGCTTCCATTTCTATCTTTAGGGTATCACCAAAAATAGGGTAATTTCATTGTTTTTTTTCGTTTTCTGTACAATTTTGCGTTGGTTTTTTTTTCATTCTGAACATCGTTTTTTCGCATTTCTTTTGTATTTGTTAAGCAGTTTTTGTTTATTATTATATATGAAAATAAAATAATCAAAAAAAAAATGAGAGAAACATTATAAAATTAAAAAGAAGGAGAAGATGAGTAGGACAAGAAACAAAAGGGGCGTTTTTTGGGTGGGGCGGGAAAGGGTTCACCAACGAAATTATGCTGCTCACAACTAGAGATTTTTGGGATTTGGGGGGATTCGAATCGTAAATGTCGAAATAAAAAAAAAGAAAGCTCGTCTTTGTGTCATTTTTTGTTTTGGTCGCCAACCAAACGAATGTTTTGGCCTTTTTAGGACTCGATTTTGCTCGCGTTTTCCTCTAATGCGAATAATACTCCTTGATAGGTGACTCCGTTGATTTCCATTGAAACAACCATCGAACTCGAACCGCCTTCTGCAAAAATTCTCGAATTTTCGTTTTTTTCTATTTACTCTTCAATTAACTACCTGAATTCTTTGTGCTGATTTTTACACTGTTCGATATTGGTTTGTCGTTTTCCAGACGAGACCGCTTGGCTGAAATTTGAAAATGTTGCAAACGTGCTTTAATTACTATCGCAAAACTGAGAATCTTGTGTATTTGTGGACTGTCGTATTTTTTTTTCGGGCGGTAATTCAAATTTCAATTTAAACAATGGAATCTGACTATCACAGGGTGCTCGTTTTTTGTGTTTGAAATAATATATGAACATTTTCAGACAATTTTGAAGAAAAGTCAAAAGAGGTTCTAAGCTTATATGGTAATTAATAGCTTTGAATATCTAACCTGGAAGCTCTGAATCAATGCTTGATGTTGATTCGCGCCCGGACACCTGCGCGCCGTTTGTGCATGAGCTTAAGCCGAGACTTTGCCTCGCCACGACCTCGGCGGCTCTTTGAGCCCGCTCGAATTGCCTTTGATGCGCCTCAAGAAGCGCCATTTGATCAGCACCATATGAGGCGGAGAACAAATTTCCAGATTGCAAGCTGGCTAATGCGTTCTCGTCGTCTAAAAGATCTGGAAATGTCAGTTAGCGATTTGAGGCCTCCGGCGAATTGCTCGATTACCATTTCGAAGGCCGAGCTGCTTGCCGAGCATACTTGCCGCCGAATTGGTGTGCGGTAGTGGGAACGGCAATTGGAACGAGGGCGCCGTTCGTCGGCCGGGCGCTTCTCGCCGATTGCCGTCGATCGCCTGCTGAAGGTCGGCGGGATTCGAGAGCCGCTCCTTCTCGCATTCGTAATCGTATAAATATTTTTGGTATTGTGTGCGCAGAGTGAACGCCGCCGATGTGATGCTGGACGGCAGATTGAGGCCCTTGGTGATTTCTCGCCACAATTTCTTGTTGATGATCTCGACGAGGCCGCCGTGCTGGACAACGAGTCGGTACAACTCGTATAGATCGAGAACCTGCTTCGCCATGATCGGAATGCGGGTTACGGGTTTGCCTGAAACATTCGATCTGATGTCCTGCGGTGACGATCATAACATACCTATTCGGTGCATAAAGTTGAGCCAATCGTCGAGCCATTCTTTGCGCTTCACATCGTCCGACAATTCGTAGAGCTGCAATCAACAACATCATTTTTTGATCGATGAGTTTTTAAACGGGCGGTATTTGCCGGCCGGTTTCACATAATTAAATATTCGACGCAGTCAATTAGTTTGAAACGGAAGAGAAAAAAGCGAAGCGAATAATGATGAGCACTTCCCCTCAGCGGATTACGGTAGTCGAATGGAGCTCGACGAGCTGCTCGTAAATCAACTCGAATTGAATTGGGCACCACGCATTGTTGTAAAACGCAATTATTGCCAACCAAACTAATTATAATCGCGTATTATTTTTATTATAACCACTAGAAAGCACGAGTTGTAATACCATCGCCTTAATTAGTATCAACAGATGGGAAACGTGATGAGATAGATTGCAATTATTGTCGTTGTCGAAAATGATGTCCGCAGCAGAAATTCAATAAAGAATTGTCGATATTTTTATAAATACAGTGCGCGTCATAATGATACGCCACCCCCCAAATTTCGCAGTTTTGTGAAAACCATATAAATTGGTGACGAGGCAATTTCATTTTCGAATTCAGGGCCATTAAAAACCTATACACGCGTATTTTCATGAGGGTCCGATGGTCCGTATCCGCACAGCCCGAAAAAGTTGGATTTTCAAGCGCGTCATAATGATACGCCACCCCCTATTTTTTGTCTTTTCTTTCGGCATTTTTGCATGTTTCTCGCTGATTTTTCTGTATTTTTTTACAAATTTTCACCAATCTTATTATTTTATCCATAGAGCGATCGTCCGTTTTAGTTTTGGCTTGAAATCGGGCCGAATTCGGGCCTTTGAACAACTTCGTTTTGTTTAAGGACTAAAACGCAAGAAAAAGGTCTAAATAACCATAAGACAACAAGTTTGAATGCGAGAACACAACAAATTTAATAATTAGTTGCCTCTCCATAGTTTTTGACCACTTCACATGTTCGGTTTCGCATTCTGTCGGCGATTTCCTTGAGGTATGCAAGTGACCGACTGTTCCATTCCCGTCAAATTACGGCCTTCAGCTCATAAAAGGTTGGCATTCTGCTTGGTTTGTGAGCGAACGGAACGTTCAAGAAGCCTTCAGACGTTTTCGACGGGATTGAAGTTGGGGAGCTGGCTGATCCATCCAAAAGTTTGATTTTCTTTCCTTGAAACCCAATTGAAGATGCGGTCGCTCTTGTGAAGGACTGGATTGTCTTAATGGAATTAGTGAAACAAATTTTAAAGCAATTTCGTAGTTCCGTATACAGTTCGATTTTCGAGAACGTCCGATACCATCCTTAATCGGCTTGACACTCTGATTGAGTTATACCATAATGCCAATTTGAGCTTTCTCCTGTGAGCTAATGTAAGAGATTTTCCGCGGCCGATGATTATGAGAAGGATAAATGAAAATAGTTTATAAGTGAAAAATTATCGGTCAGGCTGTCCGCACACAGAATGCCAACCTTTTATGAGCTGAAGGCCGTAATTTGACGGGAACGGAACAGTCGGTCACTTGCATACCTCAAGGAAATCGCCGACAGAATGCGAAACCGAACATGTGAAGTGATCAAAAACTATGAAGAGACTACTAATTATAGAATTTGCCGTGTTCTCGCATTCAAGCTTGTTGTCTTATGGTTATTTAGACCTTTTTCTTGCGTTTTAGTCCTTAAACAAAACGAAGTTGTTCAAAGGCCCGAATTCGGCCCGATTTCAAGCCAAAACTAAAACGGACGATCGCTCTATGGATAAAATAATAAGATTGGTGAAAATTTGTAAAAAAATACAGAAAAATCAGCGAGAAACATGCAAAAATGCCGAAAGAAAAGACAAAAAATAGGGGGTGGCGTATCATTATGACGCGCTTGAAAATCCAACTTTTTCGGGCTGTGCGGATACGGACCATCGGACCCTCATGAAAATACGCGTGTATAGGTTTTTAATGGCCCTGAATTCGAAAATGAAATTGCCTCGTCACCAATTTATATGGTTTTCTCAAAACTTCGAAATTTGGGGGGTGGCGTATCATTATGACGCGCACTGTATTAAAAAAATAAATTTGTGGCTTAAAATGACTGATCGAAATTTTAAAAAAAAGTGTCAATGAGAATTACGTAAGACTTAATAATCAAATTTACACATCGTCAATTTCACACAATTGAATGTCCCACCATCAATCAGTCATTTAAAACAGACGATAAAAATGTTTCATGTTCATATATGGTCGGAATGGGGCTTTGCCGGAAGTCGCGCTGATCCCCCTATTCCCTGCGGTTGGGGTATTATCATCACTCATCTCATCAGCATTATCATCGTTCGATTGTCGAGCTTGTTGGGTAGATTGTGCGCGCGGTTATGTGTTGTCAATGTCAATGTATTTGTGTGTTTCTTTAACATTATTAATCCTCATAAGATGAGCCAGTGCCTCTTCTCGGCAAACAAATGCGAGGCAGTCGGGTGAGAGGAGTAACATACGCCTCTCCATACCCTCACCTATTTCGCGCAATCAATTCGACCAGTTTTAATCGAGATTACGGTAGACGGACTCCCCCTCCCGGTTCCCCCCACCGTCCTCCTCTTCCTCCCTCAATTTATTTCGGCACCGGAGGAGCTACAATATGATGGGTGTATGAATGTGTACGTGCTTCTTCTTCTTCTTGTGAAGTCTCAATGAATAATTTGTGAAAATTTCGAGCCGAGCACAATGAATGAGCTCACCCCCCCCCCTCCGGTCCCTTTTCCTCCTAAAAATTGGTGGTAGGTGTTGGGAAGGCAGCTAGTGTGAAAACGCGCACTTCATTAGAAATTCGGCATACGAAGAGTACGGTAGAGAGTATGCATTCCGCCCATTTTTTTTTAGTTGCATTCATCCGATGCAGGTAGCTATGACGATTTTGTTCTCCGCATTTTTTTTGCGACGAAACTCGGAATCGGAAATGAGCAAACTCGTCCCACCTGTTTGAATTGCTCCTCGTATGACCAGCCGGGACCTGTGGAATTGGCACTCGGCTCGGAAGCGTCTTCAGATTTCGACGTCGACATCTCTTTACGGTAGCCTCTGAAAAAAATAAGAAACATTTCTAAAATGTTGAGTTCCGTAATAAAATCGAATTCTCAAAAAATTGATGTGCTCGTCGTCAAGGGGAAAATTGAACATGATAGGTTGACAAAAATGAGATTATAGAAAAAATCTGAAGAATCAGAAAAAAAAAATCGCATCCATTCCAAAATTTTCGCGTTCTATCTTGCACTTTTTATTGGATTCGATAACGACTTATCTGATCTTAAAAAAATAAAACATAGAGATTTTCGAGTCGTCATTATCCTCTTCAATTTTTCATTTTCCTTCTTCTTTGCATTTTCATTTTTTTTTCGATCATTTTTGTGTGAAAGATTGAAAATCAACAGAACAGTGAAAAATGTAGCAATTCATGTGACGAAAGCAGTGCGCAAACTTTCCGTCGCAACGGTTCAAAAAAAAGTCCGATCAAATAATCAATAGCTTTTGTAGACAGCCAACAACACGGATGAGGCTATATTTGGTGCGTATTGTTCAAAATGGAAGGGGAAAAGTCCACAACCAAATCGTGTTAATTATAGTTCCATTTTTAAATTATTTTCAATTATACTACGTCTATTAGGTTACCTATATAATGTATAATCAATGTTGAATAGAAGCACGAGCTAATGGTAATGAAGCTCACCCTAATGTCAAGTCTTCGGGCTCAACTCCGTTCGCATTGTCATCGTCGTATTCGTCAATTCCCGGTGAAATTGTGGCTGATAATCCCGAAGCCAATCCAAGAATCTGCTGCTGAAGCTCAGGTTCCATTTTCATTTTTGACTTGCTCTCTCGTACCTGTAGGTTGAAGTTGCTCTGTTGAAGTGCCGCCTGAAAAATCGGCGGCAAATTGAGCGTCGGCGTTCGAATATTGGATAAGCCTGAACTTTTCGAGCGATTTCGATGAGCATTTAAAGGCGCATAATACCAAGAGAGGATGTTAGACGCTGAAGGGCTTTCTGCTGCATTTCCAGATCGAATACATTGATATTGGGCACATCTGGAGAGTGTGGCGTCGAGCATCTTTGCTGAAACCGTAACCGATTGGATAGTGTTGATCGTCACGAAAAACCTCGTCATTGTGCGTTTCAGCAGTTTCATCGCATCCAGCTGCTGTTCCAGCTCCTTCCTCCTCCTCGTGCTCATCCTTGTTGATTGATTGCGCGGTCATGAAGATTTGCGGTTCGTCGACTCGCACTGACATTTCTCGCCGAACGGCTCGTTCCAAATCGCCACGCCCACTCTGAATGCTGAAGAAGAACATCGATGATGATGATAAAACATCGATACATCGAGGCGCGACAAAATGAAGCAAAGAAAAAAAAACAGACACACGCGAAAAAAAACGACTGTGGCTAATGGGCAACACATGTTGTTTCGCGGCGGGACCCATTATAGTTTCATATCGCATCAATTAGCGCGATGCCGAACCACACCAAAAAATTCGCCGAAGAGATCGCGAGAACAAGAGATGAAATAAATGAATGGTAAAGCGTGCGGGGACCGCGATAGTGATGATTTTTTTTGGTTCGTGGTGGCGAACGGAACGGGGCGCATTCAATCGGCAAAAATTAAAACCGACCAACTGTTTAGTTGACAGATGTGTTTTAAAGACATTGAAGTGATGATGATGATGATGATCGGTTGTTATTATTATTTCGGCGAAGAGTTTGATGATTCCACAAAATTCTGGGGGTGGATTGAACTTGAGAAAGCATTTCGAGAATAATTCGATGTTGACGCTTAATCAAAAAAAAAGAGTGAGAGAGAGACGTCGATGGTGGGAGGAGGACATGGGAAGAGAGCAAACATGATATTTTGCGACCACTTTACACGATACGGTAATCGGTCGACAAATACTTTCAACATTTTTTTTCCTGATTGTTTTAGTTTGTCGCGAACGAGGCGCCTGCGCAATGATGTATCATCAAATGAAGGCCGGTGAGACTCAAATAAACGAATATCATAAAAAAAACGAAATTCAGGATGGTCGCGAGGCGAAAAGAAAAACGATAAATCATCAACGAAAATGCCACAAAAAGGAGTAAGTGATGCATGTGATTGATCAAATGGAATCCCTCGAGAGATTAGTCGTCAAAAAAAAACCTTTTTTTTTGAGCGGACGTCGAGCATTTATCGGCGACCACATTAAAACTACAGTAGGACATCATTTCCATAAATAGGCGGTTGAGACGACGACAAGCGCAATTGGATGGCGCGATGCGTCGTCGGTCGACTCTCTGTCTCTTGTCTCCCACCAAGGCTCACACCACGTTTCTTCATTAACCGCCACGCCCACATTTTGTTCATTTTTGAGGCGAGACGAGACGATGGGGAAAGTGAGCGTGCGCGATGAAGAGACGTCGCGCGCGCGCACGATTACGATAGTATGAGTTTTTAGGGGGCGGGCGGTCGGGCGGGTGGAAGAAGGCTGGCGAGGATGCAATGAAATTGAAATGGGCGGGGCAGCGGCGACGAGGAGGCGAACGAGCTCGATTCCAAAAAAAAATAAAAGAAAAGAGAGATGCGTTTTTTTTTTTTGAGGGGCGGGAGACTGTGCGAGCAAACAATGAAGGGCAATTTGTAAGATATACGATAAGTGAACGAGCAAAGATTGTTTCGATGGTTTTCGCACGTCTTCCGATATGCGATTCGAACAAGCCCTCAATTTTGGCTCTCGTTTCCATCCAACACAAACTTTTGATGGCCGAGTGTAAAACAAAGCTGATGGGGTCCCGCGGATTATCAAAAGCGATAAATATCTTCTCATGTTCGCTTTTTTTTGTGCCCCCGGCATGCTTTTGCTCCATTGCTTGTGTGTGTGTGTGTGTTTCGTCGTGTTGTGCGCTTTATCATCCACCTATATTTTATCTTTTATATGTATAAATGAAATGCTCTTTTCTTTTTCTCGGCAACGCCCCACCTGACATATCAAATCGATTGATCAACTAGTTGAGGAGCGCCGACGACAACGACGATTTGTGCCCCCGGGGGTTGACGACACAAACGATGAGAAAAAAGAGCTGCTGGAGGAGCGGAAAAAAAAATAATGGGACGGGAGAAGAAAGGACACCGCCATAAATCACAAAGTAACACATCTTTGGCACCTCGACCGCTGGCTCAGCGAAGCCGATTAGTTAAACATGGACGGGTGGTCGACTGATAATTGATCACCACCATCTGCGGACAAAAACAAAACCCAACGAGTCGCCTGTTTTTCGGTCGGCTATAAAACAAGTTAAGAAACTTGAAGGTTTATTTTTAATGTATACTGATTTCTTGGTCTCATTACGATCACCCTTTGAGATAATGGTAGTTCCTATTTTTTATTGCCTCATTACTGAAAATAATAGTTTATAATGATGAATGTTGGTAAAAAAGATAGTTTAAGGCAAAAATATTGTCCGCAGATGGAAATTGTAAAATTCTTTGCAGAATAGACTTGCATCTCATTTAAAACAGAAAAAAATGTAATAAAACTAAAAGGCGAGGCTTTAAGTGTGATGAGACCATAGCGAGAGTACCGAAGGTCGACTATGAATCTTGTCGATCTTCCCAATTGGAGTCTTCTTGGAAAATCATCGCTATATACCGTATTCTAAATATGGCGAAAAGTTGCTCATCAAAAATGCGCGGCAAATCGGATTTGCGATAATTGTCGCGCCCACCGTTGAAACCGATTGGAGGGCATTCGAGGGCAGGCACTCTCATGAATAAATGAAACTGAAAACAAAATATTTGGCGAGACAAAAGGCGACGGTCGATGGTGGTGCAGCTCCTCCTCCTCCTTCTTCTCATGCTCCGTGCTTTACCAATTGAACTCAAGAGTATAATTAGGTGGTGCATGTGCGCGCGGGACGCGTTCATCCGACCAATTGTTGTCATAGAGAATATTCGAGTAGAAGTCAGCTGCACATATTGTTCCGGATTCACCACTCTATTATTATTGTTGTTTGTTATTTTATTGTTATGGCAAGCCGGTGGTGTCGGAGGATACTGTGCAAATGCGGGGAAAAGGTCTCGCACCGATTTCGATATCAAAGCGGTTGTTATAGAATAAGCAGATGATATAAAGGATTGTCGACGAACGCGCAAATATTCGAAATAGTGCCAAAAATTTAAGAAGAGGTCTCGGAGCGCGGTGTGCTCCTTTAACCTATCCTAAGACATTGGCCCGTAAATCTACACCATTAGTTTTGTCGTCAAGACCATTGTCGTATTTTTTTGGCAATTTCGACAATAATCCGATTTTTATATTTCATTGAATTTTTTTGTAACAAAACTTATAGACTGAAAGCTGAATATATGCAGTTAAAGAAAAATTAATCATGAATACCATCTGCGGACAATGTTGGAACCCTGGATGTTAGACGAAGGTAATTATTGGGAAACAAAACGTTTAGCTGTTTTCCAATTACCGTATCCGAAAATAATCGAATGAGGACGGACGAAATAATAATTTTTGCGCGGCGTCACGAATTGGGCAACACGAAACTTGGTGTCGAGTTAAATTGCCCCCCCCCCCTCTTTCTACTGCTGCGCGTCTTCGACTAATTAACTCGACAAAATGAGACTACTCATTCGACGTCCGTTTTTCCATAAGTCGCAAAACGAACCTCGTTGGTCGGGCGCGGCAAGAAGAAAAAAACTCATCAATTCAATCGTTTTGACATAACAATCGCAATTATAGCGATGGGTTAAACATACAACTTACTACTACTACTACTACGACTACTACCAGTCAAAGTCAACCAGGTAAAACCTATTAAAACGTCATACGGTAGAAATGAGAAAAGAAAAACGGAGAAGGCAGCGGCGGCGGCCAGACCGCAACACGGCGCAATCATCAATTATGAACAAATATGGAAACGAAAGACGATATTTTAGGGAATGGCTCAAGAGGTGCGCGAACAGCAACCAAATATACATCATTTACAATATATATCGAATCTTGAGAGCTAACTAAACTTATTTATGAATGTGCATCGACCAATGTTATACTATCAATTGCTCGTTTCCACTTGAGAAATGGGCGCGCAAAAAATTGGATTGTTAACTATATGTGTATGTGTACACAACTCATCGATATCTTGTTATTTTAAAGGCACATCGTTCATTTTTATTGAGCCGTGGTAGGAAGCAGCTCTGCTTGAAATCGCGTCAGTCAATCTGTGTTATTTTTATTTAAATCGTGGTGGGACCAAGACCCCATTAACACTTTAAGATTGTTTATTCGAAATGGGAGACGGTATATTGTGAAATTACACTTCTCAATTAATTGGTGTAACTATGAGGAAAGTAATGGCGGAAGTAAGACGAAGTATTCGTTGCGGGACCTAGCCCTTCGTAAATCTACAATTAGCTAGTAAGATTCTCTGGAAATCTCAGTTTGTTAGTGTTGCGATCCTTATCATCTCAATGAAACATTTTCAATTTCAAATTTCTTCGTCGAATATTCGTTTAAAAGGTTGTTTTATAAACATCAACAAAGCGGCGAAAGTTGCGGCAATAAATAATAATAATAAAAGAGGAAAAAGCTCATAAATGTTTATATAATTGAATATGGAAGTCAACGCGGGATTATTTTGATGGGCCGCAGGCCGCCCGCGACGGCCGCCGATTGGCGAGGGTCCGCAGCGGCAAAACTTTCAACGGCCAATGTTGTCAAAACATTCAATTTTTTCGAGACATCAGAATTCGTCTTCATTTCAATTGATTTTTTTTTCTTCTTGAAAAAACCGGGGTTCGCTCATTTCGGAATAATGGGGTTTTCGCGGAAGACACACCCAGGTATTTGATTCGAGATTTGCGACAATAAAAAATTTGACGACGAAAACAGAACAACGAAATAATCGTATTGAAAAAATTGGCATAAGAACCCGAAAATTGTGTGAGCTGAAGAAGAAGAAGAAGAAGCAAATTTCACTGAAATCACATAGTAAAAGGAATTTGAGAAATTGTCCATTTTTGGAATTTAATCGACAAGACGAGATGTTGAGTAAATGTCGATAAGATCTGTACGACTGTCAAGTTGTCAAACAATTTAAATTGACAATTCGAGAAACACAAAAATCACACTTGAATGTATAATTTTCATGCGGCCCTCAATTTTTTCGATTTGATGGCCGTTGAACAAAACTCGTTCTTTTTTTTCGCCGCCAAAAAAAGTTATCAAATTTGGGGTGCCTAATAAAATCGAAATGTTCTTCTGTTCGTCATCGTCATTCGGTTCGACGTCGTCTCCATTCGGCGTATTATGATTTTTCCGGGCAATTAGAAGGTTCAAAAACGGTTTATTACTCAACAATTGACTGCCTCTACCAAGAATTGTAATTAAATCTGATTATTACACCCTCCCAAACAGAAAAGATGGTCATTCATTTTATTGCCCTTTGATCAGAAAATGGTGTTCGAAATTCCTTAAAGTTCGCTCGAATTGGGGATCGCTGGCTGATGGGTTGAAATCGCAAATTATTCGAGAATTTGAGGCTCAATACAAATTTAGTTCGAAAAACCATAAATGGGCAGATTTAAAATATATCTCTTATTCACGCTTTGAATTCTATAGTTACTTATAGTTGAATATTTTTTTGATTTTTTTGTACAAACATCATGCTATTTTTGTTAAAATGTTTCTATTTCTTAACTAATTAAGATCAAAAATGACAGATAGAAATTCTGGAAGAGGCTTTTCATATTTCCAAACATTTCGATATGCTGAATTGCTATTGAAGCATCGTAAATTATAAAATACACTGTAGAAATGAAAGACTACACTACTTGGACCATTAGGCTCCGCCCATTTGCTTTTTATTATGGAATTATTTAAAATGAATGAATTTTTTTTTAGAAAATTCTATTGAATTTTTTTGAATTGCATTTCGTGAGTTATCCATTTTTATTGCAAATTTTGTTGATAAAATAATAATGAAACATTAAAAAAAAAAAAGCAAAAGTGTCTGTTCGTGGGTCGAGGGAAATATATAAGAGAAGAAGAAGAAGAAGAAGACAAAAGTTTTGAAACCGAGGAGCGCTTCGCCCGCGCGCACACAAATATGCGACTCTATAGATGTAATTTATCATATGAGGCTCAAATCTGCTGAATTTGCTTTTCTTCTAACCCATTCCTTCGAAAAACCAACGCCATTTTGGGAAGGAAACAATACGAGGCGAAAAATAAAAAAGACGAAAACGACGGAGACTAGATTTGATGGAATTTGTGTTTTGGCTCGTCGTTATAAAACCCGAAAAACGTTGTACATGAATGTCGACAAATAGAAAATGGTTGTTAAATAGTATAAAAATTAATTGAACCTTATTTCCCCCTCTTGAACATAGCGGATTTTTTCCACAATCATTCAACGTGCTCGTTTTTTGCAAAGATAACAATTTAAAAACAAAATGCATACTGTAGATTGTTATTTAGTGCAATCACAGCGACGCAAAGCTTCAGACCACTTTTCGGGTTGTTTCTGTTCAATTTTCTATTATTTTTTGATTTTCGAATATCAACAATCTTCATGAAAAGTGTGAGTAAAGTCAATTCGAATTGGGTCTTGAGGCGAATGATTCTGGTGGATGATTTTTTTTTGTCGAAAACAGACTAGCAATAATTTTTATCTTTGTTTATCTTACCGTATTTCAAAAAATGAGATGAAGAAGTAATGTGTTCTCGTGAGGAATGAATGAAAGTGATGTGATGCTAGGTATCGTGTAATTCGAAGCTGCGAGGTTGAGCAATGATATAAAAAAGAATCGGTTTTGAGGTGTGTGCGGGGACGGGGGGGCATTTCTCTTGAAATCTGATCTATCATATCTTTCATATTTATCAATCAATGATGTGCTGCGCCATCATCACCATCAACCTCATCATGATGATCATCCAAAATATTAGTTGAGAGCACGCAAGTGCTGTCCTCGGAGGCCGACGACAGCGATGAGAGAGCGGCAAGACGAGGGCCCAGGGGCAGGCAGTCGGCCGGTGACGACGGTTAACTGCATTCCATTGACTTTCGAACATTTTCGTGATACTCCCGAGACAGCAAAAAGGTCGGAAGGCACACTCGGAGGCGCACACGATTTTTGAGTGAGAAATGCGTCGCGGGACCATTTTGGCACACTTGAGAGCCCCCCATTTTTATAGATGACAAACAGCTTAAGATAAATCACGCCGTTTCGAGACCCATGCGATTTGATATGACACTTTGTTTCGACAAATTTTTGATCTCTTCTATCCAAATCCAAACGAAAATGAAATAAAAAGAAAATCTGAAAAAAAAAACAGGAAAAATATATATAGAAATTTTAGGCACGTTTTAGACACACATTCAATTTTGATCTACTTAACTGGCGTCAATTCAACTTCGTTTTTCGATGTTTGAAAACGAGCAAACTTGATTATGTTAAATTTGTTCTTATTATCTATATTCTTTTTTTTATTTAAAATCTTCAACATTTATTATAAATTTTTTTTATCTCCTATATAAATGTAGGGAATTTTTGTGCATGGAAAGGAACATTGAAGATATTTAAATTTTGTCATGAAACCCAAAATTAATTTGTTTTATTGTTGATGTCGCGCGACTGCGAAAAAATTGGCTAAATGCCAAAATTACCAGAGCAGTGTTCTTGGCGAAAACTAATAGTGTAGATTTACGGGCCAATGCATTAGGATAGGTTAAAGACGCACACCGCGCAACGAGACCTCTTCCCATTTATTTAGAATTCCGACAGAGGCTTGCAAACGAATGTGTGATGTCACAAATTTTTTGTAGTTTTTCAGAATTTGTTTAATTAATTTTGATTTTCAATTCTTTATTGTTTTATTTTATCAAAAGTCATTTTCACACATCAATTACAAGCGTTTACAAAAAAATGAAGCATAAATTAATAAGAAAATGCATTTTGAAACGAAATTTGATGCCATCCGACCAAAAACCATTCATAATATTAAAAATCGCCGTCTTTTGTCTTCAGGTAGTTAATAATTCCAATTTCAATCGCATCCCTACGGCGTCTCCTTTTTCAATTCGAAAATGAATGAGGGACTTGAAAAACGATATATAATTTGAGAACAATGAATAAAATCCGCGAATTATTCATCAGCGTTGAGTCGATGTCGATGTCCTTGACAAAATTTTCCGAAATCGAAATATATACAAGAGCTGAAAACGAGAGGGAGCTGTTTTAAATCAGAGTCATTATTTAAATTGGCGCGTAATAATCGTGGCCGTGGACGTGCGCATCGTTTTCAAAATGACGGCCGCTTGTGCGCGCAAAATTTCAAATTTTTGCCTCTCGGCGTCTTGCGCTTCTTTTTTTCGTTTAATCTCCAATTCTTGGGATTAATTTGGAGGTGACATAATGAATTCATGGAAACGATTGCCATGCAGATTATTTTTCCACAAAACGTGCGAGCACAAGGCTTAAAATCGGCATATTTCGCAAGCGTAACATTTTCATTATATTTTACTGTGTTTCGACGTCGTGTGCTCATTATTCCATAATTTTTCACCAAGTGGAATTATACTATTTTTTAAAGAGAGAAATCATCTAAAAAAATGGCAGATGATATCGATTGGCAGGAGTTTAATGAGATTGCAATTATAAATACTCCGGTGACATATTACAACTACTTCATAAAGACGTTGCATTTTTGTGATGTGGGCACCAGATGGAGTAACGCTTTGACGGTTTGAATATTTTTAAAATTAACTATTCCAAGACTCAAATTTTCAGTTTTTTCAAACGGCTGTTGCGGAAGAACTAGCCAAGGGATTTGTGACTTATGATATTGCGAGGTTACCACATAATTTGATTCGAAACCGATATTTGGACGTCTTGCCATGTAAGTGTTTCAAATGATTACATTTCTAGTTGTAAATGATTCAGACGATGATACTCGGGTCGAAATAACCGTCACGGAAGACAACCCACAAGGTTATATCAATGCGAACTACGTTTACCTTCCCGAAGCTATGCGGAGGTATATTCTTTGTCAAGTGAGTTAAATTTTCCTTTTTTTCTAAAAAATAGTATCGTTTAAGGGACCATTGGATGTAACCAACGCCGATTTCTATGATATGGTGGTTGGGCAAAAGGTTAAAAGCATTATAATGCTCAATAAAGTGATCGAAGGCGGCAAGAATAAGTGCGCCAAATACTTTCCGACGTCAGAAGAACCCACACATCAATTCGGCCAGTTCAAGATTACACTTAAAAGCGAATTATATGTTAATGAATCAATATGCCATCGAGTACTTAAGATTGAGACAACTTCTAATAATGGTAATACGAATCAATCCGAGTTTTGAAAACTTTATTGTTTTTTTTTTTCTTCAGAGGTTCATGAAGTTAACCACCTGTTATACACCGAATGGCCAGATTTTGGAGTTCCGACTTCGCCCACCTGCTTTTTGCAGATGTTGCAATATGCAAGGCGTAAGATAAATTAAAAATAAATAATTTATTTTTATCGTTTTCAGAATCAGGTCTTCTCCCAAATAATGTCGATGAACCGCCAACTGTTGTGCATTGTTCTGCTGGAATTGGACGATCTGGAACGTTTGTTTTTGTTGATTCAATTATTCGAATGGTACTCTATCTCATGCGGTCTTGAAATAATCGTTTTTTTAGGCTGAACTTGGATTCGAGCTCAGCTATACCTTTGCACAGCATGTTTTAAATATGAGAAGGTTTTGCAATGCCGTTTTTTCCACTGACTAATGTTTTTTTATTAAGATACCGGTTTGGACTCATTCAGACTCCATTTCAACTTAAATTTGCTGTGATCGCTGTTCTAAGAGCTCTTATTGAAATCGTTCATGTCGATGTCGAACACGCAAAGGTGGTAATGCGTCGAACGCTCGAAGAAGAACGAAGACGAGACGAAGAAAATCGAAACCGCTTTTTGGCTCTTCTGCCGGAGCCTGATCCGCATATTCTGGATGACGAATACTATGAAGAAGACGAAGATGAACCAGGACCGGTCCCACGTTCACAAGATCCGAAACAAGAAGAAGAAGAAGAAGAAGAGTCGCAACAAGATCAAAGCCAAAAAGTCGAAGAAGCTAAACCGGAACCAGAAGGAAACAGTGCAATATTGCAAGAAGCACCTCAGCCCGGAACAAGCGAGTAAGCATAATAAAAGGCCAATGTGGAAACTAAAAAGACCCTTTTCGGAGGCATTGATAATTTACTAAAGTTTACTTGTTCAAACCATGAAAAGGTGTCGTTTATTAATCAGCTCCGATGGATTAGGTTTATTTATTGTCGGAGTCGAGCCACTGCGGAAAATTGGCTAAATGCTAAAAATATTGGGAAGAGGTCTTGATGCTCAGAATGCGCCTTTAAACTGCCAATATATAAGGAGCTTATGTGATTATTGAATCTTTAATATACGATTTCTGAATTAGAAAAATCATTCTCGAGAAATGAAAATTTGTATATTGAGGAGTAGCTAAATAATGAATGATTAATTAACCCGATTGATTCGAGAACAACAGGCTTGCATGCGATGACCAACCAAAGGAGAAACTCGAAGGCGGGAAAGAGTTGGAGGAAGGGGCCGGCAAGAAGACTGTTAAGCGCAGGGCATCGTCACCTAGCGACGACGCTCAAGCGGACGAAAAGGAGGGCGAGTCGGACTCGGACTCACTCTCGAAAAGGTAAACGAGCCACATCCCCTCCGTGCATCATCCATTTAATTTTATTTAAGAGCGCGAACGTGAATCGGCAAGCAGCTGAGTTAACCCCTAAATATATATTTTTTAAATGCAACCCCTTCAAAATTTCTTCACCTTTTTATAATTCTACTACCTTTAACATTTACTATCTTACTGATTATTGTATACGTTTCATTATTAGCATTACTAAACTGCAGTGCAGAGTTCTAAAAATGATAGGAATACCGCAAAACTAATAGCGCAGCATATAAATAGAAGCAATTCCGCGAATAGTTTTGAATCATTGTAGTTTGTGTTATAGACGTGCGATGATCGCCGAAATGGTTCGAAAAAGTCGTGCTGCTGAGAATCGAGCCTCATATGGAACTGTGTGGAAAGTGACGGCGGCGGTTAGTGTCGTCGCCGTCGCGATCGTCTCCGCATACTTTGCACGATACGCGAAATCATAGTTATCTGTTTTCAGAGTGAATCTAACCCCCCAGTTTACATTTCTCCGGTATTCTATCATCATTTGATTGGTGCCTTTTCAAAATCCACCCATTCAGTGAATTCTATTTAAATATTTATATTGTTGGTCTCCTAATTATTTGATATTATCGATTATCGCGAAATAAATGCATTCTTGTGATAAGTGCTGGTTCATTTTTCAGACAATTCCGTTCATTATCGGTTCTCATATTTCTATTTCGACTTGGAAGATAATCCGGATGACAGCCAAATTTCAGACAGAATGTTTGGCTCGTCGGGATTTGGTAATAAGAGCACAATTTTTGGTCAATCATCAAATTCGACTGCGTTGAATAGTTCGAATAATGATGATTTCTTGGTTATTAGATAATTTTCTGCATCGTTTGATTCAATTATGCGTGTTCAGGTCGACGGTGCTCCTGATGATACCGTTCAAGTGATAAAGTTCAGTCCTCAGCCGCAGGATAAACCGATGTTAGCTTGTGGAAGTTGGGACGGAGTTAGTTTATGCTATATATTTTTTTTCAGGAGCAAAATAGTGTTTGTATCGATGAATTGCGTTGAATTATTCATTCTCATTCGATGTTTCATTTTTCTCGACAATTTTTGAATATTGCAGACAATCCGCGTATGGATGGTGAACGACAGTGGAACTATTGAAGGGAAAGCACAACAAAATATCGGGGCACCGGTGATGGATCTCGCGTGGCTCGATGTTCGTTTTTCTGATCAGCTTCTTTCATTCGACACATTAACTTGGTAGATTTTTAGGATGGAACCAAAATCTTCATCGCCGCTGCTGATAAAGACGTTCGCTTGTGGGATTTGGCGTCGAATCAGATGGCTGTGGTTGGAACACACGATGGACCTGTCAAAACTTGTCACTGGATCAACGGAAATAACTATCAATGTCTAATGACCGGCTCGTTCGATAAAACTTTGCGGTTTTGGGATATGCGTAATCTACCTACTCAAACGTCTCTTGCCAATATTCAGGTTTCTCGGATAATTATTTTTCTTGTTTTTTTTTTCATAATCTCACTTTTCAGCTACCTGAACGCGTTTATGCCGCTGATGTGAAATACCCGATGGCGGTTGTTGCATTGGCTAATAAAAATATTAAAGTGGGAAAGTTTAATGAGCATCAACGTAAAAATAATTTAAGGTGTATAATCTCGAAAATGGTCCGACAGAGGTTAAAGAAATTGAAAGTCAACTAAAGTATCAGGTTTGTTTGAATTTGAATATGCATATCAGGGCTGTGCGGCAATCGGAAATTTCGGCAATTCGGCAATTCGGCAAATTGCCGAAAATCAAAATTTCGGCAATCCGGCAATCCGGCAATTCGGCAAATTGCCGAAAATAAAAATTTCGGCAAACCGGCAATTCGGCAATTTGCCGAAAATAAAAATTTCGGCTATTAAATGTTTTCAACGATAATTCGAAATATAAATACCGAATTTTCACGGTATCCCAAATTATTAAATGGACATTGAATTTTTGTTTCGCCGATTTTTTTTTGATATCAAATTGCCGAAAATCAAAATTTCGGCAAATCGGCAATTCGGCAAATTGCCGAAAATCAAAATTTCGGCAATCCGGCAATTCGGCAATTTGCCGATCGAACGTTCGTTTCGGCAATTCGGCAATTTGAAAAATCGGCAATTTCGGCAATTTCGGCAATCGGCAATTCCATTGCCGCACAGCCCTGATGCATATCTGCTTAAATATATGTATATATGAGATTGCTTGTATATTGTGAGTTTCACGCGACTGTAGAAAATTGGTCAATTGCCAAAATCAATTATGACAGCCGTCTTAGAACAGAGGTGAAAGTGTAAATTTACGGACCTAAAAATAAGGATAGGTTAAAGGCGCACTCCGCGCGTCATTTTTCTTATTTTTCGAATTTTGAAAATTTTCCACAGACGATGACAATATTTTATTGAAAAAAGTTCAGATTCGGTGTATTGCGATCTTCAAGGATAAGAATAACCAGATGCCATGTGGTTTTGCTATTGGATCCATCGAGGGTAAAGAAGAATCGATTATTTTAAAATTTCGAAACAAATATGAAAATTTAGGCAGAGTTGCCGTTCAGTACGTTGAAAGTTCGAATCCAAAGGACAATTTCACTTTCAAATGCCATCGATCGCCGGACCTCGTTAATGGATATCAGGAGATTTATGCGGTTCAACTTTTCAATTGAACCATGTTTTTCTATTATCTGTTTTCAGGTGAATGCGATTTGCTTCCATCCACAGCACGGCACCATAGTGACACTAGGATCGGATGGGCGATACTCAATGTGGGACAAGGACGCACGCACGAAGCTCAAGACATCAGATGCACATCCAATGTCGCTCACTGCTGCTGATATCCACAGTTCGGGAAATATAATGGTTTATGCATTGGGATACGATTGGAGCAAGGTTTGTTTTATGCTTTTTTGGCCCCTAGGAAGTGTTTTAAAGGAAAATTATTGTTCGAGAAGAAAGTTAGTTCATGTTTTGGTTGTTCTGCTTATGCACCTTTGTTCATTTAAAGTAATTCTTGGTCATCAGCCTCCTGAAGCATAACAACTGGGCATTTCTTCATCTAATTTTTCGAAAGTGACGTATAGCAGATGCAAAAACAAATGATATTTCGACATTTCTTTTTTTGCGTCGGTCGGTCACATGCAAAACAGGAAATCCAATTGACTTGGAAAGAAAAAGAATCGAAAATCTTTGAGGAAGAAAAAAGTTGCGACATTTTTAAAATCATGAAAAAATAACGATTTTGATCTCAAAATTTGGTGTGAAAATTGGCGTTCTCGAGATTCTCAGAATGTATTTTTTCAGGGACACGATGGAAATACACAACCAGGGACAAAAATCGTGATCCACAAATGTTTCGAGGATCTGAAACCGCGTGCTTCGAAGAAATAATCGATTGTTCTCAAAATTTCACTTGTTACTTTTTTTCATCTAATTTTATTTTCTTTCCTTGTTTTCATTTTTCCAACTTGTCTTTTTCTATTTTTTTTCTTTAATTCCCGCTGCATTATTACTATTATTATTATTATTATTTACTATTTACTATTTATATGATTAATCTGTGAATGAGCAGTAACAGAAACAAACAAACAATGTCTTTTTGCATAATATTTTTGTTTTTTTTTCATTTTTATGGTTAATGATCCCCGATTTTCAATAGTTTTATCTCGAGAAATGTTTGAGCGCTTCATTCGAAAAAGTGGGACGAATTTCAGTTCAGAGTGCATATTGGATTAGGCGAAAAAGGAGAAGTCACTACTTGAACAAAAACGAGGTTTGATCATCATCACATTTATTATACGTGCATTCTGAGCCCCCTTTCCTTCCATCCCATCCGTTTTGTTCCCCGTGCGCGCGAGCTTTTATGAGTCTTCTTTGTTGCGAGCCGTAATCGAGTTTTCTCATGTATGCGTGAGTTTTCGACGGATGAGTTGTTGGCGCGCAATCAGTGTCCGAGAATTGCCCATAAATGGGAGAGAATGGATGAAATGGAAAAAAAGAAGCTGATTGCTTATTATGTCTTTTTTCGTCGATCAGACAATAAAGCACAACGCTGATGAGCTTATTTTTACTGTGGAGAAGCATTTCAACACCAGTCGCTTCATCAATTTGGATTGTCTAGTTAAAATTATTAATACAAATTATACGTTTACAACATTGCAAAAAAAATGAAAAATTCTATTGATGATTCTGTTCGCGATTATATATTACTGCTGTAGAAAAAACGAGCACCCTGCGCCGATTTACGATAAGTTAGCTTCGCAGGTTATCCAGAGTACGGTATCTGAATTTTCACAGTTTCAATTCAAAGGTAGCTTACTATTCTACGAGTCAAACTCACCGTATATCGGCTCAGGTTTTTCTTGTTATGGCGAGTGTATTAATAATTTCTTTAAGGAATGCCGAAAAAATATATAATTAAAAAGGGAGCGCACAAATCGCAACACGTCTGGCAACTTAGAATAACTAGCCTTGCCGCTTTTTTTTATACCGACTATTTTGTCGGCGTCAAACGACTGGACGAAATTTAAAAAAATGATTGGCTATGTGCCAATGCGTCTCGAAGCAGCGAGAAGTACGCGAGACTGCGTACATTGCATTATAACGTACGCGCATTTAATATTCAGTCAACGATAAATTTAAATCTACACAGATTCTGCGAAATTGAAGGACCCGCCTCCTTTCAGTCGTTTGACGCCGACAATATAATTCTTACAAGTGAAAATTGAATGTAATCTGTTTCTGTTTTCAAAAAAAATTGCCCATCGTAATTATTCTCTGTCACGAAAAAAAAACTAAAACCCTAAAACTAAACAAGTCCGAACTAAAATATGCCGAAAACATTTTACGGACCAAGACAATTTCTGCTGCGGACATTTCGCTGTCATTCGATTTATCAGTTCTTTCGCAATCTACTAAATACATGGTGTTAAAATGAGAAACGCGAGAATTTTATGATTTTAAAAACGTCCACTTTTTTTTCGGATATTAAAAACGAGCGCAGCGGCGAAAGATTGCGTAGGCCAACGAAACTCATTTATCATTTATCAGGAGGACGAGTACGTCGTGAACGAATGAGAGTGGGAAAACATCCAATGAATATCTAATTCTGTTCCATCTATATACACACTTATATGTAATTCGAAGGAGGCGAAATTGTTTTGTTTCGGCATGAATTTTCGAATAATTGGATGTAAAATGCGCCAATTGGACAGTAAATTGAAATTTGATGAAAGCTGAATTATTAACTATAAGAAATTTGGAAGTTTATACCGTCTGCTTTCAGCCATAGTTTTTGAATCTTTTCATTCAAACTTCCTGTTAATTCGAATTCCAAATGGATTTAAATAGGGAACCAAATTATGTTAGACGCTCGAAACTAAATTTTTGGGATAAATTATGGCATTATGTAACGAGAGACTTCTGGCCAATGTTCAATGACTCATACTTTTTGACTTGACTCATGATTTTTGACTCATAAAAATTGTATCATGATTTTTTATTCTTTGACTCATGGTTTTTGACTAGTGATTTTTGACTATTTTTTTTTTGACTAACAATTTTTGACTAATGATTTTCTGAGAATTTTTTAAATAATTTAAATAAATTAAAATTATTCTGGTCTGATGAGAATTGCAATATTATTTAAATTTTTGTACATTAACTCAAACCAAAAAGGATTTTTTTATTAACAAAAAACAAAATTATATAATGAAATGGTGGACATCAGAAAATGGGCGAATATTTCCGTAGTTTTTTTATTTTTCTTTTTTCTCCAGACATCGTTAAGCTCGATTCGAAGTTTGAGAGACTTCTAAAAGAATACTAATATTGGTACAACTTTTGGTTACTACGGTCAATTACCTTTTATTATCATTTGGAGTTGTCCAAATCTGTGTTGATGTTTCCAAAATATTGGAAACTGATCCAGAATCGGATTCAAAATCTCGATATCTAAAAATTCAAATATTGGTCCAACTTTTGGTTACTACGGTCAATTACCTTTTATTTTCATTTGGAGTTGTCCAAATCTGTGTTGATGTTTCCAAAATATTGGAAACTGATCCAGAATCAGATTCAAAATCTCGATATCTAAAAATTCAAATATTGGCCCAACTTTCGGTTACTACGGTCAATTACCTTTTATTTTCATTTGGAGTTGTCCAAATCTGTGTTGATGTTTCCAAAATATTGGAAACTGATCCAGAATCAGATTCAAAATCTCGATATCTAAAAATTCAAATATTGGTCCAACTTTTGGTTACTACGGTCAATTACCTTTTATTTTCATTTGGAGTTGTCCAAATCTGTGTTGATGTTTCCAAAATATTGGAAACTGATCCAGAATCAGATTCAAAATCTCGATATCTAAAAATTCAAATATTGGCCCAACTTTTGGTTACTACGGTCAATTACCTTTTATTTTCATTTGGAGTTGTCCAAATCTGTGTTGATGTTTCCAAAATATTGGAAACTGATCCAGAATCAGATTCAAAATCTCGATATCTAAAAATTCAAATATTGGTCCAACTTTTGGTTACTACGGTCAATTACCTTTTGTGTGCCAATGTTGGGGTGAAAGAAGACAAATTTACACTGGATTCATTGTTTTGAAGTACACTGTCTTCACTATCATTGTACATTGTCATGCTGAAAGAAAGTGTTCGTACTTCGAATATTTGAAAACAACTTACAGCGATAAATCTTGCAAAAGTCTTCGCCCATTATTTTTACTCTTGTTTGTTCTCTTCCGCATTGGAGCTTTTCTTCCACATAATACTGGCCTACTCAATGTTACCCTTTTTCTCAAACTAACTTTGCGTGCTTCATCGGCAATCTTTTCGATTTCTACCTCTTTTTCTTTTTCCGTTAAAGAACAAACCGCAGCCCATCTAAAATTTTTTGGAAGGTTAGAAAGATAATTTTTTTTTTTACAAATGCTGGCATATTTTTGGGAATCGTCTCTTGCAGTTCATATCGGAGCATCCTATGCGATTGTCCGAAGATTTCACATCGACAATACTGCTGAAATAAAGTTTCGGAAGTTCTCCAGCAAAATTTCCAGTAAAAACATACTCATTTGACTTCACTATAAAACCTTCCTCATACATTATTATTTTGAATTTCTGAACCTGCTGGTGTAACCATACAACATGCGAATCAGGATTGTCTGTGAAATTGAAAATAAGAATTTCCTCAGAGATTGGTGAGCACATACCTTGGGCTAAAATAAGAGGTAGTTTTAAGATTGGTCTTTCACGAAACCCTAATTTAATTAGAAATTGGGTTTTTTCGAATTCCCGGAGATTTGAAAACAATTCTTGATGCTCAAATCGTACGACTTCGTCGTAATCTATCACAGATCGATGATAGCGATCGCTTTCGTCTGAAAATATAATGAAATACTCACGACTACTGCAATTTACCCTTCAAGAACTCCATAATTTTCAAACAAGCATCATCAGCACGTAACGGCGATTTTATCAGCTCAGCCAAAATTGAGTTGAAACATTCAATTGAATTCGACGATAAAAAGGGTTGAATAACACCAGCAATCAATCGGCTCCGCAAGGAATTGCAATCGAAAAGGTTATCGAAATTTCGACGTACCCTGAAAAAAGGAGAAAACAAAGAAAATTTAAAAAATTCGTGTTTCTTTCATTTATTACGATTTATTTTTTTTTTTAGTTAATATGCTATTTTAATGTTTTTCCTCGAAACGCCAGCATTTCTTTAATCGTATTTCATCGTTGCCTAATATTTAAATTTAAAATATTGAAAATACCAAGCTTTTGCGCCATCATCATCACAAGTCTTCTCAAACAATTCGAGACGACGGTGATAGTCTTGTATGTTCAAAGCTCCAAGAAGTCCAGTCTTCAAGTAGTTCGGTCCCATCTGTAGGCTCGTAATTTTAATTGAAAAAGTGAATGTAAATGTTTAAACTTGTCCAAAAACCATTCGGACTATTCTGCGACTATAACTCGAATCCTTAGATTTCACACTATCTGCCAAATTTTTTGATCTGTGTAGTTCACAACGAAGAGTTTGTGCGTGGTCGAATGCGGAAATAGTCTATAGTTCTCTCTTGAAATAGATATATGAGTTAATTGAAGAACCTGGCGATATACGGAGAATGAAGATTCACCGTCACAAATAATTGCAGGAGTTTTTCTTAACTTTTTGGCTCAAGCTGAGACAAAATCGATTCTAAATGCTGCGCATGGAACGAATGACTTGCGGAATGTTTTCTAGAATGGAAAAGAACTCCCAAAACAAGAAATCGGGGTTTATCGGAACTTCGAGTTCTAAAGATAACTATTTTTTCAAATTCATTTTTGATTATACCGGAATTGTTTTGAGGCAGTCCCAATGATAGTTATAAAAAGATCCGATAGTGTGAATGTTGTATCAATGAATATAACTCCTTCAAACATGTATGCATCTTTTTCCTTCCTGTTCCAATCGTCTATCAAAATTCAAAATAATATCTAATTCTATACAACAATGGCTATCATACCCAAGTATTTTTGAATCGAACTAAGCGGTCCATCGTCACATAATTGTCCAATCTTTTCGCGATGTTGAACTAGTTCGTCTTCAGTTGGCAAGGAATTCAAATAAATGTTACAGTTTTCACGGATTATTATTGACAAACATTCCGATATATCTCCATCACCTTAAAATATTTTCAGAATTTAATGAAACCCAAAAGTAAGTAAGTGTAAGTGAATGAAACATACAATTTTCAATCGAAAACTTGCAATCTGGAATTTTATGAGAAATACTTGACAGTTGATATGGGGTTGCCACTCGTTTTGGGCCTCGTTTCCCGATTACTGCATCGCGCACATACCGAACTTGATTCCGAATCTAAAGTAAAATAGTTCTATTTTAAATATGTGCCATATTTACCTGTTTCTTATTAAATTTAAAACCTTGATCCAAAAGTTGTTTTTTTGTGCAGTCAACCGTACGCCCCTTCAGCGTTTCTCGAATTATCCGAGCTTCTTGATCTGAAAAAAAATTTATTTAATGTTGTAGGCAAAATTTTACTTGAAAGCCTCGAAGGCTCCTCAATAAGAATTATGTTCGGAGATTTTTTAATGTATTGGATTAAAAAAATTTCGCCGCCAATCTTATGAATTATCTAAAACTAATAATTTAAAAAATACACAAAATAACAAATACCATTTTTTTCAGATCGGGGTTTTCCACGTATTCGCATTTAATTACTTGGTATTTTTCGTATTCTTGGTTCCAATAAATATAAATGGGAGCAATTTTCTTTTTCCTAGAAGAATAAAATAAATAATTTAAATTGCAAAAATATTATGAACCTTTTTCCCTTCTTGACCATTTGAGGCCATCGTTCATCGCACTTAGGCCACACAAGGCGTCCTTCTTTATAATGAAATATTTTGAACCAATCCATGTTCCATCAATTTTCGATTTGATTTCGTTCATCGATATCGAATATCTATAAAATACAAATATTGTCGAAGAAGGACGAATTGTACAAATTTGAATGACCAAACGCGTTAGCTATTTTTGAATTTTTGCATGCGCCAATATCTATAAAATTCAATTTTTTCAACTTAATTACTCACCGAATCACGTTTTCGTCGTCGGACAAGAGCAAGCCTAAAGCTTCGTGCTTTTTCAAATAATCCGTTTTAGATTGAAGAGACATAACAAAACCAAATGTGAAGTTTTCCGAGAAGGCGACTGAAAGTGATTTATTAGTGTCATAAAGTTAAACGGAACAAATTTCATCTGACATGTAGTTTCAGCATGTAACTAAGAATTACGGCACGAAAAATAGTGAATGAACGGAGAATTTAGGATTGATAGCAATAAAAACATGAAAACGAAAACGATCTGTAAACACAACGGTATAAAATGCACACCGAGCTTACCGTACCAACCACGTGTATTTTTTCCACAACTACTTACATAATGAACTGCAACGTGTTTTATTTATAAAAACTTATAAATTCATTTTCAAAGACTGTAGTTAAAATATTCTACATAGATTAAAAAAAAGGAAAAACATAGAAAAGCGAAAAGATTAACTAATTTTTATCTAATTAAATTTTTAGATTGTGCACATTTGAGAAAATGTTACCGTAACGCTGCGTCTTTAACTGTCATTTTTTATTTCTTCTTTTTTTTTTTTAAATTTTTTTGCCACTTTTTGCAGTTAGTTGCTTCGAAATTAATTGAAATGTTTCTAGTTCAATTTTAAGTCTATTTATTATAAATTCACGGCAATTAAGGCTTGAAATTGCGTAAATTTCAATTATTTCTCATTAATTTTTAGGATTTTAATTTTTCCGCAAATTTCGATGTTTACTCCACTTCTCACAGTTTTTTAATAAATAATTTTTTAGGTTCCGTGCGTTGGCAGCACTATTTGATAGATTCAACATTCGATTCTCTACTTCTGTATCTTTTGGTATATTTTTTCCAGTTTTATTGTCTTTTCTCCACGCTAATTAATTAATTTCGGTTTTTTTTTTGAATAAATTTATTTTTTTTAAACGTATTTGATTACTTCAAATCATTTAAGTTCATTTGGTCGGTTTTAAGAATTTGAAAACAAGCAACACTGGACTCGCACAAAAATTATGTTCTTTCAAATACGTTTAGTTTACTATTCATTGATTGCTCGATTGGGTGAATCAAGGAAAAGAAATCAATACTGCCTGCTGCAAATTTCCAAATTTTCTCTATCAGCCGAACAACTAGTTTTATTGCAGTATATATATATATATATATATATATATATATATATATTGAAATCTGCAATAATTTACATATATTGTCGGCGACAAACGACTGAAGAAGGCGGGGCCTTCAACTTCACGAATTCAGTGTAGATTTAAATTTTTTGTTAACTGAATATTAAATGCGCGTACGCTATAATGCAATGTACGCAATCTCGCTGCCTCGAGACGCATTGGCACATAGCCGATATTTGCTTACATTTCGTCAAGCCGTTTGACTTCGATAATATGTATATTCTCAGAAAATCATTAGTCAAAAATTGTTAGTCAAAAAAAAAATAGTCAAAAATCACTAGTCAAAAACCATGAGTCAAAGAATAAAAAATCATGATACAATTTTTATGAGTCAAAAATCATGAGTCAAGTCAAAAAGTATGAGTCATTGAACATTGGCCGAGACTTCTTATTTTTCAAATTTCAGCCATTTTTTTAAGTTGGTTTTCTGATTTTGGCAATCATTTCAAATTAAAAATATGTATAGATATAATCTACTATATAATTAAAAATAAGATAAACATTAAAATTCACCCATTTACACAATTCGTAGCATGTTCGAAACATATTTGCTTTTGGATTATTTGACAATGACTATGATTAGATGTCATCAAGGCATCGAGATCCTAAGCTTCAAGAAAATTCTAGCACACTGTATTCGACATTTACTATCAAGAGTTCAAAAACTAGATCGTAATGATGAAACATTGCGCCTGTAACGATTGATTCGTATCAATTTTGATGGCGGCGGCGGCCATTCATTTGATCTGATAGATTGTGTCACGATGTTGAACTATAAACCCGTTAAAAATAGTTTCAATCAGTCGTGTTTTATGTGCACATTTGCGCCTTTGAACAATTCCGCAATGCGCCACGCACGAAGTTCGTAATTGCGACGTCATGAACTGATAGGCGACGTCGAGGTTGTCAACAATTCGCGTACTCTCTAATTCTATTGAATCTAATCAATGATAAAATGATTATTAAGTATAATAATATTAAAATGATTATATTATCGTCGTTTGGGAAATTTTTCTAGCATTTTTATTCGAACGACCAAGTAGAAAAAAAATTAACACAACTCTTTTGTTTTTCATTCAGTGAAGTCAAGATAGTATATATAATAATAATAATAATAGAATAGAATATATAAATATATATATATATAGTTACCACATAAAATTAATATTGAAAATAAAATGAATTGTTGGTGCGACGTTGTCATACCGAACATACAAAAAGAAATTGTGAAATTAAAAAAAGAGACAAAAATGGTGAGGTTTTGGAACATCAATCGATCATGCAGGGTGGTTGAAGCCTCGACGAGAAATTTGCATTTTGTTTTGAAAAACGTTGAACGAATTGGAAATCTATAGATTTGGGTACCTAGGTACTTTATAAGGAACGAAAATGATGTCTGAAAGGCAAAACAAACGATGCTGCAGTGCTGCTTCGAGAGAATAAGAGAGAGAGAGGGAGAGGGAGATGGATGGAGAAAAGGGGTGACAAACAGGAAAATGAAAAAAAAACTTGAGAAACACACAATAAAAAAAATATAACCAGCACCAATCAATTTTTGGAAGGAGGCCAACCGAATTGTTGAATTAGTAAACTGGGTTAAAATGGAATATATTGCTGTTTGAGTATGAATTTTCTTTTTTGTTGTTGTTCGGGGGAAGTGGCATGGTTATATGGCTAAGAAAAAGAGAGAGAGACAGAGAGACGGTTTCAATATTTGTGGAATGCAAGGATTGGGATAAATCACAGTGGATTGTGAGACAAGAGGAAGCGCGCGCACAAACATTATTGGTTCTACTTTTTGACTTCGTTCGTCAAAATCTGGAAGAGCTCCTTGTCGGCGAGACAGCCGTCGACGAACTCTTTGAGTGTCAGCTCCTTATCATTATTCACATCCATCTTCTCGAAAATCATCTTGGCGCGCTTCCTTGGAGAATCGTCAGCGGACTTTGTCACTTCGGGACCCAACATTTCATAGATCGCCTGAATCGATTATGATTAGAATCCAATATCCCAGATGCTATCAGTCTCACCTCAATAATCTTGATCATCTCCTTCTCGTCTATTGTACCGTTTCCATCAATATCGTACATTCGGAACGCCCATTCCAGTTTCTGTTCTGGTGTTCCGGAACTCGTCACATTGATAGCCAGCAGGAACTCCTTGAAATCGATAAACCCGGAGTTGTCTGTGTCGAATGTGCGGAAGACGTGCTCGCAGAAGCCCTCTGCTGAGCCCGACGGAAAGAAGTCTTTGTAGACTTTGATGAACTGCTCCTTGGTCAAATGACCTTTAGGGCAATCTTGCTGCAAACAATCAGACTCGTAATGAGTGTTTTGCAACACGAACGGGTCTCACCACGAATCCCTTATACCATTCTTTGATTTGCTCCTCGGTGAAATTGGTGTTCTTCTTCAAAAACTCCAAGTCCTCCTTGGACAGTTTCGGCTTGGAACCTTTGATTCCCATTTGATTCGGCTGTCAAGCGAGAGCAACACGCTGGACTGACGCAAAACAAGCAAGCGTTGCCTGCAAAAATAATCACTCATTATTATAACGATAATCATCATCAGCGAAAAATGGTAATGAAACGAGGATGAGTGTGAACGTGATAAGCTTACGGGAAAAAAGGGAAACAGAGGTTTGCGTGAGCCATACACATGTACTAAACGCGTTTTGTCACCAGTGCCCCCCCCCCTTCTCTTTTTGCCTCCCACCAACACATTCAAATCGATGGCATCGAGACGCAGAGAAGGCAAGAAGTGGCCAGTCCTCATACATAGACACCGCCTTTGGCTAAAATCGATGACGAATAGAAAACGGGGGAGGAGGAATAAGATGATGGATGCTTGCATTCAATTTGAGGCACTCAATTAAATTGAGTTGATTTCTTTCGGGTTCTATTTTCTTTGCCCTATTTTTTGTTGATGTTGTTTCGCGCTTTTTTTTTCGACGTTGCGTTACCGGTAAATGGGTGACATACCACACGCGTGCGTGGGGTTTTGCAGAAATTTTTTTTTGTTTTTGTTTCGTTCGAGTTGGTTTGGAGTGAATGGACGAAACTGAAGCGGGTTTATTTGCATTTGTGATAAATACATCACTCAAAAGACCGCCACATACAAAGTCGGCCAGTCAGTCAAATACACCGCAAACGATAAAAAAAAATTTCGGTGTTTTTGGCGGTAGAATTTTTGATGAAATTGTTTGTGGAAATTTTTTGCTGAAATGATAGCGTCGGTGCGATAAGAATGCTCGGAGCGGCGATGCGATGCGACAATGGTCTCACATAAAACGAAAACGTGGAATTAAATTTATGTGGCACGAAACGACATAATTGCACCCTATTTTTTTTTGTTCTAGAAGAGAGAAAGAGAAAGACGAGTTGATTGATTTTGTGTACCAAGATCAGCGGCCAAGAGTGTGAATCGCAAAACAAACAAATTGAATGAACATTTTGAACTATGCGTGTTTAAATAAACAAACAAGCAATGCGAGGATTGGCGAGTGCAGTAGGCCAGTGCAGTCATCCGCACCAAATTGGGCAGCTGTTATATAGCTTGTCATATGGAAAATGAGGAGCCGCTTCCTTGAATGGTCAGAAATCAGGGCGCACGTTCTAGTATCGTATCGTATAGCACATGCTTTCGTCGGTGTGACAAGGTCCACATATAGACGTGTGTAAAAATAAAGGCGATAACATACAATGAAGACGCGATAGGAAGCGGACAAAAAAAAAGAAGATGGCACGGGTTTCTGTACAAATACGATAGATTGAGCGCTATTTCCAGTATTATTTTTTGTCTCGTTTGATTTGCATATCATCGTAGGCGAAAAAAAATTGGCGAACGGTAACATCGACGAGGCACCGGCCGCTAATCCGCTCAATAGATTTGTGAGCCGCCGTCGAGCCGTAATAAACAAGACAATCTGTGGTTTTGTTGGACGGCTTTTTCGTTTCGTCTAAAGCGGGTATCGATTTTGGGTTGGTTGCAACCCCAAGGGACGAATTAGGTTTAAGGGATCGAATGCACAAAAATTGAGAGCGGCATGTTCCCACGAATTGTGCGAATTAAGTCAGTAGGCGGGCGACCCTTTGGCCGGAATTTGAGGCCACGTCAAATGAGCTGATAAGGAAGCGAATCGCCTGATTGCGAATGAACAAAAGGGGCGGAGACGAAGGTTGCAAATGAGTGATGAAATGAGAGGAAGATTTTGGTAATTGTCTGCAGATGAGGTTCTTCAATTGGTCTGACGTTGTCTGTGTCTCTTTAATGTAATACAATAATTCTAAAACTCATATCAAAAATAATATGTGCAATTAGGGAATAACCATCAATGGCGAATAACTTGATTAAGATATTTTCTCAGTTAAACAGTAAAATGAGCTATAAAAATGCTCTTCGCCAGACTTTTATCCGCGAGAAACTCGTTCAAAAAATGATTGAGTGGGTTCGACAAGCACGTTATTTTTTGCTAGACCGATTTCTTCATTTTCGACCATAAATCGTCGTGCCGTGAAGCGGAAAGCCCTTCAATTTTCGAAGTGAAAAATTCCAATATTTGTTGTCTGCAATTGGTTTCTTTTTTTTCGCGCTTCCGCTTCAGGGATGTGCGATGCGATTGTTAGCGGCGGTAGTAGTTTTTGTGCACATCTCGAGTGGACAACAAAGGTTTGTGATTTCGTGGTCCGCCGCCGTCGGATGGTGCTGTTTTTTGATGTAAACAGGAAATTCGAGAAGGGCCCGTACCACACATGAGCAGCCGACAAGCAAGTCAACTTATCATCGCGTATGATAACGAGCCAAACAGGACAATCGGGCAGCAAACTCGCAAAATGATGAGGAAAAACGCGTTTGTTTTTGTGTTTTAAAGAGAAAGAGAAAAAACTGCACTAAACTAAACGTTGTTGAAAAGTGTGCAACTAAATGCAAAACGATGTATGCTGTGTTGGAAAAGTGTGGGGGGAGGGTTAGAAGGGGGCCCCGGGAAGCAATGGAATGGAAAATTGGGGGGCGGCCGAGAGCTTTTTGCGGTGTGTCCGACGTCGGTCCGGCCGCTGCCGATCCGGTCGCACCACATACACACAAAATAGAGTTGTTATGGAGGAGAAAAAAGGGGTGGAGCTTCATCTTCTTCTTTCTTCTTCTTGCTTCGATGTCTATTCCTGAGTCGATTGAGTTGAGGTGAGGAAATGTGGCAACTGAGTGAGTGCTCTCTTCTTCACTTTCGGCCCGTCCCCCCTCTAACTATTGCATGTGTGCCTGCGTGCTCCCCCTTGAGGGGGGGGGGTTGCTTGTTGCCTGTCGCCGTCGTCGTCTTCGTCTGACGGAGACTAACTGGCCAGTGAGAGTAGTGACACTCACACACACATATACGCATACACATACATGCTCACTCACTCATTCGCTCACACTCACATACATAGAAGAAGAAGAAGAAGCCGCACACAGAAACTATGTATGAATGAATGGATGAGAGTGCGTGTGTATTCGGGCCTAAAAATGAGAATGGTGTAAAATGATATGGGGATGACATCGCAGCTGCACGGAAGGCTTAACGGTTTCCCGAATTCCCACCCCCTTATTTTTGTTTTTTTTTCCTCTCAAAAAAACGTCATCAATTTTGTATTCATTTCAGATGGATGATCAACGACAGCCGACCACTTCTGACAAAGGTTTGGACTTTTTCATAATTTCCAAACGGACTACTGTAACACTGTAGAGGCTTCAAAAATGCAAAAAAATTTCTATGTCGGGTAGACGTCAAACGAAAGAATAGCACTTAAACTTAAAATTATCTCATTAAAAAATCTTTAATTATTATTTTTTCGAAAAAAATTTTGAAAGTCGCCCATATTGAACCGGTTAGCTGCTCTTTTTTTCAAGGAGGGATTTCTTCAATTTGATTGCTCAATTCTCTTCTTTTGAGCATTTTGGCACCGAAAAGATTGGATAGCATTTAGCAGTGAGCAGTTGGGATTTAATGGATCCATGCGAAAATGGTTTGGGCTTATTTTGCAGAATTTGAGAGCCCAATGGAATTGAACGAACGCGTAATAAGAAGAAAATCGTCATTAAAGACAAAACAAATAAATTTAGAAAATACACACACACACATATGAAACAACGAATGTGAAACACAATGAAATGAACTAGAAGTGATGTGGTAGTGATTCTCCATAGATGGCGATTTTGCTGGCTGCCTGCTTTCGCACAGCGCGCTCTTGCTCGCGCAAGCAACTCACTGAGCGCACCCTTCTAATCTATGAACAAGGCGACAACACTCTCGACAATTGAGATGTTGCATGCGTGAGCTAATCAAGCCATCGGAAAGGAGAGAGAGAGAGAGAGACATAAAAAAGATGATCCCGTGCGACGTCGTCGTCGTCGACAGGCGTCATCTTCGAGACACAAAACCCGCCAGGGATTTTCGAAGATGACCATGATCGTTGAATATTCATATTTGTGCGTTCACCAAAGGATGGAAACTATTTAAAGATAGCTGCGCGCTCATTTTTTTTTTGGGATAATTGGTCTTCAAGGAGAATTCGAATTTTATTTCGTCATCACTGGAGTATTTTTGGAGTTCGTATACAATATTAATGAAGATCTAATGGAAGGTCGTTAATTTTTTCGTACTGTAATTATAGGATACACTTGACGTCTATGACGTGTTCTAGTGGTGTCGAAATTTCGTGAAGTCGTGTAGACTTTGAACTAACTCGCCGAAATCCGATATGTTATTCAGATGATGATATCTCGACCAGTAGGTCAATTCTTTTTCTTCAATAGGACATTATTGGATTGATCTGCTGGGGGAGGAGGGGTGTGGAATCTGATATCTTGAATGGATGTGCGTCGATGTGCTCGTTCAATTGCCTGTCGTTCATTTGCCCCCTGTTGTTAGAAGTTCGTTCGGACACCTGATTCGTTAACAAATTCTTTTGAACTGGGCAAAGAAGTCATATGGAGAATGCACCTGTTGGCACGATCTCCGAAATGATCAGACATATTCGATTTGGGCAGAAGAAAGTGATGCAAGAGGGAAAAGAACCAAACGAGAAGGGAACAAAACCGCCGTGTATGATTGGTTTGTTAAATAGGTCCCAAGGGAGTTGAGTTGGAAACAGGAGAGTGTCGGATGCATCTTTTCACATGGCCAAGGGACCACCACACAAAATTCGTCGGCTGTCGTGTGTGCTCCAAGCGTAAATGCGCATGTGCCCTCCTAATCGAATATGGTAGTTGTTGGGTAGAGCTCCCCCCCCCTTTGCGTTGGCAGCCGACTGAAGTGTAGGAGCAGGTCGAATCGAAAATGCAAAGAAATCCATGGGAGAGACGATGGATGGGCGTTGCGGGGTTGGTTCCAACCCATTGAGTGGATGCCGTTTTATTTACCAGTAGTTGATTGGTCAAAAAAAATGACAAGATGGAGAAAAAAAGTAGGCGCGGCACAGATTTGTCGGGATTTTCATTCTTGTCAAAAAAATGACTTGTTTTTAAGCAGGATTAGCGTTTTATATTGACATTTTGCTGGCATGGATAAGCAGCGAATTGAATATAGTTCGATTTTTAAAGGGCATTGAAGCTTAAATATTGAGTTGAGCAGAGATTGAAATAGGAAAAAAAACTCGAGTGTTTCATTTCACCGCATTTTGTTAGAGAATAGAATTTTTCCAACGCTTAAGGGAACTTCCTATGCGCCTTTAAAGTATTTGACTTTGAGTTCAACTGACATCAGGATTATGACGACATTCCTATTCATAGGGTCGTTATAGCAATGTGTTTTTTTTTTAGAAAAGGCCCTGAACGCTTATCCATCTCGTTCATACATTATGCATTAGGAACCACAAGCCACAATGCCGAAAATGGAAATAAATATTGTTGTCGCCATTGATCACAACCTAAACGGTTTCTATACAAACCATTAGGAGGACAAACAATTTATAGTGGAGAGAACGATAGTCAAATATAATCGTCCAAAATTGGAAATACGCAGGTTTTGCATTGATCGAGACAATAGATTATTTCGGTATACATCAAAGGCACATTCAAATATTTCTTAATTTAATGCAATGAATAAAATCAACTGGATTATAAAATTTTGCGACAGTTGTCTTTTTTTGACAATAACAATACTAATAAGAAATAACAAAATTGTTTAAAAAAAAACCCTATGTAGATTAACGGTGTGATTGATCCGTACTCGAATTTCCACTGTTTAAATAGAAATAATTTAAATTACGCCTCCGAAAAAAATACGATGGTCCGTAAATATCCAAGGTGCTCGTTTTTTTTTGGAAATGAGAATAAAATAATTGTGTCGAACAATCTGATGGATTTTAAAGGCGCACATGTCCTACTGTAAACTCATTAACGAAAAAAGAAGCGTGGGCGCGTGCAAGTACAAACTTCTTCGCCGTTTTTTTTTCTTCATTCGACTCGTCGCTGCCGTTTTTCTCCTTTTGTGCGGATTGAATTCAAGAGGAAAAGAATGGGCGAGCGAGCCGGGGGGAGAAAGAAGAGACAAAACTGATTTGAGCATGACAAGAGAAGGACTTGTGAAGTCGAACTAAATTGAATAATAGGAGGCGAAGAGGGGCGGAGGAGATGGGGTCTCGACGACAGCGGCCCACCAAAAAAAATGAGGGGCTCCGGAGAAGAGAATAGACTCGAAGCTCTCGCGACATGATTGGATTTTGAATCGCCGAAAGAGCTGTCACCGGTTTTTTTTTTTGCATTCGCCGCCTACTTTTCATTTTTGACCAATATCTCGGAATATAAGTCGAGAGAGACACCAAATATGGAAGATATTTAGATTATCGACCTTCATATTCAAATATTAGAGGTGAATAAAAACTCGACTCGTTTCACATCGCTGACAAAACGATGTCCAAATCTACTCAAATATTCAAATTCGCTGTGATGGGTGTGTGTATGTGTGTGTGCTCGAAATTGTTGCTTAGTAACCCGTCGATTTCGACAGATGGCCATTTAGAGTGGCGACGAAAATATGGCGCCATGTAGATACTATTCTAACGACTATTATTATGGATCTGTTTGAATAAGTCATATAAGGTTTTTTGGCTTTACGACTACATATATCTAGGTGAAATCGAGAAAATCGAACAGATTGGGGGGGGGGTCTCCTGGAATAATTGGAAGTGGTCTTTACGAAATGGAGAAATTTTACCGATTCACTTTAGTGGGTCCTAAAAATAGAGAAACTTGAATCGTATGAATAATATAAATTTTTAGGCTCCGATTCAATTCCCACCGGTGCAGTTATCGGCTCGGCGAGCAGCGGTATTGGTGGCGCACTTCTCGTGAATCGTCGACGTCAGGAAGGCAATCCGGTGCTCAAATACGTCCGAAATGTGCGATACGAATGGGGAGATATCGCGCCAGATTTCGAGTGCGGCTCGACATTCGCCGTCGTTTATCTGAGTTTTAAGGCAAGTGGGCGAATCAATGAAAAAAAAACTCGAATGATTCGGTTACGTTGCGGAAAAAAAGCGCATTTTTTTCGAATCGTTGACTAGAGAACAATGTATCGTTTTGGCAAATAAAACCCACCGAATATTTACATTTATGATTTTTGCGCGTTCTTTTCGACTTTTGTATTCGACGCGTCACACCGGCTGAATAAAACTCACATTTCATTTTATAGGAATCATTTCCGAAAACACATTTTGTGGGCTTGTGCGGAAGAATGAATAGAACAATAAAATTATTACGGTAGGGGGTCATGGCGAACGAGCGAAATTTGATAATAGGTTTATAAATATTTTGCCTTTTTGAAAAAAAAATGGTTTTGGGAATCAGTCCCCGTGAGACCCAGCTCATCATCGACTGAATGATCCTTCAATTTATAGTTCAATAATATTTAACTCTTGCCTAAAATTTTTTAAATTCGTGATTTTTTTAAAATTTTTAATTTAACCTGATTCCATTTTTACGATATTATAAATTTTTAGACACAGACTTTTAAAAAAATAAATTCAAATTTTGTGCATCTTGCGTTCAAGACTAATATTGGCACAAATATTGGGATAAAAATGTTGTTGCTGCTAAAAGTATTCGCAACCCAAAAAAAGGCGATCAACTAGTGCAAATAGCTCGTCAGAAGCGATTGGCACAAGAGTGAGCTGACACGGACCCATCAAATCCTGTCACATATGTTTTCTATCAACGATTCGAAAGAAGGGGAAACGAGAGCGAAAAAGTACATATGTATGTCAATTATAGTATCACAAAATGCATCCGAATTATGTGTACACCCGACTGAGCGCTCGCGGCGAGAACAATTACAAGCACAAGGTATGAATGTTGAATGAATGTATGTAGTATACATGTACATATTGGGAAGAAATGAAAAAATCGGGGCGTCTTATTGAATAGAAGCGAAAGGAATTCATTATGATGATGATGATGATGTGTTTGAGGTGCTTCTCGCGTATTGTAATGTCGAAGAACCGAGACATGTGCAACGCGAATTGAATATGATGTGCTACCGACAAGGATGGACACTCGTCATCTGCTATTCGGTTTGTTTTTTTTGTGATTTTCGATAGAGTGCAGTATATGAACAAATATGGAATGAACAAAAGTCACACGATTTTCTTTTGGAGGGAAAAATAAATCGCTGACGTTCGCAAATTAGTAGACTTGAGATAGATTTACGGAATGCGTCTGGAAATGATTCATTATGTTCTGTGGCACATTATTTTATGAAATATTTGTTACGTTTCGTTTACAAGTATCTTTTTTTTTCATCTGAGATCATTTTAAAGGCGCATACCTCTAAATCTCAAGACACCGTCGATGAGGGATGTGTTTCTAAGAAACCACGCCCTCGTGCAAATTCGGCGAGGCCAAACAGATTATTTGAATAGAAAACAAAATACTTCTTAAAATCGTAGAAATTGTTTTTGTGCGAGAAAAAAAACTAGCGTATGAATAGCATGTGAGAATCGCCGATTATATTTTGTTGTCCTTCCTTTTCGCCTTCATCTCCAATATTTTTTTGCTTTATGCGCGACCGCATATCCCTATCTGCTAGTTGCCATTTGGAGAGTATCGTTTTTCAATAGAATTTGAGATCGAAAAAAAATGTATATAAATAAATAAATATATAGATATGTGTGTGTGTTGAAAACGTGCACAACTTGAAGTTGAGGGTCCGACGCCATCGACCCATATAATCAAAGTGGTGCGGCTGCTGTTTTTCCTCCTGCTTCGTCGCCGTCTTCTTATTCATTCTTCTTTGTGCCATCGAGTGGTGGCAAAGAATCTAATTGGACGACGAATGACGTGCAACAAATTGTTGTTGAATGTTCTCGTTTAATTACCCCGACGAAAAAAAAAACGGCTGCCAGAAAGAGATGGCCTAATTGAAATGGCACCAATTTTCATGGTCCATAAAAACGTCGGAGACAACGCAACTATCATTGAACACGAGAACTACTCAGCGAGTCGATCGGGACAAGTTCTTTTATAGTTTGGGACGACCCGCGGAGAGTATTGGGTGAAACTGGGAAAAATTCGATTAGTCGGAGCAAGAGTTTAATCCGAATTGAGGGCGATGTCTAACTGGAGTGTCGTACGGGTAGTCTTAAACAATATAGTATCCCGGAAAGACTCTATTTGGTCTCGAAGCGATTAATGACGTAAGAGGATGTAGTTATGCGTGGCTAAACTGGCCCAAGTATTTTGCAATTTTTATTTGCACCGACAGAGTTGAAGCGCATAGAACATAGACAGTTTGTCGCTGATTCTGCTGACAATTCTAGAAATGATTAATTGTGAAAATTGATGTTTTGAGTACAAATTAATGTAGTATATGCGGTTTTGTAGTGAAAAAAATGATTATCTGCTCGTGATGACAATCAAAAAATATACAAATTACTTCCTTTTTAATAAAACGACAATAAAACACGTAAGCTTAATCTGTTCACTGAATTCCTTTTTGTAGGCGCATTTTTTAAAGTGATTTTATTGATGAAAACAATTTTGCGAAGCGAATTCACCTAAAAGCGGGAAGCACCAAAAAACTGAATAAGAATAAATCACAAGAAGTGTGAATGTGTGCGTTTTTGCAGGTCGAAGAAGCTGCCGAGTATATTGAGAATTTCAAGCTGTCACAGTCAAAAGATGTCACATTCAAGTGAGTTCTCTTTAGTTTTTTTTGTATGTATGTATGTAATGCTGCTGCCGCTGCTTTTCGACATTTTTTTCCATTTTCTTCTGCTTCTTCGTCGACGTCGACGTGTTTTTTGTGCGCCCAACTCAAACATGCTGCGTTGTTTTCGAGCGACCGAATCGGGGACAATAGACAAAAGCGTCGCTACTGGCACTCGGCGTCAAACTGCCATCACAGCTTGAGAATTCTTCCCTTTTTGCGAAGGAAGAAAGGGTGCGAACTTAGAAAACAACAACTGTTCATAAGTATTTCGAGAAAAAATCAAGAAGAGCATGGAATGGGAAAGGCGGAATTTGGGGGAAACGGAAATTCTTGGTTGAATTATTTAGAATAAATTGATTGAAAAGATCTAAACTTCAATAATTGTTATTTTTGTTTATTGAAAGAATAATTTTTACATTATATGCAGGCCACGCCCACTTGTGGTCGCGCGCGATAATGGAAACCTTAATCGCTGTGAGAACATCAATTTTCAATTAGGCAAACAATATTTGTTATGGAATTCTCTAAACAATGAATAATTTTGCATTTTTTTTTTCCTATTTTAAATGTATTCCGCAAAAAAGAAAGAAAGTTTTTCGTTTTATCGGCGCTCGAGTTGTTTTTTTAAATTTGAAATTAAAATTTCGCGATCGAAGATCGAATGTGTGCTCGTGCAAAAAAGAGAAAACTTGGAAATTTAAATGTATGCATTCATTTGTGCGCGAAAAAAACTCGGAATATGAATGTGTTCAATATGAGCGAAAAATTGTTTGAAGCCGGCCAATTCGATGGTGATAAATGTGAGAAAATCGCGACGAAAAATTCGAGATTTCCATCCTCTACTTCATTTTTTTTCTTCAAAAACGAACATCTGTTGAACGATGAAAATGATGTTAAACACTCGTTTCGAGAATAAGTTTATGTGTTACAGTTAGCAAATAATGAGCCAGCTGCCGCCTGAAATTCTCGCTTTAAGTTTTTGATCGTTGTAGAAAACCGGGAGCCGAAAATGATGGGAACGAGCGAGCCCAATTGCATGAGATTGCCGTTGGAATACTCACTGCTGCTCGTGGAATCACTAAAACGGACGCACAAAGGTTGGAAAGATGGAAAATATTTTTGAAAATCAAAAAAATGAAAATGTGTGCAAATTTATTCTGAGATGTTTACACATAATGCGCAACAGTTTACGTCATTATTGTTTAAAATCTTCTCGTCGAACTCATCGCCATATCGCCAGATGAGTTTGCATCAAGTTTATTTTTTTCGCATTTTTTCTCGAAGAAATCCAAGATGCGGTAATATTTCGCAATAGCTTTGTAAATGCAATGACCGAACTTTTTTCGGCCATCTCGTAGAAATTTTCAATAAATTCGGCAAAATCATCGGAAACTGATTTTTTTTTAACATTGGGAGAAACATTGAAAAGAAAAATAAAACAAATTTGTTGTTTTAATTGAAAAATTGCCCAAACCGAGAAAAAAATCCTGTTTCTTCCGATGTGTTTGCTTTTCGTTTCATAATTTTCACTTTTTTGCCAGATTATTGTTCAACTTTGGAACATTGGAGAATATCGGCAAAGCTGACGAAGCAAAACTTGCTCTTAGTCCGGGTCTTGGGCCGATCAAAGCCAAAAACCTCTACTCATTTCTTCACACACCCTTTGCCACTTGAATGGTCATCACTATCATTGATACAACGTGATTCTTATCAATCAACCCCACTAAACTTCATTGTTCTATGATTTCCAATGAATGTATTTTTTCTATCATTTATTATTTTTGAAAAGTTCGTGAAATTTACGCGATTTGCTTATGCAACAAAATTGAAATAATCATATTGTTTAAAGATAAAATGTCAGACGTTCCTACAAATGCCAATGAAGGATGTCCGGGAACGGGAAGTGCGGGAGCCGGAAAAGCTTCTGGATGTGCTGGATGTCCTAATCAGAGTTCGTGTGCCACTGGTCAAGGTCCAAAGCCTGATGCGGACATTCCATTCATTCAAGACAGATTCAGCAAAATTAAGCACAAGGTTTGAACTAATCTTTTTTAAATTTTAATAATGATCATTTTCGCAGATTTTGATTCTCAGTGGTAAAGGAGGTGTTGGAAAAAGTACATTGACTTCGAACTTGGCTAGAGCTCTAGCTCTTGATCAAACAAAACAAGTATTATATATTGAAATCTGCTCAATCGTGTTATTTAATGCATTTTCAGGTGGCTATCCTCGATGTTGATATTTGCGGACCATCTCAACCACGAATGATGGGTGTTGAAGATGAGGAGGTCCACAATAGTGCTGATGGTTGGACTCCGGTTGGAATTCAGCCAAACTTGACTTTAATGAGTATTGCGTTTTTACTTGGTATTCTATATTATGATGTCGTTCAAAAACTAAAAACATGTAATTTAGGTAATAAGAACGATGCTGTGATTTGGCGAGGCGCCAGGAAGAATGGAATGATCAAACAGTTCTTGAAGGATGTCGATTGGGGAGAAGTCGATTATTTGCTGATTGATACTCCACCAGGAACTTCTGATGAGCATATTTCGCTGGTTCAATACTTGTTACAAGCTGGCCCATTGGATGGAGCTTTGATTGTAAGCACACCACAAGAAGTATCGCTTCTTGACGTGAGAAAGGAGGTATTCAGCTCTCTGAATTTTGTTTAAAATTAAATATTTTCCGTATTTCAGGTGAGCTTCTGCTTCAAAACCAAGGTTCCGATCCTTGGTGTTGTCGAGAATATGGCTCGATTCGTTTGCCCAAACTGCGCGCATACTACTCTTCTGTTCCCGAATTCCACCGGTGGCGCGGAAAAAATGTGCGCTGATGCGAATCTCGAGCTTCTTGCTCAACTTCCTTTGGAACCCGCTCTTGCTAAGGCCGTCGACAATGGCGAGGACTTTTTTGAGACCAATCCAGATTCAGTATTGGCCAAATCTTTCAAGGAATTGGCTGAGAAGGTCAAAGAAAAACTTGCATGAATTTTGAATGGAATTGTGATAAATTGTTGCATTTTTTAGTTTTTCAAGAATGGATAAATGTTGAAATCAAGTGTTATATCTAGACACGCTTTGCAAAGTTAAAAAAAGCTTTTTGAAAAGATGCATCGAGTTGTGATCACCGGGATGGGATCATTAACTCCGTACGGAGTGACAGTTAATGCACTTCGGAATGGACTCAATCAAGGAGTTTCAGCGCTCAAATATGATGAAAATCTTAAATTTGTGGTCGGTGCGATTGGCGGCGAAAATTTTGAAGAACGCTGGTCGACGGGGGAAAGAAGGGAAATGAGCAGATCGAGTATGGCGGCGCTCGTTGTGGCGGAAGAAGTAACCGACATTACCTCATCGGAATTGTTGAATTGTGATCGCCTAGGCGTTGACCAACGCGAATGCTGTCGATATTGATCATACGGAGACAATGGTGAATATTGGAACTTGTATGTCGGATTTGATGCATATCGGAGAAACTGCGGCGAAAGTCAATCAGAATCAAGCAAGGCACGCTTTTAATATTATATTACTATAATTAATATTATATGAAGAAAATCTAATTAATTTAAAAAGGAAAATATAGTCGGCATCCAGGAGACTGGTGTACGCTCGTAGAAATCACTATGTGCGCCTTTCGAAATGGTCTCGCACGGACTAATTTGTTATCTTGCATTTTATAGGTCATTCCATTTATTTTTAAATTCAGTGATATTAAATATTCAACGAAATGATATATTCATCGAAAAATTAAACAGTTCATATGAAAATTAAAAAAATAGGCATTCACGTGTGACGAGACCATTTCGAATGACGCATGCGCGTAAATCTACCCGCGTTTAGCAGTCGCCGGACGACGACTATAAGATTTTAGAAAAATATCGCCGTATTTTGTTCCACGAATTCTTAACAATCTTCCCGCTGGATATGTTGCAATGAAGTACAAAATGAAGGGCGACGTTGAAGCGACCTCGACGGCTTGTGCAACCGGATTACATTGTATCGGTATCTGAAATTTTAAGCGAATTTCTTTTTTTTTTTGGCGTGAATTGTCAAAAGATACACGTGAATTATATTTTACAAATTTTTCGATTTTCTTGGTGTTTCGTTTCAGGCAATGCTTTCCGCGCAGTTCGCCACGGGTATTCCCGACGAGCCGTCGCTGGTGCTGTCGAGTGCGCGCTGAATCCGATCGCGTTAGCTGGATTTGACAGGTTCTTCGATTGGTTGGCTGCAAATTGTGTGATTGTTTTGCAGAATGCGGGCTTTGGCGAAAGGTGCAACACCCGAAATTAGTCGGCCGTTTGACAAGAAAAGAGGCGGATTCGTGCTCAGCGAGGGGGTTTCGAGGACGAATTGTTCGTCGCATCAACGATTCCAATTTTATAGGCAGGAGTGTTGTTCATTGAGCGATTCGACGATGCAAAGGCCAGAAATGCCTCGATTTTGGCGGAAATCATCGGCTATGGTGACTTGAGAACTCCTGTATATTCTATTCATCTGTCTAGGAACCTCGTCGGACTGCCATCATATCTCAACACCAGATCCTTCTGCGATCGGAGCAATTCTTTCAATGAGACGCGCAATCCAAGATGCTAGAATTGACGTCAATGATGTTGAGTATGACTGATTCGAATTTTTGTAATTATTTCAAATGTTAGATACGTGAATGCTCACGCGACCTCAACCCCAACTGGGGATACTGTCGAAGCAAAAGCCGTTCGAAATGTCTTTGAAGGCCAGAGTATTGCGGTTAGCAGTATCAAAGGTCATCAGAGCCGTTCTTCAATGAATTCCATTTTTCTTTTTTCAGGTCATATAGGGCATCTTCTCGGCGCTGCCGGATCTGTTGAAACCATTGCCACCGTTCTCGCGGCTGTTGATGGTGTTTTACCGCAAAATTTGAATCTTGAAGAATCTGAGGTGAGATTTCAATTCTTCCTAATTCCGCTTTTAATTCAGGACGGCGATGGCATAGATCTTTTGAAGACCACGAAACCCTGGACCAGTTCCAATCGAATCGCAATTTGCAATTCATTTGGCTTTGGCGCCACAAATGCTAGTCTCCTTATAAAACGGGTGTAATTTATACATTTATTAACATAATTTCCATTTTGTACTCGATTACACCAATTAACAAGAAAAAACTTGGAGCGTATCACAGATAAATTAAACATGACTACAAAAGACATACACATTTTCAAATTTGGTCAAAACGGCGTACTGTATTCGGCGATGTGCTCGAAAAATTTGCGGCGTTCTGAAACTGGAACGGCCAGCGAGCGACGGACATCTTCTATTAAATGCTGTGGAACATCTATTGGATTACTATGGAAGCGAACATCTGAAAATTCAAAATTCGAATTCGAAAAAAAAATCTCTGGCAGCAGATTTTTTCATAGAAAAAATAACTACATTTATTTTCAAATGTGGGAATATTTAGGTTGAACCCGGAAGTTTTCCAAATTTCTCAATAAATAATTGATTCACTCACCATGCCGTCGGTTTCTTTTCTTCTGCTTTTCTCGTCGCGAGCGGTGTGTTGAAGACTCCGCTTCGAGGACTGCAAAAATTCACATTTGAAAATTAATTAACTAGACGGCATAAAAGGGCAACTCCACAACTTCAATAATTCCGCAAGCAATAAATCAATTAGGTTCGATCATTATTATAATTACTAACTATATTTATATCGTTATTTTGATTAGTGATAAACCCTCGTGCAAAAGTTTTCAGCCAGCGGATAGAACGAAATTTTAAAAAAACGTACAAATAGGGGAACAAAATATTTACGTATATGTATAGTAACTAACTATTGGGAAAAGAGTTAAACTAGATTTTTAGAAAAATAAAATAAAAGCGAATCCCGATTACGACAGCAAACGAACAACGAAGATCAAAAGAAATCAATATCTAAATACATGCGGTTCATTCATCGATGACTCACCGTGGCATTGAAATGCTACTACATGATCCTGAACCCGAAACATATATTCGCTGTTTTTTTAGTGGAAATAAAAGAAGCGGCAGCACGTTAGCTAATTATCAGTCAAATCTCCATCCGAAATTACCTGATTGGCCAAGTTTTTCAATATTGCTGATTTTTCGATTCAACATCTCGATCTCTTTCGTCTTCTTCTCGATTTCCGTTCGAAGTTTCTCATTTTCGATCGACACTTCTCTGAAGCGGAATTGCGATTAGCTTGGGAATTAAGCATTGATTTCTATTGTTTTCATTTTTATTTTGATTAATAATAAAACACTCGGATTAGGGATTTTAATCGTTTTGATTATAATACTTACACCGTCGCCTCCTTCTCGTTGATTAGATTTGAGAGCTGCTCGTCGAGCTGCGCGTTTTCAACACATTTTGCCGAGTACAGAGCACAAATGTTGACGAGCTCTTCGCGCATTTCGTCGAACATCTCGCTGAAATTGTTTGCATTATTTCTTTCCAAACTTTTCCAGAACAAATTAAGAAATTTAATGAAAAGCTACCCGACCTTTGCCTTCCAATTTCCCTTTCGCCTTTGCTCTTTTCCATCAAATTTTTGAGCTCTTCTTCATGTGCTCTTCTCACAGCCTCAAGTGCGAGTCTGAAATTGGCTCATAAAATCGCGAAATCATGTGTGCGGACTCCTCCGCAAACCTTGTCGCATGTTTTTCTTCCATCAGCTTCTCCTCGTGCTCCTTGCGCACATTCTCAATCTCTTCTTCGTATGTTTTACGTTGCTCGTTCAGCATCTGTGAGAACGACGATTTCACGGAACTAATCGATTCGTCGCTTCGCGTCTAGAATAAGAGAAGCGTGATAATTTGAGAGAAATCAACATTTGACTACCGTCGCCATCACAAGCTGCTCTTGCAACTTTTTGCGGCGTCCTTCTTCGCGCTCAGCACGTTCCTTCAAAATTGCGACGCGCTGATCACATTGCGATCGCATTGTTTCCAGTTCAGCTTTGTGGGATTTCTAAAAGCAATCAATTCATTTCAATTTGGTGTGTTGTTTACCTTAAGCTCTAAAATTACTCCCTCCAAACTCTCAGGATCAACAACGGCTTCCGTCAGAGGCTCCGTCATCGTCCACGTATCGGATAAATATGGCAAATTGATCGAATTGGCGACGTTCTCAAACAATTCCGACGTTTTTCTAAGGACATCTTCCGTTTGTTCAATATTGAGATCAATAGAGATTGTGTCGACAATCAAATCGAGTTGATCGAACAATTCCGACGTTCCAACGAACGCATTCGACCGAAGAAGCGATGAAAGGGCGGAGAGTTGAGTTCGGAGAGTGGAAAGAATTGCACGTTGAAGAGTGACATTTTGCGTATTCTGACTAATTTGTCGACGTAATAGATCGACTTCCTTGCGGTATCTTTGCAATTCATCTTCCGAAGATTTTAAGGTAGCGCGCAACTCTTTGATCTCCTGTGCTTCCTTCTTCCGACGCGAAGACTCGCTTCTGGCGTTGTCGAGTTGTGTTCGGAGGTTGTCGACCTACAATTGACATCATAAATTGCACAATGCCTCAGTATAAGTAATATGAAATATTTATGGAATTTGAAACGTTCTCAGGTTCCTAAACAAAAAAGAAACACGCTTACCTGTTGTTCTAACGATCGCAATCTCGTCTCTTCTCGACTATGCCTTGACGGTGTTCGATTCTGACGCTGCTGCTGCTGCTGCAAAGGCTCACAAATCAATCGAAGGTCAGCAAGGCACTGTTCCAATGCCTCTTCGGCACTGATATTCTTATACATTTGAACGACGGAGGGGCGAGTTTTTCGAAAAATCGGCAGCCGGGAGGGTGGGAATGAATGCGAAACACGTGTGAGCACATCTGTGCTCGCAACTTGAATAAAAAAAACTCAAAGGCGGAGCATTTGGGGGGAAATTAAATTGAAATTGAACAACACCAAAAAAAAACAATTGAAGCTAATTGCAAACCTCGATAACCTCATCCGGCATCGGTTTATCGTGAGAAGCCGCCGATGAAGTTGAAGCGTGTCTAAAAATTTACTATTTAAAGAAATAATACGTATCTAAAAGTGAAATTTATGCTTGAAATTTTTTATCAACGTCCAAATTGCGCACAAACATTTTATTGATTTCAAATTTATTTTTGAAAAAAAAAAACAATAATTAATTAAAATTTTAAAATAACGTAAAGTGTTCCGGATTCCGGATTGCATAAAAATCACTTCCCCCTCGTTTCAAATGTTTTTGAAAAAAACTTAAAAGAAATGCATTTTGAAAGGGGATTTATTAATATAAAGAGGGGATTTATAAGTAATGAAATGTGTGCAAATTTGCGTCTTTGTGTATACAGAGATAAACACGGAATCCTCCCGTTTAAAATGTTTATTTTTTCAAATTTTTTGACGAACTAAATTTTACTGTGGAAACTCAAAACCAATCGGATTCGACAAATTACCAGTTTTGAATTTTGCCGGATTGGTTTTGGGTTATCAGAGTACTGGGGGTATTCATATAAAAGATTTCCATAGACATTAGTGTCTAAATCCGCTTAGAACGTTTACCTTCAAAATGATAAGTTAATTATTTATTTCATAATTATACTTTTAATTTTGCTATAACCTCTCACCTCTGTCTAATATCTTTTCTCTCTTTGACTCTCGCCACTGGACTCCTTCTGACCGACGGCGAAAGCGATTCGCCTCGAGTCCTCCGTCCACTATCCTTATTATCATACGAAACCCTTCTATAATACCCATTATTAAAAGTAAATTGGCAAAATAATGGGCTCACCCGGCTCCGCGTCGACTCCTTCGTCGACGGCTTGTTGTTGTCTCCTCTTCTTCGAGTTCCGTCGAACTATGCTCGTCCATCATCGAGTTCGAATGATGCGATTCTGGAGCAACATAGGCGATGTGCTTCTTCTTCTGAAAATGAACAGAATTGTTAGAAAGTGTTGTGAAACGAATGCCAATACCAATGGCATTCCAAGAAGGTCCGAACTATCGGCCAAACTGTTTGCATCATTCGAGAATGTCTCGGTATAAGTCGGCGATGGATGATGGCGATTCTGTTGAAGAGCAGACACCCAAGAGTCTCGGATTCCTGGAGTCATGGCCGAGAGAACGTAGCGAGTGCGTCGACACTGAAATCGATGCTTGATTCGATGTGCATGGCAAATGCCATCATCCACCTTAATCTCAATTCCATAATTTCTTGCACTAGCCGATGGATACACGTTTTCACACTGCGAGAGATCAATGGATAGCAATGGTTCTGTTGAATCTTCGGCCCAAACATCTCTGGACGAATGAGAATATTAATGAAGAGCGATATTATTATAATTGTATGTGATACTTGTACAAATTGAGCTGCAATCCGGCGAGCACCACCCAGTGCTTGCACCAATCATTGTCCGACTTCCCCCGGAGCATCAACCATCCCTTCCTCAGTGTGTGCACATTCGCCGTATCGATGTTCAATTTGTGTGTGAGCGACTCGGCCGCCGGCTTCGGCGATTCTTCGCAATTCTTCGCCGTTTCGGTGCTCGACGCTCTCGATGAGACAGCGCTTTCCGGCTCCGCCTCCTTCTTCGCGTCCTCTCTGAAGTGTATTTTGTTTCAAAAATTTCCAATTTCTAATCATTCGTGTTACCGTAGGCTCTTCTGTTTGACACTTCGAACTGAACCGCGTAATTCTTTTCCCTCAATCATTCGATCCACTTCTAATCGTTCAATCGAAGGACATCGCGAGGATGCGCAAGACGGAATATCGTCGCCATGAAGGATTTCATCGCTCTGCAAAATTGAAAATCGAAAATGATTGCGAAAAAATGGAATCGAATTTCTCACCGGTGGCAACTCATCGATTCCCCTTCTCGGCGGTCGAATTTGGATGTTCTGGGTGGCATATTTGCTAAGCACATTCTGCCACCATCGGATCTCCTCGGTTGTATCGGCTTTGATGTAGATGATCGATGGCTGATCGGCGCTTGTCTTATTGAATGCCAATAGGATTGAGTGCGCGTTTCCGGTGATGGCGTGCGCCTCGCACACCCGATGACACAGCGACATGTCGATGGTGACCTGCGGCAGTGTGTCCACCTTCAATTGCATTCATTGCCTCTCGGCGACATCAAACACACCACTTACACTGTTATCAATCGCATATGTGAGATCGCCCGAATCGAACAGTGTGAACCAACGGCGTTGCCATCGCTGAAAACAAAAAAAACTACCATGTGGGGAATATATGGAGGATGCATGGATTTTCGCGAAAATCTTGTTCGCCGACAAACATCAAAATAAGCGATCAAACCGCAAAATGTCGGCCGAATGTTTTATGAAAACGATTGAAAAACTCGAAATTCCAATTTTCGAACAGCTTCAATTCAACAAATTTTCCTACCATTTTTATAAAATTTTGAAAATTTTTTTGGACGTGAATTTTATGGAATACGAACAAAAATATAAAATTGATATTTCAAATTTTCTTGATTAAAAAAAAGAGAAAATTATTGATTAATAAACCTTTTAAACAATTTTGCTTTAAGTGTCAATGCAGAGAAAATTAAAAAAGAAAAAAATTGAAAAAATTTTCAATTTCAACGCAAAAAAATAATGCAAATAAATTTTTTCCTTTTTTTCTGCTTTGAAATTGTTTCCATTTTAGATTTTTTTTTAATTTTTTTCCTCTAAATTTCCCCCATTAGTAAAATTCATTTTCGAAGTTATTTTTAATCAAAACCTTAGGTACAATCTAATTTTTGAAAAAAAAAACAATTAAAGATACCTTAGCTGAATGGCATTGTAGAGAAAAGTCCAAATTTGGAGGTGCGACGTATAAAAAACCGCAAGCGGTGACCTTGCGATTCATCTGAAAAAAAACAACGAAATTAATGAGACAATTTGATGCAATTAATTCATTTTGTGATCAAAAATTATCATAAATCGGATATTGGTGGTCGAGAATGGGGAAAAGCAGGCATCGCGCGCGCGGCGAACAAGTTTCGCGGCCACCTCGCCGAATATCATTCAGCTTCTGATGCATATATGCAATTATCCATGAAGAAGAAGAAGAAGACGCCGACGACGACGACCAAAAAAAAACAACAACAACAAAACGAGGAACAGGCGAGTTTCCGGGCCGGTTTCATTCAAAACGATATACATATAATGTTTGTTTTTTTTTGTTCAATTCAGTGGTATTTCCAAGACGGACGATTCGAGCGCAAATAAACCCGAAAAGAGCGCTGTTTTGTGGCCGTCGTCATTCATTGAAACTGAGAATAAATATTCGAAAAACCCTCTCTAACATCCTTTTTCATTTCCGCTCATCGACTTTCATTTTATAAGCATTTATTTTGATATTTCGCCCTAGCCTATTATTGAGTTTATTTTTATTTTTAATAAAAACGAGTTTGATGCGCAGGTTATCCGTAGTATGGTAGACGAATTCCCACTGATTAAATCAAATTTTGAATTACCGCCTCGATAAAGTGCGATGGTCGACAATCTTACAAAGGGGTCAATTATAAAATGATAATAATGATATTAACAATACCTACTATAGTGATTAATTGAAGTTAGTAGATCAATAAAACTCTTTTATCAATAGAGCGCACTTGTACTACAAAATTATATAGATATATATTCATATAATAAAAAATGTTTATTTTTTAATTACTAGTTTTTTTTCCAATACAGAATTGTAGAACATTTTATGTAATTTTAATTTTTTTTTGTATTTTATGATCAATAAATAAATCAAATCAGCGCAAAATGAATGATTTTCGCAAGAGATTCAAAAAGCAAAAAAAAATTGACTGAAACATTGTGGTTTTCTTGAAAATATTATTGGCCAAAAAAAAGAATGAACGACAATCTGAAACTTTCGGAAATCGGGCAGGTTTTCGAATACCGGAAGCGAAAATCGATGGAAGATTCTAGAATAATTATGATGAATGAACGTATATGCGGACCAATTAATTCAATTCGATAAATGTCCGCAGATGCGATTCTACGTTTTCCGAAAACGGCAAGTCATTTGAAATCAGATTTTCAGTACTATTAGCCATCGGAAAACAACGAGCAATGAGCGATTCGATTAAAACATTGGAAATTTCGGATTGTCAATCAAACTCGCCGTAAATCTACACAGAGAGTTGAAATATTTGACGTTTTCGTGACGAGAATCAAATGTTTGATATTTGTGAAAACTAAGATTTCTCATGAAAAAGAAAAATCAAGAAATGGAAGAAATGAATATAATTTGGAATCGTTGATGAACAACTGGAAAATAAAATAAAATGGCGAAAGAAGGAAAATGCGAATGCGAAGGAGAATAAGAAGGAGATGTTGGATGCGTGTGTGAGGGGGGCCAGATTCGAATGAATGAGGCGAACGAACGAACACACTCGCATATATACATTATCCTTTTTCAACGTGCCGAGAAACAAGCGAACACCGGCGGACGAATTGAGAGAAAAAAAAGAACATGACCAAAAATAGGCCGAAATTCGCACTCGCAAAACACACTTTTTTCGACATCCGAACAGATATTGATCGACATCGAAGTGAGACACCGGAAAAGCGAAAGTATTCAACACACACACACACCAATTAATCGAATGATTTTGTTGAATTAAGAGGGACGAACTTACTTGAAAAATGCACAAAATCGAAGGGGAACACATTTTTTAATTGGGCGCTAAGCTATGCTAATTATAATAATTGGATCGAAACCATTTGAGAAATTTCGATTCAATTCGAATAACTGTGTTCAACTAATTCAGTTCTTATTGAAATTTCAAAAAAAAAAGGAAATATCACAAATGGGCGTGGCCAGAAAATGGGCGGAGCCAAATGATATTTAAGGTAGTTTTTTTGCATAGAAAAGGTGATAAAATGATAATATGTGAATATGTCTTTGTACTATGCTAATTATTCAATTTTTTTTGAAAACTTGAAATTGAGAATTATATTATATATAAATATTGTTGGGGTCTGAATGGAGGGACCTTCAATCTCGCGAAATTAGTGTAAATTTAAATATTTCGTTGACTAATTAATAAATGCGCGTACAATAAAATGCAATGTACGCAGTCTTGCGTACTTCTCGCTGCTTCGAGACGCATTGGCACATAGCCAATCATTTTTTTTATTTATTTGCCTCCGACAATATATGAAAATGATTTTTTAATTCGATTTAGTTATTCAAAAAAAATTCCGCGGCGAAAAATTGAATTTGAAAAACCAGTTCTTTTTTTTAATGCTGCGAATTTGCATAAAACAAGAGAGTATCATCAACATGAAAAATTTCGGTTGGAAATTTGCGAAATACACAGGCATAATGCATCGGCACACAAAAATCTATTGAGTGCATGTACATATATGGCGATAGACGAGACGTGCTGAATAAACAAAAACGAGCCAAGCAAAAAGTGGACAAGACGCAGATGGATGGGAACTCGCGAAATGGGAGAAGCTCAGTGGTTGGTGGTGTGGTCACAAAAACGAAATGGACATAAAAGGGAATGGGCCAAACCTTGGCATTCACGATCGACTCGCTCGAATGATTCTGTTTCGATTTGTAGCAATTCTTGCATTTGCCGTTGTTGAATATATTCGCCTCGAACCTTTTGCAATCATTCATTTTTTTTCCTGCAAAACTCAAATTATTTTCTTTCTTTTAATTAAGAATATTAAAATAATTAAATATGGCGAGGGCGATTGACTAAATAAAATGCATCTGCGGACATTGTTCGGGGCTGCATTAGTGCATCTCACACCTATGGTACGTTTTTTTTTTCTTGAAGAATTCGCTACAACGTGAAAACGGTGTAATAAAATGTTGGAATAATTCGGAAGAAAAGAAAAAACCGCACACACATTTGTCATTACACTCTTGTTTCGTACACGTGAGGAGAATTATAATGAATTTCTCAACATTTTCGAAATGTCCCGTCAAATATACGTTTCACGTGAACATTATAAATAAGAGCTGCAAAAAAAGCTCCAAAACCAAAAAAAATTCCGAGTTTTTAAAATTTGATTTCCGCTGATCTAACTGGTTCCTGAGATACGATTCGTTGAGTAACATCATCGTGGGAAAATATCAGTTCAAGAAAAAAAAGAAGTAGAATGATTGCGAGTTTCAAGGCAAGAATTGTCACGGAAATCAAGATTTTGAAAGGCAATCGCGAGATTTCCATTTTTGGGCTCAAATTACTACCGGAAAGTGTCCGCAGATGAGGCAGCACAAAGAATCGCTGTGAAGGTCAGCATGATCGTTGGCGAGATCAACAAATCAGTACTAATTCGGTACAATCGAAAAACGGTCGCGAGTGCGAAATAAGGAGATTGTCGACAAATACAAAAAAATGAAAACTCGAATGAAGAGATTGAATTGAAGGGGCGAGAATGAAAAAAAAAAGAAACCCGCCGGCTTCTTATCAATTTTTGGACCATAATTGGAATTTTTGCGAGACAAAATCGCCCAACTAGGCGGCCGCCACCAAACAAGGAAATCAACAATTTTTTTGCTGATAAAATTGGTAATCGAGAGAGAGAAAATTGGAAATAAAAGGAGAAAACCGCCGACGATGGCCTACCAAAAAAAAGGGCTACAATCGCAACAAAAAAAAACAATAAAAGAAGGTCGGGGGAGCGCGAAAGGGGTGGAGACAAACAATTAAAACAACACACACAAAAAGAAGAAGAAGAAGGAGAAGAAGACAACCCGAACGGGGGAGTTCGATTGGTGATAGCCGAACACTGGGCAGCGACGAGAACGAGATGAACTCAACAGGTGACATCGAACACAAGACCGACAACCACCAAGGCCTCGTCACCTTCTTTTTTAAACCACCAAATTTTGAAGGAATGCCACACTGATTTTGAGTTCAAAATTTCAACGAATTCTCTTTATTTGTTTCTAACCACCAGAAATTTTTACAAAAAATTTGTTTCGAATTTCATTTTTGTCGAAGTGCCGATGACGGAGTGTTGGAGCCGTGACCTCGACACGTCACGTGACACACCACGTGGCACACGTTTCATAGGAGCGATATAAAAACCCCTTTTTACGCTCAATAATCAGTTATTCATATTGTGTCTAATAAATAATATTCTCTACGTTGGCTCGTTCACAAGGACACAACAACTGGCGATCAGGACACAACACGGAGCTTATAAATTTGAGGCGAGGCGATTTCACTGCGTATCAAACACACTACAGTGTTCCTTAAAGGCGCATGCAAACATTTGTACATTTCGCGCCAAGAATTAAAATTGTATTTAGGCAGAATTTTTTTTGGATTTCTCTTCAACTATAAATAAAATAAGGGGAATTTTTTAAAAAAGTGAGATTTTATGAGACGCCAATGCGTCGACGAAGATAGTCGAAAAAATTAAGTGACGTTCGATGGCGACTCGCAAAAAACGAAGCCAGTTCTCAAAAAAAAAAACTGAAAATTTTCTCATAACTATCGAATAAAGTCAAAATTTTGACGAGTAATTAAAAATTTGACACAAAATTCTATGAGGGATAAATTTGACAAATTCGAAGCCGATTTTGGATGTTAGCGCGAAATCGACAAATTTTCGCATGCGCCTTTAATATCTACTATAGTTTTCAATGCTTCAAATTGAAAATTACAGGAGATTCAATTCATCTCATACTAGATCAAATGGAAAATGATTATAAGAAGGCCATGACGCCAAAATTTGAATTAGAAACAACGCTTCCAAAAATGTCATTTATTAGCGATATAAAAAATGAAGATGGAGCTCGAAAATGAAGATGGAGCCCAAAAAAACCAATGAGATTTGAGTAACCGTCTTCAGGATATCCATGCGTGGAAACGGTATCGCGATAATTCAGAGTGGAAAATAATAATTTCGTGGATTAGTTTGAAATCGGATTACTGACGACTACAATGTTGAAGCGAATCACTTTCTCTCTTCCCGAATGTGATAATTATTATTATAATACATAGTGGACATGAAGAGAAAAACGGATGAAAACTGGTGTCGGTGTGAATTGGACCCCCCCCCACCTCTTCGACCACACATTTATGATGTTCGCGGGGTGGTGCTGCGCGTGTGTTCGAAACAATATTACGCGCGGATATCTGGATATTCGCTCGAGGTGTTTTATTGTGCAAACACCGACAACACACACAGCAACACATTTCGCTTTACGAAGGCTTTGTCGGGCTGCAAATGCATATTGTGGAGCATTCTGGCCTCGAACGTTGTCCGCACATGCAAACACCAAACACGCGGGCAACAATTCGGCAAATGTCAAAAATCCGGTCATATCTACACAGCATTTTTTTTTGCTTGACTTAAAAAAGATCGATTTTGAAGGCTGATAGGGAATCTAGAAATTTCTCAAAACTTAAAAAATAGCTTTGAAAATTAAGGTTGTTTTTTTTGGCAAGCTGATTGATTTTTTTAGTAGTACTGAAATTATTAGGCAAAGCTGAAAATTAACAAGAAAAAAATATTAAAAAATAAAAGAATATAAATTGTGGAATTTGTCCAAAATCTGTTGAAAAATGCAATGATTCCTCGATTTTTTTGGCAATAAATTTGAATTTCCGAAATAGATATAAAATGATTTCGAAATAATCATTTTCAGGTGTCAATCTTGTAGATTCACAACTTCGAATTTATCGAATATGCATCAACTCCTCGGAATTTTTCAATTGGTCTCGTATGAAGGACCATTATAAATTTCAGACCAAAAATTACTTCAAACTACCCATTTTGCTGGAAAATTTTAGAATTTTAAGCAAAATGGCAGCGAAATTCGCAAATCAAATAAAATATTTTGAGAATCAAATATTCAATAATAAACTCTAAAATATTTTGAGAAATTCTAAAGTTTATTGATGCTTTCTAAAACTTCTTGAGAATCGCTAAACTTTAAAATATTTCTTAAAATCTTATAATATTTTCTAAAATTTATTGAGCAAATTCTAAATTATCTCAATAAATTCTAAAATCTTAAAACAATTTCTAAAGTTGTTTGAGAAAAATCTAAAATATTATAGAGACACGTTAGTTTCTTAATAAATCTCAAAATATTTTATTTGATTTGCCTGAGAAATTCACAATAAAATATAGGGAATTTCAAAATCAAATTATGAAAAAGAAAAAAAAAATGAAATTGGAGTTTGAGTATTTTCTTGAAACTTTCATTAAATCACCAAATTAATAGTTGGGAACAATTTTTTTTCAATTTCTGAAGTTTGTAGTTTCGCGAGATTTTCCCAAAAAGGGATTGCGAAAATCAGATGAAAAAAATTGTTAGACAATGGAAAAAAAATGTTTTGATGAACACCAGCTGAATGAAGCGGTTGGTAGGAAGTTGTACTACATAGCTCGACGAGGGATTTTCAGGAAAAAATTTGAAGTGTAAAATAAATATGCAATTATTTGGGCGGATTTCGAAGCAAACACTCGCAACATGAAGGCCTTGTTGAAATGTGAAGCGAAAAAAAAACGGAGAAAAGTTGTACAAAGAAATCATATAGTAATTCGTGTCAAGGGGCGAAAACGAAAGGAGGGGGGGGTCCGATAAGAATCAGAAAAGAAGAGAGTGGCAACGGAATCGAGGCGACGCATAAAACTGCATAGTAAAATCGCGATTAACCGGAAAATCGCGACCCGACGAACGAAAAAACACACAAACATAATGCGCAATATTTCTTCGTCGATGTTCACGAAAATACCACCATAAATGAGTTCTATTCAGCCGAATAAAAAAAAATTTGAATTATAGAATGCTTGAAACGTATTTTCGGCTGGTTTGCCACATTCGTTTGGCAAGAGAAAATTCGGCATAATTTTGCCCCATATGGCGGTGTATATTATTCAAGCTAGACGCTCTGATAAAATCAAATTTGGAGTTTTTAAAATGCAAAAAAAAAAACACATCAATTTTCCATGGAACGCCGAAAATCGCCAAAAAAACTTTTTTTTTAAGTGAAAACCGGAAAAATTCGTCAAATTTTGTCCAAAAATGGATTCGAGATTCTCTATATTTTCAGGTGTTCAATTTTGAAAAAATTAATTACAAACATTTCAAAAAAATTTTTTTATTTCATATGATTTTTTTTGAAATTTGTTAGCGCTTTTTCGTTTTGCCTAAAATAAATGAATATGATGAGAAAATTCTCGTTGAATACAAAATGAGAGGGGCGGGTGGGGGGCACCAATAATATAGTATATCGAAATATGTTAATCCGTATAGTATAAATTTCAAAACCGTATTGGCGATAAGTGTGATGAGCGGTTGTTGGGGGAGATCGTCAGTTGGTGTGTGAGTGTGTGTGATGGATTTGCGGGAAAACATATCGGGAGGCCACCGAATATCATGCGCCAAATGTGTATTGACAAACAACCAATCACACTCGATCTTCATCGCAATCAACTCAATTTCGTTGTGTTTGTATTTAATGATTATACGTCTTATTATTATGATTATATGATCATCGGGAACGCGATTCCGACGAACAAGAACGAAAAACAATTCGATAACCTTGAACCGCCAATGAATATACACCGTTGCTTATGTTCAAGTGCACACTCGAACATGCATTTTACAATGATCTCGCCAACCCCTATTCAATCGGATTCAGGCAATGGATACCGTCTGCGGACATTTGTGCGGTTTCCCAGTCTGGCTGGAATAAATCAAAATTGCGCGAAATTGGTTATTTTGCCATTATAATTAAAAAATTGTCATTTTTTTTGAGGTTCTTAAGCTCGACAATTCTAGGCTTGTCAGAAATAAAATCGTTGGCTTCTCATATTCCAATATTTTGTCGTAAAATTTTATTATTCAGAGTGTCGAAAATAGGAAAACCAAAAAAAAAACGAGGGAAGTCAATTTTATACATTTATTTAGTCTGCAAATATTTTCTCATACTATTTTGTTGCAAAAAAAACGAGCAAATTGACAAATTGTGATCCATCGTATTTTTTCGCGGCGGCAATTCAAATTTTGATTTAAACAGTAGGAATTCGACTACCGTAGTGCGGAAAACCTGCGAATCAAACTCATAATAGGGTGCTCGTTTTTGTGCTACTATAAAAAGTTACAATTAAAGATTTTAAAATAAGCCATTGCATTTATGGTGCTGTCAAAAGACACTGTCAGCTCGACGGCTTCTGATGCATAAACTAACAAAGTATTCTATGAAAATAGTTTAAGAAAAGGCATATCGAAATCACTGGAAAAAACAAGGCATCTAAAATAGATATGAATGGAGAAATCCGATTTTAAAACCGGTACACCTGGATGAATATCAGTGGAAAACGGCGGAAATCGAGAAAAGTTTTGGTTGTAATGCGATGCGCGGTTGCGCATGACAGCCGACAAAGGCCGGTCGGCAGGCGCGCGGATTATGCACGAATCGGTGCATCTCGAAATATTTCAGCGGTTTCGAACCGTCGTCCACGAACAATAATAAGCGGGTGACACACGGCCGCCAACGGGCACACACTAATGACGAACAAGCTGTCATTGTTGCCGGCAAACACAAAACTTCCTGTCTTTTGTCGACGTTTTCTTAATTAGTGTTTGAGGTGCCGCCGGTTGAGCAGCTTGTCTTTTGTTTGAGCACGTCATGAGCACGGGATTACGCCTGCTCGAAACAACAATAATTTATTTTTTCATTACTTAAAATCAAACAAAAAAAAATAAAATCGCATTTCTCGCTCGAATGGAAGTTTTCCGGTTAAAACATTTGTGAGTTTATTTAAACATTTTCGTTGAAAAAAAAATATTCCAGACCTCACTATTCTGCTTTTTTGATTCGAATTTTCTTCATTTTCGCCATAAAATATAATATTCTGGTTTTTAAGATATTACTGGTGACAGTTATCCGCGTCCTCCATTGGCTATAATTATAATAATTTTATAAGCTTATTTATTGGCGAAGTAGAGGGGGTCTAAGAAAAGATTAAAAGAACCAACCGCTCTCCCTAAAAATTTTTGGCATTTAGCCAGTCGCGCGACGTCGAAAATACCAAATTAACAGAATTCGCTTTTAAATTTGATCACGGAAATTGAAGACAAAAGGAGAGTGTTTGCACACAATACACATCACTTGACGAGTGTTTACACGGATGACTCGAAATTTTCTTGTACAGTAGTTGCAATCAAACAATTAAAATTTTAAACAAATTAAAAAAAAAAAAGAAAACGTGTTCATTGCCGACCTCGTGTGGGCACTTGACATTGAAAATTCGAAAACAACTAAACAAGTGGTAAAGATTCTGGAGGATTCTAACTTCTTGCCGGTGATCAAAAGTCAATACAGAAAATATAAATGAACCAAAATGGAATTTATGAAGAAGCATCGAGCATCAAAAATATTGAAGAGTGCATTGAAAAGTCGATTCTGTTAAGATCTGATGGAAAACACATGTGATTCATTCGAACATAAATAAAAATCGAATAAAAACGAGACGGACGAGAATGTAATAATAATAATAATGAGAGACTAGCCATCAATCGGGACCCGTCACTCAACCAATGGGTCCCACAACCAAAAAACAACCAAAACGCGTAACGGAAATAGTGTTCGAATCGAGTAGGGCAAATTCGGCGGCGAACCCACCGATTTGCATCGGGCTGTGTTAGCTGACCGACCCGACTCACTTGGCTAGTGTGTATATTTGAACTCGGGGCAAATCGAACGTCGCTCCGCATATCAAAACACTCATTCATTTTGGCTATCGGCATATAAACAAACATTTTTGGGCGGTTGGAATGCTCGGCCGGCTCGGCCGGCCCGGCTCGCATATGGCTCGCGAATTGCCAACGAAATTTGAGATGAGCCATCCAACCAACGGACCACCATTCAATTGTCGGATATTTGAGAACGTTTTTCACACTTTTCATGTGACATCAACATCGTTGCCTTATTTATCCAGTTAATGGAGGAGGAAAATTAAATACGAGAAGTGGGTGCTGTCAGCAGACGATTTCTCCCCAATGCTATCCTTCGGGGGGATTCCCTCGAAACTGCCGGGCAGCACCGAGATTAACTAGACGTTTATGGGGAATTTTCTCGACAAATAATTCTCTTTGGAATCGATTAATTTATCGACTGGACACAATTTAAAACTCGGCTATTTTCGATTCCAAATTTGAATGCAAAAAAATTTAAGAAGAAATCAACAATTAGAAGAGACGACCCTTATAAACATATAAACATTCGGAAGCAATGAACAATTTTTTATTTACTTCGTATAAGAAAAAAAAATGAGAATTTAAACATTTATTAATTATATGCAGATTTTGAAAAAAAAATCATTAAATCAGCGTTGAAAGTGGTTTTTCTGAAAATTTTTTGAGTTTGTTTTCCCCTAATTTTTTTTCGTGATTGTTGAGAGTCGCCTCGGAAATTATTCGACAATTTCCTACCAATTAATTACACATCTGATTGTTTGGACAACTTGAACAATATTGATGATGCCGGTCCTATTCAAGATTCGGTCGTTCTGATTTTCTTCAGAAGCCGAATTCTTGTCAATAAAAAATGTCAACATCTTCTCAGCCCAAGCTCCTTTTTTGTGGCAAAATAAATAATTTTAACCCATCAATTTTTCGAGTTCTCATTAAAAACCGATGTCAATAATGCATTTATAGCATGCAAAAGTCGTTTTTTTTTTTAATTTTTATAATTAATTTTCAAAGGTATTGCAGTTTTTTTCTAGAAAATTCAATTGTTATGGTATATAGAAAATGGAATGAATGGCTCGCGAAAAAAATTTCATATAATTTCAAAAAAAAAATTCAAAGATATTCTCATTTCCGATTGGACTTAAGCCGGCGAACCAGAAAATTTTAAACCCAAAAAAATCTTTTTTTTTTCTTCTGTGTAAAAAATTATTTTTTTAGTGACTTCCTGCTCATGACATATTGTTTTAATTCGAGATTATTATTATTGTTTTAATTTGAGTCTTAAATTTTTCAAAATTATAATGTTAGCGAAAGGCAGCAAAATTCGGTCATACGAGTGCACTCCTGCCTGATGTTTTGGCGAAATTTTAAAGAACGCGAATATATGACGAAATGATGTCGCATGTGTATGTATATATGCACATATAAGATATGATGAGGGTGCTGCTCAGTGTGCTCCGCAATCGGCTTTGCCACAAGGCTTCATCTTCTTATCGCACGAGCTCCCCCACACCCCACATAATATTCGAAAATATTCAAATCGATCGCTTATTTCAGTTTCAGATGGATAGCGACAAAGAGCGTCTCGTGAACGGTTCGCCGACGACGTCGCCGCAAACGCCGCCCATTTTTGCGGAGAAGCTCACGAATCTGACGAGTTTCGCGAGAGAAATGCGAAAACGCCAATTTCAGATAGTCGATTGTCAGGTAAATGCGAAACCGAATGCAAATCATATATAATTATGAATGGCTCGAAATGCCGCTATTCACCCCCCATTGATATCATAATCTCTATAGAAAAGCATTTTCTACTGCTCTGCGTTGTGTGTATTCAATTCAACGAAAACCCGCCTCAATAATTAGGTGAAGAGAAGCGCGAGATAACCCGAGTCAGCCGCCCCCCCCCCAAAAAAAAATACTAGTGTGGTTCGATCGATTGTCGCAACTGATGGCTGACAACACGAGCAATAATCGACGAAAAATCACCTTCACCGCCAAACACCATTGGCGTCGATTGTCGCAGGTTATCGATCCGGTTTGTCGGTTCTCTTTTCTCATGGGAAATCTCCACCATTAATTGCTCCCCCTTAATTATGTTGCTCTAATTATTTGATTATAATTAAATTAATTATCGTTCACATTTAGTCGTCCGCAAAAATCGCATTTTATATTCTCGAAATTGCTGAAGAATGCCTGATGAGGTATGAAATGATCATCTAGTTTCTCGATTTTTTTCGAATTGAATTCATGTCTTAAAAATTCTGGAATTCTTGCTTTTAATATTTTGGAAAAAAAATCATTTTTCTCGGTGAATTTATTCGAAATAATTTTGATTTAAAAAATGAGAATAATTTTTTTGTTTTTTGAAATTTTTCCTCTTTTTTTGCAGCAAATTCGATCGTTTTTATTTTGTCGAAATTAAAACTTGAAATATTTCAAAATTTATTTGGAAAATCTTATAATTCTCATTGAGATTTTCAAAAGAATGATCATTTATCTGGAAAAAAAAATGGTGAAATTATTTTCTAGAAGCTCACATAGAAGAAGAAAAGCTCATCACAAGAAGCTCACCGGCAACAGCTAATTTTTTGTAAAATTCATTCGCAAAATATGAAATGATCAATTTGATTTTCAATTCGTTTCGATGATTCTCATTTTGCATTCGGAAATTATCTCTCAAAATTCTCAAATTTCCGGTATCGCGAAAAACCGGAAAACGTCGAATCCAAACTTTTTTTGCCTTCCCCCCCCCCTCATCTGCCATCCATTGGCGGTTGTCATGACTACGAAAATATAGATAAATTCGAATTCAATGAATCACAAAAATGCCCATCATTTGCCAAGGAGAAGCAGTTGGATTTGTGACGAAATAGGCGCCGTCGAATGATAGTTTTTGTGCGAATTTCAGAAGTCCAGTAAACCACAACAATTGGACGAATCTGAGTTCAGAACGCCGCGCTCCGAAGACAGTTTCGATCTGTACGCGTTCGAGGCATTCTTGCACAAACGCCCAACTGACTATTTGTTTTTCAGTGGAACGGCTCGCGATGAGGCGACGTCTTCGCAACCTCCTCCCAGTGGAATCCTTCCAGTGCCCACCGTTCAAATTACGTCGCCGCATGATCGCTCGCGCGAGGTGGTTATTCAAATCGACGCGCTTGAAGGCATCGAGAGTCTCGACACGAAAACGCATGGCGATGAGGATCCGCATTCGCTGAGCGCTTTGGGAAGCTCGAATGCGGCGACAAGGAGTAGTAGTGTGATCGAGGACGATGTCAAATCGCAACTCTCATTTATCATGAAAGAGAGATTGCATTCATTGGCAAGAGAGGTGACTCGAATCATTTTCAGAAAACTTATTGAATGCTTAAAGGTACATCGGCGAACATCGGAAGTTCGGGATGATTTGATAAAAGAGACACCCGAGGACTCGGTATCGCTTACTTCGAGCATTCAACGACTCGATGAGCATCGACCAAGCTTGATGTCTCTTATTGGTTTACAGGTAGCTTCATTTCGATGACTCATTACAATTATAGAGTTTTGTTCAGAAAAGATCCGAGTCGCCATCAAATGCCGACAATTACAAGAAGATTTTCGGATTCAAGCTTAAAGATACCATAAATCCATACGGTGAGTCGACTGGCAGGCTTCGAATCAAATATTGATTGATCAGGTCGTCTATATATTGCGTGGCTCTCGATCGTTACGATTTGTTTCATTTACAACGCCTTCTGTATTCCATTAAGGTGGTCCCCCGCCAACTGTCCGCAGATCAAAATTGATTTTCAGAAGCAGCTATCCATATCAAACGCCAAACAATGCGAAATATTGGTTCGCCGCTGATTACTCGTGCGATCTAATATACCTTCTTGATATGCTTTTCATCAAACCAAAACTTCGTTTCACACGTGGCGGAATTCAAGTGGTATATTTCAAGACAATATTGCTATTGGAAATAAATGATTGAAAATTTCTAGAGGAATTCAAAAGAAACTGTCCGACATTACCTAATGACACGCACTTTTAAACTCGATATATTGAGTATTCTACCCACAGATATTTTCTATTTCATAGTTTCTAGTTCACCAATCTTCCGATTAAATCGTCTTCTTAAAATCAACTCATTTTGGCTGCTGTTCGATATGCTCGACAACTCCGTTTCGAATCCCTACGCAATCCGGTAAATTCATTTTTTTGTTGCTATTTTCAGCCAATATTTAATTTTCAGAATTGCTCGCACACTATCCTACATGATCTACATTATCCACTGCAACAGTTGTGTGTATTACACGTTGTCGGCAGCGCAGGCGTTTGGTCAAATAGCGTACCACGAGAATGGCAAATGGTACCTGAATAAATGGGTGTATAATAATCAAGGTTGATTCGAATTAATGTTGATGCTCAAATCGGAATTGAAGGAAATGCCTACATTCGATGCTTTTATTTCACCGCCGCTGTCGCCACATCAACTGGAAACAATCCAGCGCCGACGAATGTGATCGAGTGAGTCGGAAAATGTCCGCAGATTCATATTGGCTAAATGCCAAAAGAAGCAAAAGTCAGGCAATATCTTGGCGCAAAACTAAATGTGTAGATTTACGAGCTGAAGTTGTACACCGCGCCGCGAGACCTTTATTTAATTTCTAGTCGAACCACAGCATTCCAAGATCTTTGGATTGAGTGGACCATGGTGTGATCAGCTATTCTTTTGGTGATCTCCTTCCGTGGGAGGCCTTCCTCTTGGCCGCCACTCCGTTAGAAGAAGCCGACAATATAACAATCAATTTCAGATATATTTATATGACGTGCTCGTGGATGATGGGCGTGTTCGTGTTTGCGTTGCTTCTCGGTCAGGTATATTCAACATTTTCGCGCGTTCTCCAATTTTTCAATCGATATCGCAAAGATTCGAGACATCGTGTCGAACGCGAATCGAAATCGCGAGGAGTTCCAGCGAAAAATGGACATGGCGTTGAGCGAATGCCACAAATTGGGACTCACCAAAGATCTGACGGATCGCGTGCGAGACTGGTTCATTTACACATGGCAGCAGCAGAAAACATTGGGTCGGTTTGAGTCCGGCTTCGAAATGACGCATCGATTTTCAGACGAGAAAAAACTTATTGAAAAATTGCCGCTGAAATTGCAAACCGATTTGGCTTTGTCGGTCCATTACAACACGTTGAGCAAAGTCCAATTATTTCAAGTAAATGCGACCATTTCGTTTTATTGATTCATCAAAAATTGAAGGATTGCGATCGCGCTCTTCTCCGAGACCTTGTCCTCAAACTCCGACCCGTTATATTCCTTCCAGGTGATATGATTTGCAAAAAGGTAGTCGAATACAAAAGTGTTGATCATTTGTGAGAGAATTATTTATTAAAGGGAGATGTTGGAAAAGAAATGTATATTGTTAACCATGGGGTCCTTCAAGTTGTTGGCGGCGAACGGAATGAAACCGTTTTCGCCGAGCTTGGTCAAGGAGCCGTTTTCGGAGAAATCAGGTATCATTTTTTCCAACGAGCGCCTTTCATAACTGTGGACCATTGCACTTTATTCGAGGCGGTAATTCAAATTTATTACAGATAACCTGCGAATCAAACTCATCGTAAATCGACGCGTTTTTTTCTCGAATATAATATTGTCGAAATCGCGCGTCTGCGACATTTTTTTTTATTTATATAAACCAGAAATGGTCTCGCAAAGACGAGACATGCGTTGTGTACTCCACTCGTAAAAATCCCCCGCGCGACACAATTGTGTTGCGAGACCCGACTCTACAATAGCCCGCGAAATCCGCAGTCGCGCGATTTCCACAATATTATTACCTTTGCAAAAATAGAATACCTTGCGTTGATTTACGGTGAGTTTGATTCCCAGGTTAGCCATAATATGGTCCCCGAAGTCCCATTTTCAAATTATAATAATTACCTCCTGGAAAAAACGATCCACAATTAGGCAAGCCGGTCGTATTTTTTGCGACGATATTATACATGTTTTCTAATGTCTCTTTCTGAAAAAAAAATGTCGCTACAAGGCCCAGCTCATTGTACATATTATGAGCCTTTAATCAATTAACTTGAACTATTTGAATTTTTGGTGCTGAATTATTGTGTGAGTCTCGCAGCCATCAAATCAGAAACGGACAACAAAAAAAAAACGCGAGCATCGGCGGCTCGCCGCGGCCTAGAAAAATTTGTCGAGGCTTTCAAAAAGCAAGAATGCAAGTGCGACACACAAAATCTGGTAAAAACTGCAAGTACGGCACATTACCACAGACAAATTTTAAAAATTATGTGCTCAGCCGCGATTTTCTTTTATTTCCAAGAAGTTGTGACTTTTATTTTTGATATAATCGTAAATACACAACACTTACGTATTTATTTCGTTCTACTTAATTAGGTTAATTAATCCATCAAGTGTGGCCGTGGCCGAACCTTATTTTTGTGGACAATTTTTTCTAGGCCGCAAATGAGTTGCGGCGAGCCGTACGATGCGTCGAATTGTGTTGTTTGAATTGAAATTGACAAATTATGTTGAAGTCTGCTGGCAATTGGAGGCAACAATCGCCGAACAGCTTCGATCCGATCCAAAGGATATTCGACGCTCTTCGTTCTCGCCAAAGAAGACCTCAACGATGTCATTCGATATTATCCACAAGCTCAAGCTCTTCTCAAGAGAAAAGCAGCGTAAGATTCTTCCAAAAACGGCATTTCCAATTGATTGATTGGCGAGTTTGCAGCCAAATGCTGAAAAACGACAAGAAATCCGATACGGGCAAAGAGAAGGAGAAACAACAGGAAATGGAGGATCGATGCAGGATCAATCCGATGGGAACTCCGAAAATGCTCAAGGTATGATTTTGTCGAAGCAATCTTCCGAATCAACTTCTTTTATTGAAGATCGTTGCCGATATTCTTCCAAAAGACAACAAAACCACTCTGGAACTCAAGAAAGCCATCGAAATTTCCGAGTCAAGACGATCCACAATCCATTACCCATGGACAACACTCCAAATTGGAGACGAAGAAGATGACGACGAATGGGCTGATGAGGATATCAGCGATGTATTCGAAGATTCTGAACCATCCGATTCGGAAGGACATCAAGGAGATTCTGAAGACGATCCACTTGAAGACATGGAAATCGTTGAGGAGAAAGAAGTTCTACTCTCTGATCCAGAAGGAGAGACTAAAATCAAGGAGGAATAGTTGAATAAAACGTTTACTTTTACAAGAAGGCGGAAATAAATTAATGTGTGCATTTGTAAAACCGGACGGAAACGAAAAAAAAAAGAAGAATAATTACGGGTGCCCGCATGCCTTATATACGGTTTCGATATTTATTTCTTGCTCGACTTCTCCTCCTTTTTGTCTTTCTTTTCAGTTTTCTTTTTCTCTTCATCCTTTTTTTCTTTCTCCTTCTCCGCTTCTCCATTTTCAGCCTCCTTTTCAGCTTTTTGAAGCGATATCTTGAAAAAAAAATCTGTGTGATTCTAAAAATCTCATCCAATTTGAACCTTATTATCGATAAGATTGTGGAGCGCAACCACTGATCGAACCAGCGATCCCATGTAGACGCACATCAATTGATCGTTTGTTTGGATATTTTGCGAGACGACATAATCCGGATGAGTGACGTCAGGCAGCAAGTTGAGAACCTCCTTTAACAAAACAATTCCCAATATATTCACAGAGAAATAGGATTACCTGAACATAATAAATGACATGATGATTAACCGGAAGGGTTCCTTTGACGATTTCTTGTAAATAACTGTAATTTCAAAATCTAATTTGAGAAAATAAATCAATAGAGGTACTTCTCAATGGATTCGAGCTGCGACTCAAGCCCTCTTAATCCCATCAATTGATCGGTAATTCTTTGCGAAAGAGTTCCAGCAGTCTGATCCTTGATGTCTCTGAAATATTCCATTTCATTTTATTTCATTAACTTGCTTCAAACCTCAATAGATGCTCAACACCAACTTCTTCAGCCTCTTCGGCTCCAATATCCGAAGGCACATGCTCAAAAGTCTTGATTGGTGGAGTTCCGTCATCGTGAACTTCTTGAACTTCAATGTAAGCCTCAGTTGGAAGACCAATAGTCTTTGGCTCAGCATCAATAATCACCAACACTGGATTTGGTGTGAATCTCTTCAATTGCTCGTTAATAGCAATGTCATTCTGAAATACTGTTCATAAATTGCGTTGTCATTCTGAACAAAATAAAAAGAAAGTGCGGTTTGAGAGGTAAATTATTGCAAAATGGATATCAGAACGGATATTATCGATTCATGATTATTCAGAGCCCAGTGTTCCGTGTATGGTCTTCATTTATCCAAAGCAGCTCGAGGGGAAGACTCGAACTCAACACCTCTCGCGTTCAACTACACGCGCACTACCGCATGAGCGCTTCTACTCTCTATCGTTGCGCTCTCTCGTTGTGTTGGCTAACCTTGTGAAGTTTCGGCCCAGTGTGATACCAACCGACGATTTTTTCCTTCGCGGCCACCTGCAAATTCAAATTTTTATCCAGGATGATTACTGAGAATTAAAATGAACATTAATTTTTAAAGACAAAGTTTGCGTTTTCATATTTTTGATTCAAAAATTTAAAAAAAAAACGTTGAAACAAATAATGAAATTTAAAAAAAAACACATTTTAAACATATTTGGTCACTCATTATTAGAAAAACCCACCTTGTAGAACATTCCATACATACTCTCGAGGTAGTCCATGTCAAGGAACCAAGTATTTTTGTCTTTCTCATCCTCGTCGAATGGAACTGAAATAATTGAACTTATTTTCACAGATGAGATTAATTCGTTTACCAGCGAAACTGTTTCCAATATCCAAAGTTTTATCTTTTTTCATCGAACCAAGTAGAACACCAACAACTCTTTTGACGTTTTGAGTTTTACTTACACGATTGAAATGATCGACAACACTCAAAAGCACAAGTGGATGGACAGTTACCTGAATAGAAATATTTATAAGCTTTAATTTTTGTGCGTCTTCTCACTTTTGACACTGGCAAATTTGTGTGCACATTTCCAGCACAATGATGCCCGCCAACCTTTTGCTTCAAAGCATCTTCGGTCGACTTCGTGGCTGTTGCAACTGGACCATTATTCTTTGGGGCCATTTCTAAAAGGAAAAAATAAACACCACACAGAAAAATAATTGTTTTCAATAAATGCTTGCGAACTTAATCATATTTTAATAGTAGTGATAAAACTCGAATTTTCACTCGCTTATTATTTTATTTAATGATATAATAATATAATGAAACTATTCCAGAAATAATAAACCATTAGTAGCGTAAAAGAAAAGATTCGAAAATAACTTTTAAACATCTGAAAACGAGCGAAAATATTTGAAATTCTCACTCGAAAAATAAAATCATCATTTAAAGGAGCGTGCATCAACTGCGTAAATCGACACCGGCGCGACGAGACCCAAAGCCACACACATTTTCATTCTCGATTTTTTTCAATTTTTGAATGCAAAAGCGGAGAAAACAGTAATAAAAGGTTTGAAAGTTTGAGGCATAATTATATTTATCATATAATAAAACAGAAAAATTTATTAATTATTATATCATCGAAAAATATTTAATTTTAGGGAATTTTGCTATTTTATTTTTTTTTACATTATTGGTTTGAAGTAGCAAAACTATAATAGTTATTTTGTTTCAGTATTATGCGACGTTATTTTATGCGTATTTGAAAAATAAATTGCATCATTTTTTAAAGGAATAATTTTCAGGGTCTGAACTTCTGTAATTACCAAAATGCCATTTTTTGAAGTTTCAGTAATTACAAGATCCTTGTCCAAGGTGAATTGAAAATTTTGAAAATATATCATGTCAAAATTCAGGCAGATCTCGTCAAGGCACTTGTTCGCGCAGGAAACACGCTAATGGATCATGGTGCAGTCATTGAAAAAGTTGAGTCTTTGGGACACCGCGATTTGCCATATAAACGAATTGCAAAGCAGACGAAAGAGCCAGTATATGCTTCAAAGTGTGCTCATTTCTCGCGATGTTATAGACAAAATTGTTTTCAGCTTCTTTCTTTTCAAAGCTCATATGTCACGTGAGGCAAAACAACAAACAAGGTCGATTCTCACTCATGATCTCGATACAGTTATCAATATTTTCCGAAATTTCTGTTCAATATGTATTCTCAGGTACACGTTGATTTAGTACAAATTGATACAGCCCCACAGAAACCAATCGAATGCAATTTGGAAGAAATCTTGAAGGCACCTGCAGAACGAAAGGTGACCATTTGTTCAATTAATTCATCCTTCAATTTTAATGTCTAGGCCGTGAAAGAACTTCGAGAAAATCAGAAGATGGGCCATTTCACTCGGCAAATGATCTACAAGCGTACAGAAAAGGAATGGAAGAGCATTCCGAAGAGTTACCCGATTGCTCCACCAAGGCCCTAGACGCTGTCGTTTACTGTATTTATTGTTCTTTGAGGTTTTCGATGAAAAATCCAGTTTTTTTCGATGATATCAATTAGGTGTTATCAAAGTTTCTGACACCTATCATGCACTTTTCGCCACCCCATCGCCTATCACGTTTTCTACATGATTGTACAGTTTTTAGGCTAGATTTAGATATTTGTTGAATTTTCTTCGTTTCTCATTATAAACTTTTTCCCTTTTTTCCTGCTTCCTTTGATCAATTTAATGTTGTTGCATTATTTATATCTAAATTTTAACTATTCTGTGCATCGTCTGGCGTTTAAACATATTTTTAACAGGAAAATGGCTTCAACAATCACAAATGGAAACGGTGTCAATGGAGTAAACAAAACATCCAATGAGGAAACTCTATTTGAAAATCTCTATGGGATGGAGGTTTTCCGCACTGGAGAATTCTTCCTCAAATCTGGACAAATGACACCAATTTACATAGACTTGCGTAGAATTATGAGTGCACCAAGGATTTTGGTAATTTTTAATGGAGTATTATTTGGATTTTAAATAAACATATTTTATAGAGAATGGCTGCTCAATGCATGTGCGATACGATTCGATCGCAAAATCTCAAATTCGATTACGTTGTCGGAGTGCCATACGCAGCGCTTCCATTAGCTACAGTATTTTCACCAGCTTCTGATTTATTATTTATTTTTCTTATGCAGCTCGTCGCAGACATTCTTGACATTCCAATGCTCATGAAAAGAAAGGAAGCAAAATCATACGGAACGAAGCAGCTTATTGAGGTTCTTTTTAAAACATCATCTAAAAAGACTCACGATTATACAATTACAGGGAGTATATCAAGCTGGAGGCACTGTTCTTCTCGTAGAAGACGTTGTTACTTCCGGAGAATCCATAAGAGAAACTGCTGAGGCCATAAGAAAGGAGGGTCTCAATGTATGTTCGAGAATGTTGCATTTTAACACGAATTTTTGCATTTTTAGGTCAATGATGCAATTGCTGTTCTTGACAGACAGCAAGGAGCGACAAACAACTTGGCTGCGGACAAGATCAATTTCTTGAGGTAAATTTATCACTTTGAAACGAATTCTGCAACACTAAAAGTACCTAAAACATTATTTTTACGTTCGTGGGCGGACAAACTCGAAAAATTTAAGGGCTGGCAATTAACTGGTGCCGTAAAATATATTTTTTAATTTTTCTTTTATTTATTTATAATTAAATAAATGAAAAATTTTTCAAAAGGCCAAGCTACAATTACAGTGGTCTTGGCGCAAATCGCGCACCAAGACCTTGTTTTTTTTTTTAAATTTTTTTTTGGCATTTTTCGCCACAGTCGCACGATGTCGTCAATACAAGACGAATTAATATAGATATGTGTCCGAACTTAGTGACAAAGATATTTTAGCTTCCTCACAATGGAGAACATACTCGACGGTCTCATCCGCAAGGGCGACATCACCGAGCAGCGAAAGCACGAGATCATCGAGCATCTCGCAAAGCCATTCTAAATATTTCCGACCATCACAGCATATCTCTTCATTTGCTTTATTGCTTCATTTTGCTTGCAGTTTTTTGATTTAGTGCCTTTTTCATGAATTACCAATCATCTTGTTTTTCTTTTGTTAAAATTTGCCCGTGTGATATCTGTTCACGACATTGTTCCGTTGATAACTGTTGAATTCTACCTTAGGAATACCATCAATCCCGTTGAATGTGTTATTTTTTCCATAAATCCCACATAATAATTGTTTATAATCCCAAATTATATATACATACATTAATAATACTTTAAGTGTCGCGCGTTAGACGAAATTCCGTCTCTGTTGCTCAATGACAATCTGGTTTGCTCCGCCAGTGGCCTTCTGAAATCAAATGCACTAGGTATTCAGTGCTTCTTCCTCAATTGTTTACCTCATTGTTTTTCCAAGCCAGAAATTTCAAATAGCAATCAAATCCGTAGGCGCACATTGCTCCAAACGCGAAGAACTGAAGAATCAGAATTAGAATCGCAACAATTTTTCGATTTTGACAAACCGCTGCAATCGCCCACGCAAAAGTGTCTCGAAATTGAGCAGCAGCGACGGCGAGCACACAAGCGGCAATGAAGAAGAAAACGGTCCAAGCGAAACAAAACACCATTTCCTGTAGGAAGCAGAATCATAAAAATGTTTTGATCTACCGGCGATACCCCGACAATCCAATTGATCTGTGGAAGGGAATCAACTACTCGGAATAGGTATAAGGTGAGCAATGATGTTGTCACGAAGATGCCGATTGATGAGACAAAAGTAGCCCATCCAACACCTGAAAAGCGGATTCTCAAATGGCTTCTGTTAATTCAAAACCAATCGGATCCGGTTGGAAATTTAACGGATGTAAAGTCGTCGGATACGATTGGATTTGATTTATATCGGCCAAGAGGAAGACCTCCCATGAGATGGTCTGACTCGCTTCGGAAGGAGATCACTACAAGAACAGCTGAAGGAGCCGTTATCACCCCCTGGTCCACCCAAGCCAAGGACCGAAAATCTTGGAAAGCTGTGGTTCGCGCCTCAACAGACGAAGGACGAACCGACTAAGTGACTAAGTAAGTAAGCGAGTGGAAACCTTACCGGTGTAATATGCGGGACCCATCATGACGAAAAGGAATGTGAGAAGGCACAAGACGATACAAACACATTTCATAATTCCGCCAAGAGTCCGAATGTATTCGCAATCTAATCGTGGGAGATCGACCTAATAATTGTGTGCACAAGTTTCCAAAGTGTTTCAAATTTACCCGAACCGTGGGACCATCATTCTGCATGTATTCGGTAGTTTCGACGACTGTCGTCGTTGTGTGATACCGCGGCGAATCGTACATTTTCTCGTCGTTGTTTTCGATGTTTTTCGAATCCTGTAAATGTTTTTTTTATTGTTTTGTAGAATAGAAAATCGCAATGATTCAGACGCGCGCGCGCTCCAATATTTATAGACAAAGGAAAAACGATGGGTAGTTGTTCAGAGTACATTGGAAAAGGACCCCCCTCCTTCCCCCCAACATCCTCCCTCCGATTCCTCAATTCTCTATGCTCCCTTCCCATCACTCCGCCTTCGCATTTTACACCGCGGCCTAAGAGATAGATAGATAGTAGCTAGAAATAGAGGCGATCGCCGAGCGGATCGAAGACGACGAAAAATCGCCGCCTGCAAAAACGAATGTTGAAAAATTGCTGCCCACTTTTTGTTTTTCATCTCATTTGCCTTTAAAATTATGTAAAATTGAAAAGAAAAATTCTGAATTTCAATCAATTCCCAAAAAAAACTGTAGGAATATTCAAAATCATTACTGCAATTTAATTAAAATTGCCCAATATGAGTATAATTTGAGAAAACTTATTAGTTTAAAACTAAAATTATCGAAAAATTTGAATTTCTGTGCCTTCGAAGAAAAATATTAATAATGAAATTCTAAACGTGAATATATGAACCATAAATGACAATAAATATCGATTTTCTCTGGAAAAGAATCGAAATAAGGTAAACATTCGTATAGTTTTCGTTTTCCGGAAAAAAGCATGTCGAAAACCGTTTGTTTTTGTTCTTTTGCAGAAATTTGTCACTAAACGGAACCTTAAATGGAAGAGTGGGATCGATTTGGAGAACAGCATTCTTCACCAATGGCGGCGGCAAAGGCGGTGGACTTGGTGCTGGCGTATTTGGCACCGAAGTCATTGGGCTCATGGAGACTTGAATTGCTGGCGGATCACCTCTCGGATCGAGTGTCACAATCGACACATTATCCTCTGAATCAATCGTCTTTATTTGCCGTATAATTAGCATAGTTACCTTCAGTTGATGTACCCATTGGTCTTCCGCGCGAAAACTGGCCCGTCGGTTTCTCGTCGTCGTCTTCTCCTGTTTGCTTAGCGATTATTTATTTTTTAGTTGCTCCTGCTCCTGCTATCTGGCTGAAATGTGACGGCGAAAAGCGTGTTTTGCGAATGCGTCTTCTCACTGCAAATTGTCGAATTAATAATTGCGATTCGTTTCGAAATTTGGAAACGCCGCCGAATGGCCACTCTCATTGCTCACAATGCGTTTCGAGCTTCTCATTGTAAGAAAATCGCGCCGAGACCGGTTTAGTTCTATTGAACATATGTTCCATTTATGGTTCGATATTGAAGAAAGCCAATAATGGGCAATTGTTAGAAATGGATTTGAAGCGGAGATTCAATTAAAAAAAAAACAAAAAAAATTAAAAAAAGGTCTCAAAATTTTTATAATGTTTTTTATATGGAAAATCTGAATAATATTCATTCTAGTGAGTGTTTAATGTTTTTTTTAATGAGAAATCCTTAAGTAAGCGAATATTGGACAAGTAATTCGTGAAATATTTCAACAATTCAAAAACCGAACCATTTTTTTTCGATCAATGCATATTTGCAAATGCTTCAAAAATGCACTCTCACACGAATGAACACTGATTTTTGAAAGTTGCTCGATAAATTGAATACAGTGAATTCCGATATATTATTGGCTAATTTATAATGGTGTTGGTGCTCAATTCAAATCAGCTTAATTCGTTAAAATATATTTTACCTTAAATTTTCAAGAAAATTTACAAAAATAAACAACGTCTCTCAGAAATCATCAAGAATAACCATTGATTCGCATAAAACAAACTAGAATGAATCGAGAATAAATTAGTAAAATTTGGACGGCAAATTGATATTTGCACTAAGGATGCCATCGATTTCACAAACATTTGTTGATTGTTGAGTCCAAATATTTCGCAAATTTGAGAACTCACCGATGATTTGAGAAGAGTGGTGTTCGTCGTTGTCGAATGTTTCGATGAATGTCCCATCAGTTCGCGTTCGTCGAGTTTTTCATTCGTCGAAATACGATATATATTGTTAGGCGCGCAAGAACGTTGCTCGGCGAGCATTTACACAGGCAGAAGCCTCGCCAAATCGAGGCACAATAGGATTACGACACATTTCTTGCACTTGCGTTGTTCTACCCATTGTTTCAAACAAAAACAATACTCAAATTGGCACCGCATGCATGCAAACAGACGGCATTCATTTTGGCACAATACTAAATTAAACAAATGGGAAAATTGAAGATTTTCGACATTTCTGCATTCTGGGATTTTTTTCAAATTAAGAGTGAAAACCGCTATTTGAAACCAACATGAGACCACTCATCACATTCATATTCGCTGTGAGAATCCGAGAACAGTAGCAATATTTTGAGACTAATTTTGTGTTTTTTGTCTCAAATCGGTTTTTTAATTTTATGTTTTTTTTTGACAACGTAGTTTCCGTACTACAAAACCCTTCTGAAATTTAATTCATGGTTTGTGCTTATCAGATCTCAAGGCGAAAATGAAATCATAGTGAAATCAAGCCTGCAATCAATAAATCTTCATCACTGCCATTATATAGTCGGGGCGTCCGGCGACGGCTGTACGCGGGTAGATTTACGCGCATGCGCCTTGAAAAGGTCTCGCCACGCGTGAATGCTTATTTTGCTGTTTTCACATGAACTGCTTTATTTTTCTTGATGAGTTTCGCATTCCCTTGAATTTTCAACGTCATTCAATTAAAAATTATCGAAGCGGTCCATAAAATTTGAAATAACCTGTTGGTCCTTGCGAGACCATTTCGAAAGACGCATTCTCGTAAATCTACCCGCGTACAGCAGTCGCCGACTACATTCAAATTTTCTTGCAAATTAAAGGTAAAATATATTTTAACGAATTAAGCTGATTTGAATTGAGCACCAATAATTATAAATTAGCCAATAATATATCGGAATTCAATGTGCTCAATTTGTCGGCCAATTTTCAAAAATCAGTGTTCATTCGTGTGAGAGTGCATTTTTGAAGCATTTGCAAATATGCATTGATCGAAAAAAAATGGTTCGGTTTTTGAATTGTTGAAATATTTCACGAATTACTTGTCCAATATTCGCTGCAATCATTTTTACTTAAGGATTTCTCATTAAAAAACATTAAAGATTTATGAGAATTCAGTTGAGTCTTCCCAATTTCCTAGAGACCTTGCTTTTTGTTTTCTTCAAGATCAAACCATAGACCGGTCCCGGCGCGATTTTCCAGCTATATACCAGAATCGGTCAGTTTTATGACACCTTAAAAAATTTGTTGTGAGCATGTTGGAAGAAAGAAGATTGTTGTCATTGTCAAGCATCTGCCGCATATTTAAACACTTTAGACCTGATATTTATTAAATGACAATAAATCAAATGCATTCGAAGAATTTTGATCTACACTGGCAGATTAACAGAACGTTCAAGATGAGCAATATATGTTCGAAGTTGAGCAATTTCACGGTCCTTTGCCGCCAGTTTATCGGAGAGAACGAGAACGGCTCCGGTTGGCTTCTCATTCCGCGACATGCTCGCCGTTCGCAATTTGATTCGCTCGTATTTTTCAGTCATTCTCACCAAATCCGCTTCCGACTCGGCCAATTTCTCTGTGCATTCAGCGAGTCGTACTTCAGCCTGAACAATATTGACCTCAAGTGTCGTAGCATTGAAAACTGACAAGACGAAGTGCTTTTTTGAGTTCATGGTTATCAGTGGAGGTTGTTTCTTTTTCAATAATCCTTGTCGTCTCATAGTATTCTGTCACTCGTGGGGTTGATTCCGTCTGAATCGCCAAATTTTGAGTTTTAACAGGAACGGTATTTTGCAGTTTCTAAATACAAATAAAGAATATTCGGAAATCGATATTGATAAATACCGAAGATTTTTCAATTTTCACATTTTTTCTAGCTAATTCTTCTTTCAAAAATCCAATTTCTTTATCCATCTTGGCTCTATACTGGTCATAGGTCTTTCGAGTTTCTGTCGCGATCCTCGACAATCTCTCTCGCTCTTCATCTTTCTTGGTTAGCATCGCCTCAAGTTCGGTGATTCGAGATTTAAAAGAATTCGAAATTTGTTTCCTCAATGCCGATGGATCGTTCTGAAATTTTTGCTTAATAGAGAAGTTGCGAAAATCAAAAATCACGTCAGCAAAAGCTTTTTTCATTTTCTCGATTTCCGCTTGTCTCGCAGCTTGATCTTTCCTCAAAGTCTCCAAAATCTTCTCCCTCTTCTCTAGTTTCTCAATCAGATCCTTTTCGTTGGATTCTTTTTCTAAATTATTATAGTTTATAAGCGACAGTCGAAATATTCAAACTTTTCAATCTTTCACGCAGACTCTTTATTAGTCCTTCTTGGCGTTTCTTTCGTTCCCATTCTTCAATATCATTCTGAAATGGTAATCGATATTCAGCGGATACCAACGAGAATATCATACATTTTGTTTTGAAGCTGCCGATGTGCTCGTCAGCTTCATTTTTCCGATTTCCAATTTAAGCTCCTCATTGCTCACACGAAGTTTCCGATTTACCGATTTCAAACGTTCCACTTCAACTCTAAAATATCGAGGCGATGAAAATCAATGATTCGTCGTAAAATCGAAATCCTAGCAGTTTTCTCACACAAAAATACTATATTTGGAGTTTATAAACATCGATTTCAACTTGAGAAAATACCTCAATTCATTTATTCGCGCCTCATCGATATTCTCATTATTCTTTCTGAATGTAGATAATTCAGCCATCGCATCTTCTTTGATCTGCTCACATGTCGCCAGGAGCTCTTTGTTTGTTTTTGCAAGTGTCGCAACTCGTTTCCGTAATGCTCGCACTTCAGCCTTTTGCCGCATCAACTCACCATCTTTATCATCGCGATTCGCCATAATTTCTCTCATCAATGTCATTTCCTCCTCCTAAACTCCATAGTTATTCCCATGATTCCGAATTCAATTCCCCCCAACCAATCGTCGAACTTTCTCCGATTTCGCTGAGGCAATTTTCGGTGTTTCAACAACTTCATTGTTCTCCGAGTGATTTTCCTCGTTTCCATCTCGTTCCTCCAACTCATTATCAGTTTGAACACCAATATCAATCATTTCATCTTCGTCTAATGGATGCTTTCTTGACACTTCCACTTTTTTCAGTTTTCTAACTTCACTCTGTAGAAAAATATATATCAGAGAAGTGTTTTCGACAAAAATAAAACTTGGAGTTCATGAATCCTCGCTTCCGATGCCTTCAATTTCTCCAATGTAGCTCTATCCGGAACGATGACTTCTTGTTCAACAACCTCAACCTTCTCAATGATCTGATCATAACTTTATATTCTGAAATTAACAACCTAATTACCTGCACGCCTTCTTCAATTTTCTCACTTAGCATTTGTTTGTACCTTTCAATGGCCAAGTCTTTTTGAGCCAGTTGATCCTAAATATTAGCATTAATTCGACGAATAAAAACGTTATACGGATTACAATACCTTATAACCCTGTAACGCAGTTTGAGCGGCACTTTTGATTTCTTTTACTCGATTTTCGTAAACTGCTGTATGATCTTGCACAATTGTCTTGACAACAATTCTGTCAGAAAGCGCACTTCCAGAAGATTCTGAACAAAATACTTGAAAAACGGAGGTTATGGGTAAAATCGCACCAGAACTCTCACTACGGATATCCATTTCATAATCGCTCTCGGCGGTTATGACCGCCTCTTGCCTTTCATCTTTCGTTCGCACTTCCGGCGACGTCTTCTCAACTTCAGAAGTGGATTTCCGCAAATCTTTCAGCTGCTCCATTGCTGTCAGGATTTCCAAATTCCATGATTTCTGATCTCTCAACTCTTCTTCAAGAGCGGCAAGTTTTCTTTCCTTGAAGTGAATCTGAGAGAAAATAAGGTGATTTGAAGGATTAGAAATAGGAAACTTACAGTTTTTTCTAAATTCTTCACTTTCGCGCTTTGTTGAGAACTATTGAAGTAGGCAATTTGTAATTGATGCTGCACTCGTTCAGGATGCTCATTATTCGAGTTTAGAACCTCGCTGAACAGTCGGAAAATCCATATGCAAAATCGGTGATATGCGACAATACCTGGCTGTTTTTTCGGCTCTCGCTTTCAGCAATTCGAGTTCAGCTTCTTCTTTCAACTGTTCAATATCGTTCTTGAGATGCTCCACTGTCGCTTCTTTTTCTCGAGCTTCTCCAATCTTCTGTCGTAATACTTCAAGCTGTTGCAGACTTACAGAACCCATTGATTGTGTTCGTAGCATCTAAAACGAAATGCACATTTGAACACCAAACTCTATTATAATTATATAATTAAGAAAAGTTGTGTTCAGATTGGTAAAATGTGATATTTTGGGAATTTTAAGAGAATAATTATAACAAATTTCTAAAAACTTCAACGATTTACCGAATTCTCTCTTTGAAGAACATTTATCACATTCATCAGCGCCATTCGTTCTCTCCGCAATTTTTCGGAATCCCTCGAATTCTCGCTGCGCACTGCTCGCTGTTTCTTCTTCTCTCTCAAGTGTTCGCGCTCATTATTGCGAAGTTCACGAATAGTGTCCAACAGTCGCGTCTCAACAGCTCCTACAATGGAAATTTGAGAAACTTGGCTAGAAAAATTTCTTTAAAAATTACCTAGAACACTCTTTAAATCGCTCTCATTCTCAATATCTTCCACAAATTTTTTGAGCTCTTCATTTTCAGCTTGCAAAATTGCCGCCTCTCGACTCCAAAAATCGCATTGATCCGAAACAACGTCAATCATCTTCTTGAGCATATTCTCTTTAGCTTCTTGTTCAGCATCACTACTCTTCTGATGCATCACATTCAGCTCACTTCGTGGCGGCTCCTAACAATCTGTGTTACATACAGAATTGACAATAAAGTAAACCTCGTTGTTGGTTTCAATTCCGATAGATTCCTTGAGCAACGATTTATATTTCCTCGTAATCTTGTCATATTCTTCAACAGGCACACTACGTAATATTCGGTTTTGAAGTTTTCCGACTTCGATTGTGAGTAGATCAATTTCGAATTTGTATTTAATCTCGTTTCTCGCAGATTGTGTCTCCTTCTCTTTCGCCGTATCCCGAATCCTACGCGAAGCCCATTCCAACCGCTCGACTTTTGTTTTTAGAATGGCGCATTGTCGAGAATATCTAAACAATCTGAATCTATGCAATGAATTCGATTAATCAATTACCTAATTCGCTCAACGCGTTCCATTATCAATTTTCTCGTCGCTTCACCCATTTTTCGTTCGAGTTCATTTCCACCAACATTTATCGATTCCACAAGCCTCTGAATTATCGGCCGATTCATAAAATCGTAGGAAAATATTTCAAAATACCTGCAACTCAAGAGATTCATTCTCTTTTGTTTCATTAATTACTCGTTCTTCAATCAATAGTTGTTCTTCCTTCAGTTTTGCAATTTCATCATAAGCAAGCTGTTACAATAATCACAATTTTAACAATATTCAAAATCTGAAAAAAAAAAAACCTTCAATTGGGCTTTCATTTCACCATGAGCTTTTTTCGTGAGTTTCCACGATCTTTCCATTTCTCGAAGAGTCTCATCCTTCATATCAAGCTCCTAAACTTTTTTTTTTAATTTTAGTTGTTACAAAATGTTTAATGCAACCTCAAGCAACTGCATCATCTCATAATAGAGATTCGCAATAAGAAGTGATTGTTGCGCTATATCAGTCTGATCTAAATCTTGCACGTTGACCATCCTCTTTGGCGGTTTCGGACGAGATCGAGGAGAGGAAGTTGCTTCGACATTCTTGGCTGGTTCTTGCGGAAGATCTTCAACAATTTTCACCTTCTTCGTTGACTTTTCCGATTTGAGAATTGGTGTTTCCTCAGAAGCCGGTTCATCTTCTTTAACCTGCACCAGTTTTCCTCGCGCCGGGCTCTCATAACTATCATCCGCGTATCTACCGAGTTCGACTTGTAGCAACGTGCAGTGCTGTCTCAATTTGGCCAACTGATCGTCTCGAATCCGAAGTTGCTTCTCAAGTCTGGCAATTTCTTCCCATGAGCTACCATACGCTTCTTCTCTCAATCGGTTAAGTTCCGCTAACACTTCGGAATTCGCAATATCCTTCTGTTCAATTGTGAATTGGAATTCTTGCAGGATTTTTTCTCGCTCTTCCAGTTGCTCATTCAGTTGTTTCACATTATTTTCAAGTTGGAATATGCGCATTTGAAGACTAACTGATGGATCCTGACCCGGGGTTTCTGACATCGCTTCTCCGAATAGATTTCGTGCAAGCCTACAAAAAATCATTGAGATGTTTCTTAAATATTTTATTACGTTGTCGCTGCCATTAACTCCTTCTTGAGCTGCTCCAGCTCCTGCTCCTTCTCGCCGGTACGATCTTCCCGAATAAGCATTTGCAACCGATTGGCTTCCTCAACAACATTCGCCAGCTCCTCTTGCAAACTCTTCACTTTCTCTTGAGATCTGTCGAGCTGCTCCTGGAGCTCAACCATTTTTGTGTAACCGGTTTCATCCTCAAGTGCTTTCTGATCCTCTTCTTTGAGAAAATGAGGCAAAACTAATTCAGAGAGCTGAAAATGTTCAGATTAACTAAAGTACTCTATTCAATTTTATTACGCGATAAAGAAAATTGATTTTATCTTTGGGCAGTCCAGATACAAGTTTTTCTGCAGCTGCCATACACTTTGGAAGGTTTTCAATGAGCTTAAAAACTGTGTTTATTTTTGTTTCAGTAGTCTAAAGTACCTTATCGGGCAACCCTTCGGTGATAATTCTATTCTGCTCTACGAGCTCACCAACTCGTTGATTGCTTGCTTCCAGTTGCGAAGCAATATCTGAATACCTCACCGCACTCTGATCGATTATCCTTGTCGCTTCTTCAAGGGCATCAGAGACCCTGTCAATTTCCTCTCGCAATTCCTCATTCTGAGTGATAACCGCCTAAAACGAACGACGAATTCATTTCGAAATATTGAAATGGAAACTAAGACGACTTGTTATATACCTGCATTTGTCTACTCATCGTGAGCACTTGCTCATTTCTCATTCGAAGCTTCTTACTCTCCCAATCGCCTCCAGTGTCTTCTGTTTTTGAAGAAAGTCGACGATTTAACTCTCGAATGGTGTCTTCTAGGTGGATTTTCTAAATTAAACCATTTTTATTTGAAATTAATGCTGGGATCTTGTACGTGTTCTTGCAAGGCATCTCTTTCTCTGGTAACAGTTTCGACACGCGCTGCGAGATTCTCAAATCTGAAATTTTTGAGTAAAAATTTTTAAAAAAAACCAAATATTTGCTGGAAACGTACCTATCCCGCTGGTCAGCCATTTCTCGGTCTCGATCGCGATTCGTTTGCTGCAGCTGTCGGTTCTCCTGCTTCAAACTATCAATTTGGGCGCGAAACGTTTCCGTCGAGTCGCCGATTTCCGCCTTCGACGTGATTCGTTCTCGAAGGCTTTCGAGTTCTTCCTACAAAATTATTAAATGTGTGCTCAAAATGGAGGCAGTTCAAACCTTCAACTGATTTCGCTCTTCTTCCCATTGTTCTTCTTTATCTGCTACTTGCACTGCTTCTTGTTCGGCGACATCTCGAAGCTCTTCAGCTGCGGTGAACGCGAAACTCATAATATATCGGGCTCCATTATAGAGTAGCTCGATTTCCTGTGGAGTCTCGTTTCCTTCGATTTCATACTGCAATGGCCAAATTGCGAACAAAAAAAATCCAACTATACAAGAATTATTTATTTTTCTATTTTATAACATACCAGTAGTATTAAGAATTCTGAAAAATCACATACCTCGGAGAGTTTCTCGTACCATTCTCGAATCTCTTCTTCACTTGACCCTTCTCGACTTAAAAATTCTTCAAGATGCGTAAAATTAATAGCATTTAGTTGAGACATTCGAGGATTTGAAGTGAACTACGTATTGCCGCCGGGAAATATGCTTTTGACGAAGTCGCGTCGTCAAGGAAACCGCATTGGTGTGTGCGAGGCTTAAGGGTGTAACGAGGGTGTAGACCACCCTAATGATTAATATAAACGAGCATTCAGGTCTTTGTGAAAATATTTGCGATTTAAACATGGGAATTTATCAGTGATTCCTATTGAATATATCTTTAAATATTTCCCGCATAAAAAGTTTAATATTTTTAATATTTTCATTGAAATGCTAAAATAGAATATGATAAACAAATATGATATATTTCCGTTAAAAAATATTTGAATTTTTTCCACATTTATTTTATGAGGCAAAATAGTGAAAAACAGAATTATTCGAGCCGATTCTTTATTGGAATACGGTATTTTAAAGGCACACATATTTATTTTATAATGGTCTTGAAACGAGACAAAAAATCCATTTTTTCAAGTTCCTCTCGTATGGATTATGGGGACGTTAAACGTCTTTCGTTTTCATAGGGAGAAAATTAATTGAATTAAAAAATAGTAATCCAATATTCATTAAATAAAATCAAGGTTTGACGCGTATGGACGTACTTAAATTTAAATTGCGCGGGCTGGTTTTTAAATCTCAACAGTATACTTTAAATTATATGCTTGACACTCCATATACGTTTCTCTACTGCTGTATGTAGTTAATAACAAATGGAAACAATTTCAAAAATTATATATATATTTGGTTTCTATTTCCACAATTTTCGGAAACGGCGCGAAATATTTTCACATAAAAACTGTACAATTCGAAAACAAACATTTCATATGAATTTCGTATAAGAATTGTGAATAAATTCCAATTTTCTGCTATTTCGTAAAAATTGATTTTTCCAAACTTCAATTTTCAATCTAGATTTCGATTCATCTTGGTTTCTAGTCCACAAATCCAGTTTTCACTGTCTCGTGTCGTTTCATTTCTTATCGCAACATCGTTTTTTCCGTTCGCCGTCTTTTCCTCTATATCTAGCTTGAGAAGCTTTGATGCTTTTCGTTTATCCCGTGAACCCACCAGGAAGTTCCAGTAAAAATGACCGATTTTGGATATTCGGCGAGCGAACGCGCGTGGAAGAGACGCAGATGAGCAAACGGTTGGCAAACACACAATTTTTATTATCGTGCAATTCATTCGCAAATTTATTGTTTTTTTTTTCATACCCGCCGACATTCTTGATTTACTCGTTCTCTAGTTTTTCTTAAATTTTAATTTTTTTGCAGCGGTTGGCCTATGGATTGGTAGGTGAAATATATTAATGGTGCCAAACAGCGAACGAGCAGGTAAATTATTAATAAACTATCCAATTAAATATAATTACCTAACCGATTGCTCAGAGTTTATTAAATTGGACACAAGAGCACCTGCACGAAAAATTGTGGCAGAGATTAGCGATAGCGAAGAAGAAGACGACGAGGATTTGGATTTCAGACAAGTTTCCGATTTCCGGCCGACGCTCACTCAAAGGTGCACTTTTGTTTAGAAAAAACTGAATTTGATGTCTAGTTGTGGTAGGTCATAGAATGTTTCGATAACATCTATGTTTCCCGTAAAACCATTCGATTTGTTTTCAATTGTTTTCCAACCTTTTGTTTTATGAACAAAGAATAAGAAATATTGATATTATTTGATTGATAGATAGTTTTTGATTGACAATTATCAAAAAAAAAAATATTGTGTCCAAATTATCAGTTGAACTATTAAAGCAAAATGAGATAATGTCTAAATTAACAGAAATTTTTCAAACGGTAAACTTTCAAAATAAAAAATAAGATCTTAAGTTGAAAATTTCTATCATCTTTTCGTAAAATGTCAAGTTTTTACATAAAACTATGTTGCAAATCAAATTGTATTGATTATTCTATGAAAAAAAAAATGTTTTTTTTTTTTTGTGTCAATTTTAGCCAAAACGAAATTCGAGTAAAGTTTTCAACCGCTTCCTGAAAAAAAAACAAGTTCGTAATCAATTCACTGATAAAATTATTTAGCGTAGCATCGTATCAAAATTTTGACTAAATTTAATATTTTCGAGGTTTTTGCACCCTCAATGAAAAAGCTTATTTCAAAAGAAACTCACATTTTTTTAGAGCTTATAATTCCAAGTATCCATGGAAACCAGCACTATTAACTGTTTTAAGATTGGTGTTTCTCTAGAAAAGTGTGCAAAAATAATCGGGTTTTTTTCAAAATAAATAGTTGTGGACAGTTGAGCCAACAAATCATCAAGCCCTCTTCGCCAAAAATGTCATTATTTCAGGCAAATGGTTTTTCGAATAATTCTCATCGCCCTCTTGTACTATCCACTATCCATTGGCCTCACATTTTATCAAAAATGGTTTATTAAAGTAAGACTATCTAAATTAGCCTTATAATTTGTTTCATATTTCAGACATACAAATTGCCATTGCTTGTTGTTAGTGGTCACTATGTTATCAAATATCTTCTCGCGATTGTCATTCGATTTGTATATGAATGTATTTGGAGTACTAGAATGAGAGTTTCGTTCAGTGATCAACTTAGGTATTTTAGTATTTTCATTCCAGTTTCAATATAAACATTTTCAGATGGTTAGCTCCAATTGGAATCACTGCTTCAATGGATATTGGATTGTCAAACTGGGCTCTTGAATACGTAACCGTTAGCCTTTACACTATGGCCAAATCGTCTTCAATTCTCTTTATTGTCGCCTTTTCTTTGCTGTTAAGGCTCGAAAGGTAGAACATCTTCCGAAAACGCGAATAAATCGAAAATGCTCAATTTCAGATGGCGCGCTTCTTTAGGCCTCGAAGCGGGTCTCATCGCTTGTGGTTTGTTTCTGTTCACATGGAGATCGTCTCAACTTGACGTCAATGGTTTATTCTTGGTCGAACTCGCTGCGGCATGCACCGGAATTCGGTATGAATCACGAATCGTTGATGATTTTCCCATTTAGCGAGATTTCAGGTGGACAGTCTCTCAATTGGTGATGCAAAAGGAGGATTCGGCGGTTCGACATCCACTCGACATGGTTGCTCATGTTCAGCCATGGATGATGATTCCGATTCTTCCGATGGTCTGGGCATTTGAAGGTACGAACTATCACTTCATTTATCAGACTCATTCAATTTTTGATTTTTTTTTCAAGGTGCTGAGATCAATTGGAAATCAGTATTCTCCTACAACGGTCAATATGATCCATGGCTTGTTGTCAGTCTGATTTTTGGCGGAGGATTTCTCGCATTTTGCATGGAACTCAGCGGTAAGCCTAGGCCTAGTTTTACTTTTTTTTCATATTTATTCATAATTTACAGAGTACCTTCTTCTTGTAAATACTTCTGGAATTACCCTAAACATTTTTGGAATTGTCAAGGAAGTTGCAACCCTCCTTCTAGCTCATATTTTAAATAATGACACATTATCAGAGGTAGGCAGTAGATTATTTATTAATAGGCCTATTCGGTGTGATGTAAAATAGCCGAATTGGCATTTTTAGTGTCAAATTTCTCGCGAAAAATAATAGGATTGACAAATTTTGTGAACACTGAATAGATCTATAAAACATTTCTATGCTCTTTTTTTGAATTTTCAGATCAATATTGTTGGTTTGATCCTTTGCCTAATTGGGATGCTAATCCACGGCATGAATAAGCGAAGATATAGGTGAGGAATTGATGTTCCGGGATGTTTGTTTGCATGTTTCTTTTGGTTCTGCAGACCGCTTAACCGAAAGCCCGTCGCTACCGACGACGAATTTGCATTGCTAACCAAATCTGCTTAAGTGTGCATGCATGGGTAGGCGTTTTTTTGGCGTTTTTAGTTTCCCATTTCCTATTTATACATATGTATTGTGGAAATTCCCCTTTATTCTTAGGCCCGTAAATCTACACTTTTAGTTTTGCTTTTTTTGCCATTTAGCCAATTTTACGTATTCGCGCGACGCCAACAACATGTGTTAATTAAAAACTGAATTTGGGTTATTGTTGGTCGGGTTGTTTTGGGTTGAATTATGCGGGGTTTTTAATTCTCGTGATTTTTTTTTATTTTTTCGCATTTCGTAAAATATTCGAATTAGCCAAATTGGAAAAAATTCCATATGAGACCAATCGAAAGGCGCAGGCGTACTGGAGTTTTCAATTTTTGAATTAGATGCGAAATTACCCTGAAACGAAGAAGACGCGAGTAATGGAATGATGGATTGTTGACAATTTTACGAAACGTCACTTTTCGATAAAAAGAGCAACCAAAAAAATTTATTTCCTTTTAAATCTCAAGTCTTGCGCTAAATTTATTCATAAAAATGGAAATTTACCCATTTTTTCATTATAATATAATAGATTTCGGTTTAACATGAAAAAAAGTACAGTATGATTTTTGTACGATGGATATCTGTGGATTCACGTTATCGTGCAATCTATATTGATACAGAAATTTCTTTCGACACCCAAAAAATGTCTCACAATATAGTCGGCGTCCGACGACTGCTGTACGCGGGTAGATTTACGTGAATGCGTTTCTCAAATTGGTCTCGCAAGGACTAACAAGCTATTTCAAATTTTATGGACCAGTTAAATAATTTCTTAATCGAATGACGTTGGAAATTCAAGGAAATGCGAAACTCATCAAGAAAAATGAGGCAGTTCACATAAAAACAGCAAAATAAGCGTTCACGCGTGGCGAGATCTTTTCAAGGCGCATGCGCGTAAATCTACCCGCGTACAGCAGTCGCCGGACGCCGACTATATTTCATTATCATATGCGAACTAAATCATAATTTCAGAAGTCGTTCATCACTGCCATCCTCTTCCAACCGCGAAGACTCACGAAAACTTCTCAACGACGCCGATTCCTAGTCTCAAAACAATAACAAATCAAAATTGTGATAATAATCATTCGCTTCTTGTAGTATTTCCGGGTTATCGCATTTTAAAATAATCAACAAAAAACTGAAACAGTTGAAATAATGATAATAAAACATTTCATTTATCACATTATTACCAATGGGTGTTGATACAAAAGTCTCGAACTTTTCTTTCCGAAAAAAAACAAATGCGTCCGATTGCAAAAAATATGAAGAACATGGTGTGTCGAAACGAAAATAATTATAATAATTGGTAGTGAAGGCACATACAAGTACATACGTCTAAAATCTATCAATGATCATCGGCAAGCTAAAATCCCATTAAAAGCGATGAAACAAGAAGAAAAACGAGGAGTTTCAAAGAATAATTATTTAAAAAATAATATTGAGTCAAATAATTAAAGAAAAGTACGAAAAAAAAACAGAAATGAAAAAGACCCCGCCTGCGTATGTATGTACAACAAAAAAAATCCCCCAAAGCGAAAAAAAATGATGAAAAGCTAATGTATCACAATAGAAGCGCGTGTTTCGTATGGAAATTGAGAAGAGGAATACTTTTCGTGTTTTTTGTTTGGGCATTACAACAATTTCAAATTGGGATTCTTGCAAGTGTCACTTGTTTATGAACAATTGTTGATTGAGTGTCTACCGGTTTCGACTTAACTGTTTCAGAGCGAATTTATCTGAAAATTAATCACAATTTTAGAAAAGCATTCAAAAATGCCATTTTGGTCTCGCATGGATTGACTTTTCAGCATTGCTAAAATTTTAAAAATAAACCAAATTTCGAATGATGCCACGTCGCAAAACATGCGCCTTTAAACGAGTTATAGAAGCATTTGTGTTTTTCTTTTATTTGCAATTTCACCCAGTTGCAATGTACAAATTTTAAAAGTGTAGGCCATATTTGAAGGCGAAATCGCATCAAATTGAATCAATTGGCACAAAAAAACTGTCTTACTTGCTGAACGCCTCGAAAACCGCCCACATCACATCATTGCCCTTCTTCTCTGCTTGCGCATCATAGTCGAGCTCCAATAATGAGCGAACGCGTTTCATGGCAACCTGAACAAAAAAAAATGTATGATGTACAAAAAACAAATAAAACAAACAAAACCTCATAATCTTGATCGTTTAAAGGCGCAAACGCATTCTCCAAGACGTCACTGGCATGCGCCAAAATGATGAGTGACAGCATTCGTTTGTCCAATCGGTGCACGTCATTCGTCCATTTGCCAAGGACTGCTTCTTGAACAGTCTGTAACAATATCAAGGGTTTCTATTGATTTCCTCACTTATTCTCACCTTTATCAATCTAGTTTTCTGATTGCCATCACTAAGCGGATGGGTGGTAATCTCAAAGAGCAAGAAGTTCTGCTTATCAGTCGTCAACACGCCCTTCTCCACCAAATTTTTCGCCAGACGCTCTCTTACGTTTCGCAGCTGATAGCGCAATTTGAGAGGATTCCATGTTTCGCCGGACAGATACTCGATCCAGCTGGTCACCGTTTCCGGCGGATTCGTCTCTTTCATATGTTTTAGTGCTTCGTCAAGAATCACATCGCCAGTGGGCTCACTGCTCTTCACAGTAATCTAAACAAAAAAAAACCGTCGACGGTCAGACAATGGCAAAAAAAATTGCGACCTTTCTATTGAGCAAATTCTTGCGTCGCATTCCGCCGCCTTCCAATTGGATTCGTCCACGAAGAGCAAGTTCGACAAGCACACACCCACGAAGTCCCGATGAAATACAGTCGTTCCAGAAAGACGTGTAACCCTAAAAATTGCTACTTTCAAAAACATAATAATTATAGCGTTTAAAAAACAGGCAATACTGGTTACATACTAAATTAATAGTTATGGAAGATTAAATAAATATATATATATGCATAATTACAGAAAATAAACCGGTTTCTTAATTTTTTTAAACGAAAATTAAAACTAATCGGTTTTCAACGTTTAAAAAAACCAACGTGCACAAAATGAAACGACACATCAGATCTATGTTTCCGTTCGGATATTTTTCAATATTTTAATGATTTGATATAGAAATTTTTTTAAAACCATTCCTCACCTCTCTATCTTTAAGCCCTAAAAGAAGAATCTGTTCCATAAGTGTCAAACGAGTTCCCTTGTCATTTTCCTCCTGAAATACCCAAATTTCAATGTAAAATCCCGTCTCATTTTTGTTTCCGAAAAACCTGATCGGATGAATTCGCTGAATCGCCACTTCCATCATCATTCTTTTCAGCGGGCGTCTATAATGTATTTCCATTAAAAAATATATAATAAACTGCGAATATCGGCATGTGTGCATGCCAACCAACCAACCAACCTCATCGACTTTTCTGCGTCTTTGCACAAGACCTTCGGACATTATACGATTGTTCGGGTGGTCTCGACGCGCTTTGTTCTCGATTCTGTGTGTTGAGCGTTCAGAATCCTTCCAAAAACAACTGATAGAACGTCTGAAAATGCTACAAAGTTTCGATGGAAGCCAACAAAAGAAACGCGGGAAAGAAGAAAACGACACGACGCTAAAATATTCGCATAAATAAACACTTTTCCCATTGTTTATAGGACGGTTCTTCTTTATTTTCAAAAAATTTAAAGACGAATATTCGCAGAGGCTTCACTATGAGACCCAACATTGCCCTTTCCTAATTACCGGTAGCTTAATGATGAATCAGCTTCATCCACTCGAAAAAATCTCCACAGAGATGTTTATCTGAACTGGAAAACGGATGGAACGTCTATAAGGCTGAAGCTGTGCGATTCGGATCGCATAAGATCAGACGGATCGATAACGAAAATATTTCGAATCGCCGTCACTCATTCATTTTGTTAGTTCAATTGACCGTAGAAGGGGATCGACAAAAACAAAACGAAAAAAAACGTAACTTTTTTTTTGATCGATTCGCTGAAAATCCCAACTAATCCGATGCGATTTTTGCCAACAACTCCCAACGTTGTAAAACATTTCGTATTTGTACAGCTTGCGGTTCGAAATTTTGCGGAAAACGGCAAAAAAATTGAAAACGAGCGAGACGTTATTACTAAGCGTCAGTGTTTGAGTAAATTATTACTATTATTATGAGAAGGAAGACAGCGGCAGCGAAACGCTCGATTTTATGACGTATCGCCAGACGTTTATACTGGTACGGTGGGTATGTGTGGCGATCGCACATATCATTTTATGGATGGTAAACACAAAATGGTATATTAAAGTCAAAGAAAGAAAAAAACGAAAACGGAAAAACGATTTAAAAATATGTGATAAGTAAGGATTCGGACTTCGAATAGGTTCTGAAGTTGGGTTGGCGATCAATTTCGCCCATAATTTATAATTTTTATTAAGAAAGACGCAATTAAAAATGGAAATTTTCTTTTCCATCTCCAATTTTCGACGGTAAAGACCAAAATCAAAAAGTTTAACTTTTTTTGTTGAAAAAAAACGCATTAATTTTGAAGCAATTATTTTTTTACATATCAATTTCCATTTAATTTAAAAATATTATTCTAACCTAATTTCCATTTATAAACATATTCAATTTCAAATAATTCGAATCTGCTCAGATTTTTAAAATGATTTCGTAATATACTTTGATTATACAAACTGTGTGATTTTAATTGGAAATATACGCTTTCATCGGCGAATTTGAACAAATAATAGCAAATTAAATATATAAATTTGATTATAATCACGCGATATTTCAAAGAAACCTACTTTGCGAAATATATTAAACGAATGTGTTATGGAATGTATTGAAATCTAATCGATGCTAATCGTTCATTTCGAGATCGGAGTTAATGAAAAGCAGGTGCGAATCGGAAAAGGCAAAAGACATTGCGGAGAATCGGCGCCTCATGTTCGCACAGTCCTGCGCCTGCAAGATGTCCACAAATCGAGAGGATGTCGACGACGAAACGTTTCGGAGCGAAATAGCGAGACGGCGATACGAGAAGCGAATCGGCGAGACGGACGAGCCGGAGGCGGTCGAACACACACACACACACACATTGAACAATTGACACGCATTTTCCACGGGGACCGCGACGCGGCTGCACGCGTATGTCGGAATGCGAGAGAAATAATACATATATTATTATATATGATTTGGTTTTGATTTGAATGAGCTTATATTCAACAAGCAAACAAATATGATATTTAAATTTTAAAAAATGTTGAAAAATATCGATATAAAACTCACAAATGCTACCAAAAAATTGCGAAGAGAATTTTAAGAAAAACTACTTTTCGAAAATTCATTTCAAAAAGAAAATGTTAGTTTTGACATTGGATTCCCCACAAAAACGGATTGAAATGCGTTTTTGTATAGTTTTAAACTAAAAATAGGATTCCTCTATAAACCAATGGTAAATCAAAAAACTAATTTTAAAAATAGTTTAGATTCAAAACAACTAAACTTTTATTTTGAATAGCAAGATCTTCCTTTCTTCAAGGTATGAAATATTTAATTCCTACTCAAGAGCAAGTTAAGCTAAAGGACAATTGTCGCAGAGATTATTTGGATTATCAAAAATATTGAATATTTTAAATAGGCTTAAAACAACAACAAGGATTCAATGAAAAAGTTTCAACCGACGAAAAAAAATCCGAAGTCGGTCAGGAAAAAATAGACTATGCGGTCACGATAGGAAAAACTGTGCGGTAGGTGCGCATTTTAGGTCACGCCCATCTTAAGACTAGCAAGCGCGCTCCATCGAAATATTTGTTTGAAAATATTTTTTAAAGAATTTCAGCGTCATAACGATAAAGCATGCAAGAAAATGAAAATAGTGAATGTAATGAATGTATTTAGATGAAAGCTCGCGAGATATTGGATCGCAAACGAAAAAAACTCACGTACTTTAGCTCTTGTAACTACAACAATTGTCAATGTCAAGGTTTTCGACCGTTTCCAAGCAAAAGAGCCGCTTCAAAGCTGGTGGTAATTTAAAAATGATCGTCACGTCCTGTACAAATTAATGGCATTTTAGGATAAAAAGGGAAATAATGACGCGGAAGAGTCATCATTGGAATATAATCTCGAATGCATTGTGTACGCAGATTCAAATGAATGCAAAGCGTGTGGACATGCGATCAATAATCATGCGGAGAAGATTCAGATGCTCACTGATGACGAAGTCATGTCATTCATCAAAAGGGTTCGAGATTTGTGCAAATGCTGCTCGAAAGTTGATGAAATCTCGTCAGAGGATGAAGAAAGCCTTCAAGTGAGACTTCTGTCGCCGAAAACCATCGATTTTAAGATTTATTTTAGATTCTTTACATTACGATACAATTGCTATTAAAATCGTTAAGAAATCTCACACCAATGGATCCACCATCTTTCGGAAAGCCGCATTTTGAAGCAGAAACGATGAACCCTCATCAAATTGTACAAAATTTCATAAATAGCAAGTATCGCGATTATAATGTAGAGAAACATAAGGCCTATGATATTGCGAATATGTTTCTGTCTGAAATGAATTATTGGGTTCTTCCGCCGTTCAACGAAATGTCCAAATATGGTATGCTTAAAAATCGATGAGATTCTAAAAATAATTTTTTTTTTTCAGTCGAAGAACGTCTCGAATTCGGCCGGTACCGAATATTGCATGCTCGTATTGAATACTACGTAATTATGCCAGAAACATATAAATCACTTCGTCAGTATCAACTGGTTGAGATTTTTGGAGAATCGACGATGCTGCTTTTTCTGAGCTATTTTATAAACGCGACTTCGAAGAATGTCTATAAGCCGAATTGTCTTAGCTCGAAGAAATTCGAAGAAAACAAAGCGACGTTGTTGAAATTCGCTCGAGAGCTCTCGAGTTTTTTGCACAACGGCGAGAACAGCGAGGATTTGTTGAATATCAGCGGAACGTCTTCGAACTATTCACGACGGGACTCGTTTGAACGCGATAAAGACAGTGTTCTCAAGTACCAAAAACGACCGAGAAAAGAGATTTCGGAGGATGATGATGACGACGACGAGCAGGGAAGCAGCTCTAGAAAATCGTCGATTGATGAACCCGAAGAGGTGCATTTGCCGAGGAGGAAGAAGCGCGAAACGACGCAACGAACACCAGAACAAGACAATGAAGCTGAATTGGCGGTGAATCAAGTGAAGGCTATCATCAAACTTGCCAAAATGGTATGTATTGTCGTGGACGGACGAATTTGAAAAATTGAATTGCACAGACTGCCATCTAATTGGTCCCGAAAAACAAAAACGATCCAGCACTTTTGCTAATAACCAAAGTACTTAAAATTCATTTTTAAAAAATTCTCTTTAAAAGTTTTTCTATACGAGACCCAAGGCGAAAATTCAAACAATAATGCAATTGCACTCTAAATTCGTCCGTCGTCGACTATATTAATTGTTTGCCTATTATGGACACACAAATTTCAGGAAAGGGATGAGAAGAAAAAAATGGATTTGGATGGCAGGATTCCGACGAAGAATGACACAGATTTGGTGAACATTGAGGTGAATCGAGGTCTCGCCGCGATGCAAGAAGAAAAGGACGGAATGATTGAATTCCGGGTGATCGGCAACAATCTCGATCCGTTTCAAGATCGCGAGAAGCTTGCTCAGCTCGTCCAGCTCCAAACATTGTTCAGTGTGCAGCTGCCGAAAATGCCCAAGGAATATATTACGAGATTGGTTTTTGATGATCGCCACAAAAATATGGTTATTATTAAGAGAGGTAATTTCTGGATGTAAAATTGATTAGTACACTGAAATTCAATTATTTTTTCAGGAAAAGGAGTTATCGGCGGAATTTGCTTCCGACAATTCCCATCGCGCGGATTTGTCGAGATTGTGTTCTGTGCGATTACGGCGAACGAGCAGGTATTTCGTTTTTTTTTACCCTGAGAAGTTTGAAAATCACCGATTTGCAGGTGAAAGGGTACGGTACACATCTGATGAACCATTGCAAAGACTACCAGATCAAGAGCAAAATTTTGCATGTTCTCACATTTGCTGATGAATTTGCTATTGGGTATTTCAAGAAGCAGGGATTCTCGACGAGAATTGAAATTTCGAAGAAGCATTATCAAGGATTCATCAAAGAATACGAAGGAGCAGCTTTAATGGGCTGCCAACTTCATCCGCAGTATGATTTTATACAAGATATTTCGATTCGAAATAATTTCGAATTGGATTAATTTCAGAATTAGTTATACAAATTTTGCGTCGTATTCGATGAATGTTCGCAATATTCACAAAGCATATTATGAGACGACTGGTGATTCGAATAATGGACGCAAATTTGGAGGGCTTGAACACTCGTTTAAGAATCGTAAGCATCATTTATGACATCATTTTGGTGAATATTATTTTCAGATGGCACACCATTACCTTTAAAATATATTCCGGGTTGTGAGAAGCTTCATGGCAAACGACAATACGATTTAGAAGAAGCCGATGAGGTTCTCGAAGTGAAAATCGAAAAAATTCTCAAGAAGCTCAAAGATGACAAAGAGAATTCACATATGTTCTTAGAGCCGGTGGTTGCCAGCGAAGTGCCCCAGTATTATGATTATATCGAGCATCCGATTGATTTGAGAACAATGAGTGAGAGGCTTAAAAAGAAATATTACACACATGTGAGTTTCATCCTAATGGAAATCCTTTCTTAACCAATTTCTATTTCAGCAGCATTTGTTCATTGCTGATGTTATGAGGCTTTTTCGAAATTGTTACTCCTTCAATGGCTCTGAGACACCGTACTACAAATGGGGGTAACCATTCTGATATTCATCAACCACAAATTTCGATTTTATTCCAGATATCAACTCAACGAATTGGCTTTGAAATTGTTGAAGTCCAACTTCCCTGACAGCCCAATGTTCCCTGAACTTCCTGCACAAAAACCGACTTGTACATCATTTTGATCTCACACTTTCATAATTTGTATTTATATATGTATAATAAAAAACATAATTGGGAGACCGGTATGTACACGAAACAAAAACAGTTCATGGAACCTAGTGATCACATCTAAACAGCTATCATATGGCACAGATTGCAGGTTTTGGCGCAATCGCGGACCATTGTAGCAACGGAATCTCTGAAATGAAACGAACAGGATCTTGAATCGAGTGGTGTCAATATACTTGCAAAGAGCAGGATTAGATTGAATCCAGAACGAGCATCCTGAGAGTTTATCCACGCATCGCTCCTGTCGGATGCGGTTGAGCTCGGTTTCTTGATCTGCAAATTAGGGGGAGTTACTCAAAAAGAAATCAGATGTGAGAATGAGAGGAAAGATTTGTTGGAGAGATTCTTTTAAAAAAACGAGTTGGGTGTTCATTATTTTTTGAAATTAAAAACGAATTCCACAAAATCGTGGAGGTCGTCTAGACTTTCAGCAGAAACGTTATAGAAATTGCTGCAAGTCTTCACAAACTCCGCACAAATTGTCAAAAACCTTATTTTTTGAAATCTAAAAATAGTAATTTCAGTTTTTATTAATAATGGAATTGAAAAAAGAAAGCAAATTCGTTTCTTTTTTCATTGAGAATTTGAAACAATCCATAATTTTCTCAGTCTGTTTTTTTTTTCAATATTAGTATGAAATGTTTTGGGCTCAACCATGTTAGTGAGCAACATTGAGAACGCACGGTTTGTTTCTGAATCTTCTCGGCGTTATTCTAATCGAATGCCTCCCCATTTTGTTGGTCCTGGCGCGTTCTACACCCAAATCTATTCCGTTAGAAACCGAATTTTGTTTAAAAAAAAATTATAGCATAATTGTTTTTTTTTCTAATGATCTTTCTTACTTTTGGCATTTCTCCATTGATTCATGACCTCGTCAAGAACAACAGAAACTCCGGCCCACGTTTCTTTGGCGGTTGGAATGAGTTGATTTTTGTCAAGAACGAAGCCATTCCAATCTAGTTGATTCAAAATTAAATAATTTTTATAATTAGTGCTGATTACCTTCATAATTTGGGCGCAACTCGATTGTGTATGAGTATTTGACCTTAAGCGTCTCCTTTGCCCAATCAGTAGAACCACCGGAGAACGCATCTGAATGTTACGAATTGCAAGTGAATCGTCAAATTTCGGAATTACATATGATTTCTGGACCTGTTCCATGACGGTATTTCGTTCCGTACATTCGGCCGAGTTCAGCGACAGCCTTGGCAGCGACGCGTCTCTGAAACCAATTTGATCAATTTTAATTGATCATTCCTTTTCGCAGAATTCCAAACGATCATTACGGAACTTTTTCGAATGTTTTCGATTCTTTGAATCTCCGTTGAATCGGTTTGTGTAAAAACTAGGCATCGATTAAACTGATACTATTTGAAAGGCGATGAAAATTTCGAGGTGAAACTGAATTTCTTTTTGATTTCAAATTGCCAACAAAAATTTGTGAAACATTTTTCTAGAAATCAAAACACATTTTTGGTTTTCAAACTACTTTTCCTTTCACTTGAAAGTTCTTTTAGGATCGATGCTATCAAATAAAAGTTGTACGACGTATTTCTAATAAAGAAATCAGTACAGAGAATTCTGAAACATCAGAGAACACTTTACAATTGTGGTGAAAGTCAATGATGAATAAGCATCTGCGGACAAAACCCACCGTTTCATCAATATCAGGGGCATACGTGAACCTTCTGTGCGAATAACTGTAGATCCATAACTGGGAGTATGAGTGAAGGGTGATGTAGGCTTCGAGTCTTCCCTTCAACGATGTTAGAAAAATCGAGTAGGCTCTAAATCATTCACGATTCCCTTTTTCTGGATTGATTCAAGTTTTACTTGGTCTCCGGCTCGCTGAACGCCGAACTGCCATGATAGATCTCGGAGCACGGATAACGCGAGGAGCCGATCTCGGCAAACCGGAAGTCGAAGTTGCGATTCAGATCGACGCCCATGCAGCACGAATTGCGTGAGCCGTCGAACGCGCATTGTCTCGGCGATCGCGATTTTCGCCACATTCTAGCGCGCGGATTCGTACGCTCCGTTCGCGTATACTCGTATCCATCCGGATTCAGAACCGGGAAAATGTAGATCACAAGGCTGTCGAGATAGGCGCGCACTTGCGGATCTGTGTCTCGCGTGTTGACCAGGAGATTGATGAAGTAGGAAGCGGTGTGAATCGCCGCCCACTCACGCGCGTGGATGCCAGCGTCGATGACGACGATCTTCTTGTCAGGCGTGTCGCGTCCGAATTTCAGACCCTGGATTTTGCGGCCCTCGATGGTTGTTCCGATGGTGACGAGCTCGGTGTCAGGCATGTTCTCCGAAATTCGTTCAAGCCAAGTCTGGATAACTGAATACGAGTAATATTCGCCCATTCTGAAATATGTTTGTTTGTCGCTGGCTTCTAAAGGTCATCTGAATGCAACGTGATAGTGCTGATGGACTACATTCAACAATTGCACTTAGCACATCAAAAGAACCGGAAGTACCTGAGCCTCGAATGAAATCCGCCGCCAACATCATCATTAAGCCTTCTCATCATGAATGATCCATCATCTCCCTCGTGTGCCTCAATACTTCCCTCCTTCTCAATCAGAAGCTTCCGAAGATCTTCAATAGCAATCTCATAAGTGAATGCGTGTTTCTCCAAGAACTCAGCAAATTGTTTAGTGTATCGCGGCGAGACCATTATATCTACCGTACCATTCAACGCGCTAGGAGCATGCCAGAAATCGGCCATCTGAACAGGACTCAATGTGGAGATTAGATTAAAATTAAAGTAAACTTCAGTGTCAGCCGTCTCAAACAGTCGAATGAGCTGGAGGAGCTGAGAGTTGGTCGAAGGCAGAACCCGGAAAACTTGATAGGCTCCGTCATCATCATTGGATTCTACTAGGGAAACGGCTAGAATGGCTAATGTAAAAACCCGTAAAATCATCTGTATATTGATTGGGCTTTTCAATTAGTTGTTGGTGAGACGAATCGAATAAAAAATGGCTTCGAGATTGATTACATCAAAAAGCCAGTGGCAAAAAGTTTTTGTTATACACACACACACACACCCGATTTCACCTTGAAAATCGAAGCGGTCGTCGTGTGTTGAGGCGAGTACGAACAAGAAAACGAATTGGGGCAGGAAGGAAGCGGTGGTAGTGATGATGGAGAGAAACGATGGCATGACGACAAGTTTTTTTTTGTACGATGAGATGATTCAAGCCGAAACAATCTTAAAAGGCTTCCGAAACGAACTTGACCTTTTCGGGTCGATCTGAAAAATAATTGATAGTGTGATGGTGTTCGCCGAATTTCGTGGTGGACCTTTTAAAAATTACCAAGAAATAAGGACTGCGCATATCCTGGAATGATTTTCTGAAAATAATTTAAGGCTAAAAATTGTGAGTTTCTTGAAATTGGAGCCAGGACATTTTTACTATTATTTATTCCAAGAGAAGTCACAAGTTATTTGGAATTTTGAATTATTTTAAGAATTCCAGCAAAATTATCCTGTTTGAGCGATAGTAAATTATATTTCTTTTTATATAGTTTTCCCCTTTTTTCTTCCATTCAACCCTTCTGAGTTCAATTGAGAAAGTGTTTAAATTCGATTTGAAAGCTCGGTTTTTTTTTCATTCAAAAATCTTCGAAATTGATTGATTTATTCCTCATTTTCAATTTTTAAATCGTATTCGAGATTTATATTTTGAAATACTTCGTAACATATTAATTTTTGTCAATTTCGATTGAAAGCGAAATTGCTTTCAAACCCGATTGATTTTCATTTACTACAGCGTTTTTTTTTCTTCAACATTACAGTACTAAATTCTGCAATTGTTCGTGCTGATGTTTGAACTATTTTTGGTTTCCTTTGCAGTTTTCTGTGTTTCTTCCGGTTTTGTTGTTTCATAGTAACATTTTATCAGATTTTCCTTTGCAATCGATCTCGGCGTGAGCAATTTGTTACGGTTTTCGACACCAAGGTTGTTGCGAAACTGGTTCTGCGAAAATCGGCTAACGCGGAAGCAACTGTTCAATGATGTACAACTTGCCATTTCCGAACCCACAAAATCCATCACAAAATCGCCTAGACGTGCGATGGATGGCGGGTTGTAACCTTTTCTCCCATTTTGTAAAGTAATAGTGATAAAAGAAACCAGTTTTTTGGTGGGCTTTATGTGATTCAAGAAAAGTGTTCGTTCCATCTGAAACCAACGATCGTAGACATATTGTGAAACGAATAATGTCATTGTCTCGATAGCAATTAAATATCTCCCGTAGAAACTGTACAGCGAAGACAGGGGACTCGAAGAGACGAGAGAGGCCAAGTAATGTCTGAGTGGCGCAAATGTGCTCCACCGAAACGGCGTCTGCGTACATCAACGCCTGCATCATTTTCGGAAATTATTATTATTTTAATTCAAGATATTCTGAAAAATTTAGAAAATTGCCGTTTTCAGGGCCATGCGGGACGAGGAGAAACATGACCGAAAATCCATGGTCGGAGTACCACCCTCAGCAAGGAAGCCAAGTATAGACAGTCTTTGAATTTTCCTATGTTTCATTTCATTTTTAGGATCTTCTGGAGCAGCACAGGCGAGTGCAACTCCAACGCGAACCTCAACACGCGCCGTGAAACGAGTCAAACGCGACGAACCGCTCGATGAGGAAGATGGAAGTGACGTCGAAAAACCCGAAAGCGATTCTCCCGACGATGATTCGGATGTCGAAGAGCCGCAGTCTAGTAGAAAGACGTCGCGCAAGCGAAAGCGTGTGCCTCTTACTGATTATCATCTGAAGAAAAAGAAGATTTTGGCGAGGAAAGCGCAGCGAGAAGCTGAGAAGGCTCGGAAAGCGGAAGAAGCCGAAGAGAAGACCCCAGAGCCGGAAATTCCTCCACCGCCAGTTCGAAAGCCGCCGGCATTGTCGAGCTATACGCCACTTCAACTTCTTTTGGATCACATGCTTCGAAGAATTGTTGCCAAAGACCCCGAAGAGTATTTTGCGTATCCAGTAACTGCCGAGGTGGCGCCTGATTATTATACGATCATCAAAGATCCAATGGACTTCCAAACAATGCGGTAATTTCTTGGAAGTAATTAATATCAATAAGTATTTAATTCAGGGAGAAAATTGAGGATAACAAGTATAATTCTGTACCAGAGTTACGTGCCGATTTTGAACTCATCGTTTCCAATGCATGTCTTTATAATCAATCGAACACGGTAAGAATTTTATTCAACATTTTTCTTTAAAGGGCGATTTAAAAAAAATATCATTTTTAATGTGAAAATTTGCCTATTTTTCCTTTTTTTTTCCCATTGGCGCAAAAATAAATAAAATTTTATGAAATTGGTTCCACGTGCATTCCTGTATTTAAGAAAATTTTAAAGAAAAGAAAATCAATTTCAATGCTACGATAATATTTTCTTCAAGGAATAGTATTGTTTTTCTTTTTTGGAAAAACTCACTTTTTGTTTTCTATAAAGTGCTGCTATTTTCGCTACTTTCAAAATAACTAAAATATTAAAAAAAAACTGCTTTTAAACATAACATGTGTAGTTTTTTTAAAAACAAAAACTGATATAATTGTGGAAAAAAATGAATGAATGTGTAAAAATTGGCGGCTGTTGCTATAGCTTTCTATGAATATCTCGCAACACAATATTTAAAAAAAAATCGAAGTGCTAGATAGACGGCAAACATTTTACACATTGCAACTAGCTGTCGCGTTTAGATCGTCCATCAATTTTTCTCTTCGAGAACGCTGCAAAGGAACTGTTTGTTTTAGGTTTTCCATCTCGCCGCTCTTCGATTATCATCTCTCATCAACTACTACTTTAGCGAACAATACCTGCGCTACGTATTTCATTCATTGCCATTTACTAATCAAGTATGTTTAATGTGAATTGATATTCGAAAACAATACAATATGTATATTCTAGATTCCGTTGGATAAAGTTGGACTAACCCCATTGCATCCGGTAACGAATCGGCCAGAAAACCGGCGACGCGCTGCCCTTGTCGACGATATGACTGCTGACGATTGCATGGAGAACGCCGGCGAATCGATTCGCGATCGATTGACGAATCGCAAGACGAAGGCGAAACTCGCGTTTCTTGATGAGAAGGATGGCACGATGGTGCTGAAAGTGCTCGGCGATCCGAATGCGACGAATCTTGAGAAGCGCGTAACGATTGGCGATATTGTCGGACCACTCGAGGAAGGAAATCCGGGGCTGATACAGCTTGGCGAGCATCGCCTTCACTCGCAGACGCCGGTCACTTATCTCAACTATGGGCCGTTCTCGTCGTTTGCTCCACAATATGATTCGACATGGGCGACGATGACTAAAGAAGACACGGATCTTTTGTTGAGAACTTATGGAGATCGCTCAAATGCTGCCAATGTGCTGTCGATCCGTAGATTTGTTGAAAACGCCGGAGATGATATGATTAATGTAAGGCATTCAATGTTTGTTCTTTTTTGAGCTTAATCGCTTTCAGGTTGTCGATAATCTTCTCGATACTTTAACTGATGGCGAACATCGTAGAGCTTTGAAGACGTTCAGTGAAGGCATCAAGTCGGAGGAATTGCAGAAAATTCAAGAATATGTACAAAAAGAGAAAGCTGGGGTAATTTGTGGAAGAAACCCGAATCATGTTAAATTTTTGTTTGCAGGACCCATCGATGGATCAACTTCTCGACGATGTTGCGACTCTTGCAAATCTCGGAATCGACGTTGGATTCATCAACGAGTTCCGACATGAGCCGACATCGCCGTACAAAGAAGCTCCGATGCAACATCTCAACATTCAACAGCAACTCAACCATACAGGACAGGCGATTCAGGACTTGGCGCACTTGCAACACCAACGACTCCAACAACAACCACCGGCGTCTCTTATCACCGTTGCGGAGCCGGGACCAATCGAGCAGAAGCTCGCCGAGCAAGTTCAGCAACAATTGGTTCATCAAGTCGTTCAGCACAATGTGGCGCCGACCACTTTTGTTTCGTCGAGCGTTCTTCAAGATGCCATGGGCATCGATATGGATGATGGCGACTTGTTCAGCGAGTTCTTCGTCACGCAATAATATTGCTTTAATGATTACATTCTTTTTTCAAATATGTTTAAAATTACTCATATTTCCTTCTATATTGGTCTCATTTAAATAATTTGTATTATGGTCCCTTTAAAGAATAACTTATTTATTTCTTGATTAATATAATAAATTGCCTAATTATTTTTCTTATCTGCAACTACGCTAGTCGAAGGGTCATCTGAAAGAATAATTTATAGTGAAAAGAAATGAAAATGAAATCTAGCGTCTATTTCGACTAGAATTGAAGCCATGCACGTACCTACGGGCACCTCATCTATACTAAGGGTCTCGTCGCGATTTCGTAATAGCCAACGTCGCTGAAGTGGACGGAGCAATAATGGGACCAATACAACGATGGCTCCGCAGATTGCATTGTAGATCAATCGGCCAAAAGCATCGCCGGTGTACTTTTGGAACGTCTCAGTCCAGGTTCGAGGACGATCTAATGTTCTCATATAAGCTTCGTGTTTTTCCCTGAATAAAAAAATGGTTTTTACAGAAAACGAAATATATTCGCAGTTTACAATAGCTTCTCGTGGTCCTTTTTCGTCGCGAGTAGCTCTTTTTCGATATCTGCTATTCGAGACTTGTAATCAATTTCATTCTGAATCATTTACGACTATCTGATTCATAGATCGTTTACCTCATCCTGCTTCTTCGTGTTTTCTTGTTTCATTGCTTCCGCGGCTTTCAGTAGAAGCTCTTCTTGTTTTTTGAGATCAATCAAATTGCTCATAAACTTCTCTTCAAGCTCTTTCCTTAAACCATCGAATATTATAAAGTCGTAAAAAGACAAGATGCGTACCTTCTATGATGATCTTTTTCAAATTTTACATCTGGTTTACAGCACTCCGACAGCACCCCAAATATACTGAAAACGAGACATGCTCAGAGAGAGTTTTACTATTTGGAATACCTTAAAATTACGAAAAGCTGAAACGGCGGGTGCATCGAATTGGGCGGCAAGTGAAAAGACGGCGAATTTCGCGAAGAAAATCAGTAAACGAAGAGACGCGCGACACGGCAGACATTCCTGTTTTTGTACGATCTCGCATATCTCGACATGACATCGCGTCAAAACATTTATACTTATATACTACAACCCAAAAAAAAAAGGTTAACATGCTTATTGTGGACGAAATCGAAAACAAATAGAAAATGAACAAAGAGAATTAGTGAAAATCGCAATTATGACGCGTAATATTCGAATATCATGGAAATCTATTAAAAACTGTCAACATGAATCACAATCATTTGTGGTCATTTAAGTTCCATCTGCAGCTAGAAAATATGTTCCAAATCTCAAAACTTTGCGTTTGTTTTATTAAACACCTACTAATTCAATAAATGAGTTATACACGAATAATGTAGAAAATAAGATAATAAAATAATCAGTGTGTGCTTCCGTATAGGAAATTACTGGGAGCAGATTATCGGCATCGCGCGATTGCGCAAAATTGGCTAAACGCCAAAAAATAATTACAGTGGTCTTGGCACAAAACTTAAAGTGTAGATTTACGGGCCTATGTATAAGGATAGGTTAAAGAAGCACACCGTGCATCGAGACCTCTTTTTAAATAGACAATACACTGATTACAATCGCAAGAAAACGAGCACCCATTGTAGAATTACGGTGAGTTCGATTCCCAGGTTATCCGTAGTACGGTACCCGGATACTCACTGTTTAAATTCAAGTTTGAATTACCGCCTGGAAAATAGACTTTTCTGCGATGGTAATTGTATACAACATAATACTATGACAGCCAAATGATACCATCAAATTTGTAATTATTAATTTGAAAAACATTAAAAACGAAAGAAACTCAGTCAATATAGGTAATTAGTCCTTCCTTTCGCAACGTTCGTAATACATCAGTTCCCATATGCGAATCGATGAAGAACTTGACCATGAGCAGATTTTCCTCGTCATGCCCTCTAATCTAAAATTGCAGAAATTACGATTTTCGGTTGAAATCTCAAGATGAAAACCCAATCTAATGGCTTGAAAGTGAACTTCTTTCCCGGTGCTTGAAGAGTTTTCACATAATTATCATGGAACTGTTCAAACTCCTGCAAAAAAAAAACACAAAAAAAATATTTTTTTTGAGTAGTTTTACATCGTCGATAACTTCAAACAGCTCCAATCTGAGTTTGACAGCCAAACAGGGAATGCTCGTGAATTTCTCCGGAATCGGAATAATCTTATCCGGATCATACCCTCGAAGTTCGCCAAAATCAATGAGTCTGACAACAACGAGTGTGTCGCAATTGTCAATTTTCACGACAACCGCACGACGATACGATGGGAAACTTTCATCGCCGATGGTCACTGGAACCAGACACGCGTGCCCAATTTTCCAAACACTGAATGGGAAACGCTCAACCCGAGTTCGGCAGAAATTAGAGCAGTAGGATCTAAAAAAAAATCAAATTTTTGGGTTTTCGCGAAGCTTTCCAATACATACTTAATTGCCGAATGCATTTCGGAAAATGTGTCTAGATCTGACTTAAGGCGAACATAGAATGGAAGCGCCAATTCCGTGATTTTGGTTACCCTGCTTACCTAAACAAACAACTCATAATTTGAAAATGATAAATTTGAAAAATACCTCAAAAGCTGTATCAGGAAGACCAAAGTTTTTCCTAGTCAACCGATGGCAAGTTGGCTCAGAATACATCAAAGGACGGTCAGGAACCTCGATGCTAGCCGGATTAACTACAATTCCATGATAATCGCCTTTTTTTCGGAAAATTATTGCATTCTCCACTAAAATAGCACAATTTAATTGAATTAATCCTTCAAAGCAAAAATCTCACAGTTTTTTAGACTTGACAATTCAAATTTTCTGCTATCACAAACTACTGTAGCTACAATCTCGATTAAGTGAGGTGTAGGCGGCACTCGAATAATTCGCAATAAATCTTGCATTGCAATACGATCTGCGATATGCACATCGAGCTCCTTTTTCACCACTTGGTAAATTTCATCATTCTGGAAATCGTGATCAGCGGATCGCGACGTTTCCGGTGGCGGCGATACGGAACGCTTTCTGACCAGCGAAATCATTTCCTTCAGAATATGATACAATGAAGACGGGTGACATGATAACTACTCAAATATACCTTGTTGTAATCAACATCGAAACTTGGGCATTTTTCCTCGATTCGTTTGAAGAACATCAAAATATCTTTTTGATGTTTAGGCATCTTCGAAAACGTTTTCGACAATAATTTGATGATTTCATCAAAGTACATGGGACCTCCGCTGTGGCCCGAGAGGATCGCATTCACCTCACGTGCCAGATTTCCCGCCGTTGTTCGCTGTTTCGGCGGCTCCGCTGGCATCGCGCCAAATCGTTTAGATAACTAAAGTCAATTGAATAAAACCACAAGTTCATATTCTCAATGATTACGGAATCAGCAGAATCATCTGTCATCGTGGTATTGCATGACGATACTGTAAGCGGCTCGTCGTCATATTGTACAACGTTTTCACGTTTTACATGTGCCTAAAAATTACAAATAAAAATATGTTGTGCCTTGCTGAGATCAGTTTGTGAGACAGATGCTTTAAGAATGTATAATCGTTAACGAACAATTTTTTTCGGTGCCATTTATTTATCATTTGGAGGACATCTGGTAATCTTGAAAATAATAAATTCTTATCAAATAAAAATATATTTGGCACTGAGAAACGTTGCGAATAACGGGATGTGATTTTATTCCTTTTCGGGGACCAACTAAAATGACAAACCACAAATTTCAAATTTTTCAAATTCGTTCGTCCACAACAATACAAAAAAGCATTATTAGGTCACGCTTATTGGTTCGTACATTTACAACAACTTTTTAAACTCACAGTTTCACGATATGAACCACGATATGACGAATTTTCCGGTGAAACGTCACGGTAAGATGAGCTTCTTGGTCTCACGTCATTCCATTGCACATATTCGCTTCGTCGCTCCTCTTCCCGTCTTCGATCTTCTTCCCTTAGACGCTCCTCTTCCCTTCTACGATCATCCTCATAACGCGAGGAGCTTTCATATTCATCATAATCTCGTCTAGTCCGATGAAATCGGTATCGATCATCATCCCGTTCATACATTCTTGGTGAATTTCTTGGGTCATTATTATCGAAAGAATCATTCGATTCATTAAGACGTCTTCTTATTTCCGACTCATCGTCACGTCGGATATCTCGCGAATAAGAAGACTCGTCGTCGTTCCGAGAACTATTGTCCTTATTAGAACTTTTCCAAAACGGCCGATTTACCACATCAAATGGGAATCCCGAAGGATTAGGTTTTACCGATGAAAAGGCGGATCCAAACTTACCGCCCCCTGCAAAAATAAAATATATGTAGTTGAAGTGTGCACCGAAGAAAAATAAATCACTAACTTCCTCTGATGTACTGCGATCGAAAATTCGCTGGATTCTCCCCATATCCATTTGAAAATGAGGATCTATTATAACCCTGCTGTTGATTAACACGAGGAATAGACTGCAAGACTCGTCCGCGAGAAATTCCTTAAATTTTCCAAATTTGAAAATCGTAAAACTAAATATTTTAGCATACTGGCGTGGGGCCGACGCTGACGTTTTTTCGATTGTTGCATATCTCTCAGCTGCTCATCCATAACCTCGTCCCGTTTCACAGCCCAAAAACCGCCCTAACACCCAAAAATCATAGCAAGCCTTTATTATTATTATTTTACCTTTCGGACAAATTTATTTGGAAAACATTCTAGAAAGCTCTCGACTGAGCTTTTTCCGAATTCACTTACAGCACTTTCCAGATTTTTACCGGTTAGTTCTCTGCAAAATCACAAATACATTCGCATTTCGCAATGAAGCTCACGTAAATTCCTTTTTAAGAGAATTCATTGACATTCCCTGTAGTTGGGAATTGGCGAAAATAACGCCATAAATATTGCTAACGAGTTTGTCTCGTGGATCCGCAGACATCTTTGAGGTCTAAAGATAGCCAAAATTTAAACCGAGTGTTCAAAAAAAAAACATATGACTAATATAAGAAATAAATAAAGGATAATAATCAACCTCCCACGTTAAAAAAATGACGAATAAATTAAGTATTTTTTATGAATAGAGATCAAAGGATGCAACGTATAAAGAAAAGTGAAACTACACGTAATTATGCAATTAATTAAATTAAACGGTTAGATATTCGTTCCACAACCATTTTGAAATCAGTGTTCGACTCAAGCCAGTTGGTCGTCGATAGAAGCTCGAGCACCTCTTCGTCGATCTCCTCAGCGCAGCATAAATGCTCATAGAGCTTCTCGGCAGCAGCTTTACGTAAAACCGGAACTGAACTGGACAAATGATCAAAAATCTGGAAAAAAACATAATCGAAAATGGGCAAGGAAATCAAGAGATTTCTTACACATTGTCTCGCTTCTCGGTAGATTTTGCTGTGTTTTCCGCAGTTTAGCAATTCCGCAAAAGCCTCAATCGACAGTCTTTTGCGTGTGATTTGCGTGGACTTGGCGCTGATCTTTTTAAGAACTTCGACAAGCTGCACCACGTGCTCCGAGTTGTCCGGATTATCTTCATACACTCCCAAGTGACCAAGGATCTGAGGTAAGACGTGAAGGAAGCTGGTGGCGATACGTATCGACGTCTGTCCATGAGTAAATCCAACAGCACACGCATTTAGTAATCGATCAAGTCGATCTTTATCTGAATTCACCATAATCTGGTGATCCAATAGGACTTGTTTTGCGGTTTTCTGCGTTCCTTCACCAATCGCTCCAGCCGATAACACCAATCCAAATATAATTCCATTATAGTAATCATATCCAGCTTCAAGAAGACGCTTCAACGACATCACAGTTTTATCCTTAAAATACCGATTAAAATAAAAAAAAGAACATTGAAGTCCTACCAAAATGAAATCCTGTGGATTTTCGTAGATTTCACGAAGAATAGAGGTATGGGCAAGCCTCTTGCTCGTCTTCTCATTTTCAATCAACCTCAATATACATCTCGCAGCGCATTCTCGAGTTCTTGCTATTCGTTCCGCGCTCTGGATAATCATCAAATTCGCACAATCCAACACCCTTTCGTCCAATATCTTCTCGTCGAGCTTATCCGAAACAAGAATATCGGTCATCGCGATCATGCTAGCTTCACGAACCTCAAAACATTAAAATCGAATGAAAGCCTAATTGCAAAAATTTAATTACATATCGTCCAATATCGCCATTCGCACTAATCGTATAGTCACTCATCGCTTCTTTAAGAGTGTTAAAATAATTTGGTGCAACTTCGTTCAACTCTTCTGGCGACATTCCCGCTGTGATACGATTAAGAGCAACAACGGAATGTTGCCTAGCAACTGCCCACTTTGTGAAATTCGTCTTCCAACTGATAAAAGAACAAAAATGAGAAAATTGAGATGTCATTCAACTTACTCTTGAATAATTCGAGACAAGTCTTCATAAAGCTGTTCTCCGACAATGTCACTCGGAATCACTTCCGACATCATGCAGCTTCCGATGCGCTCGTTTTCGTCAGCTGGTTGAGACATCTGAATGTGATATTATTCGAAGGGAGGTGCGAAGTGTGCGTCTTCTTATGCTGATAAGAAATATATAATGAGTGCAGCAGAGAAGAAGGGGCTCCTTTTTTTGTTTTTTATTTTTCATTTTCAAAATGCAATGCGGCGGCACAATTTTGCCGCACACATACTATTGTGCAAAAATCGTTAAAATAATTTAAATCTTCATGTTTTTTTTTCAATATTTTGTCGCTAGTATAATTTGAAAATGCTGAATTTGTAAGTGAAAAATGGAAATTTCCACTGTGCCAGATATTTCCCATGAGCGGTTTATAGGTTGTGTCCAGCGACTGCTCTACGGGTAGATTTACGCGCATGCGCCTTGAAAAGGTATCGCCACCTGCGAACGTTTATTTTGCTGCTTTCGCGTAAACGGTTAATTTTTTCTTGGTGAAAATGCGAAATAGCCCGTTAGCCCGTGCAAGACAAAGAAAAAAGTGCATCCTCGTAAATCTACCGGTGTACAGCTCTCGCCGGACGTCGAATATACCAAAATGGCCTATCTTTTAAATTTTAGCACGGCCACCCCACAGAAAACAGCGTTACGTGCTTACCCCCTTTTTGCATGAATCTTTGAGTCTTTCAATGATTGCATCCTCATTCATCAAATGTGCTCGAATAAACGAATAGGCAGCACTCTTCGCAAGATTTCTAGTGATCTAAGAAATCCGAAATACAACATTTAAAAAAAGGATTTTGTAAAACCTCATTAGTATCTTTTAAAAATGTAAAGAACCGCTCAACCCAAGCTTCTTTCAATTGAGGTTCGACAAAGTGAACACCGCGGGCATTCGAGAACAATCCCATCATCTGACAAACGGCTTTTCTCATTAAGGCACCAGAATGCGATAGACGATCACAAATTGGTTTCAGATTTATCGGAATACCACATATCCGTTGGACAATCTGTAAACAAATATTTCCATTTTTTGATTTCTTTATGGCCAGCACTGTATACTACATTTTTCAGTTCCCAATTTTAACATTGAATTATTTTGTTTTGTTGCTTAAAACGCTACCTTTTCTGGAATTTCAACATTTCTAGCCGTCAATCCTTTAACCAAATGTCCAATTGTAAGAAGGTGACTATGATTAGAAAGCTGCAATCCGCTAGTTGTAAAATAATCGAAGCGCAAGAAATTCTCACCGCATTTTGGTCCGTTTCGTTGACTTTTCCTGTACTTTTATCAATAATGTCGATATAGTACGAATCATACGTTCCTTCAATATTTATACTGCTGATTTTCTCAAGAGCCACACCAGCTTGCTCGCGAATTTTTTCATCCCAATGGTTTATCTAAAAATACAAAATAATAAACATTAAACAAGCGTAAAAAAATTGCGAGCGACAATTTCACCATCTCTGGATAATATTATTTTTGGTTTTTTTGTCAATTTTGCAGCAGGCCCCCAATAAACTAGACATTTTACCTTTTTCTCAACCAAATGCTCCAAAATACTTCGAGTATAGGCCGGAAACCGAGCGACAATTACACTAATTTCCTCATAACAACGCTGACGATTGCTAACCGCAAAATAGTCAACTGGAATACTAATTATTTTCTCTAGAGAGAAGCATCGAATTACCAGTTGTCAGCAGATCAATAGCATTCATAACGTTTTTCTGCCTTCCAGCAGTTTCCTGAAACGCAGCCGAAGCGGCACGACGAAGATTAACTTCTCGATCGAATATGGCGCAGCAAATCTTAAAAATTATAAATATTACATTTGAATGGATAAAAGGGGATCTTACCAAAGCATTTGATAACCTTTGCAAGAATGGAGCCATTACTGAAGGTTCATATGTTCTCGCGAACGCCCAAATTGTATAACACGCCGCATCCCGAACCTTTAAACAAGCAATTTCTCAACGCTCTAAGAAGAGAGTAGTACCTGATTTCCATTCTGATGAATTCCCATCGGATCTTCAAAGTTCAACGCTTTCTCCATTACTGGTATAACCGTGTCGAGAAGATTCGGCAGCAAAACACCGCGTCTTGCGAGTTCGGCAAGTGCCAAGCAACCACCATGGCTATGCGATGACGAATATACACCAACTTCACCAAAATGATTTCCGATAATCGATTCAACAACTAGAACAAAATTTATTTGAAAAAAGCGTTCTCTCGCAATTAAAAAGTACCTTGTGATGCAAATTCAGCACTCGGTAGCCTTGATGTAATTCGACCAACTCCTTTAGCCGCAGACCATCGTGTGGCAGTATCATAATTGCATAATGCACTTAAAACATGTGACAAAGCCCATTCCACCTGAAATTCTATAAACCGTACATAATAGAAACACCATAATTTAACATAGAAAGGAAGTTTTGAAAAATCGTAATTTGGGATAGAAATGTCTTGAGAACAAAAAAGAGATGCATTTATTAGCGTTTCTCCTAGCTCATGCTTTGAAACAATTTCTAATACATATTTTGATTAGCTAAAAATCATCAACACGGAAGTTGTAATTACCTCAAACATGGGTAATTAAACCAATCGATTCAAACTGAAGAGCTCACAATTTCTGAGTTATCCAAATCTCCTTCGTTTCCCCAATCGTCGTTTTCATTCATATCAACTTCCATCTTCTCTTCATTTTCCTTGAACAATCCGTCGAGAAGGCGTTTTCCTCTTCTGAAAATCTATTATTGGCTATATTGTTGGGTCAAAATATTGAAACCTATAGCTCCACGTGCATTTTCTCGGCTTCATCGCAATTAATCCCAATCTTTGAGCGACTTTCACGAGACATTTACATATTAAACCTCGTCGAGATTCATCAATCGGATAGAGAAACTCAATCTTTTCATGTATCCTTTGCAATTGCCCAACTAAAGCAGAACGATCGACCTTCAAATTAAAAATTAACCAGATTAATCTATTAAATGCAACTTACATGTTTCAAAATAGCTAAAAGAAGTAATAAATCAGCGAGGAGAAGTTTTTGGTTAGTTTCATGCTCTTTGATATCACAGAGAAGCTTATCTAAGATTTCTGGAATTTTTGGAATTCCGTCGGCTCGTGATAAACATTGGGCAATAACAAGGGATGCGGAGTACTAAAAATATATCAAATTAAAAATAAATAACAAAATTATTTAAAAAAAACCTGGCTAGTATTCCAATCCCAGGACATATAATTCATCGCAATTCCCATTATTCGCGAAATTACATTATTCGGATCACCAGAGGGATCAAACCTATATTGAAATCGATAATCTTTTCAAATATTTGTCAAATAAAAGACCTTCGTAAATCGAATGGATTCCTCACAACAATCCAGAGCCAAAGCAGAAGAATATTGCGTTGAGCGTGATCCGAGTGTTTATCCATTGGATAAGCTTCCAATGTTTTCAAAATCTTCTCCAGAAGGGAAACATGGTGCGGTAAAAGTCTCACAATGGTTTTTCGACCGCGAACTATGCACAATTCGGCAATATATTTTAATGCTTCTCGAGACAGATCATCGAGGAATTCAACATCTGAATAATTTTAAATAAAATATTGTCGAAGTCGCGCGACTACGAAAAATTAGCTAAACGTCAAAAAAAAAAAAACACTATGGCGAGCATAACTAATTATGTAGATTTACGGGACAAGCGCTCAAGTACCACACTCAACATTTTTTGACATTTAGCCAATTCTCGGCAATATAACTGTTTTAAATTTGAAAATATTACCATTATTTAATAATTTTACGTATCCGATTAGTTGATCGATTAACTTTGGTATTAATCCATCGAGAAGGTTCGGTTGCTCTTGATATAAATGAAGAAGGCGGCAATATTTCAAAAACGATATTTCTACCGCATTTTGATTCACTGGAGGAATTTCAAATATTCGTGGCAAACAGTTTACAATATTTTGAAGCTCTTGAACGTGTATAGGATCCGCTACATTTGGTAAACATCCAATTATACCATCGGTTTCCTCTATTTCGAACGGCATTACTGAAAAATATTTCTATTTCAAAACTATTGTTAGAAATAGCAAGTAAGGAGAAATTCGCGAGCTGTGAAAAAGACCCGGCGAATTGCGTGAGGGCATGTGAAAAGTTGAAACAGTGGATTAACGAAGACGCTAAAATGCGGGCAACGGGTGTTATTAGGAGTGTCGTTTGAAGAAATTTCAAATTCTCGGAAATCGCGCCGTAGAAACGGCGGTGGTTCGGTGAAATTCTGGCGAAAAAAGTGTTCGAGAGGATTTGTAAATTTGAAAGACCGAGAAATGTATTTTTCTGGCGTTTTGCCAAAACTTTCTTTTCCCTGCGGTTTCTACGAGACAATTTTCTGGGATTTTAGGAACATTTTCAAAATTGCTCAAAAAATTAATATTTTTATTACTATCGTAAATAAAAAGTACACGGATACGGAGAAAAGATTGAAATTTCATCGCTGTTTTATACGTCTCTCAGTGGCGTTTTCAACGACACGATTCGCTGGGACATGAGCAACGATGGTTCCTTTTTGCGTCAATTATGGTGCAAGTCCGCAGAGTTCCTTGTGAAGAAAAATAATTCAAAATTTTCATTTTTTTTTCGTATAAAATCTTTAAAATGGATGAAAATGCAAAAAGTATGCTTGGAATATATTTGAGAGAATGCACAGAGGTATGTTAGATGCAAAAAATGTTCCTGGATGATATACAATTTTTAAGAAGCGGAAACAACTGCAAGAATCGGTGGACGAGCAAAACAATAAAATCAAAGAATATGAACAAGTAATGAAAAAGCTTGATGAAATCATCAAGAAACTTGAAATACCTGTTAACAGTCCTGTGTGCGAAGTCGCATTTTTCTGTGACGGCCGAATTAAGCATACGAATGAGGTATTCTGAAAAAAAGTTTCTGGGGGCTCAAATGTCGGAATTCAGGTTATGATTGATCTTGGGTGCGATTATTTTGCGGAATGTAGTTCATATACAGCGAAAAAGGTTATAAGACGTAGAATTTCGGGTAAGATTATTAAATTAACATAATATATGATAAAATTGATTTTAAGCATATCAAAAGAGTATCCAAGACGGCCTAGAATCGATCAAAATGATAGATGACAAATTAACATATGCGAATAGTTTATTTGACAAGGTAAAATTGAAAAAAAAAACATGTTAACACACATTCCAGAACGACAAAGAAGTGGTTGAGATCACAGAGCCATTCGATGAAGAAGCTGAAAAAGAATTCTACGAAAAGCGAAAAAATCGAAAGTCGAAGGAAAAGTCGAAACAAGAAACTGAAGACGAAGAATATGTTAAGAAATAAAAACTCTTTTTATAAATTAAAAAAAATTTAGAAAAAAGCAATGGCACGGCTGGCTGATTTAGAAGCTCAAGAAGCTGAGAATAAAGAGATTGAAGAAGAACCAAAGGAAGTCGTGAATTTGACCAAAATCGAATCTGATGCCGAATCTGACGATTATGATTATGAAAAAACGGATATAGATCGACTGCTACAGTTGCCGGGAGTGAATGAAAAGGATATGAAGCGGCTTTTGGAAGTACTGGATGCGTGCGATGTTGATTCCAGCGAAGAGGATGAAGAGTACGTCAGTCTTTGATTATTTTACAGTAGAATTGTTATTTCAGTGATGATGGAGACGACGACGATTTAGATTCCGATGACTATGACGATAAAGAAGTCGAATTGAAAATTAAAGAAGTCAAAAAAGACGAAGTTGAACATAAAGAACCACCGATGGTAGAGCCGAAGGTACTTTTATTTCGATCATGATTTTCAGTTTTAGTTTTATTTTTAGGTTCAAGAAGTACTACCTCCGGCTACGAATAAGGCAAAAACAAGTAAGCCAAAAAAAGGTGGCGTCAAATTTTCAAAAGATTTGGAAAAAGTAAAAATATTCGAAAAATCTGATACGGTATTGTTTTTGACTCTTTTTGAATCTATGAAGAATTTTAGATAAATGTGAGCGAGTCTCAAGAAAATCTATCGACTAAATCGATTTTGAAGACTAAACAGCCAACGCCTGTAGATCGGAGTCGTTTAGAACCAGGTTCGATTGATTTTCGAGTTTTTTTTTTCATGATATATATATTTAGAACAGAAAAAGGTTGTATCCATTGGCTCAAGCACTTTTCCTGGAATGGTTATTGAGAAAAATGAGACTAATTTGGAGAAAAACGAACAATCAAATGAGCCGCCGAAAGAGAAGAAGAAAGTCTCGCTGTTCAAACAATCTAAATCTAAAAAGTGATTGTTTTTTGGTAAGAAAATGGTCATTGTAAAATGCAATGAAGATACTTTATTGCAGAAAAACCGGTCGAAATTTTTGCATTGCTCAATTTGTTATTTTGTTGTTATTATCGTTGCTCCTCTTCCAATTATTATATATATATATATATATATATATATATATATATATATATATAAATGTGCCGAGACTACACGACGATTCCGAAATTTTGTTGCGACACAACCACCACCACCAACACATATCATCAATTGGTGTACGCTGACAACCACAACATTTGCTATTTTCACTCCCCGCTTCTTTCGTTTCCTGCGGACCTCCACGGTGTCACGAGCCGATTGTCGCAATTCCCGAAGACTGATTTGATGGGCTTTAATAGTTTGATCGATTGTTGCAGGCGTCGACATCGAATTGCGGATTAAACCACGAAATATCTCGACGCGAATGTTGTCGAAGAACCGGAAGTATTTATTCTCAACGAACTCAACATTACTAGACATAATTCGAATTGATAAATTGGTTAGATTTCGTGCCGGGAAAAATCACTTCTGAAAATAGTCGTCACGAGACCTAATACTTAATGGGTCTGTGATAAGAAAACATTTTCAATGTTTTAAAGAATCCATACGGTAATTTTAAATCAGTACTCATAGTGATTTTCGTCCGATTGAAAGACTGAAAAAATAATTGGACCTTCTATTTCGAAACGAATAACAAAAAACGTTCAACGGGGCTTATTTTTGATGATGTATTTTGCAGTTAGTGCAGAGAAATATTCTCTTTCTTTCCAGTAGCTGTTTTTGTTTTTTAAAAACGAATTCGACAAAAAATTGTTAGGTCATACACATTTTGTTAAATATTTTCTGAAAAAAAAAAACAAACATTGAAAACTATTTTCAAGTTTCCAAGGCGGACTAATTTAAATAATCATTTTTGGTCTCAACGCGAAATAAACATAATTGTGCATGTGTCTATCACATCGACTGTAATCTTCAATCATCTTTATATTAAATGAATCAATCACAACAATTTTCAATTATTTATTTTAAGTGTTCGAGTTCTCAAATATTTATTCTAGAAATTGAAGATACTCTTTTCCCTGATCTCCATTCAATATCCGTCAGCATCGCAATGAATTTCAACTCCGCCAGCCTCATTCGCTACCGTATACCGATTTAAGTTACCGCATTGATAGCGGTTGAATGGATTGATTGAGTGAATGTCAGAGTCGAACAACTGCCGCCTACCAGGTGCCCGGGCAGGTTTGTGGCCGCAATTTTTATGACTCGTCGTCCCCGTGCCGCCGCCGCCGCCGCCGCCGCCGCTATTGTCGTTGTCATCGTCGTCAGCTCGCCGCGTTTCCGACTCCGCCCACTCGCTAGTATTTCGGATTTCGATGCTTCCCCACCAACCTATTCGTTATTTATTTATTTACACATTGTTCGCGTATAGGTGTTCGGATCTATTCCACAATCCTAATCTGACCACCATCTACGATGATGATGATGATGATGATGATGATGATGCGCGCAGCGAATCCCTGAATAAGTCGCATATTACATAAGATGCATATCGTGCCGATTATATGCGTGTTTTGTCACACCAAAAAATTGCCATCCACGATTTTCGCACCTTTTGTTGGATTTATATTCAACCCGCCATAATTGCCCTTTTCATTTCTCTTGAACAACTTCATCTATTTTATGGTGTATTTCAATTTTTTAGCAGAAAGCTAAAAAAAAAACTAGTTTTCGCGCAAACTGCATAGGATTTTTAGAGTCAAAAATAGTTTATTTGAGTTTTTTTCTGCAAAATATTTCAATTTGAAAAGTTTCACTAGAATAATAATGCACTTTTTTTGAAACAATACATATTTTGTATGGATTTATATAAATTTCAGTGAGTTTTGTAAATTAGGCGAGAAAATTTTAAAGACAAAAGCGCATTTATTAATGTCGATAATATAATCTAAACAACTTGAGTGCCTGGGTGCCATTTTCACGTTTTTGATTCGGCAATCCAAATTTCGATTCGGGAATTCGTTCAATCGCCAGCACATCAAACTCGCAGCCATGCATAAACCGAAGATGTTTCATTTTTTCGCAATTTTAATAATTACATCAATTTTTCAATTAGCAGCAGACAGTTTTCTTCATTGCCCGCGACAAATTTTTATTTTTATTCCGAGCTCGAAAAAAAATTGTTGGGAAAGTGCACATCGCGACTCCGCCCACATTCCTACCAGTTGTCATACTGTAGACAAACAATATGACGGGTGTCAGACACAGTTGTCCGTTTAGTCGTTCGTCGCGAGGACCCGCATCATTTCGCATTGTAGATTTTGCGTGTAGATACAAGCGCTCTTCTCATCGTCTGCTGCGGTGCCGTCGCACCACACATACCGCAGAAGTCGTCGTCGTCGTCGCCGCCGTCGACGACGACGACGACGACGCTCTTATCGCGCATCTGTTGTACACGGCGCCACTCAAAACAACCAACCGCACACACACATACCGAATATCGACACTAGCCCCTCAGTCCGTTGCGATCGGTTTCGATGATTCCGCGCGTATCGCCATCCGTCGTCGGATCCCCTTCACCGCCTATTCCTTCATTTTTTTTCGCTTGTCGGGTGAAAACCTAAATATCCGATTGACCCAAAATTGCGGTCAACCGTTTTTTTGTTCTAATTTTTCATGATGGAGGGATCTGTGAAAAGTCATCAGATTCTGATCGATCTCATTTTATAAAATTGTCTGTAGTAGGAATTTTCTTTCGTTTTACAGTATATATATAAAATTAATAGATTTATTTAAAATTATTTCATGAAAGAAAAAAACATTGCTCAATACTATCATCCTATTATTTCTTTTGCTATTTAAAATCGTTCAAATTGAATTTCCAGATTGTTCGCACAACTTTCATTTTTGTTTGAAATCATGAGACCCCTTGAAGTTTGTCATGTGAGCGAGTGAAAACCCCCGATCTGAAAATAGAACATTGATGAACGAAATCCGTTCGAGACCCGATTCTTTGTTGTTGCCATTTTTTTAAACGATCAAATTTGATACGGTAATGGTGGATGGGGGGGGGCCGCCTTCTCGCCGCACTTCACACCCGCGATTTTTGAATTCGATTGCCCTTGGCCGAAATTGGCGCCAAAAAAATTGAATGCGATTCACAGACACACGCACGCACAGAAACCGGTCATGGCACATTTTCATAAACACAAGTCGACAAAACATAAGGTGTTTGAAAGATTGAAAACCGAGATAATTCGATTTTGGTGGCCGCAAAAAAATGTGTGGCGCGCGCACGCGCTTCGACCGCCAATTTCGCCGTGCTCGTCCTACAATGCCGAGTTTCACTTTCACGCGCGAGAAACGCGCTCTGCCATTCGCATTTCGGCTAGGCGAGAGTTTAGCAGTTTGGATTTTGATTGCAATGACAAATGATTCTTTCATTCAGCATAATGTCCGCAGCATATAGATTTTGGCTTCCAAAAATCGTGACTCACATAATTGGCAAATTGATAATCTGGGATAGTTAATCTTGCCCCTTCGGAGGATCGTTGGGTCTGCAGCGAAGGAGTCCGAAATTCCCCAAAACTCGCTGAGCAACAAATAAGCAATATGACATTATACGATATTATTTTGTTACATAATTGATAAGCATTTTGTTTTTTGAAACTCCCAGCTTTTCAGTCCTTTGCTAGACTTTAAATATTAAACACTGTGCGACATGAAACTGTCGAAATGTCTATCAGACATGAAAGTCGTTTCCAGCATTTCATCATAAATTAGTTCTCTATTTTTCAATTTTTTAAAATTTACTTTTATTATATAAAAATCTCCAATTTTTCGACTTTTTTTGCTTGATAGTCAGGCTTTTTGCGAAGATTAATCACACAGAACACTTCGTTTACAGAATTGTTATAAAAGGAAATTAAATTTTGAAAAGTCTGAAATTTTATTTTTATCGGTTTTACATTTGCTATTCGCTTAAGCCTCGAATTTAGCGAATCCATTCAAGAACAATTTAAAGGTGAATTGCCGAAAAGTTTTTTGAGCTTATGTTTGATTTGAAAAAAAAATCTGCGGACAAATTTGCAATTTTTGGCACACGTTTCCAGTCAAAATTTCAGTTTTTTTTTAATTTGTTATTCTCAGAAAAATTACCAAAGAGTTTTATGTAGTATATTCAAACATCCACGCGCCGTTACCGTATCTTCGCAAAAAATTTTTTTTTGATAAGTGTTCTGAAATCGGATCTTTTTATCAGACGCACCTCATTTCTACTTCCTCTCTTATCTGCGGTTTGCCACAAATAACCCCGAAACTCGGCGATGATTATGAAACCGCGGCACATGATTTCAATATATTGCATATTGTTTGCAGTCGAGCCCCGTCGACGCAGATGAGCGGCGTGCTCAATCACGTTCGCGCATTCCTCGACCAGCAGCCGGTGATCGCCGGCAAACTCGAGAAGTCGAGCAGTCCCAACATCCTCTACTCGCAATTGCCCAAACATTGGAGATCGAACAAATCGTTTCCCGATCAGTTCGTCGTGCTCATTCTGACACCCGTACCCGACAACACAGAAGGTAGGAGTTATGCGAGAGCGTCGCGAATGAAACGCGTACGGTAATTACAGTAACGATATGGGCGGGCAACGATGAGGCGCCATGTGGCGAGATTCGCAACGAGAAGGCGCGCGTTCATCGCCAGGTGGCCAAATTCAACGACTTGAGGTTCGTCGGCAGATCGGGTCGAGGTAAGGAGCTCAACTGGCCATTTCATTTCGTCGCCGCCGGTGCTGCTTCTCTTCAATTGATCATCAAAAACGCATAAAACAAAACGTCGAAAACACCTGTCGACATGGCGGAGCCGAATGTTTATGAGGCGCCGACGTCGCATTAAATGAATGCATATCCCGCCATGCTGTTGTTTTTTTTTTCTTGCAGGCCGCAAGTTTCACATCACGATCGTTGTACACTCGACGCCGATGATGGTGGCGACGGTGAAGAACGTCATTAAAGTAAGTTGTGGGTCAATGTCTTTACTACAGTAACCAATGAGTTGGTGGCGGATTCCGTCTACCGTTTCAACGATAAAATGATTTTCAGGTTACAGTCGATGGTCCAAGAGAAGCTCGACAACCGAAACCAGCAACCAGCGGATCTCGAAGATCGGCTGACAACTCGTATAGTCTTGATATCACTCCACCTACGGTAAGCGATTAAAATGACTTCTCGAAATTCAATAATCTTGCAGATAATCCCTCCGATCATCACTCCACCCCATATGTGGTGGGCGGCATTTGGTGCACCACAAGTGTTGCCACCCATCTTCCATCCGCCTGTCTCCACCATATTTCCCACCATTCCGCCAATGATGAGCAATCCGCTGAAGCGACACGCCACCACTCCGCTCAAATCGGAATCTTCCGAGAACTCGAGTTTGAATGATTCGGAATCGCTCAACGTCTCCGCCTCGCCGCAAACATCGTTCATCGTTCTGAAAAAAGATGATGATGATGAGGAGGAGGATCGCGCGGAAGATGATGAAGACAAGAAGAAAGACGAACCTAAAAGTCAGATCGTCTCACCATCAGGACCAATATCGTTGGTCCAGTCGACTCCAGATTCGTTGCAAGCAAAACGACGACGTCGACAATCAGCGACATCCTCAAACGGCTCCTCACCAACCATTTGGCGTCCATTTTGACCAAATTCTAATCAATCCTATGCCTTTCCAACATTAGTCACTCATTCCTAGAGAATTGTCGGGTCAATTTCATACGTGTCCATCCTAAACAATTTATCCAATAAACGATATTAACGGAAGAAAACACACACACAGGGGGCAGAACACGAGAATGTACAGCAAAACGATTATTAAGAGAGAAAGAGAGACAGAAAAAAAACAGAGGACGAAGCAAAATGGTGGAAACAAAACAAGACAACACAAATACAACTAAATCGTTCTGGACGGGAAGGAAGTGCAGGGAAGGGAACTCAAGAGGCGGATTTTGAACTATATAAAAAATCACCAAAATGATAATATTAAAAAAAAAGAGGAATAGAGATACGGGGAAGGACCGGGATGATAAAACGTTACCTATGAATACATATACGACGATAAAACGTGCTGGATTGAATGTATATGAGGAGCCGGCTTAAATATCGCTAAACCCCCTAACAAAAAACACACACATCGGGATTGATAAGTAAAACAAAAACTGGGTGGGAGGGGGAAGGATGTGACCATAATACGTAAAACTTCCGATATATATATATAAATGATTAAAAACAAGATTTACAATATTACAGAATACATATTATTTTCATACAGCGTCCGCGTTTAGATGAAGTTTTGCGAATTTGTTGGGCACACGTACGCGGGAGCCGGCACACCAGCGGCCGCTCCCATTTCGTATAATAGTGGTGTTGTGTTTTGCTGCGAGAAATACCCATAGCAAAGACTTCCGCCTAAAATAAATAATCAGGAATACAAATTTTCGATAGAACTACCATAAACCGTCGAAGGGCTTGTTGGTTGAGCGCTGCCCGGGGGTGTGAAAAATGTTGGGCTCATAAAAGGAGCAGAAGCTGCAAGATTGGAGCTATAGTAGCCGGTTGGAGAAGCAATCATATGATCCATCGAAGTGTTCATCATGCCTACAGAATAATTTTTCTGGTGAAATTTCATGTGCAGAAAACCCACTTTTCGCTGGACTCATCATCGTATTCATATACATTGGCGAATAATCGAATGTACTCTTTGCTCCATTATACTGAACATTTAAAGTTTCGATAAATTTGGACCACTACCAACCAAATAATTTCTATTCGCTCTCATTGTCGCCTCATATCCCGTTTCACTCTGCGATCCAACAGCATTTCTTTGATAATAGCCGTAAACATTCGAGAGAGTTTGCTGCGGACTCAATGAGTTCGGAATTAGAACCGGAATATGCGGCGGATTATGACATTGAAAGTGAGATGGAGCAGAAATTGAAGCTGTCGCCGTAGACAAGTGCTTCATAGGCGAGTTTTGAAGAGAAACACGTTTGTGGGCATCTATAAGTTTTTTTTCATCAATTTCTTACATGAATTAATAAATTTTGCCCTCACTAGACTTCACTTACTTGGATTGACTGCCTTAACCGCTGATGACGGCACGATAACAGGAATATGTAAATGAGCATCAGTACCTTCTCCATGATCTTCCTAAAACGTGCAATTGGCTTTTCTATACCTTCCAACGATACCGTATAGCATGAATTACAATAGTACTTGAAACAATTCCTATTTCGACAGAAACAATGTGCCGGATTCACATCACAGGCCATACAATTGGTCGACTCCAAAAATGGATCAATTTGAACACGCTTCTCTGAAAATTAATCAAATACAGCGAACACGAAGCGAATCATACTGAATTTGCTGGTATGAACAACTAAATATCCAGTCTCAATGGCTTTAAAGTATGCGCCATGTTCACGGAATGTAACTCGACCACTTCCTAAAAAACATATTGAGAATGGTTCGCTTATCCTAATACCGAATACCTATAGGATATTTGAACTTGTCGGTATCCAATTGAACACATTCGACTTCCCCAAAACAATCTTCCATAATCGAATGCAATACTTGTGCGGTCATCATTCCATGAAGTGCACCAACGAATACTGTTCTCTTTGGCTCAACTCCAGTCTCCAGAAGTAGCTCATTTTTGCAGTAAAGAGAATCCGATGTAACCCATGGAATTATTTGAACCTGAATTTTAATCTTGAAATCCTGCTTATCTTTTTTAGCTACTTGTCGTATTTCAGTTGACTTGGTGCGCTGTGCGCGTATTTTAAAGTACCACTCGCCAGCACCGCCAATTTCTTGCGAGCAATCCAACAGCAACGAAGCAACTGCGCTTTCATCTTCAAAAATCATGTAAACGTAACCGTTGGCAGATTGGCTGTTATTCATCTAAAACCCGTTTCATCTGTTTAAAGGAATACAGAGCAACCTTCGACATTGCTCTTGAAACACCATGCGGCACGCCACCATTATTGCGATATCTTGGCTCTTGACCTGGCCATTCGACAACACAATTTCCGAATTCTCCAAATGATTCCTTCAATGCGCCTTCAGTTATATCCCAAGGAACTGAAATTAAACATTAATATCAACTATGCGTAGTATTGTGAACCTCCTCCAACAAAAATCTTTCTTGAGAATACTGGACTGGTATAGTCGCGCGGCGGTAGCTCGCCATTCCATGATGCACTATTGTCATATCCATGATGCATGAAATTGCGCTTGTGGTGTCCTCCACGGCTTTTCGGAATCACCACGTCCTCATCACTAGATATTTGACGGTTTCGTGAAGGAGTTCTACTATTTGACGACGAAAATATAGATTTTGATGGAGAAGACATATCGGAGTCTGGCGAAACAAAAATAGAACAAAAAAATTCTAAAAGAATTAGTCGATACTCTTTGATGGGGTATCCAATGGAGTTTCAAGAGATCCTCTCGGCATTTGTCTGAATGGTTTGTTGCTTGAACTCGACGACGAATCTCCGCCTTTTTTGCCTGATAATATCTTTTCGTATTCTTTTGTCATTTCCTCCACAATTTTTGCCTTATCGCCACGCTCTAAAAATAAACTCTCGGTGTGCTTTAAATCAATTTTAAACTTGCCGCTGAAATGCAATTTTCTTGCTGCGTTTGAACGTTTTGGACCTTTCCCGAACAAATCGAATTGACGATTGTTGTTGTTTTCGTCTTCAAAAGGAGTTCGATTTAATGATCGAGATGGAGCAATTCGTTTGAATAAACGATTTCGCTTCTCTGTATTCTCCTCAGATTCTCTTCGTTTTGAGCCGCCTTTGTCCGAGATTGACAGCATCTGAAATACATACTACTTAAATTTGCACCTTGCAACACAATACTTTTAATTTTTTGAGGAACCCATTTTTTTCAACCGAAGACATTTTATCAAACTCAACGTTAACTTCCTTATTTGCGTCAGCGTGTTCTCGTTCAGTAAGCTCATGTTCTTTTTTCCGTTTCTCCTCGACAGACTTTTTTCGGTTGTAACGTTTAAACAGCTCAAGAACGCTTCGTGGCTTTGGAGACTTCTGAAATTGTCTTCCATTTAAAATAGCGGTTTTGACAGAAACAACTTCGCCATGATCGTCAGTGGGAACAATTGTTATGTTCTCCGGCACTTTTTTCCGCGGCTTCTCCTCAACATCCTGCTTTGGGCTTTCGTCCACTATAGCATTGGTTTTTTCGCCCGGAGAGGACATTTTCGTGAGTTTTAATACTATATATATTTATGCACAAATCTGGAAAAGATCATAACCGACTCAATTCAAAACAAACTTCGTGATTTAAGTATACAATTACACATTTGATCTCTATTCTTCAAAATTGCTTAAGATTTTCGATCTTCAAATATTTTTTTCTCAAAAATTGAAAATTTCTCAGTTTTAAATAACGTTTTGAAAATAGGAAAACACAAACGCCACGAAACTGCGAATACAACTTTCAAATCCCAATTTCCCAATCTGAACACTTGACGCAATTTTGCACATATTCCACTCTACCGTACTACCATCTGAAAATAAACAAATCCAACATTTCGATTTAAAACAAAAACAAGGAAAGCAGTTCATTAATTAATAGTTAATTAGTAAATCATGTCAAGAAAAAGCCCGAATTAACAAAATGCACTAGAAAAGAAGGAAATGATACAAATAATGAGGAAATCGGTAATATGAATTTGAAAAAGGCAAATAAAAAAACAGCTAAGATTTATGAGAACCCTTGAGCCATTGAAGAACCGGAATCGCCATTCGTTCCGATTCGTTGATTGATTTGAATAAGATCTTTCCTCGGGCTGCGCAAAACATCATAAGACAGTCCATGTTTAGAAATACTTTCAATCAACACTTCTTCACGGCTCAATCCATTCGTAGTTCGTTTGAAACCTTGAATGGCCACCTGAAAATCATTAAATTTAGCAGTTTTTTCTTCCTTCACACTAATTAAAATTGTATATTACAATCTCAAAAACGAGCACCCTGCGTCGATTTACGGCGATTTAGCTTTGCAGGTTATCCGTAATACGACACCCAAATTCCCACTATTTAAATTCAAATTTTAATTGCGGCCGCGAACAAACGCGATGGTTCAAAATAATGCAGGACGCTCGTTTTTTTGCGATGGTAATACAAATATAATCATCAGAATAGAAAATTACCTTATCCGCAATAAAAACTCTAACTGGGGCCAGCCCGTAACATGAAGGTGTCGGCATCTCGGTGAGTTCGGCATTACTAGCTTGTTCAATATCATGAATGACAACTTTAACTCTGAAAACATGAAACTTTTACTAAATTTTGTCAATACTATCAAATTTTGGGGACATTTAAAACAATTTGCCTTTTACATAAAAAAAACCAAAAGATTAATTAAGGTCGCATATTTGTAAATCCTCCAAGTCGAAAAAAAAAATAATTTTTGAAATAACTTACTTGTCTCGGAAAACTAAATTATAATATTTGATAATATCTACTTTTTTCATTTCTAGACCATCGCTTTTATCGTCAGTCTCATCTTTCGGCACCAAAACCTAAAAACAAGATATTTAAAGATTTAAAGAATTGTTTTAAATGCAAACCTCTCTGTATACTCGGCTCTGCGCCTGCGGTTGTCGTTTATAATAGCTCATTATTTCCATAAAAGTGGTTCCAGTTTGGTTAATTTTAGCTACAACATATCTGAAATGAATTTCAAATAAAACAAACAATTAGATGCAATGAATATCATACATGCAACACATAATAATCTGATCCAAATGGCGATCGCGAAATTGCGAAGTTTCTCTTCGAAGCACATAATCGAATAATGTCCAAATTTGAGCTTTTGGCCGATCCTCAAGCCTCAAACGATCAGAGAGTTCCTGGAATCGAAGAGCAGCAGTGAAGTACACCTGAAATTGCGAATATCGAAATAAATGTCTGACGAGGTGATACTAAGTGATTGAATTCGCCGATAGGTCTCGAATGGAAAACCGCATAAGAAGTGTAATTATAGAACATACCCTTTTAAGGAACAATGACAAAGATTTGGATCTTGGATGAATTGTATTCCCAAGCTCATCTGAAAATAAGACCATAATTCAAAATTCCATTTTTTTTCGAAATAAATACCTCTTTTCTTAACCGGCGTGAACTTCATCGGCGATTGTCCTTTATCAAACCAATCCTCTCCAAAATCGGCCAACGAACCTAACGGAGTTCTCGTGATCAAATTCCAGAACGGACTCTTACTATTGAATCCATATTCTTCGATTATTCGCTCCTCAATCTAAAACTTATTAACGTTTGATATTCTCACACGAGCCATTAATGCAATTTACTTTATTAAAGTGTTGAACCATCGCCCGACTGAGGCTCTTCTCGTGGTTTATCATCAAATCAATAATTTTGTGGAACAAAAACGGATGAATCTCGATGACTTCAACACTCCATGGGAATTTTCGCCCACTGGTATAGCAATAAACGAGAAGTTCGAGGCAGAAGCCGAAAGTCGCATCAAGAAATTCCTCGCGACGAAGTACATTCTAGAAAAAAAAACTGAATATGATTGAAAACGAAATGCTGATGACATTTACCAATAAATCCTCTTCGCGGCACTTTTTGTTCTCAAATTCAGCTTTGACAATTTTCTCAATGAATATCTAAAATAAAGTGAAAATGAAAACTCTGGAAAAAAATTGAATTCAAACCAAAAAAAGCTTTTCCAAAATCTCTTTGTTGTCATCTTTGGCCTTCGAAAAAGTTTCATCAAAATCAGGATTGTTTTCGACTTCTTCGCTCATTTTTTCAGCAAATTTTTGCGAAAGAACATCTCGCTTCAACAAAATTGTAACAATCGGATTATCGGACATCGAATCAAAGAATCTAAATCATGTCTATAGGATTGAAGATAGCAATTTCTACCGACTTTTTGAGATCAGACGATTCAAAGTTCCACCCGTTCACCATTTCCTTGAGACGAGGAACCAAATCTTTAACGTCATCTTCCGTCATTGGATCCAAGGGATTATCAACAGTTGGATGTCTACAAACAGAAAATAAAACAATTTGAAAATCTTCGTCTTTTCCTTACAAGGCTCTCTTCATTGTCGCAACATTGTGAAGCTGTTTAACGGCGCGCTCGGTGCCAACAATCGCATTTTCGATCGCCTTGCTCGTCGCTATTTTATACAGAAGATTTGCGTCGACGAACAGCTCATGTTTGCTATTTCGCTTCAAAACCTCGGTCGCCTCTTCCATATCAAACGTTTTATTAAATATCTTGACAAGCCCTTCTTCCGATGGAACCAGCATTCTCTCGTCAACTTGTCCATGCTTTAAAAGCCATCTTTCATATTCTTCGTTTAATCTGAAGAAAACAACTAATTTGAAAAATCCAAAATTTAAAAATGAATGCTAACATTTCTGATGATTTTGGATCACAAATATGCCCAATTTTAGGCATTTCTTGATCAATTTTCTGGTAAATGTGCTCTCTGAAGTGGGTTACATCGACTACGATACCATTGAACGCTGAGCAAAGTGAGCGTATTATAGTTGCGTCGTGTTGAAGAAGACTATTCACTAAAAATCCACATATTTGAGATAAAACTAAAGATTATATTATACCAAAAGAAGTATTCAGGTGCAATTCCAAACCATCAGCTTCATTGATCGCTTCTGTGAATGCCTTCTCAATAACGCAGAAAAGAAGATGATAGCAATTTACAAGATCCTCGGGAACGAGCTTATCTGAAATTAATCATTTGATTTTTGTTGCTGACAAAAAAAGACTTACGTTTGAGGAGTAGAAATGTAACCCAAACGTGGGAGAACAAATATTGAGAAGACGGAATATTCTCAACACTCTCCTGATGCTTCGGCGGTGACGTGAACACCAACGCGTACATTTGAATGAACTTCTTGAAGCAGACGGCTGAGAGGGCAAGGGTTTCCCGCAGCTTCTTCACATAATCAATGAATTTTTTGCGGCGTCTCGAGTTCATCGTCTCAATAATTCGCTCGATTTTGTCGAAGAATTCGATTGCACTAAAAATTTTCAAGTGTTCAGCACCATTTCCCAATTCGAGCGTAATTACCTGACAGAAAACGCATCCAAAAGAATATTCAGACGAATCGGCACAACATTTTGAATCTCGATTTCATTTCGATATCGTCGCTTAATCGATTTCAACAAAAAATGGTAATAAATCGAAACAAGTTGCCAAGAGTTCTGGTCGCCCTAAAATGAAAACGAAATGTGAGTTTTGCAGAAATTTATGAGACCAACCTCTAAAACAACTCTTTGTTTAGCATGCGAATAAATTTCCCACGCGGCTTCGATAACTTCTGGAGATAAATTCGATGTTTCGCATTTTGTCTTAAAATCCTCATCGATTGGTTCCAACTAAAATTCCAGAATTTTCTTAGTTTTTTTTTTAATTCTATGAAATTTTACATCAATTTTGTCAAGCACACTCTCGACATCATCAAATTCATCTTCTTCGTCAATTTGCGGAATCGACGATCTCGAAGCTTCTTCAAAATCCTCGATTCGTTGACTATGCATGTTCGAGTTTGAATTGCTTGAACTACGCAATGTGTCCTGCAAAATTATTTTCGGTTTATACGAGAAAATAAATTATAGGGTACGACGCGAACCTCTTCTAAAATATCGTCCATTTCGCCAAAATTCTCGCCTGGCGGCGTCGTCTCTTCACTCTGCTCACCCTCGATCGTCTCTTCTGAAAATCGAAAAGTTATTATCATTTCGTGCACTTTTGTAGATCAACTGTGAAGAATAGAGTTCAAAATCAATGATAAAAGTATAAACACATAAAACTTGAGTTTCTATCACGCGTAGAAAAGACTAACAGATTAAGAATTGAGTTCAAATTTTCACCGTGCAATGTCCGACCATCTAGTCACGTTCAATAAATTTTGAACAGAAAAAAGTTTACCATCAAAAGTAAATTCGAAATTTAAAAATTCATAGAGCTTAAAATATATGGGTTACTGTAGAGCAGCACATCTTGCTAAAAAAAAATATTCCTGCATTTTTGAAAACTTCCGAAGAACCTTTTTTTCCAGAAAACGTTCGTTTTCAGATTACGCTATCAATGCGACACCTCGTCACAACTTCCAAAAAGAGACCATTGAATCGTAGATTATTTTACCCATAAAAAACCCCTTTTTTCTCGCTAGCCCATTATCACAAATAGAATGTGTCTTCCAATCAATCACCCGGCGGGTTCAATCATCGAATACTTATCGTGAAACCATTTTTTTCTGCTGTCGTTGCTGCTACTTCTCTATTTTGCCCAAAAATTTTGTATAGTCGGACAAATAGCCGGAGCACAAAATATTTCGTCGACATGCATATCGCATTTCATGCACAGAGAGGCTCGAGTCGACCGAAAAAAAAAAAACAGCGCCGCCCTCTCCAGCATATTACACGATGATTAACGCCATATATGATGAATACATAGAGTTTCATCAATATTTGCTGCTGCCGCCTCTCCCGCCGCCATCCGATTCCCCGCCGCCGCTTTCAACTACTAGTTAGGCCGTCCGTGCGTGTGCGCACGCGCAAGCACAGGCGCGTCCCAAATTTTCCAAAATTGTTATATTTGCTCAATCAAACATGTGTCGCGTATTATCAGTGAATATTCCTTATAGGGCCCGCGTCGGCCGAAACCAGCCGTTATCGATCAAATTCGCCTTCTCTCATTCTCTTCCTCAGCTGCACCAACAGCCAACGCCATATCGGTTTTCAACTACTATTTTTCTTCTGCTACTTCTAGCCGTTCCTTGACTATGTTCTTCTAAGTGCGGGTCCGTTCGAATGGAACAGCCAAATCCGACGATGACGAATCAACCGAATCGCACAATGCCGCAGCAGGGAACCGAACCAGAGCCAAGAGTAGTTTGCGGTCTCCCAGTTGGGGTAAGTCATTCAAAATCGCATGAAATAATCAAAGGAAAAAAAAATGCAACATAAATGCTAGTTTGAAATAAATTAAATTCCACAAAATTCTTAGCAATCGAATTGTTATGCACATTCTCTTATCAATTTTCACACAAAATGTATTTGCTTGAAATCGTGACTTACGAAATCTAATGAATGAGAAAAAAACTGCGAAAAGCTAACAGAAAAATCATCAGAATAGAATGTCTTAATTGCAAAAATCTCAAATTTCAGGGCGCTGTTGGGATTCTCGGCTCAGTTCTAATGATCTGCCAGATCTTCGGCCTATTCTACCTATCTCCATTCATGCTTTATTTTTTCGAAATCGCCATCGGATTCGCAATGATGTTCATTCTCTCAGCAGGCGCAAAACGCCGAAAAATCGCCTACATCACTGCTTATATGTTGTATATTGTAAGGAAAAATAAAGAAAAAAATAGAGATATGTTATAATTGTTAATTGCAGTCAATGTACACCTTCTGGGTATTTTTCCTAATCCTTGGAGCCGTGATGGCAACCGTATGGTTCGTGGATAACAACGGTAATCAGTGCAAAAGTATGGCAATTAACATATTTCAATAATTCTCAAACATTACTTCTCTCAGATGTGACAGACCCGGATACGTGTCACGAAAAGAAACTAACAACAGGAGGTTATATTTCGCATTTCGAATTGTTCAAAAATGTTCTAATACAATTCAATTTTTCAGCCATCGAAATGATCGTCATCTCTTGTTTTTTCCTATCGATTAGCATTCTCGTTGCTCTCGTCCAAATGCGATATCTCGTTATTCTTTACAATTTCCTTCGAAGGAATACTTATAGAAAGTTAGTTTAACAACAATTAATTGATACAAAAAATATATACATATGAGAAATCTAGTGCTCGTGCTCATCACGGAAGCTTCAATGTGCAATATATAGTCCCTACACCAATCAGTCCAAATGGAATGCCACCACCACCAAGATATTCGTCAAGAAATCCTTCGATGGTGGATCCGACGCCTTCTCCGATTATTAAAACCCCTATAGATGTTGAGCAAGGGTCTTCGAATAGAAATAACACTACAATTCCAGCAGTTACCGTAACAGACATAGTAAGACTATTTTATATGATATCACTTAATTATTCGCAAATTTTCAGTCTACTCCCCCTTATAGTGTCGAAAACGAAGCATTCAATTTGGAGGACGAGCGTTCTCGAGCTCCATCTCGACCTCCGGCCTACAGCGAAATCGTCGAGAATTCGACCAACCCTCAAACACCGTCAAACTAGGCAAATATTGCGCTAGGAACCACAAATAAGTTCAACAATGTATAATATTATGTGTCAACTCTCTTGCCAAAGAAGAAAAATCGAATCAAATAAACGTTTCGATTGAAATCGTTACTCACCCGGATCGATTGCCTGTCGTTTAGCTGCATTTTCTGTGAAACAACCTGCATCATCAGCAACTGAAAGAAATCAATTTTTACTGAAACTTTCTTCAAAAGACTAACCTTCTTGACCATCCGATGTACTAGATTGGGCTCGTTTGGGCATTCTCCTTAAAATAAAAAAAATTGATTGGGGAATGAAATACCTAAACGATATGTGCGAGAAAACAATTAATGAATGAACGAATGAATGACGGCATTTCGCACTCCCGCCGAAATATGGCTTGCGGAAATTGAAAAGGGCGCGAATGTCGGTGGAGCACGCTTGCGCGACAAGGAGGTGAACCGGTAATACAACACGATCGAGTGAGTGACCAAATCAGTATATTGAATATATCTGACACAAAATAAAAAACATAATGTTATTTTTTCCGTTAAAATATAAGGAGAATAAGGTTGGTTTCAACAAATAATTTAATATGAAATTCCGCCGAATTGTTTCGATTTCTGTTGAAAATTTGAACTAAACTCATTTTCAAATCGATCTGCCGTGTTCCAATTCCCATTTAAATAATATGAAGAAGTTTGCATTAAATCAATCATTTCTGCTAATTATTCGCTAATCGTTTTCATGAAGAAAATGGAATCAAGAGGATTGTGTAAAACGCTTATCATTATTATTATTGTGTTTATTACTGGAGCTGGTGGATTGCATAGTAATGAATTTCTTCTGGGTTTTTTGAGGTGAAAATTAATTAAATTTTAGCTGATTGCATTGGTGAGGATGTGAGATCACTGGCTAAGAAATGCACTCGGATTATGGACCAACCTTTGATATTCACGAATTTGGATCAAACAGGTCTTGATTTTTTTTAACATAATTTTATAATTTTCTTTCAAATTTAGCGTTAAATGATTTGAATGCGAAACTCCGCTCTATACTTGAAATTAATAGTGGTATTCGTGTTATCAATAACACCTTCGAGAAATTTAAAACTTTGGAAAATGTAGAAATCATTTCTGGCAAAGATGGTTGTTTTAAAACATTTTGAATATATTTTAAAATGAATTTAGAACCTGTCATTTATTTTGAGAGGAATTTAAAACTTCAAAGAATTAAATTTCCTCGACTTAAGGAACTGAGGTCAATAACCGATGTTTGATAATAGCTGCATTCCTGAAAATTTTGCCTTTTGTTTAGGCTTATCTTATATCATTTGTAGACGACGGATTTCCTATGCATATGCACAAAACATCTGATGCGTAGGAAATTTGAGAATTAATTTTTTAAATCGCTAATTTCAGTTTTCGAGACATGTTGAATTTGTTAGATACAACAAGCAGGGATAGAAAAGGTTGTAATGAAAAACTTTTTTCTGTTTTCCGAAATTCTATAATCCGTAAGAATCTTTTTTTTTTTTGAAAAATGCAAATAATTGAATCAATTTTTGAGTTGATAATTCATCTCAATCTTCGGCGATTTTCTACATGCTTCTTGCACTTTTGGCACTTTTCATTGGAGTTGACTTGGTTTTAGGACTCAATATTCTAATTACTTACCTAAAACGAAAACGAAAAATGGCAGGTTGGATTTATATGGAACATGAAATAAAAAATCAATTAATACAGTGATGAACAAGAAACTTGGGAAACGTGATGCTGAATTTAGTTCTACAACAGGCACAACAACACCATCTTCAGATGAAAAAATTAAAAAAATTAAGAAAACGCTAGGAAAAACTTGAATAAACCTCGAAAATAATAAATATTTGAAAAAATGAAATTTGTGCGTTAGTACACCGACGTGTTTGCAGAAACGGTGTTTGCAGACCTCGAGGAAAATTCTCACAAATCGTGTGCTATTTTCGGTTTCGGAAAATGATTTTTCTGGCAAATAGTGATAAAATTTGGAAAAGCTAAAACTTTTGAACATTTTCGGTTCGAAATTTTTATTTAAATGTCTAAAAACACGTTAATATAATTTATATTGACACTTTTATCGGAAAAGTTGAAACTTTTTAAGAAAACGTTTATTTTCTTTTTTAATCCATAAATTAATTATTTTATATTCTTCAGATGTCTGGGAATAAACCAAATGGATTCGATTTAACGAAACCGGATTTCGACGTGAATGCCTATGTTTCTAGGTTTTATACCACTTTTGATGTTAATTTTATATGTGTTTTTTTAGTTTATTAAAAGTTAAAAAGCTCGATGAGCTTGTCAAAGAAGAAGAAGAAATGGTCTCGTCTGTTCGACGATTGGATTCGGATGTTCATCAAATCGTTTATGAAAACTATAACAAGTTTTTAACGGCGACGAGCACTGTTCGGAAGATTCAAGACGAGTTCAATCAATTGGACACTGTAATCGAACTCAGTTTATATTCGAATTTAATATAATTTTGAAGGAAATGAAATCTCTTAGTGCGAATATGAAAACAATTTCGAGTCTAATAGGAGATCTCGATGGTGTTCTCGGCGAAAAACGGGATGATATTCTTCAACTGGGAAGCTCGTACAAAGTCGTCAACAGTTTGAAGCACATTTTCGATCTTCCGCACGTTTTACAGGTAGTTTGTGACTCGTTTATTTTTGTAAACTTTTTTATGCAGAATAAATTTGACGATCGCGATTTCGGTGAAGTTATTCGACTATATAAGCTAGCTGACGAGTCGCTTCGCCGTTATTCCGATATCCCAACTGTCGAAAGAGTAATTCAAAAAAGCGAAAGAATCTTCAAATATACTGAAGATCAATTAATGCGTCAATTGCGGAATCCCGCTTCTGGCGCTGATGTCGTAGCTCAGGCAGTTGGTCTTTTGTTGCAAATCGGGCGAGATCGCGATGAAGTTCAAAAGGTGCTCTTGAATTGCTCTGAGCAGTCGCTGAGATGTGATCGGAAAGAGTTGGAATCGAATCATTCGGATGTTCTCGATCTAGTTGATAAGTAATTAGAAATCTGTAATGCTTTATCGCAATTATTATTATTTTAGGGCTTCAGAAACATTTATTCCAAATCTTACCCTAATTGCAACTACGCATGACAAGTTGTTTGAAGACAAGAGAGAAGAGCTTCTGCAAATTCTGAAGGTAATTTTATGTTATCTGAAATTATTCGAACATTAGTTTAGAATGAAATGAATTTGCTTCACGAACTGGTTACTAAAGTATTCCTTTCGTCAAATGATGCTAAAGATTGCTCAATTGTTGTTCGAGCTCTTGACCGCTATTTCCGAAAGATTTCCACTTGTCGAAATGTTATTCCAGGTTTCTCATTATCAATTTTGGCTATGTTTACGATTCTCGATTTTTAGGTCTTGACTTCTTACCATCTACAATTGAATTGATTAACCATGTGTCCAAGCATGAAATGGAGCTATCACTTATTAGAATAAGGGAGGAACTTCGAATGACACTCAGCGATGTACGGAAGGCACTTTTAAACGAATCTCGCGACCTTGGAGAACTTGCTGCAAAAATCGAGCAGACGTTTGTGCATCAAGTGAAGACGGCGCTAGCCAATCTCCTTTTATTCACCGCTAGTGATGTCACGTTCGCAAGTTTGTCAGCCGATGAGTTCCGCAACGAATTTGCAAGAAACGCGCATGAATTCTTACTAGTCCAGGCTTTTGAGCGGCTTTTGAATCTTGCCGACGAATATGGTAATTCATTAATCGTGAGCAAAAGAAACAATTATGATTATTTTCAGAAGCTGGCATAGGCGATGTTCGATTCGTTGATGCGCGAGTTTTACTAGTTTTCGCTGTTTCGCTCCAACATCTTTCGAATAAATCGGCCGTTTATCTGCTGAATCTCTGTCGGGAGCAATTTTCGCTTTCTTCGAAATCTGAAGATCTAACAAGTAGATTTTTTTGTTTGCTGATCGAGATTAACATTCGATTTCTCTTCAGGTTCGACTGATGTAACTGCCAATGTCAAATCCCGAGCTCAAAAGCTTGTTCGATGCTACGCCGAAAGAACGGCGCTAGAATTGGGAGAGAATCTGGCGAAAGGCTGTGCAATTCTTGCTCAACCTTCGGCTACACCGAATTCAGTGAGAGCAGCTGTTCGTCGATTAGTAGAAGAAGCCAATTTATGCGAGAATGAGCTTACTGTTCTACTTGGCGGTGAAACGAAACAGAAAGAATCAAGACCTAGGTTCATTGATTTAAAAACCAAGGCGTTTTAATTCATTTCTTTTGCAGTCGTAGACCGTTTGCGACTGCTTTGGATGCCGCGAGAGATTCTTTGTGGTGTGAAAGAATTGATTTTCATTCGCAGATTCATGTAAGATTCATCGAAATTTCATTGATGTTAAATTTTTGTAGTTCAATCGTGCTTCTATTATGACTGCCATAATCAAAACGGTGCTCAAGATATTCATTGAAACAATTCGAGTCCAAACATATAGTAAATACGGAGTTGAGCAAGTTCAGGTATATAGTAAAAATCATTGACATGCTTTACATAATACGTTGTTATGGTCGACGTTGCGCGACGAGACCTCTTCTTAAAATTTTTGGCATTTAAAGAATTTTCCGTCGGAACTACCTGTTTTCGCAATTTTATTTTCAATTTCAGGTTGACTGCTATTACCTCCAACGCGGACTTGCTTCCATGGTTCTTGATGAGGTAATCCAACCTCGAATCCCAATCAGATTGATTTCTTTTTTTCGACAGGTCGTCGTAAACTCGATGGTAGATCAAGCCTTGTCCTCTGCTCTCAAACGCTGTTATGATCCAGTCCTTGTGCATCCGTCAAAACTCGCCCAGCTATGCGAGCAGCCGCATAGGGCCGGATCACACTCATCCAGTCAAGGCTACTAATTAATTTTAATTAATTTATTATATGTAAATATATATATATATACGGGTATGCATGCGAATCAATGAATTTCAAATGTGGTCGTGTTGTCCTGTGGTGTCGAAGGGTTGCATTACCCATAATACTTGCTTTTTGTGTTTTTTGGTCTTTTGGGGTTCTCGTTCTGATTAACACTTTTATTATTATTTATAATTATCATAATAAATGGGAGGATTAGTTTTCCAACGGTTGAGTTCGAATGGGTTCATCAGTATTACATGTATAGACAATATTCCGTTTAATGTACGATAAGAACCCTCGTCGATGTGACAGAATGTAGGAGAGTTGTATGACAAACGGCATTGAAAATGTATCAGCAATCAGCGCACCGTAGTATAGCTGAATATTATTTGAGATTAGTTTGAACAGAATTAGCTGATTACCAATATTTTCTTGATCCCGAAGGTGTACCAAAAAACAATGCCGATCGGTAGAAATAACTTCAAATTTTCAATAATTACATTTTTTTTTTTAGAATTCTCTTATATACCAATCTTGTGAATAACATGAGAAGTGTATGTAAGAATAAACATTTTTCTGAGTTATCCCATTGACTATTATTAATCCACTTGACAACTAGGAATAATTGAAGCGACAGAAAGGGTAGCACAGTGTATGGGATGTAGAGGCTCTAAATGTTTTCTATATATTAAGAAAGTTTTACTACACATATTAACCGCGGAAAAAGAATCAGACGTTGATTCGCAATCATTCACTCGTGTCGGCACTGCGAAGCAACAAACTAATCGGAGAACTGAAAACGAAAAACGTTTTTCATAAGAAATTTGTCGTTTTCGATGCACCTTTTTCTAAAATACTCGTCAAAGATACTATAAAATAAATAATTGTCAATGTTGTTTTGATTGATGCCCTGAAATTCGTGAAATTTCTCCAAATTACAGATGAGATCAATGTTGATAAGTTCTGATATTTTGATATTTTCAAACGATTCGTTTTCTCCCTCTGATATTTTCAAACGATTCGTTTTCTCCCTATTTTTTGCGTTACCTTTTTGTCAGTTATTAATTAAGGCTACCTTTCTTCGTAGATGAAAAACTTGAGCGCAGGAAATAACTTGAGGAATTTCTGAGTAGCGGCGAAAAATACGAACACATTCTGCGCTGTTGTCATTAATGTCACAGCAAATGCTGAAATAATGTTGGCCATAAAGCTAATTGAGAATATTTCCTCGTATCTTGAACATGTCTAATATTTGTATGGATTTTCGCAATGTTACCCTAATGTAGAAATGCAATCTAATGCAATCTGAACGCCGAGCATCATGTACAGCATGACGAGCATTTTGAAGAAATGCGAGGTAATTCGTGAACATAATGGATCCTCATATTTCCTGCGATCCTTCATGCGAACGATAATGTAGAATGGTAAAAAGATTAATGGCAGAAACATCAAGCATAGAAATATGAGTAGGAATGCTATTAGAATAACCAAATAATAGCTGAACTTCGCGTCATCGCTAAATTCATTGAAAAAGGTATTATTCCCTCCTTCCCAAAGAATATTCCTAATATTAATCATGAACAAGAATGACAGTTGTAGGAATGAATGCATAAGGTAACGGCGAACCGGTGAAATCATGAGGCAGGTGATATTCTACAGTAAGCTTATGACGTTCTTGCATTTTTTTTTTTGATTTATTCAACATGTATTGCAATGTGACAGACCAGATGTTATGGAAGTTCATATTAACAGCGACTTGGTTCGATTCAGAGATTCGTCCGGGGTTCTCAAGTTCACTGGCATCCTCTTCGTAGGGATAACTGATATCATCTTCTGTTACTGAGCCTCTTCGTGGCGAAGAAGATAAACTGCTCATTCTCCTCTACATAACTGGGGATTTCGTCAACCTAGTGGAACATGCTCAGGCTAATCAGTACACTGTCCCACGCAGGCCAAGGGTAGAGTCGAATACTCCTTATCCGAGCGGCTTCGATTCGGCCTAGCAAGCCGGAAGAAATAAACAGGGATCTAGTCCGCTAAAAATAGTAAAAGCTTGGAAAGCTGTGGTTCGCGCCTCAACAGGCGAAGGACGAACCGAGTAAGTGACTAAGTAATTAAGCTTATGACGTTTTTGCATTTTTTTTTGATTTATTCAACATGTATTGCAATGTGACAGATCAGATGTTATGGAAGTTCATATTAACAGCGACTTGGTTTGATTCAGAGATTCGTCCGGGGTTCTCAAGTTCACTGGCATCCTCTTCGTAGGGATAATTGATATTGCTGATCGATGGAACTTCGATATTCTCCGGTTGAGCTTGACGACGGAAACAGATTAGTTGCATGATACGGTTTTCGAGATGAATGAGTTGTTTCTTGTTGGAATCGTTTGAGGCGAAATAGGAGAGTTGGTTGATGATCGGGAATAGGGCGTATTCGACAACAAGGATACTGTAGAATATCTTAGAAGTGATATCATCGAAAAACCAAATTGATTCGGCCACAGGTAACACGAGCTGCAATTTGGGGAATTGTTCAATGAGGAAAAATGAATATGTTTCTACAATTTTTGTGAATGCTGAAATCATCGTATGGTAGAGAATGCACTTTTCCGTCGACGATTCCCAAACCTTGCAGTCTTTGCCCTCTTTTCTGAGAATTGTGGCATAGAAAACGGCGCTGATTAAAACTGTCATGCTTGAAAAGATGTAGCTGCTCTAAATAGCAAATCTAGTTATGTTTTTAAAGGAATATATTTTTAAATACCATGAAGACAGTGTCGACTAAATCATAAGTAATCGTGAAGAATCCGTACGCAACAATACGCACAAGCTTGTATACTGTAAGACCCCTATTTTAGTTGTTTTTTTTTTGTTATTTGAAGACCTCGGAAAATGAAATGGACGAATATGATGACTCGAGTCGAATGTTTCAGAAATACAGACCAATCATCACTTCAAACAGAATTTTACGTCGTTTTAATTATTGCATTCGAAAGAAAAATAGCGTTATGCGCCGATTTATGGCGAGTTTGATTCGCAAATAATATATCCATAGGATAGCCGGATCGTAAGGTACCCGAATCCACACTATTTAAATCAAAATTTGAATTACTGCCCAAAAAATCACGATAGTCCACGTTTGATCAAGGTGATAGTTTTTTGTTATAGTAATATTTGAACAATTTTTACCCTTTCGGTGTTACAGAATCCAATAAGCTCGGCTTGAAGTAGATTACGATCTTTTGAATGGCGAGGAACGTGAGGGTTATGTTGACACTCGTTGCAATAATAATAGCGGTGTAATATTGGAAAAACAGTCCCATTGCGCATATTACTTTCACAGTGGTTTGAATGAGACCGCTGAAATTGATTGTTGCTCGTTTTGTTTTCTCTACGGCTCATTCGTTTCCTATTTTCCGAAATCTCTTACTACTCTATTTTTGGCTTTCGGATATCGTAATATCAACTTTTGCTCTTTTACCATTATTGATTATGGTGCTCTTTCGAGAATTAAAGAGTTGCTAAGCAACCGGATCTTTTTTTCTCTTTTACCTTGGAATGCAGTGTAGCACGAATAGAATCGGCAAAATGTAGATGGGATAGTGCATAACAGCCAAACAGCTATTGAAATGGTCGATTACCGCGTATTTGGGAAGGTCTTGCTCCTCTTGACGATTGCGGCGAAAGATGTAGTTGTAGATGGGGAATGTCACCACCGAGCAAGCGATGAACGCGATGCTCAGAAACGCATAGATCTCGATTTTCATGATATTGATGACCTCATTGTTGGAAAGCCGCGGACGAAGCACGTCGATCTCCTTTTCCTCGGCTTCGAACGTGTAGTTGAGGAAATTCATCGCCGAAGCGAAATGATGGCGATCGAATTGAACAGAGCGGCGTCGTGTCGAACGCAGGTGAATTTGAAAAGAGAATGCGTTGAGAATGCGCAGGTTGCGAGATCTAATTATAATGTTCAAACAGCCATTTTTCTGCTTAATAAGCTTCGTCTAGTTGAGCAAATGTTTATTGATCAGAGAATTGATATGATTAAAAAAAACAAATATGCGTGTTTGTGTATGAAGTGGGAAATTACTAAACAGATAAACCAGGAGAAACTAAATAATATGAGAATGCTAAAATATTTTTGAGAAGATTTTTAATTTAAAGGAATCCCTCTTTTTATGATTCCCATGGCATATTTTGTAAAGTATGTACGCCAATATAGGAGATTATAGTATACAATTGAAACTTTCATTTCGGGGTGTTGTTGTTCCCAAATTAAATACACGTCACATTGTGGATACGACGATTTCTGAGGAGAAAGAGAAAGATTAGTGATATCATACTGCATATCTGGGTTAGCTTAATGTCTCTTTTTCATACGCACGATTGAAAATGCAAATTAATTTTTTTAAATTTCTTCAATTTAATTAATAACAGTCCATATAAATATTTTTCCTATTTAATTCATCATCGCAAGAAAGAGTGATAAGGCTCATAGCACCATAATACTATCTTTGTATAAATTGTTTCTAGTTTGGTTTTGTTTATTTTCGTAATAACCGTCCCTGAAATAGTCGGAAAATTTTAGGTTAATAATAATTCATTATTTATTACCAATATTTGCTTCAAAGAAAATGAACTCAACACGAACTCGTTTTTACTCTTTTGAATTTGCGTTTGCAACTTATCAAAATCGTTCCGTCTCGTTTTAATTTCGGACCTTATCGGACTGTTATCAACGTTTCCATTCTTTTGACACTTTTCAATGTTTCTTTGATGAATTTTTAACTTCGAATATCCTAAATTTTTTCAGATAATGAGCCAGAGACCCAGTCAGCGCATGAAGCGCTGTAAAAGTATGACAGATATTCTCGAAGAGACCAACAGAAAGGGTTCGTCGAAATCGAGAGTCCTAAAAACGAGCAACTCGAAGAAACTGTATATGGGACGAAGGAGTCTCGGAGTGGCTGCAGCAGGAAGTTCAGGGAAAAGTGAACAATTTAAGATGGCTTCGATAAATAAATTCAATATTTACAGTCAAAAGAAAGAAAAGCAAAACCGAACGGGATATCGATATGGATCGGTATGAATATGACTACGGGCTCGATGATGAAGGATATGCTCCATCTTCGTCGGAAAGTTCGTTTCGATGTATTCAATCACTTGATAAAAGCGCCAATTCCTCTTATAATCACTTGAGAGAAGCAGAACATAAGTACAATTTGGTTTGTAGTTTGCAAATTATATAATTACGTTTTTCAGAGAGCCTTGTACATATGCCAGTGCTTCATTGAGTGCCAATTTCGATGCTTTAACCCTTAATGATAGGTAATTTTAATGTAAACCTCTGCTAACTATATGTACTTTTTTCGATTTATTCAGATGTGCCTTAAACCGTGAGCTTACAAATTTCCTCAAAAAAGAGGCACGTGAGCGCACACAACAGCTTGAAATGACACAACGGGTTATGGATTGCGCCTTATTTGGAACCACTTTGGTGATTTTACATTATTAACATGTTGAATTAAACTATGAAGACTTTAGAGGTTCATTGTTGGAGATGAGAATGAGAAAAAATATAGCTTCGAGAGCATTCTTTGGCTAGTGCTCAAAGCGTATGAATCCGGAAGAGATGTGCTCATTGGAAAAGACCAATGGATGGCTGAAGATCAAAAAGTGAGTCAGTCTTTTTCAGCAGAAAATTGTCAACCGAGTTTCAGATAGCCGATGAGCGCAAAAAATGTATGATGGTATTGGATAATATCGCGGAATTTCGGCATGAGCCCAGCGAGAAAGAGCAAACTGACTCGTTGTGCAAAGGAATCGAATTTACGCCAGATTATTTTGCTGAACTCAGAAATGTGTGGAATCGCGGTAAACAAAATCTCACGTTGGCGGTTTGAATAATAAATAGAAAAAGTTCAGTGAGCACAATTCTCGAACGATTTGATCGTCTCGTTACGCTGTTCCCTCATCAAAATGCTCTCTGGGCCGTCGTTGAACATGATAGAGGCGCCGTGCAACGAAAAATGATTGAAGAACGGCTGACGGCGATGCGGGTTTGGCTGAACACTGTTAACGATATTTGCGACAAATTTGAAAGGGTAATTCGGTTTATTTTTGAATTCATTTCAAAAATGGAAAATATATTTTAGCTCGGTAATCTTTTCGATGTCAATGCGATGCCGGGTGGCGTAAAGAGCTGGTTCCGGCCATTGCATGAGGATAACGCAGTGTCGTCGATTGAGGAGATTCAGCCAGTATTCGGAATTTATGTGAAGAAAAGTTTAAATTTGAAGGTATCATTTGGTTCGACGTATCTAACTAACGTATGATTTATATGATTTAGGGAATGAAACGTGTGCTTTCTCGCGTCGAATCACTCATTGGAACTACTGTGGCGAAGACAGTGATTCTCATGCAAAAACCACCGGAATCGTATGCAGCAGCGGCGATGGCAAGCACAAAGTGTCAATTGCCAATATCGGATGCGTTTGTTAGTTGATTTTTCTCCATTTTCGAAAAAAAAATGTTTGGTGTCCGATTTCTAGAAGGAACGTTACGCGGATATGGAAAACTGGCGCTTCTGCACACCAACATACAGAGCGTTAGGCCTTCCGAAACCAGCCAAACTTTTCTTCTTCCTTTTGGCAATTCCCATGCAGCTCGTCATTAAATGGCTGAATGTTCGATCGGAGGCTCAGCCGCCAAGCGAACAAGCATTGGATGAGCTTACGATCGATGCGATGATCACCGATTCGAGGGATTGTGTCGAAGTGGCGTTGAGAATAAAGAAGAATTACATGACGATTCTACAAGCGTTATGCTCGAAATGTGCGGTTCCTGCTTATTTGTATCCGAACGATTTTGATTCAAATGTTCGAGCAGTTTTTCAGGTAAAAAATTTCGAAAATTAAGCGTAGGTTATACGTCTGGGGAGTTTTTTCCAGAAGTACATTCATTATATCTATTGCTGGACAAATTGTGTTGTTGATCAATCGGATATAAGCAATTTATTCGAGATGCTTGAGAAAGAATGGTCGATTGCTTTGAATTGTGCGAGATCGATTACGTCGGGCGGCGAGTTACTGTGCACATCCTTGTGGTATATATTGGTTAATTCGATCCTAACAAAATGTTTTTTTTTTTTAAATTTATAGCAACATTATTCGATTGATTCTCCGAGGAATGATTGAGGATTTCGAGGAAGACGAAGTTGACAAGTTCAAAGACCAATTCGTTCAGGACGATGACGACCCGTTCGAAGAGATATACATTGGCGATCGGCCTAGGATCACTCCGATTCAAAACTTTTTGAGATCTATAAATGAACTAATCAAAGAGGTCAAGAATCGAGAGCTTCGAACATTTGCTTTGATCCGAACAGCTCTAAATGATTTGCAAGATGCAGTTGGATATCAATTGAAGGATGATGTCAAAATATCGCGTCTTTTGCTCACAATGGCTGAAGACTTCTGTCTGGTTCGTAAATTTAATATTAGAAGTTGTATTCGAAGCCAATTTTCAGATCAAGCTGAATCACGCCGGTGATGATGGTGAAGAATGTTTCGAAGAAAATTTGAACGTCGCAATATTTATAGATAAGCAAACTGTGGATAAGGTTAGAGTTCAATAACGCCTTGATAGTAAAACATTGTCTAGGGTCTCGTTGAGAATTGCTTATTAGCGCTGTCCGAAGGTCGCAAATCTGACGATTCTTGCATTATGATTTTACCCGACACTCAACACAATATTGGCTCTATTTGGAGCGGAAGAAGCACAAAAGTGCCGATTGGAGAGGAGACCCGTATCAGCTTTAGTAATATTCGGTCTGATGAGATTCTCTCGATTTGTAATGCTGAGAGGCTCAAAATATTGGAGGGCAAATACGTCAATTTATTAAAAGTTTGTAATTCTCAAAGAAAAAAATTAATAGACACAAAATATTTTAGATTACATCACCCAGCTGCTCTTTCAATGAAATAATATTTAGCAATATTAACGATCTCACTGTACGTTTTTAATTTTTCTCCAAACTGTTTCTTGTCGGCGTCGTGCGACTACGGAATATTGGCTAAATGCCAAAAGCTACATGTGTGGTCTTCTCGCAAATCAAAAGTGTAGATTTACGGGCATTAGGATAGGTTAAAGGCGCACTCGTACTTTTTATTGGCATTTAGCCAATTTTTCGTAGTCACGCGACGTCGACAATATCTATAATTTTTAAATAAAATTTTTGGGTTTAGGAAGAATCTCTTTTGAAACACCTCATTCGACAACATGAGAGAATTCAAATGCTCATTGACAAAATTGTTGAAAACTACGATCCGGACGATAAGCCGAAAAGAAGCTTGAAAACGACATTGCAGAAACATTTCTTGATCACTTTCCAGGTTTGTCTTCAATTTTTTCAAATGCATTTTCTTGGATCTAAATTTATGGCTCGAACTTATGGCTATCGTAAAAGTCGGATTTCTCCGGACTGGAAAAGTTCAGAAATCCAACTTTTGCGATATTCCTACCCTTTCGAAACGTAAATTCAAATCTAGAAATAGCAAATTCTGCATTGAGAATAAGAAGTTCTTATAATAATAGGAAAAAAAAACTGTTGGATTTAGATTCATCGTGATGTTGCGCGTGTGATTAGCGACTCGTTTATGGAGAAGTTTGGAAAAGAAATGATTGATATTGCTCTTACCATCTTTGAAAAATGGATGATATTTGTTACAAGGTTAATTCGCCAATTATTATTCGTCTATAATTCAAAAATTGACAGATTCTGCTCGCCAGCTAGTCAATTGCCAATGTGGGCAATTCCCGCATTGAATTTTCTTCACAGCTTCAGCGAACCCAAATGGACGTGCTCGAGTGTGATGACAGACGCGCAATATTCGAAATTGTGCGAACTCGTGGCTCGACATAAGTCTGCTGTTATAATTGAGAAGGACTCGGTGCTTGCTGAGCGTCTTGCTCGGCCATCGCATATAATGAGCCGTTCGACAAGCTCGAAATCAACTACATCCAGTTCGTTGGAAAAAGAGAAAAAACAAATTTCGAAATTGATGGATATTGAAATACTTCGTGATAATCAGGTTCGAAGGAAAATCAAGTAAAGGATTTGCATTTTTGATGATTATGATTCAGCTCCGTAAAAATCGGGACATTGGTCGTGTGTTGAATGGCGATGAAGAAGTTTCGGTGCTTCCTCGAGACGATTCGACGGTTCGAAACATCCCAGCACCTTTTGAATACGTGATAATCAATGAGATCGCCACAGGCGGTTTCGGAATTGTCTACCGAGCGATGGTGACTAGTCAGGAGCCCAGAGTTATTGCCGCCAAAGTCATCAGCATTAACAAAGTGCTGACAAATGAGATCAATGTATTCCGGCAGCTCAGTCATAACAATTTGGTCAAATTCTATGGATTCGAGATGAATACAAAATCGGTGACAATATTCATGGAGTATTGCTCAGAAGGAACTCTTGAGGATATTTGTACGAATGGAATGGATTTGACGATGGCACGAAAGTTCACCAACAGCCTTCTGTGTGCAGTACAGTACCTTCATGATCATAAAATAATCCATCGTGATATCAAACCGAAGAATATATTTCTTGACAAGAAATGTGTACTGAAGCTCGGCGATTTTGGGTGTGCTGCTCGATTACGAACGAATGTTACCATATTTGGAGAAGTGCGCGATGTCATTGGAACAGTGAGCTACATGGCTCCAGAGATTTTGTCTCGCGGCGAAATGACAAATGAAGAAGGTGTCTATAAAGGATATGGAAGAAGTGTCGATATTTGGGCGATCGGATGTACGGTAATTCATATGCTGAGTGGAGTTGCGCCATGGAAAGGAATGGACATGTATCAATTGACTTATAAGGTATCTCAAATGGACTGTCAATCCCCAAACGTAGGAGTTGTTTTAGATTTGCCTTCTCCAGCAGAAGCCACCATATCCTCATGGAAATCGAGAAGATGTCAGAGAGTTTTTGGATATGTGCTTTGAGTATCTTCCGGATGACCGCGCGAGTGCTTCAGAGCTTCTGAATACAACATTTGCTAATGTTAAACCGGCGGTACGAGCTTAAACGCATAATTTTGTAAATACATCGATTGAATTACAGGACGAACGCCCGATTTATGAGAACCAATCGTCAAAAGAAGACTCATTCCAGTTGATTTAAACAAAATATTTTCTTGTGAATATTTTCTTAATTGTACATAATTTATCTACCTACCCCGTGTGTCACTATAATTGCAGTAAAAAGTTGAACCTCAGCAGGAGACGCGGCTCATATTTCCCAAGCAATTAAATAGAATGAAAAGAATGTCAGACAACACTTTACACCCTCCGCCACTCGACGTATTGTGCTAATCATGCGCACAAGTGCCACCTCTACCATATGCTAGCGCCAGTTTTGATTTTATTCATTTGTCGTCGTCGTGTTGCTCATTCATCAATTTTTCCAGTTTCTAGAGATGTCTGAATTAATTCGCGTTATTCGTATTCGAAATGCGAATGGTGAAGAGAAAATGCTTACTGTACCGGCGAAATTGGATTTGGAGAGACCGAAGCGTCCAAGAACCGTGTTCACGGATCAACAATTGCAGGTTTCTCATTTAGACAATTACGCGGCAAATTTTTCAAGCGCAATTTACTGTAGAAGTTTAAAGGCACATAATGCATTTCCATTACTGTAGAAGTTTAAAGGCACATAGTTTAAACGCACACTTGTAAATCAATAACAATTGGACCCGATTGGAAATTCAAAGAAATTATAGAATAATCGTAACTGATTAGGTCTTTTTTTGAATAATTTCGGATCCGATTTTGTATTTATTTTTCATCTTAATTGTAGCAAAAATTGAAGAGAAACTCTTAAACCTTTAAAATTGTTAAAAACAAATGAGAAGATATTCTTCGAAATTTGTGGAGGATCACTTTCCACACATTCCTAATGGGTACCTAAAAGTTGATTAAAAACCTTGTCTCCTCTAACAAATACAAATATTTATTGTTCCAATTTGCAGACAATAGCGATAAGTTTATTTGATATTTGTTACCACAACTTTCAACATTTTTGCAGATTCTCGAGCAATCCTTCAATGATTCCGGATATCTTTGCGGTGCTGAACGTGCTCAACTTGCCGCCAAACTTGGTTTGAGTGATAATCAGGTATTTCAAATACGTACTTAATACTGAGTTATATACCGCAAAACAATTATCTCAATTAATTCCAGGTCAAAGTATGGTTCCAAAATCGACGCACCAAGCAAAAGCGAGAAAGTTCAAAGTTCGTCTAGCTTCTTCATCGAATAATTAAATAATTTATTTTTCAAAATTTCAGGGAGGTTTCCCAACCAATTCAGGTAAACAATCAATTCTCATTTCCGTGTGGATATTGGATAAATTCGAGCAATTCACAACTCAAAACGACAATGGGCTAAAAATTCCAATTATTTTTTTAATGTTTGTAAATAACGCAATAAATACCTTTTTACCATCGAGTAACAAGTTAATGATGATCTATGACGATGTTTCGTTTTGAGGGGAACAGATAAATGAGAAATTTCACCATATAAAAAAAACGTAAAAGCTTACACCTGAATGCAAAAAATTAAATTAAATTTAAAAAATATTGATTTCTATTTCATGTTCATAATATTTTTCACATTTCTCAGCGTTTTTTTCAGATTAACTTGCGAAATCCACAACAGAAAGAAAGTAACACAACGTCACTACTAGTTTTACGCATATCGCCCTCGATTTAACGTAAACACTTTTTGGCGCTCGTTGAAATTGTTTGTCATTTTTATCGGTTTTCCGCGTTTTCCGGTATTTCTCCACCATTAATTGTTTATTTATTTTTTGTTAGTACTTAATATTAAAAGTAATAATTTAAAATTTTATAAGCTTAAATATTCTTTTTGAAACAATTTTTTATTCCCTCGATATTAATTGCGGCGTCATTGCAGAATGTCTGACAACAAGCGGACAATGCAACGTAAGAACTAATGAAATTAATTAATTGTTTTAAAATTTCTTCTATTTTAGAACTACTAGAAATTACCCGCTATTTGAACGTCGATCTTAATTCTCAACAAATTCAAAGCGTCGACAAGGTTTTCGAAAATTTAATGGGCTTATTCATGCAATAACAAAAAAGTAAAAAATTACACATTTTTTCAATGCAGGGAATTAAAAAAGAATACACATTAAATGTAATTTTATCATTTTTTGTTATTCATGAATATTTCCATTTTGAATTTGGCGTGAATATTCATTTTTAGCTTATCGAATTAGGCGTGAGCCCGGTAAAATTGGTGCGTTTATTACAAGAAATCACGAGTTCAACGCCAACAAAAACAACACAGAATTCTCCAAGTGATCGGGAAAATCAATACAAACATTAATTATACGGGCTGATGTATTGAATAAATGTATAACTGTGCTTCTTATTAATATTTCTTGTTTTATTAATTAGGTTGCTGTACCTTTGCATACCAATTAACCCTTCTTTTTATTTAAATATTAAAAAATTTTGTTTTTGTTTAGATGAAGAACCAAACAATAGAAAAGGGTATGCTTCATACCCTCGATATCGAGAACTTCAAATCATACAAAGGAAAACATGTGATTGGACCGTTTTCCCGTTTCACTGCCATCATTGGACCCAATGGATCCGGAAAATCGAATTTGATGGATGCCATTTCATTTGTTCTTGGAGAACGCGCATCCAGTCTTCGGGTTAAGAAACTATCGGTTTGTAATTTTTCAAAATGTTACTTTTAAAATCGAAAATTGTAGGATTTGATTCATGGTGCCCCGATTAATAAGCCAGTCTCCAAAAGTTGTTACGTTACGATGAATTACAAATACGTCGATGGTCATATGAAGGCATTCACGAGAGGTGTACATAATGGAACATCAGAATTTCGAATAGACGGAAAGGTTTTTGATATTCGTTTTTCATCGCATGATCATACTTTTATAATTGCAGAATGTTACTGTCCAGCAGTACAATCAAGAAATGGAGTCCATCAACATTTTCATCAAAGCCAAAAATTTTCTTGTGTACCAGGGTGCGATTGAATCAATTGCAATGAAAAATCCAAAAGAGCGAACGCAATTGTTCGAGGAATTGTCGAGATCTCAAGAGTTTCAACACGAATATGAGCGATTGAAGCTGGAAATGACGAAAGCTGAAGATGATACGCAGACGAATATGAATAAACGGCGAGGAATTGCGCAAGAGAAGCGAGAAGCTAAAATGGAGAAAGACGAAGCTGAGAAATATCAGAAAATGAAAGATAGTGTGGTAAGAATCATTTTGAAACTATGTATTTTCAATACCTAAACATTTCATTTTAGGCTGAAAAACAGAAACTTCTGTATTTGCATCAGCTATTTCACGTTGAAAGAATTATCTCGACCGCCAAAAAGGAGTTGGACGAGAGAAAAACTGAAATTGGCGGATTGGAAATTCGAAAGAATTCAGAAGACATGAAACTCTCAAAAGCGCAGAGTGATTTGAAAAAAGCGCAAAAAGAATATCACAAGATTGACAAGAAAATTGCCGATAAGGAGAAAGAAATTACGCATCAGAGGCCGCTGGCGGTTCAAGCGAAAGTCGAGGTTCAGCATCACGCGAAAAAACTTGAAACTGCCAAAAAAATGCTGGAAACCGCGCAAGCGATGGCGGAGAATAGCAAAAAGACGCTTGACGATCTTGTTCAACGAAAAACGTAACTTTAAACACTGATATTCAACTAGAAAATGTCTTGAAATTTCAGGGTTGTTGAAAACGAGAAAAAAGTTTATGAATTGGAAATTGCTGAGATGTCTCAACAACAAGACCTGAATCTCTCAAATGAACAGGTGAATGAATACAATGATCTCAAGAGACAAGCAATCATGGAATCGGGACGAATCGACTTCGAACTAATTTCGGCAAGACAAGTTCTCGAAACTGAGCGCAGCAATTTGAATCATGAGGAGAGACGAAGGATTGAGCATGAGCAAAGGGTAAACACCAAGTCTAGTGAAGTTGATAGGGTTGAGAAGCAGGTGAGAATTGTCATTTTCGTGCAATTCAAACGTACTCGTTGTAGATCAAAAGTCTTCATGCAAAAATTGCTGAAACTGAGGTTTCTTTGAGAGATAAACGCGACGGACTTGTTCATATTGAGAAACAAGTAACTTCTTCAAAAACGCGTTCTTCAGAGGTTGACGATTCGCTTTTTATAAAGTCTATTAATATTGTTTTTAGCTTAATAAAGAATTGATCGATATTCAACGGAAGCTATCGGAAGCTTCCGGTGATTCTGCTGAAGGAGAGCGAAATTTGAAGCGGAATGAAGCGATTGACAACTTGAGGCGAGTATTTCCTGACAGGGTACGCGTTTTCAAAGACATCTCCTTACCGTAATCTTATATTTTTTTATTTCAGATTTTTGGACGTCTCGTTGATCTTTGCCAACCATCACACAAACGATTCCAATTGGCGATCACCAAAATTCTTCAGAAACACATGATGAGTATTGTATGTGATACTGAAGAAACTGCCAAAGATGCGATCGCTTATTTAAAGGTTTTCAATTCATTTCAGAATTAATGAAGTATTGTGTATTCTAGGAACAACGCTATCAGCCTGAGACGTTCCTTCCGGCCGATACCCTTGATGTTCAACCGATTAGCGAGAAATTGCGAGATTTGAAAAAGCCTGCTGGTGTCAAGCTTGTATTTGATGTTATTAATGTAAGATTCAAAGCAAATAATATTTTTAATGATACTATAATATGACATATAATTTGTTATAGGTTAGCAATCAAGCTGCTAGAAAGGCTCTTCAATTTGCGTGTGGAAATGCATTACTCTGCGAACATCAGGAAGACGCGAAACAGCTAGCTTATGGAGGAAGTATCCTTCCAGATCGGCATGCGATTTTCTCTTTTCGATATTTTATTAATGTGTTTTCAGGTATAAGGCTGTCGCGATGGATGGAACCTTATTTCAACAATCCGGAGTAATGTCTGGAGGATCGGCTGATCTTCGACAGAAGGCGAAGAAGTGGGACGACAAGGTTGTTAGGTAAGCATTTGTTTTGTCTTACCTGGATTATGTTTTTTTTTTTCAATTTAAAGAGGACTCCGTGAGACGAAGAACAAACTCATTGAAGAGATAACCAATTTGAGCAAAAACCGCCGAAAAGAGCTCGATGTCGAAGTTGAGAGGAACAAAATTGCGGAAATTGAGCACCGCCTTGTTCATATGCAAAATGAAGTTAGACGATTGGAGAATGATGTTCTTGCTCGTCTCAACAATGAGCTCGAAGGATATAAAGCGGAGCTTGATATGTTGCCGCCGAGGATTGCTGATCTTCAGGAGCGTGTTAAGAAAGCCGAAGACGTTGTCAAAGATTTGGAGCAGAAGAACAATGCTGTCGCTGATAAGATTTTTGCGCAATTTTGTGCCAAAATTGGAATCCGCAACATTCGTGAATATGAAGATCGAGAGTTGCGAATCCGTCAGGAAACTGAGGATAAACTGCGCGAGTTTGAGGATGAGATCCAAAAGCTGAAATATGAAATCGATTATGTGCAATCGGAAGATGGCGGGAAGAAAGTGAAAGCTGAAAAGGAGAAAGTCTCGCGGCTAGAGAAGGAATTCAAAGAGTTGAAAAAGAGGGAGAAGACTGAAGAAACGACGTTGGCGAATTTAGAAAGCTCATTTGAAGACGAAAAGGTTCATCAATACAATATCAATAATATTTTCCAATTTTTTGTTTTAGGAAAAACTTGCCGAAAAGAAGGAAATTGTACAAAAACTTGAAATCGAGGTCAACGAGCTCAAAAAAGCGGCGCTAGCTGTTGCCCGTGATGTGTCGGCAGCTGAGAAAGCACTGATTGGTCTTGAGGGAATTGTGACACGAAAGCAGTACGAGCGGCATTCGCTTCTTCATTCCGCTAAAATTAATCAGATCCCACTGCCACTTCTTGTTGGAAGTATGGCCGATATTGATTACGACGATGACGACGATGGTGGGCGAATTTTTTGGAATTGTCGAATTAGTTTCGCGTTTTTCAGATTATGATGATGATGAGCCGAGTCAGTCTTCTTCTCAAGATGGTCCGTCAGTTTCTCAGGAGCAGATTCAGAGAGAATCCCATATTAAAGTTAACTATGCGATATTGCCGGACGATTTTCAATCGGTGAGTAGTATTCAGCTGTTTTTGTTCAAAGAATTTTTTAAAATTAGAAATGAGTTAGGTATTTTCGGGATTTACGTGTTCTCTAAATTAACAATATTGTCTGATTTTCAAGATCGAAGATGAAGACAATGTGAAAAAGGCGACGGATCGATTGAATAAGGAAATTTCCGAGCAGCAAGCGATGATTTCGCGATTGAATGCACCGAATCTAAAGGCGAATCAAAGGTATCTCGATGAATAAAAATATCATTGATATTTATGCGATTTTTTTAGAATGGAAGAAGTCAAAGAACGAGAAGCTGAATCGACGGAAGAACTCGAAAATGCACGGCGAAAAGCGAAGAAGATTCGGCAACAATTTGAAAGGGTTTGTTGTGTTTTTCTTTTCCGCCTACAACTACTGATAATAGAGAGGCGTGTTGTCAGTAGGGCGGCCGGCGACGAGAAGATGAAAATTCTCGTGGTTTCATGATTTTTTGCTGATTGATTACCCCGAGTTGTTTTTCAGATAAAAACCGAACGCTATCGACGATTCCAGGAGTTTTTCGATCCTGTTAGCAATGCAATTGACGATATCTATAAGGTTTTCTGTTTTTTTTTCAATTTGTTTAATATTTTGTTCGATGTTTTGCAGCAACTTTCCCGTAATTCTAGTGCTCAAGCCTTCTTAGGAGCTGATAATATGGAGGAGCCATATTTAGACGGAATTCAGGTGACTTTCTTTTTTGATTTTATTCTATCGTGAATTTTTCGCACAACGGATGCAGTATTTTTAGACTTTTGCCTGTTCACTGATTGTATTGAGGTGAATTAGTGTATTTTTTTCAGTACAATTGTGTTGCGCCGGGAAAACGATTCCGACCAATGGACAATCTCTCCGGTGGTGAGAAGACGATTGCGGCTCTTGCTCTTCTGTTCGCCGTGCACGGCAGAAATCCGGCGCCGTTCTTCGTTTTGGATGAGATTGACGCTGCTCTCGATAACACGAACATTGGCAAAGTTGCTTCTTATATTTGCGAGACGGCGCGCGAGGAGATGCAGATTATTGTCATTTCACTTAAAGAAGAATTTTATAACAAGGTGAGTGGTTTGGTTTTCAGACGGAACAAACTATTTTCTCTTTTTTGAGTTTATTTTTCTTTCTGAATGAAAAAAAAACACTAGGAATTCAAAAAAAAAAACTATTTTTCCCCGCGACAGATGTACGCAGGTTTTTTTTAATGGTTTTTCCACACCTGACGACTTATTTCATTGTTTCCACGAATATACAAATGAGTTTTGTACATTCTTGAATTTCTAATCATCATTCAAATTAGCATTTCTCGAATTGCGCGCTAATATACAAAATTACCAGTTTGTCCGCGTGAGACCCTAACGATAAAAAAAACGCGGACAGTTAAAACTAAGAGAGCTCGAAGAGCTTTGATCTTTACCTAATCACATTTGCATTTGTTTGAGATATCAGCCGTTTTTATGTTTCGGCAACTCATCAAACGAAAAAAAAAAACCGAAATTTATGTAATTTGCGACGATAAGAATGCGATATTTAGGCGGACGCACTTGTCGGAATTTATCAGCAGCCGGCGGCTTGTACCACATCTGGCGTGCTCACGTTTGATCTGACGAAATTCAAGCAAAGCGGAATCAACGAGATGACTGAAAATGTGCCGCCGCCGCCACAAGCATGAGAGGAAATGTACTCAAAATCACCTAATTCAAAATTACCTGTACCATATTCAAAAAATCTACTTCCATACGAAATTGGTCTCAATTAACTTTCATTTATTGCCTAATTTGTACCATTAATGATCTTGGCATTTTTCAAATATTTATTTTATATTCTATTCAAAAATCATAAAGTTTCCGATCCAGAACCCAAGGTTTCTTTTTTTGCTCATTTTAAGGTTTTTGGCCTATGCGTTTTTACATTTTATCTAGTTTTCTGATAACTAATTTTATTGGAAATTCTAGGCTGTTAAATGAATAACGAATATGCAGAAGCAGGAGGGACTGGATTTGATGATGTGAGGTAATTCGATCATTTCGATTATTGAAAAACCAGATTTTCAATTTTTGTAGAGACAAATATGGAAAACTGCGCGATTTCGTTCGACAGAAGACGCGACGTCGAATCGACAGGTATTATGATCTCGTGCCGAGACCCGGCACCCAGTACTGTATCCACGTATCGATTCGCAGTATACAGGTAAATTGGCCGGAAAATATGGTTATAGATTGATGTAGGAGATGCTCAGACGTCGGCGTTGGTCGGTTCGATTCTCGGACCCATCTCGTCGGTCCTTCTACATCGACATGACAAAAAGGAGCTCGTCGAGTCGTTCGTGTTGGGCGGACTGAATGGAGCACTCGTCGGAGCCGCATTAGGACCAATTATTGCGTTGGCGACGTGCAAAAATATGAATCGAGTCACGAAAATGAAAAATTATGTTAACAGCAAGTGAGATATTTGAGATTCATTTTACTTGTCATGCGCCTTTAAATATGTATGAAAAAAACAAGGCTGATCAATTTTCTTTGCAACATTTAGACAGACACCCTGAGAAATTGCCGTATTTTATGAATAATTTTGAAGTTTTTTCTTGAAAATTTAGCCAATCCCCAACTTACATGACATCCGCGAAATCCGTTCCCCCCAGCTTTTCCGAATGTCGAAAGTGCAACATTTTTCTCTTTGACGTAAAATTTCCGTCGTGTGCAAAACAAATACGAGTGAAATCAGCGGAATGTTGTTAAGTGCTGATCAAAGTTTTTTTTTTCTTTTTGAGAAAAAAATGCCGAAAATTGGATAAAATTGATACGAATAATAATGATTTGCGTGCAGATTTGATCAATCAATGTTGTGGCAAGATCATATTGCAATCGCATCAGCAGCTGTCGGATTCCTCTCACATGGCCAAATCGGCCTCGTCGTTGGCCTGGATTTGTCGCTTTTATTCGCGCTTGTCTCTAGAAAATGGTAGAATTCTCCGATTTTAGTTTTTTCCTGTACGATTAGACTGATTTTTTTCTTTACCACGTTTTTTTTTGTTTTCTACATTTTACCGCTTTTCGCCAATTTTACGGGCTTCTTTTTTCGTACCCGGTTCATTGCTCCAGTCATTTTTTAAAATATTTTATTAGCTCAAATAAAAAGATTATGTGTCGAATGAAAATGGACGATTTCAGACGAAATTTTCAGCGGTTTTGTGCCGCCTATTTTTCAATATCTCAAACATCGTTAAACCTTGATTTTTTAATCATCGATGATTGACAGATGAGCTCGTATTGGTTCAAGAATTTTGTTGGAATCAAGCAGAATGATTTTGAACTTCTCCAGGTGACCTTATATGTAGTACTACATAAATTTCGAGTTAAAAACAGCTCAGAAACCCTCTAAAAATCTTTCAAAGACTTAGTTTGCCCAGTTCCTTGGGTATTTTTTTCTAAAAGCTTCATACCATATATTTTTGAAAAGAAAGCTTTGAAATATTTACTTTTGAAGGATTCTTTTCAAAAAAAAATTTTTTTCAAGTAGTGTTTGAATTATTAATTTAAGTCGCGTTTTCATTGAAACAGTAATGCTCGAAAAATTATTTGTTAAAAAAAAAGAAAAAAACAATGGTGGTGGGTATACTATATTTATTATTATTATTGTATTATCATAATTTCATAAACTGCAAACATAGATAAAAAAATTTAAGAATGCTGAAAATCTTATATTTTAGCGTTTTTTTTTTTCTTGAAAATCTCTCATTCTATTCGGATTTCGCTAAAAATACAGTCTGAGCAAAATATTAGTTTTATCGAGTTTTTTTTTTCTTTCAACTAACTGCAATTTTCAGGTTCCGAATGCTGGAGCAGAATTCTGTATCCATGTGACCCTGAGAAGTATGCAGGTATAATTACGGAATTTGTTCTTTATTAAAAAAAAAATGTTAATTATTTTCGACCGGAGCGATTCTTGGATCAATTCTTGGACCATTATCGGCATTAATTTTCAAAGATCAACAGATAAAATCAAAAACATTGGTGTATGTTTTGATTTCAAAGTACACATTTTAAATATTGATTTTAGGGACTCTTTCGTCTCTGGAGGTGTGAATGGAGCTCTGATTGGGACCGCAATGGGACCAGTTTTGACCTATTTGAGTCTTCGTAACATGAATAGCATCAAACTTTATGATAAGTGCTACAGATTGAGGTATTATTTATAATGGCTTATGATCTAAACCCGATTATTCTAGATTCGATCAACATGCCTTGTGGCAAGATCGAACTGCTCTCATCTCTGCCGCCGTTGGATATTTGAGCAGTGGATCCATGGGTCTCGTCGTCGGACTCGACTTGTCGCTTCTCATGAGCAACGTTATGGGAAGAGCATGGTAAATACACAACCAAAACTATTGTATCTAGATTTTTGCGATTAATAAATTGATTAGATTTTACATTTTTCTCAATTGACACATTCTCTAGTAAATATACCTCATTACGTACTATTATATCTCCCTTCGATGTATATCATGAAAAGAAATTGGAAACGTTGTTCATAAATAGTTGATGTATTCAGAAACTGATTATTCACTCTTTTTATGCAACGGGCATACTCGACATAATTTATTTGATTAGTTTTTTTTTTTTGAGTGATTGAAAATTGGTCACAATGGGAATCCACAGTAGTTCAAAATAAAACTTCTGGATCAATTCATCTGCGGGCAAGTTTCATTGCGAAGAGATAGATGAGAATCGAATTGCAAATTTCATTTCATTCTTGCCAGAATGCATTGTTGATTGCAAAAATTCATCAGGATTATGGATTCGCGAATGAAATATTGATGAGTTGATATATGAATGTATGTATGTCCAATCGGCTGCGGCCTCGTTCGACCCGCCACATTCGTTCGATTATTTTTGTATACAATCCGAGAGAAAAGCGGCGCCCGCCTTATTCTCTCTCTCTCTCTTGACGAAACATTTGTTCGGCCGACCGGCCGACACCAATTTCGCGCACACATCTACCGTGGGAGGAGGAGACGAACAGAAAAAGAACTGCCGGTTCGTCGGCTGCGGCTGGTCTGTGCTGCTGTGGGGGGGAGGAGGTAGGTAGTAGTTGACGAGAAAAATACATTCGTATCGATTGATCGGTCATCGCGCACTCGCACCAACCGAGTGTGCGCACCGCCGTCGCCGCCCTCACCTGTAATAAACACAGAGCGACCCCCCCCCATCGATGAGAGAGCACGAGAGATGGAGAGACGCCGAGCGACACAGAGACATGCCTGCCTCTTACGGGCGGTTCCGATGTGTGCGCGCCCCGCGATCGACGATTTTCGCGTTTTACTTATTTATTAACCACCCCGCCTCCCACCACATCTTGTTTCTCGCGATTTCCCCCCAAAAATCGATCATCGATTAGATGAGATGTGCTGCGGACAGTCATCGTGGTTCCGCCAACTGCTAGGACTGTCAACAGTCAGCTTCATGATTTTTTTATTATTCATATCTCTTATAAAACATTGAAGGAATTTTCACGAACTAATGTTGTTCTTCGTCCGCCGATTCGTCGTAAATCATCATCCTACAAATATTGAATGACGTCGAACCAACTTGCATTTGATTTGTTGTCGCAAATTGTAATTTCAAACAAATCAGTCGCCGATATTGATCTTTTCTCTCATTATTTAATTGGAAAATTGTTTTCTAATAGGAAATTACGCTCAACGACAAAAAAAATAAAGGAAATTCATAGTAGTCTGGATTTTTCGTATTGACAGCTTGTCAGAAAACTAAAAAAGATCGTTTTTGTTTATTAAAAAAAATGCTGGTTGGTTCAAAAATGTGTTAAATAGCCACAGAAAACACTAGAATTGACGACAATTTCGGTGTTCTTCTCATAAATATTCGATAGTGACATTAACATAGGCGTTTATTGGCACATTGTGAGAGTTCAAGTGCCTCTTCATAATGTGTTATTAATAAAATGATGATGCTGCGGTCTTTCTCCATCTTACTCATCATATTATTACGATGTGTCCTACCACGATTGCGATTATTATTATTATTATTATTATTCGTGCAAGTTGCGAGGATTAGTAGCTCATTGATCGCCATCATTCTCGGTTCGCTGAGTTTCAATGGCGGAATCGCGTTTAATTGAAATCGCCGCGGGTTTCGGCGAGAGAAATTGAAAAAGAAGACCGCGCGAGCCATCGGCTCCGAATTTTTATTGGCACTAGCAGCACACACACACACACAAAAACGAAATGAGGTTGAAAAGAATAATTAACAAGATTGGACTCTTTGAGTGTCGGAAGGCACTAGTTTTTCAATGAAAATTTGCTGAAAGTCACGCATTGCTTGGTTTCTTTTCTTTTTTTTCTATTTGATTACCGGCTTTAATCATTCTATTGAGTCTTTGCTCGCGAACTCTGATATTTTTGAATCGGTAGAATCGCAATCATAAATCATTTTTGATTGGAAGCGAGCTCAAATCTTGCCAACTGGTTCCATATCGATTCGATTCATTCGAGATGTGCCACCACCCGTCGCCAATTATCATTGACCTTTTTCGACAGCCCTCGCCGTCGGACCCCAAGCAAAACTTTTGCGCGTTTATTTCAACCTCATTTCTCCTATATTCGGCGACATTATTTGAAGATTTCGAAATAATTCTCCAAAAACTGATGCGAAAACGTCATTTTCTGTTGTTCGTCAGCAATTTCAAATATTTTAATTGATTTGATTTTGGATTTTCTTGATCATTTTCCTGATAATTTACCATTTTTCGGTATTTTTGAATTGACGTTTAATCAAAGATCTTGGTTTTTGATAACATACGCTCAAAATTGCTCACACTTTTCGATCTTCCAACACGTTTCAATGTCGTTTGCTCCAATTTGATAACATTTTCTTGATTGCAAATTGAGTGGACTTTATTATTTATATAATTGTATAATCTAGGAGAAGCTCAGAAGCCGTTCAAAGAATTTGCCAATGTGATTCTTTTATTGAAAAAAAGAAACAAAAATGCTCCTTTAATTCTCGATTATCAAAATTTTGCTAATTTTGTATTTTTTTTTGTAAAAAAAACCATTCATTCAGTTTTTAATCTCCGAGAAAATTTGTGCACAAAAATTGGATATTCTTGGCTACAATGTTCGCTCAATTTCAGCGGAATTGTAGTATCCAATCGGTTTTTAAAGGAGTTCTCGTTTTCCATAAAAGTAATACTGCATATATCATTCGATTTTATTCACTTCAGTGAGCTTTATTTCATAGAAATGTTGATGAAAATCCGAATCTTCTAGTAGGAAATGCTACTTTTCTTCCACATATATATTTCTTGTTTTTTTTCTTTTCGATTCAGGACCCATTTGTGTTTGTTGTGTACCGAATTCGAATTTCGAAAATCCTCCTTTCCTCAATGCCCATAAAAAATCGAATTTGTTCGCCAAGTGGAACCGAAGAAACAAAGCAAATTAATTCATCGGTTGTTTGGGACGACGGACGAAAAAAAAAGAAGAAGATGAAGAACCACACAAATAGCCACCCAGCAGCCAAGAAGCGAATCGAAGAGGCCGGCAAAACGTTGCGTCGTTAAAAATCGTAGGCATAAAGAACAAAATATATAGTTAGATAGATGTATGTGCGCATATATATATATCTATCTATCTGCTAGTGGCCCTTCGACATATATGCCGAGGCGATTTTGTTTGTTTGTATTGGCCACTGGACGAGCCAAGCCGGTCTCGGTCGTTGGTTGCAGAAGCCGGGGCACCATCGGGTCCCCTCTCCCCCGTCACCATAAAAAAAAGAACGCATAGGTGCTGGCTCAAAGTATATGTTGCATAGTTAAGTGACACCTGTGCTCTTGAATCGCCCCGAGCCGCACCCAAAATTTTCCCACTACACCAAACACACGACATCCTCTTGAAAATGTGGAAGTAGTAGGAGAGGCCGAGAGCTCTTGTTCGTCTAGCAGACGTTTTTTTTTTTTTTTTTTTTTGAGTCGCCCGCCGATTCCCCGGCCATATTTGACAACCAGCGAAACACTACTGATTTCTTTTTTTTTTTTCGCGCGCCCGTTCGTTTCATTCGATGTGACAAAATTTTGGTCTCTCGAGGCGAAACATCGTCTTCGATGACGTACGCTAATTGCTGCCACCAAAAAAATTTCCTTCATTTGCCCTCCCATTGTTTTTTCTTATCTCTCGCATATGCGCAACAACTGGAAAATTGTCCGCAGATGAAAATTGTGATTAATTCGAAACATTTTCCAACGAGTTTGTTAAGTCCGTGATGTTTTCGGTGTCTCATGTCAGCTTCAACCAATATCGAATAGCATATTATTTTTTTGATTGTAATAGGTCCTGACGCGAATCCAAGTACCTCACATCGTTCGCAAAAGAAACTAGTTCCTTTTTCGAGGTTCTTCGAAGGATCTCATTTTTTTGGTGGTATATATTCATAAATACGCCCTTCTGAATTGTTGCATCTACACATCGTAGGAGGTAGATCATAAAATTCTCGATTGGAAATGCCATCAATTCAGAATTTGGAAAAAAATTGAAGTAAACAAATAAAAGCCAAACAATTTAATATTTAGTGCACAATTCTTGGCGAGACCCTTTTTTTATTGTTTCCGCCGTTGCTTGCTTCCTGACTCCAACAAAGACAACAATTCATAGTAGTTGTTTCACACGTGAATCGTACACATATGGGTTTCGTCATGCTATATTGTGCACGTTTTCCTTTTTCGCCGCGAAATAATCAAACATGGAGCCGGCGGTTGCGAGTCGATGATAACTATATTGGCAATTCGCCGGTTTCGGTGTCGATTATCACTGACACATTCGAGGCACCGCGTTGACGTCTTCGTGTGCCGCGCGGCTCTTTAGGCTTTTAAGCAAAGAAACAGATAAAAGCAGTGGCGAAGCAGCAGCAGCAGCAAACCTGTCCTCCCATCTCCCCGTTTTTCTTCTTTAATTAAATTGAACTTTTTTTTCTGGAGGCGGGTTTCGCTGTGTGTCGATGCCCTCCCGGCCCATTGATGTGTCGTGTGTGCTTTATTCTAATGAGAAGAGGAAGAAGAAGAAGCCGTTGGCGATTTTTTCGACTTCTGATTATATTCCTTCTTTTTCGGCCTTTAGTTGCAACTTACTCATTGTGTATTTACTTTTCGTGATTCATAGATTGCGACCCCGGACGGCGGGTTTGGTTAGTTGAGACTCTGTTGAAACGTGGCACCCATTTTTTTTCAATCACAAGCTCGGTTATAAACAATCGAGTTCGCTGTGAGACCATTGGCGGCGAAACCCGAAGTGTTATGGTTGTTTATTTCTTTTTGAAATTGTTATAAACAAAATTGATTTTAACAATAGGCGATTTCATTCCATTCGAGACCCACTACAGTCAACCAACGCCCAAACATTCAATTTTTATCACTATTGTTTCTTCACAATACCTGACGACGCCTTCATCTTTTTCTTCTCAAATTTTCAAATAACGAATCAATTTGACACTGTATTGGTTGTAAGAAACAAAAAATCGCGACAATTAGTGAAAAGAAGCGCAACGTTGTTCATTTTCGGCGACGGCGATGCCCAGTTTTTTGCTCTTAGTGTGCTATCCAATCTATTCAGTGCGTAAAATGCAATTTTCTCGAGAAAATTGTCCATCATGTTTAGCATTTGCTGTGTTATTCTATTTTTTTTTCGCCCATGTTCTTGGTTTTTTTTTCGGAGAAACATGGAATATAAATCAACTGTGTGGCGGAAGAATGGAATGCGGCTATCAACCGACGCCAATATCATGTCTTTGTGTTGCTTAATCGCCTATTTTCTGATTATCGGATAGTTTAAGTTCTCGTCGCCTCCAATTGTGGGGTCGGCCGGTCGGTCGCCTATCAACACGACGATCATTACCACGAGATTCTAATTTGCTGAGAGTGCGCAGACGGTCATATACAAACCCGCCCATTGATTAATTGTGTCGAAGATCGGTTCCGCTGCAAAGCAAATTTTGTATTTCAAGAAAAACCCATCAACTTTTATGAGCCTATTAATGTAACAAACACAAAAATTTTTTAAACTACTGTATTGAAAAAAAGTGTAGTGCATGAGCTGGTCCATTAGCTTTTTTTAAAGTTTTACATGTGATCCTGACCATTTACCACCTGTCGTTCTCCGAACGTACTCGACGAAATATCAGAAAAGATAAATATAATTAATTATTCGTGACAGCTGCAATATTAATCGCATTGGCATTTTCATGGGAGCTTTTTTCTGAAATTTTATTGGGCACACCAAAAAACCGAACGAATAAGGACAGAAAAGAAAAATGTTGAAAAACAAGTTCATTTTAGAGTTCATCTGTAAACACCGTGTCATATTTTGAAGACATTGGTTACCGTATCACTTTCATAATTTTGAATATCTCGGCAATCCGTGCCTAATGTAAGAAACTCCCCCGGTTGTCCCTCACGGATTATTGATCTCTATTTTTTTTCCTGAAATGCTGCTTTTCAATTGTTAATTGTTTTTACTTTCATAATATAGAAATATATTAGTTTTTCTAAATCTTAAAAAATTCCCATTGAATTTTTCTGATCTTCTAAAAATCGTCTTTTCAGTATTGCCATATTCCTTTTGTTATAGCGTAAATGTTTTCAAAATATTACAGCATCGTTTCATTTTTTATCGTTTAAAAAAAATGTTCGAAATAATCTACAGTATAGTGCGTTTTCCACAAAGAGATATTCACGCGAACCGCATCGCGTCTAGCGACATATAGATTAATTACGGTAACCGCTTTTTGTAGGAAACAGACTATAAAATAGCTCGATGTTTGCGGACTTCCAAATTTTTCAAAAAAAAAAAAAGAAAATTCAATTTTACTCATCAAAATTCAACGCCGTGTCTTTATTATAATGTCAGAACAAATGACAAATGGGTTCCAAATTTTTTTCAACAGCACAATACGAAACGCAGATGGCTAGACGGCCAGCGAATTCGTGAGAAAAAAAAAAAAACGACTCGTGCTGCAACTTTTCATCTATCTCATTTTCGATAAAATTGCCTTTTCTCTCACTGCTCCTCAATTAATTGAAGATCAAACATGAGCATCTTCAGCTTTTTTCTTGCTTTCGCGTGTTTTCGAATAATAATAATTATTATTATTTACCTAATATGACTCATTTTTTGCATTGATTTGTTTCAGTCGTCATCGCCGTTTTTGTTGCGTCGCACCGATGAATCTCAATATTGCGCCTGGTCTGAATAATTCATCATAGACAACACACATTCACAACCACAGACACACATACACTCATACACAAATAGATTTCGAAACTTATAGAAAACTGATATTCGTGTATCGTAAGTCTCAAATCTCAAAAACCAGTGTTATTGTCATTTTTTTTTCATTTAGACGGCAATCATCATGGATCACTCGGAGCTTATCGCCGAGCTTCCCGAGATTGAAAAGATGACGCCTCAGGAGCGGATAGCACTCGCCAAGTGAGATTTTTTTTTCGTCTCGCAACAAAACAAATCGACTCGTGTTTCTGCTCCGCCACACAATAAAAATAATTGTTCAGAGACCGAAGGCGATTGCAATTGCGGCGGAATGAAGAGCGCGAGCGTTCGCTGCCGCCGCCGCGACCGCATCGGCCGAGATTGAAATTCTCGTCGGAAGTCGAACTTCTCGAGGCAACCTGTCGCGCTGATTATTCAGAAGGTATGTTGAATTTCTTTAAAAATTCACTTTCTTTTTCGTCATTTTATGTTGCTAATGAGCATACGAAAATTCGTATTTCTGCGGTTTTTCGAGTTGCGGACCAATTCGAATGTTGTAAAATGGCGATTCACTATTTTTATATACTTCCGGTAGTCTGGACATTGGCCAAACTTTATGAGCACATAAAATGAGCGGAATTGAAACGAGAAACTTCATTGTCTAGAGATAATTAAATCGAAAATTTTGAATTTACCATTGTCGAAGACGGACGAATTTAAGGGGGGTGGGGGAGTTGATTTTTATTCAATTTTTGGCGCCATGGTCTCATAATCATTTTCGATTTGATATAGTATTCAATGCATTCAAAATTTCAGTAGATATCAAAGGCGCATGCGAAAATTTGCTGATTTCGCGCTAAGATCAAAAATGGCTTTTATCATTCAAATTTGTTCTATTCATCCGTCTTCGACAATATTTCAGCAACATCTTTTTTGGGTGTTATGTACTGATTGTAATTTTCAAATTGAAAATAGTCAAAATTCTTGAAACATTTGAAATTTCAATTTTTTAGTGGAACGGTTACTCAACGAAGGGGCTAATCCGAATCTGCACAACGACGATGGTTTGACACCGCTTCACCAATGTGCCATCGACGACAATCAGCAGGTAATTCCGATTTTTTTCTGCAGAAAATCATAGGAATATCTTCTTTAGATAATGCTGCTGCTCCTGGAGCGCGGTGCGAATGTAAATGCTCAGGACACCGAACAATGGACGCCTCTTCATGCAGCTGCGTGTTGTGCTCACATCAATATCGTTCGGATATTGATTGCAGCGTAAATCGTCTAATTTTGTTGCATTTTTTGCCATAATTTCATTTTAGCGGAGCCAATTTGTTGGCGGTGAATGCCGAAGGAAACATGCCTTATGATATTTGCGATCATGAGGAGACGCTTGATGTGATCGAGAGCGAAATGGCCGCCAGAGGAATAACTCAGGTTATTTTTTGCATTTATTTTTGCCGAGGTGTAAAAAAATGTTGGTCGTTTTCAGCAATACATTGATGAAATGCGGGGTGCACCGGAAAAAGCGATGCTCGATGATATGAAGGCGCTTCATACACAGGGTAGGCAGTTGGACGCGAGAGGACCAGACGGATCGACATATGTGAGATTTTTAGTGGATTCTTGGCGCATTTTCTCCATCTTTTCATTTTCAGCTTCACGTAGCCGCTGCAAACGGGTACTACGATGTGGCAGCATTTCTACTTCGATGCGGAGTTTCGCCTCTAGCAAGGTTCCTTTAATTTAACATTTTTTGTAAAAATTTTAAATTTATTTGTCCATTTTCATCTGCGGACAAAATGAAAATGCCGTTTTGGTTAGTTTCCAATTAGAAATTTATCGAAATGATCTTTTATGTGAGTGCTTTTACGACCTCATTAGTAGCAATTGATAAAGTATTTCCGACTGCCGGTGGAATTTTTCTCTCGATTACCCAACTAATTTTTTCAGAGACAATGATTTATGGCAGCCGGTGCATGCGGCTGCGTGTTGGGCCCAACCGGATCTCATTGAGCTCATCTGCGAGTATGGTGGCGACATTCACGCAAAAACTAGCACTGGAGAATCACCTATGGGTATTACAATTTTAAAAACGCACTTTTTGGATATCTAATAGACGGATATTTTGTAGAACTTTGCGAAGATCCGACGACCCGACAAGTGATTCAGACAATTCTGCAAAGCGAGGCTCGAAGGCGCCGTTTGGCGTTCGGAGTTCGCGACAGTCGCCGACAAAGCAAGAAGTTTGTGGTTGTTGTCGTCTGGCCTCCCTTATTTGAACATCTTACAGGAGGAAGAAGTTCGAGTCGCCTCAACAAGGAGCCACTTCCGGCGACAACCCGTTTTCGGCTCGTGGTGCAATTCGACGCCAATCATTGCGAGACCGCAGCGGCATGACACCAGCGCGAATCGAGGCTCAAAAAGAGGGAGCCGATATATTACGGTATGAGCTGGCGAGGTGTCAACATCAATCAATGGATTTTCTGTAGGTCTTGGTCTAAAGAAGACGTTTCGACGGATGCGCACAGCACGGGATTGCAGCAACAGCAACAGCGGGAATCGCCAACGAAACGGGTCCTTAAGGTTAGTTTTGATCAGTGCGAATTCATTATCCGATGGATATTGTAGAGTTCACAACACAAACAAGCGAAACCAATGTCACCGGACGAATGGTTGCGGAAGCTCGATGCGAATGGTGCGAATGACGATGATTTGGATACGACGCCGAAGCGCGGTGGAAGCACGAGGAGAAGGCCGAAGAAGACTGGAGGGCACAGTGAGTGTTTTTGGAACATTGACCAGCTCATGCTCCTTTAAACGTGCTCTTCACACTAGTTATTTTTGTCATTAGTTTTCATTGAGGATATAAATTGGGAAAGACCACTTTTAAGGGCACTTGTATATCTACTCAAACTCACTTTTTTTTAATGAGCATAATTTTTTTGTCTCATAGTAAAATTGTTATGGGATTTCCGTAAGAAACGTTTCCAGTATTTGCAGACGACTCATCGGATTCGCGAAATGGCGAACTCAATCGCCACAAATCGACGTGCTGCTGCACAATTTGCTAAAAACCAAAGAATACATGTTTGCTCTATTCGACGACGACGACATCTACGCAATTATTATATTTGAATGGGTACAAAGTATCCCTATTTTTTAAAATGTTTTTTCTTTGAGACCACATTTAAAGTTGCCTTTTCCAACAATTTTCGTTTTATTTTTTAAATTTTCGTTGAAGAATCGGCGCCATTACGGTTATTCGTAAATCATTTTTTTTTTACATAAATCGCTTCACCAAATATATTTTTGTGCATTTTCTGTACTTCCGTTTTTCGTTTCATTTTCATTATTTTGTCTCATGTTCAAAATGTTCCATTTGTCCTGTACTAAACCTGAAACTGTGATTGAATTGAAAATAAAATTTATAATATAGTCAACTTTATTACCCTTATTTATATGTGTTATATATTACATATGCTTGGATAACTATATATATATAGATCATATTATTAATTTCTTTCAACGCGGTTGTGAATTTATATTCTCTCTCTCTCTCTCTTTTGTTTCTTTCTTGTCAATGAACTATTAAATATGTATTTTTAATAATTATTATTCAAATCAAATACTTTTTTAAAACAAAACAAAAAACGAAGAGCTTTGGCGAATTAGTTGATGTTGGAAAATTGAAGAACTGTCGTCGATGTGAGCTCGTTTACTGCTTCTTCACTTCGAGACGTTTGACGGCGGCGACGCGTTCGACAACCGGTGGATGGGTGTGATTGCACCATGAATACAGCGGATCATCGATTGGCATTGAGAGATTATCCTGAAATATTTAATTTGATGCGAAACGTCATATTTGGGCGGATTATTCTAATAATTCCCAAAAGGAAGAAAAATGCAAACAGTGCCAATTTCGAACATTTAATATAAATCAAGTTTGCCGTTTTGAAGGCGAGACGGGCCGAATAAAAATTTCGTCGATAAAAAATAATTTTCGGCCGGAAAAGACAGAAAAGATGTTTTGGTAAACGTTCGAGCCGTCGAAATGACAAATCTGGCAAACAGCAAATTTTCAAAATGCTTACAACTCCAAGTTTCGTAAGAGCTCCAATCAGATTCTGTCCATGGCCAAGTTTCACCGCAAACTCATCGGCTCCGAATTCGGCAGATCTCGAGTGAACAGTCACCGCAGTTTGGGCCAACTGAATATCGAATTAGAAACGAAACGAAAAAATTGAAAACCTGATTATAAATTGCCAAGACGTAAACGAAGACGAGAATGAGCCCAATCAAAATCGGAGTATCATGGAATCCGAAAGCCTCGAACAATACTGGCGATTTGTAGAAGTAAGCGAACACGGCGAACGAGAAGAAAAGATTGAGTTCAGCTGAAATTTTCAACAATTCTCCGATTTTTTCTTTCTCTTCCTCTAATACTCACTAATAACAAGATTGATAGCAGTATGCCAAAGTGCCCAATGTCCCAACTCGTGTCCCAAAACCGCGACGACCTCATCATTGTTCATTCCTCGCTTCTTATCAGCCTCGGTGAGATCGACTTTCTCCCCGGATTGTCTGTAGAGCTCGAGCACCTGTTCCTTAACATCTCCCGATAAGAGGGTATCGTACAACACGATTCGCTTGTTCTTCCAGAATCCATACATGTAGGCATTCGAGTGAGCAGAACGCTTGGATCCTAGAAAAAATGGAGATTTATGGCTTACAGTACCGCTCAAAAGGTTGGAAACTTTTGGTTTTTTGGGCATAACTTGATCGAAATCGTATGGATCGAGGTGAAACTTTCAGATATATTGATAAATATAATCAGAAGATTATTGGTACGGTTGTCTTATCATACGCAATTATGTGTGAAGTTTTTGTGGTCTTTTTCATTTTTTTCAAAAATCGCTTTTTTTCAATTTTTTTTTTTCAAAAGTTTTTTTTTTTTACTGTTTTTCTGTGCTTTTTTTTGCATGCCGTTATTATTTTTGTAATTTTAGACATCTCCACTATCGAAAAAAATCGGAACTTGGTTGTTGAACAATAACGGGCAATTTACGCAAGGCGTCAAACAGGAGCAACCCTGCAGATGTTGGCCGCCCAGTTGGATGTCACAAAAACTTGCATTTTCAAGTGTTTGAAAAAATGGGGAAACTCAATGAGGGGTCCCAAAGAAGTGCCATATTGGTCGTCCACGCGTGACAGATCGTGCGACTGATAGAAGCATTGTACGAGCCTCCAAATTCAACCCGCGAATGACGGCACCGAATCATTCAATCGGTCTGCCGTCCTGTAGGTTCTCGATACAATCCCAAGTATCAAACTCCTACCGAAAAGCACGGGGGAGGCAGTTGCATGATTGGGGGTGCCTTTTCCGGAAAAGGCTTCACCATGTGAAAACAATCATGGATTGCTTCGTCTATAAGGAGATCCTGAAGAAGCAGATGTTGCCGCATTTTAAGGCAATGGGTCGTGGTTGTGTTTACCAACAGGACAGCGACCCAAAGCACGCTTCCAAATCTGTGAAATTAAGAAAATTCGCTTTTTTTCTCAAATATTCATAAATCGAGGATTGGTTCGCAAGTCAGCACATCAAGGTTATGGACTGGCCAAGTCAATGCCCGGACTTGAATCCCATCGAGCACTTGTGGGAAGAGTTGGAGAGAAGAGTGGCAAGCAGAACCGCCACAAATTCGAACGAAAAGTTCCGACAATCGGAAGAAGAATGGAAAAAGATTCCACTCTCGGTCATCGACAACTTGATCGACTCCATGTCTAGCGGGTGCCAGGTGGTTATTGACTCCCGAGTATTCACAATCAAGTACTAACCTTATAATTTTAGTTTCCAATGATTTTGTCTTGATAAACTATCTTTCCGGTAAAAAAACCGACTTAAATTGCATATCCAAAAAAAAAATGTTTTTTTACGAATTTCTGGAAAAATGGCCTAAAATCCTTATTTGGTAAGCACGAATCATGTCTAATAGCTCATTATATCGGCAATTGCGTAAGAAACAATCGGAAAAAAAGTTCGTGGAAAAAAGTTTGATTTCAAAAAAGTTATGCCCAAAAAACCAAAAGTTTCCAACCTTTTGAGCGGTACTGTATATCGTTCGCCAATTGGACGACAGATGGGTTTATAGAAACGTTGAAACGTATCAATTGCGGGAAAACCCATACCATTCACAACGTAAAGTTTCGTCAACGGATATTGAAGCGACGAAGCAAGAGCCTCAATCTTGGTTCTCAATTCGCCTTCAGGAAGCGGGAAGTACTTATCGAAGAGCGGTGCAATGAATGCCGGATAAACAGTGAGCAAGATGAAGATGACAATCGAAAGGAATAGCCAGACATAGAGGAAGAAGTACGGCCCGCCGTTCTCAACGATCCATTCGATTCCGAAAACGATTGGGATCGTCAAAACGAGTCCGAGAACACTCTTCTTGACCTAAACTTATACTCAAATTAAAACAAATTCAACGAACAAACTCACCCGATCAATAAAATAAAATCCAATAGTCTGCTTATTGAATCCATGCTTCTCCTCAATCACAAACGTCGAGTACAAATCCCAAGGGAGATCGATTAAAACGTCAAAAATCGAGTTGACAACGATGAAAAGAACCGATTGGAATTGATATCCGCTGAAGTAGTACCAAAGAATCGGATAATATCCGGTGATCAGTTGAACCTTGAAATTAATGAAATTAGACACAAATTTCGCCTAATAGAATCGAATATACCGTTGAGACCAATTGGCAGAAAATCGAATGCGCAAAATTGTATTGGTGATTGTCCAGTTTATAATCGCGCGCTTTTTTGTAGTCCTGAAAATGATATCAAAAAATATTTTTAAACCGGAAAGAGTCTAGACAAATTTTTGTTGGCCAATTCCATGAAACTGACTGAAACGCTCAAATCCATAAAAGGCATCATTTTAACATTAAAATTTATGACGTCGTGCAAAATATCGGCGTTTTATGGCAAATTTCGTGAACAATTTGCCTTTTTGACGCAAAAAAATATCAACGTTTCAAAATTTGTGCGATCAAATCCCGAGATTTCGTTAATCCCCCCAACCCCCCCATCTTTGTGCAGAAAAATCTGATTTCCGGCTTTTGCAAATCCAAACCTCTTCACTAATCAACTCCTGAACTTCCTTTGGTCGTTTCTCATTATCCCTATGAACCCTAAAATAAGTTTCAATATATATTTTTTTTGAACAAATTAATATTTTCCTACTTATACTGCCGATACGAAATGTACAATTCCCATAGAAAAAGTACCCAATTTGTAGCTAATAGCGCCTTGAAAAGGCACTTTGGATCCATCTAAAACATATTTTTAATGAATAAAACTGAATAGACAGTTTATAAAATAAACTCTTGAAATTCCAAAAATATTGTAAATCCGAGTTCAACGAATCACAGAATGCGAACACCAAAATAACATCAAATCCCAATTATATAATCATATTCATTATACAGTTTAATTATACATATTTGTACAGGATTATTGGCGCAATCGGATTAATCCATTAGTAAATTCTGCATTTCGGCTTCCCAAGCTTCCTCATCTTTTCCTCCAGTTTTCTCGACGACATCTTCATAATCATTGAGATCAGCAAGAATTTCTCGTTCCCATTCCTCGTCTGAAAAGAAAAAACAACTTTGAAATTATTCTAAATCGATCAAAATCTTTTCGAAAACATCAAAAAACAAAATTCATCGAAAGCAACGTTCGTTTATTTTCGAAACGAGACGACGCAAATGTGCTCGCTCGAATGGCGTCTGGGTGTGAAATTAATGCGTCAGAACCTCTCGCACTCAACACACATCTAAGTCTATTGGTGCACTCTCGTTGCTTTTTATGAGGGCGTCAAAATAATGATCATATGCAGAGAAATAATGGGGCTTCGACTTACCAACACTTGTCAATGTCGCTTCACCGCCGTCCGGCTGCTCGGTCGTCGTAGTTTCTTCAAGCTTCTCAGTTTCATCAATTTTTTCGGGCTCCGATGAGCTCGATGTTTCTTCAGCAACGACCTTCGCACAACTCTTCTCTTCAGCCTTCTCCTCAACTTTCGACTGTTGCTCTTCAGCCTCAACGACTTTCTTTGGTGCTTCCTGAGCCATCATCGATTGTCTAATCAATCCAATTCGGTAGAAGTAGTTTTGCCAGAATTTGTTCTCCTTAATTCTAAACGAACACAATTCAATGCCTCCGCGTCTTGACTAAATCCATACTGTTTGGGAACAAGTTGGAATCGGACATTAGCCAAATTCGGATCCGTCTCCAACAGAATCGTTGCCATCGCCTGTTGCTGATCATAAGAATATTCGCTGTTCGCCGGCGAATCTCTCAAAAAGTTTCTCGTATCCTTCAAAAATTGATATTCAACGCCAAAATTCTACTATGAGCAGCCTACGGTTGACAAGGAGAGCATTTGCTTTTTGGCGAGCTCCTCATCCGGCAACCCATGCCACGGCAACTCGACTCCCTGCGTCTTCTCTCTTTCCGTCTGAAGCTGCTTCTCGAATTCCGTCTGCTCCTTGTTCAAATCAGCAAGAAGCGACTGAAAATCGTTTCAACACAATTAGTTAATCGAGACTTTTCGTTTTTACATTTTCAATGACAGCATTCTTGACGTTTTCCAATTTCTTCGTCGCATCCTTCGCATATTCGAAGAGCTTCGTCGAGGCGACGCCGCCAGAAACTTTGAGACCTGAACAATCAACAAATAAACGAGGCGAGGTACCTATCTATGGCAATTGCTGATACTGCAACGATACGTACAAAATAACACAATTTTGATCAGTTTTGATGACAAATAAAACTATACAAAAGACCTCAAAAACCGTAACAAAAATATTAAAAAAAATAAAAGCATTGTGGGACTTCAATAAGTTTTTGTAATTGAATTGAATATGCAAGAATGTCAATCAAAATCTGAAAAAAATGAGAATTGTTGACTATTTTCTATTTATAATCTATTGATTATCAAAATGTTTGTTGATTCAATTATGTTCGAAACGCTTAGTTCGTGCCTGGCTTCTTTCTATACAATTGCAAATGTTTTTTAAATGCAACATTAAATAATGTGTATGTAGGGAAAAGCAATTCCGAAAAATTTAAAAACATCAAATCCAGCCGAAATCGAGGAATTATTTCAATGTCAACGTACGTCTTGCGGCCGTTTCGCTGACGAACGTTACCACGCTGACCTAAGCCCCATTTATCATTCTTTCACTGATAAAAATTAACGTTATCTTTTTAGAATTTTCGCCCAAACTTTTCAATACGAACAAAATAAAGCTCTAACCTCCAAAAAGGGACGACATTGATTGTTTCATTCCACCGGATTCGTCCGAAGTCACCGTTTCTTCGATCTTCTGTTCTTTCGGGTTTTCGACGACATCAGAATTCTCTTCAGTTGATGCCACCTGGAAAAATTTAAACAATAGGGCGTAACAAAACTGAACTATACCCCATAATTAGCCGCTTCTTTAAAACTTTGTTCAATCGTCGATTTCGCATCATTCATGCGTTTCTTAAAATCAGCAAGAAGCCAAGACATCTAAATCAGAAAAAGAAATATGGGAAATTGAAAGACACAAATATGAAACCGCGAAATAACGGTAAAAAATAATAAAGAAAATTGTTGATAAAAAAATAAAAATTCATTTAAATTCACCGAGAGGACCTAAAACAAATAATCACATGGCATTATATTCAAATTTCAAAGGCACATATAAGTTATGGTTAGTAAAATGAAAAAAAAAGAGAAGAAAATTAGATGAGTGGACCCGTGGGGGAAAAAAAAACAACAGACAAATTATCAATTTTTGAGCAGCTTAATATCGACGAGATCTCAAAAATTGTGCCGAATCATCAGGGGAATCGACAAAAAAAAAAAAAAAAAAAAAGAAAAGAGAAACAAAAAATCACATTAAAACTGCGTCTTTTCCATATTCGCACAACGTCTGAAGGGCAGTGACACGCGGATCGACAGCAGACTGAAGTTGGACAGATTGCGGTGGATAGCGGAACAATATTTGGGACCAAAGGTGGAGTTGCTCTGCAAAAAAAAACAGACAAATGCGATTTGGTATTTCGAAACTCGAAATGTTCACCAGGAATTTCTCAAATGTTAAAATTTTGTAGAGAAATTTCAATATATATATATATATATATATGTATATTTGAGAATCGAACCTCGGAAGGCAACACTCTGACTGATGAACTCTCGAAGCATCATGCAAACCACTTCGAGAACATTCTGATTTTCTCTCGGCAGCACAGTGGCAACGACTTTCCATAATCTACAACACATTAATTACGGAAATAAATTAAATAAAAAGAAACTCACGCTGTAGCATCTCTAGCTGATCGAATGAACTCATAATGAATTATTCCGTCCATTCCTGATGGAACTACTGGATCTGAACCAAAACATTGATTAGTTCATGTATTTTTAATATTTTAAAACCTTCAAGAGTATCTAATAATCGAATAAGAGCGCTGTAAAGTGTAAATGGAGATGCAAAACCGTCTGAAATATTTTAATAATTTTCTGTCTTCCTCGAAACGACCTACTCAAATCCTTTGGATGATTCGTTTCGAGAGCTATACGAACTCGATTAAAGTCCGCATTATCGGAATGCTCCGACAAATTGATTTTCGCGGCTCCAGTCGATCTCAAAGCATTCACTAATCGGTAAATCTGAAAACAATACAGATAAATGCGAAATTTAAGAAAAAAATCGAAAACCTCCTTTGGAAGGTGTGGAGGACAAGTTTCATCGAAATCTTCAATGACATCATCTCCCTAAAAATAAAAACAAATAATTCAGAAATATTAGTTGAGAAGGAAATTCTCACAAAATCAATAAGGTTCTCCTCCTTCTTCGGTTTATTGTTCAATAATTTTTCAAGAGATGATCCAAAAACCCTGAAAATGGAAAACATTTAAAAATTGTAATTCAGAGATCAACATTACTTGGCGTTATATTTGGCCAAAACTGGTATAAAGTAATCCCTTCCATGCTCTAAATGCAATACCAAAATGTCCTAAACGAATTCAGTTGAGAATAAGTATTTCAATGAAATTGGGATACCTGAAGAACAGGATTCTTGCCAACAAGCTCGCGTAGTGTTTTCGTGTTAATCGACACAGTAATCGAGATCTGAAAACAAAAATCAAAATCAAAATTTTGAAGCGAAAAATATTTGAACAGCCGACCTGTGTAGATTGTCCGGTTGGAATGGCGTAATGCGGAGGGGTGACCTGCAAAATGTTCGATTTGCCGTGGTGAAAACGCGATTCAAAAACAGAAAGACAAAAAAAAACGCGGCGGCGATGAAAACTGACAAAAGATTCTAATCTAAAGCTTACACTCGAGATTGTATCTCGTTAAATTATTGTCATTTTCAAACCAAAACTGTTTACCTGAAGCCAATTGGCGCAGATTCCTTTGCCAGCCGGTGTGATTTTAAAGTTGAATCGAACCTGAACAACACCATGCGAATTGTTGTCAGCTTTATTTAAAATGAGAAAAAAGAACAGTTCGAACCTGTGATTTTCCGACATTTGTGACCGTAATTAAACGTGTTGTAGGATCAAGATAATTGACTTCGCCGAAATCAACCTATAATTAATTAATTGCCTCATATATTTCTGAAAGACATTTATGAACAAATACTACAATTTTTGAACATCTTGTAATTCTATCATCTATCCTATTCTATTCGATGGTTCGCATCTCAACAGTATCAACAATGCCACTAAAGTAAATATCACTAATGAAATAAAATTCTTTCGTTGTGATCGTCGTCAATAATGCCATTATAAAATATTCGAATCTGAGTAAGTAATTGAGTTTTTTGTTTCGCAACATTTTAAAGGCTATTTTATTTTTTGACATCCTTATATTTCTCTATGATACGCATTCAAAATAAACTACGTGAATCCCGCATCAATGTTTTCGTCGTTTTTCGTCCATCGAAGTTCAGTTTTCGAAAATTACACAATGTGCGCTTATTCAATGACTTTACAACTAGACAATACACACCTGCCTATTGCAATTTCAAAGTATTACCTCGTTCAAGCTAAGCTTTATCTGCGGCAACAACTCGTTCGCTCGTCTATCAGCCTCTCGAATCGCTTCCTCATACAATGCCTTTTGTTTTTCCTGCAAACCAATCTCATTGAATTTCAGAAGTCTAAATTTCTTTGACCTCGTCGATCAATTTGACTTTCAGATTGAATATCGCACGAACAGGTTTGTGATCGGAAATTGATATCGACTCTACAGATTCCATCGGTCTTCTGGATTAAAAAAAAAATGAAATTAATTAACTCTAATGATTACTTACACAATATCCAACTTCACAAACGAATCCTGCTTCCATGTCAATATGCGATCTGTCCATGCCGGCACTCGTCCCTTCTCACTGGTATCCCACACACAAGTCCCAACATCATACTTATAAGTCGGACGAAATCCGAATACTTTTGGTTCCACGAATCCATTAAATACTTGACCGCGTGACATTTGTTCACGCAACTTCACAAAAATATCAAATTTTTAAAAATTACATATTTGGTGGTCGATCTACTTGACAATAATCGAGAAGTCTCCCAAAATTCTGACTACTCGCTACAAGTCGGACTTCTTCATTGGAAATTCCAGCGTACTCCGAATTCAGGCGGTAATTCAAATCGCCAAACCAAAAAATGACGTCGTGATCGAAAATTGTACGAGATGAGCCGGCAAATGTCATTTGTGAGATATCACTGAAATCGGGAAATGCTCAATTATGCATTGTTTCGAGAATGAGCGCATAAAAATTAAAAATATACCGAAAATCTTGATTCCTCCTTTCTAATTCATTGTTTCCCGCGGCAAAATGGGAATTCACAAAGCAGACCCATGAGTCATTCATTTTCATCGATATTGCAGTGCCGCCCTACAATTGTAATGCTCGATACTATTCATTAAAACATTGATCTACCTTATTTCCAAGTTTGTTCATAAGCACAGAAATACCCGTAGCAACATGATTTGTTTCCACATGAGACACTTGGATATGACTTTGAAGCGATTGAAAAACTATGACAAATATTCCAACAAGTCGCATTGAGGACACCTAGATGAGTCATGATCAATCGCAATCTGGGAACGGCGGCTAAGGAATGCTTACAACTCGATAATGACTTCTGCCAAGTGGTAAAGATGCTCGAATTGCTTCACACCATTCATCCATTTTCTTTGTATTATCAATTAAATAAGTCCCCACCGATAAATCCATTTCTTGTAGTCTGAAAATGAGACAATTTTGACGTTTTGTCGGTGTTCTTACAGGAATTCACTTACCCGATCGCATAAAACTCGCATAAATCTTTTTTATCGTGTGAAAACCAAGTGGGAAGAACCGACGGCGGGCTTCGTCCATTAACGTTAAACGTGCTCACACATATCCGCACATCATTGAAAGTGCAATATCTAATAAATATTGATTTTTCTACAACTGCGTACTTGAAATTAATCAAGAAACCTATCCTGCCATCCTCTCATTACCTCATCGACATTCATGTCTTTACCCGGTGTGTAGCTTCCACTATTCGAGTAGAAAGTCATTATTTAGGCCCTCCAGAGGGCGCTTAACCCTGAAAGTGCGCGAATGTCTTAAAATAAATGCACAAAATATATAGAAATTGTCCGCAAGTCATGCGAGTGTGCAAACACCGCTGCGTACCGTAGCCGTCGTGGAAATTAAAAAAAAACTGGCGGCGCTCGAGAGCGAGTGTTTTCCGATTTGTTTACATAAAGTCAACCAACGTGTAATCGATAAAAAAAACTTTTTTCGATTTAGTTTGTGAGGGCATAAATTGAGAGAAACGAACATAAAACCGCCATATTCACATGAGAAATCATTAAAAAAAAGAGAAGGGCAAACCTTTCAGTGCGTTTCGATTTTTCAGCCCAAACATTTCCACTCCATTCTGTTTATTAAAAAAAAATTTGCAAAGAAAAAAAAGTACAACGAATACGAATGAATAAAACAAGAATTAGCAATTTCGAATGGAGAACGTCCAGTGATGAACATCTTTGGTTGAAAAGTGGTCAGGAATTTTAAAAAAATGAAAAAAAATTTGAAAAACCCCTCAAGAAAAAGAATTACAAATTAAAAAAAAGGAAAGGAAAGCTCGAACTAAGCAGCATTACACAAAAAGTAGACGAAGAAGAAGCTGATGAAGAAAAATGCATTATTAGAAATGTTTAATAAATAATTAATTTGCAATTTTTTAAACTAACGAAAGTGATTAGGGCAGCATGCGGAGAAAATATCGTTGTGCCGCCACTGAATTCAATTGTTAATAAAAAAACGAGGCCGCCTATAGATTCGAGGGAAAAAATGATTCAAGCAAAAAAAATAATGTGGGAAATCACAGAAAATATTAAATAGTTCTCAATTATTATAATAAAATGTATATCAATGTTGTATATATGCATGATGAATATGGTAATGGAGTTTAGACATCTTAAAAGATGTATTCCTCGTCCGTCGACATCGTCATATCAATCGCCCAACGGAACTTCTCGCGATGCGTCTTCGTGAACACCTTCTCCAACGGTACGTCGTACTTCTTGCACCAAGCGACTGTAATCCGAGGATCCAAGTAGTTCAACTTCGAAGTGCTGAGAGCAATCTGTTTGTTCTCATCCTTAAAATTAAATGAATTATCCTAATTTGCGATTTCTTTCAATACCTTATCGGTACGAGCAATTTTCAGCTTCTTAAGCTGCTCCTTGATCCGATCCACCTTCTTCTGAGCCTTATCCTTGGCTGCCCCTCTCGCCTGCTCAAGTTCCTTCTTGGCAGCATCCAAGTCCTTCTTCTTGTCTTTTATCTAAATAAATGAAATGTTTCATGTGTTATTATTATTGTTATTACCTTAGCCTCGAGATTTTCCATAGATTTCTCAAAGTTCTTCGAAATTGCGCGCTGATGGTTACACAAAATCGCAACCTGACGATTCGCGCGATTGTAGGACAATAGCTTAGAAGGAAGATTGTCGTTCGCTGAAAAAAAAACAAATCATCTGTTCGTGCCAAAAAGAAAATTACGATCGGTGAGTTTTTGAAGTTGTTCTTGAAGGGTAATCGAGGCATTGTACGTACGGAACACCTTGACAGTGAGCCCCGGCATCAGACTACGCAAATGCTCATTAAGAGTCGCAGTCTGAAAGAAGGTTTTGTTTGTCGAAATTTCTCGCTGTCATCTTACATCCAAACGATCAAACAAATCGTCTCCTGGGCTCTTGTTCTCCATGAAGAGTTTCAAGTTCTTGAAAACTCTCTTCTCCACTGGTACGCGATTGAAGTAGCGAATCGAATCTTTACCGGGGAAATCAAATTCGACGACATAGCTGAAACATGGGAGTTCGTCAATTTACATTTAAAAGCTATTGTACTCTTTCTCGTGCTTATCGCTCTCATTCAATTTGGTCTTTTCGAACAACTTTATGTGCTCCACACGAAGCGAGCAACAACCGACGGTGTCGGCAACTTCGTCGACATCCTTCTCATTACCAGCACGAAGCGCCAGCTATAAGTAATTGATATTTTTTTCATTACTCAATATTAGGCACCTTATCAATGAAGTAAAGTGCAACGGCACGTTGACGAACTCGCATCTCCTTCGATTTAAAGTCTTCGGTATAAACAGCGCGAATGTTGTTAATATGAGACTTGAGGCGACGAGCGGTCTCGTACTTCTCATAATCCTTCTCTCCTTTTATTTTGCTGCTCGGATTGAACATAATGTACTTGTTCTGTCCAAGCACATTCTCAGTCCACGAGCAAAGCCAAGAGACACTGTTATCGTGGCGAACCTCCTTCCACTTGTGGCCTGGTGGTGGCTTCGGAATCACACTATCCCTAAAATGAGAATATTTTGAAGGAAAAACGTCGAAATAATTTCTACTTCGAGCAATTTATAATAATATCCTCTGGATTAACGCGCTTTTTAAGCATTCCCATTTTTGGATGGCCACCACGTCCACGGAACAAGCCTGGCGGCTCAATTCTGAAGTTGGCCACCTTCTGACGATGACCGTCAATTACAGCAACTCCATAGACTTTCATTTCAGCCTCACGCTCTTCCTAGAATATCATAGTTATTTAATCGTGTGGATTCTCCTAATAAGTTGCCTTAATTTTCTGCTTCTCCTCTTTAGTCATCGCCTTTCGAGCCTCGCGCAATTCTTTTAGATATGCGGCCATGTTGCGAAAATCGCACTTTTTGAAATCGGTAATGGTTTCGCGCTCTTTAGAAGTCATGTTCTGAAAAACGAAAAATGCTTTAGAACATTTCGATGTTTTCAAGAATCTCACATTTCTCCAGTCATTAAAGAAGTTGGTGTTGAACTGTTCTTTGCTCGTATAATCATGATCTAAGATAGCTGCATAGAACGTGGCTATTTCCTCCGTTTGAATTGACAGCTTCATTGGTTTTCCGTTGTACTTGAAGTTGACATTGTCCGGCAGTGGAACGTATGGAGGTGCAAATAATGGTCCCTTGTGCTCAAGCGAGTACCATTTCACACCATCCGGCTTTCTCGGCTCTTTCCACCACTCCCAAACATCTTCCAGATCGTCTTCAACCTTCTTCTTCTTTTTTGGGGAGCCATTATCGTCCGCCTTTTTCTCATTTTTCTTTTTTGAAGCGCTGGTACCGTTAGAAGTCGCCCCCTTCTTCTTCTGAAAGATTCGATTTCTACTTAATAATGCGTTAATGCGTTAACGGAGCGGTTGTGAAAAATAGTGCTAAAGCAGAAAACCAACAAATACAAAACATAGGAAGAGCGTGAAAATTAGTATTACCTCGTTTTTCTTTTTAGAGTTTTTGTCTTCCTCGCCGTCACCTGACTCCTCATCACTTTGATGTTTCTTTTTCTTCTTTTTCGATTTTTCCTCAGTGCCAACAACCTCCTAATAAGGAAAACCAAATAGGGTGCACCCAAAGCGAAACAAACCTTTTTAACCTCGTACTTAATCGCTAACGGCACATCGTCATCGGAATCATCGTCGGCGTCGTTTTCTTTTGTGTCGTCTCCTCCGTCAAACTCGGATGCACTCTAATAAATGCAAACACGTTCACAAAACAACAAAGGAAGTCAGAAGGGGTTAACAGAGATGGAAAACGCTTAAGTTTATTAAAACACACCTCTGGCTTGAAGTCCTCCTCGCTGTCACTTTCCTCTTTCTTCGGCTTCTTCTTCGACTTCGGTTTCTAAATCAACAAAATACTTCTCAAGCATTTATGGCGAATGTTTACCTCTGGTTTGTAATCATCTTCGCTATCACTATGGTGTTTCTTCTTCTTGTCTTTCTTTTTCTGAAAAAGGCCAATATGTTCTCTTGAAATTATCACAAGATTTCAACCTCAGGCTTATAATCATCGTCATCATCATCGCTTCCATTTTTCCTTCTCTTTTTTTTGTTCTTTTCGCCCGACGAATTTTTCTTTTCGCGTTCAATCAGTTTTCCCCATGGAACGTCGTCATCCGACACATATTCTTCCTTGACGTCCTTAAAAAATTTTAATTGTGAATTTCACGTTTGAATATCTTAATTACCGATGGCTCTTTCTTGATGTCGTCATTTCTGTTGGAGTCAAACGAGTTCCTAAAATCAAATGTATGTCAAATAATATTATTGACTCAAACTGGTTAGAACCAAATTTAAATGAGGCAAACCTCTCGAAAACTCAAGGCTGTCAAGATGTGATTTAACACACACCCGGCCGGCACCATCCGTCCTTGAGTTTTCAAGACGCCCATCATTTTTTTGTTGAGCAATTAAAAGGGCGTACCCGTTGGTCATCCCGTTCGTATGATTTTTGGTGCCAACGTCCATGATTGATGACGGCGTGAGGACTTTGAACCAAAGAACTAAATTCGAAATTGTTTAAGTAAAACAAGTGTTTTTTTTTAATTTAAATATTTGCGAAAATAATCAAATGATGAGAAAAGTGATGTCGTCAAATGTGATGTAAATTTGGAATGTGTGTGAACACCGAACTGATATTGTGAACTTTGATTTCTTTTGCGAAATTTCGATTCTTATGGGATAATTAAAAATTTCAATTTTCTTTGTTTTGTGGTCGTCTCTCATTTTTCATAATCGCGAATCATCCAATACTTATATTCATCATATTATTTTATTACATTCATCCTTCACCACTCAATTCCTAGTCCAATTGATACGAACGCATTTTCGCCGACGGAAAAACACGAGAGCGAACGCATTGCGAATTGGAGAGAGTGTAAAGAAACGAAACGCAGTTCACAACGAGTGCAAACACACTCGGACCGCATATTTGTGGACCGTCAGTGTCTATATATATATATATATATATATATATATATATATATATATATATATATATATATATATATATATCTGTTGAGTATCAAAGAGGCCGGACCTCATTTCAAAAAATTCGTATCATATCAGGATAAGAGTGGTAAAACTGGAATCCAGAATAAATAAGATGTTTCGGGTTGTTAGACAGAAGCTGGAAATGGTATATTAATGTCTGGTCCCTTAATCTCGTGAATAAATTGAGAGTGAACAGATGGTGAATTTTAGCACTTCCGAAAAGTCAATGATTTGATAATAAGTTAGGAACTCAAGGGAGATTTTTGGGTTTTCATCATATTTTCGAGAAGGTTACCAGAAGAAGGTTGCGGAAACCTTTTATTTCAAAGATATAAAAATGTTTTATAAGCCTACAATGTGCCTATAGCGGTTTGTGGTACACATTTTCAAGGTACAGTATGAAAATTGCGCTCAAACCCGAAAATTTGCGAACCCCCTAATTAATTATGAACGGCCTCTAAAATTGCAGAGATCGATAAATATGATTGCTGGCTTCTTGGGCAGTCCCTTAGTAGCGTCAATTCAATCGAATGATGGCAAAATCGGATGCTATAGCTTAACAAATCAACAAGCTAGCAAAAGGGGCGACGGCGAAAAATCGACAAAGTCGAGAAAATGGCGTCGCGTGGCGGTTAAGTCCGGGGGAAGAGGCGGACTTGTGTGAAAAACTGACGGGGACGACTGCGAGCGCGACGCGCGGCGTGTCGCGTCGCGGTCTCCCCGTTCCATAGAGCACTATTTTGCCGTAAAGGCAGCCGTCCTCGCTAGGCACATGTCTATCTGTGTGTCTCAACGTGCGATAGTCGTCGAACGTCTTCCTCTCTCCGAACCTAAATTTTCTCGGTGTAATTTTTTTTCGCCCAAAACGCATTCATACAGCCGGCGGGGTTTTGAAAAACCATTGATGAAGTTGGTTGAGACTATCTAAAAATAGAAATCCCAAAACAGCGATTTTTCGAATATCACGTTTTAAATTATCGATATATATTATATATTATATATGGGGGGGTTTAGGATATGAAACCCATCATAAGCTTAATCCGACTTCAATTGATTTTCTTTTGAACGATTACGCATTTTCAATTAGTTTTAGTCTTTAGAATAAAATATATTAAAATTTCATCAGGGATATGTTTTCATTCCAATCTTAGTAATTCAATAACATTTTCTTCAGACTTCCGTGCTTATTTCTATAAAATTGCATGATGCAAATGTCTACAAAGTCAATTGCGAATAATTTTAAATTTTGAAAAAATCGTTGAAAAATTTTGCAACCCATCGCATTTGCATTTTGAGGACGATATTTTCTTTTTCATTTTTAAAATTAACAACATTTTTGAATTTTTCTCCAAATCCGCTTTTATCTGCGATTTTTACTTTCATTAATTTGAAATTTAATTATTTTCTGTTTCATATTTTAATCCTGTAGAAGATTTCGTATTTCATTCATTTTTTATCGGAATGAATTATGTAGAGAATATTGGTATTACGGTAGCTGGGTGTAATTAATCCTTGGTCAGTGATTCGATGTTTCGACCGTTTAATCGATAATTCATTCAAAATCAGAGCTCAGGTTCTGCAGTTTGCAAAAAAAACCAAATATCTTTTTTTCAGCCTAAATATTATATTTTGGTGTTGAAAAAGTGCAATCACGTCGGCTTCCGACATCAAATCAATCTAGACCACGTATCCAATTTATACCCCAAAAATTTTCATTTCCTGTCCGCTGCGGTTGGCGAACGCATTATCTTCAGCGGGACGCTGGTTTCGCATATACTCATCGGCTTTATTAGAATAATGATGAAGAGAGAAAAACGCGCGCAGGCGGTTCGACGAGAATCGGATTGATCCATGTGTTCGCAACATTTCGATTGTGAGGAAGCGAATCGATGCGTTGGTCGAAAAATGATGAATTTTGATGTTCGGCGCCCGAAATTCCTTATGTCCCAGACCTAGTCGCTACTATTGTGATTCAAAAATCGACCGCCCATCCAATCAATGTTTATGTTTGATATTCCCTCAACATCTGGAATGTATTCATCCCGTTGATTTATTCTTTTCTCCTTTGGCAATGCACACAAACATTTCCAATATTTCAGTGTGCTTCTGCGGCTCGTCAATGAGCTTCTCACAACAGTATGATGTTATCACGCAACCGACATCGCCGACATCACCAACGTCGCCGACTGGCCGACGTCTGAACATGAATCACGGTTTCCTCAAATTCATCGTTCGCAATCAGTACAATCGCGACGAATTCCACAAAATAGAGGAGTTGCGCAAGACGAAAGTACAGGAGAAGCTAAGAAGCGGAAGCGTTAGCTCGTCGAGCAGTAGTTGCAGTAGCAGCAGTAGCGGCAGCCCGAGACCCATGAGTTTCGTGTATGAGAAAAGCTATTACGTCCCGCCGGCGCTACGAAAACAGAAATCGCTCAATGAATCAAGTAGTGGTGAGCAATTATTTGTTTTTGAAATGGATTTTCGAACTTCGCTAACTATTCCAGACGCATACATAAAGTCCGACGAAAACGCTGCGTCCGACATTAGCGCAACTGCCGTTCGTAATACCGACAGCGAAGCAACAGTAAGCTCGTGTGACCATTTCGCCGACGAAGATGAAAGAAGAGTTCGAGAAGGCGTCAGACGTCGACATCAGAAGAAAATGATGCCGATCGACGATATTTGCGTATCGCTGGCCAACTCGCATATATCCAATGAGGAAAAGTAGGCCGCAATTTCCATTCGAATTTGATTATTTAATCGATTTTTAGGAAGGCTGAGCAGGAAATTGCCGCCCAGAACTTGTTCACGTTGAAAATGAGGCTCAAAAATGACGTCAATGTGGAGATTGATATCCCGAGGGTTCGTTTCATTTACAACTTGCAAGAACAAAAATAACAGCATTCAGTATTCCTTGATTTACTCTTGTTATATACTTATTACCATCGCAAAAAATCGAACGCCTTGAATAAATGTAGACAATTGTACTTTTTCAAGGCGGTAATTCAAATTTTAATTGAAATATGTAGTGGGAATTTGGGTACCCTACTACTGATAACCTCCGATGCAAACTCAACGTAAACCGGCGCAAGGCACTGGGTTTTTTTTGCGAATGTAAAAATATATATATATGTTTTCAACATGTGACCATGTTGCGTCGTTCTCTAATTTTTTTTTCACTCTACCTATCTCTTCAAGGCAAAAATAAAGAAAGAAAGGAAGATGTCAGCTCGGCTGAAATGACTCATAATTTTTGGCGTATTTGTCTTTTCAAAACCGAATTTTTTCGTCGCTAAATGTCGGGCAACTGTGCAAATTGGAAACTCGTTGCGGGAGTATTCATCGTGTCGATGCCCGCCCCCACATTTCTGGTTCGTATGTAATCGTGTTTCTTTTTTTTCGTCGTGAGACTCAAACGCTTATTTACTTTTTTCATTCGCATGAGAATCCCATTGAAAAGTAGAAATTTTCGGAAAATCGAATATCGTCGGTTCCAAAAAAACTTGTGTTTTTTTTAAATAAAAACCTAATTGGGTAAAAATGGTCACCATTTGAATGTTCTTGGCGTATTAGCGAAAAATTGATCTACAATACTTTCATAAAATAAGTTTCGAAAATTGTTCTTTAATATTTCAAATTTTGTCGCATTTCGCCTAAAACTTTGCTCGATTAATTCACATTGATCTACTCACAATTTATTGATTTTTTTTTAATTTCAGGGCGCTCAAGCTGCACGAATCGCAAAAGAATTGACACGGGAGCACAACTTCAACGACAGTCAATGTCGTCGTCTCAGAGAGTTCATCGAGTTGCAGCTCAACAAACGCCTGAACTCGAGTTCGCCGCCGCCGATAATTGATGACTCCGAAGTGGTGCTGACAACGTCGTCGCCAATTTAACCAACAAAATTAAATTTTGTTTTACCCTCAAACACCCCTCCCCTGTATTTTTTGTATCTTGTCACCATCATCAAAAGCATGAATAGTCATCGAATTCGTCAATTACGAGCACATATCCGTTGCCTTTCAACCGAAAAATTCAGGAAACTTAGAAATCAGATTGTCATCCTCAAGAATAAACCCAAACTCCCAAGCCAATTCACTTAAAATATTCTTCCGAATCCAAATTTATTTTTTTCTTAGAATAGAAAACTTTTTCTTTGCTTGTCGGTGCTGTTGAGCTTTCAGAGAAATTAACCGATCTCTGTCTGCTTTTTTTTGTAATCCTTTTTTCCCTTCATTTGTTACGGTTTGATTTTCGCTGCCTTTACTTAACCCATAATCCCCCGCCTTCCCTGTATTTTGTTTTATTTAAAATTATTTTCGCGTTCTAAAATGCATAATTGTTTTTTTTTTATTTTTCTTTTGATTTGATTTTTTGCCGAAATTCGTTCTTATCGAATTGATTATCTATATTTTCATTTGGCGATTGTTTGGTGCTCAAAATTCAATGGTTTTTACAGGGTACCGACCGACCTCGTGTGCTTCTCGCATTATCAGCACTGTAGTGTGGTTCCGTGGTGATCGAACGGTTTTCTCATTTTTCTTTCGGTTTTTCTTCTGTGAATTGGGGGGGAAACGAGACGCTCCCTACGATAAATGTGAGTTTTTTTTGAGAATTTATTTCAGCATACAAAAAATCGAGATTTCGCAAAATTGCGAAATTTAAAGGCAAAAATTTTTTGGTAGATTTAGGAAAACGGAATTATTTCAGAGTGACAGGTCGTATACTTGATTCAAGCCAAAAACGGTTATGAGAATGGTGAAGACCCTCGTCGCTCTTGCCACCGAGAGAATGTTGCTCAAAACGAGCGGGCCGACATTTTTGCGTGGCATTGAGTTTATGTATGCTGCCGGTTTGGCCCCCGACAGACTCTCTGTGAGTTGAAATTTTGAAATAACATTTTTATTATTATTTTTTTCTTTTAGGTGATGATGACCTCATCTCATAAATTCGTCCTTCAATTTCACTCAAAATGTGATATTCGACCGTTTGCTGCGAATTATCCGAATTTCGCGCGAGTATTGCGTGGTATTGGTAAGCGAAAGCTAGAAATAATCGGAAACAATCGTTCTCTTTCAGTCCATGTCCGAGCATGGCGTATAAAATCAATTGAATTCGTGAATGTTGCATTCTATATGCGTGACGTCGACAATTTGGACCGAGCGATTGAAAAACTCGGAGTTGAACTTGTTCTTCTCAGAAACTGCACATATCCAGGTGAGCGCGTTGATTCGAGATGAAGATATTCAATTGATCGCTTAGGTGTTTCACGTGGTGAGGAAGCTGTCAAGTTCCTGTCGGCTTTGAACAGAAAGAAGCAGGCGGTTGTGTGCGAGTATGGCGATGACCGCCTCAAGCATCGCATCGCGCGACGAAGTGGCTCGAATCGCGTTCGTCGACCGAGCAGACTTCTTCAGGATGGAGCACTTGCAAGACTCAATGCTGATAATAATGACCGAGGTATGATGAAATGCGACGATCGGAATTCATCACAAAATTTGATAGGTGGTCAGGATGGTGCACCAGTTGCCGCACCAGACGGCGATCATATTGATGGCGACAGACGAGATTTCCCACAACCTCCGTCTCCAGATCCGGGACTCGTGCAGCCACCAGCAAATCCGCCTCCAATAAATCGAGCGGTAGAATATCAATTTGAGCCGCGCATGGTGCATGCTGCTATTCAGTTCCTTGGCGAACAGGTATTGGTTGTTGATTTAAACGGCTTATTTCTCAAATGGAAATTTTGCGAATAAATTGCATCAATCGCTATTATTCGGACAACATCGATTATTTCAGCGTCGACAGAGAAGGGAAGAGGAGGAAATTCCACAGATGCATCCACCTAATCCACCTAATAATAATGAGCATATCGCGGCGGCGGCAGCAGCGGCAGCCGCAGCAGCCGGAGGTGGTGTCGTAGGCGGTCGTCGACACTACAATCTACCAGCGGTTTTCGTTGCTCATGCACTGGGAAATGGCAATGTAGTTCAAAATATTGGTCAATACGATATTGTGTATGCGGTGCCAGTGCCAGCTGAAGGAATGAGGCCGAACAATGCCATTCAGCAGCAGCAGCAACAGCAGCAGCAAGCTCAAGTAGTCGCAGCAGCAGCCGCCGCTGTCGCTGCCGTTGCTGGTGGCGGTGGCGGTGGTCAGAATGAGCAGCGAGAAGAAGTGATCGTCATTGAGCATCTCGGGCCGCAGCAGCGTGTGTCGAATGAACAAATGGACATTCAAATTCATGGAATGGAACAGCAAAATAATGGTAATTTCAGAATAATTTTGATTATTTTCCTATTTAAACCATGCATCTTTGTAGGAGACGCTCAAGAAAATGATAATGATGAAAGCGATAGTGAAGAGGACGAGGAGGAAGAAGATGATGGTAGCGTTGAAATGGAGAATGCGGGTAAGCGCGATAATTTACTTGGATTTTGAAAAAAAATTATTTTTTTATAATTTAGACGATCGCCGCAACGAGCAAGATGTTCAAGAAGACGCTGATATGGAACCATTCGCTCTTTCACCGCCAAGAATCCAATAAGGATTTCAACTCTGCTGAAAAACCTTTGAGCAGAGCTCACAAAATTGATTTTAAACCGAGAAATACTAAACTGACGGGAATCATTCCTTTTTTATATTCATGTACTATTCAATTCTGTAACCAATTGTTCCCAATTTTTCCATTCATTCTCCCAATTAAACCCACTTACCATAATTCCATTATCCACATTCATTCCTTGGGTTACTGTAGAATAAGAAGACGAAGAGAAACAAGAAAAGAAGAAAATGAAAAATTTTTTTGAATCGGAACTTTTACAGAGCGGAAAATTGCAGTGATCAATTCCGGGTAGTTTTTAGGAGCGCATTGCGTTGAGGATTAAAATGTCTTGGTCCCGATCATCATTGTGGCCTTTTTTGTATCATTTTTATTCTATTGTCTCTATTCTCTCTTTATATATGTTTATTGCTTATAATAAGTCGCTCGGAGCAATAGACTCTGCCTTTTTCTCTTCTATTTTTCTGTTTTTTTTTTTTTCGTTTTTCCTTGTCGTCCTTATTTAAAACATTTCTTTTTCCACATTTATTTTCCTTCATTTATCGCTGTACCCTTGGTTTTTTTTTGCTGAACTTATCTGTTTAATTCTAACTTCGTTGCTTCTACACAATATTTGTATGCGTTGCGTTTTGATTTCATGTTTGTTTCATTTTCAATTGATTAAACAAAAACAAATCTTACACAGTTATGTATTTGAAAATATATAAAATTTTTACATGTCGTTTATCGAATGATTGGGGTTGTTTAGTTGCGAACTTTTAGAATATTTTCATCTTCTCGACTATCCATAAATCATCGCATCATTCTAGTCATGCTTAAACATATCCCGAGGCTAAATTTGTTTTCTGTTGCGAGCTCGAGCAGCACTGCTCCAGCTACTAGTTGGGCGGAGATCTCGAAACGGCCAATTCTCGAGCCAAAAAAGGCAAAATCTGAAACTGAAGCGACCTCGTTTGTCGATTATCGAAGGGTTCGATGCATCGCCGGAAATGGCGGAAATGGGATGGTGTCGTTCTTTAGAGGATACCGTAAACCATTTGGTGGGCCGGATGGTGGCGATGGTGGGCATGGTGGACATGTGATTTTTAGAGGTAATCATTTAAAGCATGGTTTTTTTTAATTATTATACTAATAGAAAAACTTTATAAATTAAAAACTCATTTGTTTTCAGCAAAGAAAAACGTAAAGGATTTGTCGGCGATTAACTCAATCTGTCGTGCTCAAAACGGCGAATTCGGACAGTTAGTATACATAAATTTGTGCTGTGAAATTATATAATTATGCATTCCGGATTTCAGCTCAAAATCGTGTCATGGAAAATCAGCCGAACACAAAGAGATTCTCGTGCCGATTGGAACTGTCTTCAAATGTGATGGAGACGTGGTTTACGAAGTGAATAAGGAGGATGATGTTCGTTAGATTTGCGTATATAATTTTTTTTGAACTTTTAAACATTTTTAGATATTCATTGCTGCTCGTGGTGGAATTGGTGGAAAAGGAAATCAATTTTATGTTTCGAATGAGGTCAGAAAACCAGTCAAAGCGGAATTTGGAGGACAAGGCGAAGAGGTTTCCATAGAGGGATTCTGGATAAAGAAATATCAACGAATTTCAGATGGTTTATGATGTTGAAATGCGCGTTATGGCGACAGCCGGACTTGTTGGATTCCCAAACGCTGGAAAATCGTATGGCATTCATTTTACTCTCAAATATCTATCGACAATTAAACATCAGATCATTACTTCGTGCGATTTCTCGAGCGAAACCCAAAGTTGCCGCGTATCCATTCACCACACTTCGCCCACACATCGGAGTTGTATTTTATGAAGATTTCGAACAGATTTCTGGTGTTTCTATTTTTGAATGTGACGGGTTTGAAATATGCTATTTGAAGTTGCTGATATTCCGGGACTCATCGAAGACGCGCATTTGAATCGCGGGCTCGGCGTCTCGTTTTTGAAACATATCGAAAGATGCAGGTATTCAGAGCAGAGCTGCACGGAATTCCGTCTTTCGTGACATTTTCCTTTTCCGCGTTCAGTTTGCGGGTTCCGTCCAGAAAAAATGTGTTCTATGTTTCGTATTCCTTTAAAAAAAATTTATTCCGTATTCCGTGTTCCGCTTGAAATACCTCTCACGTCTAGAAAATCTAATAAGGTTAAAAACCACAGCCGGATAAATTTTTTCAACAAAAAGAAGGTCCTTGTCGAATGAGCACTTGAAAAATCTCACATGCTGCACTGTTAATTTCGAAATATTCGAGTTAGATTGACTTTGTGTTCCGTGATCCGTTTTCTGTTTAAAAAATTTTGTTCCGTTTTCCGTGTTCCGTCAGAAAAAATCGTACCGTATTCCGTTAAAAAATGTTTTGTTCCGTCTTCCGTTTGTAGAAAATTTAAGTATCGTGCAGCTCTGATTCCGACTTCCGTATTCCGTGTTCCGCTTGAGATATCTCTCAACACCTAGCACGTCTAGCGAATCTAAGAGGGGTTCGGGTCAGAATAAGTGTATTTTCCGTGTTTCGTAAAAAAAAATCGTTTCGTGTTCCGTCAAAAATTTTTTGTTCCGCCTTCCGTTTTTAGAAAATTCAAGTTCCGCGCAGCTCTGAATTTCAGAGGTGTCAACGATTCACACGTTTGATTTGACTTTAATTCAGATTTTTGTGGTATGTTTTGGACTATTCCGAAGGAAATTTAAAAGAGCAATATGAGATGTTGAAATTTGAACTAGAAGGTATAGCCTACTGTGTGGTCGTGCTATCATTATTTCGATTCAGGATACAAGCCAGGACTCAGTGACCGTGCTTCTACAATTATTGTCAACAAAATTGACCTTGCCGAGCAGAAAAAGGTATTTACTTCTTCATACTGTCAAAGACAAGCAAACTATCCAAAATTTGCAAAAAAATTGTAAAATATTTCGAATTTTTCGCGTCACCTCAGGAAATCGTGTGTTTTGTACATTATTCGGCATTATTCAGGATGATTCGATTCAAAAGCTGTTTTCCGATTTGCCGGTTTTTACGATATCGGCTCAACAACGAATCGGCCTTGAACCTCTATTAATTCACCTCAGAGACCAATATGATAGTAATAATGACGAACAATAAAATATCGAATAGTTGGGAAATTTATTCAATTTACTTTTTATTCTGATTTGCTATCACTTCGTAGAATTCGCACGCGAGCTGCATGAACGCGCAAAATACCTAGAAAAAAAAAGCAACGAGTTGATTGATGAAAGCATCCTTGCCTGAATCATTGTGCTGAGATGGAAAAGTGTGTGGATGAGCCCATTGTTGAGGGTGACAAGACAGTAGGTCAAGCATCCAAGTACGAGCGGCGCGAAAAGCGCAACGGCGTATTGAATGCGCAGTGTGGCTTCGTTGTCGCGGAGCATCTGACGCATGTCGTATCGACCGTCGATGTTGTAATACCTGAAATTATGCGAAGTTTGGATAGTTTTCCAATTTGTTATTAATACCACATAGAAGTTTATAGTGTTCAAAATATTTAAACCAATGCACAAAAAAAAAGAAAATTCTATGTAAAAAAATATTTTTTTTCATTTTCTACATTTTAAATTTCTCTACCTCTTTCCTTTTTTGGAACAAAAATGTTTGTGGCCAAACTTGATTTTCAAATCTTACCATCGTCGCGCTAGATGAAGAACGTGCATTCCGATGAGAATCGAATAGAACAAAAATGTGAATAATGATAGGGAGCCGGACTCGGTGTAAACGAAAATCAACTAAAATCCAGTAATTCAATACGAGGTAATCAAACAATTCGAACCTGCATGACGGTGCACAGTAGTTGAACAATTCGGCTATTATTGACGAGCAGAGGGAAATCATATCTAGCGAATAATTTATCGGCCATCTGAAAATGACGAAAAATTCGATTCGTGCAAAATCTCAAACCAAAGACATTGTTCAACGCGAAAACTAGAAAATTATGATTAAGAAATGGCTCGGAAAGTGAGCAAAAAGTGTCACGGGAAGGTGAAACAACAAAGCAAGAAAAAAAAATAAGATGGAAATTTCAATGACGGAGATCTTAAAGTGAGCTCGCCTCCGGATTTCCGATGAATGAAAAGGGCATGTGCTAGTGAGAAACGCTGGATGTCAGGTGTCCCATTCTTCACACGGAGGCGGCTGATCGGCAAAATACTTGTTTTGCACCAATTATTTATTAATTATCAAGAAGCACTGAAAGGCGCGCGAATCCTCAGGTAAATGAAAATCCATCGGATTCGAAGAAAAATTCAATATATAATTAAAATAGTTCAAATTCGATTAAGAAAACGCTTAAATTCAATTTGAAATCTTGGTTTCGATTCAAAAATTTTCGAATTCGATTGATTTTCGTTTACCCGAGTCCACTGTCGAAATTGCAATAAGATAATTGAGCTACATATATCATGTTTTTGGTATCTTTAAAAATTATTGAGTTATGCGATATCAGGCTTGTCAAAAAACCGGGATGGGACCCTCGTAGGTAGCTTGTTTGAATTCCCGCCGAAAATTTACGCACCAACTAAGAGGGCATTTGTGACGTGTCCCTGAAAATGTCCGCAGATGTTTAAAATTTCGAAAATATTGTTTTGGATAACTGATGAAATATACGGTACGGAGCTGCACGGAATTCCGTCTTCCGTGTTCCGCCAAAAAAAAAATCGTGCCGTATTCCGTTTTTCGTTTTTAGAAAATTGAAGTTCCGTGCAGATCTGATCTGATGCGGTAATATCTTGGATACGGTAATCTCGATGAGTCTCGCAGCGGACGATTCTGGTTGCAATTTTTTATTTTGGAAACTGACTTTAGAAAAAGTGTTTTCCTGTTGTCGAAAGATTGCAACAAATTGGCCAAACGTCAGAAATGGTCTGTGTACTCCACACGGACAATGTATCGCTCAGCAATATGGCGTAAATATCCCCATCGACACTTTCAAAGGGACCCAAAGTCGCATTCAAAATAAAAACAAGCAAAGATTCGTGTTTCCTAAGATTCGTTCAACACGTTCTTGTTAGATGATTTCGTGATATTAAAAATCATTTTAATCTGCGGACATGTCGCTTTCAGCCGGGTAATCGATGGGCGGTGTAGATTTACGAGCATGTGTGTTTTGCTGTGGTCTCGCCACCTTCATATATAGAAAATTACCAGTAGAGCTTGGCAAAATCGGCGAAAATTTCAAATTTTCTACAAGACAATATAAATTTTGTTTTCGAAAACTCAAAAATTGATGCAATTCATTTTACATACTGACATTAGAGAGAGCGATAATTAAATTAAAATTTCATTTTTCTGAGATCGTCGGTGATGTGAGAATCAAACGGCAACGGCGTCGATGGTCCCAATTCGGAATCGACACTCTGAAAATGCAAACAAAACACATTATGACGATGACCTCGATTTGTTTGCGATTGTTGCATCAACATTACTGACAGCGTTATGCAATCGCGCATTATTATCTATTATTATTTGTGTGCACATAATATCATCTGTCTACCGTAATCGGCAACAACTACAGTAATCAATGATTAGAGAGAGATACCGGTTTATTTTTCGGCGGTTCCTCATCGTCTAACACGTGGCTTTTCACAGAAATGCCATCTTCTTCGACGAGTTTCGGCAAATGGCTTTGAGAATACGAGTTTTGGAACGCTGATTTAAATCCTGACATTCTCTTCTCATTTTTTCAATTCTGTTCACAATAAAAATACCATTCGAGAGCTCAAAAGCCCCGTATGGCCTCTGCGGACACAGCGACTGAGAGAACGGTGATTCCGGCTCAAGTTTCACCGGTGTCGCCGGTTGAACGGAATGTGAACGAGCTCTGACAATTAAATGTAATTATATAATTGTATTGTTAAAAAATGACAAATGTGTCCAAGTGTCGTGGGATCCTGCGTTTTGTACGCAATGTGGTGAGCCAGTTACCGTAATCCTCGCAGCGATTTACGAGGGTTTTTTTTATTTCGTTTTTTTATTTTTTTTATTTTTCGCTCAATTTTCGTATTTTCCTTCGAAATTGTGTTATTTAAATTTTGTAGAAACCGAGTTTAATTATTTATTTGACAGAATAAGCACTTTTAAACGATATTTTTTGGTAAAAACAGCAGAGATTTAAAAGAAAACATTTTTATCGTTAATAAAATTATTTATTTGTGTTGCTTTTTGTACGCGTTTCTATTATGTTGTTTTTGTATTCTTCATTTTCAAAATAATTTTTTGAGCGACAAAATCTTCACAATAATTTCCAACTCAACTTGACGAATGGAAAAATGCATATTCTGCTAAATAAATAATTAAACTCGGTTTCTACCAATTTTAAATAAAAAAATTCTGAAGAAAATACAGCAAAAATTTTTTTTATAAAATTAAAAAATGATCTCACGACACTTCGATACATGAGTAATTTTTCAACAATATGATTTTTTTTTTCATTTCAAAAATGAGAACCTCATTCCTCCGAATGCGCTACTCAACCGTCGGAACGTTGATGGTTTCCTTTCTGAAAATACCCACTTGTTCCCTTTTTCAGCCTATTTCTCGTCTTACCAATTCCTTTAACAAGATGCGAGTTCAAATCGACCTTCATCATGTCGATATTATCATTTGGTTCAGCCAATGTGACCGTTTGCGCGGATCCGACGAGCGCGTGATCGGTTCCGGTGTTGATCACTTTTTCCGGATAAAACGGCGAGAATTCCGGCTCGGCGAATTTGTCTTGTCGCATTTCCGGAAAATGATCGTACGTTTGGTCGACAATCGCCATTCCCGTCGCAATGTTTTTGTCAATCAGAAAATTGCATTCGAAATCGTCGTCGTCTTCACCAAGCGGATTCAGAAGGCCTTCGGCGACCTTCAGCCATCCCATAAAGAAGATGAATTGGAATACGGTAAGCAATGGAAAGTAGAGATCGATCTAGGTAGATCAAATTGGATTATTGGAAAAATTTGATTTGACCTACCGAGACGACTTGATGATCAAGATGTTGGCGCGAGAAGAGGCACATGAAGAAGTAGAATCGAACAGCGACAAAAATTACTTGCGGATAAGCGAGAGGAATCGGAACCCAGTCGAAATTGCAAAGAAGGGCCATATTTGAACGGAATGATTTGATCTCCTGCCATGCCGAATTGAATAGTGGAGCAGCTGTTATCTTCCCTTCCTAAATATTCCTCTCATTGATTTTTAAAGGCGCATAGTATAATATGAACATTCTCATGGCGAATTTTGATGAAAACATATATATTGGGTGAACTTGTCATTAATCATTTTGGATTGTCGATGAAAAATTTGACAAGGCGAACCGCGAAGGCGAAATTGCGGAAGTTGTTCGAAAAACCTTACCGCGAACATTTTGTGCAAAATCGCCGACGCCCAATTGATCGGCACCCAATACTTGTTGTACACACAGTTGACCTCGTCCAGCTCAATCGCCTCGTGCTCAAGCATGAATCCCGCTTTGATGATCGAATCCGTGTTCGGAAATCGTCGGCGAACTTTCAGCGAAATGTCGCGAAACACTAAAACCTGAACATTTTCATGTGAACTGAATTGAATCGGAATTCGGAATTCGCTTCTCACGAATTCCGTCGCATTTTCGAAAAGAATTTTTTTTTGGGAAAATCGCTCTGAAATTGACATTTTTGAGGAAAACTCCATTTTTTGTTAATTTCTTTTATTTTTCAGCCGAAAAATTGAATTAAACGTCCAAGCCATTCACGTTGATTTCCTTCATTGTGGAAAAAAGCTCGGAATATTTTTTAAAGCTTTTTTTGAAATCCAATTCAAATCAATCATCTAGATCTATCAATTTAGTGTGCTTCGGACATTTGGCGAGTTTTGAATGAAACCTGAGAAAGCACCAAATATCGAATGATTGTTCGTCGCGAGAGCACGATTTCGGGCGAATCGCCTCGAATTAGTGTCGCGATCGCTAGCGCCGTGCTGAAATTCGAAAATCAATCGCAATCTTCCGAAATCGGCCGGGCCGACTTCTCGATGAATCCAATATTCGCAAATATATTCTTCCAGCGATCGACGATCACTGTCACGAAGAACGCGAGCATGAAGGTGAGAGGAACGCATTGGTCAAGATGATCGCTGATTGGTTGGACCAACTCGCGAAATATTCTGGAAATCGCTGAAATTCGTCGATACAACTTCCAATAATGGACCTACTGTTGTCCCGCTGAGCTTAATGTATACCAATATGTGCAATAAACGATGTAGTAGAGCATTATCCAGAGGAGGAGTTCGGTCCACACTGATTTCCAGACTGAGCCGCGCCAGCGAAACAGGACCTGCAAAGAGTTGATGGATTATTGTAGATGGTTGCCACGTGTATGTTGGGGCTGCAATTCAGAAGCTCATATCATCAGGGCTCTCGAAAGGACCGCCCCATGTAGGACTTGTTTGAATTGCCGCCACAACCCAGCAACAAACAGGCGATTGCGGCGAATCCCGCAAAATGTCCGCAGATGTGTAGAATGGCATTTCTCTTACTAGGGTTTTAAAAAAGGGTTGCCTTTTTTTGCCAACCCTGCTGAGATCGAGCCCTCTGATCAGCAGTCATGGTGTTTTGTGGGAGTTTTGATTACCTTGAAAAAATTGAGAAACGACACCGACGAGACGTCCAAATTGTACGAGACTGTCATCTTGAAAACAGAAAAAAAATGAAATTCTTTGAGAATAATGAAACAATTTATGTTGAATGACAAATGAAAATAAAATGATGATGATGATTCTTGTCGATTCCTTGTGTTTCGATTTCCATTTCAGGAGAATATCATTTATTACACTATCTCGTTATCAGTCGAACGTTCATTGCAGAATACATGAATCGATTCGCTAATTGAATTACTAATGGGCCGTTTTCGGTGTTTTAAAACGAACTGGGTCTCACTAGGAAAAAAAGCGATAGAAAAAAATTGAGGGAACCGCTTCTAATAATATATGTGTATGAGAATGAATTTGATTTCGGCAAATAATTGTAAAACATCCCATAAAAGGTGATCTTTGTGAAAGAAAATTCGGGTTGACGTGTATTTTTTGAAAAACTACGGTATCGCCCACACGTCTGCTTTTCGCAAAAATATTTACAAACATGCATACAAAAAAAAAGTTGAACAATTAATAATGCCAACCAACACACCTAAAAATATCATTTTCTTTATTTGCTTTATAATGACAATGATCGGATGGAAAAAAACAGGAACATGGAGGCCGTTGATATAAAAAAATTGGTCGAATGAGACTGTCAATTAACTGCAGATTTCGACGGCAAGGTCGGGCCGTATCAAATGAGAAAACACCGTCGATTTGTACTTCGAAATTGCCTTGAATCACCTCGCTCTCACCCTGTAATCAGAAGTTTTTTTTTTGGGTCTTCTTTTCATTGCTTTTTACAGATGTTGATGAGTATTGGTTGTTTGGCCTATCGCTGCGATCGGTTTTGAGGACGGCGAGACGGCGAGGGGCAATACGCACGCATGTGTACGCCACTAACATGTAAGTTCTGCCGTGATCAGGTGGCCGAGTGGTTAAGGCGATGGACTGCTAATCCATTGGGATTTTCCCGCGTGAGTTCGAATCTCATCCTGATCGAATCCTTTTTTCGCGTTGTTAGGAGACCGAAATAAATGTGTTGAAGAAATTTGAGGCGCGAGTGTTTGTTCAAGATGAAATCGAAATCTCGTGTAATCGCTTCTTTTTTGCCCCTTTGATGGGAAGCATGTATATTGCAAGTGAAATGAAGCCTCTTGGCGTCTCTTTTCAGCATTTCAAAAGCAAACAACAAAAACCTAAAAACCACGTGTTTTCATTATTGTTGCTTTTTTTCGTTAAACCTGAAGCATAACGGCATACTGATAAATATCAATATATTATATTCGAAATTCTGTTTATAATTTTCAATTGAATCAAAACTTTGTAGGTTAATTGTCAAAAACTCTTACTCTACTTAAATTATGTGCAAAAGCGCTTCACAAGTCGGCATTATTCTCTTCTATTTATAGCCGTTTTATTTCTTCGTCTCGGTATCAATTTCCATATTTGGGAATAAATTTCCAACAAAATAGGAAACCTATAATCAATTTCGATTGAGCTTTGCGCCTTTCATGTGCTCAAGGGAAAACGCGAAATTGTGATATTTCATATATAATAAATTCTAAACCTATAATCATATGGCCTGATTTGAATGCATTCAGCAGTCATATAATGTATTCTACTTTAGATAAAAAATATATCAGACTCGCGCCGGACACGTGTTCATTCATTATTCCTCAATAACCATCAGGGACTAGAATTGATGGCCGAGAATTTTGCCGGCCAGAAATTTAAATAAAATCCTTTCCCACTTAACCTTCTTAGGCTCTGAATCTACACTTTTGATTTTTCGCGCCAAGACCACTTCCATAATGACCCAGGCAATTTTATTTTTTTATGCAATGCAAGAACGCCAAAAAATTCGATAGATCTCACTCGTTCATTTTGATAATGGGACCATATTCAGAAAAATATGATACTGTTGAGCAATACAAGGTCGTTGGTTCAAATTCGGGCAAAGTGGCACGCGCCATAAATATTGTTGAAGATAAGAAGGATCGGATTAGATCGGTGCGAGTAAGGAGTGCATTAATAATAATAATAATAATAATATTGCGGTTGTTTGTTTCCATTCAATTCGTCGTACTCAAATTAATTAGATACGCGCTCGAGCTCGAGCATGTTTTTTTTTTGCCGCTTCTTCTTCTTCTGAGCTGCAGCACATCCCACTCGGCATTTTTTTTCGCCGCCAATTGAATGTTGCCATTCCCTTCGATTGCCGTCGTTCTCATTCATTCATTCATTCATTCATTCCGAGTCGAACAATTGATTGTGTTTGTTATTCAATCGAGCGGTTTGTTTTGTTTTTCGAGGCCCCTCTCGTCTTTTTATGGAAATTATTCATTTTTGAGGGTCCGAATGCGTGAGCAGCGATCCCCGTCGAAAATCGTAGGCAATTGGCGAAGAGAAAGAGGAGAAGACAAAATCTCGACTAATTATAGGTTTCGAATATCGCTGCTTTATTTTTTGGTGCAACATGATGGCGGTGGCGACTCATCGCCCACTAAAAATTATTAGTATCTTTGCTCGTTGCGGCTTTTCCTGTTTTCCACCAAACAAATCCGCTTTTGTTCGACGCTTTATACGTCCCCATATAAAGCGGATTTGCGAGAAGACATTGCGAGCAAATTCTAATGGTCCCTTCAATTTTTCCTTCGCAACCTAAATTTATTGAAGGAGTATGATTCTACAACACATTCTATTTCAAAAATTCACCAATCTATGACCTCTATTGTATCGTTAGCACTTATTTGTATTTTTCTGCTGAAGCAAGTCGTGGCCTAACATTTAAAATCCGCGGACTAACTTTTGAGACTATGCGAGTATTTTCCCGCGTTTGAGCGTCGATCTGGAGCAGTGTTACATCTCAAATCATTCGTTTTGTGCCTGTATTGATCATTTCATTGAATATTTAAATCCAGCGCGTTAAAAAAAACTAACTACGACTGAATAAAATAAATTCAGTATCGTCACATTTAGAAGGAAACGAAACAAATAATTCGGCTTCAGTGATTCTTAAAGACTTCGCACAAACTCGATGTCGCTGCAACGCACGTACGACCTAGAAAAATTGATCAACATTTTCAAAAAGCAAAACTGCAAGTGCTACACACTACCACGGGCTAATTTTTAAAATTATGTGCTCAGTGGCGATTTTCTTTTTTTTTTCCAAGAAGTTGTTTCTTTTATTTTGATATTTGGTTTTAAATATCGTAAATGCACAAAACATATACATATTCATTTAGTTCTACTTAATTGAATTAATTAATTCATCAAGTGTGGCCGTGGCCGAACATACTTTTGAGGACAATTTTTCTAGGCCGCACGTGAGTTGCGGCGAGCATTGGTGTGACGTTGAAGGTGTTTTTACGACATTAATTATGAGCCCAATAGTAGTGTGGGACTTGATTTTTTTAATGCTCAATATGCTGCAAAAAAAATCAATGGCAAAAATATTCAAATGAGACCGGTATTTTTTTTGGTTTTTTTTCTGTGATATTTACGTCACGGTGTTTTCACGCATTTTCGCCTTCCACCGTTTAATTCAATTTTTAATTTTAAATCCCAAATGTGATGAAGGACCAAAAAATAGAAAAAATATTTGCCAGAAAATCCACAAGAATATGTTTTGTCCGCAAACACCGCTGGTTTGACGGAAATTCAAACGTTTTTCTCATTTCAACGAAATTAATCGCGTTTTGGTGGAATCTTTAAGTTTCGAAGTTTGTTTTAAAAAGTTTTATTTAAAAAAACCATTCGCAGCCAACATATCGCCCGATATTTGAATTAAAATATTTCAAAAAAATTCTTTTTTTTTTATTTAAAAATTTCTCAACGCTCACTGGCACAATTCCTTTAAAGGCAGTTGCTTTTCTCAGTCCGCATTTTTGCGTATACCTACAGTAGCTTTAGTTAGTTAAATTTGTCTTGTCGGATTAAAGAAACATTGGGATTCCTTTTGGAGCATGTGCCTCAATTTTTGGCTCGATTAGCATAAATTGAATACGGTAAAAATGGGGGCGTGGTTTACATACGTATTTAGTTGAATAAGAATTCGCGGTATCTGCGAGATAATAGGCGTACCTGTATTCCCAATACGGAATTGGTATCTCGCGCGCGCATACACACGCTCGTTGAACAATTTACGAGCAATCATAAATCGCAACAAACAATGAGTGTCGAATAAAGAAGAAACAGAGAGCGAAGAAGAGGATGACGGTAATTGTGATGATTGACCAAATATGGTTCACATGATTGCGGTCGTCGTCTGGACGGAGAGCAACAGAGCTGCTGTCATTACCGGTTTCCGAATCTCCCCCCTCCAACCGATCAAATATAATATATTAGAGAAGTGGTGGAGAAAAAAAAACAACATTCGAGGTGGCGAGAAGAAGAAAAAACGAAACGTCGACTAATCCCGTCGACGGGTCCCGCACCGGCTTAACACTTGGGAAAATTGAGCGAGATAGTGCGGCGAGGCGCGAGAGACGCAGACAATTTTCGGATTATGCTTGGTGGTGGTGAAAATTCATAACTGGCGCTCCCCCAACGGTCTGCCAGCCATCGCTCATTGCATAAACATTTGGCACCTTTCACATTTGGTCTCGATTAGATTACGGTGGCACTAGTTCTCGTTTTGATCTCTCTGATGCCCAAAACTCTTTCTTTTTGGGAAGCAGCTTAAGCTTCAGCCCCATGATTGCTTTGTACCCGAACGACAATTGCCCTCACCTACAATTCATTCTTTTTTCTTTCAGTTTTCTTTCTCACTCTTTTTTTTTTCTTTTTTTTTTGCCAATCCGAATATATCCAACTTTCTCAGAATATCCATTCTCCGGATATTTTTGCGCTTAAAAACGAAGACGCGAATTTCCGGTTTTTTTTTTCGATGCGTGCCCACCCCGACAAATGTCCGCAGATGAGACGCCATTTGAAGCGGCCGAAACTGTCATCGAATTTATCTTGAATTGCCGGTTTTATTCGACAAACCTCAAACTTTACATGTTGGCTAAAAATGACAAAAAAATCGGCAATTTAGTAATGAATTGATGCATTCGACGATTTCAATTATACGATTCCCATCTGCGGACATGTTTCATTTTTCAATAATCTGTCAGCAGATGGGATTTTCTTAAACAGCAATTTTCAGCGCTAAGGAATTCATCGAAAAATCACCATCATTTTTAGTTCATCTCTCTGCAAGTTTTCATCGTTTTTTTTTGTAAAGCACCGAAAAATAACCTTGAAACCGCGATAAAATAAATCTACAGTAACCCATTCGTCATCAAAAAACTCAATTTTTCGTTTAAAAATAACCATTAAGAAGAAGAAAAAAAATTAAAAGAAAATAACTACAAAAAATGTGCTTTCAGCTACAAAAAATCTGGATTTTTTTTCTGATCGCTTAAAAAATTAATTTCATTTTTTGCGGCTCCCTAGCTCATCAGCAAGGTCCATTTATTTATTTTGATACAATGAGAGATATTCATATTGAACAAAATAGTTTTTCTCATCAACTTCCGGCCAGTTCATTAAAAAGTGGGCGGAGCTTAGTGCGCGATCTGTGCGGTCGCTGGTGGAATGGATGGGGGGGAGGGGAGGGGGTGGGACCGCCTTGGTTCGCCTCCGCCCCGTCCCTCCTCTTCCTCCTCCATCCATCCATTGCAAATGTATAATTGTTAATACACAGAATGCGAGTGAGAGACACACACACTTTGACCCGAGACATTTCCGGCCTAGGTGCCTTCTTCTCGTGCTCCCAAAAACAGCTTCAAATATGCAAATTACCTTGCTCGCCTTCGTTTTTCCCCCTCCATTTCGCCCCCCTCGTACTCTTTTGCTCGTTGTTGCTCTTTCTTTTGTTTTTTCGAATGCCTTGATTATTTCAGTGGATTTCGACGATTTATGAGCTCATGAAGGGATTCGTCGCGATTTTCGTGATTTGGCTGGCGACACTCGCCGACGCCGATGAGCTTCTCGCCACACGCTGCCAGGCGCACTGCCTTCATTTAATGGAAACTCGATTACAGGTGGGTCATCATCTCGTCCCCTTATTTTCCGAAATTTGACCACATAATTGTGCTATGCTTGCTGCGGTCGTATTACGGGTTCAAATGTCCGCAGATGGTTTCGTTCGCTACAAGCAACACGCTTCAGGGCGCTTCTACCAGTTTGGATGGCGATTCGAATTCAATCGCCTCCGGCCGAAACCATAATAATTCGGAGAAGTGCGAGGGGGGCTCGTTTTTTTCCGCTAAAACAAACATGTCAATCACCTATTCGCAGTCAGACCCCAAATTGATGTCTATCCATCGAAAATTGATTCGTCAAAATGTACAACGTCCCGGTGTGCCTGCGCGATGGCGGCCATATACAGATAGCGATCACCCAGCCCTCGAAAACATAACAGAAACAAATTGAAGATGGTTATCTTGCCTACCGGAACGTTCATTAATTAACACGAACATTATCAATTCGTGCCCTTCTCGGTCGGACTAGGAAGACAGACTTCAGGGGACGGATTACGGTACCCATCGACTGGGTTGTTCTCCTTTGCGCAACCGATTCTCGGCTTAATACATGATATTCGACACAGTTTGTCGGCGCGGCCCCCCTTTGTGCTCGATAGCTATCAAAATATTGAGGATTACGCAACTTGAACGTTACGATCAAGGTTGTAAAAAAAGAAACTCTGTTTGCTTTTGTCGCTCGCATACTACTTTTTATAGCCAATCATTTTTTTTTCGACCATATACATATCCAAGAAACAATGTTTATTTTCATATGCATATGTATGTTCGAAGGCACTTATCAGAGAGGCCGACAGGACTATCGGGTTACACGAGACACCGGAAGAACACAACATCATCATCATCATGCATGCATTTGTTAAGTACTGTTCGACGGCACAGTTGGTGGTCCTTTTATATGACACAATAGCGAACAATAGTTGAATGAATGAGAAAATTGTGCAGTCAATTAAGGGGTTGCAACGAATTCTTTTAGTTGGTTTTGGTTTAACAAGGTCGGCTCGGATCGATCAGCAGTTCATCAATCATTCGGGCGGCCGGTGCACAAAGGGTTGAGCAGTTGACTTTGCGGGTGGTGCAAAACGACGACTATAATTCACCTAGCAGACGTCACATCACAGAAGACGCCTATCATTAAGCGAGTCGTGTTGATTCAATCGGTCTACAGTAACCTCAAGAGAAGCCAGGGCTCTCTTCAATTCTAGATATCACACATTTTTCACAACTCTGGTTAATTATTGAGAAATGAATACAAAGCATTTGCAAGATTTTTCCCAAAAATGCTTTTTCAACCTTGGCCCCCCCTCATTCATTTACCCATATTGTTTCGAGACCCATTGACCATACTTCATGATCCTTTAAAGCAACACCCCCCCCCCTTTTTTCTCTATGCGGTATACAAGTACGGGTTTTGTCGGCTCGACATCAAACCGCATGCCACTAATAGGGCCGAACAATAACAATACACGCATAGAGGCAGATCCTAATAAGGGTCGAGCAGAAATGAATGCAAAATTGCCGGGTATGCATATATGCTTCTGAATATAGTATGTTAATTAGAGTTGCGAAAAATTCCGCTAGTTTCGCGTTTTGGACCCTTGAAATCCACTTGAACACCTTAGTTTTGATGGTTATGTGACCCCCGAGGGGGCTATGAATGAATGAAGTGCGAAGAGAGCAATTATTCAACACCACCCCCTTTTCGTTTTCATTGATGGGTCGTAAAATTTGGCTCCTATCCTAACTAAACAACATTAATTTTCCAGACAGCTGCCTCCGCGCGAGCCGCGTTGTAAATCGTATTATTTGTGTTGTTGTTAAAATAACATTACAATGTATAACAATTTCGTTGGGAGCAGCAAACGCGCTCCAATGGACACCCAACTTTTTTACGCTGTGATTCTCTAAATATTGCGCGAGTCGCGCGCGACCTTTCTCGACAATTCAAGTACTTTCATTCAATTGTCACACGTTTCAATAGAATGAGTGGTCCCGTTGGTATTCAAGGACCACAAAAGGTGTGGTTGGTGGTGGGTGGGAATAAAGAGAAACACTCTTTTAAATGAACCCATAATTAAATATGCGATTCGTTCAAGGCAACGGATTTCCGCGTAATTTGAGCCCTAATTTGGCTGCCTGCTCTGTTTCTTTTGTTGTTGTTGTTGATTTTTCGGACTGCTGGGGAAAACCAACGAAGCGCTCGCATCAGATTCAAGCGGCTCGTCGCATTTAAGGCGAAGACAGACATGGTTGTCCAGGTGCCAACAAATCATTATTCATGTGCGAGATTTTCGTCGAAGCCCCCCCAGAGCCATTGTGCATTTCGTGCATTTTTTATGATGGAAACTGGTGCCAGATGATCGGAATTTATGATGATCTACCCACGATGCACTCGACGAGTGTGTGGGACGCGCTCCGTTTCATCCGATTTACGAGCGGCGCCAGGAATTCGGGCGCCGTGAAGACCGAAAAAGTTGGCTTCCGATGGTGGAGAGAGGGGAAAATTGGCAATTAAACTAATACACCAAACGAACCTCGTTTCGAAACAGTGTTCTCCCCGCGTCGCGACGAAGTCCGATTGGTTTCGTTGTTCGATCTGCGGACAATTCTCGTGGCGAAATCCATTCAAAAACGCATAAAACTGTTGCAAATCGAAATAAAAACAATTAGTTAAACACCTGTTCGGATTGTACAAGTTCAACGTTGTCCTCCGAACATGCGCCACCTGCCATCATCGTCCCGCCTGTCTCATTTTTCAATCGCGTCTCTATTGTAACCTTGTCACAGCGAACAAGAGAAAAAAACTCAACAGATCGCTATCGCCACCTATCACTCAATTTGAACTGATACGGTAGCTGCATTTTTAAACACACACACACACACACCCATATGAGAGTAGAAGAGGAAGATTTGAAAGCGCGATAATGGGCTGACTGGTGGATAATTTACGGCCCGAACCATTTTTGATGCGGGAAAACGATGACTCGCTGATTAATTGTCGAAATAAGCGTGTCGTCACGGTCGGCGCGGATCGTCGGCGGCAACCGGACGCCCGGTTTTCTTGTATTTTATTGCATTCCCCCCTAATTCATTTGACGGGTAAATATTGCGTAGCGTTTACTTGTTGAAGGGATCTCCATGTGGGGACATGCTTCTCATCTATCTTGAGCATCCATCAATGACGCGTAATTTACAAGCATTGGGCCGGCGAAACCAAAAAAAAAAGGTTCCAATTCATCAATTCGTTGGCGGCGAGACAAAGACACCCAAAAAATACTGGTGCCAGATGGATGGAATCTTTATGGTTGGTTTTTTTTTCGCCTGCTGGCTTTTGCCTTCCGAGGGACCATCTTTGGTGGTTGGTTGTCTGGTAGTAGTAATAGTATTGACATACTGGCTGAATCTTAATCCTTCGGTGGAGAACGGTGGAAGGAGGATTTCGCGCGCGCGATGCGTTCCGTTCGACTCGAGACAACACAATAAACAGTTTTGTTTCATGCATCACTGGACGACGGCAAGATTAGGGACACACACACACACACCAAAGTGAGTGGATTCATCGAGAAGGACCCAATACAATATAAGTTGTTGAATGGAATGGGAACGAAACGATGAGGGAAAGAGAGATTACATCATAAGTGCACATTTCGGAGGGGATTAGCACTTGGGAAACTGTCCATAAATGGTGATGAGGGGGATTTGCTCTTATCTGCCATTAATCATTCAACCATTTCCATCTGCGGGCAAATTTGTTTTTTTTTAGTATATACCCGGGATCCTCCACAAGAATAAATGCATATAAAACTTCCAACAACTTCTACTACACATCCTTCCATATAATTAGCATAGTAATGATGAATTGATTTCAGGAAGTGGCGGAGCATCGCAAAAACCTTAAACACCACATTATTCAAATGTGCAAGGATGACACGACGTGCTCGGCGGTAAGTAGTCGAATTGCATTACCGGAGGGGGGTGTTGTGAATGCGTTGATTGCCTAATTATACGCCTCTTGAATTGAGTCGAAAATGAAACAAACCGATGGGGTCACGAGAATTTCGTGTCGGCATTCCACCAAAAAGAACCCCCACCATCCCGCGACATTTTTATGATTACCGTAATTATCGATGAATGTAAGCAGCACATCTGGCTAACATGTCATAAAACATTCGTCGCCTCGTGTGTACCCGTACCCGCGTGCGCACTTGAGACGTTTTATGGTTTAAACGGGACGGGGCACTGTAAGATCGGCTTTCAGAGGAAAAATATCAGATTTCGAAACAAATAATATTGAATAATCATTCGTTGAAAAAAAAAAATGAAAAAACAGCAAAGTCCGCAATTTAGCGCAAAATTAGGTGTTTTCTGCATTAATTCTTTTTTCTGTTCAATTTCCTACCGCAAACTCTAATTTTATAAAAAATTGTTTATCCTTCATATTGTTCTCGTTTTAATCAAAAAATCAACAATATTAAACGTTATAAGTGTTCGCGGAACCGTAACCAATATGTGCAAATCATTAACATTTACAATTATTTGCGAATCGGATTAATTCATAATTCCCATGTTCGTCGGTTCGTGTTTGTTCTGTCCGGGGGAAAAATTGAGGCTCATTCGAGATGACGTGGCAGATGGCAAAACACGCAAAAACCGAAAAGCTCATCAATCAATTCGGCGCCACGGCGCCGCCACCGCGCAATTTTTTGACTGGCACTGATTGCTTTTAATGGGCATTAGGCCATACGCCATGTAACAGATTCTCAAGTGTTTGCCGAGTATGACACCATCCGGTACTTCATCAAGAATCATGGGGGTCAATGGGCATATGCAATGAATTATGGATAGCGTTACAAACTTTTTGTTCGAGAGGCCGCTAAGAGTTGCATTGCATTAGCACCTGCATATCTCACAGTGCAAAGGGTCACCTCACCCCGCGAACATCAAAGATAATTTATGACGACTAATAATATCTCATTTTCAGTGCTCTGCTCCGTGTCGCGAGCAATTCGACAATCTACAAATTTGCAAAAAATCATGTGTGTCGTCTGACGACTCGGCCGCGTGTGAGGCCTCTTGCGAATATCGCGAGACCATTTATGGCGAGAAGCCCGGAAGCTGTCCGATCCCGATGAACACCTCGACGTACGAGTGCTCGGCATTATGCCATCTTGACGGCGATTGCCCGGAAACGCAGAAATGCTGTTCGCATGGTTGCAGCCGGCAATGCATGAAGGCGAACGCGAAGGGCGCCCGTCTTTTGCCGATTCCGCGAAATATCACGATACAGGAAAGGAAGCGAAAACGATCGATTATCATTCGATGGGCGACGGGAAAATGGTCGAAATCACAGCTGAATGCGAACGCCAATCTGTTCTTGGTGCAATGGCGATGGGGACTGCACACTGATGAAACGGCAATGACCGAGTGGCAGACTGTCACTGTGGTGAGCGGTTTCGTCGCATATCCTATAGTAAATCATGGATATTTTCAGAGAAATAAACCATACGCTATTCTCAAGCATTTATTGAGCCCTGGTCGATATTACCAATTCCGAATCGCCTCGGTGTCAGATGCGGGAAGTCTTGGATTCAGCGGTCCATCCGAGCCTTTTAAGATCTCGAAAGAAGCGAAAGCGCCATCGGCACCGCGCGATTTGGCACTTGGCAATGCGAAATTGACTCCGATTGGTTTATGGAATCAAATGGTCATGTGGCACCCGCCGGCTAGCGATTTGCCCATCAAAAACTACCAAATCTCGTGGGCGGCCTCCACTGCAGCGGAAGCCAATGCATTTGAGGAGATGATGCGAAAGAAAGTGACTATGGAATTCGGACAACACGAGAAGCGAAGCCTTGAAGATGATGAAGAATGGGGAATCAGTGATCAGAGGGATCGGCACTCGGTCATCGTGCCTAGCCATTCATCACATACCGAGATCTCTGGATTGTTCCCAAACTCGGTGTACATTGTTGAGGTAGGCATTTAATAACCATTTCTCAAAATTAAAATTTGTGGGATTTTATTTCAATTTACACAATTATGCATTTTTTTTTCTGAATTTTCAGATTCATGCCACTGTTGATAGTAGTGATGGCGAGCTTCACGGCGAGAAAGGAATCATTTTCATTCGAACGGCTGATGCCAACGTCACACTGATCCCAACCGATCCTCCAGCTCGCATCTCAGATGAAAGCGAAGAATTGAAGATGGAGCCTGAGAACGAGCTACCGAAACTTCATTATCATACCGAATCGGTTCCGACGCTTCAAGTTCAAACGCCATTCTTTGCTGGCGGCGAATTGCAAACGAATCTAAATTGGCTCAATTATGCCGAGTGCGACTCATCGTCCGGCAAAGCGATCAACTATATTGTGCGTGTGCGAAAAACGCTTTGTCGCGAATACCAGCCGAATCATCATTCGGACACAAGATGGCACGATTTGAGAGTCGTCGAGTGTTCGGCGGTTCTTAAAGGCCTTTCCTTTGATTGCGACTATAAAGTGGAGATTTCCGATGGTGCAACCGATACTCGTATTGTCGACGGCGTATTTTCCACCGACACCTGTGAGCAGACACCGGCGCTTTCGCCGGTATCATGCGCGACGCTCACTAATCCCATCAAGTGCCAGGTTTGAATTCTTGCCGTTTTAAGAGTAGACCACAAGCAATCTTGGATTTCTTGAATTTTTTGTCGAAATTCAACTTGTAAGTCAATTTTGCAGGTGAATTCAATGCATTCTGCGCATTGTCATTGGTCTCGCCATCACGATTCTTTGCAAACCGTCATTGGATACCGTATCATTTTGTCTTCTCCGATGGGTCCTGACACGAACATCACAATCAATCAACCACAGCTCAGAGAAGTACGATATGAGGAATTGAAACCCGGAATGGTTTATAATGTCGAGGTTTGACTGCGATTTCTACAGAATTAAAAACCCAAATTTTCGAAATTTAGGTGCAAGGAATCACTAATAAAGGTCTCGGAAGGACAGTGAGCACTCAGTTTATCACCCATTCTGAAGTAGATCATAATCAGATCGAGAGATTCCCTGGAGGCGAGATCATCGAACTACCACTGGAATCGCACTCATCCTATATTGTCCCTTCATTCCTTCTTTTTATCTCATTCATTTTTGTATTGCTCAGGTTTTAGATGTTGAAACCGATGCTCACATAGTAGTTAGCCTTCAAAAATTGTGCCTAGGTATATATTATTATACCAAACCATTTTGTAAATACGGGATTCGGATTATTATTGTAAGATTTAATACGGGTTGTTAATTTCTTGTCGTTTTTTAATAAACATTTATATGGTCTCTCGATATGATTGCAAAAAATTAGATTAAATGTCGATTAAAATTGTGGTTTTCACATCGGTATCATTTCTGTGCAAATTTTGAAATCACGTAGTTATCTGTAGTAAAAGTGCAATCTGAATTTTATCATATCACATACGAACATGTTTCGCGATAAGAACAAGGTTTATTTATATTATTCTCGTCTATTGGGCAAAACTTGATTAACGACTCAATTTTTCGCATTAGCCGTCGCAAAAATTGGCCAGTTTTTCCACTCAAAGCTTCTTTACTCCACGTGGCCGCGACCGAGGTTTTTTTCGGCGGCCATTATGCTGAACATGTGCATGCGACTATTTCATTGATTTTTCCGGACAATATCTGCGTGTCTGTCAGTGCACAAACCGTTTTCCATATTTGACACGTCGCCGCCACCATTGGGCTTGTTTTCGACGCAATTAATATACAATTTTTGTAGGGAAAAGTGATAAACAATACAACGAATTGCATGTGATTTCAAATTATGTCTCATCAGGTCTCGAGTTTACAAGGTAAATTAATGATTCATTATCAAGTTTGAAAAAATGTGGAATTCGCAATTAAGACCTACTGATTAGCCTTTTGGACACCGCTTCCACTTATCATTCAAATGATACAATTCGAAATGAGGTCGCTGAATCACTTAAGACTATCAGTGCTCATCAGCCGAACGTACTGCTTACTGCATGCCACTTCTATCTGATCCAAAATCCGAAACTCGCCGCGAGCTGTCGAAGTTTCGTGCTGAAATGCATGGCAAGATGCGTTGAAAGTTCCGAATCCGTTGCCAAACTCGACGAGCAGCTAGCATTGCTAGTAATCAATCTTGCCACTCAAGAGATGAACATGACAAAGGATGCGGACACGGAATGGGCTGAAGCGGCGAAGGAGGTGCTCGTCACATTGGCGAAGTCACCAAGATTCGCCAACCATGTGATCGATGCGATTCTTCAGAAGTTTCCACCGGGACAACACACCAGTCCCCATCGATATATTGTGTTGACGATGGCGACGATTGCAGAACATAACCGTAAGGAAATCATTCACTATTTAACGAATTATTCAAATTTTGCAGCTTTTGGCCTTGTTCCATTCCTCACCGATATCCTCTCACGAACAGTTCCCCTCCTACAACATGTCAGAACGGATCCATTGAGGTAATCAAAAAAATCTTTACATTTTCGCAAACGCTATTTTCTGTTTCTTATTTTTTTTTAGCAAAAAAGAACAAATTTGCAATATTGGAAACGTTTTACGTTGAGTTTCAGGTGTGCGTGGGCTCGTGCAATTTGCTCATTTTGCGAAGCGGTTCGTGAATGCGAAACCGAACGCCCGTGTGAGGCTGATGAATCTGTTACAGGTTCGGGTTTCTGGTCGAATTTTCAGCTGACACTCATTTTCAGATCCTTCTCGACCAAGTTCGGCTGCGGATCTCTCGCAAGAAATGTCGAATCGCGCGACGTATGCGGATCAAACTGAAGCCGTCTATGACGTAGTGTTCAATTGGATTTATAGCAAAGATGCGAGGGTAAGTGCGACTCATAAACGTTTTAATAGCCAAAACCGGTAATAAAATGTATTTTTTATTGACGAGTTTATAATACGCAGTGTAACATCGAAAAAAGGGAATGACCGTTTTCAGACTCGTGGTGAAAGCGCAGAATGTATTGGAGAATTGTGCCTAATGATTCGACAAACGCGACTTGTCGAGGATGTCAAGAAAATCGTCACAAATATCCTTCCGTTGTACCGCAAATCGTACAACGAATCTCATATGATAACCCAAGGAATTTGTCGATTCCTTGAAGCAGCGTGCGTCGATGATACTTGTCCATTAGAGCCTTACCTCGAAGACATTCTGAATGCGCTTTTTCCGAATGCCTGTCTCGATCCAGATGATCCGAACATCACACTGAGCGTGCATTCCATTAAGAATCACTCAGAAGCTTTTCGATGCTTCCATGTCGCTGGTTCGTCCAAAATTTCAGTGTTTCACATTATTTCAATCATTTCTCAGCTACTCGCTTCGCTGATCGAATTGTCTACTATCTTCTACACAAAATGCAAAATGTGGCTGATTCTCAGAAGCTTGGAGCAATCAATGTTCTTCGACATCTAATGAACTCGTCAGGTTTCATAATTTCTCATTGTTTCTAAAAATTTATTGTGAATTTAAGGTCAATATATGGAAGATAAACGAAATTTGGTAATGATGGCACTTAAGAAGTTGTTGGCGGTTGAGAATACCACCTCGATTCGGGTATGACATTATTAATTTTTTATCGAATATCCAATTTCTTAAATATTTAGGTAAAACGAGCAATAGTGCAATTGTGTGTTGCTCTTGCCGATCATGCGTATGTTGATGCTGAAGGTGGCGACTATGTGATCGCGTTTTTGGTTCGAAACTTGGTTGGTCCCACCGAACAGGAACTTCAAGCTAGAAGGATGGAATTGGATGTTGCTGGAACGAATCAATTGAAAACGCAAAGTGCGCAAGCATTACGAACAATTGCCGGCACTTGTACATGTGCTAATAAGGTAATTATCAAGTCGGCCTGAAGCGTAACCATCATGTCGTTTAGCTTTTATGGCCATATCTTCTTGAATTCATTTGCGCCGAACGCTATACACCGGTTGTTGGAGATATCTGCGATTGTATTCGTATTTTGCTCAGTCGAGAAGTTGCTGAAGGTCGAGAAATTGATTTCCGAACGGGTTTTGATAATGGTAAATTCGACAATTTAACCTTTCACGAATTTTATTGATTTGTCAGTGAAAGTGGCTGGAAGGCATGCGGTGTTTGCTCGATTGTTCACTTGTCTTGCAAATGCGCCATCGAATGGATTCTTAGCGCGAAGAGCTCGCGAAGCTGGCGGATTAATTCGAATTCTCGCCGCGTGGTTCCATCCGACACTTGGCGGAGTTGCTGAGAAATGGAATGAGCGTCTTGAGCCGTTGCTCGACGAGCTTTCGCTCACGACGGTTTCGAGCCCCGAATCGCCGCCGGCCGAGTTGCGTGGTCGCAAAATTGCGCGTTGGCATGAAGCTTGTTTGGAATGGCTGGCGATGTGCATTTCGGCAGTGGTGCAGGGCGAATGGCGACAGGAGATCGCTGCGGCCATGGGAAAACAATTGGATATGTACAAAGAAATGAGCGATGAGAAGGCGTTCCTTTTTAGATGTCTTGGGACCACATTGGCCAAAATCACTGACAAGAAGTTCGTCACAGAGCATCTCATGCTCATGTTCAAGTAATATCAACTCGAACGTGCCAATTATTATTCTAACTTATTTTTCAGATCAACTTCACATGGTTCACCAGTGGAACGACAAGGATGCTCGCGTAGTGTGGGAGCTGTAGCTGGTGCTCACATGGACTTGGTGATCATTGAATTGGAGAATGTCAGTAAATGGGAACATGCCAAAAAGAGCACCGGATTGTTCGGATTCATCAAAGACACAATGCCAATGCGACAATATCCGGACGCCGATATGGTGAATCTTCGAGCAACCCTAATGCTTTGCTATGGATACGTTGTGATGGCTTGTAGTCTGGATACTGTAACTCAGAGATTGCAACAGACGATCATTGTATTCCTGAGGCACTATTTTGCAAATACGAAGCAGGAAACGGTGGTGCGAGAAGCGATGTTGGAGACGATGAGATTGATCGCAATGGCGGTTCATCCTTCGAGAATCGGAACCGATTGGAAGTTTGAGGCGAGAAATGAGCTTTTGGCTTATGTGAAGGTTTGAATTCGGGATAATTCGCTATAACAAATCGCGTTTGAGGATTACTTGTCTGGCGAGGCTCCCGAAACTTTGACCAGCTCGCTGCGACTTCTTGCGGCTAAAGCTACAGCCGCTCTGGTGCAACTCCAACCGCCATTGGCTGATTCGGATGTTTCGGATATTTGCCAAACCCTAACCAACCACATTCTCCCGATGTGTCGTGAGAAGAGTGGTCTCAAAACGGTAATTGATTTCGACTCTCGCCAAGTATTTTTTGCACATTTATTCCATCATTTCCCTTTAGTTCTTCTATGTCTCTTATTCTCTAAACCTACTTTTCGTCCGCAGCCCTTGTACGGTCTTTTGTTGATTTCCAGCTCGCCTATGACTTTTTCGATTACGCTTCCTCGTCAGTACTGTCAAGTATCTATAATGCGCCGACTACGGTAATGACACCTCCCTCATCGTCATCATCGACTACGGTAGCCGAAGGTCCGAACGGCACCCCGATTCATCATTATCGACATCGTGGAGTTGGAAAGGTGCTTTTTATTGGGGGTTTGATTCGTAACCTGTGCGTTTTCTTTTAATTTCTTTTTGTTTTTTTTGGAACTAATTGCAGTGGGGGAAGCTTAATGTTTCGTTAATTGAGCTAGCAATTTTAATGTTTTGTGTGCAATTTTTCGACTAATCATTTGCCACCAACAATCGATTTTCATTAATCTTCGAGAATTTGATCCTTTTAGATGGACGACGATGAATCTGCGACGATAATGGACGCCACTGTTCATCAGTACGGATTGGCATTGGAACAGGTTGTTCGAATGAAGCCGACAACGCAGAATGTCACGATTTTACTCAAGGCATCGATTTTATTAAAGAATATTCGAAAAAGAATGAACTCGTTCAGATGCTCCAATCCTATTATGGAAGTCAAGCCGATCATGAGCGGTCTAGAGCCGTGGATTCGACAGTTCTTGTTCTTAGGGTTTACTATGAATGCGCAGAGGATATCACTCTTGGAGTAAGAATTTTCATTTTTTTTAATTTCTAGACAAATTACTAATTGCAGCGTGCTGCGGACTTCGGACCACTCTCATCTCTTCTTGCTCGACTTTCCCCAAGACTTGTCGACTCACTGGCTCATGTGCGATTGCAATCGCTGTCGGCAATTCATTGGGCGTTGAGACTTGCTTATATGCACAAAGGGCATGGACGAGATACTGATCAAAGCCTATTCTCGTACACCGAATTCGTTGATAAGTATTTAACGACTGGTGAAGGAAAACTTGATGGGGGGACGGCGAAACGAGCCATCAAGGCGGTTGCGCAAATCATTGAATATCGATTGCCCCAATCACAGATGCAAACGTATCTCACGGCGATCTTCGAGATGCTCACTGATCGGCAAAGTCTTGTCAGCTCCGCCGCTGCTCAGCTTTTGACATACGCACTGACTGCTCGTGGATCGACGCTAGTGACCGAGGCGGAAATACTCGTCACATCGCTTGTTAACAAATTGGCTGATGATCAGGTCTGTGTTCAGACGCATACTGATGTGCTGGCAGCATTGGTAGCATTCGCTGCCCATCAGCAGCAAGCGGTTTGCGATGTTATGCTGAAACAACCGTTGCCATATTCTGTGTAAGTTTATGATTTTAATGATTTTAAATATTTCGATTCATTTTTAGAAATATTAACGATGCTTGGGAGTGCCTTTCAAGAGATAAACTTCTATTTTCGGGGGTTCTTGATTATCTCATTGAATTGCTTGGCACCAGTCTTGATAAGCCTTACGAGGTAATTGATTCTGGAGGTGGAGTGTCGGCGAAACTTGTCAATGTCGAACCGTGCCAGTATATTGCGGCCATTTCTGAGGTCATCAAGGTTCGTCATAATTATTCTTTTTTAACATGTTTCAAACGCAGCCATTTTTTACAGAATGGAGAACCAGAATCAGTGATAATGGAGCGATTGCCTCTGATTTTTGCATTATTCCTTCATTTCATCTGCTCGGTGTCCGACACACAATTCCCTGTTATGCAGAAAGATGGCGCCAAATCGCCGTTGATTATCACTCCTGAACTTCGACGCTCTGCTGAGAAGCCGGCCGGAATGGCGGTGGTGGCAATCAAGAATTTGTTGACACGAACTCGTTCGGATACAGTCATCAACGATATGAATCAGGAAAGAGCCTGGAGTGAATGCCTTGATAAGGAATCGTTTATTCATGCGGTTAGTCGAACGAATGCCATCTTTCTTCAATTTTCTGTTCTACAGTTGACCGTTCTTATCCGATCACTGGTTGATCAACGGCCGTCATGGGTTGGTCCTCTTGCTAGAACACTTGAGGAATACGCAGCGAACGAGAGTGAGCCGAGAAGACTAGTCGCCGTAATTTGTGCATCGGCACTTATACGCAGGTCCGATTTATTTTCTTTTTTGCTTTTTATTCTTTGAATGTGCCTTCAGAAGCCCTAACGACACCGGAGATTTCAATGAGCAACTTCTTGTGAAATGCATTCGACGGCTTGAGGATTCTCTGACTGATCCGAGTCTCCGAATTCGCAAACTCTGTGTAAAGGGTCTTGGTGATTTATCGGAATGTGCGTCGGCGCAAGTAGTTCAACGATTCGTGAGTATGGCTGTCGATGCCGCGATGGCAGGACTTGATGATCATGGGGATCACAAGGATACGGTAGCCATCGAATCGATTCTCGCGTTGAATAAACTTGTCGCGCGGACTACCAATGAGCAACTCGTGTCGATTCTACCACTGGTTCTTCTTAAAATTCGGCCGTGTTTTGAAAAGGATTCGGCGCCACTTCGAGCCGCTTCGTTCAGTCTTTTTGGAGAACTCGGCGAACGAGTCGGAGAGAATAGCAAAGAGTTTCAAGACCATCTTCACACAAATATTGTAACGATGCTTCTTCACCTCAACGACGATTCCGAAGAGGTTAGGAACGCATGTGCGTTGTCAATTCATCGCCTCCACTCACTACTGAATTCATCGAATGTCTCGATATGTGCGGATCGCGAATTAATCGACGGAAAGTGCCCGACGAGTTACAATGGATTTATAAGACAATTTGCGATGATATTGGTGAGAATTTCCAAAATGGTCCCATAATATTCTCGCTTATACGCATATAATTGCAGGCTAATTCATTTCCGGACCATGTCAATCAGTATGCGCTATCGACACACAATTATTTCAAAAGTCCGAGCGCGAGAATCCGGTGCAATGCGGCGCTGCTTACCGGATGTCTGCTCGACGGGCTCAGCCCGCAACTGCGAGCGACGATTAGCAAAGATTTGATATTCACAGGTAAACCGAAAATTGTCCGCAGATCGATTCACACAATTATAATTAACACAATTGGATCAATTTCGTTAAAGTGATTTTTCCTGAAGATGAAGATATTTTTCATAATACAATTATTTCATAAATTCTGGCGTTATTTTTGAAAATTTAATACGTTGAGAAAAAGCATTAACCAATTGTTTCGAAATTTGATCTTCCGCAATTCAAATTTTATTTCACATTTTTTATTAATGCAATTAGCTCGGAAACGACAAATACACATAATTTCGAATTTCAGGACTTGCTGCTCTTCTCAAAGATCCTGAAGACGCGGGAGTCCGAATAGCAGCGACACGAGCGATTGCGAACCTTCATGATTTCCACTGACATTCCCTTTCTAATTTTTTAGCTTCTTTTTTTGTGTACCCTCGAATGACCGAACCGGTTTCAAGATTCATATTTCGCTTGTACCCATAATATTGTGATAATAGTCGATTACCCATCCAAATGTTTCGTTTTTCTATCGCCATCTTCCATATTCTTCTAGTCTCTTTTTTTAGCGCATTTATTTGATATTCTGAATTAGGTATATTTTTCATGTTTCGGGAAAATTGCAATTTTGTTTTTTTTTTGTCCTTTGGTTCTTGTTTTATTGAATATAATGGTTCATCGTTATTATGCACATGCAAATAGAGAGAAATTATGAAGATGAAAAAAAAAGAAGAAGTAGCAGTAACAATGTATAGGTGAATTACCTAAATACTCTAGCGGTACCATACAGATACGAAAATTGGGGGAAGAAATAACGGGGGAGTTCTCAAAATTGATAAAATACACGCATGCGAAATGTTTTTTTTCTTCTTGTTGTTAATTTAATATGATGTTCGTCGTGGGTCTTGACACGATTCACTTCAATTTTTGACTAGAGTGATTGCGAGTCTCGCATAGATACATAAATTGATAAATTACGAGGAGTCGTTTATTCCGGTTCAGGCCTGTAAAATAAAAAAAACAATGAATTTCACCTTCAATTTGGAATTTTGTCAACTTATTCTAGCAAATACTTATAAAACTTACTTAACCGAGTGAACTTGTCTAACCGGGAGCGAATCAGATGACAATTGTTTCGGTAGAGGTTGTCCAGCACCAATAGTATCCTAGAATTGGAAACATTTGAATGGTCCAAGTAGAAGAAGCAGCTAACCTTTGTTGGTTTTGTGGATGTCGGCTTCTTGGTGGCGCCCATATTGAATACGAAATTTCGCCATCCTAACCTCCTCGAACCTTGTTGTTGTGCAGCGGAGAGCACACCCTTGAATGGCACAAGAATGATCTTAGAAACGTTTTCGCCAAACCACATACCGTATATATTTGGGATCTGACGAACCGAGGATACGAGTCCTTCGCCATCAATGTGAACACGTGCTCTTCCGAGTGGTAGAACGCGAATCGCATTTGCGACGCGTCTTTCGCCTTCGCGATGCACTCAAGCGTTTTGTCGAGCGTTCGCGAATCGACGTTGACCTGCGCCGGAGCGCCTTGCGCCAAAAATTCTTCGCGGATTCGTTCCGCTTTCGCGTAGATCTGATCATTCAGCGAGTACTTCAAGTCTTGAATCGCTATCCAGAAGCGAATGTTCTCCGAAGAGAACTCGGACTCGAGGAATGTCTCAAGAACTTGACGACCGATCGGATCCTTGACAAGCTCCTGAACGGAGAGACCCCAGCGGCGAACACGGCGTTCAGTGGGCACCTCGACACTAAAAACCAACCAGTTAAAGGTTTCTCGATATAATATTTCATAGTTGAATTCAAAATGCCAATTCGAATAAAAATATTTGATAAATGATGATCAACATTAAAAAATCATTTCATCGTACTTTCACAAATTCAAATTTAAAAAAATTGAAAAATGTAATTTCTTACGTGTCAGTATTCAATGTCCAAAATGAGGTATCGTCGGTGAGCCAAGGATTCGATGGTTGCGGGGCGGTGAGGAAAGGATCATAATCGGCACGCTGATCTACCCAAGTGACCATTCTGCAAAACAAAATCCTTTCAATTTCCCCCCAACAAACATCTCCGTCAAATTACGTGTCGGATGCTTTGAGCGCCTTGAGCCACGGCTTCGTCTTAATCGCAAATCTGAGCCGATCCATTAGGCATCGGTAGCCCTGCGCGTTCTGCCTCCGCAGCTTCTTCTCCAGTTTCATATAAGGATCCTCGAGGTAATTAGCCGCGCCGCGACTCGGTTTTCGGCTTTTCCAAAACGCGCGCTCCTCCGAATCGAACACCACTTTCTCGACCTTCTTCTTCTCCTTTTGCTGCTTGAGCTGCATCTCCGATTGCTGCACAATGAATGTCCACATATGGGCAAGAACATCTGCCAAACGGTTGAACGATTCGACCTCGTCTTCTTCTAATCCATGCTTCTGCTCGTTTCGGAGGAGTCTCTTATTCAAGTAAATCGCTTCAAATTACAAAATTGCCTTCATTTTATCGCCCCCGACCGCTTACCATATTCAACATCTGGCACAATATCGGCTTGGGAGGGCCAAAAATAAGGTCTTTGGAGGCGATAAAGGGTCCCGTCGTCTCTGACAATGCAAACGTGCTCTATTACAGGAAACAAGTAGCCGTGATGAAGGAGAAGCGACGCCAGATGGCCAGCTTCAGTTTCGTCTTCTGGAGCGCCCTGCAAAAAAAATAAATTGGATTTTCAAGGAATCTTCTGGTGACGAGGCTCTCATTTTCGGGCGCGCATGCAAATCCGTACGCAATTCCGAAAAATCGTGTCGGTAATGACTTGGCTTGAATCTCATTTTCCATGTTTAGACGACCCTCGAGAAAACGAGCAAATTATGAGAAACACTCGCAATTTGCAAAATTTGGCCAATTAGTTCAGCATAGTCCCAACAAACACTCTCGTTTTTCAAGCTTCAAATCGTTGTTATTAGAAATCCATTCGAAGAAAAACTCTCGACATAATTGCTTTCGTTTAACTTTGAGATAATTATATGTTATAGTTATTTGTAATCATACCGAGAATATTATTTTTTTGCGTCTAGTTGGAAAAAAAATTTTTTGAATGACGAATTTAATATTATCAATGCGAAAAAACGAGCAGCTTCATTAATTGTGGACCATTGTACAAATTTAGAGGCGGTAATTCAAAATTGAATTTAAACATTAGGAACTCAGGTGCGTACGAATAACCTATACTAATCAAACTAATATACACATGACGCTCGCTTTTTGCAATTTTTATATAAATTGAGGAGAAATTGGGAGAAAAATATCATTGCAAGGAGATTTGGGAATAGCAAATTGGATATTTTTTTCCAATTCCCTTTGATTGCAAATTGGTAGATTAAGAGATTCTCGAAATTCTCGAGCAGATTTTAATTAAAATGGCATTCAATTTTTTCAAAGAATAGCCGAAAAAAAAATTTTTGTGTTAATCTAGAAAATCGTAGAGTTCTGTTGATGAAGCTGGCTGTACGAATGAAATATGAAAAGAGATTGCTCGTACCCTTTCAGCGACGAGCTGGATGATCTGTTGTCCGGTCAACGCATGCGGCACGGCGATTCGGAAGTACTTGTGCGTTTTCAACTGCGCGCCCTCCATCACCCGCTTCGCGAGCACCTCGATCTACAAGCAGACATCCATAGTGATGACCGTCTGAAGGCTCTCACCTTGCTCAGCGGCGGCATCGTCGTGGTCCTGGTGGTCGTCGTTGTCGCGAACGTCGGCCGAAACGCAACTGTTTCAGCCACCGACCAAATTCAACAATTTCGAATGATTCGACGAAATAATAATGATGATGGATGGTCGGATCCTCGGAGGCGGCCGAAAAAAAAAACAACAACAACAACTAGAAGGAATTTGTCAGGACAGGCGGAAAATATGTCGAGGATGGATAGATATATTTGTGCCTGGGGTGGGGCGGCGAGCGTGTGCGACGGCGGCGAGAGCACCAGACGCGCAAAGTCCAAAGCGGCGAGACGAGAGACGCAGAGGAAGCGGCGAACGCGTCGACCGCAACAGACAACGCTCCAATGATTTCCAATAATCTTGTGCCGTCTGTTGTCTCCGACATCGCTCTAGCTCGGCTCTCGTCGACTCCGCGCCTCGCTCGTTGTCGTCGTTTTGGTCGCGCAGCGCCTCTGAAGCTGGTGCAAAATAAAAATGAAGAAAAAAAAAAACTCCAACAGCACACCACAATCAGCCAGCCGGACGGACGACCCCGACCAGAAGGCCTTCATCTCCGCCTTCGCCCATCGTTGTTTTTTTTTTTCGAAAAAAAAATGGATATCGAGAAGAAAAATGAGTGCGCGAAATGGAATGAATTATGAGCAAAATTGATCTTAATGCACAAATACACATTTCGGGAAGAGCGAATTTCTTGTAAAACCCGCTCATCATTAATGGCCATTGTGTTCGCGACTCATGGCGTCCGAGAAAAATATGAATTAAACGAGATGGGTGATGAGAATTAGTTTTGATAAATCTATATTTATTCATATTTCGAGGGAAATAACGTCAAAAACGAGGAGTTGGAAATATTTTTAAAAAATTGTCGAATCAAAAAAGCATCGAAATTTCGGAATTCCGTTCTTTCTATAGACCTCCTGTATCGATTGTACACATAATTTGTAGATCAAAATTCAAAAATTGTATTTTCAGCAAGATAAATTGTGGTTTTCAATGCACAATAATTGCTGACCGAAACGGTTATCTCTTAAAATCGAAAATTTTCAAATAATTTTAACCAATATTTATTCATTTCCACGCGCATCTTTTCATTTATTTGTGTGTTCGAGAATTCGTTGGTCTCGCGAATAACGCGCCGATTGTTGTGATGAGTCCCGTAACGAATGCGCAAGTCATCGCGAGAACCGCAAAAATTAATTGAGGCGGGGCGATGGCGCGACGAGACACGGTATTGGAAATGATCGCCGGCGACAAGCTGCCAATCGAAATTCGACGATCTGTTCTGATAATACCAAAATAAAATCGGCTCAAAATCGAAACAATTACCCAACTTCGTCGATTTTCAAGGATTGCTCGATTGTTTGAATATTTGTCGGAAGATTGGAAACATCTGAAAATGAACATTTGAAAGCACAATTTCTGAAATTCACAAATATACCAATCTCCAATAGATCTGAAGGAGGAGGGCCTTCTTCGAAATCTCTGTAAATAAAAGTTTAGTTCGAAATCAGCATTATATTTAAAAAAAAACGTGTACCTGTAGGATTCATCATCAGCGTTCAAGACAATCCGAGGAATTCGTAATTGGCATCTCGTGTTTAATGGAACTGCAATCGGTGTCTGAAAAAGAAACTAAACTTTTATTGAGGATTAAAACCTTCTTTGCTCAAAATCGGTCTATTTTCTATATATTTGATATTCACGTGCGGACTAGAAAAATTGGTCGACATTTTCAAAAATCAAAAATTCGATGCGGCACACTACATATTATGTAGGTGCGATTTTTTTTTATTTCTACAAAGTTGTGATTTTTATTTTGATATTTGGTTTTTAAAATCGTAAGCGCACAAAATATAGAGGTGTTCATTTAGTTCTATTACTTAATTAAATTAATTAATCCATCAAGTGTGGCCGTGGCCGAACCTATTTTTTGCGGACAATTTTTCTAGGCCGCGCGTGAACGCTGCAGAATTGTCGGAGTAAATAAAAAAATAAAACGAAACTGTGAATTTATTTGCTAAATATTATCTGCGCTTACATTGAGATGTAGAATGCGCAGATACACGCACGACTCTTTGCCTCGAGACACCTTGCAATTTCTTTTTATTTCGTTCAGTCCAGTCGTTTAACGCCAACAATAGATATCAAAAGCGAATGCAAAAAATTTCAATTAGTGCAAAAACGGGTGCGATCTTTTAAATAATTATTACAGTTCGTATTTTTTTGGCAAAAGTCAAAAAATTGACGAATTGTTCCAACAATAATTTGAGCAAGAAACAGGATTCCAATTTTTGAGCACTGGGGGATTCGTGTTGAAAAAACCGGCAGCAGTGTTTTTCGCGTTTGGAATCGGAGGATCATTGCAGTTTTTCCCAAAAAAAATGACGGAAAAAAAACTCAGCTATTCATATTTATTTGATTTTATCGGACCATTTACATAGTTTTTGAAACAATAGGAAAATATTTTCGAGAATTTTTCAGAAAAAAAGAAATAGATATTTTAAAGTTTCAATTTTAAAATAATTCGTATAAGCCTAGAATCAACAATGAATCACAACGCTTAAAGTTATACGCGAATAAATAATCGCATCTGCGGACAATTCATCGCCTACCTGATTCACACGAGTCGAACAACAGCAAAATTGGCTCGAAGTGCTCGCCGAGGGCATCGTTTCTAAATGGCGAAGAAAATAAGGACAAATGAGTAAAAATTCGGCGAAAAAAAAGGGCTCTCGAACAAAAACGGAATCAAATCAAGGGGCTCCTCGCCGTCGATAATCACATTTCGGGCGTCGTTCTTCTCGCCGGTTTTTTTTTTGCTTGTCCGCTTCCGAAAATTGGCCAATTATCGCCAAAATCAAAACAGAAAAACGAAGATTTTTTAGGTTTATCGCCAATTTTTCGCTTATCATACAAGGTTTGAGCACAAACCGTTCAAAATGTGTTTTGTTTTCAAAAAAAAAAAGGAAAATTCAAAACGCAAATTTATTCAAACGAAAGAAGCTTTTTACGCGCCATTAAACTTTATGTGAAATTTTTTTTCAAGCAACTTTAAGACGAAAAAAACGAAATGCTTCAATTTATTTATTTGGCAATGTTTGATCTACCACGGATAACATTCACCAGGGCACGATTGAAGAATTGTTTCGAATTTGCCGGTTTCGGTCGACATCAACACCGTGTACGTGGTGAGTTTGTTCAAGTTGGTACGCGATGAGAGCACATTGAAAAGCCCCTAGAAATATGGCGATTTAAAGGAGCATTCACGAGGTCTTACAGCGAAATCGACGTTCTTCTTTCCGAGCTTCTTCATGCAACGATGTCCCGGAGTATCGCGATCATCAAGGTAAAGCGGCTCTTGGCCGATGTCGTAATTCGTCTCGAGAAGATACCATCCGTCCGGACTGCTGCTGTCCATTTCGGTGAGAAGAGCAGTTCCATTGAGACTTCTGGCGATGACGCAGCCCTTAAATCATCGAGTTGGATTCAATCAAACACCTTTTTTGCATTATTAGATATTGACAAAAAGAATCCCCCGCGATTCTTCTTTTCGATTTGCACTTTGAAATTCATTTGTCACCCAACTCCAATTTTCGAATGCATTTTTTTTTCGCCCATAAATCGCGCACCTCATATGGCAAATGTCCGCCAAGAATATAGTAGACTGGCGAGAGCATCGGAGTATTCATGAGGTGCTCTTTGGCTTCCTGGTACGCTGCAATTTCTCATTGTCCATCTTTGGGGGTTGGAGGGACATGTATTACTTGTCTTCTGCTCGAGCGTCTCGCGAGCCAACCACGACATCCATTTGCCTTCCGGCTCCAAACCGAACACCCATTTGAGGATGCCGTAGTAGCCGCCGGCCAACTGGAATCGATCATCGGCGGTGATTGAGAATGCGTTCGGCTTGAGACCGTTGTAGATACCGACGTAGCCGGCGAAGTTGTTCGATTTGAACACTAGTTTACCGTCGCGAATCCAGTTCACGTTGATGATCATTTTGCGGAGTTTCGCCGAAATCGGCCAATCGTGAACATTGGCGTCCCAGCCCATGAACAATCCAAAGTCGAGATTTCTTCAAATAACCTTATTAGGCCGATTTGGCAGCACCGCGAACCGTGCGTGAATCAAATGTCCGCGCTCGTCCTGAGCGACGATTGAAGTGCAAACGGTGAAGATTTCATAGAAGATGTTGTACATGGTGATCTGTCCGATTGGGATTCCTGTGACCTCGGCAATCGACTTAACAATATATCACATGTTTGTTTCTTTCTTGAAGTTTCGAACCTTAATCTCGTCTCTGTATGGTTGCGGAAGCTTTTGAGCGAGTTCTCCAAAAACATCATCGGCGAATTTGACAGCATCCGGGAAGACTGGTGTGATCAAATCGATAAGAACCTGAATGACTCGATTCGCATTCAATGGGTTATCCTAGAGGAAACTCAAAACAAAACGCTAGCGGCTGTGGGTGTAATAAACCTGCAAATTGTCCGGACATTGGTTTTTATAACTCCGTCAATTCAAACTTCATTAGATTCAATTAACCAATTTTTGGTGTGAAATTATAAGTGTAGATTTACGGTCAAAGAATCAGTTAAGGGCGCATATCGCTTAGAATAATTTTTAAATTAATATTAAAATTAATTTGGAAACCGGAAAAAAGTGTTCTGCTCTTCTCACCCCAATCAAATCGGCAATTTCCTTTTTGTACGCCGCTCCGATTTGCTTCCATCGTTCTTGTGGAGGAGCATCGAGGTTCACCTCGAACCTGATAAGAAATCGTGTGATAAAACAAATAATTTATGGTGATTGAGAGAAGAAATTTCTCACAAAAATCTAAAAATCATCATTTTGCGAAGAAAACCAAAAAGAAACTCAAAATTATGAAATAACTCAAATCAGAAAAATGAAAACTGGATAGTCAAACTTCGATTTTTTTTCAATCAATCTTTTACCATGGAATTTCGAATGATTTCGCCGGATCGTAGAGATTCTTCTTGTCATCGAGAATGCAGTGATCCTTATATGGTGCGGGCAGCTCGACATGCTTCGCGTATACCGCAAAAATGCCGATGAAAGCGAAAACGAGGTATCGTGTGCTCATTTCGTCGAGCATACTGAACAATTTATCAGGAAAACCACGTGGTAGAAAGGCACAAATCAAGAATTATTTATTATCATTCGATAATCATCAATTTACTGTAGTCTTGTCTTGATCAACCAAAGTTTCAAAAACATTTTTAAGCCTCACCTGACATTTTTGGTCCCCAATATTCCTCTAAGAAATGAGCGAATCAATAAAATCGAATTGATTGAACTCGGGTAAATGAAAATCAATCGGATTCGAAATTAATTTCGTATTCAATCGAAATCGAATATAAATTAATCTGTTTCGAATTATTCCAGATTTTCAATTCGAAGGTTCTTGAATTGAAATCAAATTTTTAAATCCGTTTTTAATTATTTTTAAATCGACTCGGTTTAATTTATATTTCTTCGAATTCGATGGATTTTCATTTACCTGAGAATATCATTTCAGCAGGTCGTCGGTATTTCATTCATTCAAGATTTTTTGAACTGTTTATCACAACGCAATAGTGTTCACACCATTTAAATAGAATTTGGTTAATAATTATCGCATAATTCGAATATATATATATATATATATATATATATATATATATATATATATATATATATATATATATATATATATATATATATATATATATATATATATATATATATAGTCGGCGTCCGGCGAATGCTGTACGCGGGTAGATTTACGGGAATGCCTTTCCTAAATTGGTCTCGCAAGGACTAACAGGTTATTTCAAATTTTATGGAGCGGTTCGATAATTTTTTAATCGAATGACGTTGGAAATTCAAAGATATGCGAGACTCATCAAGAAAAATGAAGCAGTTCATGTGAAATCAGCAAAATAAGCATTCACGCGTGGCGAGACCTTTTCAAGGCGCATGCGCGTAAATCTACCCGCGTACAGCCGTCGCCGGACGCCGACTATAAATCAATTTCAAATAAACTTTGCAGAAGCCTAAGAAAAAGAAAACATAAAATTTTGATAATGTGAGAGAGGAATTAGGAAGAAGTTAGGGGGGGGGAAGATGAGAGGAAGCGAGAATTAAACCAGAAAACAATATTATACTTATTATAAAATTATATTATTACTCATTTATTAGTATTATTGAACCGGGGCAATTGGTGGCACCACAACGCCAGTCGCGGGCTTCGTCTCGACGCCCAACTTGTCGATATCCATTCGACAGACGGGACATTTTTTGTTGAGCGACAACCATTTGTCGATGCATTCCGGATGGAAAATGTGGCCGCAACGAAGGAGGCGGATGTTGTTTCCGCGAACAAAGTCGTCGAGGCACACCGTGCAACGCTCGGGTTCCTCGCCTTCCTCCGGCGTTTTGTCGAACGGCACACGAAGCGAATGCTTCTCGATGTCGCCCAAACTGATCCCAATCGGCATATCTTCGGATATATGAGTGAACAGGTGCTGGTGGCGATCCATGAAGGCACGTTCGCGCATCATGAACTGCTCGGTGGCATTCGACATGAAGCGGTTGAAGTTTTGAAGCAAGGCTGGATCGGTTGCAGTTTGCTGAAAGAAAAATCATGCCTTATTTTTGCTTCTTTCTTCTATTTGGTTTATTTTCTTCAACATCAGATTCGAAGGTTGGAAATTGGAAATAAAACCTACATTCAATTGGGCGGTCGGTAAAGAAACAAAACTTCTCGAAACATTTCCAGTGTATTGCTGAAATCGAACAAAACGGCTTGCGTGAATCAACGAAATGGAACAATACCTGAGAGTTCAGGATTCCCTCTGGAATCGATCCAAAATTATTATGAAGCATCACGCCGGTCGGAATGAATGTGGTATTTATGAAGCGGTTTTGAGGTGCGGCCGGCTGTGGTTGCGGATTCTGTTGCGGAGGAACTCGGGCGATCATCACTGGTTGCGCGGGAATTTCGTAGATTTGTGGGATGACACGAAACAGCTGAAAATGAGCATTTGGAGGCACACCATGATTCAATTAAGACTAGAGTAGACTTGGGACTCATTAGTCGTTATCATCATATGGTGGCGACTTACATTGAATGGATTAAAGGTCGGATGTTGATGAGCTGGGGGTGGTTGTGGAAGGCAGTGTTGACAATTGCGGTGCTCGTTCTGACGCACCATACCCGTAATTTGCTGGTTATTCGATGGGCAACGATTGTTGGCGGATGCCGATGGCGCTGATGAAGTTGCCGTCGCGGCCGTCGATGTCGTCGACGACTCGCTACTATCGTTCGATGACGACGTTGTTGGCGCCGCTTCGTCGGCTCTCTCGTGCTGCTCGTCGAGCTCGTGCTCGTGCTGCGGCCGCTGCTGCTGTCGTTGGTGTTGTTGGGCGCCGCCGCTGCCGCCGCCGCGTCGTCGCACTTTCGAAGCGCGCGTCGTCTCCGACTCGGAATCGCTCGACAACGAATCGATGCCGACGTCGCTCGAGTCGGCGGTGTCGGTGTCCGCCTGGTAGCCGTCGTCATCGAACACATGCTCGCGTTGTCGTTTTCGCTGCTGCACCCGCACCACGGTGTCCTTCAATTGATTGTAAGCCGTGTTCGTCGAGGAGTGCGTGCGACGCGAAACCTGTAATTTTCACGAAACATTAACGTCAGTTCGGTGTCCCTGAAAACGACCCAACCGATTGTTGCTGCGCCTGCGACTGCTGCTGCCTGATAGCGTTTTCGGCCCTCTCCATTGCAGCTGCCGCGGCGGCGTTCACATCGCGCGCCGCGTGCGCCGCGTGTATCAGATATTGCGGATTCAGAAGCGGCTCGCGAAGCGCTTGTCGAATATGATTCGATATGAACGTCTGAGTGTAGAGTTGCGGAAGCGACGGCGTGGTGATGGTGATCGGCAAACTGACCGGCGGGCTCGTGTAGACGTGCACATTGTTGAGCGGATCGACCGCCGGCAGAATTCGAGGCACACGATCACGCAGTTCGCCGCCGCGACTCACCTGCTGCGCCAACAGAAACGCCTCGACAACCCGCTGATCCATCGGCTGAAAACTCGCAATGCACACCAATGATCGATGCTTTTATTAGAGTGGCACACGACGAATTTATAATGAATGATGCACACATTTGTCAAGGTTAGGGAACGCAGAGCGAAAATTTGCGGGTGATGCCAGGGTTTCGGGGGGGGGAACACGATTTCAAAAAAAAACGAACAAAAATGACGAAGAAGAAGAGGAAGAGGAGGAGGAAGAGGTTGAACGGCCTCTAGATACGGTAGCGATTCGTTCTGTGTAACACGTTGATCCGCTAGATAAACCTATTAATTGAACATCTGTTACAGTACCAAGGTTATTGATAATTGGCTTAAATTTCAATGCTCGATTACGGTAGCCGCGAGGCGGAACCGATGGTATTAATTGAACATCTGTTACAGTACCAAGGTTATTGATAATTGGCTTAAATTTCAATGCTCGATTACGGTAGCCGCGAGGCGAAACCGATGGTGTTTGAATATTCTATTATTCAAATTCGCTTCAATCCATTGAAATTCCAACATGTGCATTTAATTTTCGGAATTGCCAAGTGCCGTCATTCCCGTCGCCGCCGCAATCTCGAGATTTATGTTTTGTGCTGTCGAGGAGGGAAGGATTGACGATCGCGAAAAAAGGCGAAGCGAGAAGCAGCCAAACAAAAAAATAATGCAAATATCGATTTTTTCGATGTGCGCTTTTGCAACGAAAATCCAGGCAAACGAATTGAATCGACAAAACCACCCACTCAGGGTCGATCGATATTTATTGAGTTTTCCAGTTTCTCGCCGTAACAACGCGAGGAGACGTCGGAAGACGCGACGAGAATGATGAGAACGTTGCGAATCAAAAACGGACACGAAAAACCGCGTTCGAAATGCGAACGAGAAGCTGGAAATCGAAAAGAAAGGCTAGAAAAATTCTAGGGTGGTAGGGTACCGCAGTGTGTGTTATGTGTGTGTGGCTGAATGGAGGCCGGCTGGTGGGAGAGCGGAAAAACGGCACCGTATGCTCGTCTTTCGTCTCACCCGCCGGCACACTGCCTCGACACGTCACTCTACTACGTCTCCAGTTATGGCCACACTATCTCGCCGTCTCTCGTTCGTCGTCTCCATCAGAAATCATTGCGCGTCGCCGACAAATCGATTCCATTTCGTTTCGGTCTGCGTCTCTCTATCGACGTTTTTTGACGTTTTTCGCTTCTCTTCTTCTTCTTCTTCATCTTCTGTGTATGTGTGGCGACGAGCGAGGGATTCAGCGAGAGCGCATGTCGTCGAAGCGAGTGTATGTGTGTGCGCGCGTGCGCTCGTTCTCACTCGCGCGCCCCGTGAAATCGCCATCGGGACCACGACGAGCCAACCGTCGTCGTCTCGCACTCGTTTTTCCCCCCTAGCAGCACTCCAAGCTTCCAAACGTTCGCGATTCGCCAAACGATTATGAGCAAACAGTTGTGAGAACTGAAAATTTAGGTGAGGATTTGTTGTTTGTTGATTGTTGTGCTTCCATTGGGGATGGTAGCTTCCCCCGCCCGCCGTCAACCCTGTTTTTTTTTCTTCGCCCAATGTTTAAGGTCGAGCTGCTGTTGCAGTTGCCTTGGCAATTTGTACAAATCACGACCAGAAACGTCCCATCGGAAACCCGTTGGGGGTCTGGACGTGTCTGCGATTCTTGTTTCGGTGTGTGAGTGTGGCCGCGCGCGCGCGCCTCTTCGGAACGCGAACGACCAAATTCTGTCGTGCGAGCGCACCGACGGGCGCCGAACTGGAAATTTAAGATATTTTTGGGGGTCGATTGTTGTGACGGAATGGAAACGTCCAAGTGGGAGCGTTGAAAACGGTTCAACTCATCTGGAGGGTCTTGTGCAATATTTGGAATATTAATAGTAGAAAAGTTTTGAATAATTGAATATATGGAAAAATCGGAAACACAATGACGACAGTCCTCTGCAATTTTTATAGCGGATTGAGTTTCAAACGTTTTGCTTGACTGCAGCTATTGTGTCTTAAGACATCCAGCTCGGGCACTCAATGACAGTCGTCATGAATCTCATTTTTCATTATGAAGTTACGTCACAGAGTGCAATTAAACCTAATTATTTCACGGCTGAACACTTTGCAGGGTCTTAAAACGAATAGCGTAACTGCTTTTATTAAAAAAAAAGGCAAAGTAGAGATATCTCGGCTTCGTTTTTAAGCGAAAAGTGAAAAATATATGGAAGGAAAACTTGGAAAAAGGTAGTAGCAAATGACCTCGAGCCGTTTTTCACCGAGAATTGATAACTCTCCAATTAGGTCAAAAGAAGCGATTTTTCGAGGCCGCCGCCGATTTCACAATTCGAAATAAAAGTATTGATTGCAGACTGTCAATATTTGAACTAGAGGAGGTTTTTTTTTATTAAATTAAAAAGAAGCAATGAATACGAACCGTTTTCCATCCACTGAGTGGCGCTCCAAGTGGCGTGTGGTAGTGTGGAAATCTGATATGTTCGTTCCACTTTTGACAACATTTAAACAAATATGTGCAAAATAGTTCGAATCATCGACTGAAATTTGATAAGTTTGATATTCCACACACGCTCCCTCCAACACTATTCATTTTTTTATCAATTTCCACTAAAAAAATTAGGCATTCAATTTGTGCGATGAAGCGCATTTGCAACACTGCGCAAATATTTGATTTTATGAATAATTTTTTCAGTGAAATGACCGCATTCAAATTCCCGTGGCAATACGACTTTCCGCCATTTTTTACGTAAGAACAGTTATTTAGTTTTTATGAATGCGAAAAGGAATTTTAAGAATTCAAAAGGCACTTCAAACCAGAGAAAAACAATTGGAAGCCTGGGCTCGCTTGGTAAATTCAATTTTTCAGAATAATCGTTTGAACAATTATTTTAGGTGATTGATTATGCGCAACATAACAAAATCTATACAATGGATATCGCAGAAGCCACGACAAGCGAGTTGTTTTCGAATCTGAAATTGAATAGTAAGAAAGCAAGAAAATATTGTAAATTTATGGGATTTTTCAGGGCGTTTGTCTTCTGAAGGAATTGCTACCGTCCTACAATACTTGGAGCAAAAAAGTATGTGAAAATGAAAATTTGAAACATAATTCGAAAGTTTCTAGAATTAATTGAGTTCACCGACTCGAGCCGAACACGATTCCACGTCTTCTGGCGTCGTCCGGACGTCTGGGCATCGACAATTTATCAATGGGCTGTTGAAAACGCCTTCTTGAATACTCCACTTACTTTATATGAGATTACTCAAGGAGATGATACTGTCAATGAGTGTAAGTTTGCTTTAAAATAGGAATTGCTCACCATTGACGTTTTTTTTTTCAGCTTTTCATAACTTGGAACGAGAAATTCTTATGAAAGCCTTGAATATCCTTGCCGATCAACGACGTGCTCAGTTATTGAATATCGGAAGCGAAAATGAGGGCGTCAAATTCCTATAATATCGATGCTTTCTTTTATTTATACTAACCATTTATTGCCATGTATGAATGATTCTAGATGAAAATCTTGTTTATTCTTGGCGAATTGTTTTGAGTCAAATGACGAATATCGAAATATTATTAAAGAAGACGAACATTATAAACAAACCAAATATTGCAGGTGCTGGAAATAGTGATGCCGCATCAACAGAAGTCGATAAGCATTGATGAAAAAGGTGAGTCGTGGCCAAAACAAGAAAAATTCGATTTGCGAAGCTAGCAAATAATATATATCTGCTTACAGCTTTATTTTTAAGATTAAGAGAAGAAAATTTTTTACAGTTAATTATCAATATCTTAATTATAAAAAATATTTTTAGTGAGAATTTCTATTTTATGCAACTTTCGGCTATTTTCGTTTATTGTAATAATTTTAGCAATAGGAAAAACGATTACTTTCAAATCGAAAGTCATTTTTTTTCCCATTTGAAATGTCAAATATTCCAGATGTGCCGTCATTTTTCCGCTATGAGGAACGCATTCAAGAGGGCGACACTGTCATCGTCTATGTGACATACGGACAAACTATAGCGATTGAAGTGAAGCGCGGTCAGACGCTTATGATGAAATACGGGGCACTTCGGCATGAGTTCATCATCGGAAAAAAATGGGGATCGAAGATCTCGTCGACGGCAGGATATGTGTACGTATTGAGGCCGTCATCTGAGCTCTGGACGAGATCATTGCCAAGAAGAACTCAAATTTTGTATACCGCCGATTGTTCTCTGATTTTGCAATTATTAGATGCCAAGCCGGGAGCTGTAGGAATTTTTCACAAGAACTCATTAAATATATTTCGAGCAAATTTCAGGTGATTTGTGAATCGGGAACCGGAAGCGGCTCATTGTCGCACGCCATCACCATGTGCATTGCCCCCAATGGCCATTTATACACCCATGACATTGATGAGAGTCGCACGAAGAAGATTGAGCAGGAATTCAAAACCCACGGACTGTCAGAAATCACGACGGCTGTTGTTCAAAATGTGTGCACTGACGGCTTCTTTGTGACGAATGCGTGTGATGGAGTGTTCCTTGATGTTCCGGCCCCCTGGGAAGCGATCAAGTTTGCGGCGAAGGCGATTTCGTGCACCAGAGGCGGTCGGCTCGTCTCGTTCAGTCCGTGCATTGAGCAGGTGCAGCGAGCATGTCAGGCAATGAAGAAGGAGGGATTTATTCAAATCGAGACAATTGAGATTGTGCCGCAAACACATAAGGTATATAAGTTAAACGTATTCTCGAATTTACTCCAGTTTTTGAAGTTCACTTAGAAATGCTAGAAATAGTCCATCGAAACATTTTCAAAATTCAAAAGTTTCGAATAACTTGTGTCTGTTTTTTTTTAAATATCTAATTTCACGATTTTCCGTGTGTATGTGCAGGTGTGATTGGCAAATGTTGGAAAACAAAAACATTTTGAAAAAATGTGTGAAGGAACAAATTTTTCTGTAAAAAAATAAAATTGATTTGAAATCACGCGGCAACTAATTCCGGTAAAGGGAAATCCTATATTTATTTTTTTTTTGCTGAATTGTCCCTTTAGTATTTTTTTAAATATAATACGTATGAAATCTAATGGACAATAGAATTTAACGTAAAATTTTTCTGTCTTCCGGTGATTTTTGAACATTGAGCACAATTGATTGGAAATTGTTTCAAGTGTTATTCCGGAATTTTTTCGTTTCAATCTCGATTTTGGTTTTTGCACTTTATAAAATATAATAAGGAAACTGTTGATACGTGACAATACAGTTTCAAAACATAAAACCCATCAAAACATTTAATATATTTAAAAGTGATCTAATTTTAGGTCGTTTCACAGCATCGCCAAACTCTTGCTGAATTCGAAGACTCCGGGGACGTTTATCCAAGAGGTGACGCATCATCGAGAAAACGGAAAGCAGATGGAGAACCACAAGAAAACTCAGAAGCGGTGAAACCACTGAGAAAAGCAACCGCCATCGTATTCCCTTATAATCAACCGACACATACTGGATATTTAACACATGCCACGCTGTTGCCTGTTGATGAAGTTATAGTAATTTAATTAAATTGTTTATCTCAATTGTTGATGTTTTCTATTTTGTTGAATGATTGTTTTTAAATTTATTATGAAAGAAAAAAAAGCTTCTTAACAATATTTTCAACAAAAATTGAGATGCATGCTTAAAAAGGGAAAGATTCTGATTTTGGTTCAAGCTTTGACGGCAGCAGCCGAGGCGGCCTTCTTCTGTGCCACAACAAAATTAACCAAATGAGCCATATTCACTTCAGTGGTGGTGATTTGGTCTTTTATGAAGGCTAACTCGTGAGTAAGGTCATTGATCATCTAGATATAATATTATACGAATTTGATAGAAACAATAACTACCGTTTGGACAGTGTTTTGATTTTTCTCCAATAAAGCTTGGGCCTTTTCGAGTTCAAATTCGACCATTACATTAGCTCCGAGCCAAACTGACACTTTCTCGGGCTTTGGTACTGTTGCCTTTGTGTAGACATCATCGGAAAGGAGGAAAGTTGTCTCAAAGGGTTCTTCTTTTTCCTAAAGGGAATGTGCTGTCACTCAGGAGCAGAACAATCAAGCAATTATTTATGCATACCTTCTTTTCGAGAAGTATCTTGATTATTTCCAAACTGTTCTTGAACTCTGGTAGTTTTTCGACGTATCTAAAGCCATTTTTAATAACTACAACTTGCTAAATGATACTTTGCTTTTTGCGCGTTCATACTGCTTTCGACGTATTTGTACTTGCTGTACTTCTCGCGTAGCACTACTTCAGCCTCCTCGGGCGACATTTTTTCTTTGGCCAACCAGGTGGAAACATCCTCGATCAATTCCATCGTTGGAACTCCTCGATGAGATTGCTTTTCGCTGGATTCGCCTTCTGCGGACATGTCTGAAAATAGTGAACTTAAATAAAAAATCTTCAAAACCCATTAGTTAAATGTGTCCCCCGATGAATTTGGTAGACGTCGTCAGTTCGATTTTCAAAAACAAATTAATTGAAAACTGAAAACCCCAAAAAAGTATTAAAAACCGTTGAGAAAACCCTGAAATCGAATATACTCGAAAAATTGAAAATTCATGCTGACGCATTTCTGGATGCACTCCAAACGCGCCAATGCTCAGTGGTTGACGCATTTCTCAAAGAAGTCACGCCCATTTTCGGCGCACTCTTATTTTTCCGGTTTCCGTCGCTGTATTCCGTTGCTTTTGTACAAATGCCTTTTCTTTTACATTTTCTAATTTTTCCAAGTGTTAATTTATTTTTAGAACATCGTTTTATCCGTTTACGTTTTTTATTTTTAAAACTGTATTTTTTTTATTAAAAAATCTTTTTTGTCATTAAAAAAGAATAATTTATGAAAAATATACTTTTTTATACTTTATACAACGAATTTGACATTTGAAAAAGCTTATCAGAAAAAAACAGCATGTTTTAAATTAAATATTCAATTTTTTGCAATTAAAATTTAGTGGGCGTGTCTTTCATACAAGTTGGTCTCCCTGGAGTATTTGACGGGTTATTTTCCAATTTTTGCGTCCGAATAGTCGTCAAAATGTTTTTTTTTTTCGTTTTCTACTTCATAACGTCTTTAATACGTGTCTTTCTAAATTTAAAGCAAAAAAGTAAAACGTGACAGATTGATAAGGAAAATTTCAAATCGTTGGCCACACCCATTCCAAATAATACAATCTTTAAGATATTGGTGCGTTTGAAATTCTTCAACAAATATTTGATATATATTGAAATATTTGAATCGTGAGAAATTTCCAGATCGCAATCACGATAAAACGGACGAAATCGACGAGAGTTCTCACGACTCGAACACCTAGACCGAAAATTTGGAATTCTTTTTGATTATGCCGCTGAAATATGCAATTTTCTCGAAATTTCATTATTTCTCATCCCGTTTTTTCTCAATTTTCCTGCCAATTCCAGTCCAGCCATCCACTAATTGGGGGGCTTCGGGTAATTGGACGAATGGGGGCGTGTCTCGGGTCCCTAAAAAGGGTTTGTTCGATCTTCGCCACCAATTGTGTGTGTGTGTGTGAGTGTTTGCGTGCGTGTCTCCTCCCGGTTTTCACGAAAAGGGCGCGGCGTAAAAATTGCAAAAACAGCGAACGAAGCGCGCGCTCATTCTCTGCGCGCCGCCGCACGAACACACACACACACAGACAACCACCATGCGCAAGAGGCAAACAACTCGAAAATAGTATGAGGATCGCCGGAGACCGTGGAGACCCCTCCCACCAGCAATTGGCTGCGTATCGACTCGTTTCTCTATGTTGTGCCTTCCCATCATCATACGATCGGTTGAGGAGGAGGGTGTGTGTAAGAACAGGCGGAGACACTCGTCCCGACTGGCTGGCTGCATGTGTGTGTGTCTCTCTCTGCGTATACAACAAAGCGACGGGTCGTGCGAGCTGGGAAAGCAGCGGCGTACACAGACACCCAACCCCCCCCCCCACCCATATTGCCTCCGCCCTTTCCCCCGCCCATCTCGAATTGCACCTCCTTTTTCTGCGCTCCACCTCCGCTGCCTTCCACGCCTTCCGACCCCAACAACAACAAAAACAACATAACACCCCATCAATACGTCCCACGCCAAGGTTTTGCCCATTAAAAGAAAAAAAGGTGATGAAGAGGACGACAAAATTGAATTGCTTGAAACAATCGACATTGCCTAAAATTGGAGACCAACGTGTTATGTGTGTGTATGTGTGTGTGTGTGTGTGTGTGTGTGAGGCACGCAAACACACGGCGTGCGCTCAACCAAATTATCGATTGATTTCGAATGAAAGAGAATTTTTGTGGACGGATTTATCAATGAAATTCGCGCATCGGATTGGTTGTGCTGACCGCCGAATTAGGTTAGCATTGAAAGCTGCGAAGTTATAATATCAAGCAGGTTCATTAAAAGCCGTTTGATTATTGCCGTTTTTCACCTGTCAATCCAATTTTGTCTCGTTTTTTTTTAACTCGAAAGAAAATTCTAATTGCCCTTAATAGTTTTCATATATTTTTAAATTAAATTCTATGGTCGAAATCGATAGCTCCGATAACGATCTTTCGAATTTTGATCAACGATGTCTCAAAACCCTTCTTTTACTCAAAAATTTAACATTGTTGATCAAATCAAATCGAAACGGATTAATAAAATCTGATTGATAAACCCGATAACGAGATTTTCGATAAATGGGCGTGGCATCCTTCTTTTTCCTAATTAAGCGTTTTCACACGTATTCTTTCGGGAATTTGCGTTAATTATTAATCAGAACAATAATGCGAGTGTATGGTTTAAAGGTGCAAACGACTATTTTCCCTTTTTTTGGTTACGCCCTCTTCTCATTCGAGGTGACGATTTTCTGCGAGTGACATCTAAATGTGCCATTTTTTGCGCGAGAAATTATTACGTTTTCGCTTGGTTTTGGTTACTACGGGCCTTATTCAACCCCAATTTTTGTTGTACAATTTCCGTTTTGCAAAAATTCATATAATCCTCAATTACTTTCAAAACTTGAAATGTTTTATCAAAGGTTGTCAAAACCTTTAAAGGTCTCATCAAGAATCAAATACGTGTTATTAAGTTATTTTTAGAATCCAGCAAAACTTTCTAAAATTCCTCTTACCTCTGTTTTTTGTTTCTTACGAGAAAATTGGATTATCCGCGTTTACAGCAAAAAAAACGGATTCGTCCGAGGTGTTCGAATGCCTCTTCTCGCCCGATTCCCCTAACCTCCGTTCTTCCCGTCTTCTTTCCGTTATCTCTCTACATCTACGACCTTTTTTGGGTGTGCGTGGGGGGCGAAACGTTTATTTTGACAGTCATCCTTATCGAATCTTTTGATAGGATCCGCCTCTCTAACAGCAATTTCTTGTTATCTTTGTAGTTGAGCGATTTTTTTTGCGGGGGGAGAAAAGGATAAGCTCACAGGATTTACATTATCCGCTTTTTTTTCTCGGACGAATTTGCGATGTTTTCGCTCAATTTTTATTGATTTTGTCATGATTGCAGGAAATGTCAAAACCGATTGCGTCACACCTGGGAGGCGGGAGCTGTGAGTTCTTTTATTTTTGGTTTCCATTATTGTTCGGAGCCGTTTTTGGTTTCAATTGAGGGGTGCCCGTGGCCTTCGACACTTTACACTCGAATTGGGGCGGTGCGGTGTAACCCCCGATGCGTTGTGTTTTGGGGCGTCGATTTTTTTTCCTCATCGCCTTTCAATCAAAGCGTTTTTTTTCTCGCTGTTTCGTCGGCGTCGCTTGTCGCCAGCGCCCACCTTCCCATTTTCGACACCGTTTTTGAAAAATGAAGTCGAGTACCGTCTCCGTTTCGGTGATATATGGACGAGTTCGCATTGATAAGAAAACATGTCGGAATTGAGATGTTCGCGCGAGTAGTTTCAAGATTTCGATCGAAAAAAAGCGACGAAGAAAAACGGTTTTGAAGTATTCGGGGAATGAGAGAAACAAGAAAGAAATAGGCGGATAGAAAAAGAGAATAGATCAATTTCTGGTTTCCCCCTGTTAAAGGCGCATAAAAACTATAATGATGGGGTTTCCTGAACAGAAGAGTTCAAAAGAGTGAATCATTTTTAGTTATCAGTATTAATCATGCTCAAATTGATGAACATTTTAATTTTGCGAAATTAATGCATTTTGAATTTCATAATATTTTTCTGTGATTTATTTTTTTCGTATTTATCATTGAATATCACTTGAAATAACAGAAGAGCCATTTTCGACAATTGTTGGCTTTTCGATGATAGCAGATGTTTGACTATGAGGGGGCCTCGTGGCGAAAAAAAATGTCCAGCGAGTGTTATAAAATAGATATAATATTGAATATTTTACGAAGAGGCCGTTTACGATAGGCGTGGCGCATGTCTAGTGATGATAAAAATTGTGCGGGGAAAAATGCTCGTTCGTATACATATGCACAATGGTTTAAATTTTAGATTTGATTGTCTTTTTTGCCCCCCCCCCCAGATAAAACAATTTCCACCCTTTTGCAATAAAAATCGGAAAAGAGGAAAAAAACCGGGTAGCACTTCAACGTGCCATATTAAAACCAGCCAATAATCGCCTCCATTCAACCCGATCGATTATTCAGCGAAGGTGATAGTACTACAGCCACAAACGCAGACGCAGACCTCCCAACAAGTGTATCTACTGCAACCGGCAACGACGACTACTTCGCATGGTCAGCCGCCGGTCACGTTCATTCCGGTACAACTTCCACCGCAGGACAATAATAAGAAGTCGATCAATATATTAAACACTGTTCCGAGTGCTTCGGGACAGATGGTCAGGGTATTGTAGACATTCACTTTTAGCTTTTTTCAAGCGTTTTTGTTTTAGAATTTTAAGACAATCGATTCGGGACGACGAGAAGCGCAATTACTCGCCCAACAGCAGCAACAGCAACAACAACAGCAGCAGCAGCAGAACGCGGTGAACGCTGTTGCGAATTCGAATAACGCTGGATCGTCGTCTGGAACGACGGGAGCCACATCTGGAATGGGAATAAGCGGGCAACAGCGAATTACGTTAGGTAAACGATTTGTTTTTATATTGAGTTGCGTCGCATTTTTTGGTCTCGAGGCGACTTTATTTTTTGTCTGAAATTGGTTTTTAATTTCAAGAAAATACGTTTTTTTTTAAATAAATTTTGGTTTTGTCTGGAACGTAGAAAAGTTAATTCAACAGACTATCATTTTGAAATTACAAATATACATTTTTCTGCTTGCTCATAAATGTTTTTGTCGGAAATTGACGAAAAAAATAACCAAATATACTACTATAACAAATATAATATTCAAGAAATTAACTTTTTTGGGATATTTTAGGTAATTTGCACTTCCAACAAGATCCAAACGATCCTCAAAAATGGATTATTACAAACGAGCCGAGCTCATCAATATCAACACAAAAGGTTGCTATTTTTTCCATCACTTTCCTGATTCAATCAGCGATTTTTCAGAACAATCAGCAGGGAATGATGAAAAACGAAATGATGAACAATTCAATTAATGATTCTGGCCTTATTTCAAATATTACTGGTGAATACGATATGGGTATGAACTCCGAGGTAAATTTTTATTTTGTCAATTTCTTTTATGTTTCCATTTTGTTTTAGTTGCCGAAACGATGTGCGTGTACGTGTCCGAATTGCGCAGGAAATAATCGAGTGTAAGTGTTCGGCGCTTGCCAGAAATTAGTCCAACGAAAACATTTTTTGAGAATTTTTAGAGGCGACGGAAAAACGCGTCTTCACATCTGTCATATTTGCAATAAAACGTACGGAAAAACGTCACATTTGAGGTAAATTTGAGTGGTTTTTCGGCATTGATGACGTACTCGAGCATTTTCAGGGCTCATTTGCGTGGACATGCGGGAAATAAGCCATTTGCATGCGATTGGCAACACTGCAATAAACGATTTACAAGGTAATCTTTTTTTTCTGACCAATTAGACGTAAATTTTGAACAAAAATTGATTGAATCAGTAAAAATTGCTCAATGTTATCCGGTTTTTGCGCCATTGTTTTTTTTTTTTGCGAGCAAACAATGTTTTTACATCAATTTGCTCGAAATCTGGATTGCTTTGAGCTCGAGTTTTTCGAGTATTAATACGTAATTCAATATTTCCCATAGATTAGACGGCTCAACGCAGATTATCCTATCAAAAACTGCGAAAGAACATTGGATTAATTTTAGGAAAGTAACATATAATTTTAAGCATGTTTCATTGTTTAGCGAAAGGGTAAAAGTGGGTGACGTTAATATGAAATCGAGTTAGATTACGTCAGTTTGAACTAAATTTAGATTTTTGATTGATTCGATTGATATTTTTCTTTGATTATTTCCTTTTCCAAATTTCTCATCGAAATTGATGAATTGTGGGGGTGTTATATTATATTGAATTATTCGTTGATGTAAGAGACTCTTCATTGTCTGAAAACAAGAAAATTATTTTCGGTCGTTGGTCTTTAAAAAAAATCTTAAAATGAATCATAAGCGAATTGTGCATTCGGGTTTAGAAATGAAGTATCGATTTGCAGCGGTTTGAGTTGGAACATTTCGCGAAAAATTGCTGAGCGATAATTTCAATTCTAGGATGTGTGTTTCTACAAAAATCTAAAATGCTAATGAATATATCACGGCTCAAAACACATTTTATTGGATTCGTCTGCGATATATTTTTGCTCTTTTCTCATTCAATTCTTCTATTAATTTAATTGATTCCAGAAGCGATGAACTTCAGCGGCATAGGCGGACACATACGGGAGAAAAACGATTCCAGTGCAGTCATTGCGGCAAGAAATTCATGCGAAGCGACCATCTGACGAAGCACGAACGGACGCATTCGACGAATCGAATCAATCCGATGGGTCAGACGGCCGCGACAATCCGCCTCAATTAGCGCGGATTCGGAAAATATCGTTTTTTTTTTTCAAAATTCATTTGCTTATATGTGAAACGTGTCGATTTTTTCAATCAAATGGAATATAGAATGGTCTGAGACTGATTTTATTTTTAAGTGAATAATTAAAATGTGTCTTGATAGCAAACAAAAAGTGGAAGCTGCTTATTTATGTACCTCGATTTTGTTTGAATATTCGTCTTCCTTTATAATTGCTCAATAGTACCCAATATGTTCATTTTCATTTGTCTCAAGAGTCTAATCATTTTTGAGAGTTCATTTTGAATCTTCAAATCTTCTGCCTTTACCCTTGCTTCTTTTATTGTTATTTTTGTCTTCTTTTACATGATTTTTGTCGAAATATATTGCTGTGATTGTATTAATATTTTTGAATAATGATACGGATTCGGATAAACTTTTCATGTTATTGAAAGTTTTCAACAAACAAACGACAAGTAGGCTTAGTTTTAACATTATTATTGCTAGAAGATGCAAAAAGAAAGATTTCCATACGAGACCCAAGACGGCAACGATCGCATCCGACAACAGGAAAATGTGAATTAGCGCTGGCTACGGTGCGCAATGTCTGCAAACACCGTGACGGCAGAGTGAACTTTCGCAATTTCGAATTTTCTTCACTCGAGTGCTCGGCAAACTCATCAGGCAGAGGCTTTATCTCTTTCACTGAAATCATGGCAAATTTTGGAAGAAACAGTGGCGTAAAAATATACCAAATTGGTTGTTTTTGTTGAAACCGCGAAACCGTTGTAACATGCGTGTTTCGCCAGAAAACCACTGTTTTGACCGATCAACTTGTCGAGACGTTTCTTTTTATTGCTGCAATTTTTTGCTGGAGAAAATTGTTTTTTTTTAGAGTTTTAAGGATATTCAAGTACTTTTCAGTGTAAACTTTCGGAATAACTGATTATTCATTGTTTAAATAATAGCGTACCTCAATAATTTCTGATATAAAATGAAAAATGTTCGGTAAAATTTTATTTTTGATTTTGTTCGATTGAATTTCAGATGGTAGTTTAAATATTGTTTATTTAGAAAATGACATGGAGAAAGAAGCACGAGAAGCTCGCGAATATCAAAATATTACTTGTTGGAGCCGGTGGAATCGGATGTGAGCTTTTAAAGAATCTTGCGTTGACTGGATTCAAGAAAATTGATGTGGTATGTCGGAATTTATTAAGGAATAATTAAAACATTTTAAAGATTGATCTGGACACTATTGATGTGAGCAATTTGAATCGTCAGTTTTTATTTAGAAGAGAACATGTCGGGCAGCCAAAGGCGAAGGTATTGATTCGAATAGTAATTATAATTTTATAATTTTGTTGTTTTTAGATTGCTGCTGAAGCTGTTAAATCGTTCTGTCCATCGGTAGAAATCAATTATTACCACGACAGTATTTTCAGCGAACAATTCAATCTTTCATACTTTTCTCAGTTTCAAATTGTCATCAATGCTCTGGATAATAAAGGTAATTAGAGGAACCAGATTTTCAAAACGTTGTTAATCTCGTTCAGCTGCGAGAACTCACGTAAATCGGATGTGTTTGGCTGCGAAGATTCCACTAATCGATTCCGGATCTTCCGGTTACGTTGGACAGGTATTATTTTAAAGTTCTCTTCAATGTGTTCTATGCTTCTCAAAAATATCGACTTCATTATAAATAATTAATTTTGTAGGTTACTGTCATCGTCCGTCAACAAACCGAATGCTATGAATGCGTTCCAAAAGACAATGCCCAAAAAACGTATCCCGGATGCACAATTCGCAACACTCCGAGTGAATTGATTCATTGCATCGTTTGGGCGAAGCATTTGTTCAAGTACACTCTGTTTCTATTCAGTTTTTCATTATTTGTTTGCCCATTTTTAGTCAATTGTTCGGAGAAATCGATATTGACGATGATGTCTCTCCGGATGTGACTGACACGAATGGCAAAGAAGATGATTCAAATGGCGAAGAACAAACTGACGCAAAAGAGAAAACGCCTCAACCAAGTACTCGGCAATGGGCTGAGAGTGTTGAATATGATAGTGTGAAGCTTTTCGATAAGGTAAAGCTTTAACCGCATTAAAATCTGAAAATTTTATTGTCGATTTTTTTGCGAATAAAAAAGCTAAACAATTATTGAAGGAATTGATGAATTATTAGTCAATATTATTTTATTGAGACATTAAAAATTAATTACCCGTTTTTCCAATGAAGAGTTGAAAAAAAATTGCAAATCAAATGTTTTGCAAAAAAATTTTATTTTATTTATTGGTCCATAAAAATTCAAATCGCATTAAATAACTTTTCGCTCTTTGTTAACCTCAGTATTGTAGCTCTTCTTCGCCGACATCAATTATTTGTGTTCAATGGACCATTTGTGGAAACAACGCAAACGTCCAGTTCCACTAACCTACTCTGCCGCTTCTCAACAAGAGAAAGGTGCCACTCGTCGTGTTAAAGATATTCTCGAGGATTATAATTCGGTGAGATTTTCAGAAATGTTGAACGAAAATAAATGAATTTTCAAAGACGAAATAACGCCGCAAAAGAGTTCAAATCAATTTCCGCGTTTTGCGCTTTCTAATTTCCTTTGCGTCCTGAACGCCAACATACGCAACGCTCTTTGGTAGTTGCGGTGATCAATAGGGAATATTAGAGAAAATTTTTAAAGCGAGGAAAATCAGAAATATTTTTTCCTATTATCTCGTTTTTGAGCAAATAAAAAAGCGTTGTGTAAAATTCAAATGTCTCGCAACAATCAATTTCTCAGGTAAATCGAATAAAATATTTCCAAATTCATTGAGAAACTAACGTGTCTCTATAATATTTTAGAATTTTCTCAATCAACTTTAGAAATTATTTTAAGATTTTAGAATTTATCGAGATAATTTAGAATTTGCTCAATAAATTTTAGAAAATATTATAAGATTTTAAGAAATATTTTAAAGTTTAGCGATTCTCAAGAAGTTTTAGAAAGTATCAATAAATTTTAGAATTTCTCAAAATATTTTAGAGTTTATTATTGAATATTTGATTCTCAAAATATTTTATTTGATTTGCCTGAGTATTGGATATTCAATTCGAGCGATATCACGCCGAAAATGAGCAAAATCGTATTCTCGCGCATTTTTTTTTCGGAAAACGATATCTCGGACTACTTGCAGGTATGGACCCTTCAGGAATGCGCCGCCGTCTTTTGCGACTGTGTTCAATTGCTCAGCGAACGCAAGAAGAAACTCGATGAAGGCGATATTCTCGTTTGGGACAAAGACGACGAGGATGCGATGGCGTTCGTTGCGAGCTGCGCCAACATCCGCGCCACTATTTTCAATATCATTAAGAAATCATTGTTTGAAATCAAATGTGAGTCATTTTTATGTTTTTAATAATTATTTTCAATATTTCAGCTATGGCGGGCAATATAATTCCGGCGATTGCCACCACCAACGCCATTGTCTCTGCGGTGACTGTTCGAGAGGCCATCACATTGGCTTATAAGGAATTCCATGAAGCCCGAAACAATTTTGTTCTTGAATACATCAATTGTCGTGGCCAAGTTGTTGGTAAAGATGTTCCGAATAAGCCAAACCCGAACTGCTATGTGTGCTCCGACAAACGCGAATGCATTGTGATGCTCAATCCTCAGCATATGACCGTCAAAGCTTTCAACGATAGAATATTGAAGAATAGTTTGAGCATGCTCGCGCCAGATGTCACCGATGTGATTAACAATCGTATTATCATCAGCAGTGAAGGAGATACTGATGGTGTGATGTCCTTTCCAATACTATGTTACATAATAATATTTCAGCTATTAATTGTAAAAAGCTCAGCGAACTATCCATTGGAGATGGAGCTATTTTATGCTGTGACGACTTCCAGCAAGATCTTGAGCTTAAATTGATCATAACTGGATGTGCCGATCTTAGAGGAGACGAATTTGAGGTATTCCTGTTGTTGTTGTTATATACTTTGTTTGATTGGTTTTTTTTTTTCAAGATTCTGCAAACTGGAAAAGAAGAACCTTCCGAAGAAACGAGAAAGAGGAAAGCCGATGAAGAAAATGGAAACGGAGCTATCGAATCCGAACAAAAGAGACCCCGTGTTGCTGTTTAATTTTATCAGTATATTTTCTAATTGATACTCATTCATTTCATGCACTGTTCTGTATCTTATCTAATCTTAAATTATTTTGATTTGCATTAACTTCTTCGAACAACAAATAGTTTTATGAAACAAAAACAACAGCAACACTTTACTTCTTGCCGGTCTTCTTGGGTTCCGATTCGGAAGTGTGCGAAGCAGAAGATCTTCTGCGGGCAACCTTGGCATCGTGAACTTCCTATAATAAGAGAAATTATAAATTTACAACATTAGAAAGAATACCTTTGAGTATTTGGCCAAAAGCTTGTGGTATGCAGCAGCCTCCTCGCGGACCTTTTGTCTCTGTTGAGCCTTTTGGCGGAGGAGATACTTCTTTCTGGCGATACGGCTCGGGGTGATGAGACGTTGAATCTTTGGAGCAATGGTCTTGACGGTTCCTAAAATATATCAATTTCATTAAGAATTTATGAATAAGCTATACCATCTGAGAAGGTCTTGTCGTGGGTGATGACGTATTTGGTAACATCGTCATGCTTGGTGAGGTTGAAAAGCTTGCGGATCTTGGAAGCACGCTTTGGTCCGAGTCTGCGTGGAAGGACATTGTCGGTCAATCCCTCGATGTCGGCATCTCCTAAAGATGAATGTATTCAGAATTTCGATTAATAGACTTACCCTTCTTGACGATGACCAAACTCAAAGCAGACATGTTAGCATCGACGATGCATCCACGGACAGACTTTCTTTTGCGCTCTCCACGCTTTCTCTCGCGGTAGCAGGACTGTCCCTTCTTGAGAAGAAGACGGCAACGTCCATTGGTGAGGACTCCCTGCTTCATTGGGAAACCTTGCTTATCGTTTCCTCCTCCAATTCTGACGACGTATCCCTGAAACACGTGTCATTAGATAATTAATTCAGTTTTTAATCATTGTTGCAATGTCATGCATCCGAAACATCCAGAAAAAACGTACGGAGATTTTTCAAAGCAATCTTATATGCCAACAATAAAGAATGGTTGCTACTTAAGTAGCACCCATTGTATCCATGGCAAATCGATATCAAAATTAAAACCAAAAATTACCTTCCACTCGTCTCCGAGAGCATCAATAGCAACTTCTTGAGCCATACGCTTCTCGTAGAAGATACGGAGCTTCTTTTCATCATCGAATTCAAAGGACTTCTGGAGCCCCGTGTGTGGGTAAGCGAAGTTAAGTCTCATCGCTTAGTGTTTTACCTTAAAAAAATAAATTTATGAAAGGAGTGATCGAAGATGGTGGAAATATTTTAAACAGAAAATTCACAAAAAATCATTTCTGTGGGAGAACATTAGAATCCATAGTAGCACATGATAATCGTGTTACTAGCGTAATTTAACAAATATTTTATGCGGAAAATCCCGATGAAAAATCGCCAAAATACGTTAAAAAACCTAAAAGAAAAGCGAAAAATTTTGGGCCTCCACTGCGAAACGACCGATTAAAGGCGCATACAGCGCGTCGCTGCGAGACCTCTATCGTGTGTAGAATTACGAGGGTGCCCTCTCAATCTCGCACACTGTCTCGCATTGAATTTATTTCGATTTTCCAAACTTTTTTTATTGGTTTTAAACGCATCCGATTTTTTTGAAAACTTGTTGTTCTATGAAAAATATTTTTTAAACTCTTGCAATTACATGAAAATCTGAAATTGCTGTTCCTATATTTTGTTTTTAGCATATATGACCTGCTCGCATATCACACAGGAAAAATGCATAAAGGAAGTAGGTCAGCTTATGATCAGCAAAAAAGAAGAATTAGAGGAATTGAACTTTTTAGATCGGAATACCAATAGAAATAGGTGACTTTGAAGAAAATTTCAAAATGTTAAATTGTTAATTCAGGATGCCTGAGTTTTTTAAAACATTTTGTTGTAAATGTGATTCGGGGTGCGATAGATCCATGATATGTCTACATTGTGGAGATATAAACTGTGGCCGTGACGACAGCGAACATGCCATTAAGCATTCGAAAATATATAAGCATCCAGTGGCCATGGATTGCATTACATTCGACATTTACTGGTTTGTTTAGTTCCAAATTTTTTAATTTTTAATTTTTACTTGCAGTTATGAACATGATGATTCCGTACAATTAGACTTTGAAACCCCTTTGAAGTCTCTTATTAAATCTCTAAAGATTTTATTTGAGCGAGTAGATTTTATAGATGAAAGCGATGAAGATGAGGAGAACGCCGCTCCGCCGAACTCTGTGAAAGAAACTGATTCAGCTGAAGCAGTGTATGGTTTTCTCTCTCTCTCTCTCTCCCTCTTTTTTATTTTAATTGAAAATTTTTTCAGAATTGTTCCTCAACTTGCGAAAGAGTTCAAAGAAATTAGTGTTGGAAAAACGAAACAAAAACCAAAACGTCTATCGAACGCCGAGAAAAAAGCATTGAAGAAAAAAGAGCGAGAGGAAATGAGTAAAGGAAGCAAGAAATCGTCTCCAATTGAGAATAATGACACCTCAAATCCTAGAGGATTGAAAAATTTGGGGAATACCTGCTTTATGAATGCCGCTCTTCAATCGCTCTTGTAAGAATTAAGTCAAATTTCAGACAATTTATACAATAATTTCAGTTCAATTCCCGAATTTCAAGAGGCCATGTGCAATCTTAAAGATGAATTTGAAGATGGTGGCAAAAAAATGTAATTTCTGTTTTTAATATCAAATTTATTTCGCAATATTTTAGACCTTTAACCGATTTCCCCTTGCTATCTGAAACCAAGAAATTGGCGATTGAATTAGTGAAAAAATCGATTCGAGACTGTCATAATCCAACCAATTTCCGGAAGTGCTTCATTACTCATTGCCCAAGATTCAGGTAAGACATTTTTTGGCGTTCACCTTGTTTCGATAAACGAATATTCCCAGAGGATTCCAGCAGCACGACGCCCATGAGTTTTTGCGTTATTTCATCGACGAATTGCACACGGAGCTCAAAAAAGCCGAAAAAGACGCCGAATCGACGGCGATAACCGAGATTTTCGAAGGCAAATTGAATAGCCGAGTGATTTGTCTGAGTTGCAAGAATCGCAGCAACAAAATTGACGCGTTCATGGGTATTTGTCTATTTGTGACCACATGCAATTTTTAATTTTATTTTTAGATTTATCGCTCGATGTACCAAAGTCGAACAATGTGAGACTAACTGATTGCTTGAAAGACTTCTTCGAATTGGAAATTTTGGATAAATTCGAAAAATATGAGTGCTCGAAGTGTAGAACAAAACAAGCCTCAAGCAAACAAATGTTTATCAAAAAATTACCAGAGGTTGGGTTTTTTTCCAATTTTTTAAATTGTTGTGTAAATTGAAGAATTAAGGTTCTTTGCCTGCAATTGAAACGATTCCAAAGTAACGGCGGCAAGAATTCGTCGCTAATCGAGTATCCTATGGAGAAATTGTCGTTAGACTTTTACCTAGCTGAGGTTGACGCCATTTGAATTATTATGTAGATTCCTAATTGGTTAATTAAGGACGCTGAAGAAGTTGGAATCGAATATGATCTAACTTCAATTGTTGTTCATATTGGACATGGGTAAGGTTTTAATTTTGGCTCGAATACAATTAAGGATCCTTTCAGAACTGGTTCCGGCCACTATATCGCGTTCGGCAAACGCGGTTCGCGTTGGTATCAATTCGACGACGCGCAAACGCGCATTTGCGCCCCATACGAGCTGCTGAAACAAAAAGCCTACGTGTTATTCTACACCAAACGGGTGTCATCTACTTAAGCCTTTTTCTAAAATGTTTTCCCACGTGCCCTCTCACTGAAATTGCATCCGGTTAACTCACAAAACAGTGCCTTTGCTCTTAATTGCCTTGTGATTTGATTGCTTTATTCAACTGGTTTCTAGACATAAATTTTATGATTTTATGCAGCATTGCGACCGAGAAAATTTACGAGAAAGGCAACTGTTTTAAAGCATGTGCAGCGATGGTCTGTACTGTTTCAGATCCATGCGAAGAGATCGCCGAGTTTCGGGATTCTCAACAGTGATCCAATGGTATCGAGGGCTTCTGATGACTGCCTTCGTTGTTTGTTTGTGCTGACAGTAGAGTCGAACCGAGAGACCGTGCGCGAGGCTCTCCATCGGCTTCGGATGACATTTGAGACGGACGACGTGCGACGGACTAAACACCACGTTCGCACCTTCCTCCAATAAGTGCTGCAATTCGATAGTCACTACTCAGCCTATTTGCCCAGTAATCCACCTTGTAGCACTTGGAGACAACCATTGCGAAGAAGTACTCGAAGCCGAATTCGACGGTTGGAAATGGTTGCTCATCGTCGATCAAATACGTCTCATCTTTGATGGTCTTGTGCACGAGCACTTCAGTTCGCGTCCCTTCTCGATTGTGCTTGACGATCATGAATTCCATGAACAGACCAGGCATGTTCACATTGATCGGCATTATTCGCGGGCCAGATGAGGTTGTGGCACGATAAGTGACAGCTTCATCGACGAGCCGAATGAAATCGCGACCTCTGCAATACAAAAACGGTTATGTCAATTTTACATTAAACGATTTCCAATAATTGAGATAAATTTTCGAATTACTATTTTGCCAATTTTTTTTCGCTATGGGCCTATTCATGAAATGTATTATTTTAAACAACATTTTTTTAATTGTACGTTTTTTTCCAATGGAAAAAAATTACATATCATATATAGGTTCATTAACGCTTGATTTTGTTTCTGTTTTAAATAGAACAATTCAAAGGGCGAACCTCAAGGGTATTTTGTGTGCTTTCAGCTCTTTTATTGAATACCATTGGGCTGCTAATGACTGTTGATCGGGTTTTGTCTTCAATTCGCCACCTTTAAATCAACTTATTCATTTCAAAAATCAATTTAGAATGTTGTTTTGAAAACGAACCAGTAATCTCGCAATAGAATGCGAACCGGAACCAGCCGGAGCCCTGAACCTGCATCGACAAGAGCTCAACGACGCTGGCAGAGTATCCAGTTTCTTCAAGGATTTCCCGTACGACGGCTTCCTGCAATTTCAGCGATTCAGCGATCGAAAATCGGTAAAAGGCTCACTTCGAGAGTTTCTCCAGCTTCGACTCGTCCGGCTGGCATGTACCACTTTCCGTGACAGCTTTTCTTGGCTTCTTGGATTAGAAGTACCTGCAAAAAATAAAATCACTCGAAATTATAAGCGTCCGTGAATTTTACCTCTGTAGAATCGCCTTCCCCACGTAATATTAGGCCAGCGGCTACATAATTCACATTATCGTGCAATCGAACGTAGCGGCATTCTGCAAAAAAAAAATATAGAAAAATTATGAAGCGAATATTTTAAATTATAATTAATCGAGAAGAAATTAAATAATAATTAGTAAAAATCGATACTTTTTAAGAATTATTTTAATATAATCAATATTGGGTAGGCAAAACTTTGCGCAAAAACGGATTTTGGATGGGTATGAATTAAAAATGAATTAATTTTTCTCACTTCTACGCAAATTCGATTTTTTATCTTTTCATTTATTTATGTTTTTAATTTTTTCTTGTTTTTTGCAAATAATTAAACAGACCCTTTGATAGGACTATCTAAAAAAAGGAAAAAATGTTATATTCTTTTTTTCTGGATTGTAATTTTCTCTGCAGTTGCCCTTGAATGTCGAACAACAAATATTTCGGCGCGAGACCACGTTTAAAGGCGCGTGACGTCAAAACCGTCGTTATCTTACAGTTTTTAAGCGAAAAAATCAACGCTAAAATTTTCTGTCTCATTCGTTTTCAACTATGGTATTTCTCGACGCAATTTTCATCATCCCTCCATAAATCAGAAACAAGCAGTTGTGCGCTTATCGCTTCTCTGGCGAAGCTAATATTTTTTGAGAAGCCGAAAAAAGGAATAAATAAATCATTGGGGAAACTCACTTCCAAGCTGCATGTCGGGAACTCTTGGCTCCGACGACGACTTTTTGCCATTCTCAATCGGATTGTCGACGGGCATCGGCGACGAAACACCATTATGCGTTTCCGGTGTGTGATCGCCGCTTTCGGCATCGGCGAGATCTAATTTACCGGTTTCCATCTGTAAAAAATTATTTGTTTCGGCAAAAACGAGTGATCGAAGCAAAAAAAGAAATTAACAAGTTTAAATGAAAATGGAAACGTGTGGTTTTGACGGGAATATTCATAATATTGACAAATCGAGTTGGCCGATAAATTGAGGTCAAAAACGAAAGCGGGTGCAGCGAAATCGAGAAAACGATCAAATGGCGGCGGTGGTGGCTGGCGGATTTCGATACGCAGCTGTCAAGACCAACCTCATCGTTCGGCTTATGCGTATGTGTGTGTGTGTCTAGTTTATTTCAATTCGGCGTTCTCTTCTCTCCTCCGTCGCCTCAACAATGTTGTTGCAAATTTGTGTGAAAAATTGACACTTGGTCCTTCATATGTCCGAGACCTCCCCGGAAATGCACAAAACAATGAGCACTCGCGTTTTGTTGAGTTTGCTTCGTGTTTTGTGGGCCCAGTAAAATTGCAGTTTGTTGCAAGAGTTGATGGAAATTGTGTAGTTTCGCGTAAAATGTGACGAGTTTCGAGGCGCGCGTTCGACGCATTCAGATTCTAGTCAACCCAATGCATCGCATTCAGATTCCAGTCAACTCAATTATAGCTCGACGCCAAAATAAAGGAAAAGCGACAGGAGCTTATGCAAATCGAAAACGAACAATTGTGAAATCTGATAGGCCAATTCTCAGCATTTGAGATGTGAACGTTTCCGTCTGCCATATCTAAATTGAGCTTTTTTTATAGAGCAAAAATCATACGCTCAAAAAAAAGCGCGGAGTTCAATTCTGCCGTGTTGAATTATCTTTTGTGGGGGAATGTTTGAGTTTTTTTTTGCGAACAGCGATGCCGATAACGCGACATTAAACAAGCCTCTCGAAATGTTCAACACACTATTTTTTTGTTCGATTTGCTGACGTGTTTCCGTGCCGGCGACCATTAAACCATGCCTGCTTCGAACATTGGAATTCGATCAGCTTAATGTCGCCCCAACTCAAACATGCGCGCTTACCTCGTCCCACAACAAATGAGATTTTCGCAACAACAACAAAAAAAAAATAAAAATACTTGAAGAAAAGAAATCTATCGAGTATTGCTGTATACATGTCTCGGACTGAGTGTATATATATATATATATATATATGTGGGTGTGTGCTGCGCGTTTTGTGTGTGTGTCTCTCACTGACCCAACGGCTCGCCTCATCAGCCGAGTTTCTCATCGATCCGCGCCGCCGCCGCGCACGCCACACTTTGCCCGGCTTTTTTTGATGATGGACGCTGGCGTCTTAGAACAATTGGTCCCGAAAACTCACAGCTATGGCGTTGTGGCGGCGGCTTTTCTTTGAGACGACACCAACATTCGAATAACCGGCATTCAACGAGCATGCGCAATTCTAGAAGAATGAGAATTCTGGACATAACAAATATTTACAACCTGTTTAAAACGGATTATCGTCATATCGTTCTTTTTAATTTTATTTCTAACGATTTCAAATGACGGGAATGAGACTAATAGTGGTTAAATATATTTAGCTATGTCGTATATAATAAAATCTGTTTAATATAATAGCACATTTAGGAATTAAAAGTACTCGGTTGAGTTTTTTGCCGTTTAATAGTAGAAAAAAGTCCGCCGTATCTAGAAAATCAAAATCAATCGGATCCGGCAAAATTCGGCTCCGGAATCAAGCTGATCCGACTGGTTTTTAGAAAAACCGATATCATCTCAACCTCGTGTACAGGCTGCGCGAACAAAAATTGAGAAGTAATTAAAAATTCGAAACGGAACCGAAAATTGAAAAAAAAAATCGAATACGAACTATTGAAAATTGGAAGAGAAAATATCCAAAAATGATCCAAATTACACACATTAAAAAAATGCGAGAAATTTTGCATCGGATCCGATTGGTTTTGAGTTGCCAGCGCTACTTATTTGCCATTTGAGAAACCGCTCTTCAGGTGTTGCAAATTTTGTGGAAAATCGGATGTCGTTGATTACAAGCGATGATAGCGATGGGCCAATTTTCCGCTGTCGCGAGACGTCGACAATATAATCCAAGCTTATTGCCGCAAAACTTCTCATATAATTTCAATTTCAGATTTTTCAACTCAAATACGTAGGCAATCCTGTAAAGTAATGATAAAAGGACCCCAACGTGAACGGCTTAATATGGTTTATATATGGTATATGGTTTAAAATACGTATATCTACCAACTTTCATTTTGATATCTGAAAAATTGGGCGAGTGGCATTGAAAACACTGAAAATTGGTCACTTGCAACCGTTTCACATTTATAAAGCCACCCCCGTGAAAGGTCTGAAAATGTGGAAACCTGAAAAAGAATGAGCAGTGTAGTTATAAATAGAGTACTGTAAGATATTTTTCTTTTTTTTCCGCGTATTTTAACCAACATTTGGACATGTCCCGGGGATTTTTGCTCACCGATGCCGAAAAGGCTACCATCGATTCCTTAAACTTCGCTGGATGGTCGAAACGAAAGATTTCTTCGCACCTGAAGCGGTCGAAAACTTGCATTATTAAATTTGTCAACAAGATCGACAAAAACCAGCTTTTTTTTCAGCCTGAATTCAATTTTGAAAACAGAATTTAAAATTTTTTACAATTGACAAAGTTACGCCCAAAAACAGGGGTGACTTTATAAATGTGAAACGCACTGTATATAAACATTTAAAAAAAATATATTTTCATGATATTTTTATGATTTTATAGATTATATTAATCCATTTATTCCACTCATAAAATGGAAAAATTTTTAATGTGGAAAATCATAGTAAACTTAAAAAGTTCTAGAATTCACAAGAATTGATACTGTAATTTAAAGGTGCAAAAAATTTTTTTATGAACGGTTTCGGTGTGAATCGCCAAAATTATCGTTTTTCCAAATTTTAGGAGTATTTTTGAAATTCCAGTTTCGTTATTTTTAAACGATTTCGCCAAGTCTAATTGTTACTACTTATTATAATTATAACGTAATATTAGATTCTATGTGATTATAAGTAAAATTATATTTATACCAAACTTTATATAGACCGTAACATAGAAAATCTGACCTAAAGGTGGATCCGATTGGTTTTGAGATAACAGGGTAATTTGCCACATTTTTTTTTCAGGAGAAAGTCCTCTCCTTTCACATTTGAAGTTTGCTTCTTAGGAAAATATTAATTTTTAGCTTCTCTCACTACTTGGGGAAAATTGCAGTTTAATCGTGCAATATTCAGTTCATTTCGATTTTCAAATGGAGAAAGCTGAATCGATCGTCGATTTGTCCAATACAATTTTTGCCAGTGACAATATTGAAGGCAAATACTCCTGCGATTATTTGGACGAGTTCAAGCCGAAAGGTATTATGACTATTGATATTGCGGATAAATCCGTTATTTCTAAAAATGGATCGAAGGAATCGGTAATTTACAACATCCCTTGGTAATTATTATATCCAATTGTGATAAAATCTATATGACAATGTTTTGAGGAAGTTTGGCGTATACTTTTCGGATTCTGCAAACACCAAAATAGGAGTTTCTGTCAAGTGCAACGAGAAAAGCCAAAGCAAATTGTGGACGTGTAAGGCGAATATCACCCTTAAATTAATGACGGGAGAGCTGGACAAGTCACCCTGTGAGCTGTGTCAGCATTCCGAAGTTTTCACGTTCGACATGTTCCGGAACACATTCACAATTTGTGAATTTACTAATGCTGATGAGCTTTATATTGAAACGCATATGATACATGGGTTTGATCGGTAAGATATGAAAAACTATAAAAATTCTGCTTCTAGTGTTCATTATTTTTCAATGCCAATTTGGTAATGAATCCGATAAATCTGAAAATAAATTTTATATTTAGCGGACCGAAAAAGACATATCCGTATATCAATGCTGAAATTGATGTGATTTCTGCGACAGGGATTCTCATTGCGCCAATTTACAATCCTTTCGAAGTTTCTCCTGAGTTTGGCGATGCGGTATTGATCATCGAAGGAAAACGGTTGATTGTGAATCGAACGGTATGATAATCTATAGACTTTCCTCAGTATTTTTTAAAAATATTTTTCAGTTCCTCGCGTTCCATTCCCGATATTTTCGGACCATGTTTTTTAGTGGGTTCCGCGAAAAAGAAATGAAAGAAATCGAATTGAAAGATGTCAGATTCGACGATTTCGTTGAGCTTCACAATTACATTTTGCCGTATAAAATCAAAATCACAAGTATATTGAACATTTATCCTCATCAATTGTTTATTTTTACAGAAGAAAATGTGAAAAATCTGTTGGATCTAGCAGACCGATTCGAAATGCCAGGGGTACTCATCGATTGTGAACAGTTTTTGCTGAAAGACGGTGGTTTCGATTGTATGGAAAAAATGAAGCTTTCTGAAAGATATATGCTTGTAAATCTTCAAGTATCATTTTTGTTTTAATCTGGCCCCAAGAAATACGTTTCAGGATCGATGTTTGGTTAAAATCAAGGAAACAAAGACGTCTGATGAAATTATTTCTTCTAAGGAATTTCTTGATTTAAATGATATGAGCAAACTTTCCATTCTTAATGTTCTTTGTCTTGCAAAAAAAATAAATTTTTGATTAAAAAAAATGATAAAATGCACGATCCCAGCGTGATTCATTATCTATCTTCTTCTATAATCTTGTCCGAATCAAACGATTGAGCGAAATTAAAAAAAATTATTGGCTATGTGCCAACGCGTCCCGAGGCAGCGAGAAGTAGTACGCGGGACTGTACATTGCATTATAGTGTATAGTCGGCGACTGCTATACGCGGGTAGATTTACGGGAGTGCGTCTTTCAAATTGGTCTCGCAAGGACTAGCAGGTTATTTCAAATTTTATGGACCGATTCGATAATTTTTTAATCGAATGATGTTGGAAATTCAAAGGAATGCGAAACTCATCAAGAAAAATGAAGCAGTTCACGTGAACAGCAAAATAAGCACTCACGCGTGGCGAGACCTTTTACAAAGCGCATGTGCGTAAATTTACTCGCGTGCAGTCGCCGGACGCCGACTATCCGCCCATTTAAAATTCCATCATCGGTAAATTTAAATCTACACTGATTTCCCGAATTTGAAGCGAATCCTCCTTTCAGTTGTTTGACACCGACAACAGACATTTTTAATCGAGAATGACTTCAACCAAGGGGAGCTACGCAATCCCTTACTTTACTATTTTTAAAAGAACATTTTTGGTTATTTTTCAGAGGAATAAAGTTTATTAAAATAATAAATTAAGGCGTTTTTGAATGAAACCCGCTCACGAAACCAGTATTTATTTAAATGCCTGTGTCGATGATGATCGATGTCCAAATTCGGGAACCGTTTTCAGGCAATAGCATTCGAGAAGTCGCATTGCTGTCGGTTTGAGTTGCTTCTTCATTTGTGGGCTGAACGTATTCTAATTGAGTTGGCTAATCTATTATAAGAATCAAACCTCCAGAATATGTACATATAGAAGAGAACCGCATGATGTAAGTAGTAAATCAAGTAAGTGACGAAAAGAATAAAATGAAAGAGATGCGATTTCGGATTGAAGATGTGCTGAAGAATTCGCATCGCATAACTAGGTACATTCAGAAGAACGAACGTGCTGAAATTCGTTTAATATCAATTGAATTAAATAATTATTTTTGAATAATTTAAGTTTTCTCAATAATTCACACATTTTCAGAAAATGTAGAACTCGAGAAAAAACATCTGAAAATAAATATTGCTGAAATCGGACGATTTTGACTAACTCAGGGACGGACAGCGGACACTTTTTGGTTTGGTTTGGGATAACCGGCGGAACATTATGGCACAAACAGGGAAAAAGCCGAAATAAAAGTCGCCCACTGGTTAGCCCGACACGCTAAATTGAGGGCGATGTATAATTGGAGTGTCGTACTCGTAATGTAAAAAAAGTTTTGGGACAAACCGCGGAAATTTTTGGGATTCCCCCGTGGAAACCCGATGTTTAACCAAAAACTTTTTTTTACATTGGTTTGTTCTTTTCGAATCGCTGAGAATATAAATGTTATAATTCGTTTTCACCATTTTTTTGTAATTAGGTGCGAAATGAACACATTTTTGTATGCGCCTTTAATTCATCGTTCTATTTTTAGAATAGATCAAATTGAAAATGGTTAACGCAAAAATGATTGATTACTTACCTAGTAACAATCAAAAGAGTTCTGCTGAGCTGCAAATCCGAGCTTCGAAGTTTTCCGCAATTTCGCGATTGCGTCGAACACGTCGGCAGATTCGAGTGCGGATTGTCAGTGCTCAACAAATACTTTTTGACAGTCGTTTCCTCCTGAAATTCCAAAAAATAAATCAATAGTGAGTTGGGGGAATCGAAATATACAAATTGAATGGTGTCATTGTTGAGTTGCAATTGCTGCTGTTGGGTCGTCGGCGCTCGAACGAATCGAACACGAAGGACTCCTGATGAGTAAATTTTCATGCATTGACGGTATCGGTAAGTCGAAAATGAATTGACGATGATGATGAGGATCGCTGGAAGAAGTGTGCAAATCGCAGTGTCCATTAGAGTGAAGAAAAAGTAGTGCTGATTGACTTTGTAGCTATAAATCGTTTGAATGATGATTAGAGCGAATTCGGCTGGTTCAGTGTACCCAAACACGTCGACATCATTGCTCAGCCCGCAGAAATACAATTGATCGTTTTCATTTCCATACGACTCGAGGCCGGCGAACACGAAGACCCAGCTGTAGAGGACGCACGAAGTGAGCACTGTGCCGATGGTCATGTTGCGTGCAAACGTTTTCGTGCAGACCCAACGTCGCAATCCTGCACAAATTAATAAAATAGAGAAATTGGCGAGAGATATTCGGTCACTTGGCCGGAAGAGGACGATCATTCGGTCGCACGAGATCAACGAGATCATCCAAACACACACAAAGTCCGAAAAATGCGCGATGAACGTGAACGTCTGAAATGAACACACAGCGTTGATTTGAAATTGTTTGGATCGTTCGTTTCGATGGAAAAATCGATTTATTTTTGTGCAATTGATTCCAATTTTTGCCACGATTTTCCCCGAAAGATGTCCGCAGAAGGTTTTGTTTGTCTCCAAGCTTTAAGATGCCCAGTTTGAGAGGCATTCCAATCGTGTCAAGACCCAAAAGATGGCCATTTCGAAATGTTTCCAAAAAATTGCGAAAATATGTTCAAATCTATTTTGTTTTTTGTTGAAATTTGATTTTCCCCCTCAAAAAAAAGCGAAAATGTTTTTCAAATATAGATTGAAATGAAATTGTCTGAAAATAATCGTCGTCGTCTTAATTCGCGCCCCGCTATTTTTTATTCAAATAAACGAAAATAAATAAGTAATAAACAAAATAGGCTGGTTTTTTCTCGAAAAGTAAAAAAAAAGAATTTCGCGTTGCCCATAATTGGCTCATTTTCGAAGCTCAAAACAATGTCCATTGCCGATTTTCCTCAATTATTTCGAGTTTCTTAGAAAATATTTATTTGCGACAACGAATTTTGAAGCAAATGATGGGTTTTGTCGCAAAACGACTTACTGTTCAAATTGAGCTTTCATCTCGATTCGGAGAGCCTTTTAAGGAAATTCACAAATGCCTTTCGAATCGCAAAAAAATCAAATATTTGTGGACCATCGCATTTTTGCATTTTTGGTGATAATTCAATTTGAATTGCCGCCTCGAAATGGCGCGATGGTCCACAATTATTCAATGCGCTCGCTTTTTTGTGCTAATGCGCCTTTAAAATGACTTTGAATTACGACTGCAATTATTTTTGAATATCTCGTTTCTTTTTATATCGTTCTGAATAGAAGCATATTAGAAATACGCTGGAAACTACGCTTAAAACCTCAACAGCCCTTTATCGTGTAGGGAGATCATAGCTTTAGACGAATTCTCGTAAATCTACCCGCATACATCAACTCAGGCAAATAAAAAAAAGTATTTTGAGAATCAAATATTCAATAATAAACCCTAAAATATCATGAGAAACTCGAAAGTTTATTGATACTTCCTAAAACTTATTGAAACTCGATTTTTTAAACTTAAAAATCCTTTTTAAAGTCTTAAAATATTTTCTAAAAATTATTAAGCACAATTCTAAATTATCTCAAATTCTAAAATCTTCTATCTCAAAATAATTAATTCATTTTTTTTTTAAATAATTTAATAAAGTTCGAGTCGCATTAAAATTGGGAGTGTGAGGTTGAAGTGGAATGTTTTCAAAAAGTCACCTTGCATCCAATCTCCGATTCTCCATATAGGGGTAATTTGAGATAAGTGTCCGCCCATGAAATGATTACGGTGACCAAGAAGACGCAGCTGGAAACCGACAACGTGCACAGATAGATGTTGGAAGTGAGGCGTCGAAGCCAGAAATTCGTTCTAGAACCCATGCAATTTCGATTCGGTCTCATCACGAAAATACCTGATCAAGATAAGCGCCATCGAATTTCCGAGAATTCCGACGAAACAAAAAATCGGCAGAAGATGTTTGCTGTTTTGGCGCAGCCACAGAAAATAGCTCGACGTTTCGATTGTGCTGATCACCGATGACAGCGACATGAATGTCTCATCGTCGCTTTCGATTGACGACTCGTTCATCTGCAATTTCGGCGGTGTTGACAACACACAAAACACTATAATTGACGAGCAAAAAATTGTTTCGAGGAAGGAAGTGAATCGGCTAATTGTTTCCGAGAAATTTGAATGAAAAGATGCATCGAATCAAGGAAAAAAAATTTGTGCAAAAAAATTTGGAAAGAAAGAAATGAGGAAGGGAAATGAAGGCAATCGGCCGGCCTGGCGGCTAGTTTTTTTTTTGGGGCGAGGGTTAGCTTTTAAGATAAATTCTATCATTTTTAGATACATTCTAACATTTTAAGCTACATTTTAAAATCTTATGAGATTTTTCTAAAGTTTATTGAGACAAATCTAAAATATAATGGAAACACATTCAAAGTAACTGAATTGGCTACCATTCCAGCAAAAATGAAGGTAGGAACTAGAAAATTTGGGAAAATGGTAATTAAAACATGCTGAAAAATAAAAAAATAAAACTGGTCCATGAAAAAGGCGCCAGAATCTACCAGAAGACCTCAAACTTGTGTTTCCATAATTATGGGCCAAACTATTTGGAATTGTCTCTAAATACATATTTTTTTCAATTTTCCTGAGTTCGCAGATACCGAAAAACGTTGAAAACGAAAACGGCTGGGAATTGCCATGTACGGAAGTCCCGAATGCATTTATGACGAATAGCTGCGTAGGAGAAAAAAAACACGAGAAATCGTGTGGGCTCGACGCGTTTTTTTCGCGTTTGGGCCGTCGAAAATTTCATGCGTTTCATTTGAAAATCTTGATTCGAAATCTTTACGCATTCTTTTCCATTCTTTGTTTTTTTTTTGCTTTCAATATCGAAAACGATTCGGCTCATTGGATTTTTTGCGGGTCTTCGAGACGTCAGAAGACCTATTTTTCGTGGGTTTTTTTTTTGCTCCTCAATGTAATCCAAAAATTCGTGTGCCTCTTTTATATCGTTTCGGCCGGCGAAGCGTGATGTTTCGTTTTTTTTTCTCATTTTTATGCTCGAAAGGTCACGGGATCGAACCCGCCCCACACGCTCATCATTTTTTTGAGCCCACGCTAGAAACAAAAAAAAGTGGATTGTTGAACATCATAACCGTGAGATGAAATCGAATTCTTGTTCCAGTAGGGGGCACTTGACGAAAAAGAAAAATTGCAGCGCCGACGGGAAATTAATTTAATTATGGCCTAAAAGGACGACTGACGTGAACGTGCAAGCAAGAGGAGCTCCGAGGAGCACACAATGACAAATTAGAACAGATTACGGTAAGATATGTAGCATGAAACAAGAGAGGGGGGGAGAGAGAAGACGAGATTTGCGATGACATCTGGTGAAGCTCTCATTCAACAATTTTGAGCGACCTGTGTGTGTGCAAACGCGAACACCTGATGGCCCAAACAGCTTGAAATTGTCGTCGCGGGACCTTAAACATAACGTGGAGGAGGGGGGGGGATTTGTTGAGGAGAATGAGGTGAAATGAAATGAGTGAAAAAGAAGTGCGATGAAAAAAAAACGAAATAGGCGGATAATCGCCGAAGCGACAATTAAGCGCGATTTGAATAATTTAATAGGAAACGAATGCGAAACAAAAGGAGGCAAAAATACACAAGAAAGTGGGTGACAAAAATAAAACACATACGCGAAGAGGCACGCAAGCGACGAAAAAAAAAACTCTAGTAAAATGACAAAAGCGGATGAAAAAAAAATAGGAGAAGAATGGGTGAGGGAGAAAAAAGAAAAACGGAGGGGAAAATTATAAAAAGAGATGGATTCGATGGTCCGTTGACGATGGAGAAGATAAAGGGGAAGAAGAAGATTTTGGGTGCAGTTGTTGTTGAGTTGATTGGGCCAGTGACAATTGGTGTCTTTCAAATTGCAAAAATTTTTTCTCAAACATTTTTTTCCAGCGTTTAATTAAAAATTAGCTTGGAAATTGGCGCATTCTAGACTTGAAATAGGCGATTGCAGAATGCGCATTATTTGACGACAATTTGCACAATTAATCCGGATAAAGCTAATCTACAAAGTTTTTTTCGTCGTAGAAAAAAACCTAGTCGTGAAAAACAAGCGAATCAATCAAAATAAAACGCCGGCGGCACATTTTTGTCTTTTTTTAGCCGAACGACTTGACGAGTTGGAAGAAGGCGGGGGAAAAATAGTGAAAGGGATTTATTGAGAACAAAAATGGCGGGGAAAGAAACAAGTAATTGACATGTTCTCGTCAGAAAATCGTCTGGGGAATGGGTCCCAAAAGTCCGAAATTTCTCGGTACCCATTTATTTGATGGTTGTTTAAACTTGCAACATTCGCCGACTTCCGCCTCTTCGCCATTCAAGGGAAAACGGCACCTGATCGGAATGAGCGCGTGATAGCGCGCCTCTCTCGTGGGTTCGAGTCCCCGCGATGGGTTTCAGACTGACGTCAGTCAATCAATTGCGTCCCGTCTTCTGCTTCTCCTTCAATTTGCATCGATGTTTGGTCGGGATCGCTTCTACAAAAAAGAAACGAGAAACGAGAAAATAAATAAATAAACAAAAAACCAAATCTTGGTCGCCGAGGCCAAATGAGAGGATTGATGAGTCCCGCGGTGTTCGAAAACACCAGAAAACCTCGAAAGTGCATCGCGCCGAGGAAATAACACTTTCAGTAATTTATTAGTACTTTTTTTAAACGTCAAGTCACTGATTAAGCGCGACGCAAGCATAATGGAAGCATTGTGGGAAATCTGTGGAACGGAAGCATAATGCTTCCATATAGGAAGCATAATGTAATTCTTAGTGGCTGTGGAAGAATTATGGGACGAATATGGATGGAATGAAAACGGGATGAATATGCTTCCGGTGTTTGCGAGCCGTGGAACAAATATGGATGGAATATGGATAAAATAATCATATGTCAATAAACATTATACAATTGGCGTCTGGACGGCAGACCAAGACAATTTCTAGAAAAATCAATACAAAAAACTTATGCTATCATATAAACAATGAAAATTTGAAAATTACATGATACACAACGGACGAAATTTAGCTTCTACCATTTAATGACTTATGTTACTCAGATTTATGTTAATTCAGTCAACTGTTCCTCACTTTGTTTAAAGATTGCCAACTACAATTTAGTCGTATTAATATATTTTTGCCGGTTTTTCCGAAATTGGCATCGCAAACTACTCACAATTTGCTCCAAACTGGTAGCAGACGCGTGTAGAAGAGGTGTGCCGCAGCATTGCAAAACCGTGCGCCGCTTTGCACAATGCGGCCACGCCTCACATTTTCGAAATTCGTTTTCAAAATTTTTGTCCTTTTGCTTTTTCTCAATGAATTTTCAAGATTTTTTGTTTTTTTTTTTGTCAAAAATTAAAGAATTTTTTTCAAAATTAAAGGAAAAATGTTTTTAAAAAATAAAGGAAAAATTTTCATATTTATCATCAAAATCGAAACCAAAAATAAATTGATAGCATTCGAAAATTTTAAAATCGATACGATGTTTTCAAATCGTTTCCGACACTTTTAAAATCGAATTTAAATATTTTCTCAATCGAATTGTGTTTAATTTCTCATCGAATCCGTTTTATTTTTATTTACTTTAACATATTTTTTATTATCGCTCGCTTTTTTCTTTTAATAAAACATAATGTTTTGAAATTTTTTACAGATGAAGACAAGATCGAGAGTGTTGTCAGATATAACTGAAACTGCTCTAGAAGTCAATAACAAAGAACCAGAAGTCCCTAACATGGAACCAAATTCGCTCGACACTTCAGATCCAGATAGTCCAATTTACTCGCCAACTCAGCAAAAAAATTTTTCTCCACAGTCCTCACAAACAACAAAATCAACGCCAATTCCTAAACCTTCGTACGCCCAATTTGTAAGTTGTTATCATCAAAAATTGGCCTGTTCGACTCCAGAAATGGTTTCAATTAGAAAAATATGCGCAATGAAGTCTTTATAAAGTACTTCCTAAGTTTAAAGCTTGTTGATTATTTGGTTCCAATCAGGGCTGTGCGGCAATGGAATTGCCGATTGCCGAAATTGCCGGTTTTTCAAATTGCCGAAGAAAATTTCGATCGGTAATTTGCCATTAGCCGAATCGCCGAAATTTCCGATTGCCGTACAGCCTTCGTACCAATATCATTCAGTGGCATTTATCTTTTTAAGTGGGGCTCTAGTACAGAAGTCGCCAGACGCCGACTATATAAAGATCCTATACTTTATTGCAAATATCTATATTACAGATGCTCTTATCCATGGCTTTGGGCAACAACCGACAAATGACTTCAAAGCGAAAGCATTACGCATGGTTCGAGAAGTCATGGATAATCTTCTGTAAGATTTTGAACTATGACTATTAATTTATTTATTTGATTAAGCGATAGAATGCGCCAACGACTTCAAAGGAAATTTGGTGTAGCGCCGGAAGCGCTCGCGGCGCAATTAAGGAAGCTGCTTGATTCTACCAGCAACCCTCAGATGTGAGTATTCATATGTCTTTGAAATTTTAACCAAAATGCCTTTTTGCTTCAAATTTTGGAGTTGTTCTTTCTTCCGCCAATTCACTTTTTATTTTGTGCACTAAAGGGTTTCCAAAAATGCAATAAAAATAAATTATTTTTATTTTTAAGAAAATTATTGATGTAAAAAAACTGATTGTATTTTCTCGAAAAATTTAGTTTACGTAACAATGGTTTACAAGTTTTTCAAATTAATAGGCCCATTATAATCTACTTATTACAGCGTCCCGCTCGATGTCAGTACTGACAATGATTCGAATAGTTCGGCAGTTGCCAGTAACTAATGGTTTGATTATATCTTAATTGAAATTCATTTCATTGTTGTTTTTTTTTATTTTAAATTAAATAAATGTGTTAATATGAAATAAATTTTGAATACAGCAATCAAATTGTTTTCTTATTTTCCCATATGGAAGGCATACGGCTCATTCCATATACGAAACACGCGGTTCCGCAAAAAAATGCTTCCATTATGCTTCCATATAACTTGCATATAAGATTCCTATGATATCCACAGCCGTTCCACTATGCTTCCATTGTGCCTATGCCGCCGTTTATCTGTGGTGACTCGTTAGACGATTGAGAAATAATATTTTTGCGTTCAAAAGTGCTTTAAAATGAATTCGAAGCTGATTCGGTAAAAATGAAGATAAATTGGTGCAATTTTGCGTCAAATATTGTGTTTTCTTCACGGCGCTTTCTTTTTCAAGTTTGTTTTTGACAACCAACTCTCTGCAACTCAACAAATCCAATTATTTTGCGACGATCAAACTTGAGAAAAAAAATCGACGACGAACACCCAAACGGCCCACGCATTTCGAATTCGGAATATTTGGCGAATCGAACAAGCATGTAAGAAAGGCAACATTTCTTTTTTTTTTCGACAGAAAAAAAGAAAAGATGCGCGCGGTGCGAAAAAATGAGGATTATTGAATCAGCCGGAATGTTTGTGTGCCGCGCGTGCGAATTTATGTGTTGAAAGGGACCATAAAGGGTCAAAATGAAGATAAACATGGCAGCAACGAGGAAATGAGTTTCAAAAAAAACGCGAGTCTTCCATTTCGCTTCTTTTTTTGTAGAAATTGGATTCGGTGAAGACCCAAAAATGGAATCCCAACATTTCCTTTTGATTTCCTTCAATCTATAAAAATCCGAATTTTATAAATAGAAAAAAGAATAAATTTTTCAAAATGTGATTTACACAAAAGTATTTTAAACTCCGAACTTCCCAGGATCTTTTTTTTTAGATTTCATCATTAAAGCGAATTTATGGGTCCAATTGACTTAGGTAGATTTACGGCCATGCGCCTTGAAATAATTTATCGATATCGGTAGAGAAATTGGTTTTCTCGATTCTTTTTCACTTTTTACAAAATTCTTTTCGTTTCGAGACGCCGATTAAAAGAAATGAAAAAAAATAATGAATCGCAAATTTTCAAATCTGGATTTCAAAAAAAAATGTTGTAAAAAACTAATGGTCATACAATTTATGAAATTTTCGCGCCAGGACCCAAAACAATGTCAATTAAAATAATCAGAGTTTTATTATATCTAGGACTTTGTTATTTATAAATAATACATTCTAATATCCATTTAAAGATATATAAGAAGATTTTCCGCTTAGGAATCTTCAGAAAACAAATCGAAGATGAAGCCACGCCCACTTTCGCTGCACAATATTGTTGTTGTTGTTTTTTTTCAATCTAGATTGCACTTTTTGTTGGATATATACATATAAATGAATTGTTGACTGAGTGGAATATCGAATTTTCAACCAAAAAATGCATTGTTTGAATGAACTTATCAAGAAAAAATATGAAAAAACGGATATGGGAGTGTTCGAAAAAAATTTAAAAAAAAACGTATAGTCGGCGTCCGGCGACTGCTGTACGCGGGTAGATTTACGCGCATGCGCTTTGAAAAGGTCTCGCCACGCGTGAATGCTTATTTTGCTGTTTTTATGTGAACTGCTTCACTTTTTTGATTTTTCCTTGAATTTTCAACGTCGTTCGATTTAAAAATTATCGAATCGGTCCATAAAATTTGAAATAACCTGTTAGTCGGTGCGAGACCATTTCGAAAGACGCAAGCGCGTAAATCTACCCGCATGCAGCAGTCGCCGGACGCCGACTATAAAAATGTTCCAAAAATGTCGCACACGTGAAATGTCCGTAAATCGGACACATGCGATCAAATTTCAAAACCAAGTTCGCCGACCGCGCGTTTACATCATTTCCATATTCGGAGAATCTCGTGTTCGGAATCGAAACAATAGCATAGCAACGAAGGGTTTCGCGGGCGAAATGTTGGAAGACAGAAAAAAAAAACGGAGAGACGATTATATCGGGTGTTTTTAACATTTTTTCGAAAAGGTATGTGATGTGAGACTAATAAGCAGGTTCGAAATATAACTACAAACAAGCACATTTGTTGTTGAGTGCTGAAGAAGGAAATATTTTTGAGGGGAATAATCGGTTGGATTCGATGATGCTAGAGGGGATAAGCTTCATCAAATACCTATATTGGCTAAATGTCAAAAAAAAAAAAAACACTGGCAGTGGTCTTGTCGTAAAAGTGAAAGTGTAAATTTACGAGCCTAGCGCACACCACGCACCGAGACCTTTTTGACATTTTGTCAATTGTCCAAATTCTTTATGGATGATTTACTAATTTTACTAAATTGTGCTGCTTCCCAAAAAAAGCGACTACCGTAATTTTTCCATGTCGCCAGACGCGTTGCGGTTCGCGTGCGCCTCCGTCTATTTTTGTTTCAAATTCTTTTGAGCTATTGTCGGAGGCAAAAAAAAATTTAAAAAATTATTGGCAATGTGCCAATGCGTCTCGAGGCAGCGAGAAGTACGCGAGACTGCGTACATTGCATTATAGCGTACGCGCATTTAATATTCAGTCAACGATTAATTTAAATCTACACTGATTTCCCGAATTTGAAGGACCCGCCTCCCTTTAGTTGTCTGACGTCGACAATATCTTGAAGCGAAAACATCTTGGAGTGGTTTATTTTTTGGAAAACCAAAATAAATTGTCACATAAAAATTCAGTTAACATCATGGTTCTATGCAGATTTTGGGAAGAAAACTCGAAAAACAAAAAAAAACCCAGTTTTTTGAGCAATCCATTTTAAGATTTTTTAAAAATAGCTTTTCAATCACGATTTTGGAGTTTTTCGAGAATATCTTCATTACATTTACATTGTCGAATGAAAGCAAGCGGGGCCTTCAAGGAAATCAGCGTCCATTTAAATTAATCGTTGACTGAATATTAAATGCGCGTACACTATAATGCAATGTACGCAATATAGCGTAGTTCTCGCTGCCTCGAGACGCATTGGCACCAGGGCTGTGCGGCAATGGAATTGCCGGATTGCCGAAATTTTGATTTTCGGCAATTTGATATCAAAAAAAATCGGCGAAACAAAAATCAAGGTCCATTGAATAATTTGGGATACCGTGAAAATTCGGTATTTATATTTCGAATTATCGTTGAAAACATTTAATAGCCGAAATTTTGATTTTCGGCAATTTGCCGAATTGCCGAAATTTCCGATTGTCGCACAGCCCTGATTGGCACACAGCCAATCATTTTTTTCAAATTTCGTCGAGTCGTTTGACCGTCAAAAATCCACAAATCTTCGTAAATCTACATTGATTTCGCGAAGTTATTTGAAATCGACTAAAAATTGCTTATTTTCAATTTTTGCGTATTCTTTTTACTTTTTTTTGTCATTACAATTTGTTTCTGCGCAAAACTTTAATACTTTATACGTTTTTTTTTCCTTGATTTTTGAGAAATGTCACATATTGAAAAGGCGCACAGAACACTCAAAATTCAAATAATCAGCAACAACTTCTAGTTTTCTACAATTTCAGAATTTTTTTCCCGCTACGACCATGTTTCGCAAAAAAAAGGCAGATGTATTGTATTTTTTAGAAAAAAAAAACTAATCGAAAAAGATGGGCGCGGAGTTTTTTGGAAACGAAAAAAAAGAAGTTGGGCGATGTCAAGCGAGAATGTTTTTTGTACCCTTTCGCCCACAACAAATTAAATACGTTGGTGGGGACCATTCGAACCGCAAATTGACAAATAAAAGTGGCCCCGAGACAAATATTCAATCAACAACAACAACAACAACAACGAATAAATTTGTTGGAATGCAATTGGCAGCCGATATTTTTCATTCATAAATGATTATTTATTGTTCTTTGAGACCATATGAGCCGAAAAACGAAAATGCGCAAATTCTCGCTGAAATTAATTGCTAATTTATGGTATTTTTATGCGATTTTCAGTCCTGCAAACAATTTTTTGCACGCATTTCTCATTTGAACCAAATTTCAATGAAATAAATATCATGTCATTTCGTTTAGCTTCTAATTCCGATTAATTTTAAATTTCAGATGCCGAATCAATTAATTCAGTGGTATGCGTCTTTAAGTTTAGTATCATATTGAATTTTACGGCTTAATTTCTTTTTTTAATCAACTGAGAACCCTCATTTCAAGATAAAGAATCATATTCAACGCGAGCATGACCAAGTTTAAAGGCGCATAAAAAATCAAACTATTTAAAAATATTGTGTTCGCATCACATTTTGTTTGCAAAACATTTATTTTAAATGATGATATTCCGAGGCGAAAACCGTAATCTCCTACACAAAACCTAATAGCCCTAAAAAAGAAATCGTATACAACAACAAACAACAATAGTAATTAAAGTAGTGGGTGTCAAAATAAACATGGGGATAAGAAAAATATGTATAAATATAAATATATAATAGAAGATAGAAATAATTTAGACAGCAGCTTCTGCGATTCTTTTTTTTTAGAAAGTTGGTGGGCCTTTGGTTGGTTCAGGGAAATCTTCGATCAAAATAGGAAAACTAATTTATTTTGTTAGAAAGGAAAAGGTGCAAAAGAAAATGATAAAACATTTTTGCGTCTAATTCCAAATTTTGTTTCAAAAACTACGAATTTTGGCCTCGAATAGCTCATTTTTATTCAATTTATACTACTCACATCGAAAAATTTGAAGGGCAATCGAAAATGAAGACATTTTTGTATGTGTGGGACGAAGAAAAAATGGAGGCGGGGTTTCAAGATTGGTGTGAACAAAAAGGAGATAAAGATGGCGGACAACAAAAATAATATGAGAAGAAAAACCAAAAACCGGATGAGTTGAATTTTCGAAAACCAGTTTTAGAAAACGGTAGAGAGAAATGGGGGGATAGAGGGGAGCATGGAAATACCGGAGTATCAACGAATAATTAATGAGGAAAAAGTGCAAAAAAAATTTAGAGAGACCACGAAAATCGTTGAATAATAACAAAAAAATAAAGAGAGCATGTTACTCGTAGGATTTCCAAAACTGTCGAAAGAAAAGTTTACAATTTCAACAATAAAAAATAATGATGTGAATTTTGAGTTTAAAGTTAACTGTTAAAGTTGAATCCTACGGATTTAATTTTATCGACGTGCTGAAACAATTTTCAATATAGCAATATTCAGAAGCGGAGTGGATATCATGCTTCTACATTCGTAAATTTCATCATTTATTATTACTCCAGATTACAGGAGTTTTTTTTTCAAAATTCTCGGGTTTAACGCAGAAGTTTCCAAATCGACAATGATTCAAGTTTCGAATGAAAAAGCGGGATATTGACTTTGAAATACAATTACCTTCTTCATTTCTTTTGATGCCCAAATTGCCATTGAACGACATTTCTGCAACTTCGACTTTCTAGCCTTGTTAAGCATGCTATGCACCTGCAACCATGATTTCAAATTGTGCTTCAAACAGTTACTACGTACCACATCCGTGTTGAAAATATGAACAACGTCAGATTCGTATAATCCAAGCAAGTCGCCAATAACTCCAGCAGTCGTGGCCATAAGTAAGTCCGATGGTGGCACTGGCTCCATACAGCAACTGGCCAACACGAGATCAATAAGCGGTTGCACAAATCGAGAAATCGAATTTCGAGATTCTTGCACCTGGAAAATAAAACATAATAAATTTTGATCGGAATTATCGACATTTACATCGTCAACTCGGAATCCTTGGAAGATTCCAGTGTATGAATTGAGGCATGCTTCTCGCAGACGATCGACATATTCGACATTATCAATATCGTTCTAAAAATGAAATGTCGGGTTGCTTTAATAAGATGGAAATAACTGACCACATCAGTAACAACGGCTGCGCTTTGAGCATCAGTCAAAATCTTAATCACCGGTTCCAAATACCTCTCGAAAGCTTTTCCAATTGCCATCGCAATATCAGAAAATGTTCCAATAATTACTACTTTCACGTTAGGGTCGAGTTTTGGTGCCTTTATAAAGATTCAATTCAAGATATAAGTCCAAAAAGTTATACCTGTAGACATTTTATGAGAATTTCGACTATTTCATCCAAATATGGAGCAATTTCGTTTTCAAGCGCTCTGCTCAAGTCTGTTACAGCTCCAACAGCCGCAGCGCAAACCTAGTTAACGATTTAACATTAAAATACTCGAGTACTATCATACCTGCGGTTCTTCAACATTGCTCAACCCTTGAATTAAATATGGTTTAAGAACTGGCATGTAACGTGAAAAGTTTTTTCCTAGATCTATAAATTTTTTGTATAAATTTACGTACAAAAAAATCAACTATTACATTCCGCCAAGCAAGCGGCAGATAATAAAGCTTCTTCCATAACAACGTTGCTCTTAGAAATAGCAGCTCGAGCCATAATTTGCAAAATTCCACCCATAATGTGCTCGCCAACTGCGATAATATCACATGGTTGTAACTTTCTCGTCACTGATTGAAGTGTCGCGCAAAGCATAGCTTGTAAATCACGAACTTGAGCACGATCAGCCTCACTAGTTGCTTGTTCCTCCATTTGTAACAACGACTCAAGTTTCTACAGAAATTATTGCTGATATCAGAAAAAAAAAATAAACTGAAACCTTGAGAATGATAACGGTCGTGTTTCTCACAGATGCATAGCAATCCTTGGGTGAATGTTTGATCAACTCCATAAGAGCCTCATAAGCAGTAATTCGAAGGTTTGATTGGTTTCCGTCAGCTCTATATTTCAATAAGATGAATATATATTAGTCAAAACCAACCTATCAGTGATTTTAAGTAATTCGCTGATCATATTTTCATAGACTGACGAGAGTGCAAAACAATCTGGTTGGCCACTTGAGTCTGTCCCATTCGCAACGGCACTATCATAGCAAGCCTTAACGAGTGAAACAAGTGCCCAGCAGACATTGTTAGCAACTCTTGGCTCCTGATGAAGACCATTAGAAAGTGCTGGCAACACGGTTTGAAGAAGGCCGGGATTATTCGCCAATTCGGAGCAAGTGTCGATTACTCGTCCCAACGCCCACGCTGCTGTATCACGAACATTCACCTTAAATTATTCAATATACACAAAACTTACGAACAAAAAACATACATTCTTGTCACTCATGGATGCAATGATTTCAGGAAGAGCTTGCTCGGCCATTGGCATTAACTTTCTAGGGTCCGGACCATCCAAAATTGAACCAAATGCCATGATAGCCGCTTCCTAATAAATAATTCGATTGAAATTCAATAATTCATTAACACTAATCACCTTGAACTTCCAGTCAGGGTTTTGGAAGTTTTTGAAGAACGGCACCACAATATTGACAATGTTGTCCCCGATGCATTGCGCGGTAAGCATAAGACATACTCCGGCAGCTTTAGATGGTGTCCAATCATCCTCATCATCGCCATCATCATGTCGGGCCATGGTTTCTAATAAAATTGGACAAATATGCGGAGCAGCTTGTTCGGTGAAACGAAGTGATTTGCAAGCTGCACCCGGAACTTCCCGTTCAACTTGCTGAAAATTTGAATATATTCAATTAACCTTAATTTTATTAATTACCTCGGTGTACTCAAGGTTCAATTCGAATTCTTCTTCTGCAATAGTTGACCAGAACTCCATTCCTTGCATCGCAACATCAGCCTCCTCTGATTTCATAGCACTCAACGAAATCTTAAGTTATAACTTTGTTATTAATGAAACTAATTGAATTTTCTGTACCTGGAATAGAGCTGATCCCATATACGTACCCATAAAATCGTAATACAGTTGCATAATTCGCACAAGGCATTGTAGCGAAGCTACGCGGACCCGTTGATCAGCACAAGTTGTCGATTCGCATATAACTTGCATTATTATGTTTCTCTCCGGCTCATTAGCAAAATTCTGATGGGTGAATTCCAGTGAGTTTAGCAGGGCGTTTGTGGCTGCAAGCCGAACATTCACTGAGGTCTCTTCTTTCCTCATTCCGTGAACAATCGCCGTCAGGATATCGTTCGATCGATTCTCGAGAACTTTTGGATCAATATCTTGGCAAATGTATCCAAGAGTCTCCAGTGAGGATTCCATCAACATTTCACTACTGGCTGCATTTGTGACATTGTCCATAAGCAAATTGATAACTTTCGGCCAAAGGTTAGAAGGAAGTTCAGCACATGCAATTGCAGCAACACATTGAGCAGCGATGGAAGGTCTTGAGGGCTCTGTACCGAGAGTTCCAGCAACATTCTCCTTGACTTTTTCTCGAACATCAACAGCAAGTTGGAGCCATCTAAAAATTAAAAAAATATTACGTTTTGAAAAAAAAACGAACCGTTGAAGATATATTTCACTTGTGTTGATATCCTTGGAGTATAAAACGTTTTTAAGCTGCAACCCCGCTGCTTGTCGCACATAGGATTGGCATTGTTGCGCTCGCAGAATAATACTAAGACACTGGACAAAAACTGGAAAATCCTGCTGACAGGCTGCGGTAATGTACTCCATAGCTTGTTTCTGGTCATTAGGATCTTAAAAAATATTTGTTTTTGAAATAGAAAAGAAAAACAAACTTTGCGAGACTGTCTTTTCTAAGACAGCAAGCATCTGCTGCGCTGCTTGTTCAGTTGATACTGACATGATTGCTGAAGACTAACACGTGGTAAGTAATCTTCAGAATCGATTTCCCGACTGAAAAAAAATAATTCGAAATCGATAAACAACTGAAAAAAAATATTAAATTACGAAAACGAATATTTTAATAATAGGACGGTTAAAAAAAAAACAAAGAAATTTCGTAACGACGAAACGCAGAAAATAAAACAAATTATCGATTTATCCATTTGACATAAGAAAACGTTTTAAAATTTTCAAATTTTAGCGCGCAATTCGAAAAAAAAGTTTAGAAAAATTTTGAAATTTGTAGGCGGGGCTTAGATTAAAGGCGCATAGATATCATCACGGGCATCGTGACAGGACACAGGAATTTGAATTATTGGCTATCAGCCATATGTCGCAATAGGGCGCATTTGTCCACAACAGGCAGAAATTTATTTCCTTTTTCTATAGAGTGGATGTTTGGTTACTTTTCTTCGAAGAAAATTTATAATAAAATATACGAATTACTATGAAATATTTCAGTGATGGCCACTGGACCACGGAAGGGGGCTTTGGTGGCCATAGGACTTGGGCAATTTGGCCTAAGCGTTCTGCAGGTAAATAAAATCATGAAACACGTACAATAAATATATTTGCCAAATTTAGACCATGTTCATGTTCTATTATGTAAAAGTGTTCCTCAACAAATTCCATGTTCAAACTTGGTGGTTTAACCTAGCTCAAACATTGTTCATGATCTGGAATGCGATCAACGACCCATTATTTGGCTATTTGCAGGTTTCGAGTTTTTAAAAATTCTAAAAATCGTTTTAAAATGTTAAGGAAGTTCCTGGAACTTGGCTAAACAATCGTCAGAAAGTAATTCGCTTATTTTCACCATTTATAGTGGGTTCTTTCATTTTTATGTGGTTTCCTTGGAATACATCTGGAAGCGATTCTGAAGGAATTCATCTAATACTTTCACTTTTTTTCTACGACGCATTTTTTAGGTAAAAAAATTCAATTAAGATTAGATTATACTAAAATTGATGTTTTTTTCAGTGCAATCGGTGTTGCTTGGGGAGCGCTTTTTGCTGATACGACAGCTGATCAGCCACAATTGCGAGTAAAAGCTATGAAATATTCGCAAATTGCGATATTATTATCTGTTAATTGTATTGCAATTACGGAAAAGACAAGTCACAGCTTACAGGTAGCATTTTTAATCCTCCAGTTATAAATTTTGAAAGTTTATTTAAGTTTTCAGAACTTTACTAATTTCCAAATTGTGATTTGCTTAATCTCGCTTATTTCTTTCTTTTGTCTGTGGACTGCAGGAGGAATTGAAGCAAGAAATCAATGGTATATAGCAGTAAAACAGTACTCATAATTTATTTTGTCGATATTTTTCAGTAATAAGGATGATTCAGAAGAAAACGATGATTTAAACGAGCTGATCGATGATAATCGAAAAAAACCACTGTAGTTCTTTTATTAAATTTCAATGTTTGATAAAGCAACATTTCAGAACGTTTTCACAAAATCTGAAATATGCCATTGAAACTACAAAACAAGTAGTATATGAAAAAAGCTTCTTAGCGATTATCCTAACAAATTTCCTTCAAACTTCAAGGTTTAAACTAATAATTCAATCAAAAACTATAATTTTCCTTTTAGAAGTATAGCGCATATGAATTTTGCTTCAATTGCCACAGAGCTCATAATCCCACAGGATATTCTGCCCAGTGGTTCGTTCCGTTTGAGTATCTTCTTCGCAGTTTTAACATTGGGACCTCAAGTAATAATTATATTCAAGCAAATGAGAATGAATGATTTCTAGCTAATTCTAATTTTCAACGAGAAGGCAATTAATAAGGCAGGATCATTCAAAGTTCTCCAATTTAGCTATATCATTTCATTCTTCTCCGGATTCCTATTAGTTTTCTCTTCAAGTCCTTACTTGAACATGATATTCATGATAATTGACAGGTAATTAGAAAACAAGAAACCCAATAATTGCTAAACTTATTCAGTATCACGGTCCACACAATTGCACCAATGTTTAATATAATAATTTCCGATTTCGTTGATGAAGATGCTCGGAAGAATAACAGAGGGTAGGATAAATAGTAATTTTCTTAATTAATTTTTCATTTTCAGATCCGGAATTCCTTCAATTATCTTCAGTTTGAACGCATTATTCATCAAACCGGCCCAATCTCTGGCGCCAGTTTTGATAGTTCATATTCTCAATGGTTCTGGCTATCAGGTAATTTATTGAATAAACAGTACCGCTATCGATGTTTGATCTCGATTGGCATTGCTGATAGAAACAATACAACTATGGTGGTATTTTAGGAGTACGTCAAATCGAAAATCGCGACTCCGGAGCTTCGCAACACCATGTTGTACATTCTGTACTTGACTCCATTGCTTCTTGGATCCACTCAGTATATAGTGATGAAGCAACTGTACAAAATTCGAGCTTACAAGCGTCTAGACGCCCAGAATGTTTAGCGATGTTCCCCTCGTGTAAATAATTGTAGTCATATCACCATTCTTTGCTCTATACGGGTTGACCTCCACGTGATTCGCACATATTTTTGTGCACTAATAAAATATTCCCTAATTGTTGTTTAAATCCTTGGTCAAATGTGTTGTCACTGGTAGTTTTCGCGTGTACCTCTAAATATTGTGCTCTGTACTCGTTTGACGAGAAAACGACCTTGAAGATGTTGATTGCGGCAATAATTTTGACGGATGCGATGAAGCCAATTGTGCCATGCGCACTTCTCTCGTGCTCAATGGTCCCATTTGCGACGTGCTCGATGGCGATCGGCGCTATTTCATGGGTGGTCCCTTCAAAAGTTTCCCAGGTGCAAATAGAAAAATGGCGTTTTGTAATGAAAAATTGTTGATACAATTCAGAAGAGATGCGCGAAAAATAAAGAAAAAATTTTTTTCCCGAACATTTTGAAAATGCGCATCGTTTTTTTATAAATCCTTTTTATAGTTGGCGATTTACGACACGGTCTTATTTTCTAAATCTCAAAACTACTACGGTAACTCATAGAGTTCTAACAACGAAACAGTCAAAAATAAGTGATTTTGCGTTTTTTTTCGATTTATCTCAAAATTTTGACTCGATACTTTCAAAAAAAAAATTGATTTTTTTCCATAAAAATGTACTTTGATGAAAATTGGAAGACGAAAAATACATAGCCAATGGTTTCCTAGTTTTATTAAAAAACAAGAATAGTATAAAGACAATAATAATCTGAAAATTGTTCTCCAATATAATTTTTTTTGCTAAAGTTTTGAATTGCGCGGGAGATTGCAATCATATTTGTAAAGGTATCTTCTAATTGGTATCTTTTCTTGGAAAAACTTTAATAGCAACCAATTTTTCAATTTAGAAGCTCGATAATGCTCTTTACCGCTCTTATATGCGACTCTGTTTATTCGTGTTTGAAAATTTGTCCGGAGTGCAGGTACTTTAGAAAAACCAAATGAAACATTTACTCTGAAAAATTCAAGATTTATCTGCATGGCCCGAAAATTGAGGAAATCGTCAACCGCGAAAAAGATTCTGAGAATACGATCGTCATCTCGAATCATCAATCAAATGGTGAACGACTCGATTAGAGCAAACGAAAATGTACAAAAATGGTTGCAGTTGATTGGATTGTTCCCGTGATGCTCGGAATCCGGCATGGAAAAGAGAGCAGCGAGCAAGCTTTTCGAGTAATGGTCAAATACTCCATCCATTTCGTTCCATTGTTCGGATGGTATATTTTTCAGGTGAAATGCGCATTTAGAAAAAAACAACCAATTGTTACTTTGTTTGCAGCATGGTTATATTTATGTGCGGAGATTTGGAAGCTTTATTGGTGAGCCGGTGCTGAGACAACTCAGATGGCTCGAGAATTCGATTCCACCCTATTGGCTTCTGATATTTCCTGAAGGTTTTCAGGCGTTGAATTTTAAAATTAGCATAATTATGTTTTAGGTACCAGATACTCAAGTAAAAAGGAGAAATTGATAAAAAGCAGCAACGAGTTCCTTCATAACGCGGTATTCTCACTGCCCGAGTGGTCCCTCATCTCGTGTGTTTTTTATTCCATCCGTTTTAGGGCCGTCGTCCGATGCGCAACACGCTTTGCCCGCGCAGTGGCGGATTACAGTTGGCACTTGACAATTTGCGAACACTTGACGCCGTTTACGATTTGACGATTGTATACGGGCAGACGGCGTACGCTAGAACATGTGTAGATCACGAATATTCAAATTTTTGCAATTTGAAGGCAACAAGGGCGGAGGGGATTGGCACCGGGCATGTTCGAGTTCTGCTGCGGCTCAGCGCAATTCAAACAGCTTCACATTCATTTGAATCGATTTGCGAAAGAGCAAGTGCCGATTGAGAAGATCGCTCTTCGCAATTGGCTAATTGACCGATTCGAGGAGAAGGAGAAGTAGTAGCGAATGAATTGAACGCGTTGAAATTTGATTCATCATCCTATTCAGAGTCTTGGAAGAATTCTATACGACCGACGGAGCTGCTGCATCTCCAGGGATACCAGTTGAGTGCGTCTCGATTCGCGACACCCTTCCGTCGACGCTGTTCTTCTGTTCCGCACTAATTGCGCCATTCTTCTCGACGACCGTCAAATCGGTGTACCTCTACACACTGGCGTCGTCGCCGTTGCTCATCGCATGGCTGCACATTCGCAAATGCGCCTGAATACTAATTGTCTATAGGCACTAATCATATATTAATCATTAGGGTTCAATTTATTAGCTGGCCAACAATTGTTGTTGTTATTTAGAAGGTCCGAACATCGAGTTGAGTTGTCGAGGATCTGTTTGCTCGGCGCATCCATTCCATCGCGTGTGTTCTCTTAGTTAGAGCAATCTTTTAATTACGTAACTCGGCAGACATCGAATAATTAGGCACGCGATAACTTGGCACGTTTAAATAGTTGTCAAATATTGGCATTTGCGCAAATTTCATTTTTTTTCGTTGAGAAAGAAGTTCTTTTTGCTTCTTAGAAGGAAATCATTGCATGATTTGAGTCATGCGAGTTTTTTCTTTTTTAAGAGTCCCAATTGGGTCCAATTTTCTAAAAATTTGAATTTGTCGCCATAACTTAATTTTAGAAAACTCATTCGCTCCTAAACTTTAATTTTCCATATGAGACCCAACTTGAAATATGGTTTCCAGTGATGCGAAATTTCAACATAACTCGAACGTTTCAAATATGTCGCTACCGACAACGACCAGGAACGCCATATGCTTCTTTTGGCACGACACTTGTCATGTGTCCTCATATGGCGTTTTTCGTCAATGTCGTTAGATTCAGGTTACCAATACTTCCCAGTCGCAAAGATTTTCCTCTTTCCTAATCAGCCGTCGACCTCGATTAAGTCGCATTGTTTGGACCCTCCCGACTAATAATAACAATTGCGTTTAGTTTGTCGGGATTAGTCAATATATTTGCCACTACTAGTGAAACCGAATACCGCCCGTTTTGGGTTATCCGGTCCGTTGGTTTTAAACCAAATAAATAGCGAAATTGTCGAGTCTTCGAGAATCGCCGGCTTAGTTTAAGTGTCTTTGTTCTCAAAAGAAATCGAAAAAAGAATTGTTGAATTATTATTACTATTTTTTGTTATTGTTATAAACAAATTCTGTGATCAATTTGGTGCATTTGCAAAAGAAAGAATATTTGGAAGTCGGCGGCGAAGGAATTGAATTGAATTGTGGGGGAATACACGTAACAACGCCTTCGGCGCCGTCGTCTTCTTTCCCATTTCTTGAATTGAGTCGACTTGGAATGCTATAGACATTGACAACACACTGCAAACCGAAGAGGAAGAGAAAGAGTGGTGCTGACCGAGAGAGCGCAGAGACGACCGGAGCGGTCGACGGACGCTCGTGCTCCTCCTGCCGACGCTGCTAGTGCTGACCACGATGACCCGTACCACAACAATTTGTTGGATGTTGAGTCGGCGGGTTTTTTTATTGTATCATTTGTCATTCGTTATTTGTCAGGCCTCACTTTTGCACTTTGAATAGCAGTTTTTACTTTTTAATGAGGTTTTTCGCGCTGCTAAAAACTAATAATAAACGCATACACTGTTTTCTTTAATGTTTACCAGTTTTTCTCCTTGAATTCTTCTTCGGTTTTTTAGCCAAAAGATACTACACAATTTTTTTTTTCATTTTCTTATTGCTCCAATATACTTGAAAATGCATTCCGTTGAGCCAATTTTTCATGAACGCCGCCATTCATTTTTTTTAGAAGACACGACACCTGTTTTCTCAACAATATTTCAAACTTCAAGGTTTTCGTGTCAAAAGAAGAAGAAGAATTGGTACAAAATCTCTGCTGTTCAAACTTTTTTTGTTGTTTATAACTGAAAAGGTCGAATTTCGGATCGCATTGCCTATGCACCTGTTTGCGGTTGTTAACGTTTCGGCATGTGTGAATGTGACTCATACACAGTGATGGTTCCCTCAGGTGGCGAATCGAAACCTCGCCCGCAAAAAGTTGTTCCGTATCAGTTTTCGTTGTTTTCGCTGCCACCTTCCTTCCCATTTTAGTTTTTCTCTTGATTAAAACTTCATGTCGGCGTCGTATTGATTGAACGCTGGAAATTACTGTATTTATTTATTTGTTTACTTGAAATAATTTGAACTCATAACCGGTTTTCCGTCTCACAAGACAGATGAAGAGATTAGATCGTTTTGACAAATTAATTAATAGAAACTGTGTACTTAGGAATTGGTTGATGTTAAATACTATATTCGAATGTTGTTTACTGTTTATTACCAATTCCATAGAATTAGGTTATGAACGACATAATTAACTCAAGTTTAATATATTAGGCCTTCCGCTTAGATGAAAACATTTGAAGGAAAATGAGAAAAATCCGAAAATAAATAAATTGTCTGCAAACACAACAACAGTATGATGCACACCATGCATTATATCAGACGCCTATTTATTTCGTTTCCCTTATTAATGCTCCAAGCACATTTCTCGTATTCTTTACTCGAATTTCGCAATTTCCCCATTCTTGCACCGAAAATAACACATTAATCTACTTTTTTTTCTGCGACTCATGTTGTAATAACAAGAAACCGTCGTAAATTATTGCCAGTTGATTTGATGGCCTGGGAAAAAAAAAAGAGAAGAAGAACTTTTTTTTTGGGACGAATCCACGCAAAGTGCCAATTAAACCCAAGTTTGCCGCTGCAGAAAAACCGAGATAAATCAATTCGGGCAAAGTTTTGAAACAAGAAGCCTAGTGTGGAGAGATGAAGCTTTCACATTCGTCATTTGTTCATTTTTTTTCTTCATCTTTCCACCAAAGGGTTCTTCGCCCTTCATGCTATGTATGTGTGTTCCTTCGGTTTGAATGCGCCTCTCCTCAACGACTTGCCTCGTTTTTTTTTTCTCCTGTACGTAATGATTTATTCGCATTCGAATGTCCTCTATCGATCAGTATAATAGCGAGAAGAGCAGTTTACCCGTTGGTGGAGGTGGCGTTTCCCTCGGCAGTCCGTCGCGTTTTTCTTTGCAACCAACACGAACCGCGTTGCCCGTGAGAACCTGCCGATGCAGATTTTTGCACAAACGTTTTTCAAGAATTTTGGTGTCGTTTTTTTTTCTTGAAAGCTCGAGAGTAAAGCGAGAGTTTTCTTATCGTTGACATTCATCAAGTTCTCCAATTTCGCGTTTTTCCCATTTTTTTGCGACTTGCCGGCTGTGCATCATCATCAACGCTGACAATGCGTTTCTTCTCACCACATTTTTGACATAAATGGAACGAGGGCCCGCATTTTCCAAGGTCGTGAAGTTGAGGTGCACGCCGTCACATACCGGTTACAATATAATATATTCTCCAATTTGATTATCCTTGACATTAGCTAGTGGTGAACCACAACTCTCATCATTTTGCCGAATCATTCGAATCGAAAATTTTTGCGAATAAAATTGGAGATACTTGAAAATTGAATGCGTTTGTAGATTATAGTTTTATTGCACACTGCACTTCGACTGGGGGGTTTCTTTGAGTGTTCGTGAGCAGCTGGGAAACATCGTTGTTTCACGCGAGCATTTCCTTTGAGTATTTGATTCCGCGTTGGTCTTCATTTTATATATATTTTTTCGATTTTGAGAAAAATGAAAAATTAGGCGTGAAGTGCGATTTTTATTTCAACTTTGTCTATTTTCCACACACATTCCAGAGTTTTTTTTGTCATTATTACACTCATTTAATTCTCTAATTGCTCAAGACAGGTGAAATTCGCTCGTTTTCAAATGCAATGCAAATAAATTCGTGTTTGAATTTTAGAATTTGAATTTCAAATACGATATCGTTTCTGTTAATCAAGTAATCATTTTTTAATACTAAATTAGAATTTTCCCTGTAATTTTCGTTTTTTTCCGGTTTCAATTATATTCAAACGTTTTTTAACGGTCTTTTTGTTGCATAATCGGTTTACGAAAATAAACACTCACATGTGGTGAGACCTATACATTAGTCGCCGCCCGCCAACTATGCCGTATTTAAAGGAGCATTGATATTTTACCTTGAATCTGCCTCACTTTGATGAAACGATTGACCACGCCCATTGATTTTCTCTCGCACCTGCGGCTGATCAAAAACCATTTTGACGAATTTTCTTTTTTGAAACAAATGTCTCGAAGCGTGAGAACGTGCGCGCAATTTGGCGGTATTAATTCGTCGAGCGACTTGCCAGTGTTGTTCCGATTGTTCCGATTACCTGCGTCAACCGCGGTATTGCCCGGAACACCTTTCACTTTGTATTTTTGTTTGTTTGCTTCTGTTTGGCGGCATGCCCCCCCCCCTCTCAACTATTTACTTTAATTGCGACGCCTCTTCGTTTTTTGCCCTCAACCAACCAGGTTTCATTTATTTTTTTTTTCGTTCGATCGCCGCCGCTCGTGCCAAAATTGTCGAAGTTGTTGAATGGACTGTGTGTGCGCGTCGTCTTTTGTCTTACACAACCAATCTCCTCGTCATGTATACAACAATGTGATGGTGTTTATTCAGCACCGGAAACCCCCCGCACTATTAAATTTTCCGCATGAAATCGTTTTTTCAACAGATTTTAGATTTTCAAATTTAGTCCACAAATCGGGGGGTGCTCCATCAGAATAACCTCATTTAGAAAGTGTAATTGGTTTTCGAGTATGCTAATGCGTCTTTAAATGTGGTCTCGACACGAGAGACATCTATAAAATATTGGCCAGAGAAAACGGCATCAAATTAGATTCATTTTCGATTTTTTTTTCTATGAAAACTAAGTCAAAAAGATAACTAAATTAATTTTCCACTCGAGACCCAACTTCTAATATATTCGGCAGCAATATCAATTTCGTGTGAATTCCCATGTGAGGCTCCATATTTGCCTTTTTTTTGTATTTTCTAGTACCATTTCCTTGGTGGCGAACCGAGGCCGCTGCCCTCCCAGTAAATATCTCCTGACTCCATTGTGTGCATTTTATTGTATCGCTGCAAGACTCCCATTTGGTGCGGCCTTTTTTGAAACAGCTTTTAAATCCACTTTTTCCGAACGCGACTCCTCCGGATGCCCTTTTCTTTCGTCTTTTTTTTTCTCGTCCATTTTGGCGGCAGAGCGCTGATTAAATTTTAATGGGCTCAAAAACGCAATCGTGCTCGATGCTTTTTTCCTCGTTTCTCATTCCATTTTTCTCGTTCTCGTTCGCCACATTCGATTGTTTGAATTCGTTCGCAACACCACCGCCAACATCGCACAATGGCCCATTTCTTTTCCATTATTTTTTGCTGCCCAATTTTGGCTCCTTTCATTTCCATTAATTCGCCAATTTCGTTTTTTTTTGCAGAGATGATCGATTTGGACACACTGCCCGACGAGGTTCGCGAGAAGCTCGCCGAGCTCGAGCTCGAACTCAGCGAAGGGGACATTACCAAAAAAGGGTACGACAAAAAACGGGATAAATTATTGGCGCCATTTCTAGCGAAAAATGAGCAACTCGAGCCAGGTGAGAATTTCGATTTTTTACCCAGAAAGAAAATCACCGGGTTCTGATTTCAGTTGCCTCTACAGAAGGCACGTCTGCAGCATCACCGAACACAAGGTCGAGTCGACGGCATCAAAGAAGGCTGACACGTGATGAAGGAAGATATCATTCAGGTAAAATTTGCTGCATTTTTGCGATCAAATCAACAAATTCTGTAAATTTCAATTCAACAATATTTATTTTTTCTGCGTGACAACCACTCAAAATGTCGCATTTCGTAGGCAAATTCTTTGAGAAATGGATGCCTGGTAGTAATGAAAAATTCTCAAGAATTTCGCAACCGCTCTTCTTTTGTGTTTTCGTTTCTTCAATAGGAACACCCAAAAGATGCACAATTTTTGTTGGCTGTTACTCATTATACATTCGAAATTTGGGTATCGATATTCTCTGAAAAAAGTGAAGCTTGAAGTGTATGTTTTATAGAAAATAAACTGCGAAATTTTCGGATTCTTAATTTTATTTTGGAAAAGTTTCATGTTTGGAAAAATTTTTTTGGGTTCGTGGATCGAGTTTGATTTTCTTAATTGCTCATCTTGAATTTATTTTAATCCCTGAATATTTTCTAAAACTTTGTTAAAATTTAAAAAGAATCTGTGTATGTTGTATGGGTTTACAGTAAACCATAGGCCTCTTGGGTCTTGGCGCTTATTGATAGTACACTTTTGATAGTTTTTTTAAAACCTGAGCTTCGATTCTTCGAGCTTGAAAAACTAGAAAACTAAAAAATCTTAATGATATTATTGGTAAAATCAGAAAAAAATTAACTCAAAATTAAAAAAAATCAAATGTCTTTTTACTTTTCCTATATATTTCAATTTGTTCAGAAATCCGCGTTGAAGCTGTCCATCAGGCTTTAGCCGAATACTCGGATGGTCGGAAGCAGGGTCCCCAACCGGTGAAGCCTCATCGACGGACGAATGCATCGGCGACAAGGTCCCGAAGCAAACGAAACGGCAATAGTGGGACATTACGCATTTTGTCAGGTGTGCTTTTGGATTTTTTTTGATTTCGAAATTTTTTTGTTTGTGAGTCACACATCAATGAGCAGAGGTCGAATCAATCTTTTTTTGCGAATTAGAATGAAACCCCGAAAACCAACAAAAATCGTGTTTGATTATTTGGGGGAAAATACAAGGAGAAAAAGAATGATGTCGGGCTCAACCTGAGGCATAAGAAACAATCGAATATCCTCTGGGGACCATCAGAGCGACACATTGTCGAGACCCCTTTTCTCTTTATTTGAATGTATATAGTTTTCTGAAATTTACAAACATTTTTTGGGGTTTTTTTAAGCTAATTAGCCAGCGTCATGGGGTTAAAAAATTTTTTAAACTTCACACGATTTTGATATCAATATATTTAAAATCATATATCTTCAAATAAATATATTAAAATTTCAAGAAATTGTCTTTTTTTTCCATTTTTCAATATTTCTTTTATTTTAATTTTGTGTCTACCGTAATCCATGTTTCAAGTCTTGACGCGATATACACGCGCCTTAAATCAAAATTTAAAATTTAAACTTCGGTCTGAAAGCGAAAATGGCCTGTAGTTGTCTATTAATTCGCTGATCATCGATGAAACTCATAAAATTGTCAAAATTCGCCGATGTTGCCCTCCTCGCAAACATTTCAAATTGAATCACATAAAAAATAATTGAATGTATGAATGCAAATATTCGATGATGATGATGATATCCGGTCGAGTGCAACACACACACACACACAGAGAGACACACTCGGCCGGGGCGTCGAAAAATGGCAGCGGCGGCAGCAGCGCATCATCATTCGATTTCGAATCGATTTTATGATCACGGCGATCGGCACATTATTATCCGGTCGATCGGCTGACCAGCCAGCCAGTTAGTTAGTTAGTTAGCCGGTTGCGCCCTCAGCGCGCTCGTCCAGCTCGCCGTGATCTCTCTCTCTCTCTCTCTCGCTTCATCTCCCGTACGGGCCGGTCCCGTTGTCTCCAATTCTCTTTATATCCTACTCGTTCTCATCTTCGTTAGTTCGCTGCTGCTGCTGCTTCTGTTGATGTAGTACACCTACTTCTACTATTACTCATCTACTCGAAACAACTAAATGTACTTTTTGCTCTCCTGCGGGTGCTGCTCGGCCGCCTCGCATCGGTCGCATTACGAGTCCCGCCGCCGCCGCCGCCGCCAGCCGATTTGCCTCGGTTTTGCAATGTCTTTTTTGTTTGACTGACATCTCTTTGACAAGTGTGATCTACTTGAGCACGTTCATTTTCATTTCAATTCGCCCCATACCGTACACGGCAATTGGTTACGGTTTAGGAATCAGAAAACTTGTTGAATTGGGTGTCCTCGAGTAATTGACCTTCTGTTCAATTCAACTAGCGCCATATGTTTAAATTATCTCATCGAATCGTCTCAAATTTGTGCACCTTTAAACTCACTTTTGATGAAAGTCAAAAATTGATTTTTCTTTTCGTTTTAATCAGCAAAATGCACGCAGATAATAAATATCAACACCGAAATTGAAGATTGTTTTAAATAAGAATTAAAGTAGCCGCATTAAACTGCGCTGAAGGGATTGAAAGGATTAGAAACTTCTGTGCATTACTGATTTTTCCTAATCCAATTTTCGTTCGATTTTTCCTTCATTTTTTTTCCATATTTTCTTTTATAGAATCGAGAAAAAAAGTTTTTATTAAATTACTTTATTTTTTGAAAGTTTTTAAATAGAAATTCATTATTAAAATGTTACATCGAATTAAAATTTTTGATTATTTTGTTATCTCGTGCTCTAGCTGCTTTAAACAAAATTAATTCAAGATATTTCGAGCCATTGCGAACCGAGTCTTTTTTGGCGACGCGTTGGCGTCGTCTTCTTGTCATAATTTTTACTTTTGATCTTTTATTGAAATATTTGGAGATTAATTTGTAATTTTGATGATGAGCCCTAACTAATTTTCCAACTAGGTCTCACCACGAATTTTTCTCTGACACAGATTACGCGATGCTAGAAAATTCGTTTGTCGCCGTATATGGTAAACGGAATTTAAACGAGGTTAATCTTTCGGTTTTTCGCGCGAAATTTCATTGGAATCCTTCAGTTTTCATTTGTATTGAAGTGCATTCTTCTAAACCATCTTGACGCCGCCGCCCAATTCCAATATATTTCAGTCAAAATGAAATTTTTTTTGCTATTTTCATGTTGGCCTGATCGACGACACATTCAGATACCATCAAACCGTTTTTGAAATGCGCCGCCGATTCGACGGCCGAATTATGGTTTTCTGTTGGTTCTCATCAAATTGACACAAAATATTGGATTTTGAATGCGTTTTTTTTTTCAAGAGAAAAAAAAAGACGGCATTCGTAACCAATTTGATGCGAAAATTTTTGTTTCGCGTTTTCGATTTCATCTATCAATCTTGTCGCAACATTTTGGCCCCCGATCGTCTTTTTGTCATTTGTCGTTTTCCGCCGGCAGGACCAGTAGCCGGGTTTTGTTCTCGGGTCACTCGTACACACGTTCTATTATTATTTTTTTTCTCCACTCTTCTTTTTCTTCTTCTTCTTCTTATTCGTTTTGATTAGTTCTGTTCTGCATTTTGCTCTGCAGTTATGAGTCATGATAATCGCGGTGACATCGATTCGTAATCCGGCGGTGGTGGCGAGCACGCCGAGCTCGAGTGTGCCGTCGACACCGACGGCGCCGCATCGTCGCAGCGGAATGCCGCCGGCGTCGCCGCGCATCACCGCCAATTTGCCGCCGTCGCCGCAATTGGGCCGACATACGCCGAAGACGGCGCGCAAGGTGATACCGTCGTCGCCGTCGTCGCCGGGAATCGCCAAGTTTCGCGTCAATGGAAGGGTTGTCAAGGTGACGGCGATTCGACAATCGGCCTACTGTAAGTTGGCGCTGGAATGCAATTCCGCGCGAATTCTGAAACAAACTTGAAAATGACAACCCATTAAATCGATGGATTACAATGGAGTTCATCGCAAAAAATTGTTATTCGACCACAAAAATGATATGAAATTTTTATATGCGTCAGATATGGAAAATTTGGGGAAATTTCTCATGTTCTATTGAAAAAATCCTTAAAATCAATGTATTTTTGCGCATTTTGTGAAAAGGGGCGTGGCTTCATTTTGAAGAGCTGTCTGAAAGTCGCTCAAACTCTGCACGACCTTGCCGGGTTTCCTAATTTGGAATTGTTGAAGAAAGGTCTTGTCGCGATTTGCAGTTTTAATGAGCTCTGCATTTTTCGAAATTCGCCTCAAGACCCATTCAAAAACTTGTCGGCCGTCATGAGAATCGAAACAACTAAACATTTAGAAAGAAGTTTTCCGATTTGCTTTAAAACGTGAAAATTTGTGAAGGCTTACTGAATATTCTGCGAAGCATTTTTTTTTCTCGTTTTCACCACCGAAATTTTTTGAGACGTTAATGACCCTTTCCGGTAGGACTGGTTTTTCTGAAACTGGCTGAAAAAAAGTAATGCGTTTCTTGTTTTCGAGAAAAGAACAATGTTCTATTAAAGGGAAAACATTACAATGACAAATTTGTCATTCATTCCTTTCGTTTAAACAAACCGATTGATCCAATAAGGAAATTTGCAGATTCGTCGTCGGACGATGAGGATAGTTTACAAGGAACGATAGGAAAGAATGTGACGAAACCCCCACAGACGACACCTAGAACGTCTTCTCTAGGTAATCTGTGGTTTTTTTTGGGATTGGTTTGAATTCGGTTATTGTTTAGCATCTAATAATCGAAGTACGGGGAGCAATGGGAATTTGGAGAAGAACAGCGTTGATCGGCGTAGCGGTCGAAGAGAGCTGAATGGGAATGGAGGAGCTGCGGTTGAGGTGATGCTCCGACGAGTTCAGGAGAATCGAGACCGACATGATGTAGGTGTTTCTTTTTTTTTTAAAGAAAAGTTTCCCGCGCAGGTTTTTTGACTTAATTGCGGTGTTGTGTTATCAAATCGATCACCTCATCATCGTCCGCCTAATTTTACACCCAATATGCGTGCGCATCGATGGGGAAGGGGGCCGCATTTCTCATTAATTTCTCGTTTTCGGCATCGCTCGGGATGTGTTGTGATGGCGAAAACGAAAGAAGGGGGCGGAGAATGTTGAGATGAGGTGAAACGAGGCGAAATTTTTTGTATGCGCGCGTTGAGAATTTGCATGCGTCTTCACCGTCGATGATTGTTCTCCGCCGACGCCCAGCGACGACGAATTTTCAGCAGCAGAAGCGCGATTACGGCGAATATGTGCAGGCGCGGATTCGCGATTCGGCGGCGACGTCGGCCGGTGGAGCCCGAGAAGTGATACGAGTCTCGAGACAGGACTACAGGAACAGCAAGATAATCGTCACCGAAAATGATGGAATTCGAATTTCGCCGCATCGAGAGGTTCGTTTTTTTTTAATTCTTAACAAAAATTTGTATTTTTCTCAAAAAAAAGAATTTTTAAAAAAGCGGCCATTCGAACCTGTGAAATAATAGGAAATAATAGATAAATCGATTCAAATTATTTTTATTTATTTATTATTGAGGCTAAATGAGTGATTATTAAGCGTTTTCCGTGAAATTTTTATAGCAAGATACCTAAAATATATTATTTTTATTGGGCTTAAGCCAATATAGCCGCTTTCCATACCATAGGGTTTGATTCGTACATTTTATGAATAAAAATGAATTACATATCAGCTCGTTTAACGATTTTCTCTTTCTAGTCTGTAGTTGAGATTAATTGAAACAGATTTAGCAACATTTGCGCACAAAAAAACTTCTAAATATTTTTTTTTCTTTTCAAACAAAAAAGTTTGAAAACAATACAATTTTTTGGTGCACTTGACACTGACAAATTTCTTTCTAACTGAAAAATATTGATGTTTTGCACAAAAAGTGCACTGAACTTTGAATTTAGTTGTTTCGTAAATAAATTGTGAGAAAAGTGAGTCATTTTTAAGTGATAAATTTTGAAGAATTGTAAAACTTAAAAAATTTGAGTTTTCCATAAGCCGTATTTGGGTCTTGACACGATCAAACCCGGAATCTCTTAATCTCATTCTAATATTCATTTTTCTAGGAAATCGAAACGGTAATTGACGCGAATACTGCTATCGATGAAGCTGTCTACGTGAATACCCATATTGGAGGCCGAGTTCCATCACCGAATGATTCATCGCAAGAATACCAAAACTCTATTCTTCGTAAGCGCGCTGATTTCAAGATTCTCAACGAAATGCTCATATTGCAGCACTAAAACCGGCAAAAGTATCGACGAAAATCCAGAATGTTGTCAACATTTTACAGGTGAGCACTAGTTGACAAGACCATCAATCATAGTGGGGCTAACAAGCGGTGTAGTAACGCTGAAAAAAAGATAAAGAAACGAATAGCCCGAACCGAGTTGTATCCATTCCATTCGATTTTCTCGTTCTCCTCCCTCGCATCATAGGCACCTTTAATTGCATTTTTAATGAGCGCTCGAGTTTCGGACCCGTCAAACAAAAACGGCTGTGAAATGACTTTACACACGAAATGTCTTGCGATGTTCTGTTATTCGAAGGCCGTCGATTAGTCGTACAGTTTTTAACACGAACAAAAGAAGAATCGCATTTAACTCCCACCACGATTGGCTATTGGGTTACCATACGATGATGCTGGTGGAATGCAACAACAGCTGACCGAATCGCGTCGACGTCGGACCCACGGACGGGGTGGGGCACCACAGCATCTCCGGAATCGTTTCCCGCCGGCAACGCCCGCCCGCCTCAGTTTTCGTCCCGTGTTTTTCTTTATTTCTTTCGGTCTGCTCCGCTACGCTTCAGACGCGTTTCGTTTCGTTTCGTTTCGTTTCGTTTCGCTGATTTCGCGTCGCTCGAGAGCCAGCCGACATTCGCTGCTGTATTCATGGCCACCGATACGTCGTCTCGGGTGTATTTCCCGAGTATGGCGCTTCGCAAGACGCGCTATTTGCGGCAGACGATCAGCTCGTCGGGACCATCCATATTTGGCACGTCGGCCGGATCGCACCGCAAACATTCGAGCGAGAATCACAAGGAATATCTCGCGCAATTGCACAATCGCAAAGCAATTTCGCTCAAAGAGCAGAAGAAGTGCGATCGATCGTCGTCGAACCCGAACCTACCATCACTTGTTCCATCGAGACCCCCACTACCAGCCTACCATGTATGTGAGCCATCGTATGGCGACGAAGGCGACTTTGACGATGCCGCCACTCTCACATCATCGTTGGAATATTTTCCGGGATCGCCGCAACGCGCCACACGCAACGACGAGCAGATTCGACGGCATCGCATGTTCGTTCAGAATCTTGGGCCGAGCACGTCGAGCGGCGATAGCATGTCGAGTTGTCGGTGGTCGTTTCGAAGCGAGGCGAAGGCGACGAAGCTCGATGATGAGGATGAGTTGGTGATTGGAAGGCGAAGAGCGGGAGGAGCGGAATTTAAGAAGTGGAAGCTGAATGAAACTATCAGAAGGCTCGAAACGGTAAATTCATCAAAAATGATCAGCGGATAAATTTTAATAATTTATCAAAATTCGAACAAAATTGATTGGTGTTTGCATTTGCCAATTTATAGAGCTTCAGAATTTTAATATTCGTGTGTCTGTGTAAGAAAAGACCTTTAAGATGTTGTTTTAATTAATCCAACGCCAATAATTGCGGTGTTTCAATTCAAATCTGAAATTCGTGAATTAATTGATACAGTTGATTTAAAAATTGGCTCCAAACTGAACTCAATTGATCTTACGATGTAGCCACTTCCTGATTTTTCTTCTTTTTGAAACATTAGCCCTTTGTCAACGCGTTTTTTTTTGTGTGTGCGCTTGTCATATAGCCGAGCGTGGCCGCTGCTGTTGCAGCAGCTCGTGTCGAGACGTCGAACTAGCAAGAGAAGATGAAAAAAAAAAACACACGAAGAATGTGGCGAATCGAATCGATAAATCACCTCCGAGAATATTGAACACAGATGTGTTTCACATGAATTGCGAATTGTCTTGAGATTCAATTATTTTGGGCGTTCTTTAGCCGATGAGAAATTGGATAAATAATAGAACGACAGACGGACTCATTTTTCAATGCCTCTGTCTCTTTGGTTTTTTTTTTCAATCACTCAAAAACTCGTTAAAATTTTTCACGAAGAAAAAAAAAACACATATTTTCAGCGACCCAAAAGCCGACCACTTCAAGAATTCTATAATGATGATGATGCCGAATTGGAAGCGATGGCGAAAATTCGCGATCCTGATGCACCGCGACCTGAAGGGACCATTATGAATCCGGTGAGAGGCGAGCCTGCCCACTCGAACACGGCCAACACGATGCCGAGGAGTTTGGATGCTGCCCTTCATCGATTCGGAACCGCTTCGGCTAAGAATGTCGCCGCGATGGTTCTTGATCAGTCGTCGAAACCTTCAACTTCTCTTACTTATGGTGAAACACTGATTTATTTTTCGTATTCATTCTTCCTTATTCAGGTAAATTGTATAGTCGAGCTAACAAAGTGGCTTATATGCTGCTTAACAAGATGGTTACTATTAGCCGCGATGGTACGAAAGCACCATTATGTCGGCCTGGTGATCGTGTCGCATTGGTCTACCCGAACACCCAACCACTTCATTTTCTCGTTGCGTTTTATGGATGCCTTCAAGCCGGTGTGATTCCGGTACCCGTCGAAATGCCGTCGTCGAAACGAGAAGCTGGAATTGCACAACTCGGATTTCTATTGGGAAATTGCGGTGTGAAAGTGGCCCTCACTTCAGAAACATGTTATAAGGGACTTCCGAAGACGATGAACACCTCATCGTCGTCAACGTCGTTCTCATCACCATCGGGATCTTCATCGCTGACAGGACATAGCACCGAGTTTGTTGACTTTCGAGGATGGCCTCGGCTGTATTGGATGGTGACCGAACACCTGGCCAAGCCTGCGCGCGATTGGACGACACCGCCAAGGCTAGCTGATGAGACGGTCGCTTATATCGAATACACGACGAGCAGTGACGGAAGTGTGAAAGGAGTGTGTGTATCGAGACAGGCCGTATTCGCGCATTGTCGAGCCCTTACTACTGCAATGGGGTATAAGGAAGACGAAACGATGGTGTGCGTTGTGGACTTCAAGAGAGAGTGCGGGCTTTGGCATTCGGTGCTCGCGGCGGTGTTCAATGGAATGCGTGTGATCTTTGTGCCGTACTCGTTGATGAAAATGAATCCGGCGAGTTGGATGCACATGGTCACCAAATATCAAGCGACGACCGCACTTGTCAAGTCGAGAGATCTTCATTGGGCGCTGCTCGCCACCAGAGACCACAAAGACATCAATCTGTCGTCGCTGCGAGCGCTGCTCGTTGCTGACGGCGCGAACCCTTGGTCGTTGTCGTCGTGCGACGCGTTCGTCTCGGCGTTCACGGGAGCTCCGTACAACTTGCGGCCAGACGCGATGTGCCCTTGCGCGGGAAGTTCGGAGACCGGCACGATATCGATTCGGAGGCGCGGAAACTCGACGTTGGGTAGTCAGAGTGGACGCGGTGTGCTCTCGATGTCGGCGTTGAGCCATTGTGTGGTTCGAGTCGATCAAGAGAACTCGTTGACGAGTCTAACACTTCAGGTAGGTAATCGATTTCGGAATCCCAAATGATTGATTCCTTTTTAGGATGCCGGACAAATAATTTCTGGAGCTGTCGTCGTCGTCACTGCGATTGACGGATCTCCAAGACTGTGTCAAGCTGATGAGATTGGAGAGATTTGTGTTTCCGCAAACTCGACAGCTCACGCTTACTGGGCCTTGGAAGGCCAGACATGTCACACATTCAAACTTGAACCCGTCGGCGAATACGGCAAACCGATCGGAGCGGTTCGATATGTTCGAAGTGGTCTGATTGGATTCATGGGACCCGACGGAATGGTTTTCGTGGTGGCTCGACGACAATCGCTTCTCGCCGTCTCGGGACGATATCATTCAGCGGATGACATCATCGGTAGGAGGATTCTTGGTGAATTGAATTCATGTAGGTATATTTCAGCTACTGTACTCGCTGTTGAACCAATGAAATTTGTCTATCGAGGAAGAATCTGCGTGTTCTCGACGAATGTTCTCCGCGATGAACGCGTTGTCATCGTCGCCGAGCAGAAGCCGAGCTGTTCTGAAGAGGAGGCATTTGATGTAAGAAATATTCGATTTTGCTCATGTCGATTATTTGATTTTAGTGGATCACTAGAGTGCTGAGAGCAATCGACACCATCCACCAGGTTGGCGTCTATTGTTGCGCTCTGGTGCCAGCGAATCATTTGCCAAAAACGCCGCTGGGTGGAGTGCACGTATCGGAAACCAAACAAAGATTCGAGAACGGCGAACTCCATCCGTCGACTCTTCTCATGTGCCCGCACAGCTGTGTTCTGAATCTGCCGAAGCCGAGAGAACGACAATCCGATGTTGGTCCCGCAGCGATGTTTGTTGGCAACATAGTACAAGGAGTTCGAATAGCGACCGCCAAAGGAAGGAACCTCGATGAGGAGCTCTCACTTCCCCTACTTGAATGCCTTCGAAGCCGCGCCTCAACTACTCCGGATCACAAAATTCTGAATTTGGTGACGGCGAAGAACGCTGAAGCTGATTCGGCGACATGCTCAAGTCTCTTGAAGCGGGCTGAGCGAATAGCTGGCCTACTCACTGATCGCGCTCGTCTCAATCGAGGAGATCATGTTGCTCTGATATTTCCGCCGTCGATCGATCTTGTTGCTGCATTCTTCGGTTGTCTTTCAGCGGGATTCGTTCCTGTGTGTGTACGACCTCCTGTGGCTTCCGATCTTAGCGCAACTCTCGGATCTGTCCGAATGATCGTTGACATGAGCAAGGCGGTCGCTGTATTGGCTCCGAGTCATGTCTCGAAGATGCTGAAGAGTAAAGAAGCCGCTCACAGTATTGATTCGAACGCATGGCCGATGATTCTCGATTTGGAAGATGCGCCATCATCATGGAAAAGGAAGAACAATTGCGATACGACGACGTCGGCGGGAAGCGGAGCTGCGACTCGCGATGAGATCTGCTATCTCGATTTTGGAATCAATTCGAACGGACAACTCTCAGGATCGACGATGTCCGAAGCAGCGGCGATAGCGATCTGCAAGAGCATCAAGGTCTCATCGGAATTGTATCCATCGCGACACGTCGTCGTGTGCGCTCCTCCATATTCGGGCATCTCGTTGGTTCTCTGGTGCCTCTCGTCGGTCTACTCGGGACACTTGACAACATTGATCCCGCCGGCTGAAGTCGAACAACAACCATCGTTGTTCCTCTCGACACTGTCGAATTTGAAAGTCAGAGATGCCTATACGACGTATTCGACGCTGAACGCGTGTGTCGCCCAACTCGCCACATCCGTCGAGAGTCTCAAAGAGCGCGGCTGCAATTTGTCGATGCTCAGAAGTTGCGTCGCGATTGCCGAAGAACGACCGAGAATCGCGTTGATGACGTCATTCTGCAGGTAGAGAGAATTTCGAAAGTTCCCACTGAGTCATCCATTTCGTTTTATTTTTTTTTGTTTGCAGATTGTTCGCTCCGTTGGCACTCAACAACCGGGCGGTGTCGACGGCATTCTCGTCGCGTGTGAACGCGGCGATTTGTATGCAAGGCGCTGCGGGACCCGAGCCGTCGACGGTGTATGTCGACGCGAGGGCCCTTCGCAACGATCGCATCTCGCTCGTCGGCAAAGGCGCACCGCACAGTGTGGCGCTAATCGAAAGCGGCAAATTGATGCCGGGCGTGAAAATCGCGATCGCGAATCCGGAGACTCGCGGACAATGCGCCGACTCGCATCTCGGCGAGATTTGGGTGGCGAGCGCGCACAATGCGTCGCCGTTGAATCGCACGGGTGCCACTGGCACCAACAATTTCGGCGAGGAGATGAGCTGCTCGGATATCTACAATGCGAGATTGACGACGGGCGACACGAAGACGAGGCGAGTTGATCGAAACACTTGGCGAGTTCTGATTAATCGATTCCAGATGGGCTCGAACAGGTTATTTGGGATTCTTGCGGCAGACGCAATCAATAACGGAGCACGGAGAGTTGCACGATGCGGTTTTCGTTGTGGGACCATTGAATGAGAGCTTGTTCCTTCGCGGAATGCGCTATCATCCGACCGATGTTGAGACGACCGTCAGCAAGGCGCACAAATTTGTCGGAGACTCGTATGCACCTTTAAAATTGAATGAATTGATTACGGTGGTTGTTGGATTTCAGAGCGGTGTTCACGTGGAATCATCTCGTCGTGATCGCTGCAGAATGCACTGGAGGTGAATCGGAAGCATTGGATCTTGTGCCGGCGATTACTTCAGCGGTCCTGGAAGAGCATCACCTGATCGTTGGTAAGATTTTCGATTTATACGATTGTTGAGGAAATGCTCGGAATTCAGGTGTTGTCGTTGTCGTTGATCCGGGATCGGTTCGACATGGACCGAGTGGCGAGAAGCTGCGAAGCACGATTCGCAATCTGTTCCTCGAGGACAAACTCAATCCGATTTATGTTGCTTATAATATGTAATTTCGCTTTAAAGGGTGTTTTTTCTTCATCTTCTCACATACTTGCCTTTTTCAAATGTAAATAATCAATTTGTTGCTATTCCCAATCAATCTACCTTCCAAATTCAAACATAAACTCATCAGCTATGCCAAATTTTCGTCCGGGTTTTATTTTCACAGTTTTTTTTTGCAATTTTTTATTGTTTCTTTTTTTTATCAAACACACGTCACCCCACCGGTTGCAAATCTAGTTTCTCTCTCAATTTACTAAACATTTTTATCCTAAATAATATATTAACACACTATTTATTTTCTTTGCGTTTTGTTTTTTTTTTTCACAAAAAAGCAGAGAAAAACGTTTCCATATCTTTCATGCAATAAATAATAAATTATCGGCCGTTATTTGGTTTTTGTTTGAACAAATCACAGAAAAGCGAAGATTAAGGCAACAGACAGACGGACAGGTTAATAGATGGCGGCGTTGGGGGGGGGGTTGAGAGAAGGAAGAGGAGCTCTAGAAACATGGAAAGGCTCTGGGAGCCGAACAAGTACTAAACAAAACTGGGGCGGGGAGTTTATTAGTTCATGCGTAGTTGGTAATCGCCGTTTTGGGTTACGTAGCGGACCCATGGAAGGGCTTGATAACCGCTTTTCTCTATGATTTTCAAGTAGCGGACCTGGAAAATTGGAAACTTCCTCATAAGGAATGACTAAAAACTGGAATACCTGAAGGCCGGAAGTAGTATAATAGGGAATTTCGAATTTCACATTGATTGGAGGCCTTCCTTCGACTTCCTCGCTGATAATTGATGGCAGGGAAAATGAGGATCGCATGATGTATTCGCGGCCACCTGAAAATGAAATTAGAACCAAATCGTCGAAAAAAGAACCCCCCATAAATTGTCGGCAGCGGTAAATTGACAAAAAAAAGATGATAAGATGAAAGTGACAAAATACCTGGGAAACTGCGAATCGTCCAAACAATTGCGTTGAGCTCTGGCACATATTTCGCGCTTCCAGCGCCGGTTTTGAATTTCGGATTGCTGACGTCCGATGGCACCGGAATGATCACCTCGACGTGATTCGCCACCGATTGGCGCTTGAATTGCGATTTTGCCTTTAAAAAAATATTAAAATATAAATTCAAAAAAAATTAACAACGCGATACCTTGACCATGTACTCAACTCTTGAATGAGCGTGACGCTCCACGGATGCTTCAACCCATATAAGGGGCTTCACTTGAGTTGTCAGTCGATAGCTCATTAGCTCAAACTCGCCATCGGGCGGAATGAACGAGATTGTGCGTTCGGAATCGAATCGGGAAAGTCTTACGCATTGATGGAATTTCACATCTTCCAATTCAACACCTTTACCGCCACCGCGACCTGAAAATATAATTATTTTTAAAAACTTTAAAAAAAAGAACATTCTAGAAAATCGAAGCAAAAAGGTAATTTTCAAAATTCTCGAAAACCTACGAGTATTTCCATATTGCTGGAAGATAACCTTGTCATTCAGGCCGAGTCGAAGCTCCGGCATTCCGGAGAGCACGACACGCATTCGAATCGAACCGACAATTTCCGATCGAAGCACTGTGCCTTGCGCGTTCGCGAGCATGTTCACACTTTCGATGACGTCAAGGAACACCTCGTTCTTACGGTACTTGATGCCTTCCGATCGCCACGAGACCGCATTAGTGACAGCCATTGGCGGGCGTGGAGCCGCTTCAAGGCGGTGTCCTTGTTGAGTGATAAACCTCCAAATAAATAGATCATAAAAAATGCGGAAACGACTAAATAAGCTTACTCCTGTAATATTTTGCTCTCGGTGGTCTGCGGGTATCCAAAATCGAGCATCTCGTCGAACAATTCATAGATAATAACAAAATTATCGCGAACAGATTCCTCTTCGAGACCTTTGAAGTATTCGCAAAAAACCTCGACAATTTTATACAGCGTTGATAGCACTAATATCACATTTGTGTTCTTCTTCGAAACGGTAACCACTCAAATTTTCATTTTCAAATTTCGCAATTTTCGTCAATAATTGAGACTTACAATAAACATTCATATATTTGATATAGGTGTAGCTGATGCCAGCATTCACTAAAACCGGGGAAGCAGTGCCTTCATCCTCTTTCTCGACTAATAAGGGCATAAATTTCTCGATGCAGGACATGTCGACGTCTCCTCGATAGTTTCTGGAGATAACCACCTGTAAAATGTTGCTTCATTTTCTGAAGATCCTGATTTCGAGCTTCTTACATTTCCTTTGAGGTCTAATATGAATAATGCGGAAATCGACATGATTTAAATCGGCCCAAACCCTGAAACAAGTTATTTGGAGGACCTGTACAAAAAAAATGCCGTAAGAGAGAATGGTATGAACGATAGCGGAGAGAACAAACATTGCGATGTGTGCGAGTGTCACCGTGTAGGTGTGTTATCGATCGATTTCTCCTCCCGGCGTAGCGCACCTATATTGCATGAATGAATGCCGATATGAATTATGTGAACGTTTTAATAGGAACCGTTTGAGCGGAAAACGTATTATTTTGCCGAGAGTTCAAAATTTTATAGAAAAACTTCGAAAAAGATACACGAATTCGATGTGTAGTACGTAATTTCGCGTAAATCAAAGTGCAACGTGTACAGTAACAATACGAAAAATGTATATATATTTGTAATCGGTTTTTGTATTAAAAACCACGCGAAAATTTGTCAATTCAATTTTATTTGTTCGAACAAATGAATGAAAATTTAGAGCATCAAACACAACTGTCCATGAAAATTATTTAATTTGAAATTAATTAATAGGAAATTAAAAGAATATGGACATGCAAGTAGATTTAAGCAATAAACAATTATGTATAAAAATGTATGATTAGTTTTTATTCTCAAAAAATAAACAAATTTCAGAATTCATAAAACGAAAAGATTACGGTAATTTAAAGGCACATATATCAAAAATAATGCAATACTCCCAATGCGATAAGAGTACTGTAATTTTTCTTGTTTACCAGGAATTATTTTTTGTAAATTATTTTTTATGTGGATTTTGCCACATTTTATATTGTCAAACTTTAAAAATAAATATATCTTGATAAAATTGGCGCTTTAATTATGAAGTATGCCAATTATTGAATTTTGGACTGCAAATTTGCAGGTTTGTTAATTATTAGTAATAAAATAGTGGAATATGGAACGCTTTTTTTTCATTTTTTGCCATTCTAATTAATAAACGATAGACATTTTATTCAAACAAAAAAGTGGCACGTGCGAACCATATGGAATGAAAGCTGCAAATAATTAAAAACATTTCGTATGATCATGGCACGAATCGCGAGAAAAATAAACAATGAAAATTTTATGACAACATTCGGACGTACGATCCATTTGAATAATAGATTGATTAAAAGTAACCTTCAATAAGTAATATAATTAGAGATTAGTAGATTAGAATGCAATAAAATCGCCAACTATTTACGTTCTCAATATGGCTATTTTTATCTTTACAAATTGAGTTTAGACATCGTTCTTTTTAATAAAATAATCGTGTTTCTTTTTAAATTGGTTTCTCGTCATTAAACAATTCAATGGGTTCTGCCAAGTTTTCAGTGGAATGTACACTTTTTTCGATAAATTATTTTGATTTGAATTTCAATTTTCCATCCAAAATCTTTATACAGCTAACGAATAGCAAACAATAACAAAATTAGTCTAATTAGCGATATTTCTATTAGGTGAATATGAAATGAATAATTAGAGACATGTGATTTTTATTCAGAGGACATTTATATTTTAACATCCGATTATTGCAAAAATCATGCAAAATTATGGGTTTTTCGGAGTTATGGCAAACATATTCAGCTAAACTGAGCATTCTTTATAATGTTGGCCGATTTCTAGTGCACGGATTATGCATTTTCCGCACTTTTCGACGCCGAGATAGCATTTCCCACATTTTCGTTTCTTTTTTCCGCATTCTCACGCACGCTTAATCACATTGTTTGAGATAACCACCCGCTGTATATTCTATTCAAATTTTTCAAATCTTAAGATTAAAAAAAATAGAGTTAACTCAAGGATATTCTAATGTTTTGAGGGAAACAGATGTGAAAAAAAAAACAGAAGCGTCGAGCTCTCAATTAATTGCAGACCAATCAATTTTTTTCTGCAAACTTGATGTCAATTTTTATGTTTTCCCTTTTTTTCAATATCTTTCCAAGAATATTGCCATTTATTCGCAATAAACTGAGCCCTTTTAACTGTCTCAACTCTCTTCGTGCGTGGCCGTGGCCGATAAATTCGGAATAATATGCGACGGCCATTTTGGATTCAAAGTAATTTTTCTCGACACTAAATTCGTATTTTTAGAAAAAAAATGGTCAAAAATGATTCATTTTCGTCATTATTTTCGTCTCCATCGTCGATGAAAAAAGCAAATGAAAGTGCAAATGAATCTTTCAATGTAGATGTAACCGAATTTTTCAATATTTGTGGTTTCATTAAAGTATTTCAGAATTATGTTGGAATCAATGGATATTATAAGAAAATGAAACGCGAAAATGATTTAATTATCACAGCTCTTGGACATTCGCCGCCATTCACAACGCAATATCAGAAATCAATTAATGAGTAAGTCAGATTTTGATAAAGTATTTATAGTCGGCCGAACGCGGGTAGATTTAAGAGGTGCGACATTCGAAATGTTTTCGCCACATATGAATGCTTATTTTCAAATTTCTACGTGAACTTTTTTCTTTTATGCGTATATCATTTCCTTGAATACTTAATATCAGCGAGATTAAAAATTAACCGAATAACCTCTAAAATGAAAATTAACCAGTTAGTCCATATAAGACCATAGCAAAGACGCGTGAATATACCCGCGTACAGCAGTCGCCGGACGCAGATTTTAAATAATTTATAAAAATTTAGATTGATCTCGCTTTATGATCAAGTTCGAGACCTTGAAAACGAAAATTTGGAGAAGCTCGTTCTTGCATTATATATTAAATTATGCGCCAATATTCTCTCAGTCTTAAAAAAGGTATTTATTTTGTTTTATTTTTTTACGCAATTTTTTTTTAAAGAAATCTGCTCCACAATTATACGGTTTGGCTTATGGAATTGCTGATAAAATCGATCTCAACTTATCAATGGATGATATTGATATGGAGAAATGGACAAAACGCATTCTTTTCGGTATTTTCGTTTGAAATTAACAGCTGAAATTTCGATTTTTGCAGAATGCGCTGTTCATATCGATGCGAAAAATTCGTTTGAAGTGGACACGACATTTGTAAGTTTTTAAATTAAATTCGAGTATATGGATGTCTATAAAACTTCATTGTGTCGAAAAGTCTCATATGTTAGGAACGTTTAAAAATACAAATTTTCGAAAAAAAAAACACTATCATTAGAAATATTACCATCGGAAAAAAAAATTAAAATCTTGAGTAATTGTGGGCTATTTTTTTCGTCGTGGTAATTCAAATTTGAATTTAAACAGTGGAAATTTGAGAACCGTACTACGGACAACTGGCGAATCACACTAATCGTAAATCTACACGCTTTATTGCAATAATTATATTTTTGTTTTAATCTGCAAACATTAAATTTTAGAGCACCGAAGCTGTTGTGGATAATTTGTGTTTGTCCCATGGTCGCTTGCAATTCGTTCGCGGCTCGATTTTCGACACCGCCAAAGGAATCGTTGACAGTCATCCGAAGACACTGAATATCGACATGTCGGATTGTGCGAGTGTCGAAGTGATTTCCGATGAAGTTTTCCTTCGATTGATTATTTGGGCTTGCAAGTGGAAAATGAATCACTTGAATGGTTTTAGGGTTTATTATTCAAAAATCAAATTGAAATTTACAGAAGTGATATTCGAAAAAGTGTTCGCTAGGCTTCCCGTCGTCCCAAAAGCCAATGATCTCATCAAGAGCGGCCTTTCTCTGTTAGACGTCAGAATTTTCATTTCCTCGCTCTCGGTGATTTCTTCAAAAACGACAGAAAGTGGACTTACTGTTCAAGAGGAGCCTCGAATCGCCTCGAATTTATCGTTGTCGAAAATTCAAATCGACTCTTGGAAAGCTCTCATCGATGTGGCTACGAAAACGTAAGAAAGTAATTGAAAAAATGATTAAGTTAGAATGAAAAAATATTTTTAATTTTTTACCTGATTTCCTCAAAAATGGCCCTTCGTCCGCACTGAACTCATCCAATGATCCTTGGAAAATTTTGAATTTCATCGAAGGACCATCAGATGAGTCCAGAGCCGAAGAAAGAAAAGAAAATACATAGTATGAATATTAGAAATGGCTGGCAGACCGTCGTATGAGTGTTTTTATCAAATGAGTCATAAACTTCGAAAACGCGAGTGTCGTCTTTTTTTTGTCTCATCGGGAATAAATACGGTAGCCAATGTTCAGATGTGCTGACGAGATGCCGATTTATAATTGAATCTTCTAGAATAAAAAAATAGTTCCCGTTTTTTTTAGAACCACTGTCCAACCTGCTAGTAGTCTGCGCTGCTCTCAGGTTATCGCGGCTGTTCGACTCACGAATGGTGGAAGTGAGGATGTTCGTGTCCTGTTCGAGGTCTGGAAGTCGTGCCTCCAGAATTCGGCGAAAAATGACGAAGACGTGTTCGAGGCGATAAATGCGCTTAATGATGTATATCGCACGAAAATGAATCAGCTTTTGGCGTATGGACCATCATATCCGAATGATTCGACGACTCACATTCGATTGTCGATGGATCGGAAACGAGACAATCGAGGATTGTTCCCACTTCAATTTGATTATGAGTTTGTCGATGTGACCGAGGCCGAGCACATTGGAGCTGTTATTAATAGCACGTAAGTGGCTTGATTAAGTTTGGCATGATTCTACTCGTTCAAAAAGGAACCCATTAAGGGAAGGATACGAGTTTGATGGCGAGCCGGAGCCATCAACTGATGATTATAGTTTTGAAACTGCAACTGAGAATTATTCGGATCAGAGCGTTTCGGTATTAAAATTCAATAGCGGATGATTTCTATAACATTCGTTCCAGGAATTCTTCTCGCCTATGAAGCATAATCGGAATTCGATGGTCCCTGAATCCATCAGCAAGCTAATTCATGAAAATTCGATGATCTCGACACAAAGTGTTATTTTGACTCCAATTAAGGAGGTCGAAAAGAAGAAGGAAGAAACCTCGCCTGGATTCGTTATGAACAGTGAGTTGATTTCGATAAATCGATGGGAAATGTGTGACTACGAAAATTTATATAACACATAACTTTCTATGAGTAGGCTGTGTTTGGAAAACAAACAAGAAAAATTAATCGGCAGTGATTTCTTTTTTAAATTAAAAGCAATATTGTTTATAGTAATGATATCGCAAAAATTTGTCTGATTTTCAGTTCCTCTTATTTTTCCGCCGAAGATCGAAACGGGAGATTCAAATATTCCGCCGCAGGTAAATGAGGAAAGTGTTGAGGAGAACGAAGAAGATGATGAAAATGAGGATGAAGAGGAGGATAATTTGGAAGCAGCGCTTCTCGAATGCGAAAAAAGGCATGAAGAGAGTGTTCGGAATTCGCCGAAAAAGACGATGCCGAAAGAGCAGCTTGCTGTATTCAAAACGCCAACGAAGGTAGTTGTAGATGTGCCACTTTAATCGATAAAAGCAAATTGATTGTTATAGAACGCTGAAACGGCGACCGACGATCTTGCTGAAATGCCGCCGACGCCGCCTTCATCGTTGGCCGAATTGAATTCGTGCAATGAATCGCCGGTTTTGAGCCGAGAAGAGGATGAAATGATGATGATGAAATTGCTCGAATCGAGCACGAAAATGCTCGCGAATTTGAGAATGAGCAAGCTTGGATTGAAATTTGAAGAGGTAATTAATTGTCTTTGATATTAACTTTAGTTTCGAATATGATTCATAATTGATCAAATTGAAAATGATTAACAAAAATCTGATTTCAACCATAAGACAAGGCGGTTAACGGTTTTATATTTCAGAAATATGAAGATGACGATATTGTTTTCAACAAAGCTCAGGAGAAACTGAAAATGTGAGATTTATTCTTGATTTTGATTTTCAATTTTTTCTGATTTTTAGGATTAAAAACGATATAATGGATATTGTTGGACGCTTCCACGATTCTTCGAAATGTTTGGGATGCCAGGTTCGAATTTGAACATTGTTTTCTTTATTTTTTCTTCGTTCAGACCGATGATGCACAAGACAGGGCTCTGAATGTGCTCAAAGATTTAGCTGTGAAATTTGACCAGGAAGGCCGATGCTAATTGTTATCATTTCTTGTTATGCTCAATTTTTTTTGTTTTTTTTTCAATCCCAGTACGAGTTTTTAAACCAATAACATTGTTCATGTATTCTTTGAATTTTTGATTCTGAACTTCAAATTGATCCTTAAAACAAGGGATTGATGTTATTCTTTAAACATGACAAATTGGAATTGCATGATGTTCAACTCGCCGATCCTTTTGATCACACGCTCAATCTTATCTCCCCACATTTGGATATCCATAATGCACTCATCATTCGGACCTCTATGATGCAACAATTCAGATCAATCGGAATGCGTCGCATGGCTCTCAAGGAAGTTCAATCTTATTACCTGAAGATCGTTTTCATACTCACTTCTCTTCTAATTCCCTTTTAGCATTCCCGGAATCTGATCTGAACACTTGGATAATGCCCTTTTTAGGATGATGTCGTGATGTGAAGAAGTCTGATCGTATTGACATCACTCACTTTAAAAAATCTGGAATTTTTTGAAGACAAAAATTCCTTCAATCGATGAGAAGCTATTAGGGTTTTTACAAAAATTGCTCATTTTCCTATTATTTTGGATATATTGTGCTCAATACGCTTCAATAATTCCTTAATTAAATGTCCGACAGGCCGGTGACCTTTTGCCGTTAAATAATAGACGCGACGGGGCGGGGGTCGCGCGGTGCGGACCATCTGGTCCCTCTTGAGGTCACCTTCTTACTCATTCGACACACGAGAATCCAATCACTCTCATTCTTGTGTGTTTCAATTTAATTCTGATCATTTTTCTGAAAAAAAGAAGAAATTTTCATTATCAAATTCGAATTTCAAAAAATGGAGAGAAATGAGCCATCGACTTCAGTGTTGCACAGAATGAGAAATGTAAGCTTCTCCGTTCGTTTTTTTTTTCAACAAAAACTCTCGTCATTTTCAGACGGTGGCTAGCAAGTGCTACAAAGCGACATTCAAGTTCAATTTGAGGAGAACATTGAGGAACCTCAAAAATTTGGATGAAGAATCGATGGAAAAACTCAATCGAATGTGCATCAAAGTCGGACCGGCGATGTTCTTTTCGACGTTTTGGAATCTCGTCATCGAATCGCCGTTCATTCGATTCGCCGCGTTGAACTTCGTGAAAACGAAATTCGAAATCGAACAGCCATTCGATGATCAGTTTCAGCAAAATGCCGATTTGATGGTTAGTCGTTTAATTGAACACATTTTTTTTTTGCCGGAAACAGTTTTCCGAGTACATGACGAAACATGGTTTTGAGTTTATTATTATCAAAATTTTTAAGTCTGTTATTATCAAAATCACCACAAATTGTCTAAATGCCTGAAATGGGACATACGCTGTGTAGTCCACACGGACTACTCGGGTAACTCAATCGGATGCGACAAAATTCGGCTCAATCCGATCCCATTGGTAATTCGAATTGAAAAATTAGAACAAAACGGATTTGAATAAAAAACAATCGGATCCGACAATTTGACAATCTTACCCGTAGAATTTTCAATCAGATCAGGATGATTCCGGAGGCGAATTTTGTCGCATCTGATTGGTTTTGAGATTCCAACAGCGTGACGTAAATCTCCCCGCGCGTAAATCGACACTTGCGAGACCCAATTCTACAGTAGACCAATAGCTCAAAATCAATCGTATTCGACAAAATTCGGCCTACGAATCAACGGACGCGAAAATTTGGCCGATTCGATTACATAATTATAGAGAGTCGTATTCAAAATTTGTGCAGTTCTCATCCGATTGGATTTGAGTTACGATATTGAACTACATCAACGCGATTGATGTTCGTGCTGAGTTTGCTCAGAATCCGCTGCTGCTGAAAATCTGCCCCAAATTTTACAGAAGGAAAAACCGCAGAGCACATTCTGCTCTACATATGTACTTGACGCAGCCGAAATTTTTCGAATGCACTTCTTGCTTCAAAATAATGCAAGTCGAGTGCCAATTTTACAGGTGTCGGCGTTGTGCGAAATTGTCGAGCAGTCCGTTTCAGTCGACATTCACAAGTGTTTGCTTCAGATGTTGTGCAACTGTTTTCCGCTGAAAACCGCCCATCTCAGCGACGCCCAATTTAGTAAAGTTCGTTTAAATTTCACATCAGAAGTCTACAAATCATCTCAATGTTTTTTTTTCAGCTAATCAGTCGATGTCTGTTCATCGTTTTCCACAACGACACACCATTCAATAGTCAGCTATTCCAATGGCTGATGAACTGTTGCCTAGGTTTCATTTTTTTCAATTTTTATTCAAATAATACCATATTTAGATGAGACGTTGGATATTTTGTTTTTCGAAACGCGTACCCTGCCGCTTTTGATTGGCGCGTTCAAGGAGCATCTGCAATTAGATCCACCGCTCACCAGCACCCTGCTCAACGGCACCAATATGCGATTCCCCGAAGTTCGCATTTGCCAACTTCTCATTTTTATGCAATACGACAAGAAGGTGCTTCAATTGTTGTTCGACGCCACATTTCCGATGCTGTTGCAAAAAATCGGCGACCTTCAAATTCTGGCCGACATTTCGAGGTGCAAGAAGTATCGAGCGCAATCGCGGCAAAGGTTTCGATCGGCGCTGTTCCTGTTGATGAACTCGATAAAGCCTGAAATAATTCTCAATTATTTGAATAAAATCGCCGACGAATTGATCGAGCATCCCGATTTGGAGAAAATCAATCATTTCGCCAAGGTTCTTCAATTATTCTTGCCTTCAACACCCAATGAATCGTTTAGATCGTTTGGATGATCATGCGGAGCTCGAACATCACTCACAGCACGAGCCTCGAACTGCCGCGATTCTTGAGCATTGTTCTGCGGATTCTGAGCACACGCAAATCGTTGGCCGAATGTCTTCAGCATGGATTGCTCTCGTTGTTTTCGGTTTGCCAACAAGTCACTCACAAAATATTCATGGTTCCGAGACGCATTTACATCAGTACATTGACTTTTTGCTGCCATTCTGATTCACGCGTTCGAGTATTGCAGACGGCGATCGATTCTATGGCTGCCGACAACAGTGCGCCGATTCATTGACATTCACGTGCGATCAGTGGGTGGCGGATGGCACAATTGCTAGCAAGGTGCTTCTAATGGATGCCATCAAACTGCTCGACAATACTCGCTCATTGACCATCAATCTTCCGGCAGTTGAATCGGAAAAAGTGACCGAATTCATGTCGCCGTTGGTCCGAAGTATTCTCAAGGTTCGTACCGATCCGTTTTCAAATCTGTTAGGCGAAAACGATTCTAATGAATTCATTTTTTTTGGATTATTAATGTAAAAATTATTGTCGAGGACGGACGAATTTAAAGGGGGTGCTTATTGGCGCCATGGCCTTATAATCATTTTCGATTTGATCTCGTATAAAATGTATTCAAAATAACTATATTTCTCGCGATAAGATCAAAAATGGCTTTAATTTGACCAATTCGACCCGTCGTCGAAAATATATTTATTTATATTGTTGAGAAATGACAAATGTATCCAGGTGTCGTAGGATCCTGCGTTTTGTACGCAATGCTAAGAGACAGTTACCGTAATCCTCGCAGCGATTTACGGGGACTTTTTTTTTTAATTTCGCATATTCATTTTTTTTATTTTTCGTTCAATTTTTTTAATTTTCTTTCGAAATTTTTTAATTTAAATTTTTAAATTTTGCAGAAACCGAGTTTAATAATGTATTTAGCAGAATAAGCACTATTAAACGATATTTTTTGGTAGAAACAGCAAAGATTAAAAAGAAATCATTTTTGTCGTTAATAAAATTATTTAATCGTGCTTTGCTTTTTGTATGCGTTTCTATTATGTTGTTTTTGTATTCTTCATTTTCAAAATAATTTTTAGAGCGTCAAAATCTTCACAATAATTCCCAACTCAACTGGACAAATGGAAAAGTTCATATTCTGAAAAATAAATAATTAAATTCGGTTTCTAAAGGTTTTAAATATAAGATTTCTAAAGAAAATAAGAAAATTCAGCAAAAACAATTGAAAGAAAATTAAAAAAAAAAAAACTCCGTAAATCGCTGCGAGGATTACGGTAACTGTCTCTTAGCATTGCGTACAAAACGCAGGATCCCACGACACTTGGACACATTTGTCATTTCTCAACAATAATATTAAATTTGCATTTTTTTCACATTCCCAATTAAAAAAAAACTGTGTAATTAAGAAAATATAGCTTGAATAGGTAAAAATTTCCTCTCTTTGAATATATCAAAAAAAATTAATTGGATAATCTGTCTTTGAAGAATTTCGATCGCGGTGAATGTACGTGGGGTAGATTTACGGGCATAATGGTCTCGCGCAGACTAACTGCCTATTTCGCATTCTAGGATACATTTTCATAATTTCTTATTTCAATAACGAATGCTAGGAAATGACAAACTCAAAAAGAAAAAAATCATAATTTCACGTTAAAATGAGAATTGACGCGTGGCGAGACCATGGCGAAAGGCGCACCCCGTAAATCAACCCCCGACTACAGATAATTAATTATTAAAACATTTGAAAAAGATTGTTGCAAATAAAAAATTGATTTTGATTCTAGGCGATCAATCCTCATCAATTTCTGATTGACGTGAAGGCGTGCAGTTGCGAAGACATCGGAATGCGAATCTCGCTCGTCGTGATTCTCAGCCTCATGTATCGGCAATCGATCAACGAGCATCGCGACAATCGATTTCGGCACGCGCGAGCCACTCGCAAATATCCGCTGCTCACACTGCACGATCTCGTCTATCTCGACCTATCGCGTCTATTCGAGAAGTGCGTTCAAATCGGATGGACGGGTCTCGAAGTCGGCTATGGGGTGATGTACGAGGAGAAGTTCGCGAGAATGTTGTTGTTCGTCCATTCGCGCAGAATGTTGGATCGGAACAGCGATTTGGAGATGTGGATTGTCGGGAAGCTGTGCACTGGCGAACGGGAACAAGTCGCTCAGGTCAAGACGATCATCACAAAGATCAAAGCGTTGACGAATCATGATGTCAAAGAACGTTGGAAACCATTGTACGGCATCAATTGTTTCCTTTTCGATTTCTCATTTTCCGATGAGGAAGAAGTGGAAGAAGAAGCTGGTGTAATTTTATAATGTTCTCCGGTGCCTAAATAGGTTATTAATAAACGGTTTTTATCTAAAATTATTTGTTATCCAAAATCGAATTTTCATGTAAACAATAACAAATACCCGATAACAAAATAACAATAAAACAACAAAAAAAAAATAACAAAAGAGAAACAAATAACAAAAAAGCAGATTAATGTACAGACTTTGTTTTCTTCTTCTTCAATCGTTTTCCCAATGGATCGGGAGTGTCAGGAATTTCGGCTTGATTTGCGGTTCTAGAAAAATTCCGAATAAAAATGTTTTTATTTTAAATTTACCTTTTACTCTTTACGCTGACAAGCTTCGATGCGTATTTCATTCCTCCTTGTTCAAACGCTTCTTCGAGTTCCTTCTGATCCGTCGTGATTTCATACTTTTTCAATTCTCCACTGAGTTCCGCAAGAAGAGCCTTCCGATCGCGTTCTTGTCGATTTTTGATCTCTCTGGCGGCATTCTCGAGTTCGTCATCCAACGAAATCGCCAATGGCTTGGCGTTGGTTAGCGAATTCTGAGCACTATTAGCATTTTCGGCCGTTTCCTTATTCATTTCATTTCTGTAAAATCGAAATGCTTAATAAGCACGATGGAAAATAATCTCACTTCAAAGCGTTTTCGCACAACTCGTCAAAATGATCGCTAATTCGACGAACAGCTTTGGTGAGAAGAGCAAATACCTAGAAAAAATCAATGAATAAGTCGAAAATTCCACGAAAATGATTACCTGATTAATCGGCAAATCAAGTTCTTTGACAATTTCGTCGAAATTCTTATGCTGAAGTCCGCGAGCAAGAATGATAGCTGATTGGGTCACGGCCAATTTCAGCTGAAATTCTCAATATTTTTCGAATATATCAATAAATTCAATTACTTCTGCAGGAAGACGCTGCTCAAAATACAAGCGAGCAATCGTCGGAAGCAGATCGGTGATGAAATGCGATTCAATCATATTTCTTCCATACAACGACAAGCGGCGAAGCTTTTTGTTTGTGAGCAATCGACTCAACTCTTGGCGATCAATAGCTAAAAATCAAAATATTCATGCACCAATTGCTTATTTTTAACTTACGATTTCTTTTCAATCCTTTCTCTACTTGTTTATTCTTCAACTGAAGCAATGAAAGAGCCAATTGAACAGAAAAATGTTTGAATTCAAAAGAAAGAAGTTCGATGAGCTTATCACGGAATTCCGTCCAATAGACAGGAAGCCATTTCGACTCTTCATCATCATCATCTCCATCGTCCAAAGCTTTGAGCATAATGCAAGTGTGCTCTCCGGTGATATCATTGGAAGTTTGACGAATGTAGACAGGAACGAATTCAGCTCGTTTCCAGAATTTCAAAAGTGGAACAGTAAGACCAAATGAGACACCTGAAAAAAAACACAAACGAGGTTCTCTAGGTAGAAGCGAGGCAAAAAATTACCCAAATAATCAAGCTTTTCCGGTTTTCTTTCCTCGAGTCTCATCAACAGCGGAGGAAGATCTGCACGGGGTTCGATGCGTTCTTCGAGCAATTCAACAGTATGCCCATCCTTGAAATTCAAAAAAAAATTATGATTTGCGAAAAATCTCACCTTGACTTGCTTGATTGCCGTTTTCTTCACTTCATTCTCACTAAGTGATGTCACATGTCCCATATAATACTCCTGGATCAATTCGACTGCACGGCTACCGTATCCCATACTCTAGAAAATTTCAATAACCCAATATATGTAAATGGAAATTCGAGATACCTGATAGTCTGGGTGAACCGCCACTCGAACAATTCGTCCTCCACACAAAGATCCGAATTCGTTATCCAAAAATTGTTGAGAAATTGTCCATGGCAACAAGTCTCCGGCGGCACGTTTTCCGCGCTCTAAACTATCTTCAACATTCGTGATTTTTCCTTCAAGGCACACTTGGACGACAGCCAAAACCTGATTGTATGATTGATTAAAACCACAAGAAAATTACGGAAAAAAAAACCTCCGGAATCGATTTTTTCGTTTTTTTCACTGGTGCCATAAGAACGAACAAATTATGAGCGGGCGCATCGCTGAGCATCTGAACAAAAAAAACGCGTTAAAAGCGATTTACTTGAAGAGAAGCGAACCTGTAAATCATTGGGCGTGTTTTTGTAGTGAGCAGACACAAAAATCGCCATAATTTGTTGTAGGAATGCCTCAGAAGCGTCATGAAATGAGAAGAGAGTATCTCGATTGACGATGTACCTTTAATAAGAAAAATATGAGAATATAATTGAATAATGCTACAATTCGCAATCGGCAGGTGGGGGAGTTCCACAATCCAACTTTGGTAAATTATTCATCGAATCAAGACACAACAATTTGTTGAGCCATTTTTCGATTTGATCACCCGGTTTATAGCGAATACTCTCCTCCATTTGAATTTCATGCAAAATTCTTCCTAAATAACGCATAATCGAGAATTTCAAAGATGTTAATTGATTACCTTTGCTAGCCGTCGTTTTTCCTTCTCCAGTCTCTCCAGCCGATTGTTTTCTCAACTGCTGCAACAATTTCAGCGACAAACTCCGCCCAGTTCCTTCATATCCATTAATTGTAGATGCAAGGAACACCATGTAAGGCCCCGAAATCAACTCCTTGACAATTGGCAGCGGAATGGCAGCGGCCTCGTCGATGACCACCAGCTCAGCTTGTCCGAGACTTGCAGCATCAGTTGGATTAATATACTAGATTTTGGAAAATCAAAATACAAAATTTCAGTAGAAAAATTGTTACCTGAATGGTTTGCCTATGATCTCGGAAGATGTTGATACGAACGAGGCATTTCCCAAAATCTGGATTCGAAGATTGTATCAGCTCATAGTCAGTATGTTCTTGATAATCGAGCACGTCAAATCCTTTTACGATGAACTCAAAAAGTGTCTTCAAATTTTCAGGAGTTGGAGATGTCACGAAGATGTTGGTATAACCGAAAGCAATTGCGCCAGCAATTGAAAGACCTATAAGAGTTATTGATAATACTACAAGTTTTCAGAAAACAGTTACCAATCGCGGCTGATTTACCGCGACCACGAGCAGCTGTTAGCGAACATGTCAAATTACTCTGTTTTTCAGTAATAGCATCGAGAAATCTGAAGTTTTCTTAAACTTGAAGTACCAAAATTTTATCAAATGAATACCTAAGAAGAGCTTTCGCCTGACAAGCGGTTTTGCATTTGCTTAATAGAGGCCCAATTGGTTTTGTGTCCTTCATAGCTTCTTTAAGACTCGCCAATTCTGCTTCATTTTCACTTTGCGCTTTCTAAAAAGATTTATATTTAAAAAAAACAAAATCATTATGAAAATGATACTTTTTGACTAGCGGTTAATGGCTCCATTTTTTCAATGTGAGAGGAAATTGGCAAAACGCGCAGTTGATCATCGAGAACCAGAATTGACGAGCAACTGGCCAGAGAAAGGATAAATCGTTCATTAAATCGTGCAATAATCTCGTTATGAGCTTCGGTTCGATATCGATTATGAACATCCTAAACAAAATTGCATGCCTTAGCTGCATTTTTACAATTCGTTGCAAACCATAGTGATTGTATAAATTTGCCTTAAGGACTTAACGCTTTGCATCAATAAAATGACCACACCACCTCCTTCAATTGTTTCAATGCTTCTCGCCAACAGATTTGGCGTCAATGCTTCGAAATCCTTTAAAAAATTTGATATACAATTCATTCGGAAAGGACGAAACCTGAAGAACGAGCATTCCATAAGTGTTTCCAAGAATTTTGTGCGACTCGTTATAGTAACAATAACGAATTTGTGTCGACGCGATAAATGTATCAAACGGGTCAGCATCGAGAACATTTCCAGAAATCGTCGAGCTCGTTTTCTTTATTTTCTTCACCCGTTTCTGGTGATGACTCGAGAAGCCCAACTCCTACAACCACGGGTAATTTGTGTGTTCATTTGAGTAATCAAACCTTTTTGTAACACCACAAAACATTTGGACGCGCGGCAACTACGGATTTTGACAAAATATGATATATAATTGGGACTTGGTATCTTGCTTTGTCTCCAATTAGTGCAAAACAACTTCGATGCCCAGTGGCAACATTGTTTTCAATCAAAGTCCGAATTCTTCCATCAAGTTTCGTACGCATCTCTAAAAATAAATAATACTCGCTGCAAACGCGGAAAAGGCCTAAAAATGCAGAAATTCCGGTGGCCGACTTGTCTCGTTGCGTCCAATGCACTGAAGGTCACGCGCAAATGCACATCGGTATTCAAAGTTTTTGGGCAGGTGTTGTTCGAGAAGATCAAGATTCAATTATTCCATGTAAAAAAATAAATTCATTTATTTCGAAAACAATAATAATAATAACAATAACAAAAATCTTAACTATTCCTAAAAATGGTACATTATAAAACCCGCTCTTTTTCCGGCGCGTCATCAATAATTCCACTGATCATTGGAATTTTGCGAAGATAATCGAGAATCTTCTGCTTCACCGACGTCGATTCGTGAGTCTCGCTAATCAACTTCTTCGCCAATTCAGCGTCATACTCAAGTGTGTTGAACATTCTGAAAGCAACCGAATATCAGAAAAAAGTGGGTCGTCAATAATAACCGTTCTCGTCCCCAAAGAAGGGCGTACATCGAGGCAAATGAGACAACCATTTGGATAGCAGCACATTGTGCGATAATCGGCCGAGCTCCTCGGCTTCCTGAATTATGCAAATTTCAAAAAACAATCCCCCCTCATTGAACCAAGAGGAACCTTCCCATCCTAGTGTCAAAAACTCTAGCAGATTTTTGACCGCCGGTTGCTTGCTGCTTGCCCCTTCTCGTTGTAGCAACTAAAACAACACAATTCATTTCTTATTTTTTGTTGTTTCACAAAAATGTTACCACATAATTCGTCAAATACGGTGTTGCCAGCATTGGAATCAAAATGCCAGTCACCAGACCAATAACTATGCTATTTATGACAACGCATGTTGGACAAGGCGACATTTCATTGTACACTTTTGGTGTGATGAACATCTTTAAAACAAATCTCATATAATAGTTAAATCAATGCCAAAAATATCTCACTTGATATAGCATATAATATGTTACGCCAGCTGAATAAATTCCGAACACGAACGGACTTTTTGGGCATTTTTGAACCGATTCCAGAAATTTTGTTTTCGGATCAAATAGGAAAACATCGGAATTGATTCGGGTTGCTATTTAAATAAAAAAAATAAATAAGTTTGAAGGCGAACATATTCTGAATTAATTACCAATCATAGAAGAAGTGAAACAATTCGCTATGAGACCTGCGTGCACCGGCCATGTTAATGCTCGTCTTTCCATTGCAAACGGCCAGTTCGTCGATAATCGGCTCATCATTTGGGTTTGATCCGAGGCGGATAATGCCGAGAAATTCGACCAAATGTTGGATCGCGCCTCTCCAATCGATAGATCTCTAAAATTTCCAATCGTTTCATGTGTCTCACAAAAATACATCAATTTGTCGCGGAAAATTGGCTACATGCCAAAAAATTCAAGACGTCTTGATGGGCACTGTGCGCCTTTAATCTATACTAATACGTAGGTCCGTAAATCTATAATTTTAATTTTGCACCAAGATCACTGCCACTCTGTTTTTTTTTTTGGAATTTAGCAAATTTTCCCGCAGTCGCGTGACGCCGACAATATTTTATTTGAAAGAAACAACGAATCACGAAATTCAAGCACACTTTCTTTTGCTGATAATGTTACGAAGGCAACTGAATTCTTAACTTTAAAATTTTTTTTCAGTTCTGTTTGGTATCGACACGGAGATGCTCGTGGAATTCATTTATCAGAATAGCCTCAAAAAACACACAAAGAAGCTTTGTTCACCATTAAAATCAAAAGTGAACACGCATCGTCGTTTATATATAAATTTGATGAAACCGATGTTGACAAATTTCTTAATAATTATGTCAAACATTTAAAACGTTTGTCATTCGGACCACAGGAAACTTATAGCAGAATATTGATTTCAATTCAATTTCAGAAAGCCAAATCAGTTCGATTATGCCGAATTTTCAAAAATTGTATTAAAGTTTCACGAGTCATTCTTTTTGGCCAAAATTGAACAAAAACAGAGAGATTTTTTTAAACCGATTAATCGTTGGTATTTTTCTTTTTTAAAACCATTCAAAATTATTTGACATTCCATAATTGGCAAAATTACAGTAATATGTTCTAAGCAGGGTCTCGAAACGAACCTTTTTCCAGTTTGCGCCGTCAATTGTTTCGAAATCTCATCCGAATTTCGCCACAACGCCAAGAATTTTTCATCGGGCCTATCAACGCTCATCTAAACCCAAAAATTCATTCAAAAACCGTTGAAATTGACAATATTCGAAAGTCGAAAAAACCTCGAACAAGGATAGCTCCAAAAAAAGACAAAAAAATAAGAAATGATTATATTCATTTTTATATAAGTATACAAGTACTTAAGAAATAGGAATTTTTTGGTAATAAAATAAAATAAATATTCGGACAACGATTCTCGCCAATCAAATTAAATACACAAACGGGGTCAGGAAGTGATACAAAAAAATGGACAAAGAAACAAATCCTAAAATCGTAAAAAAAAAGAAATGAAAAAAAAACTTAAAATTATCTGGGTGGAGAGACAAGTCAGGTAGTAATAAGCAGTAGTATTTTACAGAAATCAATGGGTCTAATTCATTTTGGCCGGCAAAATTCACAACTCGGTTGGGGCAGATAGAAACGGGACTGATCAATACATTATATATATTTATATTTATATATATGTATGTATATAAATAAAAGGAACGAAAAAAGAAACGACCAGAAACTTCTCTAGATTTCGGCAATTCGTAGATTTTTGAACGGAAAGCGAATGTGGAGGAACGTACGGCAACAAAAATGGATTTTGTTAGATCACTGAGTAAGACTAACTTTCGACACAATCTCGACAATCTGAAAAAAATTTTTTAATGAATAAGCCTAATTGAATTTTTTAAAATTTGAAATCATAAATTTTAATTAATGAATTTTTCAAAAATGAAAGAATAAAATATACTTGCCAGAAAATGTAAAATTTTGCGCAAACATCGCAGTTTTGGCGTGTCAATTTAAGCACCGATTTGTCATTTCTTGAAAATTTTCAAGTTTGAGTGGTAATTTTAGAGAAAAATAAAAACAAATATCAATTTTGGCGTTTTAGAAACATTAAAACAAACCTGGAAAAAATAACGACGTAGATTGGAAAATTCCTAGAATTCGGTATGAAGGTGGAAGCGAATGCTGAACAACAACAACAACAAAACGGAATGACATCATAACCTTGTCTGAAACCAACGAAATTGTCGATTTGTCGTTTTAGGATTTCAAGCGATTGAGGCAACATTCATGGTCTATCACAACAAACATTGAAAACAAATGGTTAGTGCATTCATCGGTTAGCAATTTTCAAGCAGCGATCGGACAATGCGAATCAAGCAAATACACGAAATGAATACACGAAGAAAGAAAAAAAAACGTACTGCCTCATTATTTCTTAGATAGATTTGAGGCTCTCAGCGCGATTTAGCCTGCAAAGAAAACCAAAAAATAAAAATATAAACAAATAAAAAGGAAAAATTGCAGAATTTGGGTGATTTTGTATGTGTGTGTGTGTGTGTGTGTATGTGCGGTTCGTTTGATCGAGCACCAAGGGGAAGAAATATAGTGAGAAGGGTAGGAGAAAAAAAAAACGAAAGAAGCCGGCCAATAGGGGGAGAGAAATTCCAGAAAAAAATCACTAGTAAAAACTCACAATTTCCTCTTCCTCTTCTTCTGGTTTCTCTTCAACCAGCGGCTGATTCTCGCCTGGTTTCGCTGGAGCCGGACTAGCAAACAGTCGCTCAACCTGTAGAGCTCATTTGTTGATACGAACGATTCTGATTCTCAATCTTGAATACCTTCTTCTCCTTCTTTTCCGTCGACATCTGTTGTCCGCCTTCGCGATATGATCGCCGTAATGGAACTCGACTCATATTCGAGCTCGGCATGATCGGATGAACATCGCGAGCAGAAATCACTGCAAAAAAATTTCTAGAAATTCGTGGGATAACATTTTAAATATATCTCGTTTTTTTTGCAGACTCAATTTAAAGGATCATATCTTGAGACAACACTTATCGGATATACGGTAGGATGTGTATATTGGAAAAATCTTGCCATCCAATGTGTGAAAGTCAATTTTCGAATTACAAAAAAAAATAACTGAGAGTTGTGTTGAATGTTAGAAGGAACCTGGTCATCAGTTAACACAATTCCACCATTTGGTGTTTGAATAATGTTAAATCTCTCTCTCTCTTTCCCTCCACCATATTTGGCGTGAACATGGTTAGTAAAAGCACCTTGATCCTCTTGCGTCTCCTTTCGCGCACTGTACAATCTCGTCGATTCGCGAGCGGTCTGCGAGCCAAAGTATCCGTCGTTCGACGCGTACTTTTGACCGACACTCGCGCTCGTGATCGTCTGATCCTCGTCGCCACTGGCTCCCATGTTCTTAAGCATCGTTCGCTTTCTCGATGGCGAACTTTTGAGCGCTGAAATGGAAGCAAAGATTAGACAAAAAAAAAGCCCGAAAAAAACGGTCCCGAAAATAACTTTAAAAAAAAACAGGTTCGTCGTTGTGTATGTGTACCACAATATGTGTATGGGTGAGATTACGATATTCCAAAAATGAAATTAAGGGATAAATCAAAAATTGACGACTAATTAATTCAAAGGCACACGGCGCCTTTAATGAATCAGCAGGCAAGGCATTGAGCTCAATTTCAAGCTTTATCACCTTGTCAGCTGCTCATGACTCATAAATCTACAAAAGCTGCAAAATAAAAAGAAAGGAAAGAAACCCAATCTAGCGTAATCAGGCGGACTCGATGGGGGTTAGGAGTAAAATGCGAACCGGGTTAGAATCATGCTCCAAATTTGGGAGCGAAACGCTTGAGAACGGTGTTTGAGCGCCATTCCGAAGCATTTCGACTGATCACCACCATCACCACCACAAACACGAATTGTTTTCCCATAGAAATCGGTAGAAGGAGTAAATAGTGAGCACAAGCACACCGACTATTCGCAACCAAATAAGAATTGAGAGAAAAAAAACCGAAACAGAAATTGAGACACGAAAAAAAAACCAGAAAGGAGAGTGGGTTGCATGTTGAAAAAATTCACCAAGGTAGCTGTGAACGAGCGTACGAAATTTGGCGCTTCGTTTTTCGTCGGCTGCAATTTCAGAAAAAAACTAACTAATAACTACACACCAGTGTTAGGAATAAATTGGGTTGGGGAATCGGGAGGATCGGGAGGAATTTGGATGGGGCATTGAAAGGAACACAGCGAAATGGGGGGGGGGGCGTTTAGTGGTACAATGTGAGTGGGAAATGGGCATTACATTTGTAGAAAAAAAAAATAGAATAGGGGGAAAAACCTCTGATGTAACCCGAATTGACGATATTGCTGTTTCGCTAAGGACCGAAATCCATATGGTGGAGTTAGATTTCAAAAAAGAAAACACAAAAATCGAAACGATGCGGGTTATATTAGAGGTTTTACAGTAATCATAGCTGGTTAATAAAGTGGTCTTGGCGGGAAATTTTCAGAAATCTATCCAATCCATACATTCATGAAAAATTATGGTATTATGAAGATTTTGGAAAAAAAAACTCAACTCAAAACCCATGTTAAAAACCGAGCGAAAATTAGTTTATTGTTGTGATAAGAGTTTTTTCAAACCGATTTTTCGAGTTTTCCGAAATCTACATTCCACCAATTATGTTTTGAGTTAATTAATCAAAACGGGGCTTTCGTGATGAGATACAGTGACGGGTTTGGAGGGGAAACTCGCAAATAGAGATAGATTTCATTCATTCGTCGATTCAAAAACGATTCGGGCACATTACTCGTCTCGAGGCAAAGAAAATATAAATAGAGTTCGTTCGAATATTAAAGAAAATGAAATAAAATATCAAGTGAGAGCACACAAAACGAAATATGCGTTGTCTCCGGAAGAAAAAATCAATTATTTTGATTCATTTTCTTTCTTTTTTTCACGGTTTCTCGGGGATCGGGCCAATAGGCAAAAAATAGGAAACACGATACAACACGAAGACGAAATTTTCGAAAAAATCAATACCTGGTCCCTTCTTGAACACATGACCCTGCATGAAGTTCAAAAATCGTTGAGCATAAAAATTCGGATTGTGCACCGATATCGAATCCTACAAAAATGTCGATGTTTAGAATCATTTTTGTTAAACTCTAGTAAGAAAAAAGACATGATAATAATTTCAAATTTCTCAGAAATTTGAATACGGAAGTCTTTTAATATTTGATATAAGCTTGAATATTGTGATTCAATGCACCGAATCTGAGTAAAATTTCTCGGTCCGGCTTATGCCGGCCGAAACGACAAGCCTGAGTAATACTGAAGACATGATTACTATTTCAAATTTTTGACCCAATCAGAATTTTCAGCATTTTAGTATATCAATTTTCTCGCATTTTTGCTCAAATAGCATTTCATTTGATATCTCATTAGAGCCGGCGTCCGGCGCGGGTAGATTTACGGAATGCGTCCTTTAAAATGGTCTCGCCACACGCAAAGGCTTACTTTTTTTTTTAATTTTCAGTGAACTGTTAAATTTTTCTTGATAATTATATCATTTATCGAATACTTAATATCACTGAAATTAAAAATTAACGGAATGACCTCTAAAATGAAAAATAACCAGTTAGTCCATGTGAGACCTCTATCCGCGTACGGAAGTCGTCGGATGCCAAAATCTGGGTTTATTTCAAACTCAGATTTTAAATTATTAAACTGTCGGAGTCAAACGACTTGACGAAATTTAGAAAATTATTCGCAATGTGTCTCGAGGCAGCGAGAAGTACGCGAGACTGCGTACATTGCATTTAAGGGTAAGCGCATTTAATATTCAGTCAACGATTAATTTAAATCTACACTGATTTCTCGAATTTGAAGGCCTCGCCTCCCTTTTGTTTGACGCCGACAATAAATAAATAAGTTGTGACAATTTTCTAAAAAAAATTTACTAAAGTTAATATTTATTCAAAATAGTCTAGTACTAAACGAATTACGATAAATGGGGAAATTTTCAAAATTTCTTACTACAACTCAACTAAATATTTTCGAAATCTGGCTAAACACCAAACAATTTTAGGTAAAGCGTTTACATAGACCTCCTTTGAAGAAATCAAACGGCTATTGCATATTTTTAAATGTGAATTTTCATTTCTAGCGCGATGCGATAGCGTTTTTTTCTATTTCAACATTCATGAAGTTTCTCTTTGCCGAAATTGAATAGCTCTACACATTCTTCTATATCTATGCATTTCAAATTATATCGAAAAAAAATCTTACTCCATCATGAAGAATCGCTTTCCACGTGTGCTCAAACTTTTTAAGTAGTCGATAATTTTGCAAAATGTCAATGATACCTGAAGAATTGGAAAAAATGGGTATTGAGATTTGAAAAACGAACAAAAAAGAAACAAGAAAACACGAGTATACCTAAATACAAAACTAGTCGGTCGCCGTTTGAATTGCGGGCCGGCACGCCGCACTGCGGTAGATCAACATCGCCGGTCTCCCACACCGAATACTTTTCTTGTAATGGCTAAAATAACAATGGGATAAGGGTTCAAACGCATATTTTTTTTTCGATTTTTTCCAATGAAAATGCAGGAAATTTGGCGAAAAGTATGTATTCGCGAGTGAATTTTTAAATTTCGACGCAACTTTTTGAAAAATATGCAAAATTGATATTTAAAAAAAGACCTTATGCCCATTATTTACGCCGTCTTTACTCGTCGTTGGACCACCATTCTCATGCTTCTCCTCCTTCTCCTTCTCAGCTTTTGTCCGCGCCGCAATTTCCAAATTATGAATGCCAACAAGAAGCGAATAATCCATAATTTTAAAGCTTTCAAGTACCTGAAATATTTAATAGCAGATATTTTTGAGGAAGCAACAAATAAACAGAAAACGAACCAAACAATCTCGGCTTATCGTCTTAATTAGAGCGTCAAGGGCCACCGGATCGATCAGAATGCCTTCTCGGTGGTTTTCGAGAAAATCGAGATCTTTTAGTGTCGGCTGAGGCTACAAAAATTGAAATTCTCAATTTAAAAAGAAAAAAAAAACACCAAAACCTTTGCCCTTTCCGCCTTTGAGGCGCATCGTTTGTACGTCGAGCCTTTCAAATCATATTTCTCATGCATTGTGATTGTTTGAGGCAGCAAATTATTCATGACAAGTAGGCGAATATTTTTTCCGAGGCTCTAAAATGCTCAAATCTTTCGGATCACTCAAATTGTCGTACCTGATAACAAAATAATCCAAAGAATTTCGGCAACAGCGTCCTTGGGTTCTGGTTGAGATTCTAGAAATCGCGAAAAAAAATGCAAAAATTGAAAAGTTGTCCAAAATTACCATATAATAACCGGGTAATAATTTCTGCAAAAATTCCGCTTCTTTGTGCTGGACCGTTTTTACAATAAATTGATCATCTGAAAAATGTTGACTTTAAAAAATTGATCAATTTTTCGAGAATTACCTTGAGATACATAAAAGATTGATCCAGAAGCTCCGGCATTTGCGAGCTCTTTCAAAGGTTCTGTACATATCGATCTCTATAATAAATTTTAAAGGAGCATTGCATATTTGTGTCATTACGCCATGTTTTTTTTGTTGATTTTCATTTTCTCGAAGCGAAATGTTTATTAATTCCATATTAGTCATGATTACGACGATGATTCATGCCAAAAATTCAACAAATGCTCATCGCCAAGAAAATTTTCTATTTTGATTCTGAGATTCGAAATATTGCTCATATGAATCGAACTCACCAGAAAATCGGCAGGTTTAATATGAAAAAGATTTCGAAAATAGCGAAACGCAATCGGCGCATAAGTGCGGAATCGAAAATCGCCGAATGAATGCGATGGCGTTGTTGCCGAGCCGCTTCTGCAAGCAATGCGAGCATTTCAGTGTTTTTTTTTGCAATAAAAGAAAATAAAGAAGCTTACGCTGGAAATGAGACAATATCGACTTTCTCAAAATCCTGCAGCAACACGTCTCGATTCGGTAGTGATGCCAAACTCCCTGAAATCAATAATTATCTCGATATAATTGAAACGAGAAAAAAACCAATTAAACATCCGGTACAGGCTCCCAATATAAATTACATCAATTTTCTAATTTCCGAAAAATCAAATAAATCAAAGAAGATATTTTTTAATCAAAACTATTAAAAAAAAGAGACACAGGTATATTTTCTGTGTCAGACAAAATTTCAAAATTTTGAAACTTCGCATTATAGTAAATTGAAATAAACTGGATTCGAATTTTCTGTTACGAAAAAACACTACGCGATAGTTACAAAAACGGGGTGAAATAAGAGTTTCTAAACAAAATTTTCAAGTGATTTCCCCAAAATTATATAACAAATCAATTTTCCCTTTTGCTCTTTTATATATATATACATAATCAAGTCAAACCTATCGAGTTGGCGATTCCAAGCTGAATGGCCATCATCAGCGCGTTCGTCGGCACCTTCTTGTAGCTCACTTCGCCTTGTTCGTCGATTCGCCGATGGCCGAGCTTCTCTTTCATCTGCGATTGCGGCTCGCGCGATGTTACGTTGCCGGTCGACGTCGCCGAGTTGATGATCGGCACCTGCGACGCATCTTTCTCGGGTCTTATCACGTTCGTCGCGGTGGGCGTGGCATCCTGAACAACACACAAAAAAACGGTTATGTTATCGTTTCTGATTCGATTGTTGCTTTCGTCTTTTTTTTTTTAAATTTCTTGCTGCCGAGACATCATTCGCTTTGCAAACATTTCAAAATAACACACCCATTTTCTGTATTGCGATGAGAGTTTCTAGTTTAATCTACCGCCTTTCACTAATGAAAGCCATAAAAATACACAATTCAAAGTTCACTAAAACACATAGAAAAGCGAGGAAGTTAGAGAGCTTAAAAATATTGGAAACGCATCAAACATCACCGAGAAGAAAACCTCAATTTCGACGGCTCGCAACAAATATGCGATTTTTCATTACTATTTTCGAAAAACGAAAGGGGTCCTTTGAGAAGTTTGCTTTGAAAAGTTCAAAAGATCAAATGCCGTTTTGAAAACTCACTTTCGAAATGTCTAGCCTAGTGATTGCCATTCTCGCTGATGGCGGTTCGCCTTCTTCATCCTCTTCTGTCTTGAATGTAATCGATGCCGATGCCATTCAGCTTGCCTGCAAAATACAATACTCGCAATATCATCATCATCAATGATAAACCATGTTCAAACAAGAGGCGTGTTAAATTATGCAAAAAAATGTAGTGGAATGAGAGAGAGAGAGAACTGCGAGAATTCTCTGCATGTGTATAGATGGGCGAAGAGAAGTGCGAATGGAAATTTTGTACAGCGAGGCGATGATGAATTCCAAGAAAAAAAATGTGAAAAGTGTTTCTGCCAAATGTATGACATCTGTTCAACTAAATATTCCAATTTCATTCTTTATTGACTTAATTACACCACGATTTTTTTTTAACACATATGGATTTTGATCTGTGGACAATTTCAAGCAAAATTTCGGAGGGGCATGACTAATTCATCATGGATCGCAAAAAAAAACACCTCGAAATAGTGTGTTGACATTTTTTCCGCAGTGCCGGTGTGTTGCGGCGTGTCGCCAAGCGGGAAAAATCGATAGAGGAACGCGGTTGAAGGAAGCAAAAAAAAAGAAGAACCGAAACCAACCCAGCGAAAAAAAAAACAACATCGAGAGGGAGAGAGAGAGAAAAACGATGTCATGTATTTGTGGTTGCTCCGAAAAAAAAACGACGAAGGTACTAATAAAAAAAACGGCGACGAGGAGGCGACAAACAAAACAAATTTCGAAATACGCGTTAGGCGCCGACCTCGGCCGCCGTCCGCTTCGAAATTCACGGCATTTATTGTTTTCTCTGCCGTCGCGCGTCTCTTCCACACTTTGCACTGTTTCGTCGAACCCGCCGAATAAAAAAACCCATTGCTCGATTCCCCCCCCTCATTTTGTGGTCACGGGTGGCTCAAAATTAATTTCGCCTCGGCTTTTCATTGTTATTGTTTTATTTTATCTCTTTTGCTGCCGAATTGCGTTTTCTTTTTTGGATGCGATTGGGGGAAAACGCGCAGCGATTTTCCACGAAACTGCCAAATGGGACCATTTCCTCTTGCGAACACAACCCCCCCAAACAACTTGACATCTAATTATAGGTCAAGCTCTTTCTTTCTCTCTCAAAATTCGATCTACTAGTGGACCTCCTAACTCAATAATTTTCAAAGACCATATAATAAAAATTATCTCACGCGTGAATCATTTGAAATCAAAGATGATGAAGCGCTTCGTCGTCTTGTTCGCCGCCTTTTGAAGGGAATGACGTGCTGAGAAAGAATCTGCGAGGCGAGTGAACATTGAAGGCAATAAACATATCATGAGCACCGTCGCCGTCGCCGCGCTTATCTTGTTTCTCGACATCGAGATAGAAGGAAGTGGATGAGTGATAAGAAACAATTTCGAGAAAATTGAAAATCACAAAAAAAATGTTGAAGCGATTATACATATTTTTGTATTTCCTTTTTTAATTCTTTCGGCCTTGAGATAACTTTTAATGAGAATTCCCATTTTGCGAAAACTATTCAGAATGCTCCTTTAAATATATTATCCAATTTGAAGTTTACACTCACGAGCTGCTTAAATAAAGCTCAAAGGTCTCTTTGATGATCTTTTCTAGCCTCTCGGTGAATACCTAAAAAAAATAAGAGAATCCTTTATGCCAAGGGTCAAAAATTGAATCAAGTGCAGATTTACTATCACGGTCTCACCACGAACCAGACAACGCCTCATCAAAGAATTCGATTCAATTAAAATCTTATCAAAAACTAGAATTCGCATCGTTAAAATTTTTCGACGACGAGTAACTGAACAAACCAAAGTTCTAATTTTTTTGAGAATAACGTTATTCCGATGAGTCTCGTCGTCGATTTCCGATTTACAAACATCAACGGTTTACTGTCTTATGTTAATTAAAAAAACACTCACGCTGATTTTAATGATAAACCGCTTTTTTGGCACTATCTCACTTTTCATCGTTTCCAATCGTTGTTGTGATTTCGCGGAACAGTGTAACCCAATCTGCCGTTTCCGAAGTTTATCAAAAACACACAAATACACGGCAGAACTGAATTTCTTGCCGAAAAGTGCGGAGATGAAAAAAAAACAAAAATGTGGAAACGAGACCTTCTCTAAGTTCCGATATCGTGTTCTGTGATTGTGCATAGGAATGTCGAAAAGAGAAATCTGAAAGAGAGAGAGAGGGGGGGGGGAAATAATAAAGAGCGGAATCACAGAATTCGTCAAAATTTACGAACAGTTTCAAAAACAATACGAGAAAAAAATCGAAAATGTCTCAATAAAAATTAAAAAATCGTGTGAATTCTCACGTGGGACAAATCCAAAAAACTGATTCACGACAATAGCCACATGGATTTAAAAACAACATGTTTGTTGAGAAATACTAGATAGCACGGATTGCTATATTCCTAGTGAATGAGCCTTTAAATGTGGTCTCAAGACAGTCATTCGTAACCGAAAAACTCAATTTCCAGCCATTTCTCTTGTTTTTCGCATAACTCTAGCAATCCATTCGTGACGGGGAATGGATCGAACATTTTAGAAATCAGAGATAATTCTTTGAAAGAACTTGACCTGCTGAAACTCATTCTGAGCCGCAATAAATCGAAATTTGGAACCTCAAGTTCAAGCGATTCTTTTCCTTCGATATATTATAGCCATCTCTCGCATTAAAAAAATTCATATATTTCTTTTACCTTTCATCTGATCGTTTCAGTCGTATCGAATTGCGTTTTCGATAATGTTATCAACGAGAAAAAGTTTAGAAATTAAAAAGCAGACATTCTAGAATGATAATTCGTTGAATGGGCCGATTGTGAAAACAATTATTCGATAATATTCAATAAAGTAAATGGATTGATATGAAATATTTACAAATAATAAATAAGAGGTTGAGAAGAATGAATTTTTGACTTGACCCTGTGTATAGCAACCCTAATAAGGTATTTAATGAATATTATTAAAACAATTCTTAAAAATAAATGCATATTTTAATTGGCAATCATATTTTTGCGTGAAGTGTGAACGGATTTTCATTTCCTCTTTCAAAATTGCTCCGCATTTTTAATTTGCTTAGTGCAAAGAACTGAAAATTTTCAAGAATAAATCAACAACGGAGGAAAGTTGGAAATAAAGCCGGGACGCAGCAAAATGCGTTTGGACGTTTTCACACATCAAAATGGGGCATGAATTGCGTCTTGAAACGGATAATAGTTGAGGGGTCCAAACGATTCGAATTTTTTTTTGCGTCGTGGTGGGGCTCACAACAAAGAAATTGAAAAACAAAAGTTGGCAAAGATTCAGAAACGCCGAAAAACCGACCCGAAGAAAAGAGCCAAATCGATAGGCTAAAGTAGGCAAAAAAATAGACGAACGAAAAAAAGGAAGAAGAAGAAGAAACCACGGAAAATAGAAGCGCTTTATGCATCACAACACATGCCTTATATTTGACATACTTTCCTCAGACACTTCAAATGATAATAAGAAAGAAAAGAGTTTCTCTTTATGGAAAAATGGGAATGAAAAATGGATGAAAAAAGCAGTTTTGGAAAAGAAAATTTGTGTCGTCGATTGTACTGTATACTGTGCATATAACTAATCACGTGTTTGCGTACTTCTCATAAATTTACTCAATTTCTCAATTTAATTTCGACATTTTCAAAAATTATTTTTGGCTAGTTTTTAGCGCATGCTGCAGGTTTCGGAGTGAAACTTCCAATAATTGTGAAGAATGCATCCTGAACTCCTGTGGGAAGATAAGAGAATGGGATAAACCTGAAATGTTGTTTTTTGCGCGTTTTTACCACAAAACATTCTTTTTACACAAAAACTGAATCCCATCCAACTTGGTATCTTGACTTTGGGTACTTTGACGTAATTGCATGAAAATATGCGTCGACGACGAGATTGATGTTATCACTTGCGAATTTGTCGATCAGCGAATGTGATGTTCCGGAAACTGTAAACAAAATGTGGAATTGTTCGTTGAATTTTGGTTATAACTTTCTTGGAAATACTTTTCACCATATTCCGCTTTAATATCGGCTGGACCGTTTTCAAACGCTTCTTCAAACTCTTTCTAAATAAAAAAATATCTCATAGCAATTGTTGCTTAGTTTACCTGTAGTTTTTCCCGCTGAACCAATGGTGTCTTGAAGAATCCTGGCTCCAAAATATGTACAGTAACTCCGAATGGCCGCATTTCGTGTCGTAAAACATCACAATAGCCAGAAACTGCGTATTTCGATACCGTATAGGGGCCAAGTCCGGGAATTCCTACCCTCGCGCAAATACTTGCCACCGTCACCACGCGACCTCTAAACTGCATTGGCTCTAATCCGGATCAGTCAAAAAAAAATTACTTGGCTCTTTTAACAAGTTTCAGAACATGCTTGGTCGAACGCATAACCCCAAACAAATTGATTTCGCAGCATTTATAATAATCATCAATCGAAAGGAAATCGTCGGCAATGTGCATTCCAGTGATTCCAGCATTATTGACAACAGCATGCAGTCCTAAAATTGTTTCGCGATTCAAATTAACATTGTTGAATGAATCACCTCCATATTTCTCGACCTTCTCTTCCAAATACTTTCCTGCTCGTGCCACACTTTCCTCGTTGCCAACATTGACTTGTAACGCGTCAAGGGTTCCCTTGAGGTTTCTAGCCTCCGCGCGAAGACTTTTTATCCCCTAATATAGTAATTTCTCTATATACCAAAAAATAATAGCTGTGGTCTTGGCGCAAAACTAAAACTGTGGATTTACGGGGCGTTAAAGGCCCCCAGCGCGCACCGGGACCTCTTTTAATTTTTTGGAATTCAACTAATTTTCCGCACTCGCGTGAAATCGACAATAATTTTGTTTGAACTTCCGCCAAAACAAATTCTATGCAGATTGCAGAAAGAAACATTTTAAAAAAACTGCGAAATGTCCGCAGATGTTTAAAATGAAATTTATAGCGTATCGTCACTGTTTTCATTTTTTGAAGCCGCCCTTGGTCGAATAAGAAACTTTATTCATAAGACAATTTTTTGAAAAAAAAAAAATGTTTTTAGAATGGTTTGAATACGGAAATAAATATTTGAAAACTTGATATTTTCGATTTTCTCGATTGAATATGAAAAAAACTGTTTTGGCCCGGCTTCGGCTGAAAGAAACGACACCTCTGTCAGAGGGAGGACACAATCAATTTTGAAAATTAAATTAATAAAATTTTTCAATCGAACCTTTAAAAGGGCAATGCTAAAAATATTGATGGGAAAAAAAGTTTTCTTTTTTTTTTTTAATTTTTTCAGGTTTTCCCTATAAATCCTACCTGTTCTGTCAAACATCCCGCGAATACTGGCATTCCATTTTCGAGGCACTTCAAAGCTAAAGCTCTTCCAAATCCTGAAATAACCCACTGTAAGCCATTTGTCCAATATTAATCACCTGTATCACATCCTGTTATGAAGACAGGTCTTCTCGACAAATTGTCAATCACAAAACTATCCAAATATTTTCTGAGAGCTTTATAAGCAATTGCGAATATTATCCAATATATGAGTAGTTCAAATATGGTCGTATTGAGGATAAACGAGAGAATCGAAGTGAAACCCATATGAGCTGAAAATGGAAATGTTTAGTGGTCAATTGAATACTCAAAAACCGTCAAACTGCTCGTTATCGTTATCATGAGCAAATGGGTCAGTTGTTCGATTCTGCAAAACGTAGTTGACGGCTAGAGTCTACCCATGCTCTAATAATTATTTGCATTAAATAAAAATCAGTTTGATTTTTAAATTATTATTTTTTAAATAATTTTTTAAAATATTTCAAACGATAATTTAAATCTGACATTTTAAATATCCAGTTTGAAAATCAAAAATAAAATTTAAAGCAACATACCATTTGGAAAGCGAAACTGAAGTGAAGGGATTATACTGTTTGAATTGGATTATGCAATTTCTCAATGCCGTTTCGTACCGTCATTCTTCGATATTCTGAGGAAATTTGAAGAATATTATTGAAGAAAATGTCGAGATTTTTTGACACTCCTTTTTTTAAATTGAAAGATATCGAGATTTCATCAATCATTTCTTGAGAAAATAGTGACAAGCAATCTGGACCCCAGTGAATCTTGATTTATTTTTGACGAACGTTTTCGGGTTAAAAGTGAGGAAGGGGTCTCACACACACCGGGCCCTGAAAATTACAGAAAATGGTTCATTTGAATATTTCTTGTTTTCGACATGTCCAGAAGAGGAGTCGATTCCCCCAAATTGTCATTAGAGTAATTATCCAATTGTGCAGAGTGCTCTAGAGAGTCAATTATGAAGTTCAATTTCTGAGGTGGTTTTAGTGATTGGAATCTCAAACTATGGTTGAGCAAAGAAGAGATGAAACAAGAAAGGTTAAATAAAAAATAAAAATAGAAGCGTGTCTGTATTTGTGTGTCGAACTTTTTATATGGGAAGCAGGGAAATGATCTTTTGCGAGTGCTCGATCAGCCTTCATAGCCTGAATTTTGCGAAATCAAACTAATTTTCAAAAATTTCGAACTTGATGGAAGAGGGCCCGATTAGTACACTTTTGACAGGTTTTGGTATCATTTTTTGAGATATCCTTAACAGAGAAGGTGCAATCAGAAGAAGTCGATTATGAATGAATTGTCAGTCTTTCCCACCATCATCAACTCCCCTCGCGGCCCTGTTGTGTCTATCCCTATTTTATCTTTTATTTCTCTATTTATTATATATTACTTTACATCTGTTATATGCTATTTTATCAAGAAACTCTTGTAATCAGCAATTCGTACGTTACTCGCTCTTACATTGTTAGCAGCGAGTGGTTGCGATGGATTGCATCACCACCGATGGGAAGGGGCACCAGGTAAGTCAGTTTTCTTTTCTTAAGGAGTTGAAAGCGTCACAGCGGTCACCTGAGTAGATTAATATGAGTGAGAAGGAGAAGAAGAAGGGAAGATTCCGTTTTAGGTTGGCCACCTTAAGTGTTATTTCTTTGTTTAGGTAAGCACCCTTAAGATAACCCAAGTATGCATCATACACAGATAGTGGACACATTTTAACGGATGAGATAAAGAGATACGTGAGTCGCGAAAATGGACGAGAGTTGCGCCAAAAATATTGAAAACGGGTAAATTGCGCCAAAAGATAGGAAAGTACGCCAAGAGGCGAGAATCGCGCCAAGGTGTTACGCCCTAAAAACGAGAAGAAAATGACGTGAACGGCGCCAAAAGAGCATGACCGCACCCGAAGTCTATGAGAAGCTAGCGTCACAGGGCATAAAAGATGCCGAGAGAAATCGGAGTCCATTTGGGACGACTTTGATCACAAATTCCCGTTGACAAATTTCAGTAGCGAAACTATAAGAGTCCAGTCTCAAAACGTACTCGGACACAAAGATATGAGCATTGCAGAATCTACAACCGGAGAAGACATGGAGTCACGGGAATGCGGAGTGAGGAGCCCGAAACAGCTCCTATCTCGCGTCGGCGGATCGTAAATTCCTTGAAGAGACGTGTTATCATACAGGCAACCGGGAGACGAGAGCGGTACGGTATCGTTGGCGTGGTGATAGGAACCCTGATAAGGAAGCGAAGCCTATGGCAACGAAGGGGCGGAGACAGTAGCTGGGGCTCGACGCGGTGATAAGGAGCAATCATTCTGCTGTTCTGAGCCGATCGAGGACGGTGTTCAGCCAAGCCGACCCAAACAGCCGGGTGGGCAACCGTACGAAAACGGCTTAGTGGTGGCATCCCCGTCCTTACGACCCGCTCCTCATCGTGCATTAACCAGACATTGTTACAGAAATGCTGCGCCTGACACGGACGCCGAAACAAACAGCCACCCGCCGCCTACCATCGAAACGACCCGTCGACACCGGTAAATATTTTTGTAACTTTCCAATTGTAGTGCAGTCGGTAGAGCGCTACCTGACCGTTCGTTCAACTGATCAACCCCGCCCCAGTATGTCAATCCACGGCAAAAACCCCAACGCCCATGCCGCGAACTCCACACAATAGCGCGAGAAGAAGATGCCCTTGAACAGCTAAAAATTAAGACTGATGACAATGTCAGCAAGTTCGAGAAGCGCGTAGGAACTTTAGAAAGAAAAGTGGCCGCCTTGGCTTACGGCCAATAGCCTGGAACAAAGCGACTTCTATATGAACCAATGGAACTATATGAACCAATGGAATACATCGCGAATCGCATGAACACAAAAGCCATACCACAGGAATAGAACGAAGACGACGGACCCAACACGTCACCATCCGCAACATAGTGCTAATTAGACAACCACCGATCACCCCCAAAGCCACCAAGAACATATCCCGAACTGGAAGACAGATTGATCGAGAGAGGCGACGTTGGAAGCACAAACCCCAGGGAAGGCAAACGGCGTCCACGCGTTCTTCCTACTCGACATTTGAGCAAACGTATCTATGGCCAACGCCCGTTGCTTAAGTCCATTAGGCATTCACATAATAAGGAGCGACATCCTGGGGTCACAAGAATCATAATCCGACACCGCTTCCAATTCGTCAACAATGTGGCGTCATCGCACACTTCAGACACTTTTGAGTTCATCTTAGGAAATGACCGAATAGCTCGCTTGCCACCGATAAGCTATGACTTCCGCGCAGGAGAAATTGATCTAACGCTAGGGTGCCCCATCCCCCAGACTGCTCACGGGGTGTATCGAGTAGTATGCGCGCAAACCGTCGAAATTGAACCGAACACCGTACGGCTGATAACAGCGACATTTCAAGAAACACCAAAACTACAAGATGTTCATTATTTTAGGCATGGACGAAAACGCTGACAGCCGGCCGTCGCCGCCGATCCCGCCGACCGTAGTCGCACAGACGAATGGTAAGTTTCGCATAATCATCTAAAATTTTTCAGATGGCCAACTATGACAAACAGTAATTTCACAAATTTCAGAGCCTGCAGAAACAACGACAGAAGCAGGATGTGCACCAATGGGTGCGCACCCTGTCACGATGTTGAAACAGGAGGAGGCGCCAATTGGCGAGGAAGAGGTTCCACAACCCTTCAAAGCAGTGAAAAGGACCACACTGGCCGACGTGGAGTCAACCGAACACACAACGAAGCCCACGATTTTCCGAACATACGACCAAGCTGTGGCGGCCCCTCTATCGGGCAACCCACACGTATACGGATACATATCATCCGTATACGGAGGAAAGGCGTTGATCCACGTGCACGAAAGCCCGGAGATCGTCATCGTCCGTGCCGAACAATTCACCCTGCTGGAGGGCACAATGGACGGCATCAACTTCGCCACGGTGCCACTATCGACCACCGTGCGGGTGTACGGCGTGCGAAGCGGATCGACCAACGGAACCAAGGGCACGAAGACCCCACGGCTGCACCAGACCAAATGGCGGGCGACGCGGATCCAACTGGTCCGCACCGATTTCTTCCGCACCCGCGCAGTAGCCATAACGGAACCGCGGCTGACGTCAGACACTCAAGTCGTCAAGCTGATAACAGGTCACACGCCGAACGGCTATAGGATGCGAGTCGACTTGATACCAGTTCATGACCAGAGACGAATGATCAGCGAAAACAATGCCGGACAATTCTACATGGTCGACGCAGTACGGATGCCGCCGTTCTTCCATCAAACAGACGACGCGGAAGGAGTCGCCGTGACCTTCAATGCAGACGAGAAGGAGGCGTTTGAACGACGCAATCAGAACGACGACAGGCAACCGCCCCGCGAATGGACCTTGGCGGATCCTAGACCGACGACGGAACACGAGATAGAGATGATCGCAAACAAATGCAAGGACGTGCCAATCACTCGGTTCGAGACACACCAAAGGTATGTCGGCTCGGCAGCCACCGCCGTCGCCGCCTACGTCGACCGAGCCCAGAGCCGACACATCACGGAGCAGACAGTGGAACGCACGATCCAGATCAAGACGCGACGGGAGCAGCTCACCACGACTATCTCGGTGCCCAGAAGTTTCGTGGAAGACGCCGATCCCCTAATCGATTCATGGATCACGGGAAAGACGGTGACGGCACGATTCCCAGTGGGCGAAAAACGATTCACCACCATGGCGACAGTCAAGGAGATCACCGTAAGCGGAACAGAAGCAATGGTCAGACTCCAGTTCTCACAATCAGCCACCCGCTTCATCAAGGCCTGGACGCGAGAGCACGGGAAAAGCAGCGTGACCATCGGACCCGACCCGGAGCAGAGTTTGGACGCCACGCAAGCCATCAAGAGGGAGTTCAAGACGACCACAGTACAATCGGAGATCTACCAACAATACATTGGCAGGAAGACAGCTCAGAAGAAGCAGCAGTTGGTGACAAAGGAGCAGCGTCAACTCGGGAGCATCACGTTGGACGAGGCCCAAACTGATGCGCTACGATCAAGCTTGGCTCAACAAGGAATCAGCGTCACCATCGCTCCCCCGGGCTCCGGAAAGACGGCGCTAGTCTCAGCTTTGACTAAACAGTGGCTAGAATCAAAGTAGGCTTCGACCATCGTCATCACCGGTCCAACGAATCAGGCGATTTCGTCCGCATTGGCACCACTGGAGGCCGTCATTCCAGCGGAGAAGAGGCGGATGTGTCGATATGCATCCAAGCACATCGCCGACGAGGACACCGACGATCAGCGATTCTTCATCGAAAACATGGCTCGCCAATTCGAGGAATTCATCACGGATCCCATCCAGCAGAAGTCACTGACAACGACGCGGAACGCTCTTGCTGTGGCGGAAACCGAACTGGACGAGGCAACGACCGCCCTCGAGATTCTTGAGAAGCAGGAGAAGACAAAGCAAGTCCGACAGGAGCTCGTGGCAGAGTTCGAAATGCTGTGGAACCCGAACATCATTGCCACGACAGCAACGCTCTTGTTGCGATACCGCGAAAGAAGGTCATGCCGGTATGCGACGCACATAATCATCGACGAAGCATCTCGCCTCCACCCACCGCATCTCTTGGCTATGATCGCGAGCTTCCAACATTTAAGGAAGATCACGCTGATCGGAGACTCGGAGCAGCTGGCCCCATTCTACCCAGCGCCGGATGCATCGGACATCAAGAAGTATGCGGGAGAAGCTGATCTGGTACGATTGAAGAACGCGTACCCGAAAGCAGTCGTCCACCTGGAGAAGATATACCGAGCGCACCCCCTCATCACTCGGAACGTCTTGGCCAATTGCTATCCGTACCGAGTGGAGCCAGGTGTCACTGAAGAGGAGCGGCCAATGGCAAGAAGAGCAGGACTCCCGATGGCAGCGGACGGTACACCGGTGATACTGTACCACACGAATGGAGTATCGGAAGGCGGAGTGAACGAGGAGGAGGCCGAGCTCATTTACTGGTTGGTGCAGCACCTGCGATCGAGAGGAGCCGACAGGGACGACATATTGGTGGTGACCTACCACACCAACCAGCGGGACCATCTGCGCAGGATCCTCCAGAACATCGCCGTCGAGACGATTGATGGCTCACAAGGAAGGCAGGCGCCAATCGTGATTTTGGCGACGACCAAGCGAGCAACGTCAACCGCATCCATCCAGCGGTCATTGCGATTCGTCGGAGACCCGAAGAGATCGATCGCAGCCGTCTCCAGGGCTATGCATGCGTTCTACGTCTTCGGTGACGTCGAGCAGTTGGGCCAGCTGGCATTCTTTAGCCGGATCGTCGAATGGGCAAGGAGCAATGGAGCAGTTCGGACGCCGACACCGAAGAATGGACAAAGAGCGACGCTGCCGAAGAGACAGCGGACCGGTGACGATCCAGAGCCGTCGGGAAGGTGCAATCAGAAGGTGTCGCGGCGCCGAGTATAAATCATCAGCCAATTGGTAATATTTCCCTCCACCATCAACTCCCCTCGCGGCCCTGTTGTGTCTATCCCTATTTTATCTTTTATTTCTCTATTTATTATATATTATTTTATATCTATTACATATTATATTATCAATAAATTCTTGTAATTAGCAACTCGTACATTAATCGCTCTTAAAAAGCTTTTAAAATTGAGTATCGATTAAAAAATTTAAAATGGTTTGGTTTTTTTTTCAGATTTCAAGGATAATTAAAATTAAATCCTCATTTGGAGTCCAATCAGCAATTCGATCGATCTTTTCCGCGATTGTGAGATCTAGATGTGATCCAATTGGACGCGGCAATTCAAATTAAATGCAACCCAATTCGTCTTTTAGATTTTTTCTCAATATCGTCCCACATGTAATGAAGAACATTTTTGAGTATTTGGTGTTTCTTCTGCTAAAAATGGAGACCATCGATCGTTCGATTCTAAATTTGGCCAAAAATCGAACCACGCGTATCCCAGAATAGACACTAATTCATTAATTTCAATTCTTGTTCCCAAATGTTACGAATTCAAACACATACTCGAAATTTTATTGTCACATGTTACCGATATTTTCCTTTTTTTCGTATCTTTTTTTGGCAGCCAAATGAAAAAAACAAAAAAAAAAAACAAATATCCATAATTCCTTGAAAACGGCGACGTGAGAGAGAGAGAGATAGAAGGATAAGAAAAGAATGTTGTGCAGTCTGTCTGTGTATTACATTTCAGCTCAAATGAAATGTTCTGAGAAAATCGAGCGCATTAAACAAGTCTAACAATTCCCGTCACTATACAGTATACCAATATATTGGAAAACAAATGGTGATTATAAAGCGTATGATGGAAGGAGGACGACAATTAAAAAAAACGAAGAAACAAACATTTTGAATTTTGGTGAAGATGGTGGTGTCTTTTCAATTTTGTATTGGTTTCGTGTGATTGGAGCTTCGAGGAAATCAAAATGCACCAGTAGATCAGATTAATATAATGGAGAATTTCTAGCAATCTGCTATTTCTTTAACAACCAAACAAATAAAATAATTATATTAGGAAGGTTGGGAGTTGAAAACGAATGGAACGATGGTGAATCTATTGAATTATTTACAAACATACAACGAACACCTATTAACAATTTCTGGTTCGACAGGAGAAGAAAAGAAAACGAAGAGGGAAATGAAAAAAAGAAAAGAATTAAAATACATCAAATCACAGGAATCCACGAGTTCGCATCTGCCGGCAGATAGAACAGCGTGGTGCGTGTCGACGGCGTCGAGAACGCCTGAGTACTGTAGGTCTGGAGCGAGACCTGCAACAAATCGAATTTCTTCAATTCGCACTCGCACAAATCCAAATTCTCACCTGGAACGCCAGTCTGTCGATCATGTTGAGTGTCATCTGACGCTCATGCTGCATGAGACACACCGTGCTCTCGTTGATCACACGATGCAGAAGCATGAGAAAATCATATTTGGCTTGTCCAGCAGCCAAGAATGATGAGGTCGTCGCCTGCGACGTCGATGCTTCCGAATCGGTATCCTCTCCCGATGAGGACCACTGAAAAATAGACGTTCAATGTTTTTTTTTTTGAGATTTGCGTCATAAATGCCGCTTCAAAGGCAAAACTGCGTAAATTATTCAAGAATTCTATTTAGGCAGGGGTTTAATGAATGCAGTGTGAAGAAAACAATAAAGCTAGCGACCAACCTGGTCGTTTCCATTGTTGAAGTGCGACTCCAAATAATTTCGCAGCTTCTGCTCCTGTGACATGACATCCGGGAAGTCAATGAAGAATCTCGAGCACATGTACCTAAAATACAGCAAGAAAAAACAATGATGAGCTATTCGGAATAATGGCAATTACCGTTCGAGTTTTCGGCAAATTCCTGGTCTCGCCGCCTTATATCCTCGTATAATCAAATGGCAATATTTGAGGAGTCCGCCACCTCGAATTTCCTCCGGTTTGATTGTGTCGATGAGTCTTTCATGCAAATGATTCATCGCCTGCACATAAAATAAATGAAATCGTTAATGATTCGAAACGAAATGATTACCTGATGAACATCGCCATACATCGACTCGATGGTCACTTTTTTCGGCTCGACGGCGTCGAAATCCTCGACGAGCGGATCGAGGCAGATTTGGAACGAATCCACCGAGAACTCGAATTGCCGTCGCATTTTATTTACAAATTTCAACTCGATGCATTTGCCGTAGTCGTTGTTAAGCGAGAACAGCGACCAAGTGTCGTGCTCGTTCGAGACCTAAAAAGCATTTTTGTTTTTGAATTATCAAGTCCGAATATGGTAAAATTTGACATGATTAACAGTTTTGAACTTTAAAAAATCAAGGTTTTCCCCGCGAAATGTGTATGTGTTCGTGTTTTGCAAATAAACTTTTGGCAATTCCCCTATCAGCATGTTTCATCTCAAAAATGTATCCGTTTTTGTTTCCTCAGTGTAACAAATCGCCGAAAAAAAAGAAGAAAAATCGGCGCCAACCTTGATCATTTTTCGCAAATACGCTTCTTTGAGTGTGTCGACGTCGAACTTGTCACGTCCGGCGTTGTCGGGCATCAGCTCGCGAATTGTGGCGAACACCGCCTCGCGAACACGATCGAAACAATCCGATGTGTGCTGAGCGGCCATGTCCATCGCAAATATCAAATCGACGTCGGCGTACGTGAAATCATCGGATGAAGCGACGAACGAGGCGGCGCCACCATTCAATTTCACATTTTTCGGCTCAACGCGTTCATCACTGAAAAAAAAGAGGCACAAAACAATTGAAAAAAAATAGAAAAACGGCACCTCAAATGATTTCGAAGACAAATAATCAAATCGATGAGTCTGCACGAAATAATCGGAAAATTTCCGCGTCCATGAATCTCAAATTTTTCATTGAGCACAGCTCGAAGACGTTTGATCTGAAAAAAAAAAACATCCAAATAATTCTTTGTATTCAGAAGACAAAAGCGCCTCTCCATCTCTAGCGCAACTCTCACCGTCTGACGTCCCCATTCCCATTTTCTTCTTCTTCTTCAAAAAGCGGACACCAAAAACACCCAAAAAAGGAGATAGGCATCAGAAAGAAGAATAAGTAAAGTATCCAAAAATATCCAATGCCACCATGTGACTTATCGGCCTCGGCCACCCCCCCCCTCTCCCCAGCCTTCTTTCCTTACTTCGGCAGGTCCGTTGATGACGTCGAATGGAATGCATATCCATTTTCGTATGCCGACAACGAATATCGCAAAGGGGGGGGGAACAGACCATATTCTAACCAGTTTTTTCGCCTCTCCTATGCCAAGAACTTTCGACCTTGTATTGATTAATGAGGTTTCATTTCCTCAATAACAACACACAACCACGAGCGCGCCGCGCGTGTACACCAATAGCTGCCAAATATGGGACTCGACATCGAACAATCAAGAGAGAAGCTATCCATTTCGAAATAAATTACCTGCGATTTGGTCAGAAACGTGGTTCGCGAGACGTAAGCCGGAGTCTCGTCGCGCATTCTTTGCGAGTGTCCGTGTGGTGCAAGCTGAAAATAAAAACGATAGAATGAATCGAGAAGGAATTTTCTTTTTTTTTTGCAAAAGAGTTCAGAAGTAAATGTGTTGGCGATCAAATAATTTTCTGTGAACTACTCTCTCTCTCTAGATAATACAAGGAAGTTTTACCAACCGGTCAACACTACATATTTATAAGAGAATCAGTATCGAAAAAAAAATCAGTTCCGAATTCCAATCGGGGCAACAAAAAAGGTTCCGAATATGGAGAGAAAAAATAATAAAGACATCTCAAAACTAAAGCGTTTCTCTTATGCAAAAAAACAATAATTTATGTATAATAGGTTAGCAGGCGATTATTCAATAATAACAATAATAATAATAATACAAATGTTCGATACTCTCTCGTTTTGGAATAAAAATTATGCGTGACGCCAAAATTTAGTTTCAATATTCCAGAATATTCTCGAATATTCAAGTGTCGCGAGTGAGGCGTGGCCTCGATAGAAATAACTTTGAAGAACAAAGAAATACTGATGATAAGAGTGTGTAAACGGTGCTTTGCTGTGCTTGCAAATTGAGCAGATGGGAAAGCAACAATTTTCAGAAACCGAGAGAACAAAAATAACGAACCGTTCTTGGCGCACTGTCACCATCAGTTCGACGATAAGCTCTCCGCCGCGAATACATTTCTTCAATTTTCGAAACTTTTTCTTGAATACGATTTATCACGAATAATGAGGAAGACGATGAAAAACTCTCGAATATTCGACTGGAATGTGTGTATTCAAACTAAACATAGCCTAGCGGGGCGGCGGGCAAAGCGCGCCGGCTAGTCGAGGCATTCTCTCGTTCTCTCACCCAACACAGGGAGACTCCGCCCCGCCCCCCTCTCGAAAACCCTCGCTTCTCTCGCCACGCACGTCACTTTTGTTGTCCATTTTTCACGTCGCACGTGTAAGCATGATTTCGAGTCGAAGTGAGCATGAGAAGAGAAGCGGCCACGGCCGAATTGGGCGGCTGGCGAGGCGAGACGCTTGGCGATAGCCAAGGCGTCGAACGGAGCCCCCCAATAATGATGATGTCATTTTTGGCACCCGCGCAACAAATGACGTAGCGGTGGTGTTGCTGCTCGAAGCGACGGGGGAGGAGAAGAAGGAGATGAAGGAAACGAGAAGCCGGCTAACGCAAATTATTATGTGTGTATGTGTTTTTCCATTTTTTTTTCTTCTTCTTCTTCTTCTCCCTTCGTGCATCGTTTATGCCAATTGGTGGGGGTGGCGTGAAATGACGTCACATATCCATATTTATCGAAGAGAAAGAAAAACGACATTTCGCATCGAGCACCCGAAAAAGAATACGGCGAACGTCGACGACGACGTCATCATCGAATTAATTATGGAGCTTTCAAGCAAACTCAAAAAGATGAAAGATTCTAAATATAGCAAATATCGTGTTGGTTGTGCAGAAGAAGCGAGCAACCAAAAATGGAAAAGTGACGAGGATTGTTTTTGTCTGCTCGGCGACAAACATTTTGAAGCTTGTCAAAAACTTGGGAATGACGAATCGGATTATGGGATCTCGTCAAAAAAAAAAATGTGTTTATGATTGAATTCTGATGGTTCTTTTTACAATATGGTTTAATTTTATTTTGGCCGAAACGACCAAATTTTCCGCGCGAGACCTTTTTTCCTTTTTTTTCGGGCATATTCGCAAATCTATTTATGCAGCCATCAAAAAATGCGAATATCGATGACGAAAAAACGGGAAATCTGACACTGCTCAGAACGCGACCAAAAAACCGCCGACTCTTCCAAAAAACTCGTTCCAGTGGTCTTGTCAATTTTCAAAAAATCCACCGTAAGACCAAAAAGATGAGTAGGCATTCAGAAATTTTTTTTTGAGAAAACTAGTTGCCAAAATGAATTTCGACGGGCTGGAAGACAAACAAACAAGACCCATCAATTATTATCGACTCATGGAATTGTCAGCTCTCAAGGGCTCGATTTATTATGAATTTAAGATAGCCGTTTTAGAAATTTTTAAATGAAAGATGATTCGAAAAAAAACAAGAAGCATACGCGAAAACTTGGCTGCAAATTTATGACGTATAAAATAAGGCGAGCAGCAGCAGCAGCAGAAGCATTTTCAGCGAATTCGACAACAACAACAAAGACGAAAAAAAAGAAAGAAAGAAATTGAAACGAATGAGATGAGGGGAAAAATGGTTAATCAAGAGGACACTAACGAATCGCCAAAAAATTGGAGTTGATTGAGGGCGAGGGAGGCAGGAATTGGCAGCTTTCACACCATACGAATCCGAATAAGGAAAAAGGGTGAAGTCTTGGAAAACTGGTTCTCCGCCATTCCATTCACCAATGAGAGATGTCAAACAATCTATTAAAGGAAAAGTGAGCGAGAAGCTTGAGATTCTAGAATATGAGTCAGACTACAGTAATTTCATGATCTTCTCACTCAAAACTCTTTTGTTTTTTGGCAAAACCCTTCTCGTTTCGCAAATGTTCCGCTCTGTGTTTTTTTTCGGCTTCCAAATTGGCCAAAATGATGATGAAGCGGGCGGAATGGAGCTGCAGAGACACCACCAGATGACGTCGGTTTCACCAATCAAGTTCATCGAAGCCCCCCTCCCTCGAAATTCGCCTCAAGGCTTATCCATTCCAACATGCAGCAGCAAAGAAGAAATTTTTCAAAGGGAGATGGCACACACGAAAATACATACAAAGATTGAAGAGTGAGAAAGATGCATAGTATATTTTTAGGTTTAAAAAAAAGTGATGTTGGTGTGGTGACGTCAACGGAAAAAATAGCCACAGGCGGAATAAATATAAATTATATGAAGAAGTTTTTCACGATAATCTAAACGCAAACATACAAACACTAATGTAGAAATGAAATTTGAATGAAAATGCGCGCACTTTCACTGTGGAGAAACCACGTGATCGTGCGAGAATCTTCGCATCGTCTCCAGAAGGTTCTTGCGACGAGAGAGCATTGGAGAGCAAGAGACACCGACGACAGCGGGCCGGCCGCTCGAGTACACAATGCCGGCACGAGCTGCCGAGTATTTCAAACCGTATAACAATGGCCAAACTGCTGATTTTCAGTGATGAATTTTTTGCAAAATAAAAGTTGCTCGGGTCTCGCCGAGAAAAGAAACCGCATCGAAATTTTGATAGGGCAGAGTAAACAAGAAAACCAATGAAAACTGGTTTGCACTGCGAGACCCTTAAACAGAACCAAGTGTGCGCCTTCAAAAATGAAAAAAATGTATTGGCGATGTTTTTTGAAAAAAAAAACGGTCGTTATCATGAACATGCAACATTGATTGATAGTAGTTGTTGCCTAATTTAAATAATCGCCTTTTTGTTGCTATTGCGTTGCTGTGAATCGATTAAACATGCCAGTCAGCGCTTTTTTCAAACAATCTAATGGGTCGAGAGTTTTGAAGGAAAGAAAAAAAGGAAGATAGAGAATGGTCGCACACGGAGGGACACTTGCATGAGTGGAAATAAAACAGTTTTAGTGCTCTCTTTTGTTTTCGGTGATCATTCGAACACCAATGAGATTTTTCGACATTTTGAGAAAAAAAAAACATCCATCAGATGAATCAACTTTAAGCTTCTTATCGGTTAGATGAAATTGGTAGAAAGCGTTTAAAGGCGCAGTGATACCAAAACGCTCTTAAAATTTAGTGGTTTGCGTAGCAAATAATAGTTGAAAATCACTACTCAAAGGAGCAGACGCGTCAGTACCCGCTTAAAGGAGCATACATAGATGATGTTGTTGTCAAAAATATATATTGTCGGAGTCAAACGACTTGACGAAATTTTAAAACAATATTGGCTATGTGTCAATGCGCGAAACTGCGTACATTGCATTTAAGCGTACGCGCATTTAATATTCAGTCAATGGAAAATTTAAATCTACACTGATTTCGCGAATTTGAAGGCTCCGCCTCCTTTAGTCGTTTGACGCCGACAATATAGCGGCAAGCGATTTAATATTTACCAATTGCTTGAAACAACACTCTAGTTTTCATCTACCATTCAGTAAGCCAACCAAATCGCCGCACGTTAAATTCGAATGAAAAGAAGCGCCAACAACATGACGCCATATTTTTTCGAGCCAAAAACGGAAATTCCAACAATTAGAGTAGTGGGCAGGTGGAAAACAATTTAAAGAAAAAAGGAACGAAACGAAACATCAACTTATTTGTGCAATTTTGCGTGTATTTGTGTGTTTGTGTGTGTGCGTCACGTCATGGGACCGACGGTTTATTCAGCCCGATCCGCCCATTGGCACCACACTTCATCGCGCTTTTTTTTGTTCATATGTGTCTACATGCGCCATGTTTGAACAGATTGTTTCGATCGAGAACTGTGCGCGCGTTAGGCGGGAGTTTCACACACATACGACGCCAACAACACCAAGCCAAGAAAGCGACGGCGGAAAAGAAGTTCGTCATTATGGATAGAGCAATTCGTCGCCGAGCAGTGATCGAATGTACGCGATTCATCATTTAAAACAACCAACGGAACAAAACCAGCCTCCCTTTCCACTTCCTCCCCTTCTCCCTTCAAAATATTGTAATTTCGGCGATAAACCGATTTACGTCAATCATTATTTGCGCATAAATTTGCGTTTCATTAATAAATGCAACATTATTTATGAAGTGTGCGCGAGTGTTCGGTCAATCACTTCAATTCTTTTTTTTCTCAAAAAAAAACAGCGAAATAGTGCAATTCATCAGAAAATGACAAAGAGTTTGTTTATACGAGGAGTCCCCCCCCCCCCAATTAGTTTGGTTTATTTAAAGAATATGCGATGGCGAAGCGCGTCGAGAGGAAGGATGTACAATTCTCTTCATGAATAGGCGTTTCCAGAAAAATCTCATAAAAATATTGTTGATGAGGGTTTGGGAAGATCGCAAGAGCAAATCGTGACTAGTAATGGGGATCTACAGATTTCAAATATCTTGAAACTTTTAGATTTGTTTAGTTCCGCTTAAAATCTCGCCCCGAGTAGTGCCATTAGTATTTTATGATTTAAAAAAGTGGATCAAAGAAGAATTTTGGCTGATTTCAAAATATTTAAACTAAATTCCCAAATATTCAAGAGTCTACTCTAAATATGAAAATAGAACCAAAAAGTGAACGAGATCCGGGTAGATCAACGTCCACTAATCGCAACCGGAACAACCATGTTCATTAAAATTTTCAATATTTTGATGGCGCGTGAAACTCATTGCATTTAAACAATCGATATCTTGCCGTTAGTCCTAATTCAAATTGTAAAGGATTTCCATGAGATTCTGATTCAACAAAATTGCTTATTTGATTACTAGTAAACTGAAGGGGCTTACTAAAATGTTGCAATACTAAAATGTTGCCTATTTGTCGTTTTTTTTCGAACTCGTCCTCCTTTCCAATTAATTATTTAATGTCGCTCAATAGTCAACTTTTTTCGGGGGTTCCAATCATCCCATAAATGGTGTTTGATCCACATCGTTCTTGTAAACATCAGAACGATCCGCTGTAAGAGATCGATGCCTATTTGAGATTCGATTTGCAACAAGCCACCGAACGATGAATGAAGAAATTCGTGGGAAAATCTGCGCCAAATCGTATCGAGATATCAGAAGAATTGTAAGTGGAAGAAGAATTCCGTGG